CCTTCCTCCGCCCCTGCCTAGAGATGCCTTTGTATCTAAATTATTCCATATCAGTATGAACAAATAAAACTCAACTTCTGCTGCCTCTGTTGTTTTCAGTTGTTCATGAAAATGTTTGTGCTAGTTACACTGAACCATTTATTTGTAGTGGTGCCATTCTATAGACATTTGTACATTTACTTTGAAATAGGCTGAGAACCACATGTTAACGGTTACTAACTCCAGTCTGCTCCCACCACTGGTAGTTGAAGTTAGTGGTATCCTACATCTTATGGAGAAATATTCCTGTTTGATTCACTTTCTGTCAAAACGGCCTCCATCTGATTCGGAAACAGAAGCTGTGGTAAAGCTGAGGTGTGTACGCTGGAGACAGCCATTGCACATGCACAAATGACAGCACATGTGCAGATGACAGTTTCAGTAAATTTGAGTTTGGCATAGGGAAGTGAACCAGGTAATGTGCATCCTCACAGCAGGTAATGTGCATCCTCACAGCCTTCTAAGTCAGGGGACTTAGAAGGCTGTGAGGATGCACATTACCTGATACATCCTCCAGGGCTTTCCCCAAGCAATCAGAGAAAGTGTTTGCATGAAGCCAACCTCTCCTTCACCCTCTTCATGCCTCTTCTGGTTCTGGGAGACAAGGAGGAGGAGATGTTATGTACTGAGTTGAATAGGATCCAAAATGCAGCAGTATGATTGGTCCTAGAACAATAGGATTCAGAATGCAGCAGTCTGATTGGTCCTAGAACAGTAGGACCCAGAATGCGGCAGTCTGCTTGGTCCACAGGAGCCACCCAATCCAGCTCCAGGTGGAAGTGAATCCACAACCTGATTGGCCTACAGGAGAATCCCGGAATTAGCCAATCACGTGGGGCCCATTGTGTAAATAATGTATATAAAGCAGACATTCTGGGGTAACTTCCATTCCTCCTCACCACTATGAGCTGAATAAAGAGCATGAAATCCATTCTTGACTCCAAGTACGGTGTATTTCAGGGGAGCTTGTCGCAGCATGAAGGGAAGACACCCATGACTCCTCACCAGCCTGTTTCCTCTCTGCCTCTTGGCCTTCCTCCTCCCACTCACCTGTTTCAGCTTCTGATTTGGGACTTCTCTCTGTCACAGACTCTCCCAGCTCACTAAGCCCTGTTACCTCTTCATCTTCTGACACCTTCTCTTCCCAGTCTTCTCCCTCTGACCACTCATCATTGTCCCACCAAGGCTCTGAGCCTTCTTCCTTCGGTGGTTCCTCAGCTGGCTCCTCCCACCATTCCTCTGCGTCCAACCAGTCCAGGACATCACCCAAGTCTGCTCCTATTTAATGTAGGTTGTAAACTGCTTTGAGTATATGAAGGACTGTGGATATGAAAGTGAGCTCATCCATTGACCCTTTGCAGAGGAAATCCGATAAGGCTTAAATGGTTGCAGAACTGCACCCTTTGGCTACATGCACGTTTCCTACAGCTACCCCCAAACTATTTATTGATCTGCTCTGGAATGATTTCACAGCATGTGTAAACTTGCTACTGAATTAGCATGGTGTAGCAATTGGGCTTTGGGAGGCTCCTGGAGGCAAGGAGTGGCAGGGTGGGATTGGGAATCTGCAGTAACAGCTGAGGCCATTAAATAGATCTATATCTCCGGAATTGCTGAAGCTGGTCCACATCTGCTTGGTTTTTCGCCAAAGCTCACTTGGGTAGTATATATAGAAAGATTGAGTGGGAGGGGGTGGGGGTGGGAGAAGCTAAGCACTTCTGGGTAGGCTTTTGCAACCCTTGAAGTACTAGAATGGGAAATGAACTCTTTGCATCACACAAAAATAAAGACAAGCATGTCGCTTGATCTCTGCTGGCTGCAACACACAAGCCAGACACAAGTCATTCATCTGACTTCAGGAACACTTTTAGAAGACTCTTTGAGAACCAGCCTCAGAATTAGAACAGCATTTGGTGGCTTACCGGTGCCTTTGCCATGTGGATTATGTTGTTTGCAAACTGTGAAATGCCAAGATGCCAAATCCTTTTGTTGCTGGAAAACACCCCCTTTTGTTGACCAGATGCCGCCAGCTATTTATTATTGTTGTTTCTCTGCAAGGGCTTTGCAAAGCACGAGCATGTGCTATATGGGATTAACCCTGCCGGCACACAGGCACCCACCACATGAGGCACTGCCAATTAAACTGTCAAATGTCAGGATAAAGCAATAGGTCAGACTGATGGCAAAGCTTTCGTTTTCCTGTGATCGGCGTGAATCTGTGTTTTTAACTAGTCTTTGAGTAACAAAGAAATAAAAAAACACCACCACCTTGGGATACATTTGTAAAGATCAATATTCGTGCATTTGTTTCTCAGGGGTAAATAGGCAACCATCCCGTGATCTAAGATGCAGGCTGGTGGCATGTTGTACTATGCAGCACATTTAAAACAGAGAATGATAGGCTCATACACTTTGCCTTATTATTATTATCCTGGTGTCAACTTGGGGCCAAGAATGATTTAGGCTGCAATCCTAAACACACTTTCCTGGAAGTAAGTACCATTGAACTCAATAGATATTGCTTCTCAGTAATCCATAAATAGGATCACACCGTTAATAATTTGGTATAGCTCTGTGCTGCTATACCATTCCCTAAGTTAGACATATAAAAATACTTTATAATCTTCCTTCATGTTTCTCACTGTGTTAGAGCAGGGGATGGAAAGAGCTCTTACTACAGTCACAAATGGTACACAAAGAAATGTGCTTTTGGCTTAGATCCAGAGATATGTGGGGAAACTTTTACACCTGTAGCCAGTTTTTTTCCCCCACTCTCTGCTGCATCATCAGAAGTCAAGGTTTTTAAAAGTTGCTTGAAAAATGGCTAGGAGAATTTGGGAGAGACAGAATGTTCAGTTTTGAGATATCCATTTGTGCTTTTATCTTGTTGTGATCCAGTTTTAAGGCAATTTTACTGTATGTTGTTTCCATTTTTACTATTCTATTTTTATTATAAACTGCTTTAGAGAGTTTTTTTATTTTAAGTGGTATTAATTTTAAAATACATAAAGATAAGTTGCGTGTGTTTGAAGCTCTCTGCAGAAGATCAAAGCTGCAGGCTTTTCTTTTGCAGAACTAAAATCGATTCAAATTAGAAAATGCTGAAGATGCATTCACATATTCAAATACAACCAGGGAACAAAATTTTGAACCCCACAAAATAGTTTTATAGCTTCAACTCACAAAGAGTTGTGATCAAAGAAAAAAAGTGTGATCAAAGAAAACACTGGTCCAAATCACACATGTGCCATGAATTCCCTAGATGGCCTGAGGCATGTGACTGTTTTTCAGCATCCCAAAAAGGAATAGCTGTACTGACCAACTGTTGACTTGTGAGCTAGGGTCAGGAACTGGCCTCCTTGGGGAGCTGACAGCACCCACCAGTGATGTTTGCCCTGGGCACCACTTAATATCCTACCTTCTCAGCGTTAGGAGCATGGGCATAGCCAGGGGGGGCAGGGAGGGGCAGCTGCCCCCCTAAATCAATAAAAAAATACATAGCATAACGGAGGTTCTGCCTCCCCGTAACAAAAGGCCTGCCCCCCAACAAAAATCCTGGCTACGCCCATGGTTATGAGTTCACTAGGCACATTTCACAAAGCAGTGCATTGTGGGAAATTAAAATGAGTCTCACCTACTCACCTTTGCCCACTGTCACTGCTGCCAGGTGCATTAGAGTACATTTTGCACAGTTCCCTCAGAAATTATTATTATTTGCATACATACGTCCACGTGCACAGTGCTTTGCAGAGTACAAGAAGACCGAGGGAGCTTGCAATCTAAAGACATCCCTACACATCCACCATCGTCATCATTATTTATCATCAGTGCAAAGTTCAACTGCATGTTCTGCAGTGGCCCCCCAGCCACTTAGCTTTTGCCACGAAGAGTTCAGCTGAAATTAAAGCCCTTTAAGAATCACAGTTGTTTGGAGAAGCCACCCATGGGAACGTTTTTATTTTGTATGTGCATGTCAAATATCTTTTCATTCTATCTTTGTTACGCTTTCAGTATATAGATGGGTGACCTTTGTTTCAGCACTACTCTTTTAGATGTGTAGTGATGTGTAGCTAGCTGACAAAACGAGGTACAAGCCAGTCCTCCATCAATAGTAAATATTGTTGTGAGTTCGGGAGGCAGGATTAGGCTGTACATCTGAGTCCCTTCTAATTCCTGGATCCAGCAAGAATTCAGTTGTTGGTGTGGCCAGGCCATCTTCTTGGTAATGGCAACTAAGGAAGGGTCATTAGGGCTCCGTGCCAGATATCAAATGGGTAGGCCCCTCTCCCTCAACTTCATAGTCTGGAGGACAAAAGCACTAGCTGAGGGGTGTGTATATGTGTGTGTGAGAGAGGGGGGGGGTGGCTACCAGCAGGCAGAAGGAAGAAGGAGGAGAGGGAAAGCCAAGCTTAATTTCTTTTTATTATTATTATAATTTATTAAATAGTAAATATTATTAGTATTTTCCACACAACAACAACAAAAAACACAAAAAACAACAATACACAAAAACAAGCATATAAAAATCCAAATCTTACAAATTAATAATATAAACACTAAAAAGGAAAAGAGACATTGACGTCCACCAATCCCACAGCACCTCCTTTGCCTCTCATTGTATCTTCCTGTTGCCAAGCTTAATTTCTGCTTGAATCCAAGGCTTAGGCTATGAGAGAAATTGAAGTCCTTCTCGGGGTGTTAATGCTGTGAGCCCCTCCAATGTGGACTCAGGTTGCATATATGTATCCTCATTTGCGCGCTTTGGACTCCGCTGAAAAAATTGCGCGCCTCCTCCATTGGTCTCCGTCGGAACCCCCCCCCCCCCCCTCCGGCTGGAGAAGCGCGCTCAACTTTCTTCCCAGTGAACTTGCCTGTTGCTCCAGCCGCAAAACAGCCAGGCGCCCCCCCCCCCGCCCGCTCCCCGCGCCCCTCCCAGAAAAGAAAAGCGCGCCGGGGGTGGAGGCTGATCCACGCTGCTGCTCCTCCCTCCTGCCTCCTGGCTCTGGCGGGCCGGCTCCTTTGTACGCCCGGCAGAGGCGGAGGGGCGCGCAGGGCAGCTCCATCCTGGCTCCCATCGCGACGCCACCATGAAACTTCAGGCGGCGGCGCCCGCGCCTTTTCTCCCGCTCCGGCCGCTGCTGCTGCTGCTGCTGCCGCTGCTCCTGCAGGCTGTGGCAGGACGAAGCTCCCCTTACGGCAACCGCTACGCCGGGTAAGTGTGCCGAGCGCAGCCCTCTCCAACCTAGTTGCCTCTCCAGAGGCTGCTGCGCTCCAGCACACCCCTCATCCCTGACCATTGGGCGTGCTGGCTGGGGCTCATGGGAGCAACCAGGGCGCGGAAGTAGCGCCTCTCTTGCTCTCATCTTGCACTTTGCACGGGCTGATGGCAGCCACTGTTGGGGAATTGTGAATCGTTATAATTGTCTTCTTGGATTTAGAGTCGGAGGACCTTGATTGTTCATATCTCACTTCTTTAATTACTTCAGTCAGGGTGAGGGAACCGTGGCTTTCGAGATGTTGTTGGGTTTTCAGGATGGCCAGTGCAATTCTAGGGATGTCTGAAAGTCTCATCCTCCTTGGCCGCTGGCCATGCTGGCTGGGGACTGAACTGAGTTCTGCAATGTACGGAGGTTCCTTGCAGAAAGCCCTTGAGTCTTCAGGAAGATACACCTGAAAGTATGAATGCTAATAGGCATTCTACTTTGCTGATAAGGCTCGGTTTCCAGACCCTTTTAGCATCATAGTCACCTTCCTCTGCGGTCCTTCCAGCTTCTCAATATCCTTCTTGAACTGGACCCAGAACTGGACCCAGGACTCAAAGTGGAGTCTGACCAAGGCAGAATAGAGCAAGATTATGACTTCCCTTGATCTGGATGTTAGACTCCAGTTGATGCAGCCTAAATTGCATCAGCTTTTTTTTTTTTTTCCTGCTGCATTATACTGTTGACTCTTGTTAAGCTTGTGGTCTGCTAAGACTCCTAGATCCTTTTCACATTAGATGATTTTGTGCAGGGCTTCCCCCCCCCCCCAGCTGGAACTTGCCGGAACTCAGTTCCTGCACCTCTCAGGTGGGTGCCATTGCCATTATAAGAGAACAAGGGAGATATCCATGGTGAGTTCTGGCACTTCTTTTTCTAGAAAAATAGCACTGCATACAATAATTTGAATTTACAAATTGCAATGCATCATGGCAAACCACAGCTCTTGGAATTGGCAGTGCAAGCTGACCTATGTCAGACAAGTAAGTCCTGTTGAGCTAAACAGAACTTACTCCCAGTTAAGTGTGTACAGTATATAAGACTGAAGCCTAAGACTTGAAGCCTTAGACACAGAGAAAAGTAGCCAGAACAGAAATGAAGATTCCTTTTGAAGTGAATTATTTTTCGTCTTTTAGCTCAATCCCCACAATTCCCACAAACCTGTGCACAGGATTGCAGCCTTAACATTTACTCAGATAGAAGACCCATTGATATTAATGATGGACAACCTATGCTAATAGAGTTGGCCACTGATTAAACCAAAATGGATTGATCCAGATTGTTGTTATTAACATCTATAAGCCCCTCCACGGCATTGTTCTCTGTGTGACTCACATGCATAACATGACAGACTACAATTAAATTTTGTTCTCTTTTTTTCTTGTTGCTAGCTGTTTTTGTTGCTAGCCGTCTTAAAACCTTGGTGAGAATGCAGGGTATACATTCTGAAAATAAACAAATAAAATAAAACGTTTTAAGACCCATAAGCAAGTAACCAAATAGGTGTGAAATGACACAAGAACTAGGCTGGCATGATACTGGCAAGAGGAAGATGCAGGTGAAAATACAATATGTTCCACCCCCTACAACACCTCCCCATGATGGAATGGCAGATAATACTTAGAGCAGGATGGAGCAGAACTTCAAGTCCACCGCCAGGCCAGAGCAACAGAGTTCTCTCCATTCCAGTTGTGGAGATTGTCGTTTCGCTAATGTAGTCAAATAATTCCTTGAAGCCCAGAACAGCTGCTGTGCAAATCCAATTTCTGCTTTTGAATTTTTCTTATGCCTTTTACCAGCACTAGCTCCAGCTTAGAAGGGATGGGGACCCTGTGGCCTTTTAGGTATTTTTTGGATTCTGCTATCACTAATGATTAGGGATGGAAGGAGTTTTAGTCCAACCACATCCGGCGAGCCAAAGGTTCCCCACCCCTGCTATAGTGGAAGCGTCTACCTACAACTAGTTTTAGTACAAATGCAAAATCCTTTCCTCAATGGCTGTAGTCTTAGCACTTCCATAGCTGGGAACTAGGGCAGATACCATGGCTCATGTATATTATGTAGAAGAAAGATGGGGAAAAGATTTCATCGGAGGCCCTGGAAAGCTGCTACCCGCCAGGGTAGATAATACAGAGATAATCAGACACAATATAGAACACCTTCCCATGTCCCCAGCCAAAGCACAGCCAACTGAACTACAAATAAGTGGTTCAATGTTATATTTTTCTGTTTAAGTGCCTTTAAAAAAATACACAGTTGGCATTAACAATTATGCATCCTGTTTTTATGCAACCTGCTTTTTGCAAAATAGACAAGATAGAAAAATAATTTTCACAAGTGACCCTGGAATACAAGGGAAATGTCTCATATTGGAAAGATGCTTTAAACAAAGTTGAGCATTGACTTTCATTATTGCAGTAGGCTCTTCTGTTAAATGCCAAGAATTCACCTACCGTATTTTTCCGTCTATAAGACGCCTCCATGTATAAGACGCCCCCTTTTGGGGGGGGACTCAGATTTAAGAAAATGGGGGAGATGTATAAGGCGCCCCCTAATTTTTGACATTATTTTTTAGGAAAAAGACCTAGTCTTATACACTGAAAAATACAGTACTCCTTCCCCAATTTAATTCTGTTTAGTGTGGACAACCAAATAGTGCATGTGATGTACAACATTCTCAAAATAACTGGCTGTGGCTTCAGAAATTGCTTACCTTATAGAGCAATGCTAGTAAAACGATACCTTTTTCAGTGCACAGTCTGTGTAGGATTCATTCAAAGTGGTGCTTTTTTAGGTGGTTCAAGATAAGCAGAAGGAAGTCAGATTGGCCTTGCCCTTTTCATTTTTATTAAACTACTAAGGCTAGGCATGCGAATTCCACAGTTAAAACACAACCATTCACTGAAGTTTAAAAAACATTCCATACGCTTTAGGAAAAGAAAGTGCATGGAACGGGTAATACGATATAAAGGATTTCACCCCTAGGTCACTAGCAGTGACAGAGCACTTAACACATGACAGCTGCTTTCTGGTCTGAGTCCAGTGCCTACTTGCAGGTATCTTCCTGGTGAAAAACAACCCCCCACAATTTTGACCCTTCCTGATGATGTCAAGAGTGGCCAAAAACTTAATGAATGCTGCAAGAAGATTGTTTAGGTTTGTGATTAGTAGCACAGGAACAAAGTTCACTGGAGGAACGATAGGCAAGCTAGAACTTCAGCTATTGAGGGGATTAAAAAAATTGTAGAGAGCAGTTGTTGCCAGTACAATGAAACTAGTACTCTTTGTGAGCAATAAAAGCATGTCCACATTATTTAAGTTGCCTTTAGGCTTCGATGAAGCCTTCAGCTTTAAAGTTTCCCACCACATCAAATCCCTTTTTGTAACTACCATAGTTATTTCTCTCTCTGTTTTTCTCAGTCATACTGTAAAAGTTCTTCAGGGCTCTTGAACAATGAATCCATGTTGCTGTTACTCTTCTGTTGTGGTAAATGCAAACCTCTGTCCTCAGAGAAGTATAAAATTTTGAAGGGGCCTTTGAGGTAATTTCATCCCACCCCACCCCCGCTCAGATTATTGCATCCCTGACAGATGGCCATGCAATTTCTTGCTTCATCTGTTCTATACATTTAAAGCAGTATCATGCTACCTTAAACAGGCATGGCTTCCCCCAAGTAATTCTGGGAACTGCAGGGTGCTGAGAGTTGTTAGGAGACCCTTATTCCTCTCACAGAACTACAATTCCCAGAGTTCCCTGGGAAGAGGGATTAATTGTTAAACTACTCTGGAAATTGCCAAGGCAGAACCACCAAAACTACTTAACAATAAAATGAATACACAGTCTTAACCTAACTTGAGTGGGATTGCACTGGAGTAAGTTGGTTATGTAGCTTATAAATTACAATGTGCAATTTATTGTATTAAGCAAAGTAGAATCCGATGATTGACATGAGCTTCTTTTCATAAAGTTTGTGAATACTATAATGCAGGATAAAAATAGATGCTTGCCAAACATCCATACTATTTAGGAATTATTCATAAAAGTGTTCTCAAGCAGGCACTAAAGAGAGATCCTTTTATCTTTTAATTTTAAGTGATAGTTTTTACTTTAAACATTAAAGGTTTTAGATACTAGTTAAAACTGGGCAGGCAGTATACCCTTGTAAAAGCTTTGTTATTATACAGTGGTTATTGGAAGAGTCACCATTTTCCAGAAGAAGATTTGTTTGGCAGTAAATTCTTGATCAATCAAAGATCTCAACAAGAGTCATATGATTGCCTTACAACACATTCCTTATACAGTTAACTCAGAAAAGTTCCACTAACTTCAGTGAGACTTACTCTTAAGTAAATGTACATAGGATTTCAGCCTTGAACTATGTACAGAACTTGTGGGGGGGTGGGACTTCCATTCTGTTTATATAAGAAGAATAAATTGAATTCTGAAGATGACTGTAAATAAGATAAATTTTTCAAAATAAAAATTTGATGCATTTATTTATAAAACAATGTATGCACTACTGTTCCCATCCAAAAAGGAACTGATGGCCAACAAAGTATAAACAAGTACAGAAATAACCCAAAACAGCCAAGTCTAAAAGCGGAATCAAAAAAACAAAAATAGCAGAGAGAGCCAGAGCTTACAATATATAAATTTAATCAGTAGTGGGCAGCAGTGCTCACCTAACCTCCTGACAGCTGAATTGCTGCTGCTTACTGGGAGGGAAAGGTAGTGGTGAGATCAGTGTGGTGGAAACACACAGGCAGAACCAGTCTAGTCGTCCTGATAGTGCATTTGCACCACACTGACCTCCCCATCCCCACGGCCCTTCCTCTCTGTTTGTTTGTGCATAGTGGTTGCATCCCATTCTTCAGCCAAAAAGCCTCCTCAGAAGGCTTACATAGACTCAGTTAAAACAGTTTCTTTTTGCAGTATTACCATTGAAAAGATAAGGCACAAAAGAAAAAAGGAGGGAGGCCGGAGGAAAAAAGCAAACTCAAGCACAAGTCAAATAGTAATTCTTATAAAACCACCTGGAAAGGAGACAATTCAAGAGCAGCAGATGGAGTTGGACTTTGTTGGACTCCATCATTGTTGATGGAATGATCACTGTTTCCTATCTTCCCTGTTTAGCGAAGCTTTTAATGTTTGGCACACTATTGTATTTTACTATTTTGTTGGAAACCGCCCAGAGTGGCTGGGGAAACCCAGCCAGATGGGTGGGGTATAAATAATAAAATTGTTGTTGTTGTTGTTTACAAAGTGTAAGTTCTTATTATCTCATCCAAGCAGGTACAGTGCTCGGCTTGTCCTTATCTGCTTTGTTGCTTACACTTGGAAAAAAGTTGATTGTAGAGTGTTCCTTCTCTCTCTCTCTCTCTCTCTCTCTCTCTCTCTCTCTCTTTCTCTTTTCCTCTCTTTCTCTGGCCCCAACATCTGTAATCCTACTGTTGCAATCCATCATAATGTCAGAGCAGATCCTTCCTGAAATCCATACCTCAAAGGAACCAATCACCATGTAGGTTGGAAAATAGGTTTTCGTTTTAACCCTAAACTGTAAGAGATTTACCTTGGAAGTCAGTACTTTAAAATGAGTGTCAGATATGTTGTAAAAAAAGAGGTGTGGGCACTTGAAGTTGTGGGTGAATTCTGACTATTTTTAATTGGCACGCCGCTTTCATGTGCTACAGCCCATTTCCTCAGATGCATCAAGTATTAGCTCAAGTTTCACCCTTTCAGAACTGGGTCCAGAAATCCTTGGAAGGCAAGACCATTAAATTGGTTTAAGTGTATCAAGCCTCCCTTCCTCTGGGTCTGCACATTGCCACCTGCCCTCTCCTCCTGCACCGTCACTAGGAGATTGGAAGTTTCAGGTTCCATTTTAAATGAACCACAGTTTTGTGTGTCTTTCATGGTTGGTGAAAATAAGCCAACTTCACAAACTGTTGTTTGAAATTGGCCTGTTTCCTAACCATACTTAAGCTTAACATGACATGTTTAAGCAAAAACAAAAGCCACAGTTTCCCAAACCCTTTGTAGCTGCACTAAAGAAAGAGGAGTATGAAAGCCCGATGCTTGCTGCAGTTCATTCTTGTCATGCTAAACTATGGTTTAGTGTATTAGCCAAAATGGCTTTAGTGTACTGTTCATCAGACGCTCTCCGTTAGCAACTATTCATTTTTATCAACAGCTAAGGTTAGCTATTGGAGATCTAATTTTTAACTTGCTTGTTTCTCAGACATCCCCATAGTACCCTACCAGGCTTACTGCAGGAACTAGAAGTATTCCTTGAGGTCTTGTTCACTCAACTCTGAACCTATAAATTGTTTTTGCGATCATTTTCAGCTATAAATTGGGTAATACAGTAATTCCCAGGTGATTGCAGGTTTTACTAGCTTTCCTCCAGTTAAGACTTACAGCAATAACAACCATCTAAAACATTTTACCTGTAAAATGGCACAATACATGATGGGATCTCTCAACATTTATGTCTTTATCCTTTAAAGCAGTTGCAGGGTGTTCTGGATTTGAGTGGAGCGATGACATTGGGGGGCCAGGAGTGTTAACCCTTTCCCCGTGCCATTTTCCTGATCTAAAGACCACCTCCGAAGCTGGTTTTGAATTGTGGAGGGAAAAGTAGAGGGCTTTAATAATACACACAACCTCTAACTGTATTCCTACCAATGTTAATAAAACTAAACACCCCTTTAGTTTTAGAAAGAGTAGCTAAGCAGTATTACAAAAGGTAAGGGAAGCAGGCCCCTGACCCAAAGTTTATGGGGGGATAATTTTCCTCCCCTGTGCCACTGCTCTTATCAGATGAGTGATCCCTAGAACTACTTAAAAGTAAAAAATGCATTGGGAAATATGTTATCCCTGGTTCCCAGAGTGAATCCTTTCAGTGTAATACCCTAAGCATTTAACACAGTGTCTGGGGGTGGGGGTGGGGGTGGTTATAAATCTAAAATACACCACATTGTTAAACTGTAGAACTTCGTACCATGCCCTCCAACTTTTATCCAATGAAAATAGGGACGCTCCATTCCATGATGATAATTTTACCCCACACATCTTATTGGGCAATCTGGGCAGTTTCCAACATATATAAAAACATAATAAAACATTAAACATTTACAAAAACTTCCCTATACTGGATTGCCTTCAGACAGGCTTGGGGGTTGGATAACCCCGTATCCTCCAACATTTCTCCAATAAAAATAGGGACATGCTGAGGAAAAGTGGGAGATTCTGGGATCAAATCAGAAACCAGGGCAGCTTCTGTAAATCAGGGACGTCCCTGGAAAACAGGGACACTTGGAGGGTCTGCAGTACTACAAATGTTGTGGCAGCCTACAAAATGTAGAACTTTCAGAGTAAATTAGACAAACTCATGGATGATAAGACCATGTGTACTACCTCAATATTGGAGGTGGTTCTGAATCCTGGTTGATGGGGAACACAACTGGGAAGAGTTGTCTTCTTGCACTCATGCCCTGCTTGGGGACTTCCCATACGCATCTCGTTGACCACTACGAGAACGGGATGCTGAACTAGGTGGGCCTTTGGTCTGATCCAGCAGCGTTCTTCTTATGTTCTTAACCTGGTTATTTGTTAGAAAGCCCCACTATGCTCACTGAAACTTGGGAGTATCTCACTAGCCCCCTTCAAGCTTTATACATGTGAAGCGGGGTTCCCTGTGATGAGGGGGACAGTGAGGCTGTGCTACTGGCTCCAAGAGCACAAGCCTTCCCATGGCTCCACACTCACCTAGGCATGGATTTCTCCAGAAGGAAAGCCTATGCTCATGGATCTCTAGGCACTGTGCAGTGGAACTCTTAATTGCACAGGGTTCCAGCCTCCAGGAAAGCCTACGCACATGGTGATCTCTAAGCACATAGGCAAACACCTGCACCTAATGTGTAGGTGTAAAAGGTGGGGGAAGCTACATTACCTCAGTTTGCTGCCTAATTAATACCTTGCTGTCTACCACTGTGGAGCTTAGTTCCTAGTAAAAATACAGAGGGACAGCCTATTTTAAATTGATCACTCACTGAAAAGATCTAATGGCATGTGCGTTTGCATGAGAAACGCTTGTTTTTAGATACAGACATAGCCTAGCAGTGGTGCATCTATCCAGTTTTTCACCTTTGTCTTATAAAAGTTAACCGAAAGTATGCTGATCTTCATGAAATGTGTATGTGGCATATTACAAAGTGAGAGAGGCAACTTTCTTTTCCATTTTAACAACTGTCAGAATAGCAGAAGCACAGCTGAAATGGTATTGGAATGGAACGAGGACTGCACAATGCCTCGGAGAAAAAGAAGAGATAGCGTAAAATTAACTATTCCAAAAAGATTTTATTGTGTGCAGTAAAGGACTGAAAGCTGGCAGCTTTTGCTGCACAATCAAATTGCATGTGCGGTACTTACCTTTCAACTGGTAGTTAGGTACCAGATGTTGCCCTACAACAAAGGAATATCAGAGACAAGCCATACTGGAATAATCAGTGTGTTAATTTTAAGCAGAGATCACTTGCCTTTTTTCTTGTTTAAAAAGGGAAAAACTCTTACAATGTTACATTAAACAGACCAACTGCCGTCAACATCACTCATGAATTATTTCCCTGTAGTTCAAGAATCTGACGCTGTCCAGATGTGTTGAACTCCAACTCCCATGAACCCCAGCCTGCATGGCCAATGGTCAGGGATGATGGGAGTTATAGTCCAGTAACAGCTGGAGAGTCACTGGTTCCCCAAACCTACAGTAGTAGTGCATTCACAGGTAGTTGAAGAGGTCTTCGCCGGCACCCCCAGGAGCCCCTCCTCCTAGCTATCTTTTTTGTAAATCACTTTATTTATTTTTTACAATCAAGCAGTGTATAAATTTTATTTATTAATCAAGCAAACAAACAATTTTTTAAAAAATCAAAGTGCTTAGGACATGAATAGACAAATCTGATGTTTACCAACAAAGTATTTTCCATCCCAAGCCTATAAATTGTTCTGCTAGCTGAGTAACTAATTGGATCAAGCCATAAGGTATACATTTCTCAAAACTAAATTAATAATCCATGGGAAGCAATAACATTACCATTATGCCATTATTTAGGGTCTCTTGCCTAAACCAATGATATAAATTATTATAGAGAAAATCCAGCCAAAGTTAAGCAGTCTCAAATCCCATTGAAATCAATGGGATCAGTTATTAACTTTGGAAAAATCTATTGTATGTTAACTTTCATTTCCAGTAAAACTTGTATAAATAACAGTTGCATCAGAAGCCGCACTTTCAATAATTGACAAGAAGGAACGGTCTTAAGGAATATTCAGCTAAACAGCAACTCAGCTGCTGCCTTTGAATTTGCAGGATTGAAATTGTACATACATACAGTATATAATGTAAATTTAGTTTACATTAGTAAACATATAGTTTACATTAGTAAACATATCTTATAAGAGTTAAAAATGCATACAGCAAATCATTAAAAAGTCTTTTGAAAATCTTATGTTGGATGAATGAATTATGTAAATAATTTAAAGTAGATCCAATAGAACTACATTTTTGGCAAAATGAATACAGTATCTACTCACATCTTTTCCCCACATTGAGATAAGGTTTCCTGTGGAAGTTATCCCAGTGGTACAATCCCTGATTCCTAAATTCCAATTCTAGAAAAAGTCTTTCTTAAAAAAATATTGAAATCAGGAAACCAGGTCAACCATTTCATTTCGGTCACTTGATATTCTAGCCTTAATCCTAAAGTCATTAATAAGCCTTCAATAAGCTCTGGAGCCAAATGAGGATTCCCAGGTAAGATCCTCCCTCTATTGTGTGGGCAGGTAATCCCTCCCCTACCTGGCCTGATCTCCTTGGCAACGCTTCCCCCAGGTGGGATTGGACAACTGACTGGGGTAGGTGGAGACCTCCAGGTATCCCACCTGAGAGAAGGCAAAACCAAGCCTATGCTGATGGAGCCGCTCCAGATCCAGGGGCTGTGCGCGTCCACGCAAAGGTCGCCCCCCCATTTTATGCGGGGGAGTGGTCATTCTAGAAAAAGTCTTTGTTAAAAAAATATTGAAATCAGGAAACCAGGTCAACCATTTCATTTCAGTCACATGATATTCTAGCCTCCTTCCTAAAGTCATTAATAAGCCTTCATACATTTGAGCCTAATTAAAATTACATATTGTTATTAAGTACATATCATCTCCATGGTGAAAAGAGAAAGGACTGTAATAAGGTTCAAAAGTCTAGCTATCTGAAGAATACCAAGTTTAACCTCTGATCTGTAGGTGTCTTATTGCCTCCACACCTCTGACAGGCTAATGCACTATCAACTAGCTTGCAGTAAAACATGATGTGTATATTAGAATTTGTGTGAAGCAGCATGAAACTGTCATGTTCAGTTTTCTCTCTGCTTCAGATTAAACACTTAAGTGCTTTTATCTCCGCAGTTCACAACAAGACATGATGCGCAGTGCAGCTAAAGGGAAAACAAGATGTGTTCTCTGCTCATTAGCAGAAAAACAAATTTATACATTTCAAATTGAAGGGGAGGGGATATTATATTGCAACAGCCGAGCATAAAACTTGACTTTTCTCAAGAGGTTGACTGTTTGGTGCCAGCTTATTCTCAGACACATCAGCTGCATTTTAATATAACTTGTACCTATTTCAGTGAAGCCACTCTGCAGTTCTGTCATCCGAACCAAATGATGTACACTGTACCAATTAGAAAACTCGAGTTATGTTTGTTCATGTATATTTATCAGTTCATGACTCCCAACACTAAGTCATGACTCATAGGAGGAAAACAGCCCTCAGGGTACACCTGCATGAGAAAATGTTACAGTATATGTACTAATTTGGAAGTATGAGAAGTCATCACCTTGTGAAGCAAGAATCAAGAAGGTACTGCTTGCTCCCAGTAGGTGGGTTCTTAATAGAGTTGACTTGAGTCAAACTGCTTGGGAAATTTTCATGTGGGAAAACTGTGCAGTCCATACATTTTGCTCCATACAGATACACCTGAGACCAATGAGATAGCTGACCCTCAGGGTGCTGTGTATGTTAACGTTCCAGGAATACGAGTAAAAGCATGCACATAATTGCATAAAAGAGCCTTAGGTGGGCATAGCTGGGTTTGAATTAATTTGGAAGCAAGTGTGGATAAAATTCTTCAAGCGCATATAGCCTCAAGCTCGTAGGCAGTTATGTGCCTTGTTAACTTTATCTGGCATCAGTGAGAGTCTGGGAATCTGAAGCTCAGGCAATGCCTAAGAAAGTATGAGGCACATTTTGCAAATGTTGCCTGTCTGCACTAATAACCACATTCATTTATTGATATGGAAAGGTGGTTTTAAAAATACAGTATTATTTTCCCCTCCTCCTCTCAATTTAAACATATTTTTCCAAATACCTGTGAGATTATATCTAGCACTATATAGTTCCCCCGTAGGGTCCTCAGCTTGAAAAAAATATATACACATTTGTAAGCTAGCCAGAGGCACTTATACGTAACCCTCCGTAATGAGGTTACGTGTGGGTGGTTGAAGTATAAGTATCATAGGGATTGGGCCTGCGGCTGTATGTCTGACTGCTGAATTAAGTAAATTACTGCTGGTGGTGCAAACAGTGAATAGCTTTCCTTTTCAGAGTCACTAATTTAATATTCTCATCACCCTCTAAAGTGATTTATTAACTATAAAGCTATAATCTGCATACTCTTTAAAGCACATCCATATGCTTGCTTATAAGCAGCGCTGTCAGTATGTGGAAGAGAGGATAATGTTTCATTAAAACCTCAAATCCGACCACACTTAACCGAGACCTTCTTCCCCTTTTTCTCCTCCAACCTCTATCAACTATGGGCTCATCCACACTCGTGCTTGCCCCGTACCTAGAAAACCTAGAGGTTTTCCATTTGCCACATCACATTCCCTGGCAAAACCCCCTGTTTACCGCTGAATCAGGAAAAACGGTTGACTTCTGTTCCTCTACACCAGAGGTGTATCCTCCAGATGCTGGCATCCTCCAGATGCTTTAGACTGCCACTCTGATCATGCCCAACCAGCATAGCCAATGGTCAAGGATAATGGGTTTTTTAGTCCCAAGCATTTGAAGGGCAGTATTTTGGCTGCCCCTGCCCAACATCAACCTCCCTCCTGTTGTGGCCAACTCAGGTTTGTTTTTTGTCTTTTAAGGGACATGGGCTGTGAACATACTAGCTGTCATGCCACTCACCATTTTTATTTCTTCAAAAGCAGCTAGGATTGGAAGAGAACCACACGAGGCTTGTTGCTCCAGAAAGTGCTTACATAATTTATTAGCATACACAAAAAATTCACTTATATTGGATGCCAATAAAGTTTGTAACAAAGGAAGGTGCTTTGAAAATATTGAGAACCAGAAAAACCTATGATCAACAGAAGAAAAGCAAGAGAAGCTTTATTTTGACCTATGCACATCTACTGTATATTTTGGAAAGTTGTTTGTCTGTTTGCTGTGCATTTGGACACCTTTTAAGAAATCACAACCAAATTTGGCATTATGGTTCTTGAGATCAAGGAGCAGGTTTTTGTCTATGTTCAGATTTACTTGGACACCATTTTGAATCAAGACTGAACCTTTCGAAACTGTGGTGATTTAAAACTCTGATTTCAAAACAACATTGATTTTTTGGGTAATTCCCAAGCAATGCTGGCGATGAGGCTGCTGGTAATTTATATAGAACAAATAGCAAACTCAAAGAGTCCCTTCTTCAGTTGTTGGCAGTTTAAGTGGACAAAAGTAAAGACTATTCTTCATGTCTCTAAACTAAGGTCTCTGTGTAAACTACCAACAGTTGAAGAGAAATGTGAAGACCCTGGCATATTTGTTATAAACACCCTGTGTTAATTAGTTTGTTTTTTAAGTATCATTATCTGCTTTGCCCACCCAGAGATCAAGGAGGTCACTTTAATTGACTCGCTTCTTATGTTAACTACAGGCCTGAGCTAGCAAAGCATTCAGCATTCCAGAAACACGGGCTAATTCTCAAGTGCATTGCAACTTCTGCAAGTGTTTGTCACTGTGTAGACTAAACGGTGTCAATTTATGTTCAATATGCACAGACACAAGATGTGAGGCAGTGGAGAATCTGGCATGAGGAATTAAATAATCTCAAGTCTTGACACTAGGCTTTCAAAGGGTGCAAATAATTTGTGGTTGATGAGCTCTAGTATTTCAAACATCAGACCTTTTAAAATAAGATCTTAAGAGGGATCTTGAATAGCCAAGAAGGGAGGAAATGTAGCATTTTACTTTTACTACAAAATATATTAAGACTGAGTGAGAACATGTGACCGTATATATACTGTTGGACTCCAAACTTCCATCAACTCTAGCCAGTATAGCCAATGGTAAAGGGTATGGGAATTGCAGTCCAGAAAATCATCAGGAAGGCCACAGTTTTCTATTTCTGTATTAATCCATCTGAAGCAGGCACATACCCAATATAATTAAGATTTTTGTAGGTCACCAATCACTTCCAATATCTGTTCCCTATCTGACAATATCCTTTGAGCTACAGTGCTTCAGAATCAGGTTTTTATCTGTTTACACATCTCCAAGCTATTTCCTTTATACAATAGCTCTTAAGTTTTGGTGTTTCTTTGTTAATACTTTATTATTGGATAGGGAGAGATGATCTCTCCTCCCCCCCCCCCCCCGGTTTCCAGAATTAATAAGAACAACAAGAAGCAAATATTCACAGCTCTTCATGCTTTTTAACAACTCTAACGGGAGAGTTCACATTTCTTCAGGTGATGGTATGAATTATTCAAGACATTGACATAAAAAGGTGATACTGATTTGTGATAGGTATGTAAGCTATAGTTTAAGTCTGCATCTACATTTTTATTGTTATCCTTGGTGCATCTTACTAATGTTTCTTTTTGAAAGAAAGAATACTTAGGGTTTCATTTCAGTATTCCTTAACAGGGATAAAGTGCTACGGGTTGTTCCTGAGAATGAGAAAGCAGCAAAGACACTGAAGATCCTTTCTCAACAACTTGAGGTGAGTTTGGGGGCCTAGGATTGCTGTGGACTGAGGGACAGAATGAGCAGAGTGTTTCATCAGAGGTTTTTAAATATGTTCTGAAGGATCATTGACACACATATCTCTGTCTCAATCTCTGTCTATCTATCTATCATCTATCTATTCATTCCAGCTTGTGGTCTGAAGGCTCTTGTGGCCACCAAGTTGCTGAAGCTAAGTCCTTCTGGGTCTGTTAAGAGCTTAGATGGCAGCTACAGGCTTTCTGGGAGCCATATGCACATTACACTGCATTCAAAGAGGCAGTATATAAATGTAAGAACATGAATGAATGCTTAGGGAGGCTAGAAGAACTGAAGGGTGGTAGTGGTTGTTGTTGTTGTGGAGAAATGGAGAAAAACATGAGACAGATGGGCTGACAAAGAAAGTGAGGGTGAGACCAGAACAAAGCAATCCTGCGAACCCTTCCCACTTTTGTCTCTGGCCCCACCTACTGCCACTAACTGATTATCCCCAAAGGAAACTGCTTTGAGGTTGTTGTTTTTACAATCAAGTGGTATATAAATTATAAATAAATACAGGACTGCAGCTTGATTGATAGGAATCCATAGCATAAGAAGGTACTTCATACAAGATCAGACTATTCGTCCATTTAGCTCAGAACTGTGGCAGGAACTTCCAAATTGCTTGCCTGGTTGTTTTAAATGAAGATACCAGGGATGGATTCTGGAACCACCTGTTTGCAGAACATGCACTGTATGGCTAAGCGGTGGTCCTTCCCCACAGAGTTTGTTCTGTGCTTAGTTACAAGCCATTTGCAAAAGACAGGGCGAGAGGCGTCATGAAAACATTTTTCTATACCATATGAACCCTGTCTGATTCCCATACTTTGACACCGTTTATATAGTTCTGTATTAAGCATGCCTCTAATATTATTGTAATCCTTTTTAAGCAACAAACATTTTTACTTTTATGAGCAGTAGCTGTGTACAGTCATGAACAATTTCCTCCAAAGCACCTTTGCAATGCTTTTCTAGCAGAACATCACTTATAATTAGGAGACTATTGTCTCCATGTGTGTAACTTAGGGAAAAATAGAGTCTTATCAGCACAGCAAGAAATAAAGAACAAAAGTAAGAGATGATGATCAATTGTTATCATATGAGGAATTCTTGAGTATCTGTATTCTTAAATCTTTTCTGTATTTTTAAATACAGGCATGCCTGATACGAGATAGAAAATGATAGATAGATAGATGATAGATAGATAGATAGATAGATAGATAGATAGATAGATAGATGATAGATAGATAGCCAGCCTTCAGGCATGACCTCCTCAATAGGGATATCAAATAGGGTGGCCACTTATACATTGCCAAAATAGAGGAGATGTTTCACCATAAAGAGGAGGAGATAATATACACATACACAATCATCTTACCATCATGGGGAAGACTGTGATCAAGTGACCTGTGTGGTTGCTCAGTTTATGGACCAGGTGCTGACCATTGATGGACAAACCCAAGATCCCTCCTGATCTCCCTTATTATGGCTCTTTATCTTTAAACTAGGACCTGCAAACATTCCAATAGAGAACTACCCCCTGACAGTCCTTCAAACCAAGGATTGTCCTCTTCAAAGTGGGACACATAGCCATGCTATGAACCAGCCAGTTGCTATCTGATAGCGGGCAGGATAACATCGCTTCCACCATTCCCAAACACCATGCAAAACAGCCACATATTTCTGCCTCTACAAATCTATCAGCGCAACAAAGGTTGATAAGCTGAAGAGTGAAAGAGCCAAAGGATAGCAATAACATACAAATTGCTTTAATTTTATGATTACCTTCAAGGTAAACTTGAGACCTTAGAATGCAGACATGTTTTAAGAAGCACATACTGAGTGCTTCTGGCTTATGTTGTAAATCTAAGTCACCTATCACATTACCAACATTCTTCCTTCCTCAAGGGAAAAAGCAAATAAATTTGAAACCAGTGTAATAAAGTGGAGAATCTATCCAAGAAGGAACTTGTTTATACCTAAAGAAATGCAAGCCCACAAAAGGTTTATTCTAATTGGTTCGTTCTCAGTTTACCCTTGGCATTTTTGTGTTTTCCACCAAGTGAACACACTGTACTTAGGCAAATTTGTAAAGCTACTATTCTTTGACAAATTTATGTATTCTGTGCGATGCCTCGTTCAAATCTCTGCAACCATGTTTTCCCCCAGGAGAAAAATGGGGGAGGGGAGTGTGGGGCAATATAAGTTCTCAGCTTCTGTTTACTCATGCTGTGGTTTAGGGACAGGTCAACGATTCAGTTCCCAACATCTAGGACTGGGCCGCCCATGAAGCGGACTGAAGTAGCCACTTTAGGGGCCGGCACCTCCCCATTTTGCCTCAGGTGGCAAAACGGGATGGGCTGCCCCTGCCAACATTTCAAGTCAGGGCTGAGAGAGCCCCCTGTCTAAAACCCTGGAGAGCCATTGTCAGTCAGTGTTGACAATAGTGAGCTACATGGTGTGACTGTGTATAATACACCTTCCTATGTTCCTATCTCCCCACACTTGTTGTAGGAATTCAGCCTCACCACATGGTGGCTATTGCAAATGGAAAATTCTTTCAGCCTGACATAGCTAGTGGTACTAAGGTTTGCCCAGTAAAATCTTGGAAGATTTCCACTGCCATTATTCCATGTGTCTTTTCTCATTGGGCCTCTTATTAAAAACCTACTTGGGGAAGAAGATACTCTAATCTTGCCCCTCAGAGAGATGTTCTTTTCCCTCTCTTATGTTTTCAACTGGTCTTGGGCTGCAATGCCAGGCCACCTTACCTGGAAGTAAGACTCACTGAACTTTGGTTCTGAGCAGTGCACCCTAGGATTGTACAATTAGTTTCATTGTCTGGGTTTCAGACTTTAGGACTTACGCCTTAAATACCCCTTGCTTTAAAACAAACAAACAAACAAACAAACATTTTGCACTATCTTTGCCCAAAGAGCTGTCATCCAGAGCTTTTGCATGACACTTTTCCAAGGGATGTGTTGCTGTAACTCCAAATGCTTTCTAATTATTGACAGATTCCTTTCCTTCGGTTGACCTGTTAGAAGAGTAAACTCTGAAAGCAACATCTACTGGCTACATCATCTGATATAATATTAAGAGACTACGCAGTATTTTGAAGAATTACTGTGTAGGAAATCGGATGCAGAGAATACATTTAATCACTGGTTGAATTATGGTAGCCGTGTGGCAGACGAGAGTACTTGTTTTAGGGTTTTTTTTAAGGTTTTCATTTTCAGACACCAAATCACTAAAGCAGCATGCACATATCCTCTGACATGATTTTTGCAAGGATGTATATCAAACAGTTATAGACTATAAATCTGCTTAAATGTACAGAAAAACACGTGGGCTGAAAATTAAGTTGAAGAAATTGTGCCTTATACACATTACTCATTTCAGCATAGGTTTTTTTTTGGCTATTTCAGGATCAATGTTTAATATTAAATCTGCTTTTCTCAGGCTGTAGTAAGTACCTACACATGAGCATGATCTCTGACATGTTATTAGAGTGCATAAGAAGAAGATGACCTTTTATATATTAAATTCATGGATGTTCTCAATCTAGACTGAATAAATATGAATTACAGGTTGGTTCCTGCACTACAGGTAGACCTGTGGCAGCCTGGCAGCATCTCCTACATCTCAAAGGGTGCAGTTACAGACATACGTGTATCAAGGAACAATTCGCAAATTCTTCTGCCTTACCTACAACAAGCAAACATCCAATATACGTAAGCATGGATTTCAGTTCCTCTAAGGCCACCTGATGCATTCTGCCATGGTTTAGGTCTGTTACATCTATTTTATTTAGAAATATGCTCCATTTAATATTGTGCCTTTTTAATTACAATGGCTGGAGAGTACAACAGACTTCCTACAAAACTGTTATTTGAATGGAAGCATGCAGGAACTCTCTTGGGTAGACAGTTTAATTAAAGAGTCCCCTTTAGAATGAAAACCAGTGTCTCTTCAGTGCTCCCATGCCTGGTTTATTTGTTATATAAATGGTAATTATTGCCACTGGTTCCACAGTCTGCTTAATTTGCACTTGAATGTTAAGTAGAAGTATGCTGAGTAGTTGCAAGCGCACACATGCTTTTAAATTATATGCTAGGGATACACTAGTCAATTTCCTGTCACCAAAAAGGCCCGTGTGGAGCACAGATTCATTATTATTGTTAATTCCTCTGCTTTCAGTAGGAATTGCACTTATCATTCCACATTGTCATGTTTTTAAACTCCCAGCAGCATTTGTCAGAGTTCTGTCCCTCTCAATAGGAGCCGATAATTCTAAGACCAGGATTTGTATGTCAGGAAGATGGAGAAATTAGCTAAATAACCTTTATTCAGGATTTTTATAGTGGAGGTGTATTGGGAGTGTGTATTGAGATGCCATAATGCTGTGGCGTTGTTTTCTTTTTTAAAATGGCAGATTGATTTAACTAGATCATAGTATGTGACACTGTTGACATGTTTCTACTTGAGCCTTGTCTTTGCCATGTTAGGAAAAGACTCTTAATTCTAAAGTTAATGGAAGTAGCACACGCTAATGTAATTGGCGCAAAGTATTCTTAATGGAGACATCGCACAAACTTTGAACTTAGACTCCTGGAAGATATTGCTTGTTCATTTGGTTTTGTGTTGCTATTAGCTTTAACAGATGTTGCTATTACATGTTCCAACTTTTCTGTATGGCTCTGGGGGCTAAAACATATCTTTAAAAAACAACAACACAAGAAGTGAAGCTAGCAAGGTGCTTCTTAGAGTTTCCTTTGAGCTATCAAATATTCAAGGGAGGATGTACGGAATGATTTAGTTAACAAGCTAATTAAATTTCTATCCCACCCATCCTCCGAAAGGGAACCTGGGACAGCAAGATAGCAAACACATAACAAATTTTGTGGGCTTGAATATAAGCATTCTTTATTTATTCACAATACTTCTGTAATGCACCCATGGAGCAAGCAGCTTACAACAGCAGTATAATATCACTATAAAAAAATAAAAAACAAACTGGAGAATAAAGTTGATATACCAAAACAAAACAAAACACAAACCCACCTCTCAGAAACACCAATAAATAAATTAAATAGGCTTTTAAAAATTAAGGGTGGAATTCAGTGTTGTGATACTACAAATGTTCTGTGTGCACAAGCATATCAGAACAATCTTCCCTCTCCTCATACACCTTATGGGAGTTCTCCCGGCCGGTTTGGGGGTGCAGGAGGCCCATGATGAGAGGAGAGGGGGCAAAGCCCTCTTGCACAAGTCCTCGGCCATTGCCCATGGGAAAGCTGACAAGGTTTAGGCAAAGCTGAGTAGAGAAGCTAATGCAACAAATGGCTGAGCCCAGATCCACTTGCATTTTAAGGTTCAAAGATTAACATATTCCAGATTGTAGAAAGAGATTAATCTTCTTTCAGTTTCACAGTAACCCTTCTTTTCTGTCTGAATGTAATCAGGATCTAGCAAAAATGTGGAAGATACTAAGTTTTTCATTTAAACTTCAATACTGGCTAATTAGTTTACATCATGCTCTGTGATTCCCTTAAAAAAAAAACTTCTCGGCTTTTTTCAAAGTACTGTTATATTTCAAAACAACTAGCTTGTTTGACAGCACATTACAGTATACCAGAATTCTATCACAACCAATTTAGGCAGGCTTATGACAGTGACACAAATAGTTCCTCGACGTGTTTCAATCTATGTTACTTCAGCTTACCGTAACAGTGTTATTTTCCTGCGTTTTTCTATGCCCTTTCTTGCTTGGTCTGCATTTATTCATTTTGCTTTCTTTTGACACAGCGTCCTCATATCTGATCTGCAAAAAGCAGTAGAAAGGCATAGTGGTTTGGGGTCATCCAGGAATCGTAGATCATTACCAGGATACAGCTATGAAATATATCATTCACTGGAGGAAGTAGGTAACATTAAAATGGTATCCCATGTATTTGCAAGTGCATGTCCTGGGGGAATTAGCAAACTTGTGTTATTTCTAGAACCTTTTAAATAACCTTTAAAAATATGCAAACTAGGAAACTCTATAATATGCATTGAAAACACTTTAAGGGATTCCTAGCCTTTGCAATATTGTGCTGGTTTTTCATTTTCATATATGATAAGTTTACCAGATAGTTTTTTCATTGAATCCGGGGACACTTTTCAACTTCAATGGATTTTGTATGGGGGCTGATTTGTAAATCCGGGGACTGTTCCTGGGAAATGGGGACGTCAAGTAACTTTAATATATGATAAGGAAAATGATTCAAATTAAAAAGATGCATCTTGTCTCTTTTTATTTTTGCTTTTTCAGATTCAGAGTTGGATGTATCACCTGAACAAAACTCATTCAGATCTTGTCCACATGTTCTGTGTTGGCAAGTCATATGAAGGAAGACCACTTTTTGTGCTAAAGGTAAAATAAAATTGATAAAATGTTTGTGAAGTTATTGGCATATAATGCTGTAGGGACACCCCAATCTTTGAGTGGTGCAAAATTGCAGTGCTTTCATGTGCTAACCCAGAGTTCGGTTTCCTTGGAATGAGTGATGGCGGAGACTGTAGTGTCTTTATGATATATGGTTTATTTGCACATGCATATATACAACCGAAGTACAAAAAGGGTTCCTCCTGAGAGGTTCAGGATTGAAAATGTGCGGGTGTAATTGAGTCCCTGTTGAATCCAGGAACTCAAATACCTATTGAATCAGGCATACAGCCTACCCAACCCACTAAACTCACAACAATAAACATGAATGGCCAAGGAAATTCTACCTAGGAACATAGGAACATCTTTTGAAAGTGTTCAGAAGGAGGGGAAAACATACCATCAAATTTTATTTTGTAAGATAGTAGAGCCAGGAGCCAAAGAATTGTTAAACTATTTCCATGAGTCCAGTAGGAGATTTAAGCTTGTTTCTCCTCTTGCTGCTTCCCCCTGCGCTGCAAAGTTAAGTTCTTTTGGAACTATCAAAAGCAGTTTATGGTGCTCAGCTGTTTAAAGAAAAAGGAAAAAAGGAAACAATTCCACACAAGGGTTTGACACAAGTAGTAGTTTGGACGCTGGCCTGTGTTTTTTGGTTTTGTTTTCTCCTCACTTTTGCACATTTACTATTGCAGCTAGGCAAAAGATCACGCCTTTACAAGAAAGCTGTCTGGATAGACTGTGGAATCCATGCAAGAGAATGGATTGGACCAGCATTTTGCCAGTGGTTTGTGAAAGAAGTAAGGATCAATTCCCCTGTTGTATTTTGGAATTAGGAAATTGTAAGTCCGGCGCATTCAGTTTGCTGCCTTTGTATCTGGAACTTATTTGTAATGGTTAACTAGGGTGAAGGTAGCCGCATCTGTCAGAAGCAAGCTGAGGCTAGGGTGCTCTCAAACCTTAACCTTTGACAATATTGCTAGCACCCATAATGCAGCTTAATCTGCTATCAGCCGTTTCCTGCATAGATAAGGATGAAGCGCCCTGGTACATCCCAGTGAATATTGTGACTGCCATTGTGACTAGCTGATTTCTTGACTTAGGACCTGACTCATTTATGTTCAGAGAATCTGACAAGATCAACACAAGTCAGGAAGAAAATCTGCTGTTTGTCTGAACGGCAGCCTGGACAGTTGTCATGAGCTTTCACCATGCAGCCAACAGCGTGAACTTGTTCTTCCTTAGTCTGTGGATAAGTCTGATTTGGGCACTACATGAAATGTAGAGATTTCAGCAGCATCTGCCACTTTTGTTTGAAGCATATTCTGATTTATTTAAACTTGGTGTCGGGGATAGATGAATGTCTGAGCGGGGACATGAAGTGCAGCATCCAACATGTTTGCTCTTATTTTTCTAATTGTAAATTTAATTTAATTTAAATAATCTCCGTGACCCTACAACAAGAAACATACAACAATACTGCAGGCAAATAATGAGAGGTTGCAGTCTATCAGTAATATATACAAGCACTGATTAAGAATACCAGATGGAGGACTGTTGTATCAGGGCTCTCTGTTATTGTCTTTCTTGTTACCATTAAGTAATGAAATCATACCAGACTGGCATACATTTATTTGATTTGGTTTGACCTTTAGCCTGCTTCAGTTTATAAGGTTTTCCATTGTTTTACCTTGTTTTAGTCTTGTATTATTATATTGTTTCAACCTATTCTGAGACTTTATGGTAAAGGATGGGTAAGAAATCCAATAAATAACTCCCTACACCACCATCAAATGGTTCCCATTCACAGAATGAGAGTTGTGTTCATGGAAGGGGTCCAACCATGAGTGCAATTATTCTGTGAACAGAGGCGCTTTCCAATGACATCACCATATCCAGAAATTTTATTTCTCTAAGCTGCACTAGAAAACCATTCTGCACTGGATCCAGATTTTGCCTTCCATGGACAGAAAGACTCTTTCTGACCACAGAAGGCATTTGATCCAGAAGAGAGATCCCTCCAGCAGAGGTTTGGGGGTGTACAAGTTTTGCAGATTCCCCTGCCAGTGGGGAGTATAAAAATGTACAGTGGTACCTCGGGTTACATACGCTTCAGGTTACAGACTCCGCTAGCCCAAAAATATTACCTCGGGTTAAGAACTTTGCTTCAGGATGAGAACAGAAATTGTGCTCCGGCGGCGCAGCAGCAGCGGGGGAGGCCCATTAGCTAAAGTGGTGCTTCAGGTTAAGAACAGTTTCAGGTTAAGAACGGACCTCCGGAACGAATTAAGTACTTAACCCAAGGTACCACTGTATTTGGGGAATATTTGGTGGGTAGTTTTTGCTCGGTGGTAAATCTAACACAAGGTACTGTTTTAAATGCAGTTTGCCAGTTACCCTTGAAGGGAGTAAAGACATAGCCTAGCTCACTTACTTGGGTCACCTGGAGCTATTTGCTTTCTTGCCATCTTGGTTCAGTGCACTCTTTTTGCTCGTGCTGTGTACTGCACACACAGGGGCGTAGGACGGGGGTGTGGGCCACCCGGGTGTCATCCTTGAGGGGGGTGACAGAATGGCACACAGCGGGGTTTGGCACTTACCGCGGGGCCTGGCTTGCAGTGCGCATGAGCCACGTGTCTCTCCTGGGAGTGAAGTGGTGGCTCGGGGCCCCACGCTGCCCGAAACAGCAGCATGGGGCTTGCTTGCGTCTGCCCGGCGGACTCTGTGGGCAGCTCGCTGCGCCATCCCCTGGGCAGATTGCCGCGGCGCTCCTGTGGGTGGCTAACCCCACCCCTGCCGCTCCTGGTGCCAGAGCAGCTAGCTACACCCCTGCACACAGTGATGTAGCTCTTACATGTTGCTCTCTATGCACTGATATGTGGCGAATTTTCCAGTCCTTTTGAGATGTATGTGATGGTTGGACAGCTGAACTAGGGTTAGGAAGACCATGGTTCAAATTTCTACTCAGCTATAAAGGGAAAGGGACCCCTGACCATTAGGTCCAGTCGTGACCGACTCTGGGGTTGCGACGCTCATCTCGCTTTATTGGCCGAGGAAGCCGGCATACAGCTTCCGGGTCATGTGGCCAGCATGACTAAGCCGCTTCTGGCGAACCAGAGCAGCGCACGGAAACGCCGTTTACCTTCCTGCCGGAGTGGTACCTATTTATCTACTTGCACTTCGACATTTCTAACTGCTAGGTTGGCAGGAGCAGGGACCGAGCAACGGGAGCTCACCCATCGCGGGGATTCGAACTGCCGACCTTCTGATCAGCAAGTCCTAGGCTCTGGTTTAACCCACAGTGCCACCCACATCCCCTCTACTCAGCTATAATGCTCACCAAATGGCCATGGCTCAGTCATTGTCTTGCAGCTTAACCTTATCTCACAGGGTTATTGACAGGATAAAATGGTTTGGGATAGGGAGCCTTGCACACCTTCTCACTTCCTTGAAGAAAGGGAGGAGATAAAACTGTAATAAATATGAAATATGTTCAGCAATGATTAGCTTGCTAAGCATTCATTTAAAAGATAGGGTGCACTACCTGCTGTTGCCACAGTGAGGCATGCCATACATGCTTTTGCAAATAACTATGGCAGTTTCCAAATCTTTGCCATGACATTGTGTGTTCATCTACTTCAAAACAATACAAGGAATACAGGAGGAGAATAAATATAGCATAACTGGAAGGTGTACAGCAAGAGTGGCTAACCTTTGGCCCTCCGGCTGTTATGGGACTACAACTCCCATCACCCATCACATTCTCAGAGTAGTTCAAGTGCCGATCTCTCTTCCCAGGGAGTTCTGGGAACTGTTGTTCTGTGAGGGGAATAGGGGGTCTTCTAACAACTCTCAGCACCCTTAACATACTACAGCTCCCAGAATTCTTGGGGGAAGCCATGACTGCTAAAGTGCTACCATAGAGCTTTATATGTATGGTGGGAATGTGGCCTAAATCTAGGGTCAAATGTTATCTAGCTGCACCACTGTGCTGGAGATGTCATTTGAACGCTGTTTCTGGCAGCTAAAAGCTATATTGCATTTTATAAAAATTGTCCTCCTCGGCATTTCCTTTGGATGAGCCAAGTTGCTGTGTCAGTCTCTCAGAGTGCAATATTCCATAATTTCCAGTACCACAAATATACCAATATCTCTAACCTTGCTGCAGAAAGTACAAACCTAATCAGTTCCCTTATGTAACAAGTGATGCTATGGGCTTTTTACGATTAAAACAGTTTTGTTTTTTTAAATTCAGTTATATATTGTTTTCAGTTTCACATGCAATCATTATGGGACATGGCAACTGAATTTAATTCTGAATGAAAAACATTCATGGACATAAATGAAGTTTTATAAACCTGATTTTGGGGGGTGAGGGGGAGATGGGCTTCACAGTAGAAGCTCCTGCACGAAGGAATTTTCAAACAACCATCACCAGACTGCTGTGAAATTATTAATCAGTGGGGCATAGACATCCCAGAATCCATTAAGTTTTAATGCTCTTCCATGTATTTTACTTGCAAATATGAATTGTTGCGAGGCAAATATACTTCTGTATGCCATAATGAATCAGTTCAGCATCCATGGATCATAGTAGTGCTCAGACCCTGTAGACTGCAGTAGTAGACCTAGTTATCTGCAGATTGTTAGCTGTGCTCTTAAATCTCTATCTACTTACTATTTTATTTGTTGACCTAGGCCTGACTCAGGCTGGAGTGGGAGCTGCTTCCAGGTCATCTGGTTCCATGTTGCCCAATAATATCTGAAGACAGGAACTAGATTAATGGCACTGGAATGGTGGTTTTTTTTACGCCATTCCAGAATAGTGGAACTTTGGCAACAAAGAAGTAGAGTTTCTTTTTAATGGCATTATCCTAGTTTGTGGATGCCTGTCTTAGTAGAACTTTGCTTGAGCACCAAAATCTATCTGAGCTCTAGCATGCCTTATGTTTCTAGTCCTGCTCTGCAGTTCTGATTATTACTTCGTGTGTCCCGTCCCCCCCGAAGCTGATTGATATATATATATATATAGAGATATATATAGATATATATATATATACACACACATATATATATATATGAATGAAGGGTTCAGGATGGTTCCTATGGGTTTTTGATTACAAACATTACTTTGATTATTCTTTTGCCCATTCATAGGCTCTCCAGACCTATCAAAGTGACCCAGCCATGAGAAGAATGTTAAATCAACTGTATTTCTACATCATGCCTATTTTTAATGTGGATGGATACCATTTTAGCTGGACCCAGGTAAGTCATGTTTCCAGCATTAAGGTATTAGTAGAGTTAGAATTCAGTATATATTTTTACTGATATCCTCCTTGTAGAGCAGCAGTAAAACTGCTAGCACATTGTAGGATCTGGAATGGTTTAAAATTGAATGGGGGACTGCATGTTGAGATTTCTGCATCGCAGGGGGTTGTACTAGATGACCCCTAGGGATCCCTTCCAACTCTACAATTCTGTGATTCTACGAATGCAGTCAAGGACAGGTAATTTGCAACATGCTTGCATTTAACTCGTGCACATTCAGCTTTATGTACTTGGCCAAAGTAAAAAATAAGGAAGATAGCGGACATCCAGGAACAAGGACTTTGGCAATCCCACCCACCATTGAACCTAATGTGTTTTGACTATACACAGTTCTGGCTTTACGGACTATCCCTGGAACTTAACCCCAGCATAAGTTAAGAGCCGCCTGTGTTTCAAAATATGTGTTTGGGGAGGGAGTTCATGAAGTATCTTTACAAGAATTTGTTAATATGCACATGATGCTTTTTTTACCAATATATATGTTGTCTTTCCATGTTCTAAACAATTATGGATAGGATCGATTTTGGAGAAAAACAAGATCAAAGAATTCAAGATTCCGTTGCCATGGCGTAGATGCCAATCGTAATTGGAAGGTGAAATGGTGTGGTAAGTCTAGAATTAGCCTGTATTTGAATTAGCAAGCTATGGAGCAATTTTATTATCTAGGATATTAAAGTGCACTGCAAATTTTTATTGGATATGGTCCAGGTTGCGAAGCAAATCAAACCATGGTTAACAGTTTCACTATAAACACAGAGATCAATCACACTTCACTCCTCACCTGGTGCAAGCAGAAAGAAAGAAGCAACAATCCCTGGCCTAGAATTATATCCATGCTTAAATGCAAGTCCCACTGGGGCAGCTCAGTCAGCCCCGCTCTTTCCCCCCCGTATTCCATTGGCAGTGTGCGTATATGGCGGGTGTGGGAAGGGGCACTGATGCAGGATAGAATGTCCCTATTTTTATTTGAGGAATGTTGGGGGATATGCCATCGGACTTTGCAGTTTAGCGCTGTAGGCCTCAATATGGGACTAGATGTAGGCATAATAACCCACTAGAGAACTACAAAGTTTTGTGGGTTTCAAATAATTGATGTGACCAGTGCTTTTTTCCCTAAAAAAATGTTTAGGGGTACTCTCATTTTCCTGTTGTCGTGTCCGACTCTTCGTGACCCCATGGACCAGAGCACGCCAGGCACTTCTGTCTTCCACTGCCTCCCACAGTTTAGTCAAACTCATGCTGGTAGCTTCGAGAACACTATCCAACCATCTTGTCCTCTGTCGTCCCCTTCTCCTTGGGCCCTCCATCTTTCCCAACATCAAGGTCTTTTCCAGGGAGTCTTCTCTTCTCATGAGGTGGCCAAAGTATTGGAGTCTCAGCTTCAGGATCTGTCCTTCCAGTGAGCACTCAGGGCTGATTTCCTTAAGAATGGATAGGTTTGATCTTCTTGCAGTCCATGGGACTCTCAAGAGTCTCCTCCAGCACCATAATTCAAAAGCATCAATTCTTCAGCGATCAGCCTTCTTTATGGTCCAGCTCTCACTTCCATACATCACTACTGGGAAAACTCATTTTCCTACTCATATTGAAATACTGCCCCTCAATGAGGCCAAACTTAGATTCACAAAATGTTTAGGGGTATGCATACGCCTGCGTCCCCCCAGAAAAAAAGCATGGTATGTGACTAATCAGCAGCCTGTGTATGCAATTAATAAAAATTTTAATAAAATTTATTACCTTACCATTTGTATAGCGCTTTCAAGTGTTCAAAGTGGTTAACGTTTATTATTTAGCTGTAATACATACAACATCCCTGTAAAGTCAAGTCACTATTGCTATTACCTTCCATATTGCAGATGGGAAGGTTGAAGCCAAGAGCTAGAGTAGATTGCCAATGGCTACCTGCTGTGTTCAAAACGAGAGATGAGATTCAAAGCAGGAACTTCCTGATTCACAGCTTCACATCTTAGGCCCATTCTAATTAATTTATACTTAATTAGTTCATATTATAGCCTAAAGAAGCTGAGAGTCTGCCTCACGGTTGCCTAGTGAATCTATGCCAGTGCCTCTGGTCTCCTTCATTCCTTTAATCCCCTGTTGCACAACAAAACAGAAGAGAATGAAGTGAGTAAATTCTTTAATTCTGAAACTCAGTTGCCTTTTTTTGAAGACATGAAGAACAGATTTGCATCTGGTTGGCTCTCTTATCTATATATTGCTTGTTATTACATCAAATGTGTTCAACCCAGGCGGGAATTCATCCCTCATTTCAGTTAGTTTTTACCTTTCACATCAATATACACGTCCGTGCTTGCTCTGCTCAGATGGCACTCCCATGTGCATCCCCCCCCCAAATGTGCCGTCCTATAGATACCTGATTCTTAGAACAGTCCTTTTTTGATGTCAGTGATTTTTCAGAAGTAAAATGGAGACATAGAACTGCTGCATATTTGCCCAAGGATACAATGCAAGCCAACATCTATGCCAGAATTAGAGCTTGAAAGTCCTTTGCTCCGAATCCCATGAACATTTGTCATCTTACATTGCCTCTCTCAAAGAGACAAAAAAAAAACCTGAACAGGGAAGTCATAGTTTGTATTATCTTGACCTGTTTTTATTCAGAAAAACAACCTTCACTCTGTGTTCTCATGGAGATGTCTTAGTTCCATCTCCAGTTTCCAGGCCTTGAAATTCTTAACAGGTGCCTGAGGGCAGGTAGGTTTTGAGCACGAATCCTGTTTTTGCATTTCTTCTGCACATGTTTGGCATTCAATGAGCGAGACTGTTTCTTTTCCTTTAAGGCAACATTTCTGTGTCAGCTCTGTTTCTCTTCCTTTCTGGCATAAGCACCTTGACACAGCGCTTACCTCTTGTGGCTCACTCCTTACTCTAATGCAAGTAGAAATATCTCCAGATTTGGCTTTGCAGTCTATGGTACACATGGGATGGAGTTATTTGTTTCATTTGTGTCTCTCATTTTACTAATGACATACATATAGGCAACATTATTACACACCCAGACTGTTTATTTTTGAGAAGCTCAGTTGTAGATCATATGGTTGGAAAGCAAAACGTCCCAGGTTTTAAATATACATATTATTATTATTATTTTTATGGAAAACAACATAGAAGCTGGTAAATTCTCCTCTGGCACAAATCCAGATTTGGGGTCCAGGGTTTCTGGTATCTTGAGGCTAGGGGAGCTGGGGTTATAGTTTAGTGGTGGTTCTCTTCCATTGGCACTATTGGGCCCTCAGACTCTGTGTCTGAGTCTCTGGGTTTATGACAGAAGGAGATAATGCTATCTCTCTCAGCCTATGTAGTTGGGACATTACAGGTTATCCACCATTCCATCTCTTTGCATCAATATGAAAGCCACTATCAAGTTTTTCAACCCATACGCTCTGTTTTCGTTCCTTCATCCATCTCAAGAAAGCACAACATATCGAGTTCACTTTAATGATTGTCTCCTGCAGTGGGAGATGAACAATTCAACCATCTTCTGAAACAACCTTGTAGAGCAATTCTGTCATTTCCTGGATTTTTATTGTCTTGTTGTGACAAGTAACTCTGGCATTCAACAGTAGCTGACATTTACTGCATTCCTTTTTATCCTTCCCCACCTAAACTCGAAAACCTTATCTGAATGAAAAACATTAGATAATATAGTAATAATATAAGGAACAGCATAGCAGTGCATGGCAGCTAGCATTTCTCTTTTAATATTTGTGTTCCTCATAATTGTGGGGATGATACAGGAGTAGTACACAGAGATTCTATTGGTTCGATAGGAAATTGGAACAGCTGCTATCAGCTTAGCCTACCAAAGTTAAGTATACAATTTACCTGAGTCAGCTGCAAATCATAGCTAGTAAAAGAAGATTGAGGTTAATCATCCCATATATAAATGCTGTAAAATAATGGTTGAATCCATCTAAAAATAATAATTTATTGCTTTATTTCTGTCTGAAAGAATCCTCTCCTGACTTTGTAACCTTAAGGAAGTAACCATCTGAGGTAGGCCATGCAATAACAGCTGCCAGGTGTTTTTACATGAGTAGAACGTGTGCTTTTATTTAAAACGCATCTCTGGGTTATTTGTGGGGACATAGGAATTGGTTCATTTTCCCCCCAAAAAATATAGTCCAGCCCCACACAAGGTCTGAGGGACAGTGGACTGGCCCCCTCCTGAAAAAGTTTGCTGACCCCTGTTGTAAATTGTAGTTACAAGATCTAATCGAAGACTGGGTCTAATCGAAGACTGGGCAGCTATATTGCATTGTGCCATGTTCTCAGGCAGTAGCAAATTGGTTTTGTGGCCCCATCAGAGAATCCCATCACATATGAGACTTGGAGTCTCTACTGCAACAAAGGAGCCATAAGTCAGCCAGACAATATGCGAATAGCTAGCGAAAGCTAGAAGGTTTGAAAACAACTGAATTATAGCATTTGATAAGAAATTAGGAGGTGATTCTCTTGAGTTAGATTACTTGGTGGCTGTCTGTTTAGCAGAGAGTATACCACATGCCCTCACTACCACATCTGAGATCAGACAAAGATAATATTTGCATTTTTTCACTGATGGCCATGAAGAGGAGTTCTCGTGTCTTAGTTCCTCAGACTATGCAAGTGCTATTTAGCTACTTCTGAGTTATTATGCTAATTATATAGCCTATTATACTTCATATTTTTAAGGATTGTCATGCAATGCTGGTTCTCATCCCCTTACTATTTAAAGTACATTTTATGCAAATGGTATTTATTAAAAGGAGTGTTTAATAAGCCCCTTGCGGCAGCAAAAATGCAGCAGTCAAGGTCTCATTGTTATGCAGAATTCCTGGGAAAAATATATTTTTGTGTGTGAAACCCAAGCCAGTTACACAAAGAGCATAAAGGACATCATGCTAACCATTAACAGATCAGAAACTGGTAAACCTCCCTGTGACTAAGCCATGGTTAGTGTTTTGGGGATGTTGCATCTGCACTCCTGTAGTCGTAACATATATGCTGGTACAAACAAAAACTCCATCCATTTCTGTTCTTTTAATTGGCATGACTATTCTGAAGTATTGAAGCTACTACAAGAAAGGCTTCAGGCACTATCCAGCCTGGTTTAAATAACACCTTCAGTTTAAACAGCTGCAGTGGAAGGGCTTCAAGTTCTGATTTAGGCCAAATCCTTTGTCCAAACAGATAAAAAAAAACCTGTGTGCAACTCAACGTTGGAGGACAGAGCTGCTGTGTCATGCAGCGCGCGCACACACACACACACACACACACACCCATCTAAGTGATCTTGTTGACCTCAGGTGCACTGTCCCTTTGCCAGGGTTGAAAGTGAGATTCAGCAGTCAGCATATATATATATATATTCACCTTTGCCCAGCCCAATATATTTTGCTGCCTGAATGGTACCTCCACCATTCAATGCACAGAAGAAACGCACTAGAATGGCAGTTCCCCAGAAATGGAAACAGGAAGAAATTCCAACGAAAGAAGAATGGCAGACGAAATTAATGGACTATGCAGAATTGGACAAAATGACGGAAGGAAGGATTCGAAACCTGCGGGACCAGAGATTTACAGAAGATTGGAAGAAGTATATGAATTATTTGAAGAGCAACTGTAATCAACAAATTACGCTAGTAGGACTACAAGAAGTTTTGTAAGGAGAAATATACGAAGTGTTACAAAGTAGAAAAAGATAGAGATATTGGTTATGAGTTTGAAATGTAATAGGGAAGATAAGAAATGTATACTGAGAGATCAGATTGAAAATTTTCAGACAGGATTGATGGAAGTCAAAAATTTGAATAAGATGTAAAAGTATGTTTAATTACTGTTGAAAATGATATGTTAAAAAAACTAATAAAAAATTATATATTAAAAAAAAAAAAGAATGGCAGTTCAATCTTACTTTCCACATGGGCAATAGGATAATGTCCTCCAGTGCACCTGAGGACAGTAGGATAGTTATGGGGGTGCAGGACAAGCCATGTGGCTCGCACCACTCTGTCCTCTAGCAGCTCCTTCTGCTGCCCAGCAGCATTTGCTGAAAGATGCTGTTACCTTACTCTCCCTAACATCAGCCCTGCCTTAGCCTCAAGCATCAAAGTGGTTTTGGCCAACTGGTCCTTTCTATTCCTTTTTTTTTGTTTGTTTGTTCAAGAGAGTTTATTTTAATAAAAATAGAGCCCCATCAGCACCAGCACAATGTCTGTGGGTGTTTTCCTGGCTTGCGTCCAATTTAAATGTTGTGGGTTTAATTTGGTCTTCTTTTTCTTTTCAACACGCAGAGGAAGGGGCTTCCACCCACCCCTGCGACGACACATACTGTGGTCCTTTCCCTGAATCTGAGCCAGAAGTGATGGCTGTAGCTCACTTTCTTCGCAAACACCGGAAACAAATAAAAGCTTACCTGTCCTTTCATGCGTATGCCCAGATGTTGCTGTATCCCTACTCTTACAAGTATGCGACTATTCCAAATTTCAGCTGTGTGGTAAGTATGGGATTTGAAGAATTTTGAATCCTTGCAGATCACTTTGAATTTGAAGAAATTACTGTACTTTTCCATGTATAAGACAATGTTTTTCTATTTAAAAGTTATGTAAAAAAATGGGGGTCATCTTATACATGGATAGTCTATAGCATTGTTTCCCAACCTTGGGTCTCCAGCTCTTTTTGGACTACAATTCCCATCATCCCTGACCACTGGTCTTGCTAGCTAGGGATGATGGGAGTTGTAGTCCAAAAGGAGCTGAAGACCCAAAGTTGGGAAACAGTGGTCTATAGGGGGGACGTGAGATTGGTTGCTGCCGCGAGCCAGAGATTGTCTGCAGCTATTGGGCGGGTTATTGGTGGCTGCGGCAAGGAGTGGTGTTGACTAGCTGTCGCTGCGGGCGATTGGAGGGGACAGATGATGGGTGACTTGCAATGTGTGCGAGTGGCAGCATATGTCAGGCAGGTGAGCGATTTTCCGGATTCCCCCCTAAAAAAAGTTCAGCAACTCTGGGCAATCTCCCCTCATTTTCTTAATTTGGATTCCCCAAAAATAGGGGGCGTCTTATGCTCACCTCACAGAGTGTTTGTTGTGGGGGAGGAAGGGAAAGGAGATTGTTAGCCGCCTTGAGACTCCTTAGGGTAGTGATAAAGCGGGATAACAAATCCAAACTCTTCTGCTGCTGCTGCTTGGTGTGTGGCTATCAGTTCAAAGTACATATACTTCATATTTATGCATGGGCATATCATCCAATGTAATTGTTATATGATCAGTAATGAATACAATAAGCAATAATGCTTCATTTGAGGCTCCAAGAGAGATAGTGCAAAACATTAGGAATCTTGTAGATTTTGTGGCGCCGGGTCTGACAGGAGTTAGATGAGTGCCCAAAATACTGTGACAAAGGCAGACAGGGATTTAAAAAGCCAATCAAAAATGCCCATGTGTACTTAACTTGAGGTTAGACTCTGTTTCCTTGCCTCCTTAAACTTCAGTCAGTGCTTTCACTATCCATATAGCTATGCTAACATCTGTTCTATGGGAAGAGAATGTATTATGGGAATTGCTAGGCAACAGATTACGTGCTCTCAGTCAGTGCTACTTGCAGTTGAGAAGGGAACCTCTGAAGCAATGCAACTGATTGCTTGGTCTAAGAATATTTTGAAGGATACCAAAAACATGTGAGCCAAAGAGGTGCATCAGAGATCATTTGCAATATCACAGAGGTGGCCAGAGCATCATTCTTGGACCAAAGTCAGGGCTTGGTGCAAGATATGCCCTGCTCTTCTCCACACTTGGCAGAAAGGTGGAGACTGTTTGGTCTCCAGTGGATCCCCTGTATTATATGCACATTCTCTGTCCAGTAGCAAATTGCAGCACAGCACGAGGCACAGCAGGAGAACAACACCCTCATGTCAAGAGATATGTCAAAAGGCCATGTCACTCTGTTTTCACATTGGTGGTGAGGAATAAGGAAACATGATGGAGAACTGCAATAAAAGGTCGCAAGCCATCAAGCGCACTTGCACAAATATCAAATAACCAATGCAGTTGCACAGAAAACAAAAGAAAGGCACATTTACCCATGCCGTCAACAACCATGTAAGATGTGATCTCAGTTTATTGTGAACGGCGCTGAGCTGCAAAGGAGAATCACAAAGGATTTCCTTTCCATTTCCATCCCCTGAGGCAAACTTCACAAGCACCAGATCCTCAGATTTATTTTGCATGTTGAGATTGGCCAACAGATGAAAGCTTTACCATGGGCTTCAGTATTCAGAAATGAGGGGACTCTTTAATAATTCCTGAGCTGAAGGCAAACAGGCTTCTGTCCAGCATACTAGACGGAACTGTGCAGCCAGCCACTCTTTGAATTAGTGCACTAAATTATTTAGGGCTTTGAAACTGGAGAAAAGGATACACAACTCCCCACATTTAAGTCTTGTCTTTGACTGCGTTTTACAGCGCAGACATGTGCATGTGTAGTCTATTTCAGTCTTTTGGGGAGATGGTTATTTAATTTATAAAACTATTTGTTTCAGTAACCATGGTCAGGGGATCTGAAGTGAAGTTGTATGACCGTGGGATTGGGGGTGGGACTGGAGCTTAAACCAACCCTTAGTCTACTACTGAAAGGGTCATCAGTATCTTGGGATAGGGTTTGTTGAGGATTCACAGCAACGATGCTCTCGGGAACAAACTTGCAATAAAAAGTCATTTTATTTTGTTTAAATATAGAATTAAAAGGTATTCACACAGAGTGGTGCATGCTCTAGTTATCTCTCACTTGGACTACTGCAATCCGCTCTGCGGGGATACTTTTGAAGGTGACCTGGAAACTACAACTAATCCAGAATGCGGCAGCTAGACTGGTGATTGGTAGCGGCCGCCGAGACCACATAACACCGGTCTTGAAAGACCTACATTAGCTCCCAGTACGTTTCTGCGCACAATTCAAAGTGTTGGTGCTGACCTTTAAAGTCCTAAATGGCCTCAGTCCCATATACCTGAAGGAGCATATCAATCCCCATCGTTCTGCCCGAACACTGAGGTCCAGTGCCGAGGGCCTTCTGGCGGTTCCCTCGCTGCAAGAAGCCAAGTTACAGGGAACCAGGCAGAGGGCCTTCTCGGTAGTGGCACCCGCCCTGTGGAACGCCCTCCCACCAGATGTCAAAGAGAAAAACAACTACCAGACTTTTAGAAGACATCTGAAGGCAGCCCTGTTTAGGGAAGCTTTTAATGTTTAATATACTATTGTATTTTAATATTTTGTTGGAAGCCGCCCAGAGTGGCTGGGGAAACCCAGCCAGATGGGCGGGGTATAAATGAATTATTATTATTATTATTATTATTATTAAGAAGTCCTACTCACAGCAGGCCTATTGAAGTTAATGGACATGGCTAACTTAGGTTCATTGATTTCAATGGGTTTCCTGTGAGTAGGACTTAGTTGAACACAGCCCTTTATTTTTATTTATTATATTAATATCCCACCATGGAACTTGGGGCAGCATCACTCCCAGGCAGTCATTCATCCAGACACTGTCTCAACAGAGACCTGAGCTGAAGCACAAAGTACTTGCATTTGGACAGTCACTACATACACACACACACACACACACACACACATCCTCATCCACAAAACACATCCAAAGGAGAAACCAGGGGTGCTTGAGGAATTTGATTTCTATAGATTCTGATGCAAATTGACACCTTCTGGATGAATGTGTGAATTGGTATGGTATCTTTCTGATTTTGCTCTTCTCCAAATTTGCAAAAGCAAATAATAATCAAATTGAGATAAATATGTATGTCAATACATATTTTGAGATAGAACAGGTTACTTCAATACATGTTTAAATATAAATGTTCATGCATTTTTGTGTGTATATATATATATATATATATATATGAGATTAATGTGGAAACAGGACAAAATGAACCTTATGAATGAACATCTGCAGTACCGACATGGATCAGAAACAGACCGTTCTGTCCATCCCTGGTTTCCATATATGGATCAGCAATGCATAAAATTAGTGACCTCTCATATGGCAACCTAGTTAACAGATGTGGAACTGCAGGCGCATCCCTATTTAGAAGCCTAGAATCTGTCTTCCCATGATAGCACAACAGGGCTCACTCAGCCTCCTGCTTCTTCTTCTGTGGTTCCCTGTATGAGAATAGCACTTAGACGAGAGAATAAAACTTGAGGGGAGAAGAAAGAATGGGAATGCAGCTATTTCTGTCTCCACAGTCCATATTCTTCCACTACCATCAGTCCTGTCGCCATTTATAATATTTATAAATCAATAACTGTAATGAGCTTTACAGAATACAAGGGGACTGATCCCCACCTTGAGGAAACAACCCAGGAAAGATGCAGAGTTCACAGGGAAAGAACATCCAGTTCTTTCAGCTGCACATGATTAGGCTGCAAGCTTGAATTCAGTGGGGCTTCCTCTATGTAAGCAGGGTTAGGATTACTTATTACAGGGTAAGTTGTGGGAACTGTGATAAATTATGGGTTGAGCTAAAGCCTTTGAATGAAGATGGTGGTGGTATCGGACAGGTGTTTTGGGAGGCAATTCTAAGCCTCCAGGGCAGCATGGGAGAAAGGGTGGAGTCTTTTGAGGGAGGAGAAGAACTACCGGTAGTTCAGACACCGAAGCTGGAGAAGCAAAGATCATGGGCAGGATGTATTGAAGGCCATGGAGGACTTTGAAAGCACAGTCAATAAGCTTGTGCTGGATCTGGGAGTGGACAGGAAGCCAGTGTAAGGTTCTCAATGAGTGGCGTCTCACGACCAGAGTGACAAATGAGGTGAATGGTTTTGGGAGCCAAACCCTGCTTGGGTGTGAGGGAACCATGGTAAGGCAGCAGAAGACCAGAATGGAAATCATACTGCATAGAAAAATGTATTAGAACCATTTAGTAATAGATGTGTGACAGAATGGTTGTTATCCTTGTGGGCAAGTAGCTACACATTTCTTCAACTATTTTACCTAGTACTGAATGCTCTGATGGTGTTTCCTGCTTGGCAGGGGGTTGGACTCGATGGCCCTTGTGGTCTCTTCCAACTCTATGATTCTATGATTCTATGAATAAATTCCACCTATTTCTTCGTGCCATGGCGGACATCTGCTGTGACTCTTCATAACTGTTACCGCCAGCTCTCTAGAGGTATCCAAAAATGTCAGCACGTCTGGGCACTCTGTATATACTCTCTCATTTGATTCTTAAATGTAAAATATATAGCAGTACAGAAGCAGAGTTTCAGCAGTTCCCTTATCTGTAACATCATAATTAAGTTTTTTGAAAGTTGGTTCCCGTCACAGACTGGCTGTTGCAACTGCAAAATATAATTCAGGGATATTTCTGCATAGTGAATGGTTCTTGTCAAGATAAATCCCTTTCTTTTTCATATCCTGGACAGAAACAACTCTGCTACTGAAATCACTTAAATATAATGATATTCTGAGTGTTTCCACGAGCCCAGCCTTGTCACTCTGGAACTGCATCTTGTTGAGTGTGAACTGGATGAAGATTCTCAGTAGACATCTGAAAAGTAGCCTTAATGGCATGAAGATCCTGGGAATCTGGGGCAGGTACCAGTGTACCACCCACCTGTCAAAGTTAACCTGCAGGCATGGGAGAAGATAAAGATCTGGCATGCTGGACCAAAAGATTCCCCCCTCTTGCACAAAATTAACTATTCTCATAAGGTGAATTGGAGACCCGTTGGAAGCAGAGCATGAAGTTCCAGGGAGGGGTAGGATCTTACTTTTTCTGCAGCCAACCCATGCATAGATTGTAAGCAACCAGGCAGAGGATCCTTGCTGATTTCTTTAATTGCCCAGTCATTCCAGGGACACACGCTGTGGTCTAAACCAGTGAGCCTCTTGGGCTTGCTGATCAGAAGGTTGGTGGTTCGAATTCCCACAATGGGGTGAGCTCCCGCCGCTCTGTCTCAGCTCCTGCCAACCTAGCAGTTTGAAAGCACACCAGTGCAAGTAGATAAAAAGTTACCACTGCGGCAGGAAGGTAAACTGCATTTCCGTGTGCTCTGCTTTCCATCACGGTGTTCCGTTGAGCCAGAAGCAATTTAGTCATGCTAGCCACATGACCCGGAAAACTGTCTGTGGACAAATGCCAGCTCCCTTGGCCTGAAAGCGAGATGAGCGCCCCAACCCCATTGTCGCCTTTGACTGAGCTTAACCATCCAGGGGTCCTTTACCTTTTACCTTACCATTCCAATATGATCTAAGAAGAAAGGGGAAGATAGAAAACAAACCTTTTCTTCTTTGTTCATCCTTGTTCACTGCTTTAAGGGTGGGGTCACAGGCATCCTTTCTTATGCCTACTTTAATGCCATTGTTCAAATTAGTATCTAAGTCCACAAATCCTTACATGCAGTGACAGGCAACAGGCATATGGCAGCATACAAAGACCTCAGCCTGCTAAAATATGAACCAGATTATTTATGCTGGGTTTTGGAAGCTTTGAAATGGGAATGAAGTAAAAACAAGTTTGAGGAACGTTGTCCTAAATTGTTGGATGTTACTTGAAATTCTGAGATAACTACAATTGTTTCTCTCATTCTCTGTTTGTTTGTTTGTTTTGTTTTGTTTTGTTTTGTTTTGTTTTGTTTTGTTTTGTTTTGTTCCCTTCCCAGGAATCTGCTGCTTTTAACGCTGTAAATGCCTTGCAGTCAGTTTATGGGATAAGATACCGATATGGCCCTGCCTCCAGCACTTTGTGTAAGTTTCTCCAGTATGCTAGTTCATTAGTTTCCTATTTGTACTGTGTTAGCATTGTAGGCTGTGTTGTAAAGATGCAAGCAAACCATTTCAAAGAGAACTTTGTTCAGTCTGCTATGAGAAGCAAGAGACGGCTGCGTGAAATTTACATTATGTTGTTACGACACCATCCTAATCTTTTTTAGTGGTGCGAGATTTCTGCGGTTCCAGACACTTACCTAGAGTTTCTGTTTCCTTTTGGGCATTGCAGAGACTGTGGTGTCTTTATCATATATGGTTTTATTTACATGCCATGTATATATAGAACCTGCACCTAGATGGAGGGATTGCAGGACATTCACATCCTATGAGGGTCTGGCTTCCCTCTTAAGGGCAGCTTTGGATTCAAAGGACAACAGAATGTCATCCTCTGTGTTTCTTGGTCCCAACCTGTCACCTCCAACTCACATGGAGTTCTGCCCCTCCTTCCCCTTCTTGCTGCCAACTGGCTTCAAGGACCTCCCCCCAACCTAAGTCATTCAAAGCTGAAACTTGGACATTGTCTGCTACCATTGGCCTTTGCCTCTGCTACTCACTCAGAGCTGGAGGGGGCACCTCTCTGCTGTCTGGCAGTATTTACATTGCCAATCATTCTTAATGGCCCAGTACAGTGGTACCTCGGGTTACATATGCTTCAGGTTACATATGCTTCAGGTTACAGACTCCGCTAACCCAGAAATGGTACCTCGGGTTAAGAACTTTGCTTCAGGATGAGAACAGAAATCGTGCTCCAGCGGCGTGGCAGCAGCAGAAGGCCCCATTAGCTAAAGTGGTGCTTCAGGTTAAGAACAGTTTCAGGTTAAGAACGGACCTCTGGAACGAGTTAAGTACTTAACTCGAGGTACCACTGTATTTTGCTCTCTTTGTTTCTTGCTAATGACCCGTCTTCTCCCAAGGACTTCCTGAGGATGGAAAAGTGGTTTGAACTGTCTTTCTGACACTACGGGATTCAGCAGTCTGGCAGCTTCCCTTAATACCCCAAGCATCAACTTATTCCTAACATTTACTAAATCTAAGAATTTAGGGAGATCTTGCCCTCACAAACTCATAACAATATTTACATGCCAGCCTGACACATGCCTTGTGCACAAGCAAAAACTCTTCCATGCATGTCCAGTGGAGGGAGCAATGTGCCCTTTATGTGCCAAACTCTTGTACCCCATGGGATGCCCACAGGACCTTGGATGGACTTTTCAGTAAGAATGGAGATTGTCCCTGGAAAGGAAAGCTGAAAAGCTCTCATGGGTGAGCAGAGCTCTGCATGCAATGCTTTGGGTCCCATCCAATGACTGAAGTGGGATTTAAGAAGCCTAACTGTGTAGCCCAGATGTTCTTGATGTACTAATAATTGTAGCAATGGAGTCTAAGGCTGGCAAAAAAAAACCAACCACCACCACTCTGCCTCTAGGAGACAATATAGGAGGATCTTTAGAGGGCGCTGAGAAACAACCGACATAATAAATGATGTTTGTGATTATTCAAATGCAGCTTTCAGTCCAGCTCACGGTATGGGCAACTAGTCAGAAGTTAACAGCTGATGGTGCAAGTTGAATTCCCATTCATCAGAAGGGACATTCAGCCCATTCAGTGGTGTCTGAATGAGGACCACAGTGTGGATGAGCATCCAGACACGTATCTGAATGTGGGTCGGTTACAGGAACAAAATGCTTCCTTGCACAGATCTCTTTTGCTGATCAGGGCATATGTATTTTGAGCTTACAAGGATGTCTGGGTTGTCTCTTATCACATATTTGTAGAGAATATTGATGTACTGAGAATTCACTCAGTCTCTGGGTTATGTTCTTTTTGAATTCTGGGTTTAGATCACAATCATTTTGAAGACAATAAAAAACCAAAGTAAAATATCTTCAACAGGGAAATATTTTACAGAATATTAAAAATTCATCTTCTTCCCAGCGGAGTTTGGGATGTTTAAAGTCTGAATTTTCAATAACTGTCAGAGCCTGAATGCAAGTCTCCAGACAACTATGATAGACAAAAGAAATCCAGCAGCTTTATATAGCAAAGGAATATATGCTTCACTTGTTTAGTTTGTTCTGATCTAAAACTTTGGAAGAACGAATGCAGAGAGAACTAAATGCTTTTCTTCAATCTACTGAAAATTTAGTGGTATAAAATGAAAAGTGGTATGAACATAGCCCAAGGACTAGGGCACCTGTGGCCCTTCAGATGCCACTGGGCTACAATTCCCTGACTGTTGGCTTTGAGTTGATGAGAATTAAAAGTGTAACAATATCCATAAGGCCACAGGTTGCCACCGGTTTCCTAGACAAAGTATTAACAGGACACTTCATTCCCTAAGGCAACCAACACCACAATCCTATAAACATCTACCCATAAGTAACCCCCACTGAGTTCAGGAGGCTTACTGCCGGGTAAGTGGGTATAGGATTGCAGCCTTTTCTGCTTTTTCATACCACCTGGTTAAGCATCCCCCGCCTTGCCCCAACTTCTAACAACATACTTCCTCATGCTGTTTTCAGCCACACAGCAACTGCCATGTCATGTCAGGTTTTTAAGTTTTAAAAAATAGATTTTTAAAAGATGTTGTTATAGTTAATGAAGACTATAGTGGGAGTGCTCAGCTTGTAGTTAGCCGCAGATTGCGCCATTCAACCCTTGTTTAATTCAGTACTTCAGTGTGGGAAAGCACAACAAATAAGAATTGCACTTCACTCATTCAGCACCAGTGGAAATGTGGGAGGTAGCATGTTCTTTTTTCTTCTAGCCCACAGCAAGCTGAGTGCAGCTCGCGACAGGGATTAATGTTCTTCTTGAGAAATGTTATGATTAAGGCTGGAGTTCTGTACATATTTACCTGGGAGCAGGAAGTGGGGGATTTGATACAGTTGACGCTTAAAGATGATCTTGCCTGATTCACACTTTTCAAAACACTATGCAAACCATATCCATTCTTCACAATTTGCTGTTTTTGTTATAGTTGGTCTAATAATACTTATTTACATCCCTCCTTTTGCTCAAACTGGGACTCAATGTGGAACACAAAAATTAGAACAAATACAGATAAAATACACATTGCTGAAAACATATAAAAGGCTATTGAAATTTGCAGTTATCCAAATTTTCAGTGCAGTTCTCCAGCAAGTAATGTGTACAAAAATGCATATACTAAAGTCTGCATATAAATGTATATATTAGTGAAAATAGCATGCTGGAATGCATATGGGGAAACTGCATTGCAAATATGTGTATAGAGCGCAAAACTGAACATAAAATGTGTATAGTAAGGGAAATTCACAGGAAAAATGCTGATTGATTTCCATGAAATGGAGATGTGGAGAACTGGAGCTAAGGCTGGAAAGATGAGAAAATGAAAGTGACATGTTTATCCTTTCCTAGCTGGCAGTAAGTTTCATCGAACTCAGTAGGATTTAAATCTGACTAGACATGCATAGGATTGCATTGTTAGTAAATTGTAGGGAAGTTCTTCTTCCTAGCCTTTCCTTTCCTTGAGCCTGATCTTAGAAAATAAACTTCCATGTATCGTCTTACGCACAAGGCAAGTTGAAACCTTTGTGAAAGGAGAAAGTAGAGAATGTTATCCATGCTATTTTGTTTTCCATTGTGTAATACGTAGATCTTCTTTAGAGTTAAATTTAATTACTTCAACCCTGGTCCTCTGAGTCATTGCAGCAGTGGAGAAGTGGTCAGGTTGATGCGGTTACTAAGTCTAAAACTTGCCAGTACTGTCAAATGGGCCACTCCAGCATCATGCAGTGCTAAGAAGCAGCATAGAAATGGATGAAGATGGGATTACTGTCTCAGGTCACTGCAAGCTGATAGAACCAGGTCTGCCAGCACAAAATTGCCTTGGTAGTCAGCAGTTTGAACTCAATTACAAACCAGATATAGCGCAGCAAGGTGAAGGACTCCCTCTTGCCCCACCTGCAATATAGGTATTTTCACTGTACTACATACATCTACAGAATCAGGGAAAAGAGAGCTGATGAAACTGTTTTTGGATCAAATTTTAGTCCAACTTGCAAAGCTTCTTTCTCTTTGGCATCTCTGGATTTGAAGACATTTAGCGCCTTTGGAGTTGCTTAGAAAAACAACTTAAAATATAAACTTGTGGAACTAGCATGTCCTTTCATACACATCACTTAAAATTATTATTTTTTCCTTCCTCTTCCTTTTTCCAGATGTGAGTTCTGGCAGTTCTATGGATTGGGCATACAAAAATGGCATCCCATATGCGTTTGCATTTGAGCTGCGTGATACAGGTCATTTTGGATTTCTACTGCCAGAGACCCTAATTAAACCAACGTGCACAGAGACCATGCTGGCTGTTAAAAATATAACCATGCATCTGCTGAAAAAATGTCACTAGGGTTTACAGCAAAGGGCCAAAACCCTATTTCTTTTTAACTGTTATTGAAAATGTTTATTACGGTACTTAGACAATGTCAAGTCAATGGAGCCTAGAATCTGTCCTGCTGGTGGAGATAATCAAGGGGGGAGGGAATGACATTCACACTACATGTAGGTTGAAGAGTGTGATACATATTCAGGGCTATGTGTATAATGGAATCATACCACTCAAGTGTAGACATCGGTTTTGAGCTGGAAAGAATATGGGTTGGCAAGGCTGAAGAAATTCTAAGAGCTGGGGATGAGACTACAGCAGAGACGGGGAACCTGTAGCCTTTAAATGTGGGACTCTAACTCCTGTCAGCCACATGTAGCATGACCAGAGGTCAGGGATGATGGGAGTTGGAGTCCAGTGTGATTTTCTTTGGACAGTGTATGAAAAATAAATGTCAACCCTGTCAAGGAGGTTTCCCAAGTCCTCCCTCCAAGCTACTAATCAATCACATACAGGCACTGAACGGGTTCCAGGTTTTATTGACATCTTCCACCAACTACAGAGCATCAAACAGCAAGTTTTAAAAATGGCATGTGTCCCCCCCAGCAGGTTAACTCAAAGATTTACAGGAGCCAGGGAATGCTGGCAGCCAGCCAGCCCCATCACATGCTCCCACTTTGGGGACTAATTGTTACCACCTGCCTGAGGGGCCCCACCCAGCGGTACTTGCTCACAGGATCACTACTTCATGACAAGCCCTGGCCCTCTGTTATTAGCATAAATAATTGTTGTGGTGCTCACCACAGCAATTAACACATCGTCTCTGAGTTGGCAAGAATGGACTGTACAAGGAGTGTGCAACCTTTGTTTGTCAAAAACTGCATTTCCTCAGTGGTAGTTCATTGGGGGTCATATACCAGAAGTGAAAGCAGAGTAACATGGACGGGACAACTAATTTTGTCTTTCTGCCACACCTTTCCCTCCCAACTACCCACCTTTTTTCTCACCCTCTTTTTTTTCACCCTGTTTCTCTTTCAGTCACCATTCCCACCCCCCGCCCCCAATATTTTTCTGCTTCTTGAAATTTGGCAGAGGGCCACAACTTGCCCACACTTAGCCTGGAGAATAAAATATGTGAGCCTTATTGCTTAGGGGATTGTGGAACAGTGATCCAGTCCAGCTGTAGTCTGGAATTTTTGCTGATGGACATCATTATTGCTGATGGACAACATCCATATTTGGATATGAAGTAAGATGTGCTTTCCAGTCTAGAAAATGATGGAGCTTCCACATGAGAAACTCCTTCATTGGATTGGGGTGAAAATGTGCAACTGTACTGGCCTTTGCTCCCTTGATACTTCTTTTAACATCAGTTGTAAATGGAAATTTTATATATTTTGTTTTGAATAACACCGGAACTTGTTAAATAAAGCACATTTTTAATTAAAATGGCCTGATATTACTGCTGCTGTGATTCTGAAAGAGAAGTGATGGTCACCCATGACGGGCTGTAACATATAATCCCAATTCTTTTGGCTTGCAAAATTAAATTGCGAACTGCAAAAATACATCACTTTCATCCTCATTAATTTAGCTACCATGTAGTCACTGATAGCCTTTTTCTCTGTTAATTTTTATAATCATATTTTAGCCATTCAAGTTGGCAACCATCACTACTTGGACTTAACCCTATTATTTTGCCAAGTGAGGAATCGTGATCAAACAATTGACATGTAATTTTATGTTAAAAGATCCTCTCCAAAGTGCATTCGGAAGAAATAACTTCCTAATAGATTGGTGGTTCTTCATCACTTATCATTTGCAGCAGTTTCCCTAGGAGTGTTCACATACCTTTTAAACAATATACTTAAAAATGAACAGACTTATATGAGCAAACCCTCAAAAAAATTGATAGTTTTCTCTCTCTGATATTGGCTGCCGTTTTTAGCATTTCAATGGGCAGAAGGAAGAAATGTGTACCATGACACCTTTTATTTTTCATCAGTTACTAACCAGCTAAAATGGAAAACTTTGACTCTAATTCATGGAGAGTCGCAGGCTAACCAAACCACTGCGCGTGCACAAAAATGAATTCTGAGTGGAGGCACTGCAACAGCACCTTTTTATTCAAAAGGCAGATGAGTGTTTGGACCAGAAGGCCTTTTCCTCATTCTTCTTGACTGACAGAAATTGAGCAGTCAGGCAGAACCATCCAGCTGTCTTCATGTTGCAGTCCCTTGCAAAGTATCTCCCCTGGGTGAAAAATGCCAGGTCACCTATTGGATGGGTTGCCCCTCCATTAAGACATCAGGGAGTCTACATATGAATAATACATTAAATCAGTAATTGAAAGAATCCCATTGAGGTACATGGAGGGGCCCTTGCACATTAAAAATGCAACATTAACAATGGTGGGGATAGCTCATGTGTGTTGTAAATTAAAAGAATACAGTATTTATTACTGGCCTTATACTACATACTTTGCATTAAGGGAGACAAGGCTTAAACCATTTTATCCCTGTGGTAGACTGCAACACCTCCTTTTTAAACAGTTACATTTCAATATATGTGCATCTTTTGCTAAGTAGGCTGTATGTTGCTTTAAATTATGAATGAATTAGAGCTTATTATGATTCCTAAACTGGAATGCATTTTGTGTTCCAGGCAGGCAGAAGCACCATCAGGTTTAAATGTTAACTACAGATTATTGCGTTTTGAGATGTGAACAAACATGACTGGAGTTAAGTGTGTGAAGGATAAGTACTCCTTTATCCAGCCTGCTGGTATTGCAAAGCTATTGTGTTCTTATGCCAACAAACTGTTGAAGACATGTCACCAAATGTATTGCTTCTAGTGAGGGGGGAATTCATTGTGGGGAGGTACATACATAACATCTATCTATAAACTGGAAGCATAATTTTGAGATTAAAATCAATATACAGTGGAACCTCAGTTTTTGAATGTAATCCGTTCCGGAAGACTGTTCGAAAACCGAGGATGCAAAGTCAATGGGAAAATTTGAAAAACGTGCCTCAGAAGCCATTCGGCTTCTGAAAATCATTTGAAAATGGATGCATTCACTTCCGGGTTGTTGGCGAATTTTTCAGCTTCCAAGGCGTTCGACAACCAAGATTCCACTGTATAATTACAGATTTGGTTATTACTTAATGTGGCACACAATTTCTGAGAATCACCACACCCTGTAAGACTCTTCAATGACATGTTACTGTTTTAGAAAAGGGTGTTCCAGCACAGTTGAAAATGACAGGTCTAGTTTTAAAAACTGAGAAGTGCTTCTCCTTCCTACAGAATATCATCCACTGTAGGAAGTGACCTACAGTTGTTGGGTGGTTATGTGTTTTCCTCTTCTGGACCTTCATATGCAACAGTGTGAAGTTCAGCTGCGCTCCTCCATCCCACTCCAGCAGAACTGTTGTAACACCCATTCAATACACACCTGGACCATGCAAAAGAGAAGCAACCACTAGCACAGCACTGTGAATGACAGCAGCTGTGATGGAGACATTGCAGTGCAAAAGCAAGGGGTACAACTGCTGCCAAGAATTGGGACTTTTGCACCTCATCCTGCACCACTGTCTCGCTATAAAGAATCATAGGGCATGGGGAAGTTTGTAGCCTTGTTCCTTAGAAATATCACTACATGCTGGAGTTGAACCTATCGTCAGAAAGGGTAAAAAAAAATCAAAATCATCACCCATTACTGCATCCCACTTACGTTTCTTTTCACCCCCTCCAAAAAAAATTAGCTAATGAGGAAATCTGAACACTATACTAAATCTTAACCTTTGGTGGAATTAAAATCCTGAACCTGTTTTAAATATGTGAACTTTCTCACATACCTACGCGGGCTCTTTCACTCGGAAACAAGATGTCTTTCTGCACAGTGTGTACTGTATGATGTTTTATGTAATGGTACAAGTGTAGCACTTAATTGGCAAATCATACAGTTGCTAAAAGCAAGCCGACTGCTCCAAGTGTCTGCATTCTATCCTGGAAAAGCACAGATACGTGGCTTGGTTGATGTGATCCCTAATGCTTCTTGATAATGCATGCACACTTTTTTTGAGGTACATGAAAAGCATTCTTTAATCCACTATAATATGCAGCTGTGAGGCTACCCTCAGGAGTAATTTGCCTCCATCATGGCTAGCATGCTGTCTTCACTCTGGGCTCTTCCTTTTCATTGCCAAGTTTAACCCTCAATGTAATCAGCCTCTTTTTCATCCAGGATCTGCAACAAACCCTGTAATTTCGGCACAGGGGGAAGGGTGGGGAGGAAGGGTTGCAGCACAAAATTGTCCACACTGTCGCCATCATTGTGCCCAGCCTGCAACACGTTCCAATGGCCTGAGATGTGGGCAAATGCACAGGTACATTGCAGTACATGAAATACCATGCAAAATGCAGCCAAAGAGTTGGCTATGCTGTGATGAGGCCTTGTTCTTTGCTGGGAAAAGCAAAATGTCACTTTGGGACGTGCGTTATATTTCCAGACATCACAGATGCATTTCTGACGCTGACAGAAACCCTAAAACGGATGACAATATTATGGTGTTACTAGAATGGTTTGTAGTGATTCTGTATGAGAAAACAACTCATAAAACCAGTGGATTGCGCAGTCAGTGAAGCAAGGCAGCATGTGTTTTCAAGAAGGTCACAATCTCTGGAGAATATTCCAATAACACAGGCAGATATCAAACAGTAGACTATGTGTGACTCTGTCTGGAAGGACACATATGAAGAGAAGTATTTTATTTTTTCAGAGAGATTCAGTACTGAAAGGTCCTGCAGCCTGGGATCAGGAGAAGAAAAATGGGTCTCAGTAGCAAGCAAAGTGGACAATTCCTAACTCAAAAATTAGTATCAGTCTCATGATGTTCAGGGTGGGGGGAGGCTACTATCAGGTAAATAGATACAGAGTTGAAACCTTACTCATTAACTCATCAAGACTTTGCTAACTTTTGGTTAAATCTTAATTTATAATCCTTCACTAGATATTTAGCTCTCTGCTTCTATCTAATATTTGGGAGGAAAGAGGTAATCAAGCCTATTGTCCCCCTGTCAGAAGATCAATGCGTGAAGAGGCTTGAGCTGGTTGCTCCAGCTGTGCCATATGGCTCTCAACAGCTACTCTTACCACTTTTGTAAGTTTAACTGCCTGTGCAACTTGTCTGACTGATGTATGGAAAAGCACATGAACCAGACCTTTGAAGACTTTGTAAGTAAACCAATTTTTAACTTCCCAAATGTGAAGTTTTTTCCTATGCTTTAAAAGAGTATTAGGCATATTCATGAAGGCTAAATCTTTCAATGGCTACTAGCCATAATGGCTATGCTCCCTGGTCAAAGGCAGTATGCTCTGAATACCAGTTACTGGAAACTACAGGAGGGGAGTTGCTCTTGCACTTAGGTCCTGCTGGCAGGCCTCCTATGAGCTTTTGACCGGAGGTTATGGGATTTATAGTCTAAGAACATCTGGGGAAGGATGAGTTAATGGTTTTAAAGATTAAAAGCAGTATTGTAAACTGCTCCCAGAAACAATCTAGGAGTTAGTGCAGCTGATAAAGTATTGACATAATATGACATAAATACAGTGGTGCCCTGCAAGACGAATGCCTCGCAAGACGAAAAACTCGCTAGACGAAAGGGTTTTGTGTTTTTTGAGTCGTTCCGCAAGACGAATTTCCCTATGGGCTTGCTTCGCAAGACGAAACGTCTTGCGAGTTCTTGCGAGTTTGTTTCCTTTTCTTAAAGCCGCTAAGCCGTTAATAGCCGCTAAGCCGCTAAGCCGTTAATAGCCGCTAAGCCTCTAATAGCCGTGCTTCGCAAGACGAAAAAACCGCAAGACGAAGAGACTCGCGGAACGGATTAATTTCGTCTTGCGAGGCACCACTGTACCCGGTCACAGTTGATGATCTTGCAGCTCTGTTTCGGCCTACTGTAGTTTTGGGGGCTGTCTTTAAAGGCAGTCTTACATACAACTCATTGCAAAAACACGGGAAGTTCCTTGCCCATAAATAACTGTGATTGAGTTATCCTCATCCAGGTGTGCTTGCAAATCTCTTATGTATTTCTGAAGGACTGCGATGCAACACCAGGCAAAATGTGTGATCATAGTATTTGCATAGCTTTCACACTATTGTCAGGAAAACAAACAGCTCTTCCAAAAATTATTTTTAAATGGTTAGTATTAGATAGATCAGGTGCTTAGATGAGTTATTGCTGTGATCCTGTATTATCTCTTTTTAGACAAGAATTATTGTAGTTTCCATGCAATTTCACCTCCTGTGTTATTCATATTTAAAACATTTCATTCCTTCCATGCAACCTGTTAATAATGGGAAGGTTGAGATACCAGTTATTGCATTTTTTGACAGGAAATAAGTAGCTGGTCTTGCTGGAGGAAAGAATCATGCAGATCCAAATATCCCTTCTTTGCAGTTAAAAGCGGTAATTGCTCCAGTCTCATTGCTTCCCACCTTAATTCACATGACTTTATGACCTCTCCATCTGAGCCTTTCTACCAAGATATTAAAATGCCTTCAGGGATGAACAGCTGAAACCATCCTTGTTATTCATAGTACTATAATCCAAAAAGTAAAAGGATAAAAAATATTTCCTGTGCTAAATTCTCATTCAGCATTTCATAATTCTTTGTACTTTAGTTCATTAAAATAGTGAAATAATTATTAAAATCAAGTTGAAAATACCTCAAAGAAATGCATAGGAGTCTCGCAAACAGAACTTGCGCATAGAAAAATGGGTTGCTAAGCATGAATATGACTTGCGTTTTCCCCTTTCTTTCACCTTCCAATTTTCATCCTAATCAGTTTCCGCTCTACAAGACATCCATATATTTTATCCTGGCAACATCACGTCAGCTTCAGAAATCTTCAGATGTGCTTTGTGCCGGTAAGTAAAAAATCCAGTATTCCCCACTCAATATTCAAAATTATTTTGCAATCTAATAACTGGATCATTAAACTCAACACACACCATTTAAATCTTACTGTGGAGTGTGGGCACAGGCATTTTGAGTTGTATCCAATGTTGTTCCTACTCAGCATAGGCCCATTGAAATTAAAGGAAACAACTAACTTAGGTTCATTAATTTAAATAAGTCTATTCTAGTAAAACTTTGTTGGATACAGTCCTCTGTTTATAAAGAAGTAGGATTTTTAAAGTATGAGGAATAAATGGTGAATTCTATTTAGTGAATCCTATATATCAAGTTTCTCCAACTATGGGTCTTTATATTTTTGTTGGACTACAACTCCCATCATTCTGAGCCAGCATGTTGTTGTTCAACGTCTTTATAAATGACAAAGGAATTGTGGGGATGCTTATCAACTCTGCAGTTTACACCAAACTGGGAGGGGTAGCTAATGCTGCAGAAGATTCAAAATTACCTTAACAGATTGGAGAACAGGGCCCAAACTAACAATGAATTTCAAAAGGGACAAATGTAAACGTCTGCATTTAGGCAGGAAGAACTAGATGCTAATGCTATTTTAGGCGGCATCAACTCAAATATTGTGTCCAGATCAAGTGAAGTAATAGTACCAATCTATTCTGCATTGGTCAAACCACACCTGAATACTGTCCAATTCTCGACACCACACTTTAAGGATATTGACAAGCTGGAATGTGTGCAGAGGAGGGCAACCAAGATAATCAAGCCTTATGAGGAACAATGGAAGGAACTGGGTATGTTTCTCCTGTGGAGGTTGTGGACTCTCCTTCCTTGGAGGTTTTTAAACAGAGGACTGTTGGCCATCTGTCTTGGATGCTTTAGTTAAGATTTCTGCATTGCAGGGGATTGGACTAGATGGCCCTTGGGGTTCCTTCCAACTCTATGATTCTATGATTGTATGAATTCCTCTTGGTGATTCCCCCCCCCCCCATGTTGCCACAACAGTGGTGACAAATTTAATATCCTGGGCCTGCTATGCCATGCATGGATCGGGGCCCTGCAATCCCCTCCCCAATCTATTGCCAATAATTCCTGTTTATGTATGCATATTAACTCAGCCTAGGGCTGTTGCAAATATATTGTAAAGATACATTGTCTCGATATTTTAATGCAAAATCCACACTTTTCTGCTTCCACTGCAGGCTTCCCACAGGGATCTGGTTGGCCACTGTGGTAACAGGATACAGGACTAGATGGTCCAGCAGATGTACCAGAACAAAACAAAAAGCTTGCCAACACTGGATATGCAAAACTGCATACACCACATATAATAGCTCATTGTCAAAACCAGTTGGTAAATGCAGAGTAATTTTTTTAAAAAAACAATAATAGTTTCCTTCCAAATAACCACAGTGACACCTAAACAAGCCCTGCCTAAATTGCTTTAAATGAGAGGGAGAGAGATTGGCTAAATATTAATGTGCCCATTGTTGACACTGCTGCCATTGGAGTCCCCCCACCCCATGAACCAATGTCCTGCCATTAAAGCTGCAGCATTGCTGCTACTTGCCTCCACTATTCACTCACTCCCATACTCCCATTGATGCTAATATGGCTCCTTTAGTAATTGCTGCTGCCCCTGGATAAACATATTGGTGAGGAAGAGTGTGTGAGGTGACTGACTGAAGGCAAAAGTGAGCAGACATACTGCACCCTTCCAAACCATACTGTCAAGCGGGGATTGGTGTCATGTGCTCAGACCATCTTGACGCATGGAGCAACCTGACCACTAAAATCTGTGCCAGCTGCAGTTTCCAAATGATTTAAAAATGCAGCCCTATATATAACACATTTCAGTCGGCTAACCTAGACGTTACTAGGGCATAGACTACAACAGTAATGGATCCAGAAGTATCCCATGACTGCTACTTCAGAGGGAGTGCAATCCATTCCAGAACAAGCCATGGCCCACCCATCCAGTCTAGGGAACAGCCCATGAAGTCTTAACAGTATTAAGCTTCAGCTTTAGCTCCATCCAGTCCATAGCCAAGGCCAGACATCCATAGGCATTGATCCAATGATTTCTTTAGACCTAGTGGGACTATTTAAAAAAAAAACTTTTCTTTTAAAGTATAACAGACCCCCTGAGTCACATCACAAATTGTTTTGGATCCTGGCCATGAATTGTTAACACAGGGACAACTGATAGGGCAAAGACAACCGCAGGGGAAAGCAACAGTGCATTTTGCAGAAATAAGGTACTATGCTATCAAGCCAAAAATTACTCCCCGCCCCCATAAAGGTCTTTTGTGATTGCCTGTCACTTAAGTACTCCACTTTCATGTAGTGGCCAGGAGCCTTCTAACCACTTCATTTTTCTTAGGCCAAACATTTATGAGAATTGCTATTGGTCCCTGACATTTTAGACTTGTAAAACGGTGACAGATATTTTAACTACCCAGGCTTTAAGGAATTAAAAAGCCAAGCATACACACAGGCACACGAGTTGTAGATGGCAAGGCAGGCATCTCAGTATTTCAGAGAATTCATAATTTTAAGTGTTTCAGTCAAAGAGAAAAAAGCTGGCAGTTAATAACATTGGTACTCCTTATTTTTACTTTGACAAACATTTTCCGTGACTCAGGCCTTACATTATATTGTATTTATACTATATCATTTATTAAATATACTAAAAAGCAGTGTCATCTACTTAATAAAAACAAAATTAAAGCATGACTGAAGTTTCTTTGGCATTGCTACCTATCCAAAAGTGTAAATTGCAATCCTCACACTGCATTCACAGTATATTAATTTTATTTTATTTTTTGAGCACAACTTGAATAGTCTAGAATTAAGACAAATAGATCAAAAGGATCATTAAATACCTGTAGAGTGGAGCATGGGTATCTGTGCTAGAGGTGATTGTGTGTGGATTAATTTAAACTAGGTTTGCAGGGACAATGCGTCAGGTTATTTGAGGAACAGCTTTCTCTATGTACCTGCCGCTACTTTAGCAACAGCATGGGCCCAGCAAAGAGAGAAATTTCAGAGTGAAATTTTAAAGCGCTTTACTTTGCCTGGATAGAGTCCCTAATACATTATGACAAAAATGTAAAAATAGTGGGTGCTTCTCTCTCTCCCTCCCTCTCTCTTTTAAATGTGAGACCTAGAAGCAGATCCACAGAGTGTAGTTCTACCTGAGGATTTTAGCAAAGTATACGAAAACTAGAAAAGTAGGGTAGGAAAACAGGGACGACATAATTTGGTTTAACTTGTATTGCTTCTAATTGTATTAATTCACTCTTCAATTCTTGCCCTCAAAAAGGGGGACAGGAAGACCTACCAGGTATTGAACCTCTGACTTTTGGTATTGAAAGCATGTACGCTAGCACACTGCTCGCTGATGTCTTTCACAGCTAAATGAAAATGCTAGAAAACAAGTCTGGAACATGTGGCATCCAGGCATGTTTTAAAAATGGTTTTACCACCTTCTTAATGTCATTCCACTACACAAATTGTAGGGTTAGATGATAGGTCTGGCTATCCATGCATGGTGTAAAGCCATGATTCACAGCATGCAAACAGGCTTACCTAAGGAAGTTCAGTCAGGTGTTAGGGCTATGTAAACTGATTACAGTACTGGCTATCTCTCAGCTTTTTTCTTAGGTGTGGCTTAACTGGACAACATGAAGAAACTTCCATTTGTTCATTCACCCTGATTGCAATCCCAGCCATACTTACTTTGAAGTAATGCGCTTTAGTTTCCAGTAATAAATTAGGTGACATGGCTGTGTGAGTCTGTAACAGTAAAAATATATAAGGTATATTGTGGCATCTTCAAACCCAACATATTGTGGCATAATTCTTTATGGAACACAACCCACCATTAGTTACATAAAGTGTGTGTGTGTGTATAAAATATTTGATAAATCTTCTTGTATATAATGTATTTGACAAAGAGAACTCTAGTCCACAAAAGTTTGTATCACAGCCTTGAAGGTTCCACTTCTTGGTTTGCCTCCAAAACGTTAAGAGCTCACAGTCAGTGTCATTTCTATGCAATCTTCAAACGACCACAAAAAAAAAGCACAGTGGCCGACAAACCCCTTGCGATTTGCCCCATCACCACAGAGCGAGCAGTGAGACATATCTGCCCGAAGGGAGGCATGGAGGAGAAGGCGGGGCTCCAATCCGAGGTAACAAGCAGAGCGGGCGAGCTTCCTTTGGCTAGCCGGAAGGAGTCTCTGCCAGCACCGGGAAGCGTCGGAGGGGAAATCCGAAGTGACAGTGGCAAAGGAGAGAGAAGCCCCCGCCGCGTAGGAACTCTGTGAGGGAGGCTGAGCGCGCTCTGGTCTGCAGCCTCGGCGCCGCTCAGCCTCTTTCCCCCATTGCTCTCCGGCGCAGGAGGCGGCGGCGGCGAGGCCCCTCCCCTCCTCACACCTGTAGCGCGGGGCCGACCGCCTGTCCCGCCCGGCTCAGCCTCGCCAGCGCTGCTGCTGGTGTTGCTCGCTCCCTGCGGCTGCGCCTCCTCCCGGTCTTGGAGAAACAGCAGCAGCCGCCGCCGCTGCCGCTTCCTCCTCTGCAGCCACTCGGGCCGCGGCGGCCTTGACGTCGTTTCCTTCCAACATGGCGAGCGCAGGAGGAGGTTGCTGCTGCTGCTGCCGCCGCCGCTGCTATTGCTCCTACTGCCGCCGCCGCCGCTGCTGCTAATGGAGGCGGAGGCCAGCCGGGTCTGAGGGCTGCGCGTTCTCCGGAGGGCCAGTTCTCCTTTCCCCCCACCCCGAGCGAGGTCCGCAGTCGCCGCTCTTGCCCGAGCCCAGCCCGGAGGTGGGAAGAAGCTGCGCTTGGGGCTCCTTCGCCAGGGGTGCCGCCCGGGCAGCTGCGGCTTGAGGCACCGAACCAGCTCCCTCTTCTCCCCTCTCTCCCTGCGCCCCCATGTATGAGGGGAAGAAGACAAAAAACATGTTCCTGACCCGGGCCTTGGAGAAGATCCTGGCCGACAAGGAGGTGAAGAAGGCGCACCATTCCCAGCTGCGCAAAGCCTGCGAGGTGGCCCTAGGTAAATCTGGGGAGCTGCGGGGAGGGAGGAGGAGCAGGGGAGGGAGCCCGAGGCACCTGCAGAGGCGAGGGGAAGGCAGGCCGGGGCCTTGCGCGGGATTAGGGCAGCTGTCATTGTGGGGACGAGGCTGGCCGGGGAAGGGGAGAGGAGTGGCTGGCTGGCTGGGTGCGCCGAGCGGGGCGACAAAAGGCGGCTGTTCGGAGCAGGTTTCGGGGAGAGGAGGTTCGGGCTGATGCATGAGGCGGGCCTCTGGGGTGAGGTTTGGACGTGGCGCTGGGAGAAGATGAAAGGCCGTGTGTTTGTGCGCTACGTTAGTCTCGGGGAGGGAAGTTGTCCCCCGTGCGGTGTTTTTTTGGGGGGGATGGGGGAGCTGAAGGCGCGTGCGTTATTGGGAAGCTTTGGCTTTGTTGACAAGGAAATGCAGGCGGTTGCCTTGACACACGGCTTTTCTCTTTCGCTGCCTCCTTGGCGCACCTACACACCCTGCATGAATAGGCAGAGAAGGTGTGTAGAGAGCTGACCTGGAAGAACAAGGCCGCCGGGGAGGGGAAGGAGGGAGCAGGTGACGGGCGGGAGGAGGAGGAGGAGGCGAGGACGGAAGCCGAAGAGAGGCGGACGGTGGAAAACAGGGACAGTGACACCCTGTCAACATTTAAAATTGATGCCTGCTCTTTGAATTGAGAGGCTGTTGTGTAGCGAGGGAGAATGACAGCAGGGAGGGATGCAGTGGTACAAGGAGTCTTTTATAATACATCAGCCCAGGAAAAATAACGCCGCTGGGTGGAGGAGTTTCTTTCATGTATCATGTGGTTATTTCATTCTGAATAAAAGGAAATATTGGAATGACAAGGTGAGCTACATGTCCAGGTTATTAGACTGGGGCTTAAACCTTCCACTGAAGTTTTCAGAGACAATTGAATCGCTTTATTAGGACATTGTTGTTGTTTTTATATATTTAATTATACTCCACCTTTTTCCCTGTTAGGACTCAAGGCAGCTTACATATAAAAATGAGAGCTGCTAAATACATAGAAAACCAGATACACAGTTATTATATAAGAGAAGGCAAAAATAAATGCATCTATGGACTGAGTTGACCCATGCATCCATTGGCTGAGTTTAAAAGCAGGGAAGTAAAATACTTGTCAGATCTATAACAATTGGCAAGTCATTTTCCCTCATCTTTGAAATTGTGGAAATATATATTACAGTGTGGTGGGGTTTTTTACATTAACTTTTGTTTGTATAATATTCACTTCACAAATGTGTGTATTTAAAGAAAATGGCAATCATCTTAGTTTACTGCTTGTCTTTTATAACCTGATCCAGAGTAAGAGATCTGTACATGTAAGCATCCCTTCTCTGAGTCAGAATCTATTCCCAAACCAGAGCTGCATCTACATCTACATATTAATTTGGATGTCCAGCTCAACTACTTTGTTTCATTGGGATGTGCAATCATATATGCAGCACCACCCACATTTTGTGTGTAACTAGAGCTGGATTAGGGCAATTATTTTCACACTTGTGGGTTTGCCATTAACCAATTTTGTGATTTTAAAGTTTCTGTGTTCTCTTTTCTATACTGAATTGTATTACTGCCTCTGTACCTCACAGACCAGTATAGTTGCAGTAGATTCTTAAAAATTAAACTTAGTTCTAATGCAAGGCCTGAGGGGGAAGGTGAATAAAGGGCCCTTTAATTTACCTTACAAATTTGCCTTTACCACTTACTTGTTTTGCATTAATAGTGAAAAAATCAGGAGGCCAACAATAGAGTATTTATTTGTATGCAAGACACTCCAGTCAAGGCCAGAGCTCTATTGTATAGTAGTTATAATCATTGTTTGACCAATCTCTGCCTCTCAGGCCTCAATTCTTGTAGAGCATTTGTACATATACACATTATGCGGACTGACATATTGGGCAGCTCTCTGTTGTAAAGCTTTCCCCCCTCTAGCTTTGATATTATTTATATGTCAAGTTTTAACTTTGAATGCAAGCTACCTTGAGAGGCCCTGAAAGTCAGCATACAAATACTGGTAATAAATAAGTAAATAGGTAGATCTCATGCAGGATCTGTTGCTGTTTAAACAAAGACCTGTCAGATCAGCATGAGCAAGGCCTTAGGAAAATTGGAATAATGGCTGGAAGTATAAACAGCAATGGAGTGATTAACTCAAATTCTAGGTTAGTGTGACTTGGTAATTTACACAGAACATAAACATCACAAATGGAGAATAATTTGTAAATCTATGCAAGATGTTCTTTTTGTGATCTGATATTTCATAAAACATCCAAGACAGACTTGAACTGAACTGATTTAAAACTGGTTTCGTTTGTTACCTATTCACTATAGGCACTGCGATGACATAGAACTAATACCATAACTCCTGATTCATCTGAGCTTGACTTTGGCTTTGTCCATTTTATTATTTACTAGCTCCTGTTTATTGTTTGCTGTGAATTTTAACTGTGTAGTATGGTTTTTATTTATTCAGAATGTTCATTATTTATTATGTAGTAGATTTCAACTAGAGCCCACAGATGTACACATGCTCAAAAACCAAGCCAGTCCTGTTTGAATTACTGGAACATGCTTAATGTGGGGCAGGCTTTGAAAGGTGCTCATAAACTTCAACTGGTTCAAAGAGCTGCAGCCAGATTGCTGACTGGGGCTGGTTATAGGAAGCATACAACTCCTTGTTAGAACAGCTTCACTGGCTACTGGTCTGTTTCCAGGCACATTTCAAAGTGCTGCTTATGACTGTATGGCTTAGGTCTAAGGCTAAGCTATCTGAAAGACTGTATATGAACCTTCCTGGGTTCTGAAATCTTTGAAGGATGTTCTTCCCTCACTGCTGCCACCTTCACAAGCATATTTCATAGGGATGCAGAAGAAGGCCTTCTCAGTGGCTGCTCCCAGACTTTGGAACTCCCTCTCTAGAGAGTGGCTCTAGCAGGCTTTTGGAAACTGACTGCTTTTAATGAATTTTAGTCCCTGTCAGGGAATAAGATGGGGTATAAATAAATATAATACCCCATAATAATAACAATAACCAGCCATGTGGTGGCCAACTGCTTTGGCAGGCATATTGCCTGAAAAGCTGTTTATAGGCAATAATAATGAAGTAGAATGCCTTATTCACAGGGTTAGAATGACTGGTTAGGAATAGCATGAGCAACTGTTCTGAAATAACTCAACTGAAATTGAATTGCAAAAGAACATGGCTGTTCCAGGATCATAATTCATCAGTCACTTCACTACAACTTGTACAATAACACAATTATTTGTGCACAACTATAATTCATTTAGAGGTGCTTCTCCAGGAAGCATTCCCAGCTATAGTGCTCCGTATATCTTATTTGTTTATAGAACAAAAAGTCTTACTCAAATGCTTACATTTGAAATAGGCCATTTGTATTGACCCCCCAATGTATTTTAACAATATGTAACAATATTGATATCCTAAATATACTAAGAAATAAGTGTCATTACTTGTGCCTGTGGGAACTGCATAAGAGAAAATAGGGCTAGGGTTGGTGTGCAATTTTAACTAATGCCAGAATATGACACTTACCAAGAAGTAGGTCTTACTGAACTCAGTGGAACTTATGAGTAAATAATGCTTACTTTATGGCTATCTTAGAATATTCTCAAACAAATACGTATTACTTATGGGAAGGACAATATCAACTGATTATGGGCCAAATATTTATTACTAGCCATTCATCAATATTACTGCATGTGTGCACATGCAAACAGTATCTGAGAGCATCTCTGGATAGTAATAACAGTTAAAATACACATGTGCCTGGCCTATAAAAATGATAAGATAATTCTTGGATATCTTTTTTGTATATTATAGTTTATTAACACATATTTGTCCAGTATGTATATAATGCTAATTAAACATAGTTCTGAATATTTAAAAACATAGTGCTCAATATTTAAAACTAAAAAATAGTGCAGAAGAGAAACTACATGGGTAGAAAAAAAATAGTCTTGATTTTGAATCTGTTTCTATCAAGTATCAATTTCAGTTTATTTTTATATGGAGATTGAACCTTATGAAAAGTTGTCATTTTCTCCCTGTCTCATGATAGAGGCATTTGTGTCTCCAACTAAGCAAACCTCTCCTTTTATGATAATATGCAATGCAGTCCTATGCATTTCTATTCAGAAATAAGTCCCACTTTGCTTAACGGGCTTGTCCCCTTGTAAGTCTGTTTAGAAATGTAGTATTTGAGAATAAGTTTCATTGAACTCATTTGGACTTATTTTTGAATAGACACAAATAGAGTTATAGTTTTATTTTTTCTTATGCTGGAGAAATAGTTTTCAGACCTTGGATTTGATCTGCCTTATTCTAATTACATTTGGCCTGTACTGTATTTACTCCATTTCCCCTCTCAATGTTCCTTTTGTTTTTTTTGAAACTCATTCATTGAATGCCAAAGAGCTGTACAAATAGCACAACTTAAACAAACCAGTGTTGGGGCACTAGAGCTATTGATATTGCTGTCTACCCAACATCTTACACAAGTTTGCTGTATTAAATGAGCAAAGCATGTTAATATAGATATTTCATTCCCTGTTATATTATACTTTAAATATTAGCCTTTATTTAACCATCTTGTTTCCTTCCAAGAGAGAAGCTCTCTAATTTTGGTAATTTCATAGCCCAATATTAACTTTTTTTATTTGGCTTAGAATAATAAAATAATTGGTTTTGTGTGTGGGCTTTACAAAGAGCTCAGTTCTCATCTTGTTCATTTTTTTTTTTTTTGCTCCATTATTGCAGCATCCTTTGAAATGCTTCCACATGTTGTGAGTTTGGTGTTAATGTGTGATGGTTGCTAATGTGGATTAAAATGAAACCTGGTGTGCCACTAAACACTTTCTGAAAGCCTATATTTAATCATGATACTTGAAGCGCTTGTAGCATACTTGGTTGCATTTTAACTTGGGTTTGTCATGATGTCTGTTGTATAATGAGAAAAATGGGTAGAGGGAATTAAAGGATGTAGAAGATTATAAGACCTGCTCTTGATTCCTAAATCCTGGTTGGTTCACTTGTATATCTTTCCCCAGTCCCATTTCTCCCAATGTGTATCTTCCTCTCTACAGTCTTGGATTGTATTAATAGTTCTCTCATCTCATTTCAAATATACCTTCCCATGCTTTGCATTTCTCTGTGTAATGTAAGAGGGCTTGCTTTTTAGTAGTGTATATAAAGTGAAGGAGTTCTCAGACTGCTGAAGCATAAATAGTGTAGATCTTGCTGTTGTAAAATTCCTTTTATTTCAATGGAGCTTATGAAGGCAAAGTATTTTCATTTGTTACGATGAGTCATCTTGACTTTCACACTTCCTTTTCTTAGTTAATATCACAGTTTTTAACAGCATATATTTCCTGCTGCTACAACAGTCACCTTTGACTTTGCCCTATTTTTGTTCTTATCTTTTTACTTTCTCAATCCCCCCTTTTTTTGTTCTGTTACCTTATCCTACCTTACTTTACAGAAAACTGCATGTGTATCCACTAAGGTGGAGGAGTGATCACTCATATTAATACTTATTTACAACTTCTGAAATCAAACCTAAGAACTCCTGAAGAACCCTAATATATTGGAGGTGTGGTGCTAATACTACAAAGTGTGGTTAGGCTGTTTATATACTTGGTGGCCTATGAAAATAATGTGATTCAGTGATTTTTGCCTATGGAATAGAAATTGAGGAAGGAATAATAGTAGATGTGAAAACATTTTGATGTTGCACTTGATTTGCAGTACGTATTGCTGGCATCTGTCTATCTCAAGAGACAATAGAGTGGGCCTCCAAGGGTGAAGTCAAACTGCTGTGTTAGCAAAATCGAAGTGACCTCCCAGAGGCACAAGCCTGGGCAGTAAGTATGAGGGTCCTGGACTTCTCAGACGCCAAGACCCCGCTCTTGGCCTCAGTGATGTGGTTCAGAGGAAAGCAGAGCAATATGTGTGGCCCCAACTTGCCTGCAGGAGTTGACAGGAGGTGTACAAGGCTGTTTTAGGGACTCCACTCCATATTTATGTAGTGTTTACTCATTAGCCTTTTCTTCTCCCAAAGATATTACGCAAGGCAGTGGAGATTTAGGATCAGAGTTTTCCTTCTCCTCGATGGGCTACCTTCTCAGGTTGACAAGCCCCATCTGCCCCTCACCTCCCTCTACAACCCGTGCAGAAGCTTTCTTCTTGACCATTGGACCCAATATTGGTCTTACCTGCTCAATCTGCTGGAGCCTCTCTTCACATGCAGGGGAAGTCCCAACTCATTGAGGGTTTGAGACTTATTGGCTACCCTCACCAAGTTTAGCTGGTCAGTTGAAGCCGTTCCCAGAGTATGGCCACTGCCACATGCTGACAGCTTCTAGGAGCCACAGATGAGCGCTGAGGGCAGGGTGGGGACCAAAGGTGGACAAACTGCTTTAGAAGGAGCATGACATGACTCCACGAGCAACCAAGATGATCAGTGGTCTGGAAACCAAGCCTTATGAGTAATGGTTGAGGGAGTTGGGTATGTTTAGGCTGGATAAGAGGAGACTGAGAAGAGATATGATAGCCATCTTCAAATATCTAAAGGGCTGTCACATGAAAGATGGGGCAAGCTTGTTTTCTCCTGCTCTGGAGGGTAGGACTCAAACCAATGGTTTCAAGTTACAAGAAAGGAGATTCCAACTAAACTTCAGGAAAAACTTTCTGATGGTAAGAGATGCTCGACAGTGGAACAGATTCCCTTGGAAGGTGGTGGACTCTCCTTCCTTGGTGGTTTTTAAGCAGAGGTTGAATGACATTTGTCATGGATGCTTGAGAATCCTGCATTGGAGGAGGTTGGACTAGATGGCCCTAAGGGTCCCTTCCCACGCTACAGTTCTCTGATTTTATATTGATCTGTTACTCCTGATGGGCGAGGTCAAACTTTTACTGCTTATAGCCAAAGACCTTGGCAGAAATTCAAAGTTCTAATACAAATTGTATTTGCAAAAACAGTTAGCGAAACTATTTTGTACCGGTATATAAAACACATTTTGCTTTCCCCTTATTTATTTACCTACTAATTTGTATAGCTGCCCCAGAGCAGAAGTACTCTAGGAAGCCAGTGTGGTGTAGTGGTTAGAGCGTTGTGCTAGGACTTGGGATATTAGGGTTCAAATCCCCACTCAGTCATGAAGCTCACTGGGGAACCTTGGGCCAGTCACAGCCTCTTAAACTACCTCACAGGGTCCTTGTAGGGATTAACTGAGAATGAGGGGATGAACATGCACTCCTGGAAGAAAAGGGTGGGATATAAATGCAGTGAATAAGCTTACCGGCTTAAGGAAGCTGGAGGGGGCAACCAGATGGAGATGTCTGTCGCCAGCCTGGCACCCAGAGATCTCCACGTGGTCAGACATACTGCCTCCTCCTTTCACTCCCTTACCCCCTTCCCCATCCCTGGCAATGAAGCAAAAGGAGGATGAGCAGAGGTTGGCAACTGCAATAGCATTGTTGCTAATATTCAGCTTGAGAAGTGCAGCACAATGCTATGACAGCTGTATACCATCCTGCACTTTGGAACTTAAAATGGATGTGAGAATGACAGGAGAAAGAGTACACTGAAATTGATGACTTCTACAATGCAAACACAGCAATACATAGGCGCTGGGTGGATATCTGAAGCAGGATATATAAAGAAGCCTCAGAGACACTTGTTTTGCAAGGCTGCCTTTTGCAGTCACACTAGTAAAAAATTATGGGCTAATAATTTCTATCAACCTACTTCAAAGATGCTCTTGCTGTATTGTAATTTGAAGCTGTGAGCTTTCAAGGAGTTTGATCTGTTCTGGCAAATAGGGCCATGAGATACTACCTAGGTGGTAAAGCTTGGGAATACTTCTCCTTTGTTAATCTGGTTTCCTGTACATAGAGTTTCACACAGGTTTTGTTTTATCAACATCATTAAATCAAGTTGAGCAGTAGCAGACTTCCTCTTGATTTCAAAATGTCAGCTGATTGAAAGTCTGTAGTGTTCCAGGGTCAATTGCATTCATTAGTCTCTTTTGTCGTTGTTCCACTTTAAAGCCAGGCATATATTTTGGGTGAACACCAATTCTTGGAATGAAGGGGATAGTCTGGAGTCCACCAATATGGTGAACATAAAAATAATAATTTTGACTTTTGCTGCCTGCTTTATAGTGGCATTCCCCCCCCCCCAATTGTCATGCAAGCATAGTGCCCATCTAAATAAAGCAAATTTAGCACTTCATTTCCTTAACAATACCAAAATGTACCTTACTCCCATACAAAGTCCTGCTTAGAATGCATGGAGGTGGTTGTTTCAATCACAAAATAGGTTTCTACTCAGGAGGAGGGGAACTGTCAGCTGAATTTGAAGACTCCTGCTTGGCAGCTTCAGCTTGTCACCTATCCTGATCTCTTATGTACTGGATAACAAATCCCAAGTGGTCTCCCCTTTGGGGAAAAGTTACAACATTTGTGGCTTATTAGTTCAGTTAGAAAAAGGCAAGCAAAGGGGGACATAATGCAGTGCGTAGAGAAAGTTGGATAGAGAGAAAACCAAGGCCATCCAGTGACACTAGAGGATTCAGGACAAACAAAAGGAAGAACTACATCACACAGCCCATAGTGCTTCTGAATATCATTTGCTGGTGAGTGCAAGAGGGGAGAGTGATGTAGTGCTTGGGTTCTGTTTGCAGGCTTCCCATAGGTATCTGGATGGCCACTGGGAGAACAGGAGGCTGAACTAGATGAACTTTTCTATCTAGTTTTTTTCATTAATAATAACAAAGCAAAATAATAAGTACCAACGGGCAGAAGAAGCTTTTCTTCGCAGCTGAGCACCAATATTTGAAATTTGTGACACACATTCAAAAATCTCTTCAAAATTTGTAATTTACATAATGTACTCGGCGGTGTTCAAAATTCCCATTGTTCTAGGTGCATTTTGCAACAGGGAATTTCATTAGCACCAGTAGTTTCTGAGCTCTGGGTGCAGTACTGCACCTAAGATTTCAGACTAAAACTGCAAAGTGGAAGGAAATGAGAACCTTTTCCTGCCTCCCCACTTCCAGCTACTCTCTGAAGACTGGAGTAGAGACCCTGTTAAGAATATTAGGGAGGTGGGCACGAGAAGGATTAGACTCTCTGAAAAATGGACATAGTATTTTAGCTGCAGTTCATTCATTTTCAACTTTGTATTCTTGTTATTAAAAAAGTGTGCCTAGACGTTTTGTTGTTGTGCCCATAACCAAGGTTTAAGGTGCCATTTAGCTCTTAGCTTTCATATCTCAGTTTCTAATACTGGTACTCAGTGTGTTTTGGCTCATAATTTGAATCCATTGCAGAGATAGAACGCTATTTGCTGCAGTGCTCAGTGTTCAAAGATGGAATAGAAATGAGTTTTTGTGATAGCTGATGTAATGAAAGATAAGTTTCCATTAGGAAGATGACTGAACTCGTAAATGTTTATGAATATAACATTCATGATTTCACTTGGCCTCAGAGAAAACTAGTTACTAAAGCTGTGGTTCTTTGCACAATTACCTAAGAGTAAGTCCCATTGAATTCATTTACTTTAGTTAAATTGTATAGAATTATGTTGTATAGATTGATTTTGATATTTGTAGATTTTCATTTATTTTGAAATTGGACATTCAGCTATATTGACAGCTATCTTCTCTGTGTTACTGTAACAGGTTCCTTTTACTTTCTAGTATCTCACTAATGTAGAAGGAATTGCTCTTTTTCCGTATGGTGGTTATGAGATACCTCATCCCTTTCGCAAAATGAGAGCTGAAGCTTTGAAACAATGGTCACAAAAAGCCTCATGCTGAAGTTCAGTTGATTTTAATATGAGGCAGAGTTATGTGTTTATGTAAATTTCTCTGTTTAAACAAAAATCCTTAGTTCAATCAAGCCTAGTAACGTTTTAAAAGTTTTTACCTATGGGACTTGAAGCTTCATAGTCTAGATGATTTATTGATTCTTGAGATTTTGTTTTATTTAAAAATATATTGCCTTTCGAGCACAGCAATCAAGGCAGTTAAATATTGTTTATAACAATGCAAAATTACTTAAAAGAATATTGTCATGTAGAAACATGCTTCTATGGCTTGCAGGTTTATTATGGCTGGCTGGTCTGCACAATTCTGAGTACCAGTTCTGACTAATCGAATTTGGACTTTGGGACCCAGCAGTTGGTCTGGCTGCTTAACCTGAAACCACCTCATTTTGCATTGGCTCCTACACCACTTCCCACAATCAGTCTTCAAGGCTCCCTTTACCTATTGGTAAATCTTCATTTAGAAGTTGGGACTAAAAGCTACACATTAGCCTTTTGCTCTTGTGTGAAGACTCTGATTTCAGGACTTCAGTGCAAACTTCCATGCTACTTTTTTCTGTACCATTATTGATTAAATCTCTATTCATGTTAGAGGAGAGGGGGGATATCAGCATTAAAAGTTTATAAATACTTGAATGGCATTACTAAGAAATGCAAACTGACATATATATGGGCAGGGATACTGATGGATCCATTGGATGTCTACTAAGAACTTCCTTCTGAGTAAGCATGTGTAGTGTTGGTAGAAGGCATGGTTGAATTACCTATCCTTAATATTCTGACAATATTGAACTGAGAATTCCTCTGCCACGTGTTGTTGTGGGGGAAAACTATCTTTTTAAAAAGTGTATTTTTTTGATTTATCAAACTTAAACAGAATTACATAATAACGACAAGAAGTAAAATTCCCCCCCCCCATCCATCCTTATTGGATTTGTCTCTAAGTAAGAAATAGCTTCATTCTAGCTCTAGGTTTTCACAAGCATCAGTAAAGTAATGTATTGAAAGTGTCATCCCATACTTGTTGCATGTGCTCTTGGTAGGTGAAAGCTGTGTTCATACTGTGCATATTGAATAAAACCAAGCCAAACTCTTACTTCCTGTACAAAGTTCACATAGTAAGGTGGTTTGTCCATGAATATCAAGCCCCAGGTCTGTGAGATCCAGGCTTCAAATCTCTCCAAATCGTATCTGCTTCCTCCTTATCTGCTCAGAAAAATGTCACATATCCAGTGCCCCACAAATAGCAGGGCAGCTTAAAGATGGTGATAATGAACAGAAAAATCAATGCCAAGAAGAGGAAGCACTAGGCACCTCCTTCCTACCTACCCTTCTGCTCCATCAGCCTATCCAGGCTGGTTTTAGTTGTGGGGTGGGTGGTGGAGCTGAAATCTTAGGAAGATGTAGTTAAAACCTTGAATAATATCTTACCCTGGAAGGTTATTTTGTGTATTCTGAGTACCGGTAGCTGAGGAAGCACCTGAGTTTTGCACTAATCTTTTTAGGCCTATTGATTCCTTGTACTGTTTATTGGGCTCCATTGGGAATAAGCACAGTGCCATGTTTTGTACTCTTACTAGTTCCCATGAGAGCTTCCCACAAGGGACCTGCCTTTTGCCATTATTTTCTCCAATGCCTGCTGCTGGCATTTCATTAACCTTTCCACAAGAGTTCTGACATATCTTTTCAGAATTGCATATACACAGAGAGAAAATCCTTTTCAACAATTCCGTTTTATTATCACTGTGGGTTGCATGGGGCGGGCGGGATAGTCATAGAGGCATTGGATCAAAGATTTGCTGATAGACATTTAACCTGACTTCCTCAATTTGGAATTCTCACAATGAATTTGCTGGGATCAAAGCATTGTTGGGTGAATTTCTTCTTTTGACACATTTACAGGAATGTTTCCGCAACTGAATAAGGCATTCAGTTAGTTGGTGGGCTGGGAGGGCTTGCTTCCAAGACCCATCTTGCCAAATGTTGGCAGTAGCAGCTGCTTTGATCAAGAGAGTCCTGTATGGGATATATCTCCCATGTCACATCACAGAACTGCTATGGTCCACAGAGCAGGTTGGAGTTGAAAGTTCCAAGCTATTCTGTAAGTAAGGGGAGAAAGGTAGTTTCCTTTTTCCTTCTGAATTAGCAAAGTGTTGGATTTGGGAGGAGATAGGTACACGAAGCATGGCCCCATGGTGCATGGGTAGGCAAACTAAGGCCCAGGGGCCGGATGCAGCCCAATCGCCTTCTAAATCCGGCCTGCGGACAGTCCGGGAATCAGCATGTTTTTACATGAATAGAATGTGACTTTTTATTTAAAATGCATCTCTGGGTTATTTGTGGGGCATAGGAATTCATTCATTTTTTTCCTTCAAAATATAGTCCGGCCCCCCACAAGGTCTGAAGGACATTGGACCAGCCCCCCGCTGAAAAAGTTTGCTGACCCCTGGTGTACAGTGTGTGTATTTTCACATACTAGCTTTCTTTTGGCTCTTTTTATCCTTTACTTTTCCTCATGCTTGTCCTTCAGAAATGAAATTTAGCATGCAAAGCCTAGTCTCATTGAGGTGCTAGTTTTCTGTATTTAGGCTGCACTACAATGTGCAGTGGTTCAGTTCAAACAGATTTACTACCTCAGTGAGAACTGGACCTAAGGTTGACTTGTGCTGCTGCATAGGTGTTGTAGTAGGAGCTGCCTGGATGGGAAAAGAAATGCAGATAGAATAATAAGTTACTGTGACTAGATAGAAGCGAAAACAGTCAGTTTTCTGGAAGTTTTCACGAATCTACAGCATACTCTTTGCTACCATCAGTAAAGACTAGGGGGTACTTCAACAAAATGTTTCAGGATATTCTTTCCTAACTGGAGTACTCTTGTTCAGGGTTCTAGCCAACCAGCCACAACATCCTTTCATTCAACCACCATCTCATTTTCAAGTCTGCTTTTCTAACTGATACTCAACAATCTGTGGCTACTGGAAGCCGCCATAAGTCCAGGGCTCAGTTTGGGAAACATAATACTGTAGGGGTTCCTTTCTCTTCTTGGGGTCAGGAGGTAGAGAAAAGCTCTGTATTATGGGTGGCAGAAGAAAAAGTAATTAGTGGAGTAGGGCAGGAGAAGGATGACCACTCCTGGAAACCTTGCAAGGTTGCCTTTGATACTAACGTTAGGGATTGAAGAGATGCTGTGTATAGCAGATAAAGGTTAGACATGACATTTCTCTTCTTTGACAGTTTTCTGAATTGCAAAGTAAATGCCACAGGCTTAGATCCAAAGTGCTCCATGTATGAGGGGAAGAGTTTCCACTGATTCCCTAACCCCACAGCCTACTATGCCTTTTAGTCACCGTTCTCCTAACCCACAGAAATGGTTTTTCATGGAGTGCAAGGGGCTGAAAAATCCTTACGTTCTGCATGGTGCTTTGTGTCCAGGTCAGTGCTCTTAACTTTGGGGAAATGTTTGCTTGGTCCCAATTCTAAAATAACAATAAAGAAATGCACTTTAGCCTAACTTTCTGGCCCTATTCTTTGCACAACAAATGACATTGTTCTTTGTGGTTAGCTCAGTGTCTGTTTACATCAGGTTATTTCTCTAGTTGTCTTTCCTGCACAGCAGGTTTGACCATTTTTATCCTGTGGCCTTTGTTGTAAAACTTGTTCTTTATCACACTGTAATACTCCTTCTCACACTGTAATATTACTTCCTGGAGAATAATTATGGAAAAATTGTGTTTTGCTGCATGGTTTCTCCCTTCCTATATATAGAACACATGTGCTATGGAAAACACTTATTTGGGATAATCCTCATACTCTTACACTTAAGATCCCAGTGTTGAGCTGCATCCTTGAAACCTTGAGAACCCATGAGAATGCAGTATTGAACTACAAAGAATGTTCATGACAAGTCATGACATGCCTGTTGTATCTTTGGTGCTTACCTGCCTGCAGCATAAGCAGTTGTTGTACTATAGCCACTGAATGCAATCCATAAATTCAAGCTATTTGAAAGCTAGACCACCTCTTTGAGAATCCATAAAACATGATGGGGAAAGAGTTTGTCTGGTTAAGTGAATCAGGCTCAGAAAGCTCCTTGCATAGGCTTGAATATATGGCACACAGAGGGTAAAATGCTCTGCGTGCTGTAATTTTATGTAAATTAGCTTTTTGCCTGTTAATTCAATATTCTGTGTGTTTTGCTGGAAGGCTGCTCAACTTTGGCCTTCTTGCTGCTTCTGTAGTCTCTTTTGGTTCCACAAATGTTGTCGGGAGGTCTGATAATCAATGTGTGAGGATGACATTGTAGAATTGGAAGAGACCCTGAGGGTCATCTATTCCAGTCTCCTGCAGTGCAAGAGTATCAATGCCACTGATATGAATTTCATGAATTTCCTGTTAGGACCGTAAATATCACTTCCAGTGCCATAAAATTCAGCCGCCAATATATAATTGGGCAGTACTCTGCATGAATTGGTTGATGTTGCACAAAGGAAGAAATGCTTTGTTAAATAATTCTGAATGGGAGCTTAAAAGCTATTATTAGTTGCAAACAAGTCCATCAAGCCTAAATAAAAATAAATACACTAATCGAACCACATGTCTTTTTCTTGTAATAATAATAATTTAATTTAATTTAATTTAAATTCTGTCTGTCAGTGCAAAGTTTCCCAGGATGGTACATAACAATATATTACATATACAAATCTATACAAAAACCCATATAACCAACAATATAAAACACATGTATTCCAAAAGTGAAGTAGAAAAGAATCAAAATTAGAAAATGCAGTGGCATTCCAGTTCTCAACCCGTTTCATGTACCTGAGAAAACAAACACATCTTGAGCTAACCATCTAAATGGAAATTATGTTGAGTGCAACTGAAGCTCTGTGGGAAAGGAATTCCACATGTGTGGTGCCGTAAGAAACATGGCTCTTTGCCCCTGTCCCTCTAACTCTGGATATCAGCAGAATTATGAAGTGGTCTCTCCTGAAGAATTTAAGGCACAGGCTGGCTGGAAATTGTGGTTGTGGTCCTGAAGATACTTGGTTTCTAGACCACGTAGGACTTTATGGATCAAGTCAACACCTTAAATTGAGCTCAGTAGCAACAAGACAGCCAGTGTAGATCCTTTAGGACAGGTGTAATCTTATTTATTGTGGTGAGCAGGTGGCGCTGTGGTCCAAACTATACTGAGCCTCTTGGGCTTGCTGATCGGAAGGTTGGTGGTTTGAATCCCCACAATGGGGTGAGCTCCCATTGCTCTGTCCCAGCTTCTGCCAACCTAGCATTTTCAAAGCACGCCAGTGCAAATAGATAAATAGGTACTGCTGTAGTGGAAAGGTAAATGGCGTTTCCATGCACTCTGGTTTCCATCATGGTGTTCCGTTGTGCCAGAAGTGGTTTAGTCATGCTGGCCTCATGACCCGGAAAGCTGTCTGTGGACAAACGCCAGCTTCCTTGGCCTGAAAAGCGAGATGAGCCTCATAGTCACCTTTGGACTTAACCGTCCAGGGGTCCTTTACCTTACCATTACCTTTAATCTGATCTATTATAACAGATATTATTGTTAAACACCAAGTTCCTAACGCATGTGAGCTCATAGGTTTCCGTCAAAACTCTGAATCATTCTGGGCATTCTGTTTTATATCTAGATATATTCTTAAACTACAGTAGGAAGAGTACTTTAAAATAGAAAGTTATCATTATAAAGCCACAGGAAGTGACATGAGGCATAAGAGGATTTCCAGAATCTTAAGTGAACCAATGTCATTTTTAAAAGGCTTCACGTGAAAAGGTGAAAAATATTTGAAACTCCCATTGTTCTACATGCATTTTGCAACAGGGAATTTCATTACTGCAAGCAGTTTCTGAGCTCTGGGTGCAGTGCTGCACCTAAGATTTCAGATTAAAACTGCAGAGTGGAAGGAAAGCACACCTAGACATTCTGTTGTTGTGCCCATAACCTAGGTTTAAAGTGCCATTTAGCTCCTAGCTTTCATATCTCAGTTTCTAATACTGAAGGTGAAGTGCATAATGCTATGTCAGATTACTGGAGTTAGTCAAAGTGAGTTTAGCCTGCATCTTTTTTATTCTACTTCACATTTAATTTTCAACAGCAGATTATTTTTGCAATTAAATGCTTCTATTTTCCTGAAATTAAACAGGAATAAGCAGTTTAGTTGTATCTAGCTGCCAGCGAGTGGGTATACTGAAGTAATCTGTATGATCTGACACCCCCCCCCCCAAAAAAATCTGGAATATAGAACAAACTAAAGCTAAATGAAGAGTTGGATTTAATGACCTAAGCCGAGTGTCTTCAAACTAGTATTGTATGCATTTCCCCCCTCTTTCTTCGCTGAAATATGGGTTTGCCTTTGTGCTTGACATGCACTTTGGAGCACTTACCAGATGCCAAGGCAGAGCAAACCTCTGCCCCCATCCTGTGCTGTGTTGTTTGAAGGATTGTTTTGTGCCTCCATTTCTCAGCTCTGAGTTTAAAACTGGAGTGAGGAGCAAGATACTTTCTTCTAACCTCATGCTGTGTTTCAGAGATGTACATCAGGGCCAAGATCCTACTCCTTGGAGGGAGATACTGGCAACAAAATTTGGGTTGACTAGCAAGCTCAGTCAGAGTTTGTTTATTCGTGATGAGGAACATAAGAGCATAAGAAAAGCCTTGCTGGATACAGTGGTACTTCCAGTTACAAACTTAATTTGTTCCGGAGGTCCGTTCTCAACATGAAACTGTTCTTAACCTGAGGCATGCTTTCACTAATGGGGCCTCCCGCTGCCGCCGCGCCACCGGAGCGCGACTTCCGCTCGCATCTCGGGGCAAAGTTTGCAACCAGGAGACCTACTTCTTGGTTAGCGGAGCTTGTAACCTGAAGCATTTGTAAGGAGGAACATAACCCGAGGTTCCACTGTGAAGCCAAAGGTCCATTTAGTCCAGCATCCTGGTCTTGCCAGTGGGCAACTAGATGCCTATTGGAAGCCCACAAGCAGGATCTGAGTGCAACAGTGCTGTCTCCATTTGTGATGCCAGGCAACTAGTATTCAGAGACATATTGCCTCAGATAAAACACAGTCATCATGACTAGTAGGCATTGATGACCTTGTCATCTTTGAATTTGTCTAGTATTATGAGGTAATATTATGTGTTCCTGTCAAAATTTCAAGGTATTTTCCAACCATAGAGTTGGAACATATAGAGTTGGATGGGACTACAAGGGTCGTCTAGCCCAACCCCCTGCATTGCTGGAATTATCACATGGTTGATTATCACATGGTTATGCTTTATGGTTGATGTGTCACTGCCAAGTTTATGCCATGATGTGTCTGAGCACAGAGAATCCAGAAGTCTGCAGTAGTTCTGCAAGGACTTCTTTGTTTTTTCAAACACACTGCCATTCATTCTCATTGATTCTCTTCAGTCTTCCTCACATGCAGATGAATGCCACTGTTAAGACTGGGGCTGGGATCTCTAGAATTCTGAATAAGTTTGGATTAAAATCAGGTATTTTGGAGTGTACTCATGCAGCCATTTCCACATTGATGTGAAGACAGTGTTGGCTCCATTTGAAGAGTTGAGCAATCCCTTTCTAAAAGACACTGAAGAGCCACTAGTTCACAAAGAATTTCACAATGCAAAAAACATGGTAAAGATAAACACATTTGACTGTGATGTTGGACTGTTATAGTTAAGGAAGTTTTGGCAAATGAAATATTTTGACTAGCTGAAGAAATGGTCAGTCTGATCTCAAAGGATTGTACTTTTGGTTCTTGAACAATGGTGGGGGGAGCTGCATTCTTACAAAAGGAATGGAGTGCTACTTTGAAGTGTGACCTAAATCCATCTGAAGACTTGTTGCTAGTTGATTACTAGTTGCAAATGGGAGATCTTGAATACTACTTCAAACAGAAAAAGCATAGCTGGTTGTTATCTGGTATGAAGTCTGGCCTAGCTTATGTGCCTCTGTTTTTGCATAAACAGATAAACATTTTTCCTGACATTAGTTGATTAATTTACCTTGGTCAGTGTATTCAAAATTTCTTAAGTATGCTGGATTTAATTTCCTGTCAAATTATTTGATTCCATGCAACACAAAGTCTATGAGTGGTATTCAACTACGTTTTAGTCAGAGTAAACCCATTGAAATGAATAAACATGATGAAGTTCAGTCAGTTTATATCAGTGTGTCTATTCTGAGTAAAGCATAGCTGAATATTACCACCCCATGTGAATAATAGAATGTAAGAGAAGAGAGACACAAGTGAGAAATACACTGTGGCACCCTTGCCCACAGCTGCCCACCAGCTGCCAGACCTTCTTGAGAACTGATGAAAATAACTGATCTGTTCAACTTCCTTGCAGAAATGATGATAAAACGTAGATGTGGCAATCTATTGATCAGCATGTATGAAGAGCTCATAATTTCTTTTCAAAATGACTGTTGCTGGATTGTTGCTCCATGTAAAAGTGGGCTGTGGATGAATACTCCGTTCTCCTATGAGTTGAGCTATGGCTTGAAATGGCACAGGCACACAAAATACTGTTCTCTTTGGCTAGACAAGGGCAGAATATCAGGCTTCTAGTATCTATACCAAGGTGGCTAATCCTGAGGCTAAATGGCACCTGCCAATTGCAGGGGCCACTGCTATAGACTACTATTCTCTTCCGTTCATTCTCAGAGAAATTTCTAATGTTGGGGTGCTCATAGTCCTAAGTAGCTCGCTAGGCTAGAGTCCCTGCAATCTGTCCAGGAGTTCCAGTTAACAAGCTTTGATATGGCTGACTTTTTAAACTACGTTTGACTGTAGTTTTGAAAGGATTTATTCTGTGTCAAATTCATTTACATCACTGTCATCATTTCCATCAGGTGAACCAGGCCATAAAGTATGATTGGTTTTTGTGATGGAAGCTTATTAAAGATCTAAGAAATTTGACATTTAATTGAAGAACAAATCTGGGCCTTTGTCTTATTGTGTTCTCCATCTGCAGTCCCTTGGCAGTTAATCGTATAATGCTCCTGAGCATGAAATTAACAGTAAAAATGACATAGCTGATGTTCCATCTTTGGAAATGGGGGGAATTCTGAAAGTAAATTCTGAAACTTGGAATATTTTTAGAGTACAGGATCTTTGTGCTTTGAGAATTGCATTTTAAAATGGTTTATATAAACCATACTACTGCTAGAATTTTGGGCTGTCTGTGTATAAAGTACAAAGAGGACTGAATCTCTAGGGTTCTTTAAAAACAAAAGGGTTGATTTGATAGGAGGTTTAATCCAGAGACTTCCCACAAGCATAATTCTGCTCATGGAATGTCCTGCAGGAGAAAGGGAGTGGTAATATTTGCTGAACCCTCCTACCCCTATGCCCTCTGAAAGGTTTTTTAGATGGTTATTGGGCCTTCTGGAACAGAAGGCGTGGTGAATTGGGGGTCTACAGAGGGAGGAAAAAATCAGCTAAAAATTCTTAGCCCCTTCCTTGAGTGGGAACCTCAGCTGGATCAGAGCACTTTTCATAAACAGAAGGAACCCTTCCATTTGTGAAAGGGCATGTCTGGATCCAACCCACAGGAAGGATTATTTGCAAATTTTGCATTTGAGCAGATAAAGCAGTGGTGTCCCAACTTTTTTCAAGGAGGGCCAGATTTGATGAAGTGAAGGGCTGTGAGGGCCAACCAAAGTTGCTGAGCTTTTTTTAGGATTGAAGTTGTTGAGGTTTTTTCGGGTTTTACCCCAGGAAATAAACTGCTACAGGGGCAGGATTAAACCAACCAGCAGGCCAGATTAGGCCCCCGCAATGGACTTTGGACATGCCTGAGATAAAGCATAACTTATTTGGCATAAAACAGGAGTGAGGAAGCTTTCTCAGATAGAGGGTTTGCGTTCTCACCTGGGCAGCATTCCAGGGACTGCTTGCCATTGATGGGCGGGGCCAGAAATAAAATGAGCAAAGGACCGAAAGTGAATTTTACCAATGTACAGCAGGCTAATTTTTGCACACACTCACCACTATCCATCCTTCATCCAGACAACCATCAGGCGTTACCCAAGGTTCAAGGACACATACCAGCCAGGCGAAAACACTCAATGGTATGAAATAGGTCTGGTGAGAGGTGTGGCCTGGGGAAAATCCCAAGGGCAAGATAGAGAAGAGCTCTGAAGAGCTGCAGTTTGCCCCAGGCCTGAAGTATATATATTTATAAAAGTATATATTTATAAAAAATTAGAAGAAAAATAGAAATATTTGGCAATTTGAACAGCTATTTTGGTGGCATGGTTGGGGTTTTTTTCCCTATTATAATTCGGAAGTCTACATAAAATTCAGTTATAATTCCAATGAAATTGGCAATAAACCGATGTTCAAGCCTGTTATGAATAAATGTTCTATTGTGAATATATTTTCTAGCTAGCCTGTTGTGAATAGATTAAAATTACTTCAAACTTCCCAGTATAATGTCTGCTTATGGCAATGGTGAGATCTGTATGGGGTGTGTTTATAAACATGTGTGTATTTTTGTCCAGAATCTTCAGTAATGTTGTTTTGTAGTGCAGTATAAATTACTTAATTTCAGACTGGAAAACACTTGTGCCTGGAGGGTTGGGAGAGAAGTCTTGCCTACTTATTCACCTTCTGAACAAGATTTCTTAAGGATTTTTTTCTTTCAAAAGCACATAATACAAATTGTTTTACATCTTGTCCATGAATGTTTATGGGTTTTCAGGGTTCAGTCTACATTTGATGCTTGCTTGTAAGCAGGAAGACATTCTTTTTCAGTTTATCTTGAGACATATTCATGATTTAATTTTAAATTGTGATTAAAGTGGGCTGAATCATACTCTGGTATATGCATGTGTGTATATAGTAATGTAATCCTAATGTGTTCTTTGGCAGTTGAGCAGCACTGGAAATGTAGAACGATATTTATAAATGTTTATAATAAATTTTAGTTTAATGTAATTTAATGTTAGTTTATTTTTGTTAGTGTTGCTGTAATGTTTGTAAAACAGGTTTTTATTTCCTTTTTTTCTCCAGAGGAAATAAAAGCAGAAACTGGAAAACAAAGGTACTTTTTTCTTTATTAATCATGATTAATGAAAATACATTCAGCATCATTTGTACAGAGGTGAAGTCAGTTGTCATTGTACCTTTTTTGGGGGGGCGGGAGCTTTATGAACTACAACGGTACCTTGGTTTACGAACTTAATCCGTTCCGGAAGTCCGTTCTTAAACCGAAACTGTTCTTAAACAGAGGTTCACTTTCCCATATGAGGCCTCCCGCCGCCGGTGCTCTTCCACCGTTCGGATCCCGTTCTTAGACCGAGATAAAGTTCTCAAACCAGGACACTATTTCCGGTTTAGCGGAGTTTGTAAACCAAATAGTTCTTAAACCGGACTGTTCTTAAACCAAGGTACCACTGTATATGTTTTGTCACTAAGTTACCATGCCTAGAGCGTATGAGGTTCACTGCATACTTGCTGTAACTTGAAGAAATTAAAAACTTTTACTTGTAGCGTACAAATTAATTTTTAGAGCACTTTCTTGCTAATCACTCTGACTTCAGTTTACACTTGGAAAACGTGTAAAGTATGTCAGCATGTTGTTAAGAATAATTAAGAGTATTAGCATCCTTTGTGAGAAACAGGTTTTTCATGCTTTGTTAGACATTTCATGGCTTCAGAAGAGTCTTGAGATGTAAAACTTGGTCTCATCACATTTGTCCTTCTGACACAGGACCTCCCTATAGGCACCTAGTATGAAGGGAACATTGTAGCTCTTTCAGATTTTAAAAAGCAAGCAAGCCAGCCCTAAACAAAATTGTTACTTTTCAGATGGAGATTGGACCAAAAATTTAATTTCAAGTCTATAAAACAGTCTTCCCAATCCCCTGCAAATGAAACATGGTAAAGGAGCACATATAAAGGGAAACGACAAAGAACTAAAAAGATACTCATGTCACAAGATTCTAAAGCTGAAGGTACAAAATGAAATCCTTAACCAAATGTCAACAAGCATAGCAATTAAGGAAACAATTCTTAAATCGCAAAGTAACATTCAATATAAACACACAGGATGTATAAACTGAACCAAAATGCCTCCTAGCAGTGGTCCAGAGGCAGTATATAATGATGATCTTGAAGGAGGTGAGGATAGGTAGCTACAATCTAACAGGTATAACAGTGAAATATGTAGTTAGAAAACTAAACAGGATACGTTCCAACGCATATAGGTATTCCTTACTGTAAAATGATAGCAGTGTTAATATATAGCCTCTCTTTCCAAGCTTGTTAAAGAACAGTATGTACAGGAACAGAGTGAAGACACATGCTATAGCAGTATTTACAATACTACAAATGCCATGGTATTTGTAAATACCATGTCACAAGTCTGTTACCATAGAAAGGAACTACACTCCTACTAATATTGAAAAAAGTGCTTCAAATCCATAAATTGAAGTTGCTAATGAGGGAGTGGGGTGTCACCTTAATATGGAATTGATAAATTTCACCCAAAAATTGTAGAAAAAGCATGAAAGCTTACATCCAACGTCATGTGAACTTCTCCGTCCTTTCTTCCCTCCTGCCCCCCCCATGTGCTCCAGAGGGTTGGGAAACCCCCACAGTGCATTTAGAGATTCATAATAATAATAATAAATAATAAATTTTTATTTATATCCCGCCCTCCCCAGCCGAAGCTGGGCTCAGGGCGGCTAACAACAATCAAAATAATCCAACATTCTAAAAACATTCATTATAAAATTAATTAAAATCAAATTGATGGCAACCATTAAGCAAAATTCTGTGCAGATTGCCAGAGGAGGGGGTCAGGCTGTGCCCTGACCAAAGGCCTGGTGGAACAGCTCTGTCTTGCAGGCCCTGCGGAATGATGTGAGGTCCCACAGGGCCCTAGTCTCTTGTGACAGAGCGTTCCACCAGATTGGAGCCGCGGCCGAGAAAGCCCTGGCTCTAGTTGAGGCCAGCCTAACCTCTCTGTGGCCTGGGATCTTCAGGATGTTTTTATTTGCAGACCGTAAATTTCTCTGTGGGACATACCAGGATAGGCGGTCCCGTAGGTACGAGGGTCCTAGGCCGTATAGGGCTTTAAAGGTTAAAACCAGCACCTTAAACCTGATCCTGTACTCCACCAGGAGCCAGTGCAGCTGGTATAGTACCGGATGAATATGATCTCGCAGCGAAGACCCCATAAGGAGTCTCGCCGCGGCATTCTGCACCTGCTGGAGTTTCTGGGTCAGTCTCAAGGGCAGCCCCACATAGAGCGAGTTACAATAATCCAGTCTGGAGGTGACCGTCGCGTGGATCACAGTGGCTAGGTCAGGGCGAGAGAGATAAGGAGCCAACTGCTTAGCTTGGCGGAGATGAAAAATGCCGCCTTTGTTATAGCTGTAATCTGCGCCTCCATAGAGAGGGAGGTATCGAAGATTACACCCAAACTCTTAACGGACGATGCTGGCACTAATTGCACCCTCGCAAGAGATGGGAGTTGCCCCCTCAATCCCATATTGCCCCGTCCCAGCCAGAGGACCTCTGTCTTCGAAGGATTTAACTTCAACCGGCTCCCACGTAACCATCCAGCCACAGCTTCCAGACATCTGGTCAGTGTGTCTGGGGCCGAGTCAGGGTGGCCATCCATCAACAGATAGAGTTGGGTGTCATTGGCATACTGATGGCAACCCAGCCCAAAACTCCGGACAAGCTGGGCGAGGGGGCGCATAAAGTTGTTAAAAAGCATCGGGGAGAGAATCGCACCCTGAGGCACTCCACACACCAAGGAGTGGTGCGATGACAATTCCCCCCCAAGCGCCACCCTCTGTCCCAGACCAGAGAGAAACGAGCGCAGCCATTGAAGGACTGTGCCCTGGATCCCCACGTTGACAAGGCAGTGGTCCAGGAGTTCGTGATCGACCATGTCGAAGGCTGCTGACAGGTCTAGAAGAATCAGCAGCCCCGACCCGCCTCGATCCAGCTGCCTGCGGAGATCATCTGTTAGGGCGACCAGAGCCGTCTCGGTCCCATGACCAGCACGGAAGCCAGACTGGAATGGATCCAGAGCCGATGTTTATAGAGAAGAAGCATGGAGTTTATAGGAGAGAGGGGAAGTCTCATTGCATAATTGGGTGGATGGATATCCTAAGTTAGGTACTGAAATAGTCTTGCAATATATATGTTTGTTCTTAGGAGGGATGAAAAAGCCTTCACTCAATAACAGATAGTTGGATTTTGTGTGCAACATCCAACCTTACCTGTCATGAAATCATTACTTAAATACTGAAAAGCGGTTAGTCCTAATTTACTGGAGGGCAAACATCATTGTCTTGGATCATGATCAAATGAATTGGGGGGAAAACCAACTGGATGCTGTTACATGTTCCTGCACAAGTAAAAGATGGTACACATCTTTTTAAATCCTAGCTCTTAAGAAGCATCAATTTATATGTAACCCTTTACTTTATCCTTTATCCATGTTGAGGTGCCTGTTATTCATATGGAGGACAAAACCTATTCCACATCTAAACCAACATGCACAAGATCTATTTCACATCCAAACCAGCATGCACAACCAGCCAATCTGTTAGCTGACTCCAACTAATACATATTTTCTTTGAAAGCCTGCTAAAATCCATAACTTGTTGCTGTGCTCATTGCAAATTGTTACATTTGTCTTGACTTCATAGCAGACTGTTGCTAATTTCTGTCTTTATTTCAGTTCAGTTTTAATTGGTAAGATGAATTTTTGACTGTTAAAAGAGAAAAACTGAACATACATCAAATAAGTGGTGGTCAACTGTAGATGTGTCTATATTCATATTAAATTGTTTTGCTGTTAACTCAACTGCCATTCTAATTGGATCTTTCTATTCAGTCCTCCTCATGGAGAAGCAAAGGCTGGTTCAAGCACTCTTCCACCTGTGAAATCAAAAACAAGCTTTATTGAGGCAGACAAGTACTTCTTACCATTTGAATTGGCATGCCAGTCCAAGTGTCCAAGAATTGTTAGTACGTCATTGGATTGTTTGCAGGTCTGTATTGAATTATATGCCATTAACTTTTTTTCTTAAATTTGTGGTTTCCTTTTATAAAGGAAGGAAATATAGTTGTTTCCCTAAATTATATTTTTAATTGCTAACACAGTACAACTAGTGAGGTTTAAGTTGTTTGATAAAATTTCAGCATAGAGAAATTGTTGGTTTTAAAGGTAGATTGCCTTGCTAAGAATCTTTATTAGGAGACAGTTGGACTGCTCACTAGCCTGATTCAGATGTCATGGTTAATCTGTTGTTTAGTCGTGGGGAATGTGCTATAGACGTCTCGTGTTTCCTCCTTCCTTTACACACCAGTGTGCTTCCCTACTTCTTTGTTTGGGCCAACAGTAGTTTTTCTACTATGCTTTAATAAAACTGAAATAATGAACTAGAGTTTCTGGTTGTCATTTGGAGACAAACTATATGCAGTGGTAACCATTACTTGCCCTAGTTCAAATGCCACAGTAAAAGACGGTCACTGTAAACTGCACTGGTGATGGAGTGCACCACTGTCTTGCTAGTTCCCACTTGGATCTGTTTTCCCTCTCATCTCAAGTGTATCCCAGGATTTTAAGAAATCTAATACTCTGCAATGTTACTGTCAATGAGAATTACCCTCATGGTACAAAATATAATAATGTGTTAAGCTGGCTTGTTCAGTAGTACTTTTGCTTTACTCCCCAGAAACTTATAGCTTATGGACATTTAACTGGCAGTGCTCCAGATAGTACAGCGCCTGGGAAAAAATTGATTGATAGAATTATTGAAACAATATGTGGCTGCTTTCAAGGTCCTCAGACAGACGAGGGGGTTCAGCTACAAATTATAAAGGTAATCTGATGTCAACTGATCATTAGCTCTCATTAGAGTTTGCTGTTGAAATGAGTTCTACGCCCAAGACAGTGACCTGCAATTCAAGCATGTTGAACAAGAGCTGAAGCTGAAAACATGTAATAGTTTGTTTAATCAGTTTGTACCTTAATTGGACAAGAATATTCATTCAATGTTGCTTATCAGTTTCACAAAAACATTTTACGGTTAACAAAAATAGAATTGCTTTTTCAGGGCCCTGTCTAATAGGTTTGGACCAGCAGAAAGGTGATTGGAATTGACAGCTACAACTAAGCAGTCATTTGGCTGGAATATGAGAGAATTAATTCCATGAATCCTTTTCCCTCCCCTCTCATCATGTAGTTGCTGTAATTAAAATTTATAGCACTTATATGTTTAGAGTGAGGAACATCACACATAGACTGTAAAGACCTTTATAAAGTTGATAGTGGGTATTTTGGGATTTACTGTGGAACTAATCTGTGCTCAGGAGCCAGGTGTCATCAGGAAGAAGGCTTTCATTCCACATAGTGGCCTCTTTGAAATAGTGCTAAAAGTGGGTTAGTAAATAAGAATTATTCTTGAACAATTTATGTCTGAAATGCATATTGAGTAGTTATGCAATGTTGAGTTGGAGGTTCAGTGCCTTGATTTACAAACTGAATTTTCCTTCCTTGTTCTGGGCATGGATTTTTCCAGTTTGTCTGAAACATGCTATTTAACATTTCAGGCACTCAGTTCTTCCATTAACTAGGTACATTGTCCTTATTCAATGGAAAGACAGAGATAAATGTTTAATGAATAAGATCATTAAATGCACAATCACACCATTGCTTAATTGCAGCAGTAAGGAGAAAATGATATGTGCATGCTTCCTTGTGTACAAAGGTCCTATTTAAATGGTTATAGGAGCCATTGGCATAAGATCCATCTTCTTTAAATGCACTTAGCATGTGTGTCCTGGTCTTCATATATATGATGATGGCATGGCAGCAGTCTGGCTTTGCTACTGTATCTTAAAACTGCACACTCAAAAAGCAGGGTACACATTAAGCATATTTAAATGAGGTGAGAACCTCAGTATTTTCAATTGCTAACTTTATTTTAAATTTTTTAGGCTCTACTCACAGCAGTAACTTCTCAGCACATAGAGATTCACGAAGGGACAGTGCTGCAAGCTGTAAGAACATGTTACAATATCTATCTTGCAAGCAAAAATCTCATAAATCAAACCACAGCCAAGGCTACTCTCACACAAATGCTGAATGTTATATTTGCACGTATGGAAAACCAAGCAGTAAGTATGTTTGCATTTCAAATTGATATTGATTTCAAATGCATATTTAAATTCTAGTATTCCTGTGCAACACTTGGATTGATTTGCCAGCTATGTCCATGTTGTTTAATTTGAAATAATAGTCCAGTGAAAGACACACAATTTAGCTTGTACGAATTTCATGTATAGAATACAACAGAGGACCAGAAAAATTGAAAGAAGCCCTGAATTGTACATCTTTTAATTTATGGATATTAACGTTTCGTACTATCTGGTGTGTAGAGGAGCAGGCATGGTTGTTCTGATAGAAGAGATTTTCTTTCATACTTTATTTGTTTGTTTGTTTGTTTATTTCATAGCTTCAAGAAGCCAAGCAAATGGAGAAAGAGAGACATCGGCAGCAGCACCATCTACAGCAGTCGCCCTTAAGCCATCATGAGCCTGAATCACCTCAATTGAGACATATTTCAGAGCAGACTATTGATCAGCTCTCCCAGGACCATGAAGGGGACTTGGACCATCATGCAAATGATGTGGACAAAAGCCTTCAAGAAGACACAGAAGCAGAAAATGGATCTGATATTTCCAGTGCAGAAAATGAACAGACTGAAGCTGACCAAGCAACAGCAGCAGAAAGTAATAATGGGCGTCTTTTTCTTGTCATAGTGGGGTGAAAGTGGGTATGAAGTCTTGAGAAATAATTACTACTTTTTCATTTCGCTAGAGTAACATGTAGATTGCTATCAGGTGGTGTTATAAGGTTTATTGATTCTTTACAAAGCTATGTTGTAGTCACAGTTGACATTCTACTTGTTTTCTAGGTAATTGCTATCACCTCAGATTAGATAAATGCAACGAATAACTATCAATTCTGTTTAAGAGCTATTTCTTTATAAAGTAATAAAACTGACTCGAATGGAATCCTGATATATTTTGAGTAATATATTTTCTGTTTTTATTTTGTAGCTCTGTCTAAAAATGATACAGGGCCATATGATGGAGAAAGCAATCAATATGAAGAAACGGCACAGGATATTGTACAAAGTATAGTCCAAGAAATGGTGAACATAGTAGTAGGAGGTACTATACTTACCTTTAAAGTGTATTGCTGAATTGAGAAGGGACTTGCAGGAACTTAGTAGAAGGAAGTAGTGGTAAAATTCCTTTGTGTGTAGGGCAAGAAGTTGGGCTTTAAGTAAAATGATAATGTAGACTTGACCTTCACTTAAAATATTGTGCATTACTGAGGTCTAGTTCATATGTAAACAGTATCAGTCTTATTATGATTTATCAGAATGAGAACAAGTGGTGTACCTGTGCATGCTCTCCTGTTTCTCATACTCTGGTTGGTTTCACATGTAACACTACAGCAAACTAGCACAAATGATGAATCGATAATAGATTTCAGCTGTTTTGCTTCTCCTCGCTTGTTCTGCCTTTGGGCTGTGCTAAATCATGAGCTAAATCATGTACTGTCCATTCCCAGTCTCATGGATTTGCTTTCTCCACACAACCCATGAAATGTAACCAATATTTGTCCTATAATTTATAGCTTGTGGTTTGGTAGGGCTGCACTGTAAGCCTTGGTACAGACAACACTTTGAGCCAAACCATGACTTAGCATAGTGCAGCAGCAAATTGACCATGGAGGAATAAAATGACCCTGATCTCCTCTCCAGGAGCCCACACATTTGCTCATTCATGTTAAACTATGGTTTGACTTAACTTTATGTGTGAACCAGGACACTGTAGGAGAATACTTTGCAAGGTTGTTTAAATAACAGTTTCCTATTACATACAAACTGGAAAACTGTGGTTTAATCTCTCTTTACAAATCAGGATATGAAATCTGGTTTAATAAAACCATGGTTTCTTACATTGAGATCATTCTGTTTTAATTGAGCCTGAGAGATTTTGTCTTGTATCTAAATATGTCTTCCAGTCATTGTTGATTCCTTAAACCTCTCTGTTATAGGACTTTGGCTTATTAAAGAAATATAATCAGTGGAAATTGAAGAGTCAAATGACACTTTAATTTAGTCATATCTCAGTTATTTCTACAGCATCACCTGTTTTTAGCTGCACTGGTGCTCATATTAGTAAGGCAAGCAGAAAAATGTTTTGGGGCAGTTGTGTTTCTGTTAAAGGGAAATTTCAAGTGATACTTGAGCTAATGAGTTGACCTAGTTTGAGTTATCAGGATTTGACAACTTATTTCTATATTTTTTCACTCCTTCTGTATGAGCTCTTCACAGCAGGTTTTCTTTCTCTCCTGAGAAACTTAATGAGATGTTTATTAGTTATGACACTTTAATAAAATGTTTGATCAGAGCTGAGAAAATGCTATAAATTTTGGGGTTCTGGCCCTGTTTAGTGCTGAAAAATTAATAGTTTATTATAGACTGCCATAACAAATAATGTATGTGTTATGGTCATAATTCAATAGACTAATATTATAAAACCCACATTAGCTCTAGGTAGCTCATTAAACTAGTTTCCTGTAGTTACTGTCAGCAAAGCTGAACATTTGTTTTAATTTTTAGGTGCTAACATTAAACTCTTGGTAGTTCTTTGTCTTGGTGAACATGATACTTTTTCAGCCAGGTGTTTTTTTAATGTTGAAAATGTAATGTCTTTCTAACACTGATTTTATATAGTAGTATGGAACCAAGGCTATCTGTTGTCAGGCTGAAAATCTTCTGGTCTTGTATTTGACAATGTACATTAAAGATTTGACATTTTATTCTACCAATAATATTAATACACCTTCTTATTAATTCCTTTTAAATATCATGTTTTTTATTACATGGTTCTTTTATCCTGTAGATGTGGGACAAAGAACTGCTGAAAAGGTTATGATTGATGGACCAGTGGGGACTTCAGAAGATGGAAGTGACAGTGAAAACATCCAGGCAAATGGAATTCCAGGGACACCTATTTCTGTTGTTTATACACCATCTTTACCTGATGACAGGTTATCAGTCTCTTCCAATGACACTCAGGTATAGGCATGTATGCTTAGTCTTAAACCCAGTACACCTTTTCAATATAATTATGTCAGATTACAATTTAAATAGGGGGCCTTTTACATTGAAATGGTAAATGCTATGTAAAGAGAGCTTGCAAAATTCTGTAGTACAGATACTTTATGACAAAGATTATTACTATGTCCTAGGCCAAGATTATGTGTGATATTGCAGTAAAATAAAATGCAGGAATAATCTTTGACTCTTGGATTTACAACAGCATGAATATGATAGCTTTCATTTTTATAGTAATTTCAGTTCTATCAATTGGTAGCTAATCAGTTTTTGTTTAAATTCACTCTCAAAGTCACTTCTGAGCTCTTTGAGTTTCTAAGAGTACATAACACAAAGGCTGATTTCTGATTTGCTGACTATAATTTTCCAGGAGCCAAAATGGTATATATCTGATCACTATCACTGAAGAATGTGGTGTAAATTGACTTTTTGAACCAAACCGCTTCAGAAATGTTAGGCTTGTGATTTTTTATCATGACAGCTGACTTTGAAAAGTACAGTGATAACTGCTGCGTTATTTGCTAGCAAATATTTTATCATATCCTTCTATCCCCAAGCTTGGTTTTTACTCCATACACTCCTGCTTAATGCTAAAAGGCTTATTAAAAACGTGTTAATTTCTTTAGGAATCTGGAAATTCTTCAGGACCTACCCCTGGTGCTAAATTTTCCCACATCTTGCAAAAGGATGCCTTCCTAGTATTCAGGTCACTGTGTAAACTCTCTATGAAGCCTCTGTCTGATGGTCCACCTGATCCAAAGTAAGTTGAGATTCTTCTGCTATGAAATACTTAGATGATGTATATGTATCCGTAGCTGCACTTCCTCCTCCTGATGCACTATCATGCGATGCAGCATCTAACGCAATATATTTAACAGTATCACTATCATTGAATCATAGAAAGCACATCTAGAATACAGTGCAACAGAATCAATGAAAATAAATTAAGCTTCTGGATAAATTATATTTGGAAACTTTGGGGTTTGGAAGTTCTGTTCCATGCACATGAAGTCCTCTCTGCAGTCAATTGGGTTTTATGAGGGACTTGAATTGAGAGTAACTAAAAGTATCTTCCTTTGGGCTACCAATCTTGTCTTCATGATTATGTTCCTTGTACCTCAGAATAGATACTACTGGATAACCCTTGTTTGAGAATAATAGAAGATGACAATTATTTAGATGACAAGCAGTTTTTCAGATGATACATTAATCACTAGTGCTAACATATAAAACAGAAATGGTGGTTTAAGAAATAATTGTTTTGGATTAGACCCTAAGAGGTGGGTTGAATCCTAGCATGTCCTTCCTGTCATGGAATAGTCCCATAGGATCCAGTCCTTCTCCTTTCGATCCAACACCCTGAATTATATGTTTATATAATTTATAGGCAGCCCAAATGGGCTGACTTCCATGGGAAATGTATTGGCAAATATTTGGTAAAAACTTAAAGTATATATGAAGTCCTTAAATTGATTTTGGCAATTTAACGGAAGTTTAAAGTATTTACGCTGCAGGATATCACATGCAACATAACACTTCCATAGCAGCATGTTAGTACTTAAGTGAGAAAAAAGGACACTGTACAAGTCTTTTTCAAATTTTATTTTAGACCAGCAATGTATAGAAATATTCCAGTATATATCCAATTTGATTTTCAGCTTTTCACTGGCCTGTTAGGAATGCTTGCAAGCAACTTTTTTTCAGTTTGTATGTTAAATTGCAATGTTTTGTGCAGTACACCTTTATTTTACCAGTCTCAGTTCCAGGTCAGCAGGATGTGTTGATGATTGAAGGCAAGCAGCAACCTTTTGAGAGGTAGGGCTCCCATCATGCGGTTCTGCTCCTGCCTTCATCAAGGTCAGCCAGTTACCATTAGCTCCTGGTTTATTCATTCTTTGCCTTCTTTTACCTACCTTAATACTTTAATAGTATAGATAGCTTCCTTATCCATGTAAGTGCTCTGGGAGCTTTATTGGCTGAGGAATGGGGCTGAGAAATGCCCAGTGTGGATCCACCCATTTCTATCCTAGTTTATGGGGACTTACAGGATGGGAAATCCATTGCCAGGATGTTTCAATCCAAGGTCAGTGGTCACCAGCAGAAGTGACAATGAACATCAACTGGCTGGAACTCAGGGCTGCTCATCTTACCCTCCAGCACTTCCCAAGCCATCTTCCCCTTCCTTATCTGAACAGACAGCACAGCAGCCAAACGGAATATCAACAAGCAAGGCTCAACTCAACTCTGGGATCTCCTGAAGGAAACTGCTAATGAATTGGGCAGAAGTCAACATTCAGTTTCTCACTTCAGAGCACATCTCAGGCCTCCTACACATCCAAGTGGATTGGCTCAGCAGGAAGCTCAGAAGTTGGATCAGGTGGAGTGGCAGCTGAATTTACAAATATTCCAGCTCATCCACTATTGTTTCAGCCAGTGCCAAGTCTACCTCTTCACCTCAGAAATAATCAGCTCCCTTGCTACTTCACCAGGTTTCACACTCTGAAAGCAGAAGCCTGGGGTGCTCATCTTGCCCTGGCCTCAGGGACTACTCTATGCATTTTCCCCAGCACCTGTTTTGACACAAGTCCCATGCAAGACCAAGGAAGAAAAGATCAGAGTAATTCTTGTTGCACCATTTTGGCCACCCTGACCCTGGTTTCACAAAATCCTGAGTCTCTACATCTGCCCCCCCCCCCCCTACACAGTCTACTACACAGACTGTGGAATTTGAATGGGAACGTTTTACAAAAAGAAAGTTCTTGTCAGCAATGATAGACATTTTTCTTTATTCCAGAATACCTGCTGTAATAAGCATCTAGCAAGCCACCTAGAAGGCTTTCCTCCTGTCATACTCCACCAAGCTTGACATTTCCACCATTCTGGAATTTCTCCAAGAAGGCCTACAAAAAGGTCTGAAAGTTAATAGTCTGAAACATCAGGCAGCAGCGATCGCCTCAATTCTTTCAAAGTCACACTCTCCTCCCCTCTCCTCTTACTCCTTACTCCTCAGAGGTGCTGCACTAATTTGTCCCCCCACTATTGACAGATTCCCTTTATGGAATCTACACAGGGTCCGTTTTGCCCTGCAATGGCCCCCTTTGAACTTCTCAGATGAGTTTCTCTCCAAATCCTGTCTCTCAAAGTGGTTTTCCTCATTGCTATTGCCTCTGCCCACAGAGTCTCCAAATTAAACATGCTCTCTATCACTAAACATCTCTGTATTTTCCACGAGAACAGAGTAGTTCTCAGGACTGATCCCTCCTTTCTGCCGAAAGTCTCTTCTTGTTTCCACCTTCAACAGGAGATCGTTTTACCAACCTTTTGCCCATCCCTGGTATACGCCAATGAAAGGGCCTGGCACTCACTAAATGTTTGTAGAGCCCTAAGGTCAATATAGCCAGAACTGAAGCTGCACAGACAATCCAAGAGCATATTTGTCTCCATCCATCCCCCTCTCCCTGGGGAATAAGGTGTCAACAACCACTCTTTACAGATGCATCAAGGCATGTATAGTGCTAGCATACAAAGCCCAAAAGATCTATGTTCCTCAGCATATCACAGCCCACTCCACTAGGTCTGCAGCCACTTTGGCCACCTTTCCCTCTCACACTCCTTCAGGAGATTTGCCGCACAGCCACCTGGGCCATGCCTTAGCATTTTACCAGACAATACTGCTTGAACACATACACCTCACCTGAGGCAGTGTTCGGTCAGAGGCTCCTGCAGCAGGTGCTCCTCCCTAGCTCCTGCAGTTGTAGCTATTGCACATCCCATCCTGCTAACCTGTAACTGGAAATGGAGAAAAGTACAGTTTCACTCACCTGAAATGTAGTTTTCCATTCCCGGTGATAGGTCAGCAGGCCCCACCTTTGGTAGTGAGCTGCAAGAGTCTTTTTTCCTTTCTGTCATTTCCTTATACCGTTCAAGTTGGTTGTAGTTTTTGTTAGGAGGAGGTAGGTTTTCCTCCCGTTCTTTATGACTCCTGCTTTCTTGAGCTTGGTGAGTCCTTGAACTGCATGATGGGAGCCCTGCCTCCTGAACGGTTGCTTCCTGCCTTTGATCAGGGGGAGGAGCCACCAACCAATCCTGCTGACCTGGAACTGGGAATGGGAAACTACATTTCAGGTGAGTGCAACTGTAGTATTGGGTTCCCCCTGCCCCGCAAAAAAAGTACTGGACACAACTGATAGTAAATCTCCCATGCCGTCAAAGGGGACAAAATTTATCCTTATCTTGTGCCTATGATTTAGAAATAAAAAGAGCTCTCCCCTTCTCCCCCTCTCAGTGCACAAAGAGGGGGGGAAATATTTAGGAGAGCCGACATGAGTTTTTTGAGAATTGACAGGCTAGCATTTAGGACATTGTAACTGCTCCATAAAGGTCAAGGTGCTGTTCATAGCAATGAAAGTGATTAAACTACTGTTCCTGATTGGTGTATTGTGCCTGGGGTGTATGAAATACACAGTGTGCTCTACTGTAAACACTCACTTTCAGTAAATCATTGTGCAATGGTAGTTGTCTAATACATTAAGTGGTTGGTTTATATTTTATATAATTGCCTAGGATTTTCTAACAATAGCTTAGAGATGTTCTTAGTCGTTTTTATAAAGAGAAATATCTCCCACGAATTGTTCAAATAACTGCAATTATTCCTTCTAGGTCTCATGAATTGCGGTCAAAGATCCTTTCATTGCAGTTGCTGCTGTCTATTCTGCAAAATGCAGGACCTGTTTTCAGGACAAATGAAATGTTTATCAATGCTATTAAGCAGTATCTTTGTGTTGCACTGTCTAAAAACGGAGTCTCGTCTGTTCCAGAAGTGTTTGAACTTTCGCTTTCTATATTCCTCACTCTACTTTCAAATTTTAAGACTCACCTGAAAATGCAAATTGAGGTAAGTTAACATCCAGCAATTTAAGCACCTTACTTGAAGTAATTCAGTATCCCTCTAGGCATCGCATACTGTTCAGTTAAAATACATAAGGTTCATAAAATAACAATTTTGTTTTAGCCTCAGACTAACTTGACTTCATTAGGTTTAATGATCACCTTGTTTTAAATAAACTCATATAAATCGACCCAAAACTGCTACTTATCAAGAGCACAATTTACTGCAGCATTCAAAGAAAAGAATTGTAGATGTCATCCCTAAGCATTTTTTATTGCTGGCCTGAGTTTACTAACTAATTAACTGTTGGTTGAGCATTTCATTTGCTACTGTATTATTGTCACCTGCCACTGCTCTTCTTCGTTTTACACATTATCTGTACCAAAATGTTGCTGTTTTAGTTTGTATTTCAGTTGTTTTTTCATGTTGTGTAATGTTTTTCTTATAAACCTTCAGTAAACATCTAGTTGGGGGAGTGGGGTGAGGGGAGAGAATAGAATTGTACCCTCATGCAGATGTTCAGATAGCAAAGTAGGGAATCGGGATCATCCATCCCCCACTGCATCTCCACCTGTCATTAATGTGTTGGACTTCAAGTTTGTGTGGCTTCACTTATAGACCCTTGATGTAGGTAATCCCTTATCAGCATGATCTTTGCAGCCCAGATACTGGAGGCAGGGCCTATATACTCTGTGTGTGTGTGTGTGTGTGTGTGTGTGTGTGTGTAGGCCTCTATGCAAATTTGAAATTGAACACATGTGAGCATGGGGATTGATTTATACTCCATTTTTCTTTTAAAATCGTAGCTAAAGCTGCTTACAATAAAAGAGAAGATAACGTAATAAAACAAAGCAATAAAATAATACATCTATTAAAATACTGAACAGCTTTAATTGAAACTGATGCTTCAGTCAAACCAGCATAAAAGCATTGTCTTAGCTCTTACCTCTAATTAGCACCAAAAGTACCTGAGAAATATAGGGTAAAACTCAATACATCATTTGACTCGAAAAGGTCATTGTAAAGCACCGAATTATTTTTTCATCATACAAATACCTCTTGCCAATTTATGAAGCTCATACCTAAAATGAATGAGTTTCTTCATGGTTCCAGAAATACTCATAGAAAACATACTAAATTAAAATATATAACTGTGTAAATGTATATATAAGTGATTTGCATATTGAAATGACAGGCACTGTACAGTTTATTACATTCTGCCTCCACCTTTGGAAAAAGGCAGGAAGTTATCATTTTCCAGTGGTGAAGATGAGAGTTGGTGATGAGGATTTAGTCTTGTGTGTGTTCTGCCTTCTGCTGTTCATCTCCTATTTGCTATGTGGCAGCGGGGATGGATACTTGTTACAATTGTTTATGATAAAGTTGCAGGCTGTTTTAATACTAGCTTTGCATGTTGGTGTTCCCATTTCCTGTAGGCACTGTGTGCATATATAAAATATAGGAAATTTCCATTTAGATGTGTCTCTTTGGTGGAAAGTGGGTACCTCTCTTGAGAAACTTTTCTCAAAACTTCTACTCAGCCATGCTGATGAGATTTATGAAAAACAATAACCTGACATGTCATATTCTAACCCATATAGAGGCAAAATACTTAGCTTCTTAGACAAAAGAATCTAAAGAATTGTGAAGTTAGTTCTGTGATTTCCAAAAAGGGCTCTAAGAGTTGTGGGTTGTTTGACATGACGTTGGGTTGAACTGGTCCCCCCAAAAGTTCAAAAACAACAATATGGGCTAGTCATAAGTAGCTCTTTGGCTTCCAGCCATGGGAAAGTGGTGAACACATTTTTTTATGTAGCTGTATCAACAGGCTTCACACAACTGACTAATGTCTTGGAGGCAGAAGATTCTTAAGTATGTAGCTATTGCCGCTTATGCCCTAGGTCGGATATTAACTAGCCTGAAAGCTGTTGTCAGCTGACAAAAGCATTGTATTCAAGGATGTTCCTTTTCCAAATGGAAAAAGGCACTTTAAGAACCAGTTGGGACGTTCTCTTTCATGGTTTATGAATCCAAGAATGAGCATTGAATCCATGCACCATTTCCACCCTACCTACCTCTGCACTCTGCCTTCAGTGCACAGATCCTGGATTTCTTAAACCAGGGCTGTCTGTTTTTTGTTTCTGTTTTGCTTTTTTCAACTTTGCCTAGCAGGACATCCGAATGCAATTTAACGGAGCTGATAGATTAGTAATTGGAGTGAATGCAATTACTGTTAAAATCAGACTTTGTGACCTACAAGAACTCTCTATGAATCATTTCCCTTGAATTAAAATGTTCCTGTACAACACATGGCTACCTATTGTCCTGATGAAGGGAATAACATATTTTTATTAGCATCGGTGCTAAATCTATATAGCAAGATTAAGATATGAATTCTATATATGTTAAGCTTTGCATGGGCCAGATGTTGGATTATAACAGTTAATGAATGAAGTACAGGGAAATAAATGTAACTTCTTTCTGTCCATACCATTTTTCCTAGGTTTTCTTCAAAGAGATTTTTTTGTATATCTTAGAAACCTCTACTAGCTCCTTTGATCATAAATGGATGGTTATACAAACACTGACAAGGATATGCGCAGGTATTACTCCATTGGGCATACCTATTTGCTTTTCAAAGGTTTAGGGTCACATGTCTTGCTGGTTTTGAGGGGTTTTGTTGCTATGCCTATATGTTTACCTAGCAAAGCTTTTCAATGTATAATTATGTTCCTGTTACAGATGCCCAGAGTGTAGTGGACATCTATGTAAACTATGATTGTGATTTGAATGCTGCAAACATATTTGAAAGATTAGTTAACGACCTGTCCAAGATTGCTCAAGGAAGAGGCAGCCAAGAACTTGGAATGACCAACATTCAGGTAAAAACTATGGCATATCTCTGTTTGTTTCTAGTAGTAAAAAAACAATTAAATTAACATTGAATATTACCTAAATCTTTTTGCAAATATATACAAATTATTGCAGGAGCTAAGCCTGAGAAAGAAGGGACTTGAATGCTTAGTCTCCATATTGAAGTGCATGGTGGAATGGAGTAAGGATCAGTATGTAAATCCCAACTCTCAAACAACCCTAGGTAAGCTGTTTTGACATTCTTATTCCTTAGTGACATGTTGACCTGAAATGCACTGGAGTTGATTTTCCTGTTTGCTAAGTATGACAACTTGCCCTGCTCAGATATGTAAATTACTGCAGCTACAGGTATGATTGGGCTTTGCATGCATGTGTGAAGTCTGCAAATAATAGAGCGTTGGATCCAGAGAGACACCTATAGAGGAAATACTGGTGTTGGCACTTTTCTACAAACTGTTACACAAGAGACTTCAAACAACCGCGTTCTTACCCAAGCACATATTTTGAGACCTTAGGCAAGAGATCATGCAATACCATGTGATGACAGAAGCACACAATTATCTCTCCTCACATTTTGTTAAGTTGGGAAAAGTTCGTCCATCTGCAGTAGTTTTCCCACAGCCACTTGCCAGACGGTTTCCTACATCCTTTACAGTTATGTAAGCTGCTTTTATGTCATCATATAATGTGCTGCAAGGATTCACAATGTCTAGAATTGTAGCATGCTTTGATCTTGTAAAGGTTTGTATCATTCGTTATAATAAATACATCTGTCAGGATACAGTGGTACCTTGGTTCTCAAACTTAATCCGTTCTGGAAGTCCATTCCAAAACCAAAGCTTTCCAGAACCAAGGTGTGCTTTCCCATAGAAAGTAATGCAAAACGGATTAATCCAGACTTTTAAAAACCCCTAAAACTGCAATTTAACATGATTTTTCTATCTAATGAGACCATTGATCCATAAAATGAAAGCAATAATCAATGTACTGTACATAAAATAAATAAGACAATATTGTAGATGATAAAAATTAATTTTTTTTTCCTTACCTGCACTGATGTTAGTCATTGTTTGGATGGGGGGCTTTTATCCATTTCTGCAGTCACACAATCAATCAGTCAGTAGCTGAACTGGGTTCCACACAGTCACAAAAACAAATTAACCAAAAAAGCCTCAAAAACACAAAATAAATAGCAAAAACAAAAGCACCAAACTTTATCGGTTCTGAAGTCCGTTTGACTTCTGAAATGTTCGAAAACCAAGGTGCAGCTTCTGATTGGTGCAGGCGCCTCGGAAACAATAGCCAACAACTGCACCAGACGTTTGGCTTCTAAAAAATGTTCAAAAACCGGAACACTTACTTCCAGGTTTTTGGCGTTAAGAACCAAGGCGTTTGAGAACCAAGGTACCACTGTATTATTTTAAATCTTTCAACTTTTTGTTATTATTAATTTTCTTCCAACTTTCAGATCTGATATTCTTGTTTAGGTTTATTTTCCCCCAAAAATAAAAATGTTAATCTTATGACTCTCTGTCACATAGAACTAATGATGTATATCTTACTAAATATTATTAATAACTAGACTTTGAATGTGATGATGGACAGTTAACAAATTGGCAACTTCTAAAAATGGTACAAACATCAACTAAATTGTAAAGATCATTTTCCTTTGCTATTCTTGTGCAGGACAAGAAAAACCCACAGAACAAGACAGCACTGAAACAAAACACCCTGAGACAATTAACCGATATGGCAGCTTAAATTCCTTAGACTCCACAGCTTCATCAGGAATTGGTAGCTATAGCACGCAGATGTCTGGTACTGACAATCCAGAGCAGTTTGAGGTTCTAAAGCAACAGAAGGAAATAATAGAACAAGGAATAGATTTGTAAGTTTATTTGTTTAACCCATAATGTAAATTGTCAGAATGCAGGGGAGTCTCCTGATACCATTTTCTTTCATCTACTACCTTTTACTTCCTTTGTAGAAAGAATATTGTAGCATCTATTTTTCAAAGTGCTAACTTCACTGGAACTGTACTTACAAACTTCGAGGACTACAGACGTACAGGCCAATTATAAACATTAATCAGATTTAAGTCTTAACTGCATTCAGTAAGACTTATTTTCTAGGATGTGCACTTGGGATTTGAGCTTCAGTTTGACTCTGGTTTTCTTTTGGCCTTTTACCTCACTGTTACTAAGGTGTTACCCAATTACATCTATGCTGAAAGCTTTGGTAGTTTTTTTCATTCCTTTCTTTCCTGAGTTACTGCTGGAAATGGAGTAGGATGTGAATGCAATTGTTTAAAAAACAAAACTCAAAAACCAGAAATGTGGACAAAGATCAGATGGAAACAACAGTGATAATAGATATAAAGTCAAGGAGAAGTAGACTAGTAATATTGCATAGGCATTTAGAAGGAATTTAGAATTTACTGTGATCTTATTCTTATGTGTATTAAGAAGTAGTTATGAGGAACTGCGAGGTGGAAATATGACAGCCTGATGTTAAAATATATTATAATCTTTATATCCTTTCCCTTCTCTTGTCAGCTTCCCCACCCCACAAAAATGCATTCAAATATTTTAATAGTATGGTAAATTGGAACTTCTTCTACTAATTTATTATTGCTTAGGGATGGGTTTCTTACTCTTCAAATTATGGCTCAGATCCAGAAGAAGATTCTCTGGGTTTTGATTTTTAAATGGGTCTTGGGATGATTGTGGTGCCAAGTTGTGAATCCCCCTCAGCATACAGATGTTTTTGCCTTGTATGTGCATTTTCAGTGATTAATGAACATGTGATTTAACATACAGGTTTAATAAGAAACCAAAGAGAGGAATTCAGTACCTGCAAGAGCAAGGTATGCTTGGTACTACTCCTGAAGATATTGCCCAGTTCTTGCATCAAGAAGAAAGATTAGACTCTGTAAGAAAAATGTTATTAATGTCCAATGTATTTCATATGCGATTTACTTTGTAAATACAATTGCAGTAGTTTGAGCTAGACTTAAACTCATTCCTGTCATAACTGTGTAATGGTAAAGAAGTGTTTATAGCTACACCCCAGAGAGTTCATTTAAGCACACCCACACTCACATGTCCAGCAGGACTTGTGGCAAAACAAATTGAAGCAGCAGCAGCCCTTGTACCACTTTCCCCACTGCATGGTGAGCTCCCCCGAGTTACAAAGGTAGTTTGCTGTGTGAGCAAGAGACTACATTCTAAGAATAGTCCTACTGGCTGTCTGGAATATGTGTAGCTTGCATATAGCTTAGACCTGATTATGAATTTATAATAGATGGATAAATAATCCCATTTCAAGCATCTTAAGAGTTTCATCACAAATAAATGGAAGGCTTTCTCATCTGTGGTGTGTTATCTAATATAACTGCTCTCCCCTTTCGAAATAGCTGGTGGCAGTGGGAAAAAGACTGCCTTTACTGGCTTCAGCAAAGTAAAATTATCCCAGGTTTCCTCAGTGCAGCAGCATAGGATCATCCTTAAAAGGACAAATACAGTACCCATTTTTATTTTTAATTTAAATGTGAATACACTTCTGAAATCTAGAGCATCTTATAGGTCAAGATGAATGTGAAGATGATCTTCTGGGCATGTATGATCTTGGTTGATTAAACTTCAAATTTCAGAGCTTGAATGATGCAGAATCTGTTATGGGCCAGAACCGAATTGTCTCAAATGCTGTGGGCAACAGTTCATAGAACTGGGGGTTGGGGGAGTACAGTAAACTCCTGGAGGATACCATCCTAATGTGAGGTTGCTCTCTTGCTTACATTGGCAGTCAGCCAGTTTCTTGTCTTTTTTTAAATGGAAGGAGGTTTTCTTCCCCTGTCAAGCACTTCACTGGAGCTAATAAACTTTCCTGTGCTGTAGTGTGGATTGCAATAATCAGCAACCAACAGAGCAACATATTTTGGGTGTTTATTTTTTAAATATTTTTAAAAATGAAAAATGCCGTATGGCTGGATCACTTTCCATTTGGTTGTATACATGTTGACCTGACCTGGAATTAATTATTTTCATTTTAGACTCAAGTTGGGGAGTTCCTAGGAGACAATGATAAATTTAATAAGGAAGTTATGTATGCCTATGTGGACCAGCATGACTTTTCAGCAAAGGATTTTGTTTCTGCTCTGCGCATGTTTTTGGAAGGCTTTCGTCTTCCGGGAGAAGCTCAGAAAATAGATAGATTGATGGAGAAATTTGCTGCTAGATACTTGGAGTGCAACCAAGGGTAAGTGGCTTTCTCTTGCCTTTGTCTAATCTATAGCTGGATAAAGGGGGAAATTGATTATATATATTTTTTGTTTCAGGCAAACCCTCTTTGCTAGTGCTGACACTGCTTATGTCTTGGCTTATTCAATTATCATGTTGACAACAGATCTCCATAGCCCACAGGTACATTACTTAGAACCTATTAATTATAACTTGAATCTACAAAGTGGCTCACTCAGATTTATTAAACCAGCACCATTTTAAGCTGACTTTACTTCTGATTTAAATAAATCTTATTTTCCTCCTGCATCTTAAGTCTTGATTGCAACCCCTTGACCCTGGAACACCTTCCCAAGAGTTCCAGATGGCTCCCATGTTGATGATTTTTAGGCAGGTGGTAAAAACTTATTTATTTCTTCAGGCTTCTGGCCTGTTTTAAATTCTTGCCTGCTGATTAGATTTGTCTGGGTAGATTGTGGGGTTTGTGCATGCGTCTTTTTAAATGTTCTGTCCATTTTTTGTATTGCTTTACTATGTTGTAAGCCTTTTGAGGGCCGAAAGGCAAGGAACAAACAATTTTATAAAGTCTGCTGTTTTCTGCCACAGTAGGGGCATTTCTGTATATGAATGTGTTACAGTACTTTAGATAAGGAAACCAACATAATGAAACATACTTTTGCTTAGATGTTACCAGCACTATTAATAGAACAGATATGTTATTCAAAGGCACCCACAGACAAAAGTTTGGTGAATGCTAGTAGGCAGGCCATTCAAGTGCACAGTGTATTGAATATGAACCAGGCCTTTTTCTTCAGAACTGCCCTTGGAGAGATATGGAAGCTGCCATTATCATTCTGATTTTAATAGCCCACTTCTATGTCCGTATGAAGTTGATGAAGTTTAAGAGCCAGTGTGGTGCAGTGGTTAAGAGCAGTGGACTCGTAATCTGGTGAACTGGGTTCGCGTCTCCGCTCCTCCACATGCAGCTGCTGGGTGTCCTTGGGCCAGTCACATTTCTTTGAAGTCTCTCAGCCCCACTCACCTCACAGAGTGTTGTGGGGGAGGAAGGGAAAGGAGAATGTTAGCTGCTTTGAGACTCCTTCGGCTAGTGATAAAGCGGGATATCAAATCCAAACTCTTCCTCTTCTTCTTAATCAACAGTAGCAGAGACTGGTGGGTAATGGAGGAGAGAGAGAGATACTTCAGTGTGTGGACTAGATGGGATCCTTCCCTGGGTATTTTTTCTTGAAGGTTCCTCTCTCGGTAGATTCTGTGACTATGTATCCATACATCCTAGTGTAATTCCTACTGATGTTGCTTTCATGGCTAATACTAAACTGCTCCCCCCCCCCCCTTAATTTCTAGGTAAAGAATAAAATGACAAAAGAACAATACATTAAGATGAACAGAGGTATCAATGATAGCAAGGATCTCCCTGAAGAATATCTATCTGCCATATATAATGAAATAGCAGGGAAAAAGATATCAATGAAGGAAACAAAAGAGTTAACGATACCAACAAAAACAAGTAAACAAAGTAAGCCCCCACAGCATACCAAGCTTCACAGAATAATTGTTGCTTCTCGCTTTCTTGTTGATACTGACAACCAACCTAATAAAACTACCTTGTTATAATGCATCTTTCAAAAAATAATAATCAGTGAGCAAGTACATGTACACATCTCATTACTCTTCTGCATTCTCTGTCTTTATATAGAGATAAAAAACTGTGTGTGCAAATAAATGGCAACAGCAAAATTGCACTAAAATGCAATATAGGAGGGAAGTTAAAATAAATGCATTTTCATATTTCATATATATGTAGCTTTCTGTTGAAACCAGCATATGTATTGTGTGTTTTTTATTACAACCATGATTTTGTTGGAACTGAACCTGTCCTTGTCTAAATTTCTAGTTGTACAGGCATGTTTCAAACGGTTGGCCTTCCTCTCCTGCAATTGATAACACTCATGAAATCTGTAATAGTTCTTGTTGCAAACATTAACTGTTCAAATTTCAGCTCTGAATATCAACATATTATATATTGGAGTCAATATTTTCAAGGGAGTAGGCAGAGTTTTGTTAGGGTGTAACAAATTACCCCCCACCCGCTTTATCCTTCAAAACCAGTCCTTTTCCAGTTTTATTTGTATTCTTAAGAAAATCTATGTGTGTGGCTAAATCGTGGATGATAAATCACTTGCAATAATGAGTGGGGAACCTGGACCAATGCTTCCATCATCCCTGGCCATTGGCCATGCTTGTTGGGGCTTAGGATGTGCAGTCCAGCAACATCTGGAGAGCCATGGGCTCCTAATACCTTCTTTAGATTATTTCAATGGGGTTGACATCAAGTGATGCCTGTCTAATTGTGCCATAGATTTCCTCTACTCCTTTAGCATATCGCCCCTTTCCCAATTTGAAAACTGAAAACGTCTTGTTTAAAAGCTAAAAACATTCCATTGTGTCTTTGTCTTGTGAGAAACAAGTCAAACCTTATATGGTAAAATGGGCAAAGGTTTTACAATTGTATATGGTACAGTTAGCAAAAAGTGTTAGAACTGTTAATAAGAAAGTGGAAATAGGTTTCATATATGGTAGATGTCTGAAGCCAAGAGAGTACTGAGTAAAGATAAGGAATAAAAGAGAGCTAATAACACAGAGATCTGGAAACTGATCCACTCTTGTTTTTGTTATGCAAGAGATTTGCCAGTGGGTTTCCAGTAAATAAATATGTATATGTGCATTGTATTAATGGCAAGATTTTGTATGCCTATCAGTGAAGGACAGCAATTCCTACAGTGCGGGTAGAATATATGACTGCATGGTTATTTAAAAACTAACCAAGTTAGAATGTAGGAAGGAAGACAAACATAAAACAATTTTTTATAGGATGGAAACCATTTATTTATTGAATGTTGACAGAACAGAGCGCGTCCATAGGCGGAAAACATTTATTTCTTTGATTAAAAATGTATCAACATGATTGTTACAAGTTGTGCATATATTGCTGATATTATAAGTATGTTTTTCTTTGTATATTTGTTTTGTCTTTGTTTAGATTTTGTATAGAATAAATTGTTTTAAAAATGTAATAGATGCACTTGCTTCCAGGTGTAGCTAGTGAAAAGCAGAGGCGACTTCTTTATAATTTAGAAATGGAGCAGATGGCTAAAACAGCTAAAGCTCTGATGGAGGCAGTGAGCCATGTTCAAGCTCCTTTCACAAGCGCAACACACTTGGAACATGTAAGACCAATGTTCAAGGTAAGTCTTATAAATATTCCTCTTTTGTACTATGGCTACATGCTTCCTCTAAATAGGTGAATATTTTACATTTTAAAACACTATTGAAAGCAGTTCTTTGCTTTCTAAGAACACAAATTTTACTATTACCAGCATCAATTACTAGCTACCTAAATGTATAATAAATAGCTTAGCAAGCAATCTTATGCGCAAGGAGCTGGTAGAGAGCATGGCAGCACAAATGAGGGCAGCGTAAAGTCATAGCAGATCCTGGCCCTGTTCAGAAGCCCAAGGGGGGGGGAGGAATTTACAGAGTGGCAACACAAAATACAGAGAGATGGCACGCTTGGTGTCACCGTGGCAACCAAGGCCAGCTGTTGACATACACAGCAGACAGTTCCCAAACTCCCTGTCCAGAGTAGACGCACTGTGAAGCCATGCAGAGAGAGCCAATGGATAACAACGAGAATACCCCTGCTTTGGAATGTAAACATGGAAGTAGGGGCAGGGCAATTTGGTGACTCTAGCAATATGGCAGCCATAAATGCAGTGTACCCTGGCCATGCCCATCATATGCCATACCAATCACACAGTAACAGTGTGACCAGGTAAATAAACCCGTATGGGAAATGCCAGCATTCCCAAGCTTTATTTATTATAGATTTAAAACAAAATAAATGAAAAATCAACGGGTGAATCAAGTTTGTCCGCATTATAGATTTATAATGCTGTTCACATTTATCTGGACTACATAATAGTGAAAGTGTGTGTTGCTGTTTGAACGATTTGTTGTTCTTTTTTATTCTAGTTGGCATGGACACCATTCTTGGCTGCATTCAGTGTAGGTTTGCAAGACTGTGATGACACAGAAGTTGCCTCTCTTTGCCTAGAAGGCATACGATGTGCAATCAGAATAGCATGCATTTTTAACATCCAGGTAATACTGAATTCTAAGGTTCAGTAAAAGTATTGTAAATATTCGTGATTATATAGTAGCATTGTGCCATAAAATACAATGTGTGATTTTCCAACAGTATAATGTTATATCTTACTCTGGTTTTAGCTTATTGGTGATTTTTTTGTGGAATGTTTTAATAACAGTTTGTACTTACAATTATATTGTTTTATTCTTTTTGTAAACTGCTTTGAGCTTTTTTTACAATTATTTAGTATATAATCGTTGTTAAACAAATAAAAGTCACTTTAAAAATGGAAATTATAGATTTCAAATGTCAATGAGATTAATATATGCATGAGACTGCAAAGTGGATATAAGGTTATCGTTGGGCACCTTGCCAGCACCTTGTACTTTTTCTAATTAATAGTTTACTAAGAGAGAAAAGACATTCTCATACACAATACAGTGGTACCTCGGGTTACATACGCTTCAGGTTACAGACTCCACTAACCCAGAAATATTACCTCGGGTTAAGAACTTTGCTTCAAGATGAGAACAGAAATCGTTTAGCGGTGGCGCAGCAACAGGAGGAGGCCCCATTAGCTAAAGTGGTGCTTCAGGTTACGAACAGTTTCAGGTTAAGAACAGACCTCCAGAACGAATTAAGTTCTTAACCTGAGGTACCACTGTATAGGCAGAAGGTAGTGGTTTATCTGAGTTTCATCATGAGTAATTCCAGTCCTTTTATTATTTTGGTATAGGAAAAACTTACTTAGTAAAATATGTTGCTGTATCTTTTAGTACACCAACTACTAGGAATTCCAAACCTGTTCACTTTGGGGGAGCAATCACTACTGATTAAGCTTCAACATTACCTGCATTGTGTTGATGTATCTGGAAAACTGCTGAGTGTAGATCTCAGAGCTATTTCTTCTGTATTTTGTTGTGTTGAGTGAGTTCATACCATAGTAGGCAAGTGTTAGGATTCCTGATTATCTCATTGAGATCATAACCTTTTGGGTTTTAATTTTGTTCATGTATGGAACAATTGTTTATTTTTATTATATGGATAGATATAGCTATACTGCCTATTAAGAAAACGTCTCAAAGCCAGCAGCACTGAATCAGTACAAAATTTAACTAAAAATGTTATGACAAATGGCTGGCATCAGATTATAGCTGTCCAAAATGGTAGCTGTTTTCATATGTTCTTTGAAGAACTTGAGGAAAGTAGGTGACTCTCATAATTCAGTTTGCACACTCCTCCAGGAATGATGCACCAACACATAAAGAGAAAAACCCCTACTTCTTATATAAAATCTGATTCACAACTTTTGTAGTATTTGTGTTTGAGTACCATAAGGAAGCAGCCAGAGTCTCCTGTGTTTCCCCTCCCTCCATTACATTGGCTTCAATATTGACATCTTGCATCTCTATTAATACAGTACTATGGTGTAGTAACTGCTGTGATATCTAGCAGTAGATGAACTAGGTAAATCTTGATGAATTAAAACACTCATTTTTCTTCCTATAGCTTGAAAGGGATGCTTATGTCCAAGCACTAGCAAGATTTACTTTACTTACGGTGAATTCTGGTATTACTGAAATGAAACAGAAGAACATTGATACAATAAAAACACTCATTACAGTGGCTCATACTGACGGAAATTACTTGGGAACTTCTTGGCATGAGGTAGATTATATTTTTAATTGCTATATAATAACTGAATGTGTAGAATATACATTCTCTGTGTATATATTTGCATGATGCATAGATAACTTTTTCATATACTAAAACCATATTGTCAAATTTAATTGTATATTAATGTTGTTAGGAGTGTTTGTGTCAGTGTGAGATACCTAAAAGGTTTCTGGAAATTTGCTTGTGTGTATGGATGAAAATTGCTAGGGTTTACTAACATTTGATGTTAAAAATGATCTGCCTTTCAGTAGATTGGTTATTTTATTTTGCTGTATTCTTTTTTAAATTCAAGATTTTGAAATGCATCAGTCAGCTTGAATTGGCACAGTTAATAGGTACTGGAGTAAAACCACGTTACATCTCTGGGACTGTGAGAGGACGAGAAGGTTCTTTTACAGGAACAAAGGATCAGGCACCTGATGAATTTGCAAGTCTAGGAATAGGCAAGTATTGTAAATACTAACTACTAGCTGGCAAAATTGCTTTAAGTACATTATGTCTGCCTTGTTGCTGGTTTAGCTTTGTTGGTGACTTTTCTGTAGAAAGAAGAGAACTATACAAATATTATATACTATTGCCTGGCGACTTCGTGACATTTCCTTAAGTGCCAGGTGAAAACATTTCTCGGTTTCTTTTTTAAGATAATTCTTTATTCATTTTATGTACAAGAGCCAGTGTGGTGTAGTGGTTAAGAGCGGTAGTCTCGTAATCTGGGGAACCGGGTTCGCGTCTCCGCTCCTCCACATGCAGCTGCTGGGTGATCTTGGGATAGTCATACTTCTCTGAAGGCTCTCAGCCCCACTCACCTCACAGAGTGTTTGTTGTGGGGGAGGAGGGGAAAGGAGAATGTGAGCCGCTTTGAGACTCCTTCAGGTAGTGATAAAGCGGGATATCAAATCCAAACTCTAAACTCTCTTACAATCATTACAACAGAAGACTTCACATCTAAGATGAAACAGTATATAACAAAACCTTGAGTCTCATATTTTCGTTTGTACTGATTCTTCTCAGATTCCCTTATTTTGCTATTCCTTAATATTTGTTTCTCTATATCCATTTTGTATTTTTATGTTGTGAACCACTGATCAGATGAAGCGCAATATACAATTTTAATTAAAAATAAGAATGGATTGTATCCAAAGTTAGTCATACTTGGAGTAAACCCATTGAAATAACTGAAGGGGACTAACATAGGTGTATTATTTTCAACGGGACTTTGCACTTGTACATAGTTCTTCCATCATATTCCATGCTGTTCCAGAGGGCCCTGTGATTATCAGGCGTAGCCTTTTTGGAAATATAAGGAGTCCAGTGGATATTTGGGGGGGGGCAAAGATTAGACAACCTTTCTTGCACAAGTGAAAGTTATTTCTACTAACATAAAGTCACCAGTCTTTGTGTAAAAGAGCTGTATGTGTCATTGGGCCTTTATTCATAAGGTTGACAGACAGCAGCTCCTAACAATAGCCAGACGACATTGCAGTGGGAAGCGGTGTGTGTCCTAACTCTAGCACACAGATTTCATCCATTTTTGCCATTATCTTCAGTATTGCTAGCAAATATAATTATTTCGATGTTTGCAAAGTTACTTTTTTTCCTTCCTCCATTCAACAACCCATCCCTTCTTTTAAAAATTGATGTATCTGCTAGTTGGAGGAAATATGGACTGGAAGCAGATTGCAAGTATTCAAGAATCCATTGGAGAAACTAGCTCACAAAGTGTTGTTGTTGCTGTAGACAGGTATGGTATTGTATTTGCCTTTTGCTTGATACTGTGATGTTTGTATAGTAGCATAGATATTTTGGCTGCATTAGAAATAGTCATATTACTTGTTAGCGTTTTGGGGTTTTTTAATGATACTACCTCTAGTAATGCTCTAGTAATGTTTGTTGATCCAAAGAACTAAATGATACAACTGAGTTAGTGAGGGCAAAATGGAGAGGGTTGGTAAGGTTGCAGGGGCAGAAAAGAAGCATGGGAGGACTGCAGATGGCTTTGCGATCCACTTTGCCCTTATTTGTACCTCTGGCATGGGAGGGGAAGCAAGGGGATGACTGCAAAACTTTGATAGGATCAGCACGAGGCAGGCCTTGTAAGCCTTTCTGCATTTTCAACCTCTGACTTGGGGATTTTGACAGGTGGGTTAACCACCTGTCAAAGCTGAGGTGGGAGCCAACAAGGTTCCCCCCACTTGGTCTAAGAGGAGCTTGGTGAGGTGTGCGTCTCGTAAATGGAGTTGTTGGCAAGTAATGCCAGCAGGGACACAGCTCCTAGTATATGTACAAGCAGTCACCATTTTGTGCAGGGGTTCCATTCCCAGCCCCTGCAGGCATCGGGGGAGTGTGTATAAGCATGCCATGCCCCCATTCTTCCCTTTCCCAGGTCCAAAAGACCCACACATCAGCAACCGCGCATCAGTTGGATAGGCCTAAAATGGCTGTCCCCTGTGTATAAATATAAACACAAACACATATATTTATATGTCAAATATTCAGTGGTAGGGTTTGTTGACCTTTAATCTTCGTATATATTGAGGAAATCTGCCGTGAAAAATTCTTACACAGTTTTGTTAAATTGTGTCTTCGACAGAATATTTACAGGATCTACAAGGCTAGATGGAAATGCTATTGGTAAGTTTTGGACACTGCTTACCATACTAGTGTATTAACATTTGTTAAAAAGCACATATTAAGTGGATTCTCTGTGGATTTAACAGTGGATTTTGTTCGATGGCTTTGTGCTGTGTCTATGGATGAACTGCTGTCTGCCACTCATCCTCGGATGTTTAGCCTGCAGAAGATAGTGGAGATTTCTTACTATAACATGGGGAGAATAAGGCTTCAGTGGTCTAGAATCTGGGAAGTTATTGGAGATCATTTCAATAAGGTATGCCTCATATTTACTAGCTCTTCCACAAAGCCAATTGGACTTTTTAATCTATATAATAAAAATGCCCCATCAGCGTTTTGAGTGCTGAAGATACCACCAGTTAATTACTACTTACTGCAAGTTAGACTTTGAGAAAAGTTTTAGAAAATAATTATGCTAATAAATAGTTCTACTTAGAGGAAACGGTGCATTTTTAATGTTTTTGTATAATTTCCTGCTGGTTTTGCCATACAGTTATTTACAGATTTAAATAATTATGTATATTTTTTGCTTTTTACATTGCATATCATGAGTTTCCAACTTGGCTTTGCTAGGTTGGCTGTAATCCCAATGAAGATGTAGCTATTTTCGCGGTCGATTCCTTAAGGCAGTTATCAATGAAGTTCTTAGAAAAAGGGGAACTTGCTAATTTCCGATTCCAGAAGGACTTCTTAAGACCATTTGAACATATCATGAAAAGAAACAGGTAATAAATGATGTGTAATGGGTGAGCTACCTGAAATCATTCTCTCATTCTCTAGTGTACAAAACTAAAGCTTGGAGTTTTAACTACTAAATTGTTTGTAAATTTTGTCTCTGTTGTAGATCTCCAACCATTCGTGACATGGTTGTTCGCTGCATAGCCCAGATGGTAAACTCCCAAGCAGCAAACATCCGCTCAGGATGGAAGAATATTTTCTCAGTTTTTCATCTGGCTGCATCTGATCAGGATGAAAGTATAGTTGAACTTGCCTTTCAAACTACAGGTCACATTGTCAGTGAGTATAATTTACAGCCTTTTGCCAGGAGGTATAATATATTCTGTTCTTGTTGTGTTGCTTTTTAGCTTCAGAATTTATTTGCGTAGTAAAACTTAAATAATAATACTTAATAAAAATCATTTTGCTTTACTGCATAGGTAAGGGAACTTGTGGCCCATCAGTAGATGCCATTGGCCTACAACTCCCACCATCCCCAGCTGGCTGGGGGTTTTAGGAGTTGAAGTCCAACATTATCTGGTTCACCCCCACTGATTTTATCAAGATAACATCTGTATCTTAAAAAATCTTAGAATTTGTTTACTGTGGTTTAAAGGGCAGATATTCTAACTATTCATCTGTACTTTCTTTCCTTCCAGCAATTGTGTTTGAGAAACACTTCCCAGCAACTATAGATTCTTTCCAGGATGCAGTTAAATGCTTGTCCGAATTTGCATGCAATGCAGCTTTTCCAGATACAAGTATGGAAGCAATTCGCCTTATTCGTCATTGTGCAAAATATGTATCAGAAAGGCCACAGGTATAATTTATAGGTGGTAGTAGTATTTATGTACAGCTTCATCTGCTAAGTCTTGACCATAAATGTTCTGGTGTAAAATAGAGGAGAGAATTTCATGGGATGACGTTTGTTTCTGAATGCTGATATGATCCAGTTTCAACCAAGGCCAGAGCATTCCCCTCCCCCTCCCCCCCGCCTGGAGACCATGGCCTCGGGGGGGGGGGGGGTCTGGTCAGAAAAAATCTCTCTCCAAAGATATTAATTCCAAGATATGTGTGATATATATTTTATAATCCCAAAATAGTATTTAATGAATGAAAAATGATTTAGGAATTGCTTTAAAATTAATTTTAGGTGCTGTTCACCAATGTGAATTTAGGAAGCAGAATGAATAACAATAACAACAACAATAACCATAATTTTATTCCTTCCGTAGCACCTTAGAGACCAACTAAGTTAGTTATTGGTATGAGCTTTCGTGTGCATGCACACTTCTTCAGATACACTGAAACAGAAGTCACCAGACCCTTATTATTTATACCCTGCCCATCTGGCTGGCTAAGCAAATACTGTGTCTTCTTCTTTGTCTTATAAATCCAAATAAAGTTTTTATAAATAATTTTTATAAATTATTTATTAAAAGTATTTTTGTTTTTTTATCCATCTGTCAGCAGGATGGAAAAGGAAGCAATTTTTGGCAACTCCCCTCCCCAAATTCAGAGCAGATTACGGGAAAGGGGGATCAATTGGAAATTGCTTCATTCCTCTGTAAACACCTTACATGTCAGTTGAACAACTCCATTGGATATCAAGTTATGGGTGTAATAAATTATTGCATTTGTTAACATCCTTTTGGAAATTCTGATGAAGGCAATAGTTGGATCCAAGGTTGTATTCAACTAAGTCTTACTCAAAGTAGGCCCATTGAAATTACCGAGCATTATAAAGGCAGGTCCATTAATTTCTATAGGTGTCCTCTAAGTAAAACTTAGTTGTATACTGCCCACACAACTGCTGCTGTTTGTAGAAACCTCTCTGAATCAGGGCCTGATATGTGATAGTTAAAGCAGCTTTACCTAGGAAACCAAATTATAATTTATTTAGCATCAACTGGCTTGATGATTTTCTGGGTATAGAACATAGAAATTGCATTTAATACTGTGTTTCTGCTGCATTAAACTTCTGTTTGCTCCCTAAGGCTTTCAAAGAATATACCAGTGACGATATGAATGTAGCTCCAGAAGACAGAGTCTGGGTGAGAGGATGGTTTCCAATTCTCTTTGAGCTTTCCTGTATCATCAATAGATGCAAATTAGATGTAAGAACCAGGTAACAAGCCATATTTGTAATTCAAATTTTTAAAACATTTTGTTTCACTTGCAAGTCTTCAAGCAAGAAATGGGTGGGAAATAACATTGTTATTGCCATATAAGCAATCTGACTATCAGCATCTTGGAAGGAACTGAAAAGCTGAGAATCATAGAGAATCCTCATAACGGTTATGCAATTATATCCCTTTGTTTGCTATAGGGACTTATTTTCGCTTAGCAAATTGGTGAAAATCCATTGTATATATGTAAATAGTTAGAGACAGTTATTTAGTGTGGCAGATATAGGTTCTCTCTGTAAGGGGGTAGATTTCGAAATGTAATTCTCTAAATTTACAAAATAACAATTCAACAGCACATTAAAAATTTAAACTTATTTGCCAAGAGAAAAGTGGAGTTATTTATATAGGAGGCTCTTAAAAAAAAAAAAGTATTGAAACAGCACATAGCCCCCAAACATCTTTCTTCGCTGCCACGGAACCTTTAAGATCAGAATCCGATAGCATGCATCTCTATCTCTGATCTACACATAAAAGTTAGAAAGCAAAATAAAAGACTCTGTGGTCCTTTGCAGTATTTGGTATTGAATTGTGGAAGGCAAGTGGTTCTATAGCCAGATTAGCTCCTCTTATGTTCTTAAATGTGTGAATACAGCATTAAAATTGGGTTGTTGTTTTGGAGATTAACATTCCTCTGTGTCCAGTAAAATACATTCTGTTCAGTGCATGTATATTATTGCTTCACCCACCTTCGCAGTTCTTCACCTACCCATCAGCTTGGAAAAATAAAGGAAATGGTGTTTAGAATTGAATTTCTAATGCAGCGAAGAAAAATGCTGCATAGTCTTACCACATTTCATTGCAGATGCTTCTGTTCTCGTGTGAAATCTTAGTTTAAATAGAAACTTTTGGAAGTTCTTTGCTTTGCAAAGGGGGATGGGAATCAAATCTGAATCTTCTCCTCAGCTTTTTTAAAAAAATATCACTGACGTTTGGCAGAACTGAATGCTATTGTAAACTGCATTTTTGTAACGATTCATAATTCCCTGTGAACTTTAGAAGATAACTGCGTAGGTAGGAGTTTGTGTCCTCGCTTCACATAAATGCCTTTTTATATTTTTGTCCTTCCTTTCTTTCATGATGGAAACTTAAGATGGCATATATGTAGGATTCTTTGTGCAGGCGCTATAAGGTTACTGCATCATATGCCTTCAGACCTTGCCCTATTGGGTACACTGTGCCTGTTCTTACTAGTTTCAAGATCCTCCTTCAAGTTTAAAAATAGATTTTAAAAGTCATTCTGGGATCTGAGATGTTCTGTTTTGCTCAGGTTTCCCATATTTGCCATTTACTTTTTATTCCAGAGGCTTAACGGTTATGTTTGAAATAATGAAAACGTATGGCCATACTTATGAAAAACACTGGTGGCAGGATTTGTTTCGGATTGTCTTCCGGATATTTGACAACATGAAATTGCCAGAACAACAAACTGAAGTAGGTATAGTTTATGACTTACGACTAGAGTTCTATTTATTTTTCTATTGCTGTCATAAGCTCTTTTGCTCAAACCTTTCTTCAGATAACTGGCTATATTGTAGAATTGCCATTGTGTTCCCTTGCCTCTATGCTTTATCCCCATCTACAGACCTGTATATGACGTCCCTTGATGGCAGACTTTAATGTTGAAGCACATGGGAGTTTATATCTGCATGGTGAATAGCAGTATAACACCTCAGTTAAATCTCTTTCCATAATGCCATTCTGAATCAGAGGGGTAAAGAGATCCCATCTCAGTTTATTAAGCCCAGGACTGGATTGTTGTAAATAGTTGTTTTCCTCATTTAGACAAAACGTCTGCTTTTTAATCTTCTTGTGGTTGTGAAAAGCACTTTACTAACGAGATACTGGAGTTAGAAAGGCCTTTTCCATATAACTGGATTTTATCTTACTACAGCTGTTTTTAAAAAAATAGCCAATCCAGTGCCATTTTTCTAGAAAAAGAGGTGCCCGGAACTCACCATGAATGCCTCCCTCCTTCTCTTAGAATGACAATGGCACCCACCTGAGAGGTGCCGGAACTGAGTTCCACCGTGTTGCAGCTGAGAAAAAAGCCCTGATCCAATCTCACTCAAAGGATTTGACCCTACTTTGTTTTTCAACTTCATTCTAACTAATTCCTTCATTGCTAAGTTCCCTCTTCCTTTTTCCTAGAAAGCTGAGTGGATGACAACAACTTGCAACCATGCACTTTATGCAATATGTGATGTATTCACCCAGTATTTGGAAGTACTTAGTGATGTCCTTTTGGATGATATATTTGCCCAGCTGTACTGGTGTGTTCAGCAAGGTAGGTGCAGGCAAGCTATTGTACACAATGAAACAATTTACTCTGTATAGCATGAACAAACCAATGCCTTTGTTTTGTGTTTCAGACAATGAACAACTAGCACGGTCTGGTACAAACTGCCTAGAAAATGTTGTCATTTTAAATGGTGAGAAGTTTACCCTTGAAATCTGGGATAAGACTTGCAACTGTATGCTGGATATCTTCAAAACTACGATTCCCCATGCGTAAGAGATTTCCCCCTTTCATTTAATTGGCATGAGAACAATGCATACTTTTATATACTTGTCTTATTGTCTATGCTTGGCTTTTACGGCATACAAACATAGGAGATATGTCATACCAAGTCAAGGCACTAGTACAGAGTTTTCCAAACTGTGTTTCACATCAACACTACCCGCGCTCCTCCAGGGGCTGGAGGGTTAGTTTAACCTCTGGTTTGCTAGTAAAACTGAATTACTGCGCCGCAAAATGATGCTCTGTACTAGTACGTCTAGCTCAGTTTTGCTGACGCTGACTAGCAGTGACCCTCCAGGCTTTCAGACAGGGCGTCTCTCCCAGCCCTACCAGGGACTGAACATGGGATCTTCTGCATTCAATGCATGTGCTCTGCCACTGAAATACAGCCCTTTTTGTTTCTGTATAGCTTCTCTTATTTGTGAATCTGCATAAATGGAGACCTGCATATGCACAGGCTAAATCTGGAAACTGAGTAACATGGGAAGCTGCCTTATTCAGAGCCAGACCATTGGTTCCTCTAGTTCAGCTATGGTAGATCGTGATCTACTGGTAGATCGCAGGGTGTTCCTGGTAGATCCTGGCAGATCTTTGCCCCCCTCCCCAGGGCCTAAAAAAAGCTTAACAACTTTGGACAACAGTGGGTAGATCACTGCCAGTAGATCACAGTCTATTGGGAGTTGGACGTCCCTGCGTCTAGTTCAATATTGTCAACGCTGACTGGCAGTAGCTTTCCAGGGTTCCAGGCAGCGCTCCTTCCCAGCCTTACTTGGAAATGCCAAACATTGACCTGGGAACCTTTTGCACGCAATGCTTGTGCGCTGCCACTGAGCTTTAGCCATTCTAGGACAGGTTCTCCCTCACTTCCCGTTGGTTAGCGCCTCTGGTGCCAGTTGCTTCAGCCAAGGGGCAGGCTGAGTGCCTCCCAATCAATTTTTTAAAAATAACCATGGAATAAGTAGGTTTTAGCTTCTCTTCCATTCTAAAAGCATTTTCTTCTTTTCTTAAATCATTCTGAATTGCATTGAATTTGCTTATTAGCCCAATTAAGCCTCTCTTTTTTATAAAAGTGTTGAGGTTTTACAATACAGTCATCACAGATTTCACCTTGTGTCCAGGAGAAGGCTATCACATCAGTGCCTGTTTGCCTTCTTTAATTTGTAAACAGTCTTGTCTTGACTGAATGCCGATCTATGGGGAAAAAGCTATCTCAGGCTGAGCTCAAATGGATTTCCTATGAATAGAATTTCATTCTATATTTATTTGTATAAGTAGCCTTGGAACATTTTATGTGTAACTTTTGTCTCCTTTCCTGCTCATAATGCTATGCAAAATAGGTTTATCACTGTTCTTGTCTTCAAAGTTTAAGATGTTACTTCTGTTTGTGACCGAACTTATGTTTTATTTTTTCAAGGCTTTTAACTTGGCGGCCAGCAGGGGGAGATATTGTTCCTCCATCTCCTGGAAGAGAGAAACAATTGGTATGTTTTCCATGTGAAAATGGCAGGGGAAATGCTTTCATATATATGAGTAAAATGTACCTTTTGTAGAACAAGAGAGGTTTTCTTAGACCATTTTTTGTTGTTGTAAGTTGAAGTCTGCAAGTTCCTTATATTTGCATTTGTGAACTGTAGATGACAGCTAACGTCTGAATAAATACCCATAGGATTGGTCTGTTACACTAATTTTCTCATAAATGTTGACTGGATTCGGACACAGTGTCAAACCATTTTTTTGGTATTACATGAACTAGCCTGGAGCTCAGCACTCCCCTTCCTCCTTTGCACTCTCTCGCCTTCGTAACAAACATTTGCCTTTGCTTCTGAACCCATGGCTTGCGCAGTTTGGATAAAAGGAAATGCAGGAGGAGGCAAAGAGAACGGAATACTGAACCTGAGGTTTGTTCATGTGACACCAAGTCTTTGTTGCTGTTGAGTATTGTTACTGTGTGGTCTTTAAATATTCTAAGATGAAAGAAGAGTTCAGTTTATTTAGAGCAGTTCAAATAATATTCATTTTTAAAAGTTCTGACAGCTGTGTTTATAGCAAACTGTACCCATGTCCTTCTAGGAGACATAATGACTGTCAAGTGGTGACTAAAATTTAGGTTCACAAAAATATGCTCCAAAGTAGGGTTTCCTCAACACTGAACTTCGTTTTGCTGAGGGTGCTTTTTGCTATTTCTTTCCATTTTCAGGATACACTATCTCAGAAATCTGTAGATATCCATGACTCTGTGCAACCAAGATCTTCAGATAGAAGACAGTTTCAGCCCATTGTGGGGCTACCAGCAAGTGAGGAGGCCAGCAAAAACAAGCCTCCTGCAAGTGAGTGGTTTCCTTAAGGAGTTGTTTCACAAAGGCTGGGCTGCAAAGGCCCTAGTTGATAAAAGCACTTCTGTTTATCCAGTGGGACCTCCCTATTCCCCACCCCCTTTCCCTGCTGCTCCATACATTGGGCTCTAGACTACTTCCAAAATTCCTTGAAACTTTGGGAATGACTTTTCAAGTGCTGCTTTTAAAAAGAGGAAGGGATGCCCAAAGCCTGTGGTCTGCGCAGAAGTTTCCTTTATGATTTGTTGGCTCTGGGCTGTGCTTGTATAAAATGAGAGTGGTGATGCGTCCAGGACTACTGCAGAATATATTTCATTCAGGTTGCCTATAAAACAGTTTTGCATTTTAAAATGATTGTACTTCTTTACCTTGGACATGATATATTAAGAAGATACAGATGCTTTTTAAAATGTCATTTATAGCCTGAAAATTTAAGCTTTGCTTTTTAGCAACCTTTGCACTGATAAAGAAGAGGTAGCACAGGATACTTTATTTTATTCTTTAAATTATTTATAACCACCTCTTCATTGTTCACATGATCCCAGAGCGAGGAATAACATTAAAATAAAACAAAACAATATTCAGTTGAAATACAACTTAGTATAAAATTAGACAGCATATTATCAATATAACATAATGGCATCTGCCGTGCAAGGGGTGCCATTTTAGCCAAATGCTTAGTTGGTTTTTCTACCGGTTGTTGAAACTCCATTAGTGTTAGAGCTGAACACGCCTGAAAGGGAAGGGCGTTCCAGAGTTGGGTACCACTATTGAGAACCACTAAATCATACAGTAATATGTCTTGGCAACTGTACTGCTGTGCAGTGTAAGTATCTTGGGAGTACTTAAACATTTGCTTAAATTGATCTTATTGTTTTGTGCTTTGTTTTAAAGAATTTCCTGACCAGAAACTGTTTGGTGCTCTGTTGATCAAATGTGTCGTTCAACTGGAACTCATTCAAACAATCGACAACATCGTCTTCTTCCCAGCAACCAGCAAAAAGGAAGATGCAGAGAATCTTGCTGCAGCACAGGTAAGTACAGTTTGCCAGTTCCAGCCTTTGGAGATGTGCATTTATTCTCCACTTATTGGTTCAGTGGTCTGTTTTGTAACATCTGCTTTCTGCTGGAAAATTCCTGAATTTCCATGGAAGAAAATTCTCTTAACGAGAGCGTAGCCAAGTTTATATAGAACCTGGGAAAGAACTGCCAGTGACCTTTATGCTTTATTTCCCCTGCTTCTGGTGTAACTTTTGAAGTGCCTCTAATTCAGGCTAACAGTACACAAAGAAACCTCTTTTTCTAGGTATAATATGCCACGGGTCTAATGGGAATGTCCTTGTTTGCCGTTTGACTCTCCTCTGTGCCCTGGGAGCCAGTGATGTAGATTTGTAGGAAGCTCACACACAGTCTTTCCCACCCATTCATATACATCCCCAGCCTCAAGGGATTACAGCTTAAAAAAGCAGCTCCCAAGTGGCATACTATGGAGATTTAACAATGTGTGAGTAGACATCAAGTAAAAGCAAAGTTCAGATCAATCTGCTTTTGAGGAAAAGAAACTAGAGTAATGCAATTGTAAATAGTTTTCACCATTTAGTTGCTGCAGGTATTGAGCAGTTTCATAATCATATTAAAACTATTTTGCAATATGAATGCCAATTCCATTTTTCTTTTCTTTAGAGAGATGCAGTAGACTTTAATGTTCACGTGGATACACAAGATCAAGGAATGTATCGCTTTTTAACATCCCAGCAGCTTTTCAAGTTGCTGGACTGTTTGCTGGAATCTCACAAATTTGCTAAAGCTTTCAATTCAAACAATGAGCAAAGAACTGCACTGTGGAAAGCAGGTAAAACTTAGGAGTTTTAAGGACTTTCAAAGTAATATTATATTACTTTATAGGGACGGGTGGCGCTGTGGTCCAAACCACTGAGCCTCTTGGGCTTCCTGATCGGAAGGTCAGTGGTTCAAATCCTTGCAGCGGGGTGAGCTCCCGTTGCTCTGTCCCTGCTCCTGTCAACCTAGCAGTTCGAAAGCATGCCAGTGCAAGTAGATAAATAGGTAGCGCTGCAATGGGAAGGTAAACAGTGTTTCCGTGCGTTCTGGCTTCTGTCACGGTGTCCTGTTGCACCAGAAGCGGTTTAGTCATGCTGGTCACATGACCCGGAAAGCTGTCTGTGAACAAACGTCAGCTAACTCGGCCTGAAAGCGAGATGAGTGCCACAACCCCATAGTCGCCTTTGACGGGACTTAACTGTCCAGGGGTCCTTTACCTTTACCTATATTACTTTATTCTGATATGTGCAATAAAGAGTGACAAAGAGAAGCCTGTTTTAATATAAATCTGTTTGCATTTTTGAAGCTTCCTGATCAAAGTAGATGGATGCCATAAGCATTATGTGAACTAGTTTGTGCATCCCCATTCTTTTCCCTGCCTATCTACACACATTGGGCAGTATTCTACTAACATGTCCCACCAGAGCAACAATTTCCACTTGTGCAATGGAGTGTTCTCCCCCTCTCCTCCCCCTGTGCACATCATCCCATAACTCTCCCTAAATCTGCTCCTCTACAACAGACTAAAGGGGCAAAGGGGAGAGAGGGATAACACTCTGTTTCACAAGCACATTACCTTAGAGCTAGGTTAGATCCCACCCGTTAATCCAAAGTAGGCTTTCCGATAAAGGTAGTGCAATCTAAATAGTGATATTGTTTTGACAGGTTTCAAAGGAAAATCTAAGCCCAACCTGTTGAAACAAGAGACAAGTAGCCTTGCCTGTGGGTTACGCATTCTCTTCCGTATGTATATGGATGAAAGTCGCAAAGACGCATGGGAGGAAGTGCAGCGGAGATTACTAAAGTAAGGACCCATTCACAGGCTTTCAAAACATGAAAGTGTACCGTTCAATTCTGTAGTATGCAAATATGTTGAATATTTACTTGAAATGAAAATGTGTAGTGTGCAAAAATAATCCTGGCTTACATGATCCCCGCCCCCCCGGTCCTATCCTTTCAGTTCCTTTCCATAAGGAGATCATGACTGTTGTAGTTGCGTCAAAACATTTAAGTCATTCTGCATAATTAGCAGAGGTGTAGTCATGTTACTTGTTGCAGCAGAAACAACAAACATTTCATGTATCTGATTAAGTGGGCTGTGTTCTATGAAAGCTTATACCATCATCAGCTTATTAGTCTTTAAGGTGCCACAAGACTGCATTTGTTCTGCATAATCACTCTATAATAGTAAGATCTGCATTACAAGTGCACCTTGCATTTATGATTCTGTCATTTCAACATGATGCCATTCTTGTATAAACTATACAGTTTATCTGTGAGAATGAATTTCCTGTTGTCATTCAGCTGGTTTGTTTGGCAGTTCTATAAACATTGATCTCTCCCACTACTCAGCCTTATCTACACATTTTTCCTTTTCTTTGATCAGTGTCACTGCCCATTTTGAGATAGGACTACACTCAGTTTATGTGATCAGTGAATCATTTATTTATAGCTATTCCATAGAAGCCTGTTTCAGCAAGCCAACACAGGCATGTAGAAGTTACATGTTTTATTTACTATTATTGATTTTAATTCTCTTTTGAATATTTATAAATACATGTTCAACTGTTTTTGTTGATAATGTATTCTTTTATATTTTTGCGAACCGCTTAAAGGTTTTCTTACTTTTCTGACAACTGTAGACAAAACTCCTTCTGTAGCTAATTGTTCTCACACCTGGAACTGTCTGTTGTGCTTTGCAGTGTCTGCAGTGAAGCTCTCAGTTACTTCCTTACTTTAACATCAGAAAGTCATCGGGAAGCTTGGACTAGCCTGTTACTTTTATTCTTAACAAAGGTCCTAAAAATAAGTGATGATCGGGTAAGTAATAATCTCAGATAGGTTGAATATTGATATGCTGAATATTGATTCCAGGCCTCAGTGGGACACTTTTGAAGACTGCAGAGTTTGAAAATAGAAGGGGGACTCTCCCCTGCCTGATTACTGATTAATAAAGTTATCCAGGATTTAGTGTATGTTGGGTCCCTGCATCAAGTAGTTTGTGGCAGGCTTGGACTCTGGGCTTTAGCATGCCCTTGATGCTGCCTTTCCAACATAAATTGGTTCCTTCCTGCTGCCTCATGGATGATAATTTTGCTGGAGGCCATGGGTATAGCAGAGAGGGACCCACCTCCTGTCCCAAATTCCTCAGCTTACAGACATACCACCACATAGGCACAGTTCATTCAAGATACTAATGGAAAACATCTAAGCACCCCAGATTATTCAGGAGCCCCAAATTCAAGAGACCCCATGAGAAATGTCCTACCCAATATGCTGTGCACACCATATATAAAATGTAGTGTCCAAGACCTATATGTATTCTGAGGCCTTTGGGACATTCTAATCAGGGCTACTCCACTGAAAAAATTCCAACTAATGTTGTGGGAGAGAGGGAAATGCATAATGATTAATGGAGATACGTCATGATTGAGCCACACTCTGCCCTTTTCCTGACTGTTTTTGGAGCAGACTCTGAACCAAATCTGATAAATGAATGTAGCACTCCGCTGCTGGAATCCCAGTTTTTGTTAACAACTCCAGTGAAAAATAGTAAAACAATTATTAGTCATAGAAAAGCACATAGCATCTGTTGCTGTATTGTCAATGATCTGGCTCTGTCTGCTCCAACAAAAAAGAAAAGGCAAGGTTATGGTGGGGATCATGTGTCCTTATGTGCATAGGATGGTGTACATTTTTTTTAATTTGAAGGGTGTTAACTTCTCCCAGTACTCTAGAATTATTGTGTATTTGTCTTAGGATGGTTTTCTCCCTTCACCTTTCATCGCATTTTGAGAATCATGGTAAAGAAAGTTGTTGTTGGTTTTTTTAAAAAAAAAAATCTTGAGGAAAGGAACACCAAAAGTGTTCCTCTGTGAAAGATTTATAGAATTGTTTTGGATTTTTTCATTATTATTTTTCCTTGAGCTAGGATAAGCCGCTTAAATCAAAAGTAGCTAGAAACACCTCATTTCAGTTCTGCTGTTGCCTCCTCCTTCACTTTGGAAAGCCACTGCAGATTCTTTGTATTTCACTAATTCTTGCTATAATTATTGATGTAACGTCTCTATGTAGTTGGGTTGTCAACTCATTCCCCCAAAACTAACAGGATTCCTTTTTCCCCCATTCAACAGTTCAGAGCTCACGCATCATTCTACTATCCTCTCTTGTGTGAAATAATGCAGTTTGATCTGATTCCTGAGCTGCGAGCTGTTTTGCGAAGGTTTTTTCTGCGGATAGGGGTAGTTTTTCAAATATCCCAGCCACCAGACCAAGGAATGGGAACAGCCAAGCAGTAGAAGTGTGGCTAAGGAAACAAAGGACCAAGATCACTTGCACTGAATGTCCATACAAAGGGGCTCTCTTGATATGGAAGTGTGCATCTACGGGTTCACAATACAGATTAAAACTGTAATTTAGGCTTGCAACACTCTAGTTCTCCAGTGGGTTCTCTCTCCCTCTCTCCCTCCACTGGCTTGTGTTGACCATAGAGCCAGTTTCACCACAGTCTTGTTGTCAGCCTGGACTGTGATAGCCTCTTAACTTTCCTAGACAGAGATATATATCAAAAGATGTTTATGATGGGTGTGAATTTAAGATGTACCCAAAGAACTAACACATTTAAGAAGTTTGAACGTTGACAGAAGTACAACTCAGGAGGGCTGCATTTTGAAAAAAGAAAAGTTTGTAGTAAAAGATATGAAAATACTGCTCATGTAAGAGATCTAGCAACTATGTGGAATTCTTATTCTGGAGATTTTTTTTTTGCACACTCAGGCTATCTGAGATATAGGTAATCATCCTTCTGTGGAAAAAAAATGTACAGAGATGCAGGTCTGTAATATAAAGTCCTAAACACTATATAGTTATTCCTGCATTCTTTTATTTCTTAGAGACCTGTACGTTTGTTTACCAAATGCACTAGTAAGGGGTTGAGTTCTGATTTTTTCCATCTGTATCCCAAAAGCTAGCCTTGCTGCCTTTTGTCAAGAAAACAGATTGAAAATGTTACAACTGACTTTAACTGTTTGTAATATACCTGTGATAGGGCTTTTAAATATAATAAGCCATCGCAATGATCCTTCAGGACTGGAACTTGAATCACTGCAAACAAGTCTAGGTTTTGTCCGCTGTCACTTTTTTTCCTTTTTTTTTGGTTGTTTGATGTAGATTTCACTATGTACAGAATTTAATGTTGAATATATTCAAGTAACAAATCTGGCATGGTTTGAGGATGGTTTTAAATTTATTGGAAATGTATTCATACTGTGAATTGTGCTCTGATGGTTAAAGAAAAGATTGTCAAGCATTCTGTCTTACAGTGGATGTAGAAAAAATTTTCAGATGGAAAAATGTATATGGTACAGCTCTGTAAAGTTTTCTATGTAAATTCTGTACAACTTTCTGTACAATATTGGTTCTCATCTGGCATATTCTAATCAGGTTATAGGTCAATAAAGTTTTTGAATTCTTTCACTGGTGCAATCAAAACAAATGCAATGTAAAAACTAATTGCTTCAGTGTTTCAACTTTAAAATCCTTAGCAGATTGGTCCAACAGTGTGCTGCCTTTGGAAACTTTGCAAGCACAATAGTTGTGGGTATTTAATTGTATAACTAATGACGTTTGTTGAATGGCCAGTGTATTACTTCTACAAAAAGAAGAGAAGCATGTAAACTAATAGCTATCATGACTAGTAGCCACTGACAGTCATCCATGGAGGATAAAGCTAATCCCCCTTTTAAAATCATGACCATCACCACATGTTCCCTAATTTAAGAACTTCATTTTGTCTGTCCTGAATTTCTCATCCACTTAGTTGCACTGGATGACCCTGGGGCCTAGTCTTATGAGAGGGGGAAAAAAACTTTAAGGGATTTAGAAAAGGGGGGTACTAATAGCATATGTACTTACCCCAGAAGTATAGCGTGGCTGAACAGGAGCTCCTATCTCCACTACTTCTCACGCATCTGGTCCTGTGTTTGGGGTTCAAGAGCTAGAAACAAAAGAACTCGTGTTTTTCAGGCCATGTCACTGGGCAAGAGTGAATGGGAAGTGTGAGCAGAGGAGGGTCTCTCACTCTGGTTCTTTTAGAATTCATCTCCACAAGAATGGTTTTAAACTTTTTTCCTAGTAAAATATAATTTATTTTTTAATCTTACATTCATGACCATAAATATATTTAATAGTATTCACTACTGACATTTAAAATACAGAAGAACACAAGATGACAGGGTAATTTAGAATATTAGAACAAATGATTAGATAGAAAGTCTGGAAAACAGAGTAAGGGCTTAACCACGCTTAACTTTTGCCCCTCATACTTTCCAGGCACAGTTCTGCTCTTTAAAGCTCTGTGTCTGAGCACTCCTTTTCCACCATCAAGCTTTCACAGTGGTAAAGAGTGGGTTTCCATGGGGAAAGCTCTGGAGCAAAAAAACTGAGCGCTCAGACACAGAGCTTTAAAGCGTGGGCCATGCCTGTAAAGTGCAGAGGAAAGGTAAGCGAGGATAAGCCCTAAATCAGCAAAAGGAACACTTATTAATCAATTCAGATCATTGAATACCTATGAAATGCATGAGAAATCCAAGCCACAGCACTCAGCTCTGTTAAATGCAGAACACGTTTCACACGCTTGTAAGACTTGAGGTCTGAGGTAATTTTTCAAACAAAAAATACCATGAGGGTAAACTGGAAAGCTTTGCCTCTGTGCCTTTCAACTAGCTGAATAGATGCATGTTTGGCTCTAGCTTGCCAGTTTCAAGACGACCTAGTATGCACGTTGCCCTTCCAAGATTAAATCATATCAGTAACTGTCAGAGCTCCTGAACCCCTGACAGTAACATACTGACCATTTAACTTAAGAAGATAGAAGATTGCAGCAGGTTGTCAAAATCTTATTCACAAGATTTGTTACAGCTGTGCTTCTGCACACAGCATGTAAATTAAAGACTTGAAAGTGCAGTAGTGGAGAAACATTCTTTTGAAAGGCACAACTGGCTTCACTACAGATTTTATTCAGCCATGGGCTGTGGACAGCCCCTGCCAATTGAATGGTAAGTTCATCTCAGAAGAAAGCTTAGCTTGACTTGACTGCTCAGCCATAAATCTTCTAAGGGTTTCTGATGTCCCAGGTCTCAGCCACGGTTCGGTTGCCACTGTGTCCACAGAGCTGGGTCTTCTGTCATCGGCGTTTCCCAGTGGAACATCATCAGCTTGAGGAAAATAAATCAACTTTAGCTACTGGTACAGAAAAAGCACACTTTTACAATGATAACATCATTCTCTGACCTAGCAAGTTTCCAGACTTTACAAGATTCTTCTTCAGTACTGGGTGTTCAGAACAAAAATGCAGTAAGGTGGGTTAAAAAAATAAATACAGCCACCCTGGTTTCAAATATTCTCCACTTCCAGTGCCTAGTACAATGAGATGCATGTTCAAGAGATGCATGTTTGGTAACAGTTATCAAAAGAATTCCCCAAAGCTAATTGGATTGAGGAATAGGAATTATGCATTCTCAGGGGACTAGTGTTCCACAAGCAGAAATAGATTTCTGGCTGCACACCAGCTGTGCTGTGTGGGCAGAAGCTAGTTGTAAATGACACTGAAAGATGGTACAGAGTGATGAATGATTTGGAGGGGGAGCAACATTCAGCAAACAGGCTTCCATGAATCTGTGAAAAAGTGAATCCCTTTTACTCCCCCACCAATAAACATTTAAAATGTTCTGTAGCACAGATGCCTCTGGACCTACTTGTCTCCAATTTCACTCATACCCGAGGGGCATCTCTCTCCTGTCTGCAAGTTTCAGACCAATTGCTCACAGCACACTAAGCAAGATGATGACAATTCCTTTTTTATACACCCCAAACTCTAACATGCTTGCAGGAAAACCACTTCAGTAAGACATTTTCAAATTTGGAAGGGTTTATTCCCTCACTAGGGGTGACCAAGGCTGCAAATGGCATTTAATTATCCCCCAAAATAAAGTTAGAGGTGTTTCCTTTTTCTAAAAAAACAAACTACCAAGGTGTTCAGGCCCCCATCTGTTAAGCCTGCCAAATTACAAGCAAATGTATCTTAACTCATTTGGGGGAGGGGGGCTGTTATGTCTGTAAATTTAATCCATTTTTGTCGAAAGGGGGGGGTAGCCTTTTCCCCCCAAAATAGTGAATGGCAAGAAACAAAGCTGTTTTCAACAAATCTGCTCCTGGCAAAAAACAAGAGTTGAATCTGACAGACCACGGAGCACCTTAATGTAGACTTGGCTGCTTCCAGAAGTGACAGATACAGATCCAAATCAAATCTTGTGGCCGATGCACACCCATATCAGAAAGCATATTCAAATATCTATCTATCTAACTACTGAAGCAAGACACCAACTATGGCTAGTTACTCACCCTGACCACCACTTCCTTTCTATAAAGAAAATGTCAAAAATGAGTCCCGATTTTGTTGATGCAACATGCTAACCTATCAAGAAAGAATACATGATACAAGGGGGAAAGATTTTTAAACACTTTTGTTAGTTTCTACGGTGTTTAGGAATGACGCCTACAGTATTTCTTAATTGATTATTCTTAATAACGATGAAGGGGTGAAAGAAATGAATCCCTGTCAAATTTGCATGTGACACAAAACTGGAAAGTAAAGTTAGCATCTCAGAAGATAATAAAATTCAAAATGACATTGATAAAACAAACATTCAAAATGACATTGATAAAATAGAAAAAGTGAGTTGAAACTAGCTAAAAAACTCCAGTGACAAATGCAAGGTTCTGAATTTTGACAACAATGAAAGAAGAACTGCACAAGTTTTGATAGAGAAGAAGAAGAAGAAGAAGAGTTTGGATTTGATATCCCGCCTTTCACTCACTTTAAGGAGTCTCAAAGTGGCTAACATTCTCCTTTCCCTTCCTCCCCCACAACAAACACTCTGTGAGGTGAGTGGGGCTGAGAGACTTCAGAGAAGTGTGACTAGCCCAAGGTCACCCAGCAGCTGCATGCGGAGGAGCAGGGAATCGAACCCGGTTCCCCAGATTACGAGACTACCGCTCTTAACCACTACACCACACTCGCTCTCCTAGAGGATGCCTAGCTTGGCAGCAGTACATTTGGTTTTACACTGCTGCTGTTTTTATTCTGTTAGAATTTTCATGCTTACGTCTTACTTTTTAATCTTACGGTTTTAATTTTTCAATGTACACCACTCAGAAAACTTCTGTTGCTGGGCAGCATGCATGTTGAAAAAGGCATCAATAAATGTGGCAAAGATCTCAGGATTGTAGTCAATCACAAGCTGAACATGAGTCAGCAGTGTGATGCAGTTTTCTATGTGCTAGACCTCATCCAAGTACCACACTTTAAGGGGGATTTTGACAAACTAAAACAGGTTTGGAAGAGAGCAGTAAAGAAGTCCTATGAGTAAGAGTTGAAGGAACTGGGTATGTTAGCCCTGAGAAGACCAAAGGGAAGCTCTTCAAATACTGGAAGGGTTGCCACATGGAAGAGGGCAGAGGCTTGTTCTCTGCTGCCCTTGAGGGAAGGACTAGAACTGATGAGGTTAAATTAGAGGAGGAGATGTGCTGTTGAGATTAGGAGAAACGTCTTAACAGTAAGAGCAGTTTGACAATGGAACCAATAAGGGTGCGGGGTGGGAGTGGCTCTCCTTCACTAGGTGCTTTCAAGCAGAAGATGGGCACCCATTCATGCCATATGCTGACTGCCAGCATCTAGCAGAGGGCTAGACTAGCTAGCTCACAGGGGATCCTCCAACATCACCATTCTCATTTTGTGGAATCCGACCTACGGTACACAATGTAGTGGGAAGACCCGTGTGCATAGCCTGTCACCACTCCAAAGTAAAGCTGATGAAGGCCACACAGAGTTTGTACCTAAGGGAGCCTCACTGGGGCTCTTGGCACCTCCTGGCCTCCCCTTTTGTTTGCTCCTGCTCTCTTCAATACCTGTGCTGCTGAGCACAGAAAAGAGAGAACGTGGAGTCCCATCATTGCTCACCCCTGGTTCTTGCATCAGTTTAAAAGCTCTGCAGCAGAAGTGGGGAAGAACAAACAGAAGTTGAGTAAGGGCCTTTGAAAACTTTCCCCAGACACCCCAATTTTAGGATAATTTTTTAACTGGTGACGGTAAGATCAGTTAAAAGTTTAAAGACCAGAGAGATAATGTGGAAGGAGCTTTCAGTGGCCCAAATTGGTTTTATCCCCCACTCTCCATGCTTCTCTTATGCCAGTTCGGGCCCTTTACTGCTCTTCCCTAAACTTTCTTCATGTCAACAGCATTGTTTCAAAGGCACAAAGCCTAAAACCTGGTTACATATTTCTCTGAAGGTGAGACTAGTTCTATGTAGGGCACTTCAACAGCTTCCAAATACTTGGGTCTGGCAATGTAGCAGGGCTTCCTTTTGCTGCGCAGGAAAACCTCAGCAACAGGATGCCAGCAATTAATACTTGGAGCCCTTCAAAGCAGTAGTACTATTACTGTGGCAATTTCTGCTCTTCTATTTACTGGGTGGTATTCAACTCTTACTCAGAACAGTCTCATTGAAATTAATGAACATGACTTAAGGGCCAACTCATGTCTACTCTGAAGAAAGCTTCATGAAATGCCACCCTGCGAATCTGATTCCCCCCTATGCAGAACAGAATGTGTGTTCTGTAAATGTGTGTCAAATGCCTGGCTGCTATGTCAGTATCCTGGCTACTGCAATTCAACAAAATGACCATACCTATATGAATGGCCTTCTTTTGCAGCTCATTCAGCCTTCGCAATCGCTCTTCATTTCTGGCTTTCAGCTGATCTATATTAAGACTAGAGCTTGAGTGCAGAGAGTCGTCGTCAGTCTGCAGTGGTGGAGTTGGCCCAAGGGCGCCAGCATCCTAAAGATGTAAAGAATCATGAGACGCTGCATATGATATGTATCGGCTGAGGAAAATTTAGAAGGCTTTCTACATAAAATATACACACAACTTCACCCACATGATGCCACTCTTCTTCCCTCTCTTGGGCTTGGCACTAAGGTTGAGCGGACACTTCCCTAATATGCCTCCTTGCCTCTGTCTTCTCCTCTTCTGGGGTAAATCCCTCCTTATTTCCTCCCCCTTCATGCTTTCTAGCCTCCTTTGTCTCTTCTCCCTCAGATCCATCTCTGGTTTCCTACTTTCTCAGTCCTACCTCTTCTCTCTCCTTGTTTCCACCCCAGATTCCCACATGCACTACCTGGTACGGGCCTTTGACATGCTCACAACCTCCATTTTATTCTCCTGTCAAGTGCATCCTCCAGCCCCAGCATCTCACTTGCCCATTTCCATCCTATCCCACTCAGCTTCTGGTCAAACTGATGGAAGAGCTGATTGGAGACCAGTGCACCTGACAGACCCATGGTTTATACATAAAGGCTCTGAGAATGCAAAGTATTCATTGTGCTTGTGTCCCATTGGAAAGCCCGCAAAGGGGACAGGTTAGTCCCAACAACTGAGCACCACTGATTTCAATAAATGCAACTAGTTGGATGAATTCTACTACCATTTTCTTTTCTCGCCTCCTTTCCCTTGCAGATACTGGCGGTAGTGGAGGTGAATTCACATTGAAGTCATGGTCTTCTAAAATAGGAAAGGTTTCACCATCAGTACCTAGGAGAAGGATTAAAAAAAAATATTAGCACTTGGATTTTTAAGCAAACTCCATGAAAAAATAAACATAATACACACAACATGCTAAAGATAGGTTCATATCTTAGAGTGGAACTCATGCCCTGTTTGTGCATTTCCAAGAAGTATCTAGCTGGCCATTACTGGCAACAGTGCAGCTGCTTTAGATTTCCAAACAGACTAAGTATGTGAGCATGTGTGCAACTATTCTAGAATAGCTAAATAAACCCTGTAAATAAAACATGTATACCGTTATGCTCAGATTAATTTTGTTCCATATATCCTACATAATACAGAGGCAGCAATAAAACATCAGGGTTCCTTTGTTTTATATTTTCTTTTTTTATTTTCTTTTTTTCTGTTTTCTTTTTTTGCAAAGCAGCTACGTTTTGGGAAGATAGCAAGTTTTGTCAACAGGATTGAATTAGTGCCCAAAACAAATCCTAGGTAAAGGTAAAGGTACCCCTGCCCGTACGGGCCAGTCTTGCCAGACTCTAGGGTTGTGTGCTCATCTCACTCTATAGGCCGGGAGCCAGCGCTGTCCGAAGACACTTCCGGGTCACGTGGCCAGCATGACAAGCTGCATCTGGCGAGCCAGCGCAGCACACGGAATGCCATTTACCTTCCCGCTGGTAAGCGGTCCCTATTTATCTACTTGCACCCGAAGGTGCTTTCGAACTGCTAGGTTGGCAGGCACTGGGACCGAACGACGGGAGCACACCCCGCCGCGGGGATTCGAACCGCCAACCATGCGATCGGCAAGTCCTAGGGGCTGATGTTTTACCCACAGCGCCACCCGCGTCCTACAAATCCTACCTATGTCTATTTTCATATGTACACATCATTTGTGTTATTTAAATCAGTGTTTCCCAACCAAGGGCCATATGGTCCCCTGGGGGTCCAGGGTATTCCAAGGGGGCCACAGGTGAAAATGGGGAGCCACAGGACGAGGCTAGGGGGCCACAGAGAGAAGTGAAGAGAAAAAAATCCTGATTGACTGGCTATCCGCTTGGCCAATCACAAGCGGGTAAAGGGGTGGCCCACCAGGGCCTAATGCTCCTTTTTGCCACGGGTGTTTTGGTGGAGCAATCCTGGTTTGTTTCCGGAGGGCGAGGACAATTGCTGAGCCTCCAGTTTTAACCAGTAGAGCCTGTGATCCACAATCCCCAGGTCACGTAAGTGTGGTGGTGGGATGGCAATTGGTAGGGCTGGGAAAGCCAGAGATGCTTGTTGCTACTGCCGGTGCAGGGTGCAATCCACCCTAGCGCCTAGCGGATCAGGGTCTTCAGACGTTACCAAGGGACATAGGGCCCGTTGGCAGTGGCAGCCTGGCTCTACAAGGCACAGGGTGGAATCCACCCCAGTGCCTAGCCGAGTGGGGTAGTCTGGTGTTGCTGACTTGCATCCAGTGAGTAAATAACTAAGTGTCTCCTCAGAAGAAAGCCACAATGAATTCAGTGGGTCTTGGCTTACTCCCAGGTAAGGGTACGTGGGGCTATAGGAAGGAAACAAAGTCAGAAGGAGGCCGTGGTTGGGAAAAGGTTGGGAGACATTGATTTAAATTATCTGGAGAGTCTCATCTTGCATTAAGAGATGTGCTTTGAACCAGCATGGCACAGATGACTAAAAGAAGGAGAAGGGAAAAATGGTTCAAATCTACACTTGGCCAGCAGAAAGCTACATGTGGAAATATACACATGGAGACCCTCAATAAATCATTTATGGGGAGATTCTGTTAAGGCATCCTGGACCACATCCTACTCTCCAATATTATCCTCTCTCTCAGCAGACTAACTTCCAAATGGACTTGGGACTGTAGTCAACATAGGGCTAAGTAATTCCTTGTGCTTTCGGAAGTCGTTTCACTCCCCTCTCCTCCTCTCATGTGCCCCCTAAACCTGTTTTGGAATTCCTCTAACCCTCTGGAGCAGATTTGGAAAAGGACCAGTATGCCTGCTGTGCAAGCAAAATTGTGCTATTGTTCAGCTGAATACAGCCACCCCTTTTTCAACAATAGAAAACAGGTCACTGCACACCTGAAGCCCAGGTAACCTAAATATACAAATATGAGCAGGTCTCTCTACCACCTTCTCTACCTTTTAACCACCTTCAGCTTTTCAGAAATTTAGGAAGATGAACGCCCTTCAAACCATGTATACTAGTTTGGGATTGGATGAGCACTTACTACTGATGCTAATCCTGAACTGTACTTTTTCTGCAACCAAAGAATGAGCAACTTGGCAGCAGTCTGATCAAGCACAATTATACAAGAAACAAGTGCCTCTGAAAAGATATACTCACCAATAAAAGCACTATCAGACTCTAAAAGTGAGTTTGACACATCATCTCTGACCTACCAAAGAAAAGTAACAGGAAACTTGCTTCAGATTTTTAAAAAACTGCAAAAACACATCTAGCTAAATGAACAAGAGTTGTGAATGTCGCCAGACTGGAAGTTATTAAATCTCTTTGTAACACAAGAAGATTCTCCAGCTTTTCCAAAATTAGAACAGTGCAGTGTAAATGCTCAAGGTAGCAACAGCCTTTCAGAATGAATGACTACATTTCACGAGTGGGCTGGGCACTTGAATAACATTGGCGTTCATGTACTGAATACCTACTCTTGTTTCCTAATATAGACAACTGCTATACAAACATCATATTAATGTATTTATGTAAACTTAAAAAACACATCTTTCCCTTTTATGAATATGTGTTTGTATTCATGAAAGGTAAGCTGATTCTGGAAGTAACAGTAACTTGCAGCTGACTCGAAAGTTTAGTTCTGGGGGTCCATGCATAGATGCAAAAAGATATAAAGTAAGCCAGGAACCCACAGAACCAGTCCCCCTGCAAGGTGGGGAGGTGCTTACCCAGCTTTGGAAAGGCCTCACAATGGCTCTGGCAATGTTGCAGAGCCTGCCCGCTGTCTTCCCAAAGTCAGGTAAGCCTCCGATCACAGCTTTGTGCGGAGGGGGGGAGGAATAAAGGGAAAGTAGGTTTCCTCGCCTCTCCATTTATTTATTTATTCCCCCCCAACATCTGCAGAAAGCTGAAATCACGTAAGTAACATAAGCATAAGATGCGAGCTACTTTTATACGCACATCTTGATTGTCACTGAAAATGCCTATTCACTCAACATAAGGAATGCTGAATGGTATGGCAGGGAAGATTCACGCTTGTATGTTGTCTACTTTCTGACTTTCGCTGCACATGCCTCTCTCCATCATCCACTTCAGACACTATCAACCTCACACCTTGCCAAAATCCCATCCCACAGTTTTGGTTTGCTCGAGGCTGAAATGATGACTCATGTACTGAATAGCAACTCTTACTTCCCAGTGCAAATGACTGCTAAACAAATGCCATACTAAGGCATTTATTACACTTTCTCCCCATTTATGACCTGCCTTTCTTATCATATATTCAACATGTCTCAGAAACATGTTACAGTGCATAGGTACACTGTGGAATTCGCTGCCACAGCATGCAGTGATAACCCTAAACTTGGGTGGTTTTAGAAGGGAGTTAGACAAATTCACAGTGAATACGACTGTCAGTGGCAGTATGCCTCTGAACACCAGTCGCTGGGGAACACAAGGGGAGAGAATATTGTTGCACTCCTGCTATTTGCTGGTTTCCCATAGGCATCTGGTGGTCCATGGTGAGAGCAGGGTGCTGGACCAGATAGGCTAGCTGGCCTCATCCAACAGGCTGGACAACAATAAAATTTTGGCTTTCCAAATCACATGGAAGTGACTAACAATAGGCAGCTAATGGAGGTGTTTCATCACTGGTGAATATGTTCTCAAAGGCTTTTATGAGCAAATTTCAACTTATCCCCTGCAGTTTTCATGAAGTGAAGTTTCCAGGTACTTCTGTAAGTAGCACCTGCATACAATACAATACTCAATCCTGGATGTTATTAGCACTTGGATAACTGCTGGAGATGAGGTGAGGAAGAGTTATTTGGGAGCAGCTAGCGCAGAAAAAGATGGGGCTATGTACTTTACAAATGAGCATCACTTTGAGGTGGGATTTGAAAGAAGGAAGGGACCTGTTCCAGACACAGGAAATAGTCTATGTACATTTGGCACTGTTCGCTACTTTGGAATAAAAACAAAGAAACCAGTTCCATTTCTGCTTACCATTCCTCTGTCTCTCGGTTTAAAGCCAGGCACAGGCTCATCAAAATCTAGGGCGGCTATTAAAGCAAAGGAAAGCAAGGATGAAAACAAGATTAAGAACAAAGAGCGTTAATGGTACAAAAGCATAATGCAGCACTTAAAATTCAGGGACTACAATAGCAGTTATCTTTATTAAAGCCATACATTTACTATCACACCAACAATAACAATAGCTGTTTTGCAGAAAAATGGCTACGGTAATAACCATAATTACAAAAATCAGATAAAAGGGGGGGAGGCAGAAAATTGCAGAAGGAACAAACACTGGATTCTTCACTGTATTAAATATGTATTTACCAACTTACAACAACAAATAGATTCAAGGGTATACACACACACACACACACACACACACACACTCAACAGTAATGCAATAAAACCAACTTTATTTTTCATTGCTGAGGCCCCAGCTCGCATAAAAACATTGCCAGGTATTAGTATAGACCAATGAGTTAGGTAGTAATGATACACATACAAAACTCAGGACAATACAACAGGACCGGCCTAGATTTAGCTGACCTCCTGAACTGCATGGTTTAACTTCTTTAAGTTGATTGCTTGAGGACTTATACTTTGTAGCAGCAGTACCTGTGCATTATGGCGTTCAGGCTTGCTCAAGACGTTTTGCAGTCTGAAGCAAGACGGTGCTCTCTCCATTCCACATACAGATGTGGTGAAATCTTACTGGCAACGGGGCAGCATAACAGAGGGCAGTAGGCTCACTTAGATGACACAGGGCAGAGAGTGTGGCACACACAGCTGTGTCCTCCAACACCTCACTGCTCTCTGCATCTGCCTGAGGAAGCCTAATGAGTGGGTGAGTCCTTTGGATCAAATTCGGCAAGTCATTTATGGGTGTGTGTCCCCCCTTGTAAAAAGCAGCCATAGTAGGGACCTGATTTGGTTTGGCATTACCTTGGTATTTTATGCAGGAAAACACACTCAATCTAGCACCAAATGCAGAGTAAGTCTCCTACTAAAGGTCACCACATCCATTTGAGGAAGACATTCCATAAAAAGACACCCTCAGTTTTGATCAAATCCACCCTAGCTTACCTTCTGCATTTTTCCTCAGTTTTTTAAGTTTCTTGCTCTGCTCTCTTAGCAATGCTTGCTGCTGAATGTCCAGGGCATCATTAGTCGTGGGAGGATCAGGATACATATATCGTGTTTCTACCCGTGTGTCTGACTCTGTTACATAAAAAAAGAACACAATTCGCATACCATGAATGGGCCTTCCAGGGTTGTATTGGGAGAGATCTACTTAGAACAGCAATGGGGAGTCTGTGGCCATCATCCCTGGCCACTGGTCACCCTGGCTGGGGCTGCTGAGTGTGGGGAGTCCAACAACAGCTGGAGGGCCACAGGTTCTCCAGTCCAGACTTGAATCCTTGATTATGTTCTCTCCTCTCTGGTGGAACCCATGTTCTTTTCTCAGGGAACACCCACTTTTCCAGATGTGAAAAAGCTATATGAATCTAAGGATGGGCCGACAACCAGAAAGGAAGTTGATGTTTAATCCAAGAGGAAGGATGTTCTGACAAAAACGTCACTTGAAGCCACCTTCTGAGGAAGCATGAGGTCCAACTTATAATTTCTTGTGACTGTGGAGGCTGAAAACAATGCAGCCACACTGCTGACTTCTGTGGACAAGGCTGCTTTTGCTCAGTGAAACAACCAGGTTATTCGTAGTGGGGTGGTAATAGGCTAGAGCACTGGTTTTCAACCAGTGTGCCATGACACCCTGGGACCCTTGAATGATGGTCAGAGGTGTTGCAGGCAACACTGGTCTCTTTCCCTCTTTCTTTCCCTCCCTCTTATCTGAGGCACTCTTGCATCTCTGCCTCCCAAAGGTTTGCATAGCTGTTCGTTGCAGCAGCCCTGACCACAAGCTCCGCAGGCGAACGGTGCCTCTGGGGCTGGTCAGTGGATGTTTCCTAGGCCCCTATGGGGCAGTGAGGAGGTACCTCTTTTGGGGCTGGGGGGCAGCTCAGAGAGCAGTAGTGACAACCCAGAGGACTCCCAAGGAGAGGGGAGAGGAGGCTGAGGGAACACTCCACAAGGGAGGGTGTTTGAAAAAGGGTGAGAGGCTGCCAAGGGAGCCATGGACTCAAAAAGGCTGAAAACCTCTGGGCTAGAGCTACACAGGTTTTGATCCACCACGCTACAGTGCAACTAGAAGCCTTGTTCCCTTAGGGATGTTGGATGTTGGAGGCTACTGAAATGTCTATGTCTCTATCCTTTGGATGTAGATTTCTTTAGTGCCCTTCGAATGCCTCTCTTATAGGCAAAGGTACTTGTTGACTGAAAGGGTGCTGGGGTCCAACACACCTTCTGAAATATCAGGAGTGGTCCTGCATACTTCTGCTCTGGGATGGAATACTGGAAGGCTTGGAGTCTTTATGCACTCTCTTATGATGGTGAGAAGCAAAGGGGGGGGAATATCTAGAGCGCTGCTGCATTTCGAACTGCCTTAGATTTTAGTTCCTTGGGAATATTAAATAAATAAATAATAGTTGTTGTTTTGTTGTTGTTGTTGTTATATTTATTTATTTACTTACTTACTTACTTATTTATTTATACATGCATACATACATACCCCGCCCATTTGGCTGGGTTTCCCCAGCCACTCTGGGCGGGTTCCAGCAAAATATTAAAATACAATAATTCATCAAATATTAAAAGCTTCCCTAAACAGATGTCTCCTAAAAGTCAGATAAAGGTAAAGGGACCCCTGACCATTAGGTCCAGTTATGACCGACTCTGGGGTTGCGGCGCTCATCTCGCTTTATTGGCCGAGGGAGCCGGCGTACAGCTTCCGGGTCATGTGGCCAGCATGATTAAGCCGCTTCTGGTGGACCAGAGCAGCGCACGGAAATGCCGTTTACTTTCCCGCTGGAGCGGTGCCTATTTATCTACTTGCACTTCGTGCTTTCAAACTGCTAGGTTGGCAGGAGCAGGGACTGAGTAACGGGAGCTCACCCCATCACAGGAATTTGAACTGCCAACCTTCTGATTGGCAAGCCCTAGGCTCTGTGGTTTAACCCACAGTGCCACCCGCGTCCCTAAAAGCCAGACAGTTGTTAATAATAATAATAATAATAATAATAATAATAATTTATTATTTATACCCCACCCACCCGCCCATCTGGCTCGCTTTCCCCAGCCAATCTGGGCAGCTTCCAAAAAAATACTAAAATACAATAGTCTATTAAACATTAAAAGCTGATGGGAGGGCATTCCACAGGGCGGGCGCCAGTACTGAGAAGGCCCTCTGCCTGTTTTCCTGTAACTTTGCTTCTTGCAGTGAGGGAACTGCCAGAAGGCCCTTGGCACTGGACCTCAGTGTCCAGGCAGAACGATGGGGGTGGTGTCCCTTAAGGCTTTGCATGCTCTTCTTTGTAAAAAGGAGGGGTAGGAAGAGAGAAAGAGATTGGATAAGTCAATTCTCTGTGTTGCCAAAAGGAGAAAAATGAATTATTACTATCAGAATCATTTCCTCTCTTTTTCTGCTTCATACATGTTATTGTCTGGTGCCATCTGGTGGCCAATTTGGATATTGCTTGCAGTTTCAGAAACAGCTGTGTGCCTTTTTTCTGTCCAGAGGTAGAAAGGACTTCCAAAGGATTGGTCTCCACTGAGTGGACTTGCCCAGAGCCAGACAAAGTGGATGGTCTGTTTGTGCCATCGCGGTATGTTCCCCACCCCCTTCTAGCAATGACAGAGAGTAGTGGGTGGAAGAGCTCAATGCTGGAACCTATCTAAGCACACAGCAGGGTGAGGAATGGGGGGGGGGAGGTTTTGGTGACAGCGATCCTTTTTTGCAGGATTCTTACGTATTGAATTGCTATGCTTTAAGGTTTGCCACTGATAGCCATGGCACAGCAAACTGGCAAAGAGAAGTCCGGCAGATCAAGAAAGGCAAACAGCGGGGGGGTGGGGGGGACAAGACTGAACTTTTTGGGAGAGAAAAACTAAGTGATCCCAAAGAATGAACCAAGGTGGCTGAGGAGGAGGATAGAAACAGAACAGTTCACCAGAGCTCAGAGGAGAGGAAGAGGACATCTGCTTTGTGGTTAAATTGAAGGAAGAGTCAGAGGAGAAAGAGAATAACCAAATCTTCCAAGTCACGTGTAAGTGGGGAAATTAGGCAATATGACCCTTTAAGTGAAATTAGGCAATATGACCCTTTAAGTGAATGTTTCCCACACCAATCTGAGAATGACATTTATAAGTCTCATGATATCCTTTCTCATAAAATATTATCAATAATATATATAAATATAGTGATCAGAACGTGCTCTAGTTTCTTTGAAATGATGAGAAAGTGTTTTCTTATTTAACCTGGAAAAAGAGTGTGACGGATAATACACACACGATCCTTTTTACACAATGATTATTTGTGGGAGAGGATTTGCATATACTGATTGTGGTTTTGGTTTTTTTGCTGTCTGTTGGGTAAGGCTAAATCATAATTCAACATGTTCTTAAAAGATATTCAAATGCCGGACGTATTCTAGTTGAACTCATGATTTAGATGTACACTGAATCAGCAAAAGTCTAATTGCTTGAGCATGCTCAGTGGGCATGGAATATTGACTGACAGTTGGTGGGAGGGGTGTGGAATGGGGCAGGAAACCAAGGGAGGAGGAATAGTATCCTTGAAGCGTGCTGTGATTAACTAGAATCCTGAACAGAAAATATGTTGCAGGTCCCACTTGTGTGCCACAAGCAAATTAAGCAGTTTCCTTTCATTAGAATCCCTCCCTTTAAAACTGAGGAAGTGTCCCGTCGTAAGAAAGACAACAGGCTAACCTTTGTATTTAAGTTCATTAAACTCCCGGATATTCTGCACGTTGATAGGATCAGCGACATCTTTTGATGACGGTCGTCTGACTGGAGCTTGCATACGAAGCCTAGCCATCTCAAATACATCCATGTTGTATTTATCTTTCCTCCTGCTAAAAATAACCAAAACCATGCTTAGAAAACTAACCTCAGAATGATGTAGGTTCATTTATAAACAAAATGGAAATAAAAATTGGAGAATTGATGAGACATCTGATTCAGACTGGAGTTTAGAAGCCAACCAGGAAAGAAATGGAGAAGCCCAGTTGAGTAAGCATACTAGTTACAGAGTCAGATAAAACCACAGGGCAGGGACAGGCAATGTGATCTATAGTAGTACTTTGGACAGAGACAGTTTGCCTGTAAAGTTTCTGCCCATTATGCCATTATGACCCAACACTTACTAAATGCTACATCACGGTCCTGTGGCTTTAGTGTGGATGAGAATGTCTTGGGAGTCAGTCCCAGAGCCCACTGCTTCTAACATGAGCTTCATCCTAACTCTTGCACCAGGAAAGAGGCTATAGGGAGATTCCACTAAAGGATTATTCTGCAATTTTCTCCTTGCACTTCAACAGCTGCAGAAGGTGCCAGGATCAGACCTCCTGGGTATAACTTATAGAGGTGTGTAAAGCAACAAAGGGCAGGACAGCCAAAGCCCCTTGTCACTCCTTCCACTGGCAATTTTTAATTCCAGGGGAGCATCTTTAATATTTGCTCAATTACGTATTAGCTGCCCAAGAGAAATTGCACACTTTACAAAACGCCAAAGTCTAGACTGAAAAACACTCACCCTTTTGCTGGCATGTCATCGTCATCACTGTGGACTTTCAACAACTCTTCCTGGAGTCGCCGCTCCTCACTGCGAAGCTGCTTCCTCATCTCTGATAGCTCACTTATTACATTCTTCTTTTCTTCTGTAATTCAGTATAGTAACAAAACAAAAATGATGCAGAATACCCAAGGAAGCATTTTTCTTGGCCAAAAATCACAGCCAAAGAAGTGACGTATTCATTCATGGCATACAGATTTCTTACCATAGGCACGTAGCTGGTTTCTTCTAGCTGGAACTGGAGGAGATGGGATTCTGGGAACATCCTAGTAAAACATTAACATATAAACTGTACTAAAAATGACTGCATCAATAAAATAAAAACAGTAACTTCGTATGGCTCATTTTCATTCAGTCTAAGAAACAAACATTCACAAGCTCAAGGAAGAGGTTCAGTTTTCTCATAATAGACATTGACATACCAAATGGCAAACTGCTTTTGAGACCAAAAGGAGTTTCAAAAGCAGTCTCTGTGCACCGTGCGCACCCAGGTGTGATGCAGGAGAGCAATGACTGAATATGGAAAAAGCATTATGGGTTAAGCAAGGCTGCAATTTTGTTGTTGTTGTTGTTGTTGTTGTTGTTGTTGTTGTTGTTGTTGTTGTTACAGTGCATATCATGGGCTGGTATGGCACAGGGCATGGATCCATTTACCAGGCACCCCTCCATCTACTGGCCGATTTATCACCTAGTCTATTTGCTGGAGTCAAGTTCTCAAGGCCACCGTGCTCTGCTCCTGTGGGTCCAGCCTGCAACCTGGGTATGAGGCAACTGGCCCCAGCTGCCCAAAGCTGGAAGTGCCCCCACCCCCTTATGAGAGTCCCACGTAAGCTATGTATCCTGCCCAATGCCTTCCCTCACAAAAGGCAAAAACCTTGCAGGGGTAGGCCAGTTATAACTACGAATAACATTTCTCTCCAGCCCTGTCAACCAGGGGCCAACAAATGTCCGGAGAAAGAGAACGTACACCAAGAGAGGGAGGGAGGGTGGGGAAGATGGCAATGGCTGGAGATGCAGCCTGGGCTCTTATTTGTAGCTCAGACAACAGATCCAGGGGGGAAAGTCTTTCCTCCAAGGTTGCACTCTGAGTCCCGCCCCCAGGAACCAATGCAGAGCCCCTATTGGCTTCTTGGAATGGGTCCTGCCCACGCCAAGGGACAGCCGCATCAACCAACGGCATCTTTTCCCTGGCCTCTGGCACCCAAAGCAGCCCTGGTGGCTGGGGAGTAGACTATTCAAAGAGAAAGGAAAGCACGAAATGACAAAATCATCAGAAGGTTGCCAAGATATTAGATGTCAACTGATAATGGTGGTATTTTTCCTCCATCAAAACATCCCCTGGGGTTTGTCATGATGCAAAGTGCCAGAAATACATTCACGGATTATATTTGAATAAAAGGCAAACATACATGTGTATAGTAAGACATACGGCTCTCCACTAAAAGAGCCCTTTCTTCTTTTACGACAGCTTTGTTCTGAGGAGATGGAATGAGAGGAGAAGGTTGTCTAGAAATCTGAAAAAAATGGAGAGGAGTGAGACGATTAAAATTTCCTGCTTAAATAGCAACTCAAAAGTATTCATATACCGAAGAAAGGCTTTCATCTGACATAATAAGCTTTGTCAGCATCTTTTTCCAAAAGCAAAGCCCACTTGGCTAATCTTTTAGGAATCTATGGCTACAAAGAGAGGGGTACTGGGAAATTAAAGAACGAAATGCACAGGAAATGCAGGGGAAAGCAAGCTTGCCCATTTACCCTAAAATCATATAGATAGATAGACAGACAGACAGACAGATAAAGTTAAAAGTCATTTTAACTCTGATGTTTAAATTCTCTGTTGCTGTTAACAATAAGGACTCTAACTTCAGCTGATTAGGAACCTCAATTGACTCAGCTGCACAGATATTTTTGGGAAGGTTTATGAACATTCCAACAATGCAGAAGTTTTTTTTATTAATAATGAATACACAAAGTCTATGGGATATGTACAGTGATGTACCACTGGAGGAAAGAGGTTCAGCAAAGAAGTAGGCAGCATAATCAAAGAGCTTGTCCCTTGTTGGACCGTGTTTAAATCTTACAGTGTGAGTGGGGGGCAACTGCGAGGAACAGAAAGGAAATCGGATACTGACGGTATTGCAAAAGATATACACAGGTTTTTCTCTGCACGTGTAATATCTGCTTAGCATATATAGATTTATCTTATCTTTCTCTTTATAGGATGAAGCTATTTCACATTATGTAATAAATACAGGCCCTTTTAGAGTTCAGTTTTGTACCCTGGGAAGAAAAGGGGTCATAATTGCTATGGGAGGCCCCACCCACTGCACCCACGCACCTTCCATATGTTGGTCAGAGCATATCCAGGTCCTCACATATAAACTCCAACCACGCAGTCTGTAAACCCCATCTTCCCATTGTACTGAACACAGAGGACTCTAAGCATGTCATGTGTTCTGACCAGGGGCAGGTCCTACACATCCAGTCCCATCCATTCCCATGCAAAACTAACTGAATGCTTGTACAATATTTCTGAATGTTACCATTAAAGAGCTAATCTGAAAAGCTGAAATTCAGCAAATTAAAATATTAATCTTGATATGATATATCTTGGATAAAAATAATCTAGGTTATGACAGCCTAGAAATTTATCTCATTAAGCTTGGTGTGGATTAGATGAAAGGAGCTAGTGAAATGAAATTTGCATGTCCTTAACTGTCATTTTAAGAAACAGGCCTAGCCAGATATGGATGCTCAATACCTTAGTCAGGTGGACTGTAGAACCCTCTGGAAAGCTGTGTCTGTTGAGGGTGCTCATGACCCTACCCCCCCCCCCCACTCCTCACAGTTCCACCACCAAATAACAGAAGCATTAGAAGAACTCAAAGTTCAAATTGTTGCTTTGAACTCATGAGCCTTTGGTGTCTAATTCTTTTGAATTCAAGCTATAAAAGGAGTGTACTTCATCATATACATATGGAATATTTACGGTTCTTACGACAGTTTTCAAAAGTCATGAAAATTTTAAAAGATGAAATGCTAGTAATATGCAAGAAGAGGTTTTCTGCATAAATGAAAATACTGTAACAGTGGTAGTTGAAGAGATGCCTCAATACAACACAAAACAAACTAAACAGTAATGGGTATTAGTCATCAATGTACAGTCATAGCATGCGGGAGGCAGAAAATAGCAGTATGTTCAAGTTAATAACCAAACTAAAAAGATGTAGGACTTACATGAAGACTAGGTTTCTCCCAGTATGAATTGATAAAGGGAAAAAATATAAACCAATCAGTATCAAAATATCTTTCCATCCCCACCATGCATCATCCTATGTCGCTACGTAAGTTTATCAGTAAAAGCCAAGTACCATGCCCTGTCATGCTACTTGAAGATAATATATACAAAAAAAGTATCGGGTGTTATAATGATTGTAATACAACAATCGTTGTATTTTACTTACTTCAGCAAATTAAAGTGCAACGTGCAAATCAAAGCCTGGAGATACTTATAGACATACAGTCAACTAGTGGCACAACTCAGCCAATAATGTATATAGTAATAGTGTCATAGCACAGTTGAAACAAGCAAATCATTCTACAGTTAGTTATCTACTGAAAGCGCTAAGTCCTGTAAGTGGGAACGGTTGCAAGAAAGGGTTCTTCACATGGCCATATGTAGAGGCAGGGGTCATATGCAAATAGTAGTCGCAGACGAGTACCTCCTCACTGTCCCACAGCAAAAGTAGTACAATAGATCAGAAGACCTGTACTCCGGATGTTAAGCTGTGCCTGTGATGATCTTATATTCTTGGTGTATCGTGTTGAGTGTATAGTATTATGGACTGATTAAGCTGTTGTGATTCCCCAACTAGGAGGCACTTTTGCTCATACAGAAGTTCACTCTTCCTCTCCCCCTCAGTCTATAGCTCCTCCACCCCTCAGAAAGCCATTCTGGAGGTTCCACACACACACCTAGAACCCATTTTTATGAGAACTGTAGACCTGGGGAAGGAGGAGAAAAAAAATACCCTCCTCAAATCCAAGCCAACAAGGAAAGAATTTATGAAATATGATCACCTTTTCTTCTCCAACCATTACCTGTCTTTCATTTTCACTATTCTGCTGGAGCTGTTTATCCAGCCTTTCTTCCTCTTCCGCCCTTTTTCTCTCCCCCTCTTTTCTTCTTTCTTCAGCTAATCGATACAGTTCTTCATTTTTTAATCTTTGCTACGAAGATAAAAAAATGTGACGTTGCAAAAAGCAAAACAAAAACAAAAAAACAAACCCTAGTATGTTTAGCAAACTTTGACTGCAATTTGAAAAATACAGAGGCTATAAAGTTCTTTTTCACTTAAAAATCAGGAGCAATCACATGACTGCACTGGAGGTGCATCTGCAAAAGTTGCCCTAACACTGCAGTGAATGTATATAGGTGCCGTACACAGACAGAGAACATGCACAATTGAAAAGAGCCTAACACTCAGAATGTCCTTCTTAGAAATGTGCCTCACTGAAATCAGTAAGCCTTGCTTTAATCCCTTTGTGGGATTGAGGTATAATTTGTGGGGTGAATAATAATGAACAAATAAACATAATCCTCTCAGTCACTAGTTAACTAGTAAGTCCTGAAGGAAGTAGTGAGTATCTGGTGTACAATGAAGGAAGATTACTTTCAGCAATTCCCTCCTTGACATCTTTTAGTATTATGATTATTACACTGAGTCTTTTTTTAAAAAAAATGAGATTTCACAAGAATTTACTCTATTCCAGGGGCACCTGATTCTCTTTAAGGGAGGAAACCTATCACATCTAAAGAAGTCAGATACCACACCTCTTCTTCTCTCCTTCGTTTCCTCTCTATTTCCTCGTCATATTCTCTCTGTATTTTAGCCCTCTGCTCAGCTAGCCTTTTTTCTTCCCTTTCTTCTTCAAGTCTTCGTTTTTCACGCTCTTCCTCTTCTCGTTTTCTTTTCTCCTCAATCTACGAAGGAAAAGACCAAATATTTATCGGCCAGAAAGAGCAGCTAAGAATATTCAAGCTTTTACAGAGATTATAAAATCTATTTTAAGATCTGCATCATGGCTGTAAGTGGAAGTGTACCTATCTCTACCCATGCACAGATAAAGGAAAGCCTTCGATCCATTACAATATTTTGCTTTGAGTCTTATTTAATAACCAGAGATTGCCTTGATACCATCTACCAGACAGACTTATGCACCTCCCCCTTTCTATACAGGATGCCAACCCCACCTTCTCAAGCCTCAGGGAGCCCCAGCTGAAAAAGTGTCTTGGCCCCAGTCGACAAAGCATCAAGGCAAGTTAAGAAGACATGCAAGGAGAGGGAAAGTAACAGCCACTTATTTAAAACTTATCCGACTAATAAGGGCACAGTAAGATGACTATGTGCTAGGATCCAAATCCTGTAAGAACTTATCTCAGGAGCTAAATTCTAGGGGTAGGAAATCTGTAGAAACCTGGTGTTCAGCACTATCCTAGAAGAGAAGCTTGAGGGGACATAGTAAACTAGACTAAAATTTCTAGTTTTGGAGAGGGAATAAAAAGGAAATTTCACTATATATATACACACAGTTCCACACAACACAGATCTAGCTAGTTAGAGTCAGCTTAGTTTTAAAAGGTTTAGGCTTAGCCTTCTGTAAAAACATCCACTCCAAGCTGTTTTCCTTGGTTATAAAGGTTAGACTGTTCTAGTGAAAAAAAGACTCAGTTGAGTCTTGTTTTGCTTGTGTTGCTTCCTACTGCAACACTAAATTTTGCAGTATGAAGTTCTCCCATGCAAGGTTCCTGCCAGCCAAGCCCTTTTCTGTGTTATTCCGTTTCCACACATACCAGGGGCAAGGGGACTTCCTCTCTACCCCTCCTGGCATTCAGTTTGGTGGGCATGAAGCATGCTCATGCTCAGCCCCTGCGCCACCCCTGCCTCCACAATCAAATTTCCTTTGAAAAATTGGGTTTGTTTTGCAGATTTGGGGTTTTCCCCAAGCCTGACAATACTGGCTTTGTATGTGCAAACGATGCTCGTTTGGCTATATAAGAGAATCAGCACTTGGAGAATGGATTTATTATAAACATACAGAAATATATATATATATATATATATATATATATATATATATATATATATATATCTCCTTGGGACGCGGGTGGCGCTGTGGGTAAAACCTCAGCGCCTAGGGCTTGCCGATCAGAAGGTCGGCGGTTCGAATCCCCGCGGCGGGGTGAGCTCCCGTCGTTCGGTCCCAGTTCCTGCCCACCTAGCAGTTCGAAAGCACTCTTAAGTGCAAGTAGATAAATAGGTACCGCTTTATAGCGGGAAGGTAAACGGCATTTCCGTGTGCTGCGCTGGTGCCGGCTCACCAGAGCAGCTTCGTCACGCTGGCCACGTGACCCGGAAGTTTCTCCGGACAACACTGGCCCCCGGCCTCTTAAGTGAGATGGGCGCACAACCCTAGAGTCGGACACGACTGGCCCGTACGGGCAGGGGTACCTTTACCTATATATATATATATATATATATATATATATATATATATATTTAAAGCTACGAGCAGCACTGCTTTTCAAAATCTGTAAAATTTATTTTCATTAATACAGGTTTGCTAAATTAGAAAAATATTTTATTTCACTTAATATTGATATTGATATACACACTCACCTGGAAACGAAGAAAGTTCTTGTACGATTCTTGCCGCCTAAGCTGCTCTGGTGTTGGTGTTTCACCAAAAATGTTACCACGAGCAAATGGGGATGTTTGTGTATATGTGAAACCTATTTTTTAAAAAGAAATAGTTTGCATTGTTAAACCTGTTATCTCGCAGAAGATTTCAAACTCGTGTTTGATATCTTGCTTTAAAGAATACTATAACGCTGGCGACATTAACCCAATGAAACTTGCCTTCGCAACATGTGAAACTCCCAACAAAACCAGTCAGCAAGTACTGTAGCGTGAGAACAGCAAAACCTAAAACGCCTGAATTATTTGAGCTTAAAAATGAAAGAAAAAGGAAACAGCATCTGGTCCACCGGGAGCAAATTAAAATCATGTACAGTGGTACCTCTGGTTACGAACTTAATTTGTTCCGGAGGTCCACTCTTAACGTGAAACCGTTCTTAATCTGAGGCGCGCTTTCTCTAATAGGGCCTCCCGCTGCACGTTTGCCTCTGGTGCACAATTTCCGTTCTCATCCTGGGACAAAGTTTGCAACCCAGAGCAGATAATTCCGGGTTAGCAGAGTTTGTAACCTGAAGCGTTTGTAACCCGAGGTACCACTGTACAGCAGTTTCCAGATCCTTGAAAGAAGTTCTTTCCCCTATTCTCCTTGCCTATGCATGTGGACATGCAGGCTATGGAACAGGCCACTGGGGGAACAGGAGGTCAATGAATACTTAAAGCACTCTCTGTCAAAGCTTAAATGACTTGCACCAGGCTCTGTGCATGAAGCAAAGGGCATGGGGACATGTGACATATGTGCAGATCTTCCATTCCCCTTCTGAGCCTTCTGCTCAGTCTGTGCACAAATCTCTATACACAAATCTCTATACAGGTGTAGGCAATGAGATGGTGGAAACTGGCTCCTTTGAGCTTGTGGGAATTCTCTGAATTTGTGCACTATGTCCATGGTGTTTTAAGCTATAAAAAAAAAGGTTTGCCGTATATTTCAGTTTATTAATATTTTTAAAAATAACTATTTGCATGGGGAAAATGCATCTGATAACCCCACATGCAAGAGTAATCTTAGTATTTGATTTCTGAATTCCCCCTTAATTCTACTTTAAAAATACATTTGTAAATTTAGAAAGTAATTCTATTACAAAACTGAAAATCCTGGCGTCCGCCTCCAAGCACTTCCACTGTGGGTTATGTTTCTTCTCTCTAACCCAAAAAATGCATTTAAACATACTATATACCTTGCCATGCTCCATGCTTGTGAACACTGATGTATAATCCCATGTTTTAAAATAGTTTTCATTATGACCAACTAGTAAGTAAAAATATAAAATACCCATGGGCGATCCAACTGCATGCACTGCATTGGAGATATCTGCACACCAGACTACTTAGCACTAGCTTTCTGGATCACAGCTACAATGTACCGTATATTATGACTGGGTTGCAAGTACTCAATATATAGGTGGACATAATCAAGCTCTAACTATCTTATTCCCAAATAATATTTTCTTGAGCATTTTTTTACCTCTTTAAAAGAGCTCCTTTTGTCACTAACTAAAAACCAAGTCAAGAATGAAACGTTTTTTGTGAAGACTGCTGCTTCTTTTCTTCCTGGCAGAATTTTGGAACTTGAACACTGGTATTCAGATGCAAAAGGAGAAGGAAAGAAGGGGACAACACTAATAGGAAATAATTTACGAAAGACCCAGTGATTACAATGCACACTGAGGAGCTTCCTGTTCTCTTTCTTCATTTGATGGCGGACACCGTGTAAATGCGCAAGGAACCCCTTGGACATGCACAGAGCGCTTTCACAATGGAGAACAGGAATACAAAAATATTTATCAGTGCAACCATACAAACAGTTTCTAGTACTGCTAACTAAACCACGTTCAAGAGGATTCAAGGAAACATACAGGATTGTCTTCAGTGGAAAGTACAGCATAGGAAGAATGTACAGTCATTCATCGGGGACACAACACACATTCGCAACTGAAAATATGGTATTATTTAAACCTGCTATTTTATTTGAAGATTCATCTGTATTCTCAAGTCTTGGGGAGGCCAAACTTAGGTCAACAGATACTATAGCCCTTTTATCTTCATATACTCGTGCCTCTGGATTATGATATGCATCTTCATTTTGCTTGTGCATCATATTCAAGTCAGCTGAAGAAAAGGGGGAAACAGCCATGTATAATATTTTATTCCAACATGAGGTATGTTTATGACACAGTTCCAAGCCAAGAAATGTTTTTCCAGAGCTACAGTTAAGAGGAAATACAAAGGCCACAATCCAAGATAAGAGCTGCATGTGCTGTGTAGTGTGTGCTTTATGTAAAAGCTCACTAAAAATCCAAAATAATCTGTCATGATCCTTTTTTTAAAATTATTATTATTATTATTATTATTATTATTATTATTATTATACTAAAAAAAAGATGTTAGCACTACATTTAAGCCATAAGTGGGAGGTCTCAGTACTCTAATGTATTGATGCATTGAGGTTTTCTGCCGTTTGCCTAACAGAGTTGTCTCCAGATTTATCACCTCTTCACTTGCAAATTATTTATGCTAAAGCTGGCAAATATCAACTACCATTCTGATTAAAATGTATTTAATAAACACAATAAAAATTCCAAACCACTAGAAGGAGAGCCACAGTATTTTAAAGAAGATTTTAAAAATCTAGCCATAATTAGATGTTTATCCTTTATCAATATAAAACAAGAAGCAGACTCAATTATGAGACTGGTAAACATGTTTAAGAATGACTCTAAAAAGCTTTGTGTGGGAGGAAGACTCTGTACTCATAAGCCTGTCTTCAGTGTATTACAGTATCTTCTCCTCCGTTATACGTCTTCCTTTTATTCCTAATGCCACCTCTTGCTACATTTTGCCAAAAATATCATCCTTGTAAGTGCAGCTCCCACTAAAAGAAGCAAAACTACTGTTTGACTGTCTAAATAAACAGAGCTGATTTCTTCCATGCTGTAAATTCGCTGTAGTACATCCATTTTACTCTCCTATCAAATGTCATTTGTTTCTCAACAAATATAAATAAATATAGACATAAATATAGATAAAGTAAAAAGAATATCCCCTGATTTCAAACATACTTATGAGGTTTCCTTTTTTATCTCTGAGAGGAGCACCACCACCTCCTTTGCCCCAAGGATTGTACGTTCTCATTTCAGCTTCTAATTTGGCCTCATACCGTTCCTTTTCTTCCTTCTCTTGTCTGCGACGTTCTTCTCTTTCCCTTATCTGCAAAAAAGTATCAGAATTTGGTGTGACATGTCTCATTAACACGATAAAAATTAATATTGAATTCAATGTAAGTCTAAGCACTTACAAACAAACTTCCAAACAAATTTAAGCTTCTCACCTGTTGTTGTAATTCTTGCTGATAAGCTAAAGTAGCCTCTTTTGAGGTCTTTGGTTTTTCTTCAGGAAACATACCCAGACCTTTTGGCCTGTCATTTGCAATTCTTGCTCCGATTTTACTTCTGCATTCAAAAGAGTAAAAATGCAATGTGTTTTTAAAGAAAACCTAAGCATGTTACTAATTGAAATCTGTCTTTCTCAGGTGCTACTTTATTAGTTTTCACTACACTGTTAATTTATGATCCAAAAAGCGGTTTCAGTTTTGCAGTTACATTCAGAAAGCTGGCATATTTTCCACAATTCCATTTCAAAATCAAATAGCAAAACAGCTAAGAGGAGCAACTCCAGAATAGGCCCTACAAAATACCTTCCAAGACAATAATGCACATTAACATGGCAAAGAACTTATAAGCCACTTACTCTCAGCAGCTAGCAGTGCCTCTAACCAGACACTGGAGGGGCCTATCGGGAGTGTCCAGGGACAACTGGTATCAAACTGTATGGGAAACCGCCCTATTAAAAAAACTTACCAGCAAACTGAAACTATCATGGGGACAAACCAAAGAGAATGCTTGTACCCTTGTGTGGCCCCCCTTTATTGCATATACAAGCCAAGAAGACAATGACCGACCTTTCCTGACAACATAAAAATCAATATGGCTAACAACACCCACTACCCACAAACAAAACACACTGCTACCAATCAACTGCCACCAACCTTACCTTGGGCCCTTTGACCTCTTGCTCTGCCAACAAAAATAAGACACCTGTCCAAGTGACACTGACAAAAAAGCGCCACTTATATATGCAAAAATGCAAGTTTAATGTCTCCTTCACCTTCCCCCTCTCCTAAATGTCTCTCTCTCTACTTTCTTTCCTCCCCACCTCCAACCCCACATTGTCTTCAACAAAAAATGTTTCAAGCTGATTGTACTTGATTTGTATGAAGGATGCTACAGACATTGAATGTACTTTTGTTACTTATGGAAAATCTTTCAATAAAAACATATTTTTAAAAACTCACATTCCCAAATAAAAAGCCAAACAATGCTAAACTAATCTTATCAGTACTTACGCAGTCATAGGAGGAGGTCTGTGAACAGTATCTACAGGTGGAGGTGCAGATGAAGGCTGCATCCCTGTTATACCTGGGCCATCTAAAACAATCAAGACATCCAAAACTTAAATCTAGTGTTTTACAGTCTGGACAGTTATTTTAATATGTTATTTTATTATCTGAAGAACATAAAATGCTGGCATGTCAAGAAACTGTGCCAGCCAGTAATGTAAAGATGCATTTATTTATAGAAATATTTCTATAGCACCATATCATAAAATATGAAGATAGTGTAAACAGCTAAAACATAAACATGATTATTATTATTTTAAAAACTGAATTTAATGGATTAATATGACTGGCTATCATTCTTACTAATAGGAAACTGAGCTGGTGAGTGCCCTCTGAGGCAATAACCTCCAGAGAGTGCATTACTATAGTTCTACACCACTTGGTTAACCAACTTACAATATGCAAGGCTGGGGTCCAAAGGGTTCCTGGCACCATAGTAGTAGTATGCGTCGTCATATGGAGTTCTGTAGTTATCAATCAGAATTGGTGGTGGAGGTGGAGGAGGCGGTAACGGTGCAATCCTAAATCCAAAGAAAAATGACAGCGTATTTTAAAGGTGGCTTTTTGAAGCATGCCTCACCACGAGAGAAGAAAAAGTGTGAACAAAAATATATGGCCATTTTTTCCATGCAGGAATTCTGTCACTTGATCATAGAATCTTAAGTTGGAAGTGTCCCAAGGGGAATGCAGTCCGGCCCCCTCCAATGCAGGAATCAGTTAACGCTTTGTTCTAATCACTGCCCCCTTTTGATGGTTGGTAAAGTGCACTGCTTCAGAATACCTAGGCTTATCACAAGGCAAAACGTACTTATGTCTGATTTATGTGCTTCTAGGACGCGGGTGGCGCTGTGGGTTAAACCACAGAGCCTATGGTGTTTCGCTAAGACAGGCTTGCCTATAGAAAGACGCGGGGGAGGAGGACCAGGGTCATCAGAATGTGAATGTATGATTATCGGAATGTGATCTTGACCTGGCAGGACCCCGAGATATGTTTGGCAAGCCTGGGGAAATCAACGGACAGACGGAGGGAATGTTCTTTACGGAGGTGTGGAAATGGCGTCTGTTCTTTATGCGATATGATTTTTGGAGAGTGTAAAACCCACACAGAGGATGTTTGTTTTCAACCCACTTGTGAAGATTATCAGAGATTGCAAAGAAAGGAATATATGATAACAACAAGAAGATGAGGAAAGTAACAAAGAGACTATCTGGACAGAACTGGATAGAACTGTTTAATTAAAGCAGCAACATGAGTGATGTTTGGACCCCTTTCGGAGCTTGATGTATGGGTACCCCCAACAAAAATTTAAAAATCTGGCTGTATAATTTGGAATTAATGTGATTTGGAATTAATGTGATTTGATTGGCTTGTTAATAAAAATTATATTTAAACCACAGAGCCTAGGACTTGCCGATCAGAAGGTCGGCAGTTCGAATTCCCACTACGGGGTGAGCTCCCGTTGCTCGGTCCCTGCTCGTGCCAACCTAGCAGTTTGAAAGCACATCAAAGTGCAAGTAGATAAATAGGTACCACTCCGGCGGGAAGGTAAACGGCGTTTCCGTGTGCTGCTCTGGTTCGCCAGAAGCGGCTTAGTCATGCTGGCCACATGACCCGGAAGCTGTACGCTGGCTCCCTCGGCCAATAAAGCAAGATGAGCACCGCAACCCCAGAGTCTGTCACGACTGGACCTAATGGTCAGGGGTCCTTTTACCTTTAGGACCCAATACCCACCCCACAGTGTCTTTGTATATGATACCTATATAGCGCTATGCATTTATAGCTGTTACACCGTTGTTTCAGAAGATTTAAAATATCTTTCACTCAGTGGTTCCAGTTGTAGCCAAATATATAGCTGCTTGAAAAATGATCCCCCCCCCCATAGCATGCCTAATGCAATATGAAGTAGTGCATGGAAAATGACACTGTGAGCTTCTACTGGATGGTGCCTCTGATAAAAACCAACCACCTCTATTCCATGCCTGTGGAATGGTAGTGACATAAAATACAATTGCTTAATTTAATGCACTTTTTGCTCTTTTCAGAAACCTGATGCTTGATTGATCTGATGACTTGGCAGGAGGTGATTTGCATTCCCATCAGAACACTGGGCTGCTGCCCAGCACTTTGTCTACTTAATGTTTTTCCATTTTTGCAGCTGCCACCAAAATTGATTGGGGAGGGGGGAGAGACCACTTTGGGGGTGATGCAGATCATGTTCCTGGCTCGAGGGTTAGCCACCCTTGCCACAGACTTAGATACCTCACATGTACCCAAACATCAGACAGCGGCAAAGAAAACACTACAGAAGGTCACCTGGGAGCCAACATTTCTCCAAGAGTAGTGGACAACCCTCTGTGGAACTCTTCATTCACAGGTGAGATAGGAGGTGCAGATATGGAGGTAGGTCCAGGTGTAGGAGTTTGAAATGCTGGTCTTGGTCTTTCTGGCGGTATTCTCTCCTCAGATATTCGTGGTGTTAATCCCAGTTCTTTCAGTCGGTTAGGCTATGGAAAAAAATTGATTTATTATTTAGATTATTAGAGTGCTCAAACTAGTTAAGTACTATGAACCATTTCAGAAAATAACATTTTCCAAAAGCAATGTAGTGCTTTAAATATCACATTTAAGCACCCACTGAAATTTTAGTATAAAATTATTTTTCACAAAGTAACTGTCATGCTAAACGTTTAGTTGAACATGCTAGTAAAAAAGATAATTGATAATCAACACTTGTGTTAATCTTAGAAAATTTGGAAACAGCTATTTCAGAGAAGAAGCAACGTACTATAGCATTTAATCTAAAGGAGAAAAATATTGAAACATGCCCAATAAACATTTCTAAAAAACATTAGCTATTAAGAAACACCACCAAATTATGTTTTTATAGATATCCATTATATTAGACAAGATCTTATTAATGCTTCTTTGTTTCGTTTTTCATTTTAAAAACACCACAATATAGTATACTCTATAACTCTGCTAAATAAAAATGTTTATTGACGGTTGGAAGAGGATACAAAAGAAAAAGAGGTGGTACCATGCACTTAATTCAAAAAGCATGTAGGTTTCAAAACTATGCCGCTAACTACTCCATGTTTCCCCAACAGCTACTGTGTAACTTGTTACTGAGAATGTTGAAAACCTTACTCTGAAAACTAATGTAACATGAAAGGTCTGAGAGAGATTTGTGAAGATTGATTTCCTATTGAATTTCTGTATCACCATGTTTATGGCCATAAAAATGCTGATAGCTCTGGAACCCCACATGCCTGAAGTGGGCACTATACACCCATCTAGGTAGAACAGTTGTTGACAAAAATAGCAATATGTTAAAATGTTTACCTTTTCTTCACTTAGCTGCAAGACAGTATATACAATATCGTTAGTACAACGCAAGTGTGGGCTACACCCAATTTCTAATAGATTTTTAATTGCAAATGTTTCTGCCTAATATAAGGAGAGTTGTCTTGTGGAATGCCTTGTAGCATTCTTTGGTCGGAATCCAAGGGGGAATCTTGAGCACTAGCAGTTGTTTCCCTCTTTTGGCAAGTTTTTCAGACTGCTTTTTGGACCTAGATGAATCTGGAGACTAGGAAAGGGCACTGTCTTTAAGGGGCAGAAATAAAGGCCTAAGCAAACAAAAAACCCCTGTATCCCTGCCAGATATCCAAGTACGGTATATAACAATTACTCTGTTTCTAACCAGGGACCTCTTGTATCATATGCCTGCACTTGTTCCTCTTAGCTAAAGCTCTACATATACAGTGGTACCTCAGGTTACATACGCTTCAGGTCACATACGCTTCAGGTTCCACACTCCGCTAACCCAGAAATATTACCTCGGGTTAAGAACTTTGCTTCAGGATGAGAACAGAAATCGTGCTCCGGCAGCACGGCGGCAGCAGGAGGCCCCATTAGCTAAAGTGGTGCTTCAGGTTAAGAACAGTTTCAGGTTAAGAACAGACCTCCGGAATGAATTAAGTACTTAACCCGAGGTACCACTGTACTCCCATACTGAGCTATGTTAATTCTCAGAAGTCAGAGGCACATTGAAACGTATTTATATTTTCCCCCCATAATCTCTTTTCTAGGGCTTAGCCCAGACCACATAGCCCAGAAGGAAAACTTTTAAAAGCAGCAGAATAATTTAAATAGATGGAAAGTACTGCCAACTTTCAGTCACCTAATACAATGTTGATGCTTATACCCAGCCCCAGTTATTCTTTTAACAAGGTATTAACATTTACTAGACCTTCTTTCATAGCGTCTTCTGAGGTTAGATGTTCCACTGAGTGCTCTACCACAACAAATTCCCCAAAGCAATCATTGTGTGTCCTATGTGCAAAAATAGTTGGGTCCTCTGCCCCTTGTTCACATAGAAAGTATGACTGACAGTACAGGACCTGTCCAGACACTGCCCCTTCCCTTAGAAAGACCCCTTGACCCTTATTTAACTCTTCATTAGTACTTGGCCCACAATCCAATTTCCCCCCATCCAACATACCTGAAAGGTTTGTGGCTAGCTTTGCTGAGGTGGGGTCGCTTGGGGTTTTTTTATGGGGGGGAAAAACCTAGCCTCCACTTCACAATGGCATTGAGGACATCTGGGAGTGATGTAACACAGCATTGTCCAAAAAGTGCTGCATGCTACAGTCACTAGTTGAGCATGAAAACTTCTGCTTCCCACCAGCTTCAGATACTAGCCTGTTCAGAAACAGCTTCTTAGCTTAAGCAGGAACTATTTGGGCAGGCCTTTATGTGGTTCGATAATTCTTGGATTATCAGCCTAGGAAAACCATAATATACTGAAATCCTACACAAGTGGAACAACTTCAGAAACCCGTGAAAAGAGGTTCTGTGGACAACAGGATTATTTTCACCAAGTCCTTTGACAGATTTACATAAGATGAGTATCTTCTGTCAAGAGACTGCGTCAACTTACACTAACAATGTTCAAGTGTCACAATAAGCCATAGTATATTGGGAGTCACATGAGTTGCAGCCTGCCTTGTGCTTGCACACTCCTCCCCTTTCCACCTACTTCATGACCAGGAGAGGAACTTGCAAAGCTTTTTTTGTTTCATTTTCCTTAAACAAAGTGGCTTATCATTTCGTCAAAAATGGGGATCAGGGCTGACCGAAACTAAAGTTAGCTTTAACAAGGCAACTTTCTAACTCATGGTTTGTAGTCAGCTTGTTTTGAAACTGATCATAGTTCATCGCAAAAAACGATTCCCTGCTTTGGATAAAATGACAAGCCATGTTTAAGGGAAACCAATAGTAAAGACTCCAAAGTTATCTTTCCAGCTGCCTGTCAGGGGAGGGGGAAATGCGCAAGCCCAAGGCTCACTGTGGCATACGCACATCATGTTAAGTCATGATTAATCATGGCACAAATGCATCCAGTGTTGAGTACCTATAAAGTTAACTCTCCTTGCTTACAAAGAGGCACTGCCATCTGGCTTTTGTTCCAGTCAGTTACTTGTGCCAAAACAAAGGCATTTCATTTTTATATCAAAGTCTAGGAAGCAACTTAAAGAGTCCTAAAGAGTCCTCAAATCATGTTTGCAATGTTGTACAACAGGTGCGGGGAACTGGATGCCCATTCCCATGTACCTGGTTTTCCCCTTCTCAATTTTATCTTCACAACAGCCATGTGAGGTAGGTTAGGCTGATAGACTGTGACTTGCCCAAGGTCACCCAGTGAGTTTCATGGCCATGTTTGAATTTTAACTCTATGCTTTCACGTTACAGTTCAACACTCTAACCACTGCACCACATTGACACAGATACATCTTAAAACGGTTAGCTAAACCTGAGAAGACCTGAACATTAAAATTCCTCACCTTCTTCTCGGGGTCTACAACTCCAGATGCAGCAACTGGGAGCTCAAGCTCTTTTTCACTATCAAAGAAATACACACAAACACACACAAAAGATAAGGCCAGAAATATTGTGCATAACATTTGTATCTCATGCTTTCTCAAAGGAACAGTGGGTGGCATACAATGGATCCTTTCACTTTATCACTGGAACAATCCTGAGAGTTAGGCTGACTTAAGAAGCAGAGTTTTAACCAAGGCCCCTTAGTGAGTATCATGCCCAAGCTGGGATTTGAACCCATGCCTCCCTGGTTCAAGCTGAACCACCCTCATCCAACGCACCACATATCTCTGGATCTCTCAGAACAGAACAGTTAAAATATCTAATTTATGCATTAATTTAATAATCTTTTCTTAATAGTCGAACATATAAGTTTTTGAAGAACCAGTAGGAACTTGTTTCAGATTACATTGGTCTAGTGATTAGTCAACCATCTCCCTCATTATATTTCCCATGTGGATTCCTTCCTACTTTCCATTACGTATATGTGAAACAATCTTCAAGGGACACATACTGAAATGAAGGGGGAGGAACCAAGGTTGAGGCTTCTGTTCTGCCTCCCATTACAGTGGTACCTCAGGTTACAGACACTTCTGGTTACAGACTCCGCTAACCCAGAAATAGTACCTCGGGTTAAGAACTTTCCTTCAGGATGAGAACAGAAATCACACAGCGGCAGTGGGAGGCCCCATTAGCTAAAGTAGTACCTCAGGTTAAGAACAGTTTCAGGTTAAGAACAGACCTCCAGAACGAATTAAGTTCTTAACCTGAGGTACCACTGTACAACTAAGAGGTACCTTAAGCTTCTATACAGAGTTAGGTTTCCATAAGCAGAAATGACCAAACAAACACCATCCCTGTTTCCTTATCCTTGCATTAATTACCATTCTGAAGATGCAATAGGACATGCTTTCAAGAGATAAGAAGCAATCTGGGAGGAAAAATGAAACCTTTAAGATTTAAATATCAATACATTATCCCAAGCTGTTAGTAATAAAAAGATTTTCCCTTCATATTTCTCACAAAGTTTTCAATACTTATCACTCATCAGTTTGAATTATTGTTAGTCCAGTAGCTTCTGGTTACCGTCTCTTATTTCTTTGTTGCTCTGCAATTTGTTCCATCAGTTCTCGCCTGTATTGCTCTTTTCTTCTCTGGATAAGCTCTCTGTCTTGACCACCTAAAAATGAAGATAGTAGCTAAAATACGTACAAGTTGCTCTTCTAGCATCATAGATACATAGATTCTGCTAAAATTGTGCCATAAACACAGCAGAACTCTATCACCTGCAGCAATTCCACTACTCCTAAAATCACCACTTCCAAGGAAATGCATTTTCCAAACCTCTTTCCCCTGTTCTCTTACTTTGACAACAAAAATGAACTATAGATCTCTTCCTGCCTTGGACACAATCCAGACCAAAGATGAATAAGCACAAATCCCACTGAACATCATTGTGCCAAAGAATATTTTGCACTCTATAGTTTGCAACCAAGGCTAAAATCCTAATCACATTGAATTTAATAGGATTTATTTCTCAGTAGATGTGGCAGCTCAAACCATTTTCACATTAGTGTCAAAGTTGGAGAAGCAGCTGAACAATTGTCAGAGTGAAGCAACTACAAAAGAATGTAGTCGTGCCTTCACCGGGAGGCCCTTAAGCTTGAGAGGAAACAAAATGTAAGAGATCCAGTTGCAAATCTTCCACAGGGCTTAGCCCTTGAACTGTAATTCCAGGCAGAAGGCCTTCTCGGTAGTGGCACCCATCCTGTGGAGTGCCCTCCCATCAGATGTCAAGGAAATAAACAACTATCTGACTTTTAGAAGACATCTGAAGGCAGCCCTGTTTAGGGAAGTTTTTAATGTTTGATGTTTTATCGTGTTTAAAATATTCTGTTGGGAACCACCCAAAGTGGCTGGGGAAACCCAGCCAGATGGGTGGGTTATAAATAATAATTATTAGTTGTTATTATTATTATGCTATTAATAATTATTTATTATTTGTTATTTAATTATTTTGTTGGTGCTCCATTTCAGAAACAGCAATTTATTAAAGTGCTAGAACACGTCCATTTTTCTGCAGCTTTGTCTTAAAATGTTTTCAGGACAGGAACAGGACAGAAACATTTCTTCTAACGTTGTACTCTGGGGTTTTTACAATCTCTAACCTTTATAAGCTACAGCGGCCACAAAATTAAAAGACGCCTGCTTCTTGGGAGAAAAGCAATGACAAACCTAGACAGCATCTTAAAAATTAGAGACATCACCTTGCCAACAAAGTTCCGTATAGTAAAAGCTATGGTTTTCCCAGTAGTGATGTATGGAAGTGAAAGCTGGACCATAAAGAAGGCTGATCGCCGAAGAATTGATGCTTTTGAATTATGGTGCTGGAGGAGACTCTTGAGAGTCCCATGGACTCCAAAAAGATCAAACCTATCCATTCTTAAGGAAATCAGCCCTGAGTGCTCACTGGAAGGACAGATCGTAAAGCTGAGGCTCCAATACTTTGACCACCTCATGAGAAGAGAAGACTCCCTGGAAAAGACCCTGATGTTGGGAAAGATGGAGGGCACAAGGAGAAGGGGACGACAGAGGACGAGATGGTTGGATGGTGTTCTCAAAGCTACCAGCATGAGTTTGACCAAACTGTGAGAGGCAGTGGAAGACAGAAGTGCCTGGCGTGCTCTGGTCCATGGGGTCACAAAGAATCGGACACGACTAAACAACTAAACAACAACAACAAACACCTAAAATCTCAACAAAAGGTATAACATATTATGGCAGTTATCACAACACAACTTCCCCCGCTAGGTAGATTATACATACATACATATATACATACATACCTATGATTAGTCCTGTTGCATATGGGACACTGCCAGCAGCAGCTTGTGCTTGCTCATTAGTGCCTTGGATTCTGACATGAGAAAGAAGTAGATAATAGGCCAATCAAAACAAACTACATTTAGTACGCAATCCTCCTGTCAAGAAACTCTAGTTCAGGGCAGGTAAGTTGCCCCTAGCAACTCATTGGTTATCGAAAGAATCCAAACCTTAATTTAAATTTGCATCCCTAAGGATTGCAGATGGGTCAAAATAAGCAACTGCAAAGGTTTCTAATGTGATTCCCAGGGCACATTACCCAACCATGAGAAGAAAATACAGCCGTACCTCGCTTTGCGACTGGGATCTGTTCCAGAGCCCCGACCGCTAGCTGAAAAGGACGCAGGGCAAAGGGCCGAGTCTGCGCACATGCGCGGAGCGGTTTGCACTTCTGCACATGTGCAAAGCACGATTTAGTGCCTCTGTGCATGTACGAGCAGCAAACCCGGAAGTAACTCATTCCGGTACTTCCGGGTTTGCTGCGGAGGTTCAACCGGAATGGACGCTAGACAAGGCGGACATTCACGGAGGTATTACTATAAAAAGGAATGCACATTAAAGTCATGTGCTTGTAATTGCTAAGCTGAATCATGGATTTAGGTGAAATCTCTTAAATGATAGCCTCTGCATAACTCCTAAGTATTTTTACTTTTTCAAACTGTGATATCTTTTGGCAATTTTGCTTCTGATCAAAGAGAAGAAATCGCTCTTTTTAAACCAATGAAACTGACCATTTTAGAAAAGATGGAAAACTAATGAAGAAGTTGAGGTGTCGGTATTTGCCAGAAAAAGAGGTTTCTCACAGGAGTTTGCTGCAAGGTGGTAGGAATTTGCGGCCCTCATCTATGCTAAAGCTCTAGACATCCAGATAACAAAAATCCTGCCTTCTCAGAAAGTAATTGTGAACCGTTTTAAAAAACCAACACATTTCTTATAACTGAGATTTATGTCACTCTGACTATGTAACCCACAGAGATAGTACAGTTATCAGAGCTTATAGGAAAAGGGCCAAGAATCAGAGTGAGATGAAGTCACAGAGGTGTGTGGATTCTAGGATTGATGTCCATTGCATATTTATGTTCTCCCCTCCCTTTCAAAACTGCTGCACAGCTGCACCCAGGATAGAAATGCAAACTTAGTATGGTATAACATAATGCTCTACTCTAAATGCACAATCACATGCAGTAGTTGAACTGAAGTGAAGTAATGGTATTACTACACCATATTCCAGTGCCAGCCTTAGCTAAAAAAATGACGTTTACAAACATCCTTCTTCTGGGCTGGAGGTGGTTTGTTTCACTCAATTAACATATGGATAGACACAGAAAAGGGAGATGGCTCTATTTCTGTAATTTGCCAAACAGTGTGCACCTGTTTTGCACAATAAAGGAGAGGTGATGCTAAATGCATCATCAGCAGTCAGGTGTTCTTAAGGATATTAATAGCAGACTGAGGAGTTGCTATGAATGAGCACAAACAGGAACTGCTCTTTCAAGTCTGGTAACGGGTTACGGGGAGATTTTCAGAAGGGCCACACCATTCTTTTTCTCTCCAGTACAATCCCAACAAAAATAGCACACCCTCATATTGGCTATTAGTTCTCATAAAAACCACAGAGTGACAGAAAGGTGTCATGTCCAGTTTGGCCCAAAGTGCCAGGAAGTTAAAGTTACCTTTGAGCATGAAAGACCCTCAGCGGCTTTTTGTCATAGTCGCTTTCATATCGAAATCTAGGGTCCATTTCATCGTCTATTTCAGGATCATGACCTTCATCAAACCTGTGATGCCTTCTAGAAAAGGTCTCAGGTTTGCTATCCAGTCTTTGGTGCTTTCTGTTGGAAATGTTCAATACTTCATCAAGTTGTTTGTGCAACAGGGTGTCCCCTTGTCCAATGTCATTCTTTGGTTTGTGGTGTTGATCTACTGATTGTCTCTTGTCTGACAGCTCTTCAAAGGTATCTGTAGAAGTGCAAGCATCTTTCTTGAAAAATTCTTCATCTCTTATTGGTGGCTGTAATGCTGGGGTATGTAATGCTGGCTGGGATCTGGTGACAGCAATGCCTTTTTTGTTTGTGTCTGTGTCATGCTGTTAACACAAAGACAAACATTTTTAAAGCTAAACACAAAGGAAGCCATTAATCATTGCAATTTTAATAAGCCGTTTCAATGCCAACCCAGAAAAGCAGGCTTTAAATTAGGCTGCATAATGTTACTACCACTTATTAAATGGCAATGTTGCAGTGCGTACTGTAGTGAATATCAGAATCGATGTTGTATTTTAAGTGACTAAAATAAATACATAAATGCAAAGAAAGCAGGATGGAATGAGGGGCCACATCTTCACTGCAACTGGGTATTTTTATCCATCTCTCCCCCCCCCCCATTTTCATAGAGCTAAAAAAGGGAAAGAAGATAACAAGGGCAGTGTTAAGGGATGTGACACATGCAGCATCTTCCAAATAAAATCTTAAGAATAAAAACAGGATAAATTTTATATTTCAACAAGCTATAAATATTAGCCTGCCCATACCGTGCCATGCCCAGAATACTTCTAAATTTAAAGTCTAAATAATGGGTTTGTGAACAGTGAAAGAGTCGAGAATCTCTGTCTGTGGTTTACCTCTGCGTGCTTCTTCCCTACTCTTCTTAACCTTTCATTCCAGTCTTCTCTTTCCCTGAGATACTGATTGTATTCTTTGTTTCTTTCAAGTCTTAACCTGTCCTAGAACAGATATTGGAAAGCGTATTGGATCTACAAAAGGTTTTAAACACCACAGACACAGGATGATAATAAAATGATGCTTCTTATACTGTTTACAACGTTTTATTAGTACAGTAGTACATATGAAACTCTGGCTTAGAAAGAAGGTGTTGCAAAAGAACTTTGGCTTTTCATTAACGTTTCTCTTTTATTTTTGTATTAGTTCCTGTTTCAAATATGCTAAACTTTGATATCTTCTAGCATGTAAACTTATGAGACTTCAATTTAAGCAAAGCCAAAACTTCATTTTCTTTTTAAAAACTTAAAATACCAAGAGATCAATAAAAATACTAAAACACAGTCAATGGTATGCTAATGCACACTGTACAACATTATTTGATTTTGTATCTCATATTTTATTGTGAATAAGCTTACTGTTGATTTTATATCTTATGAATGGAAAATAAACAAGTAGGGTTTTTTGTTTTTTGGTTTTTTAAAAAAGCTTCCAAAAACATCTGAATCACAAGTGATCCTCCAACTAGAACTAAGGAATGTGATTTGGCATTAATACCGGAGAGTAATAAATTAAATAGTCTTTACTTTGTTTAGCCGTAAAGAAATAAAATCAATATGACTAAGAACCAGACTGAGGAATGCTTTCCCTAAAAAAGTTACAGCTTGATCATTTCCTTTTAACTAGATTGGTAGTCCATTGGAGAAGGGACCTATCCTCTCATAATTTGTATTCATGTGGATGATGCTACAGAAATAATAGTACAGAGAGCTCCGAAATACAGTGGTACCTATGGTTACGTACTTAATTCGTTCCAGAGGTCCGTTCTTAACCTGAAGCACCACTTTAGCTAATGGGGCCTCCTGCTGCCGCCGCGCTGCTGGAGCACGATTTCTGTTTTCATCCTGAAGCACTATTTCTGGATTAGCGGAGTCTGTAACCTGAAGCGTATGTAACCTCAAGTGTATGTAACCCGAGGTACCACTGTACAGACAATTTGTTTGGGTGACATGCATATAACTAAATCTGCAAGGTGAAAATTAACCAGTTAACATGAAACAGTATGTGGAGGTTTCTTCCTTAGAGCAGGAGAATAAACTAGAGCTTCTCTTTATGAGTACCCAATATCTGGCATTCTCACCATCTGTTAAATGTCGAAGTATCCAAGAGGACTTTGTAGATGAGATATGGCATAAGACAATCCACAGAAACAATACTAATGAAGATAAATATTTTGCACAACAGATGTACTACTATTTATCTCAATTTTCAGAGTGCTGGTGCTTATAACCGCCAAAACAGCACAATCTTAGGAGTAAGAGGGAGGTGCCAACAGGAACAGGGAGAGAACGCCCAAAATAGCTCAATAAGAACTGAGTGTATTCAGGAGCTACAGAATGGTGTTCAGAGGGAAAGATAGAAAACAAGGGTTTTGGGGGGGTGAGGAAATGGAACGGAGTGTCCTGAACAAGAGCACTCCACAATGAAACATTTTGACGCAAGTTTCACCTCTAAAAAAAGTTCCAGTCCAACAGAGGCTCAAAAAGATTTCATTTCTGGACTGAAATCAAGACAGCATTCTAACTGATTTGAACAGTTGTACAGAAGCAATAAGAGATCCACAGACCAGGCGGGTGGGTAGGGACAGTGGAGGGGGCAAGGCATGACAGCTAGTCTAGCGACACATCCATACTACAATCTGAAGCGCAGGGTGGTGGTAAGAAAGCATTTACTTCTCCCCACCCATTTTTGTTCTTTCTTTTTAAATTATTCCTTCTTTTCTTTTTTAAGCCTCCCCCTGCATCGCCATCCCTTGGTTCCAATGGGAAGGAGAATTTGTTTTGCCGGCTCCAGGCCGAAATACAGACAGGGCCCTATCCTGCAGCATCTCTGAACAAATGCCTCCATCTTATCCCTTCCTCGTGAATGCCCTGCTTCTGAGCCTAACTCTGGCTACTGCAACCAAACAACTATCAACTGCAGAAGCGCTACACCAGGCTTCCTCAAACTCGGCCCTCCAGATGTTTTTGGCCTACAACTCCCATGATCCCTAGCTAGCAGGACCAGTGATGATGGGAACTGTAGTCTCAAAACATCTGGAGGGCCGAGGTTGCTCTACACCCACAAAGCTGTCCTCAGTTATAGTGGGGGCCTCCATCATGAACTTGCCCCTCTGACAGTGAGGCACTTCCACTGCTTCCTAACTCCAGTCAGCCAGCAGTTTTCAGGTTAGGGACTGCACTGCAAGTAAAGGGCTGTGCTTTCTCCAGCGGCATATAACTAAAACCTTCTGCAGGTGGCCTGCTAAGGTACATCATACAAAAGCTTCAGTTTTCACAGGTGTGGGAATTCTATATATTAAGCTGCAAACACCATGCAATATTTACTGAGTTTTTGTGCACCTACCTTAGCAGACCTCCTGTCACCAATAGGAAGTGATAGTCCCTGAGTAAATGGGTCAACTTCACCAGATGTAAGGTATTTTTTCTGCACAAGAGAAAACCAATGACCATATGCATTGATCTGATATAGAAGATGCCAAATAATTTAATAAATATATATTTTAAAGTAGTTCAGCCTTACTATGTATTATGCATTGTATCCAATGGTGCCACTTACAGTATTCAGTTTACAGTAAGATTTCCATCAGCAAAAGGGAAACCTCCCCTCCCCTCCCCCTCTACTCTGTTGTTCCATCCATGCGCAGGCCCTGAAATCAAATCTTGGGAAATTGCCCAAAATTATGTCCCTCCTTGTTCTACTGATGGAAGGCATACTGAGCAACACGGTTAGATACAATCTTCTAAATTAATCTCAAATAATTTCTATCACAGAGCCAATTTATACAAGCCAATTCTTTCAGCAAAATACAGGGTTTTTTTTGCTTATACTGAGAGCAGTAACCTAACTATGGGCCAATGCATCATCATGAAACTACCAAAATTGACTTGAGTAGTACTGTCCTACGATGTGTACTTATTGTGACCCAGTATTTTATTATTCCACCACTCATTTTAATCTAAATTAGATAGTAAAAGCCTAAATCATGGTTATTTTATTGTGCACACAAGGAATCTGGTGAATAGAAATATAAAACATGCTACTGCATTTTTTTAAAAAATGCATCATTTGAAGCTCCAAACAGAAAATGCTGTATTTGTGTACACCATTTGTATCTTAACTTTAAAAAGAGAAGTTAATAACAAGAGACACCATCAAGTTGAGTAACATGTAGCACAATCTTATGCAAGTTTCATCAGAAATAAGTCCCAGGATATAAAATGGGATTTGCTCTCCTGAAAGTGTGCAGAGGATTGCAGTTTCTTTTTTGCCTGTTCCTGGTCTACATGACAATAACTATTATATGTTTCCATATTATTGGAAATTTTTCTGCATAGGCAGGTAAATCCAAGTTAGAATTCCAATAAGGTATAATTGAATAATAAGGCTCTCTTTTTAAGAGCATTCCAAGATTAATCATTTAAATTAGCTCAAACTGATGGTTCCACTGTACAGAGATTCCTCAATATTAGCATGCTCTGCAGCAAACATTCATTAAATGAAAGGTAATGAAGAGGACTATCAATTGAGCAGTGAAATCAAAGGAAAAGACAATGTGGAAATATGACATTAATGGAAATTATGCATAATTATCTTGTGATGAGGCAGCTCACAGAGCACAGCAAAGCACAAAGACTGATTTTCACCCCCAAAACTTTTCATTAGCAATTTACAACCAAGCACAATGTTATATTAATTTGAAGAGTAGCATGATGCAAGCACCCTACCTTCTTTTTTGTCTGTGAAATACCCTAAAAGTCAGGAAAACAGACTATTCATAAAGAACATCCTATCAAAATCCGTTTCATTGCAATCTCACTCACCCTTCAGAGTGGCATGTGTGCATTTAAAAATATTTCAGAAAGGTAGTTTTTGATTCTTGAGCAGCAGCTTCTGAACATGTACATTAAAATGCTTCTGAAATATATTTATCTACTCTGCTGACCTTTAAATCTCTACTGAGAGTATATAATATATATAATCTGTATAAATTGGAGAAAACAATCACTGAATTTTCCCATCAGCCTTCATTTAGTAACCTCAGATATATAATCTATCCTTTTTGCCTGCACTTTTTGACATTTGGCTCTCTGATCCACTCTATGTTTCAGTGCACTGAAATTGTTCTTTTCAAAGTTTATGCTAATAATCCATCTGCTTCGTTCTCCTTGACCTAGCACTTTCGGCATCAACAACCTGTCCTCCCAGCTGCCTTTGCTTTTAAGGCATTGTCCTCTCCTGGCCCCACACAACTCCAGTTGCTTTTCAGCAACCCTTCTTCATCTTCCCCCTTCTGTAGGTTTCAGTCCTCCAACCAGTCTACACACAATATATGTGGTTTCAATGCTGCTAGATGTTCTGCATTTCCTTTTATAACAACTATTCCTATAATTACTTATGCGGCAGCACTGGCTGTGGTTCTCCCCACCCCCAAGCCCCCACCCAGTGACTGTGTGGTCCCCATCAGTGAAGTCTTCCATTTTTTAACCCCTTCCCCTTCTGCCAACACTACGTTATTCCCTTTGTCCAAGAGACAGCTTTGCCCTGTTCATCAGGCCACCTACTTTTCCTCCACCAAATCTCCTGAAAACCCTCTTCCACTAATCTATTCCAAGAGTTTCTTGTCATTTATGTTCTGTACAGCACCAAGCACAATGTTGGGACTAAATAATGTGCAACATAAGCTGCAGTAATAAATTCTAGAAATCAGTATATCTCCGGTTCGTAGCAAATGCCAGCTTAAATGTACTTTTCACTTTGCCAGCTAGCACCGGAAATTTAATCAGATATAAAGTCCTTTACCTGAGAAAGGTAACGCCTGTAGTCTTGTCGAAGCTCCTCCTTCAATTTGTGCTTTTTATTTTCATATTCTTCCCCGAGAGGCAAGCTTAAGCCATAATCTGCAAGTAAGCATTTCAGAACATAGGAATGAGCTATGCAAACAATGCGGATGTGCATGTGTGGCAGACTGGACACCAAGGACAGCATTCAAAGATAACAAATTTAATTTCTGTGTAACAAAAGGACTTTTCACTGGTGATTAGGAACTTGTAATCCACCTTCAAAGCACTGTGCTCTCAAGAAAACTCCAATTTAGCCTGGCCTTGTTAGGTGAAAAGAAAAAGAGAACTAAGACAGTCTCTACCACCAATTATGGACGCAGGTGGCGCTGTGGTCTAAAACCACTGAGCCTCTTGGGCTTGCTGATCAGAAGGTCGGCAGTTCAAATCCCCGCGATGGGGTGAGCTTGTGTTGTTCAGTCCCGGCTCCTGCCAACCTAGCAGTTCGAAAGCACGCCCAAAAGTACAAGTAGATAAATAGGTACCGCTCCGGCGGGAAGGTAAACGGTGTTTCCGTGCGCTGCTCTGGTTTTGCCAGTAGCGGCTAAGTCATGCTGGCCACATGACCCAGAAAAACTGTCTGCGGACAAACGCCAGCTCCCTTGGCCTGTAAAGCGAGATGAGCACTGCAACCCCAGAGTCGTCTGTGAATGGACTTAACTGTCAGGGGTCCTTTACCTTTACCTTTACCACCAATTAACTACAAGGCCTGCCCATTAATCAATATGAAGTACAGTATACATTGTTCAATGATACAAAATAATTTTGCCTAACATAAAAGGCAATTGTAAACTGTGCTCCTCCCCAAACAGTGCCTTTAAGAGTTCTGGCATATGAAGCTTTTAAGAGTTCTGACATTTGCTGTCCCCTATTCCATAGCTGAACCCACAGTACATGTATCCCCTTCCTAATCTTATCCGCATGCAGCTTCAGAAAGGAAAGGAAGGGAATGCATTCTTATCCAAGGTGAAAAACTTGGCAAGATTATCTCTTGACAGGCACTTCCAAAAAAATTGTGACTAAAGGTTGGCCACTCTAGCTGGATGATGGAAATAGCAACCTTGTGTATATCTGCAATATTATTTTTGAGATATACTTAAAAGGGCAGTATTCAAATAAATTATACTCAGAGTAGACACATTAACATTAATGAACCCAACTTGGTCATGTTCATTAATTTCAGTGGGTTTACTCTGAGTGAAACTTAGTTGGATACTATCAGACTTATTTCTTAAGCCACATATGTGATTCTATTTCACAGTGAATATGCATCTGGCAGAACTCCCAAAGCATATCAATCAGAACATGTAAACCTAAATTTAATAAAATGCCAAAAGCAACTTTTCACATGGTTATGACAAATCCCAATTTAAGGTTACCAGACGTCCCCCTTTCCCGGGGACAGTCCCCGGATTTACAAATAAGTCCCCATACAAAATTCACTGAAGTTGAAAAGTGTCCCAGGATTCATTGAAAAAAATCTGGTAAGCTTAGCCTAATTCTCATTCATGGAGAATAAGGTTGTAAGTGGCTACTGGCCACAATGTCTGTGATCTGCCTCCATGGTCAGAGGCAGTATGCTCCTGAATACCAGTTGCTGGAAACCGCAGGAGGGGAGAGGGCTCTTGTGCTAGGGTTCTGCTTGAGAATTTTCCATAGACATCTACTTGGCCACTATGAGAACTGGATTGCTGGACTAGACAGGCCACTGGCCTGATCCAGTAGGCTCTTCTTATGTTCTTACGTTTTCCCCTTCCAAAGTCACTAAAGAAATCTTGGAGTTGTGAAGGAATGGAAGCTGGCCACAAAAAGCAGTGAAAGAGGAGTGATTAAAGCTACCTCGGATTAAACTATGTAAATTTCAATTGCTTTTTTTTTTTTTTAAGAAGAAGTGAAACTCAGAACAGTATATTTATCTGGAAGGAAAGTGTGGGTTGATATGCTATTTCGAAAGAAAATGATCTACAAACGGAATGAAACAATTTATTAGATCAATGTACCTGTATCCATTTTAAAAAAAAACACACACACCTTACAATAACATTCCAAGGAACCAAAGAGCAGTATAACTTTAAAGAGAAAATTAGTTGAGCTAATCACTGAGATAATTCCGAAAGAGTAAACTATGTAGTTGTCTCAAAGTTAGTTCATGTTTCAACACTGTTATATGCAGAATATTTTCAAAGGCTAAAACCTTTAGACATACCGTATTTTTCGCCCCATAGGGCGCACCGCCCCATAGGACACACCTAGTTTTTTGGGGGGGGGGGGAATAAAGGGGGGGAAATTATTTTTCCCCCCCATGCGCGGGGCTGGCGCGGGGGAAGCCTGAGCTTCCCCCGACCCCAGCCCCGAGAACAGCCTGCTATCTGCAAGCCTAGGGAGCCCGGCGGGAAGTTGCGCCGGTCTCCCCAGGCTTGCGGAGAGCTGCACGAAGCCCGGGCGCACTCTTCAGCGCGCCCCAGGCTTTGGAATGCAGACAGCTCTGCGCAACCCTCGGGAGACCGGCGCGACTTCACAGAGCTTCCTGAAGCCTGGAGAGCGAGAGTGGTCAGTGCACACCGACCCCTCTCGCTCTCCAGGCTTCAGCGAAAGCCTGCATTCACCCCATAGGATGCACACACATTTCCCCTTCATTTTTGGAGGGGAAAAAGTGCGTCCTATAGGGCGAAAAATACGGTATATAATTTTAATCATGTTTTCTCATCAAACGAAGTTCGAGTTCAGGGATGGATATCCTATTGTCCTCCATATGTTGTTGGACTACAGCCCCCATAATCCTCAACTGTTAGCCATGGTGGCTGGAGACAGCAATATATGGAAGGCCAAAAAGTTCCCCATCTCTATTCTGGTTCATGGAAACTATGCAACTGAGGGCACATGACAATGTACTTCAGGGCAACAATTTAACTTTTGCACCTCATAATGCACATTATACTGTGGTAACAAAAATGGCCGCATCCTCTGCATGAGTTTGTTGTTTGTGACATCATAGGACTATTTCAACCAAAGCTAACCCTATAACAGATCATTACAACTGACAGAAAGGCAGAGAGATATGTACAACAGCAAGACTGTAGAATAAATATTTAGCTAACTGCAGCTGGGAACAATCTTGACTAGTAAGTAGCATCACATGTAGTACCTAGTTTACATTGTCAGCTAAAGCCCTGCATTAGTCAGTAGAATATGCTAGTTGCTTTTTTCTCTCTAATATAGTTTGTTGAAGTGTGGCATAAAAGTGTTAACATCCGCTAAACGGAATTCCCAATGACAGAGGTGGTTTATCATTAGATACCAACTGCTAGAACAAACAGAAGAAGGACATCACCATCATGTCCAGCTTGTGAGATTCTCATAGGCACCCAGCTGGCCACTGACAGAAAATACAACACAGAGCTAGACAACCATTAGTCTGATCCAGCCATCCCAAGCTAGTGCCCTCCAGAACGTTAGGACTAAAACTTCCATCAGCTGTAGCAAGAATGTATCTTATATCCTAACATACAACAGCTTACAGATGAAAAAATAAATACAGAAGACATACATTTTTTGGTGCTGTCATGGTGTTTCCTCAGTGGCCTCTGAGAGTGAGCAACACTTAATTGTTATTTTAAGGTCATTTATAGTGATGTCATTTAACCTACTGTCAGATTACTGTCAACATATTGGCACATAAGTCTAAACTTGAACGTTTACAGTAAAAGTGTACCACCAGATTAAGCGCTATTTCTCAGACTTCTAAGCTTACCCATAAAATCTATTAGTCTTTCAAAAGTGGAAAAAAATAGGACCAGCTTGCACTAAATTTAATTCCAAACGGCTGAGTCATTGGGAGATTTTTACAGACAGGAAGAAGTGAGCAAGATAACTTTTCTGGCTTTTATAGCAAATGCAGCTATGTGGCAGAAGAATTTCACCATAACAAATGACAACGCTGGAGGAACTAAGATATTACCATTCTACTTCAACCAAGGAGCCTTTTTACAGCAGAGAGGATTTTCTCCTGCAGGAAGGAAAAGCAGCTTAGGAGGGTGGGGAGTGTCAGCAGGAAAATGGGTTAAAGCAAACCCTCCTACCACCAGTCAATATTGTCAATATTTAATGTAAGATTTCATTTTCTGGCAAATCTCTCTTTCCACTTTCTTTGGCTGATATTAATGGCTCTCATTTCAAGAGAGGGAAGGCAGGATGTATATCAGATTGCAGTGTTAGTTAGAACCATTGGATAACTCATTGGTTCCTTAGATTAATGATAAATTTTTATTAGTTTTCAATTATACCGTCTTTTGCACCTTAAAGTCCTTGCAGTTGGTTTGTTCTGCAGTTTGTGATCTCATTTCTTTTAGCACGCGCCTGTACTTTACTCTAATTAAGCTCTAGTTAACAAGAGAACCTCTGCTTCTTAATGGCGGTGGTGGTTTTGGCAGGTGAAGTGCTTTTGCACTCAGCGCCTTCCTGACCCCTGTATTCCATGCCAGAGCAAGAGTCAGGTACCAAGATGAACTGCGAGTGAAGCCCATTCCCCCTGTCCCTGGGGGGAATTTGCAAGGATGATTACCCTCAATCATCCTTGGGTTTTTTCCTTCGCCAACGATCTCCCACTGTTGTGGGGGCTGCCTCCATTAAGGCAGAGCAGACCTGGAAGCAGGTTCCTTAGCTTAAATTCTCCATCTGAAAGGACATTGTCTGCTATGGTCTAAATACATAATTCCATGTATTTATAGTAGCCACTTTTCAGCAAGCGTGGAGATACTTTTATCCTAGATGTATATCTCGGGGTTCATGTCTCTCAATTTCTTAGTAGCAGACGTATCCTTTATCTGTAACTTTTAACTTCCAAACATACACAATATATTGTGTTTTGCCCAAACATTCCTGCAAAGTAGGTCAGTGTCTTACTCATTTGGTCAGATGAAGAACTGGCACCCAAAGAGTGACTTGCCAAAAGCCACACAAAGCAAGTCCGTGCCAGAATCAATATTTGAACAGAAAGCTGCCGAATCCACATCTTTAGCCACCAAGTGTCAGTGGCTCATGTTACCTGTTTGCTACATGACACACATATTCGAGTTACGTATCTAGCTATTGGATGTCATTGATCAGACCATCTTATAGCCTTGTCTTAGATAAACAGTGGAGACAGCTTCAAGGCCCAAGGACTTAGAAGGGGTTTCTCACAGTCGTAATCAGCTGTAGGGCTTTATCTGCAAACTTTAAACAAAATATTATCTATATGATTAATGGGACCTAATGTTAATTACTAAGTACCGTTTACAGTGCTTTTTTTGTAGAAAAATAGGTGCTAGTATACACCATGAAGTGCTGGTACAGAAACTGCCACAATTTTTAGCAACAACAAACAGAGATGCCGGTACTGCGTACCCTTGAGTAGCCCCTAACCATTTGTTTAAAGAGCTTCAGTCTGCCTTTTGAGTGACAGGGCTTGCCAAGCAAAAGAGAATGCATAATGCCAGCCTCAGTATCGATCTAAGGTACTACTGCTGTTATAACTTGCAGACAGGACATGTTTTCCTCAGCTAGCGTGCTGGTACTTCTACTATCTGAATTTGAAAACCCAATTGCTTTGATATGAAGCAACATGGCTCTTACTTTGCTTTCTGAAAGAATGAACGCAGAACTTAACTAAAGGTCTACTTTAACATTACCTTCCTCACCTAAACAAAGGGTCTGCGATTTCAGTTTCTAATTAGTTCAGTACCCATTTCCATGGACATTTATATAGCAAGCTCAAATGTCATTACCAAGATTGGGGGGGGGGGACCTTGATTACAGATGGAAGCCACAAAAAATAGCAGCATGACAGCATGTATGAGAATAAATTAAATTTAAGCAGCATAGAACTACACGCTGAGAGAGACGAAAGGAGTTGCTAAGCAACGATAAACTTGCTGCAAGAACCCTCTGTAGGAGGTATCTGTCCCTAAGCCCAAAATGAAAAAGGAATTGGCGCATATGCGGATGGAAATTGCAGAGGAAAAACAAGCAGACAGTAAGCTACTGAGAAAAAGATACACCTGAAAATGCAGAGGCTGGGAAATGCAATATAGGTAGCTAGAATATTTATATATTTTAAAGAAAGCAATGTAATGCACATGAAAGAGGCAATGCCAATGAAAAGTGCAATCTTTCTAATTTAAAGAACTTAATGCTGCGAAAGAAGACTATAAAAACAACTCCATTTCAAAGATATTAAAAGCTGTATATGCGCCACTTCGTATGTACCTCTAAGTATTTACTGAACGCCAAGGGTATATTCAGGGACGCGGGTGGCGCTGTGGGTTAAACCACAGATAAATAGGTACCACTCCGGCGGGAAGGTAAACAGCATTTCCGTGCGCTGCTCTGGTTCACCAGAAGCAGCTTAGTCATGCTGGCCACATGACCCGGAAGCTGTATGCCGGCTCCCTTGGCCAATAAAGCGAGATGAGCGCCACAACCCCAGAATCAGCAACGACTGGACCTAATGGTCCCTTTACCTTTTAAGGATATATTCAGACTGTATTTTATCCATTGAGTAAGGAATCGCAGCTATTGCAGTTTATGAAAAGAATGGCAACCAAGGTAAGAAGGCAGGCCATAATACTTTAATGTGACTATGCAAGGGACACCCAAAGACCTGCCATTACAACTAAATGTAACTGTGCTTCATAGCACAGTATCAGTAAAGCCACATTGCCTCCGAAACTGTATCTCTCCAAAAACACAACCCAGCTGCACAGGAATCCCTCTGTGTCAAGAAAAGATATTATTAGCTCTGCTGCAGTTTCTTATTATGAGTATATAGTACCATGTGCATAGTTCTCTTTCCCTGCTTCACATTGGTGGAAAGGACCACTACTTATATACATTTGACTTTGAGTAGTTGTGTGGGACTACATTAGGAAATAAAGTGACAGTAAATACAGTAATATTCTCTCTTAATGTAATACAATAAGCGTTTTTAAAAAATAAAATAAAATTGCAAATACCGTGTATACTAGTCTGTTGACTATTTGGTGGAATGTTTTCTTTAGCCATGGCTATTAACATTTTGCTGGTCTCAGAAAGCTTCTCTGCACCTTTGTTCTGAAAAGGGGGAAAAAAGCGTAAGGCAGACAGAATTAACATGCTGCCACTATAATAACATTACAGTAGTACCTTAGTTCTCAAACTTAATCTGTTCCAGAAGTCCGTTCCAAAACCAAGGCATGCTTTCCCATAGAAAATAATGCAAAATTGATTAATCCATTCCAGACTTTTAAAAACAACCCCTAAAACAGCACTTTAACATGATTTTTACTATCTAACAAGACCATTGATCCATAAAATGAAAGCAATAAGCATTGTACTGCAGTCACACAATCAATCAATCAGTAGCTGAACTGGGTTCCACACAGTCACAAAAACAAAACAAAAAAGCCACAAAAACAAAAATGCAAAATAAATAGGAAAAACAGACCTCAGCGTAACACTCAAAACGGAAGTGTGGCACTCAAATCGGAAGCGTAACACTCAAAACGGAGCACGTTCGGCTTCTGATAAAATTTTGCAAACCGGAACACTTCTGGGTTTGCATTTTTTGGGTTCCAAGTTGTTTGAGTACCAAGGTGTTTGAGAAACAAGGTACCACTGTATTTAGTTCAGGGATGTAGCACCTGTGGCCCTAGACTATAACACACCATCCATGACGGTTGGCCATGCTAGCTGAGGTTGATGGGAGTCAGAATCCAATAACATCTGAAGAGCCAGAGGTTTGACAACCTTGTTTTAGTTTGTAGGTTACATTGCAATGCAACAGAGGGACTTCAGAATTTCCCTAGCATTTTCTAAAGAGGGGTTGCCACTGGTGAAAACACTATCTTCCAGACTTGTTTACATACAGGAGCACAGTCATAATATTCTTCATCCATTTTTTAACAATAAAGTATCAATTTCCTACCTGCATTTCCATGTAAGGTGGATCATTGTCAAGCTTTGCTTTGTCTTGTGCCAATTTTGCTTTTTGTTCTTCAAGGAACTGGTCTAGGTCCTCAGGCATCATTTTTTCAATTTTGGAAGTGATATAGGGTTATTGATCCATCAGATGCAACCTTCAACAACAGAAATTCATTTTTCTAAGAGTTACTTTATTAAGAACTTTGAATTACTCAGAAATCATCAGAAATGTGAAAATGAGACAGGAAAAAAATACAACCTCTTTTTTATTATCTATTCTTTTCAAGATCTTACTGCAGTCTTACAACACAAGCAAACCACACATGTGGTTTCTGAATAGTCAACGGGACAAGCTGACAAGGGGCCTGCCCAAACAAGATTGCTTAAAACAAAACCACACTGAAGTGTGGCAAGCAGAAGGTCTTAATAGCAGCCCAGCACAATCATTTTTCCAGGAACTCCAAAACTATAATCCAGAGGCAGTATAAGCGCAGGGGTATCCTTTACCATTATTTCCCTCATTGATGGAGGTACCAACTAGCTTCTAACCCTTCCTTCTGCTTGCTGTCACACACACTAGAGTAATTATTTTTAACAATACACATCTAGCATCGTGCATCATCACTGAACTTCTAATTCACTACGTTCAAATTATTCCAACAATTACATGTGAAAGTTGGCAGTTACACGTTCCCATCTGTACCATGATTTATAATTCTACAGGCTTTTATAACATTTTGGTTGGCTCAATAAAGGCATTGCCTTAATATATATTGTGGAGTTTTCTTTACGGCACAACAGTTAACCTTGGCTTGCTTGTTTGTTTTTTGTAAAAAAAAAACAAATTTAGCCAGGATCCTAAACTAGAGGGAAAGGATTTTTTTTTTTAATGATTTTTATTAAGATTTCAATAAAAGATTAAACAGAAAAACATAAAAAGAAGTACACAAATACACAGTACATAATCCAAAGAAGAAAAAAAAACACAGAAAACAAAAAAACAAAACAAAAAAGAAACAGAACAATTAAAAACAATATCACCTTTTCATTTCCGTTTTTAAATTTACTTATTTTCTGGACCTCCTCATACCTCCCTCTTTTGTATTCCAGTTCAAATTGTTTATCCAGCAATTTCTTTCTAGAGGGAAATGATTTTATAGCACCTGAAGATGGTATTTTATTATTAAAGGGAGAATTCCCTCCAGCCACTGGGTAAAGCTACCCAATTTGGGTTTTGTTGACTTTTTCAGCTATATTTTATCTCTAACAATTTGTATATAATGACTGCATTTTTATTATTATTCTCTACCTACCAGAGGAACCTGTGTGTTTCACCAAAGGATGGAGGCAAAACTAAGCAGCAAGGGGTGGTTGTGCATTTGCAGAAATGGAGACTCAATCATTATGTGTTTTCTCCTTTCCAGAAGGCCTGGGTTGCAACCTGATATACGCAAAACACCTGAAAGGGTCTCATTTGAATGTTTGCTACCTCCTCCCATTTTTAAGACTCTATCAGGTGCAGACAAAGATGGCTTAAATAACAGCCTTTCCCCCTCTCCCCCTTGCCTTTTTTTCATAATCTAGCCAGTGGAAGAATTCTGGAGAACTTGAAAGTTTACACACTTTTGTGACATTATGGTTGGCCTAATAAAGGTAATAAAGGTAGTGCCTTAATATGTAGCTTTGAACAGTAAAAATGGCCCAGTCTTCCATGAGATTGCACAGAATCATGAGCATATTGGTTAAGAAGAAGTAACAAACACAGCTGAAAAAATGGATATTGTTAAATTGATGGAAGTGTTTGTTGTCATAAATATACATTACTAATTAAACAGCGACCCACACGTACATATTAACTTGATTACTCATGTGATAGCTTTGCTACATGAAAAAGTGTGCACAGAATATGTACCACAGGTAATAACTATTTCTTTACCACTTACTCTCTCACATGATGTCAATACGCAGGAAGTTCAAATAATAATAATAATTGCATTCTAGGATAATTCAATTACAATTCTCCTGATACAGAACAATCAATGCTAAAAATAAGTTCCCTTTTGGAGTCCTCTAAATCCTTAATCACATTAGTTTGCATGCTGATAAAATACACGTCCTTAGAACAGGACTGGCAGGACAGATTGTTATCTCCCTACACAGGACAAGTTTGAAAGGTGCATGGAGCCACTCACTTGTCAATCACTTGACATCAGCCGACCTATTTTGCCTGCTATTTTCTGCTATGCTGTGAACCAGCCTCTGAAGACCTGTCCATCAGCTTATGAGCAAACATTCATAAGTTCAGGTCAAAGTGCTGCAGAAAACAGCAGTTATTTTAACTTGTTAAGTTCATATGTCTATATATTATATGCTAAAAAAAGTCTACCATGCAGGTAACTTATTAATGTGCAGTATAAAAATGCTGTAAATAAGTAAGCATAACTTTACCAATTTATCAGTGAGAGACAAATTTTTCAGTTACTCTCCCCTCACAAGCCAAGCAGCCATTTGATATCTCAGTGCCAATTAGCATCAGACAATACATAAAGCCAATCTTATAGTTTGGTCCTAGTATTCACACCAAGTTATTATTATTATTATTATTATTATTTATTTATTTATTTAATTATATACCGCCCTATACCTGGGGGTCTCAGGGTGGTTCACAGAATAATTGTAATCCCTGCAAAGGAAGAATTTTGGCCAAAGCATAGCGTAAGATTTTCCTCATGAGCAGTATCCCTTGAAAGCCCTCAGTGGGAAAAGATTCTACAACGAAAGGTCAGAACTCCTCTCCTGCCTCCCTGCAGCAGTATGATGGTTATACGTATTGGAACCTCTTGTGCAGCACTTCAAAAAGAAACTCCAGCATTGTTGTCAAAGTACGGTATATGGCAAGCAAGTAATAGTGAACCACAGAGAGAACTTGACCTTCAAACAGAGATGGCCTGGATTTACCAGAAATGCCTTGTCAGATGGTACTGTTACAAAAATGGCAACAGCAGAGCTTTTCATCACCACAAACACTGTCAAGTTCTTTGAACAGAACCCCTGCTGCTCAGTTGTTCAGCATCAGTGCCAGTTGAGTATCTACCCTTGAACTTCACCAACCACCTGCCTAATGTAAACCAGACTCGACAACAAGGTGGAGGTGATCGCCAAAGAGAAACCACTCCAATAGGTTGCAGCAGTTGTCAAGCAGGGCCAATCCATCAGCATTCTACTGAAAGGTCAGCTCTGTCAGGCTCCTCCTATCCTGGAACTGTTTTCATTCCAGCTGGTCACTATAAAAACTGCTATTTAACTTTGGTGTCTGAGTTTGCTTTACCCACCTCTTTCCTCCCCATCCTTTTTTCATTTTTGTGTCATGTATTTTAGATTACAAAACTTATTTTTTATTGATAATATGTAAGCTACTCTGGAAGCCTTTGTGGCTGAACAGCAGAGTAAAAATGCACTAAATAAACCATGCTAGTGACAAAAGGTCAATCTGCTTTTTCACTAGTCCAGTCAGGTCACTGAAAGAGCAGCCTGCATGGTCAATGACAGTGGGAATCAGATATCCTTTAAGAGATTTCTACAGTTAGTTCCACCAATGTCACCACAGGGAAAGCCTCACTTACTAAACCATGGCTTTGGCAGTGATTTCACAAAAAGAGGGAGCTGTGGCTTCAGAAGATAATGATCCAACTATGCCAGTGTTATTTAACACACCTGCAGTGCTGGAGCTAGAGGATATGCCCCAGGTGGCAGCAAATATCATTCTGCCCTGAGTCATGTCTACTCAGAAGCAAGAATTCAATGGGGCTTACTTCCAGGTAAATAAGTGTTAGTAAGAGAGAACTGCAATTTCAATCATGGCAGTTCATAAGTCAGCCCTACTGAATTCAACTGAGGCAGCAGAAGTGCAGTCTTTTGCCCTCTGCAGCAAAATTTATAAAGCCTGCACTGCACACTCAACAAGTGGCCCACCTGTTTCTAGACTGGTGCTGAATATATTGGAAATGCATCCCAACCTCAATTTTTACTTCGTAAAAACCTCTATTTGTTACTAAGGCCAAGAAGCCGTAACAATGAACTGAGATTGCCTCAAAACCACTCATTGAAGAAATCTATATGCAATAGTCTGACTAACAGATTCACTAGCAAACCAGTTTGTAAATGAAACAGACTTCTATTCACTGAATGGTGGGAATACCTAGAATGATCACTGGCCTTGAGATATATTATTTGTTGGCTTTAATGCTTTCGAAACGTTTCACGCTACCACTAGCCATTCCTTAATACTAAAGTTACAATCCCTTGTACACTTTTTAGTAAGTACCATTGCACTCGGCCGCATTTGCTTCTGAGTAAACATACTTACAATCACACTGTATGTATTTTGGGAGGTATTCCTAAAGCTAGACGCTTATGACAAAACTGTCTTGACCGTCCATAAGAAGAGTCCCTTGAACAGATGCTGTTCGTTCATGGCCTGGTATCTTTACATATTTTCGTCTTTGAAGCCCTTCTTCACATCCATGCGATATGTTTAAGGCGCCACAGATACCCGAGAGCAGAAACCTTCCCTATCTCCAGGCATCAGCAAAGGGAGTCATAGGATAGGGGAGCTTGAGGAAAGAAAGGGTGGGCTCGGAAGAGAAGAGCAACTGTAGCTTCCACGCCTGCCCAGGGCGTCGGTCTCTTTAAGAAGCTATACGGCGTTGTTAGGCAACCAGATTACAACAAAACCCGGGGCCTCTCCGCACTCCTGGACCCGCGCAGTCTGCGCTCCTCTAAAGAAAGGCACAACTCCCAGTCCGAGGAATAAGACTCCAAGGTGCAACATTCCCCCCCCCCCAAAAAAGAGGATTTTGCGCGCACAAAAACTCCCCCCTACCCGAGCGAAGCCCCTCGAGGAGAGCCCCAAACTCCCCCCAAACTCTTAAAGGATGCATGCGGGGACTTCCCTCCGCACCCCGCGCGCGCCAAGACGCCCCTTCCTCACCCTCGTCTACTTCGGGCGAATATTCCACCCCCAGGGAAGAGGGATGCGCTCTTTGCGCGCACTTCCCAACCCTCTCCAGAGAGCGACCCAAGTTACCGGACGGGTGCGCGCCTCTCTCTCTCTCTCTCTCTCTCGTCCGAGGTCTTTGGAGCTGCAGCCGCTCGGAACCCGCCCGAAACGCACCTCTCGCTCCGGAGAGGCCCAGCCGCCGGCGGGTTGTCAAACAGCTGCTACGGCAGCGCCTCCCGTCGCCTCGCCTCGCCGCTCCGCCGAAGTCGCTCCAGCCCTCCGCCTTCTCGGGGAGGAGCCAGCCTAACGGCCGGAGAGGGGACGGGGCTGCTGCGCACGAACAGCTCCCTCTGGTGCTTGTCGCCAAGAGGAAACCCGGCCTAAAACCTGTAGCTCAGTAGAACAGCGTCTCCTGAAAAGGAAAGGTGCTAAGTCCTACTCGACCCTCCTTTAAATCCTTTTAACGTCAGGTGTTTTGAGAGTTGCGCGTGGTTGCTCAGCGGCCAAGGGCGGGCGCTCTGTGCATGCTCGGAAAAACATGTTGTTTTTGCTATCACTTCGTCGCGGGGCGAGTGCAAACTGCACAATCAAAGGCTAGCTAGGCAATGTTGTTGGAAACCGAAGGCAATAACATCCCGCTACTTTTTAGGCGGACCCAGTTGAGTCTGGCCTGGCCACTCTGTGGGTACTTTGCGCATGTTTTTATTCCGCACCCTGGAATATAGGCGTGATGTTCTTTCACTTTCTAGAATGGCGAGATCTCTCCTCAATATAGAGAAATATAAGAACTCTCTTTTTCTCTTCTCTTGACTATATTAGGGGAAATCTAGAAGCTCTGTTTCTAAGCAAATGAGAGTTAAAGAACACGCCCCTATGCCCTACATTATTCCCTCAGAGAATTCTGGGCACTGTAGTTTGTTAAGGGTTGCTGGGAATTGTAACAGAGGGATAAATGTACACTACTTTAAAAAGGTATAGTGCGTGCACAGTCTTAAAAGTATGGTGTGTGCACAGAGTCAAGAACAGCACAGTGATGCAGAATATGAGGAGTGCCTCAACAGATGAAAATGCATTGGTTATGGGGGAGCAGAGAAGGGGATGCGTTCTTATATGTTCATTCAAAACGAACGTTTCATAGAATTTTAAGAGCTGAAAGGGATCTTGGGTGTCACGTAGTGCTCAACGCAGAACCCACAATGCAGGAGAGAGGACTCCAGCACCCCTGACAGGTGGCAGCCCAGCCTCTGGTTTTAAATTTCAGAGGTGAAAGCTATGAATAAGCTGGAGGGCATACCCCATAATGCGCCATTGGGATGTCATGTTTTCTAGATACCAGAAACTCACTTTAAAATGTGGAGTAGTTTGCCCTCACAAATAAAAGGCAGGCTTTGCGATGGCAGGGAAGACGTGGATATAATTTTTACGCGTCTTTCCTGGAATTCAGACGTGGGGTGGGAATAATTCTTTCGGGGCACAGCGGGTTAATGACTGACTCCCAGGAGGGCTCGTGCCAGTGCACGACGCCTCTCCTCGATGGGCAACCCCGTCCCTGCGGAAAGACTGGGATGGCCGATCTCCGCGCGGGAGGCTAATTCCACCGTTTCTCGCTAGGGGGCGGGCGAGCCAGCTCGAGGCGTCTCGGAGCGGGCGGAACCGTTCGCGGGGGACTCTCTATCCCCGCCCAGCCCGCTTTCCCAGCGCCTACACCCACTTCCGCCGCGCTTGCTTCGCTCTGTTGCGGCAAGCAGGCCGGGAGGCTCGACTGCCCGGAGGGTCTATCATCGGCTAGCAGGGCCCGGCTCGGCTCGGCCTGAGGAACCTGGTGAGATGGCAGCGGCCGGCCCTTCCGGGAGCGGGATGGCCCAGAAGACGTGGGAGATGGCCAACAACATGCAGGAGGCGCAGAGCATCGATGAGATCTATAAGTACGACCGCAAGCAGCAGCAGGAGATCCTGGCGGCGAAGCCGTGGACCAAGGAGTAAGTGGGCGGGTGGGCAAAGCGGGGGAGGATCTCCTCCCAGGCCCAGTTCAAAGGACTCGGCCCGGACCCCGGTGCTGTTTGGTCCCGGGAGAGGAAGGGCGAGGGGCTGTGATGATGAAGCACCTGCCCTAGATATTGCCTCTCATGTATGACTTGACAAGAAGAGGGTAGAGGTGGGTAAGAGGAAAGATCAAAATGCAAAACTCTGGACAGGTGCAGATAAGAAAGATTGCCTCCTGCAGATCTTAAGAGAAGAAAAAGTAACAGGTCTTGACTCGTTTGTAAAGGTGGGGTGAGCGAGGGGAGGCGGGGAGTCAAAGATAAATCCAAGGAAAGTAGAAATGATGGGTAAATGCCCCATATCAACACACAGACACGGCATGACTCCTTCATTTTGACACTGAGTGAAGGCAAGGGGGGGTTATGAAATGGAAAAACAAGCAGCCTCCCAAGAACAAATGTTACTAGCAAATGAAACGTCTCAAAATGTTGCATGCTGAAAAGTGAAAGGCCTTTTCTGGGGGGAAATAAGTAACTCGCACACTTCTGGAACTCCCCCTTCTCACAGTTTTCTAAGTATTCCCAAATGTGTGAGGGGTCAAACAGTCATTTGCTCTTAACTGAACAAATTGGTAGAAGCAGGGTTCTGTACCTGGGTTTCTCACATCCACACAATTTACTGCTGTACAACATAGGTTGCTTGTTACATTAAGAGAAAAACATTTTGTTCTTTTGAAATCTGGATCTATTTTATTAGTTTGAAATATTTATTTGCCACCCTATAACCATGTTCTCGGGGTGCCTTACAACAAATATAAAGGCGATCAAAATATGCATAATAAATCTATAAAATATATAACATTAAAAATTCATAGCTCTAGTGATAATGATTTTTTTGTAGCAGTAACAGATTTAAAGGCCTGGAACAATGAAAACGTTTTACTGAAATGACATCAGATTAGGCATGTGGTGAGCCTCTTTGGGGAGAGCATTTTATAGCCAGGGTACCATAAATGAAAACACCCTTTTGCCAGTAGCTACCACATGCACCTCCGGAAGAAGGACCATAGAAGATCTTAAGGTTTAAGTAGGTGCATATGGGTATGTACTATACTGTTGAGTATATCTGTAACCTCTGTGTTTAGCGAGTGCCTTTCTCCAGCTTCACCTAGTTTGCCATCTATACCTGACCACTACAGTCCTTGTATTGATAACCTCAAGACTGGATTACTGCAATGTGCTTTATGTGTAGGGCTGGCCTTGAGCCTGGTACTGAAACTCCAGCTAGTGCAGAGTGCAGCAGCTATGGCCAACAGAATTTGACACATTTGCTAAAATATTTGGCAGCCCACATGCTGCCAAGCCAGGTTCAAATTTCTTGTACAGTAGTCCTATATAAACCCTGAAGAAATTGGGTCCAAGATACCTTAAGGACTGCCTGAGGCCTTACATCTCAGTTTGATCACTAAGATCACCCTGAGAAGTGCTGTTAGTTGTCCTCTTTGTTACAGATGCCCAACTTAATTCAACTAGAAGTATTTAGTGTCCCTGGTCCCATGTGAAGATTCAGCAGACATTCTCACTGCTAACTTTCAGATGTCTCTCAAAGATGTTTTTATTAAGATAGTGCTTTACATTCAGTGATTTAAATTTTCCAAAGGTGGGCCAGTCATTTTTGTGATTATTTTGTATTTTTTATGGTGGCATTGTTTTTTATTGCATCTGCATACTGCTATACACCACCTTGATATTTTATATCTGGTTGATTTAAAAAAGTTATTTTTTATAAACAAAATCTTATCCAGTATCATTTTATTGATTCTGAGTTTCAGGGTGAGCTCTCTTGCCTTAAATCGTTTATTGTGTTTTGTGTTTCTTCTTGTCGTTCTCTGTCATAATAGATATTGTTCTGAGCTCTTTTTTTATTATTATTTATTGCAGTCACCACTATTTCAAGTACTGCAAGATCTCTGCTCTGGCCCTCCTGAAGATGGTCATGCATGCTAGGTCAGGAGGCAATTTGGAAGTGATGGGCTTAATGCTTGGAAAAGTGGATGGCGAAACTATGATTATAATGGACAGCTTTGCTTTACCAGTCGAAGGCACTGAAACACGAGTTAATGCTCAGGCTGCTGCATATGAATATATGGCTGCGTATATAGAAAATGCAAAGCAGGTAAAAAGGGAAGACTGATTTCCTTTTAGCAAGTTAGCAAGTTAAAACTGTTTATAATCACATCTGGGATTGGAGACACCTCAGTTTATAATTTATGAACAACATGTGTTGCCCTTGAACCCCAATATGCTGTCACTTACACCACCAGTTGAGTATAAGTTTGGATCAGATTTAGTTCAGATACATTTTTCTCCTCTAGTTACCTTGTTGAAGGGCTTCAGTGTTGTGTTTCTTTATGCATTTTCTTACTGCTTAATTTTCTCCATTTTATGTACATCTTGTCTTAGAATTAAAAAAAATAATAATTTCTTCAATTTAATTTCTGCTTTTGTTAAGTGAACAACAAGCTCATTATTTGCAATAATAATAATACGGTAGCTTCTGGGCTTCCTGCCTGGCCATCTTTTTCAGAAAACAATTTTGGAGTAGATGGGCTTTGTGTCTGATCCTGTAGGACTTTTTATGTTCATACATGGCTTAATTTTGAAATATCTGCAGTTTGCCAACTGTCCAAAAGAGGGCAGTATTCACAATGATTAAATTCAGTTTAACCTGCTTTCTTCCTCTTTCCCTTTTTTAAAAACTTTGGTTAGGTTGGTCGATTAGAAAATGCAATTGGCTGGTATCACAGCCACCCTGGCTATGGCTGCTGGCTTTCAGGAATTGATGTCAGTACTCAGATGCTTAACCAGCAATTTCAAGAACCATTTGTGGCTGTGGTTGTAAGTATATATTGGAATTCAAGCAAATTAAATACTAAATAGACAGTAAATTTAATTTCTATAGCTATAAAAAACTGGATGGCGTTTTACCTATTACCGTTTTTTTTGTAACCAGGTAACTCCTATTAAAAAACTGTTCACACTACTTGGAGACCTTTCTATTTCTTATATATTGGATGTAATTTCTTTTATATCTTGTTCTATTGAGCCATAAACTCAGCTGCCCTTTTCATTTGATCACAACTAATTCAAGTCAGTATTTGCAGGATCAGTTTGTAACATTGGAAAACTATGCATATACTGAATTGCCTATCACAGGGTAAGAACTTCTCATTGATTAGTTGAAGACATGCTCATGGGAGCAGATTCTTCTATTAAAACAAATTATATTTACATTTTAAGAGTCTTGTGTGCAGGAGCTAAAATGAAGAAGGATAAGGCTTCCCGAATTCCCTAACTCCTCTGCTGTCCGTATGGACATTGGAGTATTAGGGTCCATTGCTCCCCTTTCCAGAGTTCCCCTGTTCACCAGAGAGAATTTTGTTACTTACACCATATGAAGCAGAACCAAGAATAGCTCTTGTTATTACACTTGTTCCTACAACTAAGACTGTTTTCAAGATAGTCTTTAATCAGGAGAACCGTATGTCTAAATAATTGCTTGGGAGAGTTTTAAGAAGCATAAAGCAGGAGACAGGTCTATTGTTGGCTGGGAGGTGGGTACCAAATTTAGCCTCCCCAGCCTGTTTTTACTGCTACTGCACCTGAAGAACATCAGCTTGCAGAGAAGCTAGAAGGTTGTGGCCAGTTAGTGCTACAACTGTAGCTGCTTCAGAAGCCTATTTATTTGGAGGCTGTTGGAGTGGCAGGTTGCTTGCTACTGGTGGGCCTGACCTGGTGATCATGTGATGAGGGTGGACACACCCACCTGGCGGATTAATTGATGGTGGACTTGCTCCTAGGTGTAAGATTGGAGATGGGGCAGGAGTTATGTGAGTAAGCCTGGCTTCTAAGTAAGAGGATGAATGCTGGATAACTATGTGGAGAGAGGATGAATGCAGTTCACAAATGCATATCTAGTACAATTGGTGGGCATTTGGTAATTATGCATTCATTGTTTTTTTATTGTATTTTTCCTTTGCCTAAATATTCTATTCACCGCTTAAGGGGCCTTAGGGCCAAAAAGCAGTGTATAAATCTACAACAGCAACAAAATTATCTTGCAGTATTTCTAGACTTTCAACTTACATTGTGGAGTATCCACTAGAAAACAGTTGTAAACTTTTTAACATATTGGGGTAGTAGCCAGTATTTGCTCAAACCTCTCCATTGTGGGCAGCTGTGTCAAATGGTGCTACAGTAGAGAAAGAGGGAATCATTCGAAATTGGGCTGAAGAATCTTGCACCAATGGAACAGTTTCTTCTATTGATTTCAGGTAGTTCTCTCATCATATTGCAGCCCCATATGAAACGTCCCACAATGTTCAGGAGGTTTTCAGGAAAGACTTTATTGGAGGCGGGAGAGGAGGCAAGATTAGTTGTGCAAGCTTCCATTTATTCATGTAACCACTAAGTACGACTCATAGGCCTTTTTCACTGCTCCATTGATGTCATAATCTAAACCAAGGCTTTTCCTCAAGGAAATGACAGTTTAAGCCACTAAACTAGAATCTTTGACTTTCTACAAAAGTCATATTATATTGATATTTTTTGGACAGGTCCTAATCATTCTACTATAAAGGATAATGTGATTGGAATAATGCCCTTGATCTATATCAGTGATGTCCAACCCTTTCTCCCCCCAAAAAGCTCAAAGACTTTGGCCTCCCCCCCCAAAAAAGCCCCCCCAAGCTCCTCCTCCCTCCAATGGCAATGGGTAGATCACTGCCAGTTTTTTTATACTGGGAGTAGCTCGCAGTCTCTTGGGAGTTGGACATGCCTGATCTACAGTTAAGAAAATGGTGTTCAGTTGCTTCTTAGAGTGCATTTTGTACAGTAATTCTCACATCATTTTACAGATTGATCCAACAAGGACAATATCTGCAGGAAAAGTAAATCTTGGAGCTTTTAGAACATATCCTAAGGTAACAATAATTATATAACCAAATGTATATGATGTAAGGATCCACCCTATGGATTTATTTTATTTATTTAACAAAATTTATATACAGATTGATTGTAAGAAAACATAACATTCCAAATGCTTTTTATTGATAATTAAAATTATCAAGCATCTAAAAATATTCAAAAGGTTGTTAAAATCAATAGTAGCTAAAAATATATAAAACACATGTAACTTCTGCAGGTCTGTGTAGGCTTGCTTAAACAAAAATGTTTTCAGCAATTGCCAAAAGAATACAGTGAAGGTGCCTGCCTGATGTCAACAGGCAGGAAGTTCCAAAGTGTAGGTGCTGCCACACTAAAATAGTGATTTCTTACAAGGGCAAAATGAGTATTATGTGGCACCTGTAATCGTGCCAGTTCCACATATGAGAGCAGTGTACTGGGCATATCTAGGGTAAGGGAATCCCACAAGAAAACTGGTCCCAAGCTGTTAAGAGCTTTGTATACTAAAAGCAACACTTTGAACTTGGCCCTGTAGCAAATGGACAGTCATTGCAGATCTCTGAGCAGAGGTATTATATACTGACATGGTCTCACTTCTGCCAGCAGCCATGCTGCAGCATTCTGCACTAATTCCAGCTTTCAAATCAAGTGCAGGGGAAGCCCCATGTAGAGTGCACTGCAGTAATTCAGTCTTGAAGTCACCAATGCTTGAACTACTGTAGTCAAGCTCTCCTGGTCCATAGTTTTCACAGCTGGGTAAAAGGCACATTAGCCACTGACAGTGCCTGGGCCTCCATTTACAGAGTGGATCCAGAAGCACCCTAAATATATATATACCTGTTCCTTTAGGAGGAATGCAACCCTGTCCAGGACAGGCAGTTGACCAATTTATCAGACACAACAACTACCACTCGTCCACAGTGCCTCTGGGTCTTGCCAGGATTCAAGCTCAACTTATTTTCCCACATCCATCCCACCAGTGCATCCAGACACCATCCCATGGCCAGCATGGCCTCTCTTGATTCAGATGTTATGGATAAATGAAGCTGCGTATCATCAGCATACTAATGGAAAAATCTGGATCTGTTTATATGAAAAGATGTTGCCTTACAACTTCAGTATCATAATTTGTTTCTTTATCTTTCAGGGCTACAAGCCTCCTGATGAGGGCCCTTCTGAATATCAGACTATCCCACTTAATAAAATAGAAGACTTTGGTGTGCACTGTAAACAGTAAGGAATTATTTCCTCATAGATAGATTTCAAAATGTTTTCCAGCTTGGAAAGAAATGTTTGAAAAGATTTGTGAAAGATTTGTGAAATTACCCAAGGCTTCCTGGATAGTCATATATTGAGGGGGGCGGGAGGTATGTTTTCCTTTTGAAACAAAAAGAGGACAGTTGCTCACTAACAGACAAGAGGTTGAATCCAGACTTCCTCTCTGAATGGAGTTTTTCTCATGGAATACTCCACTGGAAGAAGGGGGAGGAGGCAATTTTCTCCTATTTCTTCTCCCTGTAAACTCCAGTGCTCCCGAAAAGGTTGGTCCAGAAGTGAGGGGGTACTCTGTAGAACAGCATTCCCAATGCAATGTGAGGAAATTTTATCAACAATGTGTTGCTTAAATGAGTTTTAGTAGAAAAGTTGTCCTGGGCAGTTTTTCCTCAAGAAGCATTAAACTTGATAAAAGTTTCCCTGCAGCACATTGAGAACTATATCTAATATGCAGCTGTCCACTGTTTTGTTTTTGGATTTTTCTATGGCTGTTGTTTATCCCTTCTCCACTTCTGTGTAGGTGTTTTTTTGCCCTATTCAAAGCTCAGGGGAGGGGTTATGGTGATAGTTCAGTATCCACAATACAATCATTCTGGTATATGTTTTGAGCATAAGACTACTGTGTGGCACTTTGTGGAACCAAGGCACGATTGATATTGCAGACATGAAATGATCCCTTAAATACTATCATACTGGGTGTACTGGACTGTTTTAGAATAGAGGTAGAGAACCTATGGCTCTTCAACTCCTGTCATTCTGGCTAGGGCTGATGGGAGTTGGAGTCCAGCAGCATCTGGAGGACCACAAGTCTCCCCACTTGTTTTAAAAGGAAAGATGATATTGTTTCTTGGCCACATTTATGTTCTTGGGATTTGTCTATATTTGAGAGTTTTTTAAATGTAACATTTCATTGTGCAGTTCATGTTGAAAGTTGTTCATATACTTTTTTTTGCAAAACAGGTATTATGCTTTAGAAGTCTCCTATTTCAAATCTTCTTTGGATCGCAAGTTGCTTGAGCTTTTGTGGAACAAATACTGGGTGAACACACTAAGTTCATCTAGTTTGCTTACTGTAAGTATCTTCATGACTTTTAAACCTGATCAGTAGGGTGTTCCAAAAATAAGCACTTTGGAGTTTCTTTCTGTAGGCTGGAAGATAAAACGAAACAGGAACAGAGAGGTATATGGAAGTGGAACCCAAGAGAAGCCTGTGCAGTGTACATGTTCCTGTGCAAGTGATCTTGTATCCAATTACAAATCAGTCAGCACAAATCTGTTGCAAACTTTATGTTGAATCCATTGCAAGGAAAGAAGCTGGAAAGAAGCCAACTTTCTTCCCTCCAACTTTTTGCATCTTTTCAGAGAGTGCTGTTTATCTTGTCTAGCAACTAAATATTCTAAATTTAATTTCTTACTGGCTACTGCTAAAAGACAGAGTAAACTTTAAAAGAACTAAAGTGCTTTAAATGAATTTTAATTACATTATTGCCTTACGCACAAAACAAAGTCTAGCGGTTGTAAATGTTTTAAAGGTGGTTACTTGCTCAACATATACTGTTCCAATTAGAAGCATTAATGGCAGTTAAAGAAATGTAAAATCTTATCTTCCAAATGCAGAATGCAGACTACACTACTGGACAAGTATTTGATCTATCAGAGAAATTAGAACAATCAGAAGCCCAACTGGGTCGAGGAAGTTTCATGTTGGGTTTAGAGTCCCATGACAGAAAATCAGAGGACAAACTAGCCAAAGCAACAAGGGACAGGTAAGGTCTTCTCCTTAACTATATGATTTCAGAACATAAATTATATTATGATTAAAATCACTTTAATCACTTCCTGTGGGTTGTTGAGACATATCACTTGCCAGTTTCATGGATTACTGAGTTTTCTTTTTAAGTCTTTGGAGCTCCTAGATGTTCCACCATTCCATTTGTTCCACCATTTTTCTTTTTATGTTGTCTTTAGAATATAAGCTTAAGTAAGTATGAGGAGAGATTGACACAATGGATCTATAAGTGGATCTGTGCTGCAACTACACTTGGAATACTATGTCACCTCAAAAAGGTTATGGTAGAGTTGGGAAAGGTTCAAAAAAAGACAACCAAAATGATCAGAGGGATTGAGGATCTTTCCTGTGAAGAAAGGTTGCAACATTTGGGGCTTTTTCAGTTTAGAGAAAAGTGGAGACATGATAGAGATGTATAAAGTGAGGCATGGTGTAGAGAAAGTGGATAGAGATGTTTTAGCATTAGAACTTTTGGACATCTAACAAAACTGAGTGTTGAAAGATTCAGACAAGAGAAAGTGCTTCACAAAACACAGTTGAACTGTGGAGTTCACTTCTACAAGTAACAATGGCCCCTACCTAACAAGAGAGGCTTTAAAAGAGGATTAGACAAATTCATGAAGAATAAGGCTATATCGGCTACTAGCTATGATGGCTATGTTCTCCCTCCACTATCATAGGTAGTAAGCCTCTGAATATCAGTTGCTGGGAATCATAAGTGAGGATTTGGTGAATCCTCATGTCCTGCTTTCGGGCTTCTCACAGACATCTGGTTGGCCACTGTGAGACGAGGATGCTGAGATGGACCATTGCCCTGACCCGCAGGCTTCTCTTACGTTCTTTAGTGCATGCCAACATGCAACTTCAGTGTATATTGAGACAATATACTACTTCTCCATGTATCTGTCTCAGATCTTTAAACTACTATTGACATAGTACAATAGCTGACATTTTTTATTTTTTTTAGATTTGAGGTGTCAGACACATAATGTCTGAAATTGTATGTTTCCATATAAAGCATGTTTGAGTTCACCTTTTAAAACAAACAGTTCAGTCAACTATCAGACGCTATGTCTGCCTTTTCATAACTGGATGGTTGTAGAGATTCATGGGGTTATGGGCACCGTGAGCTTCTTAGACATCTGAATAACTTGTAATATAGTGACAGAATTGCATTTAGCCAACTTTAAATTTATGCCTTTGTTTTTCCCAAGCTGCAAGACCACCATAGAAGCAATACATGGATTGATGTCTCAGGTTATTAAGGACAAACTTTTTAATCAAATTAACATTGCTTGAAGTATATCACCGACCGATACGTATCTTCAGAATGGAGACAAACATACCTAGTTGGACTTGTTCAGTTTGGAACTGAAGCCAGAATGGAAATCTTCAGTTAATTTGTTGTACTTTAAATCATCTCTACCACCTCTTTGCTCAATTTTAAGAACAGTGCTCTAAAATTTATTGTAATCTGTTCTTTACCATAAAGTTTTGGTTGTTGCTTCAAAAGAACAATAATTGTGACTGTTTCTGGATTTTGGAAGTTTAGAATTTATCTCTTTGTCAATCTGCAATAAAGATCTCTTTAAAATGGCCAGCTGCTTTTTTCATTTGCTTTGTTTAATTTTATCTCTGAAATTTATCATTCTTTCTCATTCCCGTGTAGAACTCTTGAGCCAGAAACTGTAAATTGTCCCAAGCTTAGACCAAGCAGCCTCTCTACTTCTCAGTGCAAAAAACACTACAATCTGTCTTTCGTACATTATCTGCTCTGTACATGTCTTAGAGCAGAGTTCCTTCTTGAAGCTCAAACCTCTAGAATACAGACACAGACAAACACATTTGTGAACATGGTAGTTGTGGTTTTGCCTTGAAAGCCTGTCTAATTGTTTTATGTAGACTCCATAGGCTTGCGTTTTCCAAGATTGCTTTGCATTTCTAGTCACCAACTTTGTTGTGAGGATTGCTGCATCTGTACTGGAATAGTTTTTAAGATGTTTTTATTGTTTTGTTACTTGTTTGCTACTGTGGGCTCCTTTGGGGAGAAAGATGAGGTATAAAATTTTAAAATAATGCTGTTAAGGCATGGTTTGAGAAACAACATTTTACCAGCAGTCATGGTGAGACTTCCTCTGGTATCGCTATCTGTTTTAGAACAGATTAGAACAGAAGCGGGGGGAAAGAGGATGAGTAAGACCCTCTTGGGCAAGCAAGATGCCTCAACTGGATGTAGCCCCCCCCCCCCATTTTTACATTGGGAATAGAAAAATCTCATAATTGGAACATACTTTTCAATAATTTTAGAAACCAACTATTTAAGTGTCCATAATTCCTCTTAGTTGTTGCTCTTTATCTGTTGCTCTAAAGCAAATTAGCATCTTATTTTGGTCAAGCCAATGGATGTAAGTAAGCTGCACACCGTATAAGCTGAGCCTAACACCCTTTCATAGGGCACAGATAGAGGTCTGGGCACCCACTTCTATCAACTCCATTCTATTAAAGTACAGTGGTACCTCGGGTTAAGTACTTAACTTGTTCTGGAGGTCCGTTCTTAACCTGAAACTGTTCTTAACCTGAAGCACCACTTTAGCTAATGGGGCCTCCTGCTGCCACCGTGCCACCAGAGCACAATTTCTGTTCTCATCCTGAAGCAAAGTTCTTAACCTGAAGCACTATTTCTGGGTTAGTAGAGTCTGTAGCCTGAAGCGTATGTAACCTGAAGTGTATGTAACCTGAGGTGCCACTGTATAAATACCCTGTAAGTGTATAAACTGTCCCACAAGACTAGTTTATTTCCTGATTTAAGTACTACAAATTTAAAATGTGATCTAGTCTTAAGATTTCAAGGAACGTAGGTAACTGATAATGCTTGAATCAAAATGTAAGTGATTGGTGCACTGCTGAAAAAAGAAGCCACTTTCATTGAACAGTATTGTTCTGCAATGCATTCTCACTGCTTTGAAGCTATCACTTTAAGATATGTTGGAGGTAATATACAAAAACTCTTCCAGCTTGGAGGTTCCTTGTTTTTTAAAATCAACACAATGTCTAGCCAGTTTTTATTTTGAACAGTCACAATATTGCACAATACAATAGTACAATGGTATACAGTGAACACCTTTTGAAAATAAGCATGACAAGGCCACGAAGCTTGGAATTATTCTCAGTGTTTCGCAGTTTGAATATGGTATGTTGCAGAGATAAAAGATTACAGGAAAACTGTGTGAATGATATGATGCAGATGTAAGAATCATGCATGCACAGGAATTCATTTATGCTCCTGAAGTCTGCACTGTGTCTAAATTCGTTGTATAAACTTAAGTGAAAACATACTGTTTACCTTTCAGCATTCTTCTATATTTCTGGATTATTTTAAAGTTAGTTAAACTGCAATGGCAACTTTGGTGAGCAGGAGCAATGGCTTTCTTGAGTAACTAGTTACATAAAACAGTGCTACAACTGCACTATTGTTCTCATATTTTGTATACATTTTAAGTCTGAATGTGGATGCATTTGTAGACACACATTGTATGTTTAAGACTTAGAATTGCTCCACATATTTACTCATCAATACTTTTGAACTATCCAGTTCCTCCATAAGTATATACGTTGCTTTATAAAATGACCAAAAAAAACCCCAAAATCAACCTCTAGACTCATCTTCCAAGTTCAGGTTGTTTATATGATTTGTACTAAACTTGCATGATGGACTCCATAGATTTTCTGTAGTTCTAAATGTTTTAGCACAGCTGAGTGAAGGGAAGCAGGGATTTACCTGGAATACTTCTATCTCATTGCTCTGTCTGACTTACGCTTTTATAATTATGCCGGTGGCAATGTTCTTTTACAGTAGATGTAGATCTGGGTGTCCTAGTGGGAGGTTATACATCTGAAGCAGTTTGTGGAAAAGAGACATGTACGCCTACTGGTGTGCTGGCACAGCCATTTTTTCCTCTTCTTTTTTTTTAAGGACCATATTAAAATGGAGACAGGATGAACAGCCCTACCTGTTCTACACTGTTTTTCAATTGTACTATTTTATAGTATTGGTTTATTGAAACCAAAATATAACATACATAATATTGGAATGATGACCTGCCTTACACAGTTGATCTCAGAAGTAAAAAGCTTGTAAAGGTGTCTGCAAATGAACACACATGGATAAAATGAATTAAAAATTAGTCTTTCTTTTATTTTCTTCAGGCTGCAGTTTTGCACAATTATGTGCAAACAAATCCTACTAAATACAGTGGAACTTACTTTTGAGTAAACATGCATAGAATTGTGCTATGAGACTGAGTATCTTAAAATTGCTTGATCACATTAGATGTGTAGATATTGACACAGAACTAAAAAATGTGGCACTTGGGGTTTTTCGCATGTTCATAGCTACATGGATCACAGCAAATACTGTGTTTAAGACAGACAGGATACAGAATGTGTTGCTGTTGTACTTGGAAGTCACAAAATCTTATCTCTTCTTGCATTCTTGCATTCTACTAAAATTCCACTCTGTCCAATGTTTTATTCAGAGGGCTCTTCTAGTGCCAAACTGGACGGCATTTCAGCACCAGCCAAAGACCATTTTATTTTCCCAGGCTTTTTAATTGTTGCTTTTAAGCTGTTTGGTGTTTGATAACTCTGCTTCTTCTATATTGCTCTTTTATACTGTAATGTTTGAATGTTGTTTTAATGTTTTTGCTTTAGTATGTTTTGTTTGTAATTTTAATTCTTTTGTAAGCTGCCCTGGGAACTTGTTAAGGGTTAGAATATAAATCAAATAATAAATAAAATATTTGATACAAATGTATCAAAATGAGCTTGATAACAACTTGTTTTAAGTACTTGGAAGAAAGAAATTGCTGAACTGTATTTGATCATATCAATGATTAATGGCTTGACTGTAGATCTTTTTTTTTTTTTTTGCCGAGGCATAGGGACAACCAACATTGGGGAGCCTCTTGTAAGCTAAGCAGCATTCATATTTATTTTGGAGTTAAGCACTATTATGCTGAACTTTGAAATGACCTAATAAAATGGAAGGCAAAAAAATCCTTCAGGGCACATTTTGATTAACTACATTCACATTTTTCAGTCATATTAACAAAGAAAGTGGTTCAGTTTTGGTCCCTATTCTTTCATCATTCATAATGGAGACAAATGAATTGTTAATTTTATTATAAAATTGTCAGGGGTCTAGGAAAATGTCTCTGTGTGTTTTTAAATACTGGTTAAGGTTGGTGAGAGTTGTAATCCAAAACATCTGAATGATACCAAGCTGGAAAGGCTCTTGTGGAATACCCTTCAAAGACCTGCACCCACAGAAATGCACTTTGCACCTTCTGTGCTCTTCCCATTTTTTATTTTTTATTTTGTGTGTGTGTGGACGCACGCGTGCACAGCCACTAATAACCTTACATTCAGTAATGTAGGGGAGTAGGAACATCAGCAAGACATCTCCAGTACCTTTTCATAAGAGGAGTGATGACATATTCTGCTAACAAAGTATTTGTCAGTGGTGTGAGCTTGGATGGTGAGTCTAGCACGTTTTGGTTAGATAGGCTAGACTCAATGACTGACCCAAGCTCTGCAAACTTCATGACTGATCACGGATATAAACACAAATCTTCACAGTCTTAGTCCAGCATCATAGTCCAACATCCATGAAATACCAATAAAATGGGTGTTGTGCTATGTATTGCTCCTTTTTTGGAAATATTAGTAGAGCTTACTGTATTTTTTATTCTCTTAGGAGCCATGGATATGGACCGCTTTAGGGTGTGACTATGGGGTTTGACATGAGAGCTCCTGTACTTCAAATTGTAACATGTCATAGCCAATGTCCAGTAGTGTGCACATCATATACAGTATAGGCATTAGCAGGGAAGCCCTAGTAATCGAGGCAGTTTCATATGAATAAAGATGAGCTAATTTGGGACATGTACTATGTAAAATAATGTATGAGAATACAGTTTTGGAATCATAATGGAGAGGAAGTGCATGAACCCTTTGAGAGGAAATTAAATTGTTTTAGAAACCTTCATTTTTACTGAAGTCTACATTCAACTCCTATGTAATTCATCTATCATTTCCTGTGTAAATTTCTCTGTTTATTTTAGACTCAGTTACCTTAGCACTTATGTATAACAGCAATGGCACTACTATTAAAAAGGAAATTAATATATGCGTTGCATGCAGTCTTTTGTGATTATAACCATCTGCATTTTCCCCAGTTGTTGAAAGTAAGTCATTCATTTGATGTATCACTTGAATTTGGATTTACACAAATACATTTAAACTAATGCAGTTTTACTGCTTGTTGTGAAAGAAAGGTGTTTGCTGGATGCTAGTGTTTTGCTGTGTTCAGTAAGAACAGGAATGGGAGGGGAATGTTTACAATGTGGTGCTTTCTTGAAAACTTACTGTGTCCACTATGAATTATCCTAACAAATGTTGATTTTCAATAGATATTAAGAGCTAAATACTTTATTTATTAAAAGTAATGTGTGTTTACATTGAATTGTGACATTTATCTCTTTTGGTGTATGTGCCCATTTCACTGCCTTAACTGGTTCTGATTTAAAAGAGAGGTAGAGCTGGGTATCATCTGCATATTGATGAACACCCAACCCAAACCCCCTGATGATCTCTCCCAGCAGCTTCATGTAGATTTTAGAAAGCATGGGGGAGAGGACGGAACCCTGAGGCACCCCACAAGTGAGAGCCCAGGGGTCTGAACTCTCATCCCCCCCCCCCACTTTCTGGACACGGCCCAGGAGAAAGGAGCGGAACCACTGTATAACAGTGCCCCCAGCTCCCAGCCCCTCAAGACGGTCCAGAAGGATGTTATGGTTGATGGTATCAAAAGCCACTGAGAGATCCAGTAGAACTAGGAAACAGCTCTCACCTTTGTCCCTAGCCTGCCGGAGATCATCGACCAGTATGACCAAGGCAGTTTCAGTCCCGTGGTGAGGCCTGAATCCCAACTGGAAGGGATCCAAATGGGCCGCATCCTCCCCAATAGAACAATATTTAACACACCCAATAGAACTTTAAAGTGTTTAATTTTTGTTAGATTGTGCCTTTTTGGCAGCAAACCAGATTATAGTGGCATGAATTTTATAAGCAAAAGCAATTATTATCACAAAGGTTGTATGGATAGTGGGGCTGATTTGAAGCTGATCTGATCTTAGTGTTTATTGCCTGCATTGTCTGCACTAAGTTGGGCCAAGTTATAGAGAAGTACCGGTAGCTTTGGGTCCTTTTCACATACATTGCTGGGAAATCCTGGTTGTAGTACAGCCTCCTACAGTGCTAGTCTAGATTTTGCAATCCTGCAGCAGCCACTCAACTCAGCAACCATGCAAAACTGATTGGAGTAGCAGGCAGTCAGGGCACCATTAATGGCTAGTGTTGGATAGGTTCCAATCCATCCTAAGCACTGAACTTCCTGGATAACCTTGGGCAAACTTTCAGCCAGAAAGGGTGGGAGATCCTATGCCTGGAAAGAAGAGCATCGAACCCATCTTCCAAGGCCATTTGTGTGTGATTAACTGATCTCTGCAGCTCCTGTGAGCATAAAAATCCATGCACAGAGGTAGCAAAGCAATTCTGCCTTGGCTTTATCTCTCTGTCCTCACAATGCAACAGTATTTGCATGACCAGGTGCCTCACAAGGGCTAGAAGTAGCATTGTCAAAGGCATCTGCTGTCAGAAGTGGCTCAAGGTTTGAGAACGCGCTGGTAACGTGACCTCTGGGTGTGTCCTCTGAAACCTACCTGGCAGCAGTAAGCAAGAGCATTCCGAGCAGCACTGGGTGACTGAGAATAGCCACTATTTTAATTTCCCACAATGTCCCCAGATGATGCTATGTCAGGGGCATTGTGGGAAATTAATAAAGCAGCTCAGGTAGAGCCATCCAGGGCTGCTCAGATAAACAGTCTCTCTTCCTCTCCTCTCTCTCTCCATACCTACATACATACTGCAGGCCCCTTAAAAGTCGTGGACTTCAGCAGCTGCCCCAGAATGCCAAGTGCTGACACTGGGTCTGTCTGATATAGTTGTACCATGACAGTGAACTAACTAACTAACCATATACATAAAATTTACTTTATGGAGTTCCTCAAAGACAAAGTCTTTTTGTATTCTGACACTCTGAAAACACACAGACAATATTACAATGTTCTATGCCAGTAGATTAGAATCTTATTTCAAATCTTGATGAACAAATATTTTCTCTTAAACCTCACATAATGTATTTTTAACTGAATTAGTAACAGAGACAGCTTTAGACACCTGCAAAAACTACAGCTACAAACAAGTCAAAGGTCTGAGGGCAAGGTAAGGCTAAAATTAAGTTTAATAATATAAAAGCCCTTTTTAAAGGGGATATATTTCCCAGAACAAGAACCTTTAGGGCACAGTCAGTTTTGATTGCAAGTTGAAATACAGGAATAAGTTTATATTGTAATATTTTCTGTCATTTGATAAGTAGGCAAATGAACTTCCAAACTTGGAAGATTTAAAAGTTTTATAGATCCTGCCAAATGCTAGGAAGAAATGGAAATGTTGAAGCTCATCTTGGATAACTCAAAAACTCATTAGGCAACATATGCTCTTATAACAGCACAGAACCGAGGCCAGTGACAATTAAGCATATTTATGTTTCATTAACTTAAATGGGATTTCTTTATGCAACAACTGTTTTTAGGATTGGGTCCACTATAATTATACTGTATGTCCTGAAAGCTGCATAGATTTGTTCCGTGGGCTAGAGGGTCCCAACCATCTTAGCCATTTTCGTTTCGTTTTGTAGCATGTTTCACAAAGTAATACACAATTGTTACTTATTTGTTGCAGAAGATCAAGATTTCGCCCTCCATATTACTTTTTCTGAGCATTCAAATTTTAATGTATCGTCACTGTGAAAATGCCATTACAAATTTATTATGGCTTAATAAACTTGAGATGATTCCATTGTTAGGGTCACTAGCTATCCATTTCCAGCTGCAGCAGTGCCATACTAGCTTATGGACTTTAAAAAATAACTCCCTTGTAGACTCCTTCACCACTGGAAATAACTGCATGGTTTCCCCAAATGTTTAAAAAACGGGAAACCCCTGGTGCAACCTGTCATCCCATCCCAAGTAATCCCTTCCATTACATTGGAACTGGCTATTGTGTTCCTGGTGTATTGTCACTACCTTTATGATGTCATGTATAGCATTAAAGGGGGGGTGCATAAAAAATAATGTCACTCCTCTGCCCATGATGAATCCTGATTACACAAAGGCATTTTACTCTAGAAAAGCCTTTTTTTTCTTGTCCACCTTAATACTGCAGTTGCTAAGGTGGCCTGGGAATTTTATATACGGTACTGTCCTAGCAACTGCAATACATTAACATTATACCATTTTCCTCTGATCAGCCAAATGGATGGGTTAAGAAAGAAGCATTAGCAGCAACTGAAGAATTCCATTTGTTACTTAGGTGGTGGTATAGCCTTGTATGGAGTGTGCCATTTCACAATGCAGTTGGAGGTGTCCGGTTAAAAAAACAATGCGCAGATACAGCATGGGGAAGGCTAGAACTCTTCCTTCCTTCAAATTAAGAGTTCCTGCCTGCAATCTTAAGTGGAGCAGCTGAAGCAAAAGTTTACCTGCGAAGTTCATAACAGGTGTCCTCAGTGGCCAACGAGATGCTAAGGAGAAAGAAGCCCACCTCAGACTCATTGAAATGAATGGCACTTCCAAGCAAACATGCACAGGAATGCACTTCACATCTCTCCCAAAAGGGAGTGCTCAGCTTTGGCTGGCTAAACCAATCATCTCGACAACAGATGAAACATTAGCTGAGGAATAATCTAGAAGGTCCACGAGAAGAACGGCGGGTTTATTATCATTCTTCAGTAATAGTACTGCGCGGAAAAGCAGCTCCAAACCCCGAGGTTTGGGACGGGGCAGATTCAAAATGATCCCCAAAACCGTAAAAAAGAAAGTCTACCTCTTGGAAGTATATTATTATTTTTCCCTATTGACGACGTCGTCGTCTGAACAATTTAGAATTGCATTAAAAATGTGTGTTCTGTAGCACACTTTATTATATATTCTCTGTATCTTTAACAAAGTGGGGAGTGGGGGGGGAGGATTCGGCCGTTAAACGATACGTCTCACACATAAAAAATGGAATCAACTCCCTTTGTGAGGTAGCCGCGCGAACTCAGCTGCGCGCGCCGTTTCGAATGTCAGCGGCATTCAACTCGCCGGCAGAAGCCCCGACAATAGGCAATTGCTAGGCGGCGAGCGCGCCGAGCAGACACGAAATTGCGCGTGCGCAAAGCCTTACCTTCTTCCTCCTCCCGGCTCCTTTCGCCGCTTCGACCGCGACTCGGGAGCGCGCTTCGTAGGTGCGCTCTTGCGCCTCCCGTTGCCCGCGGAAGTGTTTGGATAGGCGACCTTTTCTGCCTCCATAGCAACGCGCTTGGCGTCTCCGTCCGTGGCGGCGAAGCCTCTTTGCCTGTGTTCACGCGCGCCCTGCTGCGACTCGTCCCCTTACCTGTCGCTGGCGTTTGGCGGGGAAAGAGGTTGTGGGGAAGCGCTGGGCAGAAGGGCGCGGAGTTCGTGTGAGTGGGGGAGGAGACCCGTGTGCGTCGGGACGGTGAATAGCGGGGCTTCGACGGCCCAGCCGCCTTCTTGAGACATCATATAATTTGCTAGTGTAGGCGCGTTAGCCCTGGCCACACTTCGTCCGAAGGGAGGCGAAAGTCCTGAGGAGTCCGTATCAAGTGTGGTTTGCGTGTCGCCCCGTAGAAACTGCCCCCACCCCTTGGCAATCTTTCCCTTCCGACACTTATTTCCCCCAGTCTGGGCTCGATCTGATAAGCAGAGAGAAAAGCAATTAGGGATGCAGGCAGATATGCTAGTGCTTCTTTTGCCGTCTCCCCCACTCTTCTTTCTATATGCATGGGCGTAGCTGGGAGGGGGGCAGCTGCCCGCCAAATAATACAAATCAATACAAATCTGAGGTTCTACCCCCCTAATAAAAACCTCTCCCCCTCAACAAAAATCCTGGCTACGCCCATGCCATGGTTTCAGCAGTTTTTAATACGCCAAGACGATTCCACCGCTACCACCACGCGTAACAGTAAATTGAAGTGTAAATTGAAAATTGTAAGGGAGTCGGGACCCCCAAAATCATTTAATCCGACCCCTGCAAAACAGGAAGAGGCATTGGTTTGTTCTGTGGAATTCAAGACATCTTTCCAGAAAAGGGTGTTTCTGGGTATTGCCTCTTACCCAAAATTTATGGTCAGGCTGCAATATTTTGCAGCTGGGAAAATGTGATTTTCCCCACCCCTTCAGCTAGAAGCATTGGTATTGTAAGGACCATCTTTCATCCGCTGAATAACCCCTATACAAAGGGCAAACCAGAGAACCATAGGTGAAGCCAGAATTTATTTTAGGCGGGGCAGGCTTTATGTTAGGGGGGCAGAGAACTGAGTTAACTAACTGACCAATTGTGTCGCAGGTAAGTATTTTTATATATTTACTTGATTTGAGGGGGCAGCTCACCCCCCCCCCCCAGTTATGCCCTTGCTTAATCCCGTGCCCATTACACATTTAGAAATTTCAAAGAGTTCAAATTCATTTGACCCTTTAAAAAGTGGTTGAAGTTCCATCTTGCTACCAGCAGTGCTGTGCCATTTCCTGGGCCTTTTCTACTTGTCAAGCACTGGTATTTGTACAGATCATTTTAATTTAGAAGTAGTGAACAGCGGTAAATTTATTTATTTATTTCTTGCCCATATCAATAGGACGTCGTCCTCACAACTGTTATATGGGGATTGTCCCTGGATCAAGATGAACACAATATAGCACTATACTTCTTTTTAAAAGGTCCTAGAATTCCGTATTCTAGAGGCATTTCTGGGTAAAAAGCATTCCAATTTAATGAAAGGTTTTAAGATTTTAAAAATATAGTGATATGAATCTTTGCGTTCATCAGATTTGCCAGTACAGTGGTACCTTGGTTTAAGAACAGCTTAGTTTATGAACAACTTGAATTAAGAACGCTGCAAACCTGGAAGTAGGTGTTTTGGTTTGTGAACTTTGCCTTGGAAGCAGAACATATTCCGCTTCCTGTTGAGTGTAAATTGAGTCCCCCACTGCTATGGGAAAGCACGCCTTGGTTTAAGAATGCTTTGGTTTAAGAACGGACTTTCAGAACGGATTAAGTTCATAAAGCAAGGTACCACTGTACTGAAATAGACTTGCCTGACTCAATTCTGTGTATCTTCTCACATATACAGTAGTGTTGGGAGCTCTAAGGTTCTGGGATCAGCATTTTCTAATACTTTGTGAGGTGGGGGATCAAGAAGAAGAGGAAGCCCCAGGACTTTTTATTAAAGTATCGGTAGTTTTTTGTAATAAATATATACTTTTGCAGTATTGTCACTCTGTGACCACCAGTTTAATTGTGATCAGCCAGAAGTGAGTCCCTTTAAAAGGAACTCAATTTCAAGATAGTTAATAGGACTTTAATTCCAAATTAGGAATATAAAGTCAGGTGTAGCTTGACTGAAAAGCTTTGAATAAAATGTTGCCCCTATGATATTGATATATATATATATATATATATATATATATATATATATATATATATACATATACACACACACACACACACACACGTACTTTTAAGAATCCTAGATGACAGGTGCCATCTGAGCAGAAGTCCTTATCTCAAACAGAAACAAAGCTTATTCTGAAATACTATAGTACTTGATCACTACTATGTTTTTTCCCCTTCAAAACTACAGTTGTACCTCAGGTTAAAGTAGCTTCAGGTTGAGCGTTTTCAGGTTGCATTCCGCGGCTACCTGGAAGTCACGGAACGGGTTACTTCTGGGTTTTGCCGCTTGCACATGCGCAGACGCTCAAAATGACTTCATGCGCAGAAGCGGCGAATCACGGCATGCGCGGAGTGTGTTCTGCTCAGGATGCGAACGGGGCTCCGGAACGGATCCCGTTCGCATCCAAAGGTACCATTGTAATGGTTTTATTCATATGCAATTTTATACAGATTTTAAAAATTAAAACACCATTAGCCTACTATGTCCTGCTTCTATATAAAGAGAGCTAGGATGTTAGTATAATAGTCTGTAGAAAATTTGGGAAGACATCTATTACCATTAATCTTTTCTTTATTAGGAATATGACTAAGAATGTCTCTGAAAATGAGAAGAAAATCTCATTGTAATTAAATTATTTCATAGTAACTAGAAAATAATGTTGGAAAAAGAGTATACAATAATTTTATGACTCTGAAATATACTTTATAACTTTTTGTTTTATTTTAAGGCCCTGTGTGACAAAAAGGAATACATGGATATTGAATTCTTGGAGTAAAAAACTGACTTTACTGCAAGATTATGGTTCGACTAACATTGGAGCTAATTGGTAAAAGCCTCAATCAGAAGAATCGCAGAGATGAGTCCTTGGCCCATTACTTGAGGAAAACGACTCATCTCAAGTTATCAAATAAAAATATAGATATAATTGTAAGAATACACTGATTATTTGAAAATACAACTTCTTTTTTGTTTGTTATTTGCTTTCTGTTGTTAATAGCAATTCAAAGCATTTTTATCCTGCTCTTCAGCCAAAAAGTCTGCCAGAGGTGCTTACATAAGTTCAATAAAAACAAGACTCTTTCAGTTAGCAAAAGAGTCAGGAGGGAATTTGTTAAATTAAATTTTATACCATTACAATAATCAGCTTGAAATTACTGACTAAAAGGCAATAACACTTAGTTAATTTAAAGCACCTTTCATTTGCACTGAAAGTTTTAAATCAGAAATACAGTTTGTTTTAAATATAGTTTAGTATAGTGGAAGTAAATATTGTTTTCAGAAAATTGCTTGAAATTTGGGGAGATCATAGCATCCCTATATTCTAGAATGATATACAATTCTAGTGTAATTGTCAGTTGGAAAATATGAGCCGAGATCCAAAGAACTAGTTCAGGCATTCCTAAGGGTTTGGCTATGGGCAGATAGAACTTTCCATTTTCTCCTTTGAACAGCAGACCCCCATGTCCAATAATAAAGTGCTTCTGAAAGTTTCTTCCATTTGAAAAATAACTTGCTATGTAACATAGGGGGGAGGACAACTTCAGTGGCCCCTTAGATATTTAGAACAGCGTGCTATTCTTTAGTTCCTAGCCATCATAAAATAGTATCCATTCATTCTATATTTCTATATTTACAACTATATCTACCAAGGATAGACAGTAAGATCAAAATGTTGAAGGAAGTATAAAAAAAACCCATGCAGTAGGAAAAGGCTGTATCTGGGAGCTGAAGCATTTTACTTATGAGTGAACTACACAGTAACACACTTTCTTCATTCTTTCTCTTAGGATGACCTGTCTTTGTGTAAAAACCTTAATGTCCTTTATTTGTATGATAACCAAATTAGACAAATACATAATTTGGATTTTGCTACAAACCTAAGACACCTATACCTGCAGAACAATTGTATTACACGAATTGAAAATCTAGCATCATTAATAAAACTTGAAAAATTGTAAGTTTAAAATTATTATCGGATTTATTAACTGATGTGTAAATTGATGTAAGAAATATAGCTACTGTATATACTTGCTGAATATATTCTATATTTTATTTCAAATATGATAATTTTGTTCACATATTCCATTAATCCGAGAACACATTAGCCCAAAGTCTGGCTAGTGATTTCACTGGATGAGTTAAGCATATGTTTGACTCCCTCCCACTGAAATCAGTTTGATTTTACAGTTTTTTCCTTTGCCTGGATTATGCTTCAGATTAGCAATTGATAATATCTGGAATATTTCTTTACATTTTATTATTAATATTTCTACAATAAAGTAATGAATTATATAGGACAATGTTCCAGCCTGCCTCTATACATTGCTTTAAAATATTTTCATTTTGTTTGGGTTGTTTCCAGGTAATTCTAAATAGATTTGCATACTCAGATTTCTCTTGAGATTTTATAAATCTTTCACCTTTTACAAAATAATTTGCTTGTAGAAAACTCTGTGATTGTTCCATGGAGCCCTATGGAAATTGGGATTTTAGTTTAATACATTTTATTTGTCATAAAATACACTTTTTTACTTTTGGAAATGTTTGCGTTCTTTAAAACACATTGGGAGAACTAAAAGCCTCTTATATACTGTTAAGGTATCTGGGCGGCAATTACATCACTGTAGTAGAAGGCTTAGAGACTTTAGAAGAACTAAGAGAATTACATGTTGAAAGCCAGCAGCTTCCCCTAGGAGAAAAGGTTTTGTTTGACCCAAGAAGTCTTCATTCGCTAGCGGTAAGAATATAGAGTTTCAGTGACATCTGGTGAAAGATATTGATTGCGAAAAAATTACAAGAATTATTTTTAAATCTAATACCTGTTTGGCAAAGAGCTGCATTCCTATAGGATATGAATGCAAAAGGGTTAATTTTTATTATGACTACTACTACTATTTGTGTATCAAAAATATGTGTAAAACAAAGGGTGTCCAATAGTAGTGAGTTCTAATTCTTTTTGTTTTGCAATAAGTTCTGTAATCATTTATGTTGCATTCATTTCTCATCATTTGATAGAATATGTTTGTCATTCCCATTACCAAGAACATTTGGTTGACATTGAGCATTTGCTCGGTTAGGTATGTTTAATTTAGAAGCAAAACCCTATTTAATTTTTGTAATCGTATGAAACAAACCAAGGTTGCAAGAAATGTGTAGATTGTTGGCTATAGAATCCTTTTTTAAAATTTCCATTTAAAACTGAGCAAGCACAGCTTAATGAATTATGCATTATTAGCATATACCCATTAGATTCAGCAAAACCTGATCCTCTTGTATTCCTTCTCACTACTCATTTGTCATTTGACAACTTCAAAACTGAAGCTACAAAAAAGTACAGCTCTATATTTGTATTTTGTTTGTATTTTCTTCCTCATTGTAGTTTTTTCATGGTCAATTTACTGCCATTTGTATTATGAAAGAGCATTAAAAGTACCCAGTTTCAGACTATTTAGATTGCATTGTATACTGATTAATTCCTCCAGGTCCAAGAGCTTTTCTAATCATCCAGTGAAAATCAAGTTAAGCAAAATCTCACTTCAAATTTTCTGCACATCTGATAAGATCTGACTTAGTGGGTAAGATCAGGTTTTCACAAGGCACAGCTGCAGAACAATGAGAAAGGCTCTCAGTCCCAGGGGAATTAACTAGTACACAATACAATCAAAATATGGGTCAAGCAAAAGTGTAGATGAGCCCAAAGCTGAGGTGCTGATAAAACATTCAGTTGTGTGGTGCAGTGCTATGCATGTTTTACTTTAGTGAGAAGTTAGTCTCACTAAGTTTAATCAGGTTTATTCTCTAGTAACCACATATGATTTCAGCAGTTAACTTTTGACTTTTCTTTTTAAATGTTAATTTCATTGCAGAAGTCTTTAACAGTTTTGAATATCAGCAATAATAATATTGATGAAGTGAGTGATTTAGCAATTCTGGAAAATATCTCCCACCTTATAGCTGTTGACAACCAAATTCACCATGTGAAGGTAATAAAGAGGAAATAAGATTGATAAGTATATATGGGAAATTAAGGCAGTTAATATTTAATAATCTTTCAGTGGTTAGAATTATTTGTTTTTATGGGATAATTTAAAGTTAATATGCATGGATATATTTTTCTTTTTCTGTGGCCTACGGAGATCAAGTCCCATTTCACTATATGGCTTTTACAACACTTTTTATCACACTCATTTCTATCTGTTTATTTATTTCATATAATTTATATACTGCTTGATTGTAGGAAGCAAACCTCAAAGTGGTTTACAAAAAAAGAAAACAGTAACTTTGTCACTAAAAAAATTGCAACCATAATATAAAACATACAGAAAGTTAAAACCATAATATAAAACTAAAACATTTATCTAAGAGGATTAAACAGATCATGGAGAGCAAGGTAATCAATGCTTATTAGTCATGATGACTATATATTACATCCAGGATCAGAGGAAGCATGTCTCTGAGTATCACTTGCTGGGAAACAGTAGGAGAGGCCTACTGCTCTCATGCACAACTTTGGGCTTCCTATAGGCAACTCTTTAAGACCATAAGAAACAAGATGTAGGATGCATTTGGCTTAACCGAGAAGGCTCTTATTACGCTTTTAAAAAATTAAAATACTAATCCATGTGGTTACTAGGTAAGGCTACATCCTAGAGTGCAGATGTGATGCTCTGTCCTATGAACCACCAAACAGACAATTAGCACTGTCAGCTCTGCGATCCTAATCACATATACACATTTCATGGTTTCTCATTTTGTTCTATGCAACCAAGTGGCATGTATGCCAAAAAATGGATCTCCTGTCTCCATGTCGTACAAGAGTACCCCCTTTATGCACATAACCATGGATTGTGGCCTATAGGTTCAGATTATAAGGCTCTCACTTTTAAATAACTAAAGTAGTACCATTCCTATTTATTTTGGAAGGCCTTACGCTGGATCAGTGTTCTGGGAATATGGTTGTAAATCTTTAATTTATTCAACCTTTTGCCATTATTGATTATGACAACAAGATATCAAAAAGATGAATTCCTTCACTTCACAATTCAGTCAGGAACAAGAGAGAAAATATAGATTTTATGAAAGAGATAATGGCAGACCGTCAGAATGATGACAAATTGCTGTCTACAGATGTAGTTAGGGCAGTTGAGCTAGACACAGCCGATAAAAATTGGAGTACACTGGTCAAATACAGGTTCTTAAATGGCCATCATTAATTGGGAAGAAGGCTGCTGCTAGTACTACGGATGTCATCTGAGGCTTTCACCTCCCACAGTTTGCCTAGAATATAATTTGCTCTTTAGTATTTTGTAGCAGACCTCTAAGTGATAGCATGACATGATCATTTATCAAACAGAGACTGCCCAAAAAAGTGTCTAGTCCCTTTAGTATAGCTTATTGAAAGGCTGTAAAGTGAAAGCATTTTATTAGAGACAGGAAGGCAATGAACAACTAGAGCGTATCCAAAGGGTAATCATATTTCAACATGGGATTAGTACCTTCTTAGATAAACATACAATGGCGTGAGCAGGTTCTGGATCATTTATCAAGTGAGTAGTAGTCAACAAAAATCTGGAAAATTCTGTGGGTACATTCATCAAAGTTTAGCTATTTACTTAGCAAGGTTCCAAGAAATATATACTATTTTACATTTTCAAAACCAGCTTTAGTTGATTTAATTTTTCAAGTGCATTCTAGTTTTACAAGTATAGGAAGATGATTTCAATGGGTCTTACAATGTAAATTTTGACATTTATGGAGACAACAAAGGCAGAGTTTAGGTTGATAAGAGATTAATGTGAGCCAATGTAATTGCATGTACTTGGACTTTGTTTCAGTTTGGGAAATAAAATGCCAAATTGTCCAGATACGCAAAACATTAGATATGCGAAACACTGTATCTGATATGAAAATACATCCTGATATATTTTTATATGTGAGAAATAATATGTGCCTTTTTATTTAGTAATCAGAGCAGAATATTATGTTTATAACTATGAAAGAAAACAGTTCCTTGAGGTTAATGTTACAGAAGCAGAATGTTTCTATAAATAGCTAATTGTGGGAGCTTAAAAGAAAATCTCCATGTTGCTTTCCATGTTCTGCATGACTCCTCTGGCAAACTTGAAATTTAACAGTCCAAGGATTATGGATTTTCCCAAATATGAAATACTGGAGAGTAAAAAGAAACCCTTGCTCTCCTGCTCCTTGCATCTGGTTTGTGCGGATAACTGATAGACACTAGAAAATATTGCTGAATAGCTTAAGAGGTTCTGTTGTACATTGAAAAGTAACATTTCCAACAATTTAATCCAGCTAGGACATGACATGAAGCTTCTGCATGTATGTCTGAAACTGGATAGAGAACCATACGTGTAGACAGGACCTGCTAATGCAGTTCCCCTCACTGATCCAAGATCGGATTCTGTGCAGGGGAAACCCTTTCAAAAACTTAGCATTTGCCACACATCTATCTGGGAGCAGGGCGGGCACAACACACCTTTTGTAATAGAACTGTTTGTGTGCATCCCTGTGTATTGAGTCACAAGTGTTTAGTGATAATCATTGTAAACGAAATGTAGGAATGCAAATACAGTAATAATAGATAATAACTTGGATTCTGAAAAAAGCCAGCGGAAGAGGGTTGGCAGAAGGTAAATTTCCTTCTCCACTCCTCACTGGCAGTCCTCTAAGTAGCCTCTCCTGAGGGTGAAATACTCTCCAGAATAAGGGTAGCACTGTGGCATGGGGGGTGAAAAGGGAGTTGCTGAAAATGAGGTGGAGGCATCTTCTTTAAGCAGGATCTCTACACAGAGAATGTGCTCTGCTTGAATTTCAATGGTTCTCCCCACAGCCTCATTCAGGAGGGTCCCTGACTCTCAGAAGAAGCTTGTGAAGCTGCCGGTGGAGGGGGAGCTGGTGGGAAGGAAAGCTGCCTTGTTGACATATTTATAACTCTCCCTTTGTCTGTAGAGATATCAGGGTGGCCTACAAAAAATGTGAGTTAAAATTAGTCATGGCAAAACATTATAGTGAGCAAAACTCTAAAAAAAAGTTGAAAACAAATAGAACACTCTAAACAGTCATCAACTTCCACTAGCACTTCTAAGGATCTAAGTCACTGTAAAGATAGTGGCATGTTACAAAATTTTCAATAAGAGCATCAAGAAAAAGAGAATTGTTAATATTTACACAGATGGAAGTGAAAATATTTCTCAACTGGTGGAAATAGCAAATTACTTTCAATTCAGTTGCCAAGTGCTATTATTTCTGGTTGCTGACAACAGTATCCAGAAGAGCAATAAGAAGGTACTTGAGCAGTGCATTTCCACAAGTCCCATATCTGCCAAATCTTATAAGTCATACAAGCCATGTTAACCAGTTTATATATTGTAGTAATATAAAAGAAAAACTAGGTCAGATTGCCCTTAATAAAAAAAGAAAGAAACCCATACTAGATAAAGGTTATGTAAAAACACAAAACTTTCCTTCTCCTAGCTCAGGCCAAGAAAATAACAGATGTGGAGGAAATTTATTAATTTTATTCTAAATAATTACATTAATCATGAAAGAATTGTCTACCTGTGGCTTCCTCTCCATGAACAAACAACTCTGAATTCATTTGCAAGTGAAGGGTTTTTGTATATTGTAGAGTGCCATCAAAACAACAACAACAACAACAACAACAACAACCAGTAGTAATATTCCAGTGCAATCTACCAAGGTTTCATATATATTCAGGCAGCTTACATTATGGCCGGAATCCAGAGATACACCTCCACATACGGGGAGTCTATTTTCTTCATGTAGGCCCTGATGCAACTTGCATGAGGAAAATCAAGCCATATATACAGATTTTTTTCCATGTAAGCCCCTATAATTGAGCACATGTATTGTGCAACATCTTATATATATATATGTATGAAGACCTGTGCAAGTGGTAGCTTGAAAAGATTAGACAGATTCATGAAGAAACAGGCTATTGATGACTACTAGCCATGATGACTATGCTCAGCTTCCACAGTTGGAGGCAGCAGCTTCTCAATACAAGTTGCTGGAAACCAGAGGAGGGGAAGAGTGCTCTTTTTTTGCCCAAATCCTGCTGGTTTCCCACAGGCCTCTGTTGGGCCACTGTGAGAACAGGATGCTGGGTGAGATGGGCCATTGGTCTAATGCAGCAAGCTCTTCTTAGTTCTTATGTGTTTCTGGTGTTCTGGATTTTGGCCTATATTTTACATTTTACCTTTACAGTAGAAAGTGAAGATCAAAGGGTTGAAATCATGTTTAAGGAATAATTATTAGAAGGTTGCTTTTTGGCTTTATGTGTAAAGCATTGTGTTTCTTAATTTAACATACCGCATGCCATCATGTGATTACTTTATAAAGGTAGCTGTGTAAATAACATTACTTTAGAAAGTTTACATTTAATTGAATAAATAGAATTATGAATCCACTTAGTTACAGCATTTAGCTAAGTTAGCAAAAGTATTGATTCTCTTTTCTTTGGTATTTGCAGGACTTGGAGTTTGTGCTGGGTGTATGGACCAACCTGCGCAAATTAGAGCTGAATGGAAATCCTGTTTGCCAGAAACCAAAATATAAGGACAGAGTTATACAGCAATCAAAATCCCTTGGTAAAATAATGTACTTTCAGAGAGCACTTTTCTTTTACCAGAAATTAATCCATGCATTAACACACTTACCTGGGAAAAAGTCCCATGATGTACTCATTGGGGCTTACTTCTGAGTAGACATGTCTAGGATTGTGTTGCATACCATACAACAAATTTCCTGTGATTATGTAAGCTAAGTGGGTATAGGATTGTAGCCTTAGACTTCTATATAGGCCAACAGATGTTACTAGGTCACAAAAAAATTACTAGTTTGCCTGTCCCATATACCTATTAGTTGTTAGCAACCTTCAAAATACATTTTTAGTAGAAATAACCTGCCTAGACACCTGAGGCAATTCTTACTCTCCACAGGGGTCCAGGGAGAGGCCTATAACAAGCCACCACCCAATCCTGTGTACATTTACTCAGAATTATTGTTTAAATAAAACTCTTCTAAAAGTAAACAGTAACGATTCCAGGCAGACCTCCCATGACTGTTCCAAATCTTGGGTGCCACAGACAAAGAGGCCCTGTCTGAAATATCCAACTGAGAAATATCTGCTGTATTTCTTATGAAGAATGAAGCCTTCAAGCTCACATGGAGGAAAGCACACAGTCACCTGCCAGAATAGGTTGTGCTGATAGAACTACTACAGAAGCCCTTAGGATGCCACCCAGGATGCTGGCACAGCCACCCTCTTTCCCCGTGAAGCTTTCCTAGATTCTGCCAAAGAACTGGTAGAGCACCGGTGGTTGTTGTGCTACCCCACAGCAGGGCTCACATCACTGAAGCATGGAGATGAAATTTTCTCTTGTGCTAGGAATCTAGCACGTATACCATAGCAGGTGGAGATTAGGGAAACAAACTGGTGTTTCAGGTCTGGCATAACCATTGGTGGCGAAAGAACAATTCATACTGAGGCAAAAGTTTACCCATGATTGACTTCCTAAGAATACCAGAGCCACATCTAGGAAAGGATTGGGTAAGCCAGAGTTAATCAGCATTTTCTTGATACATGTTTACAAATATTACCCCTTCAGAGTCCCTCGATGGAAAAGAAATAAAAGAAATGGAAAGGCAATTCCTGATGAATTGGAAAGCCTCCAGAGATGCCAGGAAGAAAAACAGGACAGAAAGCATGATGAATGAACATGCACCATATTTACATTTTGGTACACAAACTTTATCTTCATGATAATTTACAAAATTAAGAAAATAGGCTGTTTAGAAGGAAAAGGTTATAATGCTTTTAAGGTTACTCCTGGGAGTGTTTAGTCTTTTGGTGAATGCTGTGGGGGGATTTTTCAACTGGCATGGCCAACACTTCTTCTGAAGCAGTTCTCAAAAGAATTGCTCCTAGAAGCTCTCTTCAACAGGGTAAAACCTAGATGGCTCCCTGGAATACTGAGGAACCTAAATTCAAGGAGCAAGAAGAGTGATGGCTAGATGAATCTGACCAAACGGTTACAAGCACATCTTTGTGTCTACTGTGTGGCAGTGGTTATGGGCTTACTTCTCTGCCAATATTACATCTTAAAGTAGCCATCCAGCAGAGCTTTCCTTTACGGTAAAGGGTTTTCTCAGATGAAGGAGGTTGTCCCATTAGTGGCCTGCTATGACAAATTTGCCAGGCACTTCAAAGGTAAAGTTACTCAGATCCATTCTAAATTGGATGCTAAGTTTGGTTGTCCTATAGAGCCTTCCAGAGGACTGACTGGTCCGCTGTTACGAATCAGTTTCAATTACTGCAACACAAGGACATGGACAAGCTGCTCTAATGTATGTAGCCAACCATGTGCCTTCTTCACTCTTACTCCTCCTGGCTGGCAAGAGCAAGCTGATAGGCAGCTTCAAGCATGCTCTGATGAAAGCAGCTAGACCCATTGCATTCTGACTTCATGCCAGGTTTAGTGACAGAAACTGCTTTGGTTGCCCTGGTCAGTGAAATTTGTCAAGAGAATAACTGGGAGAGTGTGGCCCTATTGATTCTCTTTGATTACTCAGTGGCAATGGTATACTGCACCCCCTGAGTTGGAAGCACTGCACTGCAGTGGTTTCATTCCTATCTCCAAGGACAGTTCCAGAGAACAGCATTGGATGACTTCTGCTTGACCTGTAGGGGTTGTCCTGTTGAGTTCTGTGGGCTTAAATCTTGTTGCAGATGCTATTTAATATCTATATAAAGCCACTGAGAATAGCCATCAGGGGATTTGGAGCAACTTGTCATCAGTATGTTGATGACACCCAACTCTGTCTCTCTGTTCCATCAGTACCAGAAGAGGCAATGCAGGCCCTGAACCAGTGTCTGTCTGAAGGCAGTAATGGGCTGGATGTGGATCAGTAAATTGAAGATGAATCCAGGCAAGCCACAGATACTGTGGGTGGGTAGTTCTCTTGCCCAGGAGTTGGCAGAACATGTACTTGATGGAGTTGCACTTGAACAACAAGGCGCATAGTTTGGGGGTGCTTTTGGAACAATCTGTGTCATTTACGACTAGGAGAGCTTATGCCCATTTTGGCTGGTATGCCAACTACAGCTATTTCTGGATGGGGACATTCCAGCCATGGTTATTATTGTAACCTCCAAACTGCACTCTATCTAGGACTGTCCTTGAAGGTGTTCCAGAAATTTTAACTAGTGCAGAATGCTGGTAAGGGGTAGCACACTGTGAGCATATTACTCCTATTTTAAAAGAGCTGCATCAGTTGCCAATTGTTTTCTGGGTCCAGATGAAGTTGCTTACTTTGACATGTAAAGCCTTAAGTGGCCTGGAACACAAATTTATGCAAGAATGCCTTTTGCTATACTGACATGCCCATGGTGTCTTCTTTGTAACTTCTAAATGGGATGAAATACATAGTGTGAGGACCTGCGGAAGGGCCTCTTCATTGGTGGCTCCTTGTGTGGAATTCCCTTCCCAGTTGGGCCATTAGTACAGATTGACTTTTTTTCGGAAAGCATTTGGAAGATGAAAGACCTGACTGGAAAAATAGCTTAGTTTGCTGCTGATAGTATTAGTAAATTGTTGTAATGCTATGTTATGTATTTGGGGGTTGTGTTATTTTATGCTTTGTTTTTACACTGTCTGATTTTGTTGCCCTTTGGCTTGTACGAAGTACAGTAGATAAATCTTCTAAAGAAATAAAGTATACTCACTCTTTTTGATAATCCAGTAAAATGATTGATGAATGGGTTATTTATCTTCTGTAGCAAATCTTCAAAATATTTTAAAGGAACAATTTTGAATTACATTTACCCAGTATTTTAAAAGTTTATGTACTTCTATTGTGTACAGTTGAGCAGTTATAGTATTGCTGCCTGTGTAAAAGTAGTTTTTTAAAAATAATCATCATTATTGTTTACCTATTTATGTCACTTTCCAGAGTCTTAGTTTGTAAAATGAGTAACAGAGCAAAGGCTTCTTTTTCACCATCAATTTTCTGCTACTTCCAATTTTTAACTGAAAATTCGGCTTGGATAATGTTCTCAGGCACTTTGACATAAAACATGCACATCAGTAATGTTTATAGTTTATTTTTGAAAAATGCTATACTTACATATATTATTCATGGTTCTGTTAAATTATATTTTCACTTTATCTAGTTATTATATATTTTGCAGGTGTAACCATGTCTTCATTGTTTTGGTTAATATTTCAGGGGGAAAGTTTTTGGAATAATTAATGTATGCATGTATTTGTACCCTGCAGATAATAATGACAAAGAACACCCACATTTTCCTATTTACTATTTCCCAATGACCAAAGAAAAACCAAATTTTGCAATTTTGTCTGAGATGCATAGACCTCCTTATAGTAAAGAATCCCATCGAACCGTCCATGAAGAAGACAGAGTTACTGAGAAAATCAGGTATGTTTCTTGTAGCACACCTTTGGAGTCCATCAGTGTATGAAACTTCTGCATAACTGAAAGTTCTGCATAGAGGAGGGGCTGGAAGTGCACTGTTTAGAGAGATGGGTTCACAGAGGTTAATCCACTAAAATTTATATTGACAAGAAAATGCATACTAATAAAGAGAGGGAGGTTCAGCTTCCTGTGTACAGCTGTAGCACACAGGGACTAATTAGTTGATATTTGAACAATTTTTGTTTTTGAAGTTCTTCCTTTTTTATTTCATATCTTTAGCAAAATTCTGATTTAGACTGATCACATTTTGTAACTGATAGGGCCAAACTATATATGTGTAACATTATTTCTGATGGTCCTTTTTAAATTGGAATGTCATTTTGGTAGTGTGTTGGGGGGGGATTTCCAGTCCATATTTGGAAGTTACTGGGGGCAAAAGCCCCTTATAGGGTGATTGGAGTGAAGAAACAGCACACATACAGTCTGCTACCACTTCTCTAATACTGTTTACTGTGAAAGCCTGGAAGGGAGGAGAGCTCAATTGATCCTTCTGCCAATCCACTCCTGAGTGGTACAAAATCACCACAATCCAATAATTCTGATATCCTATGCTGATAATTTGCTGATCTACATGGCAAACCGAATCAGTGCTGACTGTGCAGACTGTATATGCAGCTGATTCTAATGCATGTCTGTATTTTTTTCTCAACACAGCTAGTAGCAATGGGGGTGATTTTAAAAAAGTAATGGAGTATGAGGTTAAAACTTCCCAAAACCACTTCCTGGACCTAATGTAGACTTCTTGCACATGTATTTTTTAAAGTCAGGAGATCCTTGGCCTTAAAGCTGTTTGAGTTTTGTGCATCATATATAGGATGTGATCCAAAGATATCTGAGTGTACCAGTAAACTGTCAAACTATCATTGAACTCAAGGATTCTCCCTTTGTCCTTCGCTACTGAAAGTGCAAATCGTCTCTTGCAGTGAGAGGAAACCGGATGCTGGACTCAGCCTAGTCCTCACTTTTCCCCAGAAACTATCAAAGCTGACTGCACTGATTTCATGTTCAGCAATATGTGCACACTGCAGAAGACCACATGAGCATGGTTGAATTCTGAATGTGCCTTCCCTTGCCTGGCAGTAGCATTCTGAGCTCCTGTCAGGAGAAATCTCCCAGTGGAAACCTGTCTCCATAGCAGACCGCCCTAGCTGGGCTTTGCAGTTAGACAGAGAACAGACTCCTTTATCGGAATGATCTGGAAAACATTTGGATTGCCAGAATTAAGATAAATGGGGGAATTATTTATGTAAAATACAGAGTATACATCTGTGCAAAGAACACAAAAGAAATACAAATATCAGGCATTGGGTAACTGAAATTCAGATAATAAGTGTTCTGCATTTTCATCTGCATAGCACATATCTTTCTAGTCCTAACAAGGGTATATCAAGCAGTCATTAAGAATACATTTCCATACCCACAGTCTGGGAGTAAGTGTCATTGAACTTGAGGTTTTGTTTTCTGAGTAGACATGCCACAAGATTGTGCTGTACCCTCAAATTAATATTTTTTACTTATCTCATAGAAACCAATGATAATACTGCAGTCATTGTATGTTCTAGTGGTATTACAGTTTGCATTGTGTAGGGATTTTTTAGATTTAACATTTAGGCTGCAATCCTGTGCATACTTACTGTGCATTGATCTCCATTGAACAAAATTGTATTGATTTCTGAGTAAACATACATAGGATTGTACCATTGAACATATATACTGTACTGGGGACTATACTGTTTATTTAACATCTACAAAAAGCCGTTAGGAGCGAACCTCAGGATATTTAGAATGTGGTGTCAGCAATATGCTGATGCTATCCAGCTCTATTTCTTTGTTACAGTTGAATCAGATGTGGCTGTACAGGTTCTGAACCTGTGTCTGGATGTAATAATGAGAGCAAGTAATTTGAAATTGAATCCTGACAGGATGGAGGTGGGTGGGTGGTTCCAGGGTCCAGCAGTTGGGTGATGTGACTGTTCTGGATGGGGTTGCTCTCCCTTCTAAAGAAGGAAGCACACACTTAGGGAGTGTAGCTTGATTCATTTCTGTCTCTGGAATCCCAAGTGGCTACGATGGCTAGGACTAGGAGTACCATATATCAGCATTTCTGTACCTATTTCTGGACCCAAATAACCTGGCCACTGTGACCATGCATTGGTAACATCAAGAATAGACTACTGTAATAATGCACTCTGTGTAGAGCTTTCCTTAAGCTTGGTCTGTAAGCTGCAGAATGCTGCTACTATGTTACTCTGCGGAGTGTCCAATTACCATATTTTCCTGTGTATAAGACTAGGTTTTCCCCCTAAAAAATATTATGAAAAATTAGGGGGCGTCTTATACATGGGGCCATCTGCCGCCCCCCCCCCATTTTCTTAAATCTGAGTCCTCCCAAATAGAGGCGTCTTATACATCGGGGCGTCTTATAGACGGAAAAATACAGTATATGTGTATATTGCGCTACTTCTAAGGGAGCTGCACTGGCTGCCAATAAGCTACCAGGCCAGGTTATAGGTTTTGGTTTTTGCCTATAAGGCCTAGATGTCTTGGGGCTAGAAAACCTAGAGGAGCATCTTTCCCCTTACTGCTCTGTTCATGCATTTTATTCGGCCGAGGGGGCCCTCTTAGTTATACCACAGTCTTGGTGAGCAAAAACTAAGGAGAGAGCCTTCTTTGCAGCAGTCCTCTTTTTATGGAACTACCTCCCCTCTGACAAGCACCAACACTGATGATATTTTGGTGCTTGTTAAAAACACAACTGTACTCAGGCTTTTTCTCACATTTAATGCGGAGGAGTCAGATAGTGATTCCCTTAGGGTTACCTGCTACAATCATATTCATTTCATTATGATCTTGCTGTTTGAACAATTTCATTGTGATTTGTGTTTTATACTTGTGCACACCAGCTCAAGGCTGATTGTAATAGGTAGTAGCTAAAATATTTTTATAAATAAATATATCCATTTATAGTGCACTTCTATACATTATCTGTTTAGAAGAATGTGGGTATAGGATTGCAGCCTTAATGTACTGCCAGAAATAAATGTCTGTCGTACATGGTCTGGTCAAGTTACACACTGAACACTTATGCAGAATTTAACAGAAGCTTAAGCATAGAATATAAACACATCTATGGAGGCAAATGGCATTAAACTGTTATTGTATCCAGAATTATTTTCATCTTTAAAATAATTGCTTTACAATGTTTTGTTCATGTAGCCATTCATCCCTGAAGAATCCTCAAAATGTACAGAAAAACCTGTCTGAACCTCACCTCCTAAGACAAATGCCTCTTTAAGAAGATACTGGAAAAGCAACATCTTTTTGTGTTATCAAGAGAACAAATGAGTCCATCAAACCAACTATGAAGAAAAACTGAATGTTGTGGAGAAAGTTTTATATTTTAATCAGAAAACACTAAGGCATGTTTTAAGTTTTTCATTGCCGACACAGTCATTTTTCATAATACAAAAGCAGTATTTTGTATAACAGATCCAATATATGTAACTTCATAAATAAAAAGTTTAAAGTAAAGTACACAGATGTCTTAATAAGAAAAGGTGCATGGGGAAATCCCAAGGTTTGCAGAAAAAGCTTAAAGCAGAATAAAAACTTACAGCAGAAAAAAGACCCTATCAAAACAGGCCAATGAGGACTCAATATGCTCAGTTGGATTGGACCGGTGACTGTTGAGGATGAAAAATGGCAGAAAGATAGATGGAGTATTTTGACAAAGGGTGTGGAGCTATCCTGACTATCATAAGGAATCAACACTGCAACATTTGTTTGAAGTCCCCACACGTATGCACTATTTGCTTTTTGTATGTTGCTTTTTGTATGTTGGTAAATGTTTTTATTTAAAGTATCACACTTTCATAGAAGCCTGTGTACAACATAAAACCAATAATATAATAACATCAATACATACATTAAAAATTTACAGTTCAAAGGCCTGCTTGAAAAATAGTTTTCAAAAGGTGTCTAAAAGAAGACAAAGATGACTCGTGCTGGGCTGCTACAGGCAGGGCCTGCCACATTAAATGCTCAGTCCCTGGCAAAGGCTGACCAAACCTTGGGTCTCAACCAACAAAACTGCCCCATCAGAAGACCATCAGAAGATGCTCTACTGAGGTAGAGCATAAGAAAATAGTATTGGCCCCACGTAGTTTAGGGCTTTGGCTTAACAAAAGAACCTTAAACCCGGCATGGTAGCAAATTGGCAACCAGTGCAGTTTTCTCAGCAAAGGAGCAATATATTGCTAGTAACCTGTTCCTGTAAGCAGTCTGGCCTCTGCATTCTGCACTAGTTGCAACTTCTGGTCCAGATAACACAATCAAACCAACAAAGTTTGCTACAGTGATTCTTGAGGTTAGCCATGCATGGACTACTGTAGTCAGACTTTCTTGGTCCAGGGATAGTTGCAGCTGGTGTACCCGCCAATGCTGGTAAAAGCCACACAGGTCACTTGTGCCTCTCATGACAAAGATGAATCAACAAGTGCTCCTAGCTTGCAAACCCGCTCCTTCAAAGGGAGCGAACCCCATCTAGAACAGATTGGGCATAATGGAGAAATTGAGTTGGGTATCATCTGCCTACAAATGGCACCGTGCTCCAAAACTCCTAGTAACTACCCTCAATGGCTTCATATAGCATTGGGGAGAGCACTCCATTGCATTAGCTGGGTTTAAGAGCACTCCCCAGCTCTACTCTCTGGACATGATGGGGCCACCGATACACATCTCCAGAAGTCCATGGACCTACACCATTAGAGTGATTGTTCTGACAACAATTCCAAAGTCTGTTGTCATTTCATGCAACACACAAGAACCAAATTAGTAGCATCGTGTGTACACAGTACCTGCTCTCCTGCTAGCTGTAGTCCCTTGGGCTCTCTCTTTTTAATCAATATTCTGTACTCATAATTTTGAACATCATTTGATTTGCTTTAATTTGCAAAATAAGTGATCTATTTGTGTCATCATAGGTTGATTCACAGTTGAGGGCCAAACTAGGTGAGATGCTGGAGACCTTGGCTGGAGGAAAAGAGACTTAATTCTTGCCCTCTAGGCTGTTATTCTGGGGGGAAATGCCTCCCTGGTTTTTTTCATCCAAATGGCAAAAGAACAGGACCCTATGGTTGTGGAAACAACTGGGAGCATGACTTGATTAGAGAAATGGCCTGCAAGGAAATATTTAAGCATCCTTAGTACTTCATGGCTGCATTTAAAATGAAAGGGGGGGGAATCAAGGGACTGTTTATGCATCTCTCCTATATTGTCTTATTTGGCCCTCATTTAAATTAATCTGCTTGGAATTTAAGATGATTTACATCACAGTCCTCAACACACTTATTTGGAAACATGTTCCAGTGATTTCAGAAGAACTTAATGCCAAGTAAATGTGTTTAGGAAAGGGTGCCAGTTGGCTTAAATTATTGTACTTCAGTTTAACTGGGATTATAAATGAATAAAAGCCAAAATTCCCAAAGGAAGCATTGTTCATCCTGAAAGAATTTTAGCTGCAGACCCAAATACTTCATCTGAGTAATCCCATGGAAATCAGTGGGACTACTCTAGAAGCAAGCAGCATAAATTCTTGCTGCTTTTCTGTTTTGCAGTATCCTGCATCTTATACCATCTGTCCTTTAAATTAACTTTTCCCTAGACTCCACTTCCTAATTACAATTAATACCAAATATTTTAATTTTCTTGGCTACATAAAGGGCAACAAATAAATCAGGCTTTATTTTTCTGTCTTGCTGGGTCAAAGATTTGATTTATTGTGTCTATGTTATCACACAATCAAAATTTCATTCCCAGTGTTTGTTTGGGAAAATTCTACACCCTGCCTATTTATTTTGAATGTCTCTTCTCATTAATGTTGCTGAAGTGTAATTTCCAGCCTCCAAATATCACTTTTTATTGTTCAGAGTCCCATAAATATATGGTTGTGTGTGTTTTATATATATTCACATACATAAAACACTACCAACAAAGTTCCATTGAATTCAGTTTGGCTTACTTCAATGAGATATAGGATTACAGTCTGAATGTGTTTAGGGACAGATTTCAAATCAAGTCAAACAACGCTGTCCTGGATTTTTGCGTTCCCATTTTTCCAGCGGAAAATTTGGTGAGGATTTTTAGATTATTTTTTTCTCCAAGGGAGAACAACTAACTTGGAGTTGGGGGTATTTCCAAAATGATGCAAGGATTAAATGGTGCGGTATCACAGTTAAAATTATTGGAGAGAACAAAGCAATGAGTTGTCCTTTCTTCCCAGACAGAATATTTTGGGCTTCAGCAGTGCAGGTGGTTGTTTTTAAATTTCCTGTTAGTTTTGACTGAGACATTGTCACCATTGTGCAATTACTAAATTGTGTGTGTGTGGATGGGGGAGGGTGTCAATAAAATAAATGTTTAAAATTATATGCTTAGAGTGTGGTAATGGTGCATACACAGAATTCTATCTCTTGTCCTGAAATCTGGATTTGTCATATGGAGTTAGGCCAGGTGGAAGCAACCAGATATCAAAATCTGGAATAATAATGGGACCATCTCTAAATATGTGTATATATTCAAATTGCTTTAGTTGTAAAAACTAATATTGGCCATCTCAGTGTCCATCCCACTAACGAAGTAAGTCTGTGTACTTTTATAATATTATTGGATATCAAGCGGGTTTCAGAAATCTACTCCAGGCATGACTAGGGACTTGGGCAGACTTTTACTCCCTTCTTTCATTGTAAAGCAAGCCCATATGCTGTATTACAAATAGATTTAAAATTTTAAATGTGATTTGCCCCACAGTGTGCTTCTGTGGGGATGCCAAAGGCACATAGAATTAGTACTGTCATTACTAGAGCATGGCCCACAGTCTTCATATTCTGTGGTATTGCGCTCCACACACACTTGCCCCAAACATATGGAAAATCTGTTATACAACAGTCTCCCTAATAAGGACTATAGCTGAATGTATGGAAAACCCAACAGATTCTCCTATTTTTGTATTCCTACCTGCACAAAAACTTCTCAAATGGGTGCTGGGGTGGGGAATGGTGTTTTGGGAGAAATGGTTTTAATTGAAAAGATCCAGTTTTGCCCCTTCTCTCCCTGCAAGGGGATTTTACCCCACCTCCTCATACCTGTACCCCACACCATCCCCAAATCTGCCCTGGAGGGTTTCAGGCATGCCCAGTACAGATTTAGGGGGCATGTATGGGGAGGAAAGGCGAGGACATTCCATTGTGCAAGAAGAAATCCTACACTGACTACAACCCAAAATGAAAAGCTGTTTAAAGCACTCGTGATGTTTGGTGGATATCATATAGCAAATTACTACCTACACACAAACATGCACATGGGACAGCTATTTAGCTGTACCATGACGGTAAGATTTTGGGTCAGAATTCCAGGGCCCCAGTCTTCCTAGATTTTGAAGCAAGAGGAGGCCCCTGAAAGACCATTAAGTTTTGGAGCCTAAAAATGACCAAACTGCACCACTGCAGCTAACTACAAATGATAAAACTATAAAATTAAAATTACCTTAATGCTGGCTATTTTAATGTGATGCTTTTCTCTACATGGCAACTTAGAAGAGTTGCTATCTTATTTATCTAGGCTTAAAATATCATTGTTTATTAATTGTGGGAAAGGTTATTGGAAAATATGAAGAGCCGTGACTTTCTACTCTTTGGCAAAGGTCAATACTGGCAAATTCTGAAAAAGAATAATGGGAGTAAAAGAAAATAAAAAAGGAACTTATGAAAAGATTGTTTAACCTCCGAGCCCAACGTTTAAATTACTCCCCTCGAGCAAAACGGTTACTTTATCCTAACCCAAACAATTTTCATAAAGAACAATTTCAACGTTTGTACCTAGAGAATATAGGCATTGCTTTCAATCGTGCAAACGCCTCCCAGGCTTCTAATGGAAAGATGATTAATTCACAGAGCTTGCAACTATTTCCTTGAGGAGAGTGAGATAAGGTACCGGCTAATGGTTTGTTGAGAGCGTCCATTCGCATCTTGTGGTCCGTGGCTTGGAAACTTGGCTCAGGGCCAGCTTTGGGTTTTATTCTGAAACAATCCTTTGGATTTCATATCAAAGCAGCTTGTCCCCAGCCCTAATTTAAAGCTAGGAGTTAGAGGGAAAGGTGAGAGCAGGGTAAATAAAAATCTCCAAAGAATTTAATCGCCAGCTAATTTAATACAGAAAAGTGTGTTTAATCAGTCGGGCAGCCATCCTGAGCTCTATTTATATTTATATCTTGTTTCCACATAAAGAACACAAACCAGTGAAACTCAAGGACTTCAAAACCCCACTGATTTCAATAGGAGAGATTTAAGTGTAAAATCGGCTCTCCCATTGAAATTAATGAGACTTAAAAGCCCTCAATTCAGATTTTAATAACTGACTTAAACTGACTCTGTTGATGCTCAGTCAAGTGTTTAGCAGTTTTGCTCTGATGATTCAACATATATTCAGCAATTCTGTTGGAAGCGTACTCCAGTTCAGTATCCCAGTTCTCAAGAAGTGTTTTCTGCTCTGATTCGCCAACTACAACTTCTTTCAGAGATGATTTGGCCACCACAATGTGCACTATGGTAATCTCCAGACTAGATTGCTATAATGTGCCCTACCTGCGACTTCTCTTAAAGAAGATTAAGAAACCTTAACTGGTCCCAAATGCAGTGATCAGGTTACCAACTAAGGTTCTATTTAGATAGCCAACTAATATTTACTCAGAGTAGACCCACTGAAATCAATGGTCCTGAGCAGTGCCATTTTTCTAGGAAAAAAGAGGTGCCAGAACTCAACATGAATGCCTCCCTTGTTCTATTATAATGGCAGTGGTGCCCACCTGAGAGGTGCCGAAACTGAGTGGTATATAGATTTTGTAATAAAATGGGGTATTAATTTCTGCCCCAGTGCCTAATCAATCTGAACTTTCTTCCTGCTACAACTGTCTCATCCACACTGTGAAATCCTACAGCACTGCCAGGCTTTGTCTTTTGCTTTCTACTTTGGTTATTGCTAGTGCATAGGATAAATTAGGAAGCACCATTGTGTGCCACTGAATATAGGACTGGACCGCTAGGTTTTGACCCATAAAGGCTGTGATCATAATCAATTAAGTTCTAGGTGTCTCACTTGCAAGAAAATGAGTTGAGTGCTAATCCTGCTGATTACTACAGGGCAGGCACGCTCAGATCACTGCATGCATTGCTTTAAAAGAGAATTAGACAAACTCATGAAGGATAAGGCTATCAATTGCTACTATCCACAATGGCTATGCACTTTCTCCACTGTCAAATGCAATGTTCCTCTGAATACCAGTTGCTGAGTTGCAATAGTGCTGTGTTTGTGCTCATGTTTTGCTTGTGGTGTTTCCTCTGGCTGGCCAGTTTGAGAACAGGAAGCTGAACTAGATGAGCCACTCCTCTCATCCAGGGCAGATTGCCTCATGTTCTTTTGCCTGACAGCATTAACAGTTTGTACGCTAAACTTCTAACTTTGCAGAACACTGACAGTGGGCATGTTGTGCATGTTTTAAAATCAAATAGCCATCCAGAGCTTGAGGAACTAATACTTTCATCTCTCATCTGCGGGGGGAGATGCAAGCAGAGGCCTAATGGACGTAGTCAGGCCTTTCGTTAGGGTGGCAGGCCTTTTGTTGGTGGGGGCAGAACCTCAGTTAGCTATGTATTTTTATTGATTTTGGGGGCAGCTGTCCCTCCCTGCCCCCCCACTACACCCATGTTAATGCCCACCCCGTTAGGGCAGGGAGAATAATTAGGAGACCTCCATATTTTCTCTGGCTCACGCAACAGTTTGATTCACCACCCCCTTCTTCAAATAACTCGGTTGGGCCCTGTGTCGGATTTACGTATAAGCTAAACAAGCTATAGTTTAGGGCCCCACTCTCTTGGGAGGACCCCAAAAAAATTAAAGGAAAAAACCTGGATGTACATTTCCAAAATATAAAATAAAAAACAAATAAAATAAAACCTACATACAGCAACAGTGTTTTGTATTGTGTAGGCTCCTATGGTGTAAGTAACAGGCCCCACCTGCTCCCTAAAATATCACTGGTTTGCTCATTTATATATATAGGATGCCTACATTCTGCATGTGCAAATGGCTTTTGATACCTATTAGGTCTATAAATTACCATATATTCAACACAAGAAACAGTGACAATTTGTTGTTGACAAAGGACAGCTGGACGCATAAAGGGCCCCATTACCTTCAGTAGTTTAGGGCCTCATCAAACCTAAATCCGGCCCTAGTTGGGCCCCTGAACAAAACGCCAGGCGTAACTGACAAAAATCAGAGGTGCCCTCGCCTCAAACCTGCCTGGCTGAAACCCTGCCAGAGACCCAGACCTGGTTCTACTCACTAGATGAGCACCGCACTCTGCCCATGCCCATGCGCCCTCTTCTCCTCATCAGGAGCTGGCGTCAGACCAAACCTTGAAGATGGATGCCAGGCAGGACCATGTGTCCTAAGAAACTCCTGTGGCTCAGATGAGAGCTGCGTCTGCTCAGCGGGAGGAGAGACCGGGTGGAGGAGGAGGAAGGTGAGGCCGCTGCTTTGCCGCTAGGCAGCAGCCCCGCTCTCGGTCGGAAGGCGCCTCGGCCCCCTGCAGGGGAAAGAGGTCGAGCTCGCCAGGAAGGACAGGGGGCGATGCGAGAGGAGGAGGAGCAGCAGCAGCAGGAGGCGGAGGAGCCCCTCGGAAGTCTATAAGAGAGACGCGCTTCTCCACTCCCAGCCTGGACTACATCGCTACTGGCCGGCCAGGCGCCTCTCTGCCCCGGGTGCTCACCCCAGAAGACTAAGTAAGTGCTTTCCTGGGTAACTTTCTGCTCTCTCTTTCTCAGTAGCGGACAAGTGTGCTGTTTTGTTATATTTCCTCTGGTTCTGTATTTGCGTGCAGTCTCATTTATTGTTAGAACCCAATCATTGGGAAATCAAGCCCGAAACGGTTTCCCCCACAAGTGCTGCTTTAGAGATGCATCTTGGTGGTCTGTCTGCCTTTTGAACATGTTCTCTTGGAAGTTGCCTCAGTAGCTTCCCTGGGAATAAAAGTTACCCTGCAAATCGAGAGAAGCGGGCTCGCTCAGCTTTGGCGAACTCCACAGGCTCAACAACAAGCAGGTAATTTTAAATTAGATTGGCTAGCTCTCCCTAATCATCTTGCCATTATACTCAGGAGGGATTGAAAGTGATATTTGTTTCCTTGCAGGATTGTGAGCGAAGTCTCCCCGCTATTGATTCGTGTCGGGAGTTATTCTAGGCTCAACTGAAGAAAGGTGCGAATTTGTGGGCTTTCGGAATAGGGAATATCTCGATCTCTTAGAAGCTCCTGGCTTTTCGGATGCGAAATCAGTCAGCGACTGCTTGTTTCCAGCTGCTGTTTTTTCAGTGCCGGAAAGTCAAAATGTGTAGCTGTAAGAAAGCAATTTGAGTTACAGATGTGGTGTATAAGAACGAATACTTTTCGATGTTCCAACATCGTTTGAATAAAAACAGTATATATATATATATATATATATGGAATGTATTACAGAACTTTTCATCCCGATCTTAAAAATAGAAATTATTTGTGTGTATTGAGGATCAAGCTATACATCAGCCGCAAATTGACCTCAAGCCTCAAGAAAGTGAGTGTGAGGAAAGGCATATTTGCATCTGGCTGCCCATTAAAGTAGTGAAAATCACACTGATGCTTGGGGAAATTGTTGTACCTAGAACGTTGAATGGGAAATTCTGCACTACTTTTTCTTCCCTTGTAGTCCTATAAACATCTGCTCATAAGTAGCAGGAATTTAGTTCAACGGGGCATGCTCCTAAGTAAACAATGCTGCATACTAGCTTTATCCTTTTAGGTTTAATTTTTGTAATAAAAACCGTTGGGCGGCAATGCTAAATTTAGTGCTTTCTTGGCTGTAAGCCTCATTCAAATCAAGAAGACTTCCAAATAAGAAAAAAAGAAAATTTTGGATTGGATTTATTTGCTAATAAGTCATACTGATTTTCCCCTACTCTGTGTTCAAATAAATGTTAAGAATGGGAAGGTGGCAGTAATACTGTTCATTACTCCCTAAACATCTCTGTTCATTTCTCCCAGTTAACTGATGTTACAGCCAAAGTGGTGTCTGAAGAGATCCTAAAAGCCCAATAAGGCACTACCTAGAATCCTTCTGTATCATCAAACATTTTTCAAATCCCTCAAGTGTAAAAGAGTTGTAAGTTGTTCACTTACAATGTATTTGTTGGATGCTAACTAATATAATTTGCTTGTTGGAATGCTGGACCAGGAAAGGAAATGTACACATTCTATAGCAGTTCAATGGGCACTGAATATTTACTGAGCATTTAGGCAAATTAATTATAAAAAACAACTATTGACAAAACAAATCAAAAGCAAAGGAGCTAAAACCTGAAAGGGACAATATTGGGGGCATACTAAAACAAATGACAGGCAATTAAAATGCATTGATTCCTTCCAAATTGGTTATAGGAATACACTTAATTTTGGAATTCCACCACTGGAAGTTTGGGGACCATCTTGACTGGTTTTCACTCTTGACTACTTGCAAGTCTATCTTTAAGATCTTGTTAAAAAGATACTGATGCAGATTTGCACTAAGGAAAATAAATGCATATAGGTTATAAACTGCAGGTGACACATGATGCACTAAATATCCCATGTAGATTTTGATCAGTTATTTCCCTACATGTGTATAAATAATGTTTACGGGAGTTTCTGTGCCTCTTTTAGAAGCGATTTTTCTCTGCTACTGTAAGAGGAAAACTGTCACCACAGAAACTGCAAATTAGTCTGTGCTTGTAAATTTTTCTGTGTGAACAGGAACACAGGAAACTGCCTGAAACCAAGTCAGACCATTGGTCTACCTAACTCAGCATTTTCTACCCTGACAGGCAATAGCATTCCATGGTTTCAGACCACAGACATTCCCAGCCCTACCTGGAGATGTCAGGGAGTAAACCTGGGATCCTCTGCATGGAAAGCATTTTGGCAGACACAACATTAAAATTACACACTACTACATTTTAGACATTCCCTGCAGTGTATGTTTCCTATTTCCTTTTGCATTCTGTCCCTTAGATTGTAAGCCTGATGGCAGGGGCTGTGTTGGTTTTTGATACCTTGTTCATCTCCTTGAAAACATTAGGCACTAAATGTTAAATAATAATAATAATAATCAGTAGTTTTGTTGTTTTTGACTACAGTCTGCTGCAATGACAGCATTCAGTTTAAAAAAAAAACTTAACAATTGCAACAGTACATAAATAAGAATCAGACGCATTCATAACCCTAAGTTTTTGCAAAATACTTGAATGGAATAGGGAAGGATTCTGAAACTAGGGGAAACCTTTGAGATGGAAATACAGTTCTTCCAGTGGTCCCGATCCTGTTCTCACCATAGGCATAGAATGTGTGTTAGGCTCGTTTCCCCCTCCATTCATTTTTCCACTTGAAGTCCCTTCACTATGTCCCCTTGATGAGTTGCTGTTAAACCCCTGCAGAAACACCCTTCCACCGCAATCACACACTATATACAATGAAGTGCAAGGCTGAGCATCAAAGTAAATTTTTGCCTGGGAAACCAGAACAGCTTGATTCAGCCCTGTTAAGGACTGGGTTTCCTTCTGCAAACTGGTCCCTGGGTTTGCTACTATTCCAACTAGATAGATAGTTCTAATTTATAAGACTCCTAGAAATATACTAGATTTAATAAATACATAATATATACATGTACAAGGAGCACAATCTCCTCAAACTCATTGCCAATGAAATCTGTGGGACTGAAGTATACAGCTGATCTGTAGTCCCTCTGATTTCTGTATTAATTTATGCTTGCTGATTGTCTGTACTTGCAGACAACTGTATATATAATCAAAAGAGCTAATCGGAAGCACAAAACTGTTCATCCTCCCCTTTGTATCTTGGCCTCTTGCATACATACTTCAAAAAGCAACTCCTGCGCGTCAGAAGACCTTCCAGACCTTCTTGCAATGCAAAGCTTTGTGGAAGGAAATGAAAATGGGCAAAAGCTTCAGCATTTGCACAAAAGCATTTTAGGTATGTGCCTAGAAGTCTTTGGATGTGGGCCAGTGTATATGCAAACACATATATATAGATATTCCAGGTATTTCTATGACTGTACACACTGGCCATGACTGAAAGAACCACACACCTAATTTTGAGTACCCTAGTGGTACGGTATGCACCCAAATGGCAAGGTGCTGTTTACAGAAGGGGGAAAATCCAGTGGATCTCATTCACAGATGCAAACCATTGTTACGATCATCTGCTCTTTTATCCTGACAAAAACACATTAAAAGGTCCCCGGAAGCTGTCTGCGGACAAACGCCAGCTCCCTCGGCCTATAGAGCAAGATGAGCGTGCAACCCCAGAGTTGTCCACAACTGGACCTAATGGTCAGGGGTACCTTTACCTTTTTAATTTGTAAATTAGTGTACATGTAAATTGGAAATGACAAGAAACCATCTCTTTTCAGTTTGTTTACTGCAACATATATTCAGTAAAAGCACTTTATTTTAAGGGTCCTGAATTGCAATCCTTCTCAATCAGAATTTTCAAGCAGTATTTCATGTTACATAACATCATCTGAACACTCATTTATGCAATCAAAAAAGTAACTTTATTGTTACCAATGATTTCCAAAGTGGTGATATTTCAGTTACATTGAATAAAAACAATTTCTCTTCAAAGTTATAGAGGTCATTCCAATCAAAACCTTGCCGAATAGAATTTATTGCCATTCATTATTTAATTACCAGAATCTTTTGTGAAACAATACAAAACAAAATACTTAGGGAACAATCCACCCCCAGCGTCCACCAGCCCAGAGGAAATAGGGTGTTGCTCTTTCTGTCAAATGTTTATATTTTAAAAGGAAAGAGAAGATTGAACTAAAGTTTAATTTCTACTGGAATGTTAAAAAAGAAAGAATGAATATTTAACCTCTCGAAGAAGTGTATTTTTTTTTTTTATTCTAAAAGGACAGCCCATTTATTAACCACGTAGTAGAGTCAGATTCTGTGTAATTTGATTTTTCACACTTAATATAATAAGATATTATTTACAGAATGCAGAATTGGGCTCTAGACATATTCACTAGAAGTTTTAGGGTGGTTTATTAAGGAGAAATCCATCTGTTGAGCAAATACAATATAAGCTATGTGATGCTGTCCCCACCATTAGCAGAGTGAGGAAACTATCTCAGATTTGGGGTGTTATGAAAGGGCAGAAAATTCTGAGTTATTTAATATTTTTATTGTATTTTAATTACTTACAAGGAGAGGCACATGTGTTACTTTCTTCCTTGGGAGTTGGGTGCCAAAATAACTTGTCCAGCCTTTGTCATTACACAATTTGACTTGGAGAAGAGTACTATGTGCTGTTCAGCTCAGTCAACAAAACATCTGCCATTTCTGTAGATAACTTTATTGGGCACCCTTAATGTTTAAGGTCACAGTATGTTGGTGCAAAAGCAGAAATTAATTCATTGAGCGAGATCACTGTTCAGAGAACGCAATTCTAAGCATGTGAGTAAATTCTAAACTTGTAAGTTGACTGGTGTTCGTCCTAAACGTATACTTTTAAAGTTACCTGCTTCTGATTGCCTCCTATTTTATTGCTCTCAGGTCAGCCACTATTTTCTGAAAGTCTTTTAGAACTGTCTGAACTCTGTACATGACCACAGTTCTTGGCTATGCATAGCTCCATAAGGTTCTGCTGATCTGCAAACTCTAATACAGATGATTTGTTTAGCCTGGTTCACCCAAACCTGTGACATAGTGAGGGTGGGGGCACAGGAGCAGTTGCCGCAAAATTGTTAGGCACACAAAATTTCAACACCCCCTGCTGCCTCAATACAGCTGAGCACTTCCGGCACTGGGCTCCGTTGAAAATGGCTTCTCCATGCAAACCAGGAATTGACCTCTCCATACAATAGAATAACTCTTCTTATCTTTGCGGCTGCAATCTCTTGGGTGATGTGAATGCCATTAGGCAGTTGAATGTGCATGCATACTCATACCCTCCAACATTTCTCCGGTGAAAATAGGGACATCCCATTCCATAATGATAATTTTACTATTTATATTCCACGCATCTTATTGGGTTGTCCCAGCACTCTTGGCAGCTTCCAACATATATAAAAACATAATAAAACATGAAACATTTAAAAAATCTCTATACAGGATTGCCTTCAGATGGCTCAGGGATTGAATAACTCTATACCCTCCAACATTTCTACAGTGAAAATAGGGACATCCTAAGGAAAAGTGGGACATTCTGGAATCAAATCAGAAATTGGGACGACTTCTCTAAATCAGGGATGTCCCTGGAAATAGAGATACTTGGAGGGTCAGCATACACCATCCGTTTCCCTCCCACCCACGCTTCCTCCACATGGCCCTGGGTGCTGCCAACCCATGCTACACCACTGCCTAAAACTAGTGGCCAACCATGCAGATTGTACTCAAGAGTTACAAAATCAGTTCTATACTGATTTAATGAACTGTCTGTTATGAGCTGTGTTCCCTGAAAACACAGTGATAAAAGCGAAAAACAAATTGTACGTCCAAAGTGTTGCCGTAATACTAAAAAAAAATATCAGGTCAGAATGTAATGATAACATTAAAAATGCGTAACTATGATCATCCTCTGAAGTACTTGGAAATAAGTGTTGTTGTTGGCTGCAGGTTCATCTCCACCAATGGACTATAGAAATGTATCGGAGAACTGCAAGGAGCTCACTGTGCCCTGCTCTAACTCCAGCTCTCTGCCAGCCAGTGTGTCTGGCACAGATTCTTCAGCTGGTCAACGAACTGCAATAGCCTTGGGGAGGCCAGCAGCTGCAAACGCCGCCCGAGAGCGCAGCCGAGTGCAGACTCTGCGCCATGCTTTTCTGGAGCTGCAGAGAACCCTGCCCTCTGTGCCACCTGACACCAAGCTCTCCAAGTTGGACGTGCTGCTCCTGGCCACTACCTACATTGCTCACCTTACCCGCAGCTTGCAGGATGAAGAAGAGTTGCCCGGAGAGGGCTTGGGCACGCTGAGAGGGGATGGCTATCTGCATCCAGTTAAGGTAAGACATGCAAAAAAAGGTGGTTTTCTTTTACTAGGCCGAATCAAGGAAGAGTATGAAAGCTTTTGTTATTTGTTATTAAATTGGTCATTGCTTTATCTTGCCCAGGGCAACCCAAATCAGCTTACAACCAACCAGACAGACAGACAGACAAAAAGCACCACATGCATCCATTAAAACCAAGAGAAAATTGAAATGCATTAAAAACATCCTGCCCACTTCTGAAAGGCCACAGATGGTTAAAGGCCAACGGCCTGGTTATAAAGGAAAGTTTTTGCTTGACACAAGATGTATAATGATGGTGCCAGGCAAGCCTCCTTGGGGGAGAGCCTTCCACAAATGGGGAGCTACCACAGAAAAGGCCCATTCTCATGTTGCCACCCTCTGGATGCTTTTTTAGGGGCACACAAAGAAGGGCCTCAGATGACGATTGCAGGGTCCAGGTCGATTCATATGGGAAGAGGCAGTCTTTGAGGTATTGCAGTCCTGCACCATTTAATACTTTTAAGTAAAAATCAGCACTTTGAATTGGGCTCAGAAACTAATTGGCAGCCAGCGCAGTCAGGCCAGGATTGGCGTTTTCTTGCCCCAGTGAGCAACCTGGCCGCTGAATTCTGCACCAACTGAAGTTTCCAGACTGACTTCAGAGGCAGCCCTATACAGAAGACACTGCAGTAATCTAACCTAGAGGTTATCAAAGCATAGATGATAGAAGTTAGGATATCCCTGCCCAGAGAGTGATGCAGCTGGGCCACCAGCCAAGCTGCTGCAAGGCACTCAGCACCACCAAGGCCACCTGAGCCTCAAGCAACAGAAATGGATACAGACGTCCTAAGCTGCGTGGCTGCTCCTTCATAGGGTTTCCATATTTCAAGCAGACAGAAATGTTGTTGAGCTTTTTTTACCACCACCCCCCAAAAACAAAAATTGGGGGCAAAATTGCAAAAAAGCCATTTTTGAGCTATTTGTATGGAAAAATGGCAAAAGCAGCACTGCCAACATGGGCTGCCATATGCGCAAATTTTCCAGGACATTTGTCCGGTTTCCCCCCAGACATTTGTCCAGTTTCCACCCGGACACTGCTGCCAACAGCAATATTCCGGATATGGGAAAATCCAGACGTATGGCAACTCCTGCAGATGTAAAGGAGAAGTAGAACTCTTTGTCAGATAGAACTGAAAGAAGTCATATTTTTAGTTCAATGGAATCAAGAAAATGCCTCCCATTTACTTTGCGTTAAAGCAGTGCTTGCTCCTCCTGGCTACTGGCTCTTTAATTAGTAATTTCCTGAACTGGTTCCCTCTTGGCTTAGTTCAGGAAACTGCTAATTTAAAGGGTTGGTAATCAGGAAAAACAGGCAAACTATTACTGTAAGCAGCCCTTCACTTATTTGTTTCCTGTACTCATTCTATTCACTAGTGGTATTAAATTGGCCCTTGCTCATTAAAAAATACATATTCTAACATGCCACCCCAATCTCCATGAGCAGTGTGAAACTCCAGGAAATGCAGGTGCACTTTAACTCAGGATCTGTGTTTCCTTTTAGACTAATGAGGCACAGCAGAGACTGTGGTATCTTTATGATATATGGTTTATTTACACATATGTACAACCTGAACCTAGGTGGAGGGTCTCACAGCATTGGCACCCCAACAGGTCCTTCCTTCTTCCATAGCCAGAGCCTTGCTCTCAAATGGTCAGCAAGCCTCATGCCCTGCCCTCTCTCTAGTTTACATCCCTGATAACTGTAACCCACAGGTCTACCCCCTTTTATCCCCCGAGGGATGAAAGAGGCATTCAGTTTATTCACTATTGAACACAGTGGATTACTACTCTCAAGGCACAGATCTGTAAACTACAGATACCTGCACTCATGTGTGTGTGTCTTCAGTATACAGTCGTACCTTGGATCTCAAACGCCTTGGCTCCCGAACAAATCGGCTTCCGAACAGTCGAAACCCGGAAGTGAGTGTTCTGGTTTACAAACGTTCTTTTGGAAGTCGAACGTCCATTGGGGCTTCTGGGGCTTCTGATGGAGCTTCCTGCAGCCCATCAGAAGCCACACTTTGGTTTTTGAATGTTTTGGAAGTCTAATGGACTTCCAGAACAGATTCTGTTCGACTTCCAAGGTACGGCTGTAGTTTCATTCATCTCTTTTGTTTCAGAAAGCATGACACCTAAGCAATACTAATCTATTGTGTACTTTTGTATACATTGTCTTCTAGAAATGGCCAATGCGATCCAGGCTATACATTGGAGCTACAGGGCAGTTTTTGAGTCACTCAGCGCAAACAGAAAACACAAATCAAGGAGAAACTTCAAAAAATTCACAAATGTAATGCTATGTTTTTATATTGAATGCTGTGTATTTATTATGCTGGATATATTTAAATTAAAACACTTCTTCCAGCAACTATGACCCTCCTCCCAATTGTATCTGACACCATTTGAAGTAGGTGGACAAGCTGAATTTTAAGGTAGTCACACATTCCTTTAGGTTGCTTTCTTTATGTCCAGAAGCAGTCTATTTGTGTGAGCAGTGCATTATGGTCCTCCTGCCGCAAACAACTTCCACAATTTCTGAAATAGCAAAATGTACATGCGTTGTACACATGATACCAACTGAGATTCATGAACTCCTGGCGAATGTAACATTATTTGAGTCAACAAGCAATCCATCCCATTTGTGAAGGAAATGGCTGAATGTAACGTGTGAGCTGACCCTTATAAATACAGTAATAGACAACTTGCAAGCATTAAAGCAACAAGGTTCGTGATTAACATAAGAATTATGGACTATCTCAATGAAGGGATTCATTCTGATATATCCCTCAAGAAACACAGGTGTGCATTCTTCTGGCTGTTCACATGCATCTAAGCTTTTAAGAACAGAGCTTTGCTGGATCAGCGATCCATCTATTCCAATGTCCCGTTTCCAAAAATGACTGCACAGATTCTCTCACGAAGTGCACAAGCATGACATCAAAGCAACAGCCCTCCGCCATTGTTTGCGACCACATCTGGTATTCATAGGGTTCTTGAGCACGGAGGATCTATTTTGCAGTTGTGGCTAATGGCCACTGATAGATCAGCATGAGCCTCTGTGTGGTGTGTGTGTGTGTGTGTGTGTGTGTGTGTGTGTGTGTGTTTATATAAAACATCTATAGAGTCTACAGTGTAGTTTGGCTGATCTTGTAAAGAAGGAGCTTAAAAAGCAGATCTGTGTTTTTATGAACTTTGGATATGGATTTCTGTGTTGCATCTTAAGTGTGTAGAATTAAGATGCTTCTGCAATAATTTCAATAAGCTGCAAATATTAATTAACCATAAAATGCAAACTTTTTACACTATGAAGTTTCTACACTGCATATTGAAAATTTAGTATTTTTTTGTTTCTTTACTATTTGACCTCACTGTTTACAATTATTTTCACTGTATAATACCTGTCATATTAGGATAATACCAAATGTGGTTGATGAAGTGGGCTCTTTTCCACAAAAACGTATGCTATAATATATCTGTTTAAAGTGCCACAAGACTCTTTGTTGCTTTTCCGCAGAGGTCCAAATGACCTTTGGAAGCATCTACTATTCAAGAGCCTTTTCTCAGACGAATTTATTTGCCTCTTTTCACTGATAAAATGAATGTGTGTTAATAGTCAAGGGAGAACATTGCAGTAAACAAAAACAAAACCACAATGTAAGCAGCTTTGTGTATGGAATCTAGCAATATTATGGGTGTTGTAATGTAATTTATTATTTGTGTTTATCTCTGCTTTACGGTCTGAACTGCATTAATGTTTGAGGGAAAAGCTTACCGTACTTCTATACTGCAACATGTGTACATGTTTTATAGCTTGATATGTTCATTCCAGAAAACAGAGCTTGCATGCTCAGCTAGTTCAGCTAAAATATTTGCAGCATGTAAGCAGCATTGGTTAGAAGATAAGTGCAGTAGAGGTTCACCTAGTTATCTTCTCTTATTGTATATGTTATACATGATTTTACAGAATTTTAATATTTATATTAAATACTTTGAAAAATGCTATGATTTGTCAGAATCAAAGAAATGAAACTGTTCCACAAGAAGCCAAAAATAAAATGCATTTAAAAGGAATATTTGGGAAAATTCTTTGCGGTACAGGAGTTAAGTATGTTATCATGTCTTATAATATTAGGATTTTCTTTAAAATAATAATAATGACAACAACTGATTAGCCTTTGACTCAGCCATCGCTATGGCTTATTCCGGAACCAACTACCATTCCCATACTTTAACTGTGAAAAATGTGACTTGCAGACACACAGTCTCTGTAGAGGAATAATTCCTCCCCATATTTAACCATACCTTTTCTAAGCACTAGTACTTTATAAAACTGAACACTTCCTTTGTTATTGACATCATTCAGTTATTTCAAGCAAGACCATTCAGCAAGACCTGTGCCTTTTTACTCAGAATACCTGATTTCAGTGGGACTTATTCTAGTTGGTATGTGCGCATAGGACTAAGGCCTAAAATGCTTGAACCCTAGTGTGACTCCTCACTTCCAGCATAGCTTTCCCTCCACCCCCATACTAAAATCAGAAAAGGAGCCTGCCCCTGCCATTTAATCCCAGCCCCAAAGCCTCACGAGAGCTGTTTCTGTGGGCCTTCTTGGCATAATGGCACCAACGGGTAATTCTGGCCCGTTCCTCAGTTCTCACAGAAACATCTTCCATCAAAATGCATGTGCGTCTCATGATCTGGAATACACACCTCATGATTTTTTGGCATGTGGGCATATAAAAACGTATACATTTATAGCTAACCAATCCATAATTTGGAACAAGTCGTGACTTTAATCTCATTTTTTTTCTTCATGTGACTCCCCCAATCTCATTTTTCTCTTCATTTGAGTCCCCCTCCCATCTGCCCCAAGCCTTTACTTTGCACAAAGACTGCTCTGTTCCATGTGGTCTCTAAGGGAGCAAATGGAGATTGACATAGAATATATTAACACAGAAAATGTTTTAACTAGAGGGTATACTATTGTAATTACAGCTTATAAACATGAACCCAAAGTGCATTGTATATAATATTTTTAATGTTTTGATTATATATGTGTATGTTTTTATTTATTTATATTTTGGGTGTGTTTCCCTTTGTCTGCTCCGTTGGCAGGGATCTGTTTTATTTAATCTTGTACAGCAGCATCTCGAATGAGGCTGCTATATAAACAATAAGCCACCCCGTGGAGTGGGAGCAGCACCAGATAAAATTATGGGGGAGCACAGAATGTGCAAAGTACATGGGCGTAGCCAGGATTTTTAGGAAGGGGGAGGCCTTTTGTTGGGGGGGGCAGAACCTCAGGTATGTATTTTTATTGATTTAGAGGGGCAGTTGCCCCTCCCTGCCCCCTCACGGCTATGTCCATGGCAAAGTATGTTTTGGGGGTGGTAAATTGAGTGTCTTACATATTGAAACAAAATAAAAAAATTCCTTCCAGTAGCACCTCAAGAGACCAACTAAGTTTGTTATTGGTATGAGCATTCGTGTGCATGCACACTTCTTCAGATACTTACGTACTGAGATATCTGAAGGAAAAATAACATTAATATATTAATGGCAAGAGTCCAGCAAGTGGAGTGGGGGAGACCCGGGAGAGCTCCTTATGGCGGGCACTTGTCCACCTTTGTTGCACCCCATGTTAGCGCACACACTTTTCCATGACGTGGAAGTGTGGTATCAGTCTTGTAGCCCCTTAAAGTCTTAACACGTTTATTAAGACAGGGTAGTCCATTAAAGGTTATCCCGTTATAATCCCGTTATAAATGTGTCTGTTTTCCAGGGACAGTCCTGGATTTTCCCAGACAATCTCGTCCCGGTTTCTGATTGTCCCGCTTTTCCTTAGGATGTCCCTATTTTCACTGGAAAAATGTTGGAGGGTATGGAGTTATCCAGCCCCAAGCCATTTGAAGGCAAGTTTAAGTTTTTTAAATGTTTAATGTTTTATTCTATTTTTATGTATGTTGGAAGCCGCCTAGAGTGACTGGGGCAACCCAGTAAAATTATTATTATGGAATAGGATGTCCCTATTTTCATCGGAGAAATGTCGGAAAGGATGACGTTAGCCTTAAAGGTGCTACAAGACTTTATTTTTTTAACTCTTTACGGCCACCACTTTGGAAATCAGAGAAACGCTATAGCTGATCTCTTCTTCCACTGCGGGAGGGTGGGAGATTCAAAACCCAAAATCTCTGGCGCGCAATCAGCATGGATCCCCCCGCCACACGCCTTCCCGCCCCCGAAAAAAAAGCTTTTTCGTACGTCTCTGGCAAAAAAAAAAGGCATTTGCCCTGTGGCCTTTTGTTGGACTCCAACTCCCGTCAGCCTCAGCAAGCCAGGCCCAACTGTCAGGGGATGGTGGGACGTGTAGTCCAGCAACGAAACTAACTTGTCGGCCACCTCGCCCGGAGAAGAACGAGCGCAAAAGGCGCGCGGCTGGGTGGGGGAGGGCGGGTCACGTGCTCCATAGACTTATAATTCCGGTTCCGGCCACCCTCGCGCTCCTTTCTTATGGAGGACTGCGGGGTTTCGCGTGGTCTGCAGAACAGGTAAGCCGTTTGAGGGCGAGAGGGGAGGGGAGGCGGCGGTTTGGGCTGCCGTTGGCGGCGGCGGCTGCCTGGGCGAAAGTGTGTGGGGCGGCTTGGGGTGCTCGCGCCGACCAGCCTGGCTGAGTTTCCTCCCTAGCCGCCGACCAACCCGCGCGTACCTTGAACTCAGCTAGGCCAGGACTCGTGGCGGCGGCGAGCTTCCCGCCTTCAGCTGGAGGCCGAGGCGGCGGCGGGTTGGGGAACCGTTGTGGGTCTGGATGCCATTTTTCATGGACGGGCCACGTCGCGCTCCCTCACAAAGAGGCTCCCGCGCCTTATAACTGGTCGGGGCTGGGCACCTTTGCCCACTTCTAGAATGCAATTTATAGAATGAGTGGTAGTTTTGGGAAGCCTTGTTATTCACTCTCTTCTTTAGAGCCTACAGCCCACTCTTCTATCCCCCCCCCGACCTAACCAGTGGAAGGAGATGAAGGTAAAGTTGTGTATTACATTAGCGGACGGACCCTACTGCATTTATCTAAAAGCAGTTTTTGTCATAACGTGCTATTGTCATGTTACTTACATTCCTCGTGTAGTAACTTGAAAAATAGAAGGTTGTTAATACACGTCATGCCAGAGCTTTCCCAAATATGTGTTGTTGAGACACAGGGTGTAGGTGTTTCACAGTTCCCCCTGGGGCTGGAAAGGGAGCGGGCAGCCCACTGAGTAGCTGCTGCCAGGCTGCACAGGAGCCTCCGCACCCTGCCTGCCTGCCCGCTTTCCTCTGCTCCCTGGTCGAGGCTGCTTGTCAGGAGCCCTCAGGTGCCCGGTCTCATCGCTCGTCGTCTGCGCTCGCCGGAACAAGCAGCAGAATCTGAAGATCCATGCTTTCCAAGGAGTCATTGTCGTCTCATTCTCTTGCCCTGCCCCACCATGTACTGCCTGCCTGGCTGGGCTGGGTGGTAGCCCTCCCCTCTTCTCTTGCAGCTCTCCTGCCTCTGGGCCAGTGCAGCGCCCAGCCAGCATGAGGCCCTGGCCCAGGATGGAAGAAGTTTCCTAAGTGCCCTGCAGTAGCCAAGACTAGTTGCCACCCACCCTCACTGGCTGCTGGATCCCACCACTTTGGCCTCACACTTGTTGCAGAGACCACCACCACCTGCTCTGAGGGAGTTTAAGTGCTGATGCTGCTATTTTCATGTTTAATTACTTAAATTGCAGTTGAATTACCCCCTAAAATGGATAGGTTTCTAATTAAGAAAAGTTGGTGGAGATGGCGTTTACAATGAACAGAATATAGCAGCTGTAGAGGAAACTATACAAGAATCAACTGTTGAACAGTCTGTTTTAGTACATAAGAAGTGTAAAGGAAAATATTCCAAGCCTCATTTATACAGTAAAGATTACAGTATATGAAACGGGGATTCGTTTTCTGGTAATGAAAACAATCCTTTTCCCCAGTGTCGTTTGTAGGGATATACTTACAAATGGAAGTATGGTACCAAACAAGTTGAAGTCATTTTACATCAAAACACAGTCATTTGTCAGAAAAAGCAGTAGAATACTTTATTGAGATTTCAAAACCTATAAAGAAGCCGTCTGCATCACGCATAAAGAGAATGCAGACGTTAAAGAAAGCTCAAAAGGCAAGTTACTTGGTAGCTCAAATAATTACCAAAAACAAGGAACCACACACTATTGCAGAAACCACCATAAAGGAATCTTGCTGTGCTATTGTTTGAACAATGTTTGGGCCAGAATTTGAAAAAGAAGTTAATAAAATCCCTTTGGCAGATAACACAGTTGGAAGATGTATTCAAGACATATCTGATAACATTAAGCTGCAAATGAAGAATATTTTTCAAAATGATAATTGATCTTTACATTGCAACAGATGTCAGTAGCGCAATTATTTATTTTTATACGTTTCATTCATACTGACAGAATTATTGAGCAATTCTTCTGCTGTCTAGAACTTCCAATAAAAACTAGAGGTGAAGATATATTTAAAACTTTAGATTGCTTCATAAAGGAAAGTAATTTGCAGTGGTTAAATTGTGTAGGAATATGCACAGATGGCCCACTCTCAATGGTTGGTTCAACAAAGAGTTTTATAGCTTTAGCAAAGGAAGAATAAAAATATAATTACTTGTTGCTTTTTACATCACGAAGCACTAGTCGCACACTACTGGAAATGAATTAAGAAAAGTTATGGACAAAGTGGTTCAAATGGTCATTTACATTAAAAGTAGACATCTTGAATCAAGATTATTTGCTCATTTGTGAAGAAATGGGGGCAAGTTTTCAAAAGCTACTACACACAGACATTTGTTGGCTGTCAAGAGGTAAAGTGCTTTGTCTTGTATACGAATTGAGGGAAATGATGCTTAAACTTTTTGAGGAAAATCAGCAAAAGGAATTCTGTGATCTCATTCAAAACAAACTTTGGTGTGCAAAATTGGCATATCTTGCTGACATATTTGAACATTTGAATAAAATGAATACCAGTATGCAAGAAAAAGGAGAAAATATATTAACAGTGGTAGATAAAATTTGTTCTATGAGAGACAAAATAGCAATTTGGAAAAGGAAAGGGAAAGAAGGAAATTTTGAAATGTTTCCCAAAACTTCTGAGTGCGAGCTAAAATGTGATAACAGCTCACTAATTGCTGACCATTTAACATTGTTCAGAGAGAAAGTTCATCATTGCTTCCCAAGTGTTGAAATCCACGACTATGATTAGATCAGAATTCCATTTCTTTAAACTGCAAGGAGGAACTTTCACTTATTGAAGAAGAATTAGCTAAAATTATTGATGTCTGTTAATGATGTATGAGAAGGTGACTTGCAGTTTTTGCATTCATGTTTCAAAAATTCGTCCAAATAGGTAAAAAAGCGTTAAATATTCTTCTGCAATTTTTTACTATGTACATTTGTAAAGTATCCTTTTCAACAATGACAAACTTTAAGACACTGAAACGTGGAATTTAAAAAATGTTTGATGATGAAATGTGAGTGTCTATCTAATATTCCACCAAATATTCAAAACCATGTTCATCCTACTAATCTCATACATCTCATTAAAATGGTAAGTAGTTACTGGTTTTATTCAATTTTTAAAAAATTCTTGCACATATTTACATATTGTTACACATAAATGACAACAATCTTGGAAATGTATGTTGTTATCTTACAAATCATATATTTTAAAAAATATAAATGAAACATTTTCATGAGATGTTGTGTCCCCATAAATTTCATTATTGCAGTTTATGTATGTATGCAAATCTCTTAGTTTAACCTCTAGTTTGCTAGTAAAACTGAATTACTGTGTCGTGCTATGATGCATGTCTAAAAATTGTGCCACCAACATGGAAAGTTTGGAAAGCTCTGCATTCTACACAAATGCACAAGTAGTGTGTGTGCATGCAGCTGATATCTATATATATTTGAAAGTGGAGGTACATTAACTATGGCATTGTGAGGCCCTCTTTTCCTTTGTATAATTTTTCTGGAATTGACCTATATTTTAATTAGTTGGTCTGTTGAAAATACAATGGGGAAAATGTACTTCTAGTATTGATTATTTTGAGTTATTTCCAGGCTGCCAAGTTGTTTGAATGATGATGAATTAGACAGCTGAAGATCATTACTAGAGCTGATGTCTTCATAAATCAGTAGCATCAGCTGAATGTCCTAGCTATGATAAATTGCCTCTTTGTCAGTGGGGAAATTGGTTAGAGAGTTGTCTTATGGCCCTGACCCATGACCTCTTCACTGTGTAGCAATCTATTTTTTGCTTGATGGTACTAGGAAATACCATATACTCAGTTTTCAGATTGAACTGAGCCTGTAGGGAATATGTTGTGCTTGTTCACATAGCTGGAGTCCCAAAGCAAAGTTCACTTTAATCCTGAAATTTTAGTTCATATTTTATACTTGCCAGATAATACAAACTTAAAAAAAAGAAAGAAAAACTCTTTGGAAACATGGTGTTTCTATAAAATCTTTTAACTTTGCAAGGAGACACCACCCCATAATGATTTTTGGAACTGGGAATCTAATGGCCTTCGCAGTTCCTCTCATCATATTCTGACAATGGAATCTACTGTTATGTTTACACCCAGTGGCTTCAGAATCATTTGTCTGGGATTCCATTGTTGTTTCAACCAACAAGGTATAACAACATGAACCCTTGAGAATACTGCATATATGAGCTTTCTTTGTAATGAAAACACACAAAACTGAGAAAATATATTAACAATTTAAACCAACTTACTTTAGCATCTGCTGATTGAATAAACTAAGGCATAGCTACCCTTTCCAAGAGCAACTCAATTCCAAGCTTAGGAAATGATTACCGGTAACATTCAGGGGACCAGCAAACCAACATTTGGTACAGGTAGATTCCTATATTAGTACCATCTGCTTTTCTCTGCTCTTTAATTAAGGAGAGGAAATGGATAGATGAATTGCCTTGCAGTTTGTGTCCATGAATGTGATGTAGCCACATCACAGCCAATGTATGTCTGAAAGATTGAGTAGACTTTGGCAAAATGCTTTGTATGGGAAGTAGTAATATGCTTTGAAGGCAACAGCTGTTGAGGATAACAGACATATTGGCATGGATCCAGATTTTGCTTCTGCCATTGGGAGTATCCAGCTAGTGGAGTTTCCATTAGTAGGATGTGGTGGAGACAGACAACCTTTGCTAATCCCCCTATTACCCGTTCTAAAAATCTACTTTGGAAGATTGGGGGACCCTCCAAAACAGTCTGGGAGGGAGGGAAGTTTGTGGAAAGGAGTGGGGAAATGTGCAAAAGTTGCTCCTGCCTGCCAGTGCGATCCCTGTACTGGATCAAAAGCATTCCATGGATGAAAGGAGTATAGCTGTCAACCTTCCCTTTTTTTGTGGGAAATTCCCTTATTCCAGTGCTGTTTCCCGCTGCTATCCTGGATTATTAGATACCCGTAAATTTCCCGGATTTCAAAGGAAGCAGCTCTTCTCCCTCCCTGCCGGCCAGGGAGGGTCCTCAACTGCGTTGCTCGGATGCGTTGCTCACCAATAAGGAGTCTGAGAACGACTGGGGGGCGGAGCTTGCATGCCCTGTGCCAATAAAATCAGCTGCGTTGCCTGGGGACTCGCCTTTGCTTCAGCGCTTCCCAGCGGTGTGGTTTCCTTGCTGCTGTATCCCTTTTCCGGGTCGCTGCGCTGTGGGAACCACTGCTTGAGGCTTCGTTTCGCTGCTGGGTAGGCTTTCCGCCTTTGACTTGGAGGGGCTCTGAACGTACCTGTTCTCGGAATCGGATGGATACATCGACGGCACACTCACCCTTGCCAGGCATAAGGTCTGTCTGGAGCAGGGGCACATGGGGAAAAGAGAAGGAGCAGCTGGTTGAGTACAATGGTGGGTGGTGATCTCATGGGGGGCGCTTTTGGATTTGTTTTGGAGGCTCCTTCGATTGACTGCTGTGGGGGAAAGGAAAGGAGCTGGTTGACTAAAATGGCGGGCGGCGATCTCATGGCGAGGGGGGGGAGGTTGTCACCACTGTGTGTGTGGGGGGGGGCTAGTTAATGCAAGCTGAGGGGGTTTTTGAACGCTGGATGCCGTTTTGTTGCACGTGCTGCTGCAAAGCCAAGCCAGGGAGCCATTTTAAATTGAGGCTGCATAGGCCTTGTGGTGCATGTGATTCAGATTCTATTCAGTTGAACCTCTGGTTACAAAGTTGACATTTTTTCAGCAATGCCCCCCTAGTGAGTCTTCTTTTGTTCACTTTTTATTTTGAGGCAGTGCACACCTATGTTTGTGGAACTGCAAATCTTTCCAATCATGTGTTACTCCGTCAAATCCCACGTATGAATGTGGAGGAGGTAGGATTGCTACAGGAGAGCAATTTCTTTGCAAATTGCATGTGTGGCTACTCTGATGTTTTGCTTTTCTTCTTTTTCAAACAAAGAAAGATGGATGGAGGTGAAGAAGACATTCCTTCAAAAAAAGCAAAGAGATTGTGCAAGTATCGTGAGAAATGGGAAAAGGAATTTAACTTCTTGAAGAAGAGCAGAGTGGGGCATGGTCATGCATTCTGCACAATTTGCAGTTGCGATTTTAGTGTCTCCCATGGGGGAAGGACTGATGTCACTCAGCATAAAAGATCGGCCAAGCACAAGCGCGGGCTAGAGGCACAGAAACATGCCCCGGTGATGTCCGCATTTGTGACTAGGAATACCACAGAGGCTGACCAGGTCAGAAATGCAGAGGTTAAAATGGCCATGCTGTGTGCCAAACACAACATTTCTTTCACCTTCTGTGACGACTTCAAAAAGTGTGTAGCTGACATGTTCCCGGACTCTGCCATTGCACGAAAATATTCTGCGGGGAAAACCAAAACTACGCAAATCGTAAAAGGTAAGTTGATTCACATTACGAAAACAATGGTACCTCAGGTTAAGAACTGAGGTACCACTGTAATATTGTCGGCTTAGGTGTCCTAAGAGGGCGAAGTCTGGATCTTGGGTGCATCTTACAGCAGTTTTAACTACAAAAAGACTTGCTCTCCACTTCATACTGCTGCCTTAGGCTGTAGCATCTCATGCAAATTCAAGATCTCAAGTGTGAGTGATAAATTTGTGGAGTAAGTTTAGTCATCTGTTCTGTTATCAGGCAACAGTTGATTCAAGGTACAGTGGTACCTCAGGTTACATACACTTCAGGTTACAGACTCCGCTAACCCGGAAATAGTGCTTCAGGTTAGGAACTTTGCTTCAGGATGAGAACAGAAATCAGGCTCCGGCGGCAGCAGGAGGCCCCATTACCTAAAATGGTGCTTCAGATTAAGAACAGTTTCAGGTTAAGTACGGACCTCCGGAACGAATTAAGTACTTAACCTGAGGTACCACTGTACACCTAAAAAGTTATCCCTGTTAACCTCAATAGCCTCAAATCCCTACAGATTGGGACAGAGCTAGTACTAGTTTCTAACTTTTGTGTGCTTGCATGCAGCTATAGAAATTTGGAACAACAAATACAGGGTCAACGTTGTAAGCAGTCCATAAGCTCCTTGCATCTGGGCTGATTGTGACCTAAAATATTTCTAAAACACCCAACCATGATTATGCATTTGGTATAAAGTACCATTTCCATGGGCAAGAATCCCCCCCCCCCCGCTTCACACATTCAAGGATCTGTGAAAATTATTTTTCAATGATAAAATTATTCTTTTGCAGGGGACGACTAGCATGATGACTTGTGCTTCGTGGTATGTTGAAAATACAGTCGTACCTTGTGTTGCGTAACTTCCAGGTTCCGGAATCTTTGGGTTACGGCTGCGGCAAACCCAGAAGCAGTCCTCCAGTTACGGAATTTTCAGGATATGGCCGGGCCTCTGCAGCGGATCCCGTTTGTATATATTTGAGATAAAAGACAACTTTTGTACAAGCCAAACAATTAGTTACATAGTTGACATTTTTAAAATAGTATTTTCAGCTGGTTATCTATAAATGTCTTATTATTCTGTTAGTTTAGGTCTGTCAAGATGCCCTGTTGACCCCTAAAGTATGGATAATGGTAAGTGTTACTCTTTAAAATTTTAACTTAAGTGCTTTAGTAAAACTAGTTTTTAATAGACACATAGTTTGAGTTTAAATTTACTTGTACAATATTCCTTTTCAGTAAACATTATTGTATGACACTTCATACAACCTCAGATTGTTATGTATATGACTTTTCTTGTTCCCTGCTTTTGGAAAAAAAAACGAGGGTTCATTCTGCAAGCAATTACAAAGCCATGGAAATAGTTTAATATAGAAAATCATGTTTTCCATTATACAGTATAGATATAAAAAATTGCATTGCTGGCACAGTGATGATTTCCTTTTGCCGTTTACCCATCTGAATTTATACTGATGTGTATTTCCTAATTCTGAGATGCCAGTAAAACTTTAAATGGCCCAAGTAACATAATTACTTAGAACATTATAAAGTTATGTTAATTATTTTTATTGCAGTGGATGTTTTGATTGTGTGCCTTCCTGAATTCGGATGTATTCAGAAATGAGACCAGATTGTCAAATCGTTTTCAACCATGAAAGTGCTACTTGCAAGTTTGAGGTAGTTGTTCACTAAACCTGTAATCCATGTATAAGAAACCAAACTTGAGTGTTTTGCAAATGTTATATGAAAAAGAAATTTTATTTTACTGTAATAAGAAATTTTTGAGATAAAGCTAAGAAGATTAAATTATGAAAGGGAGCCATTCTGTCTGAATACTGAAGGCATAAGAGCAGCTCTGCTGGATCAGGCCAAAGGCCCATCAAATTCAGCATTCTTTTCCTGCTCGATGCAGTTGACAGTAATCCTTGAAATTCAGTATCTTTTGAAATTTAGAAAACTGATTTTCATTCAGTCCTTAAACCACAAATATTTTATATTTGATGTTCTAAGGTATGCCTTATATGCAACCATCTTTCCCCTCCTAATTGAGAACAAAAGTGTTAGGGCTCATCCATGCTGCTGCTTGTTCCTTGACTACAAAGCATGGGCCCAAGAGGTTTTCCATTTGCCCCACCACTTTCCCCAGAAAACCTGATTGATGTTTGCTCCGATTCAGTGGTATAGAGTGGAAAGCAATGCAACAAGTGGAAGTGTGAACAAGCCCTTACATTGACGTACACCCATGGGACATACCCAAAGAAAGTAACCATAACATTGTTATTCAGGATATTGAAAACCCTTTCATTGTTTCAATATGTTCTTAATGTTGTTTTAAATGCCATAACCTGCCCTGGGACCTTACAGTGAAGAGTGGGTAATAAATAGAAAAATTATTAATAATAGTAATAATAATATATTTAAGAGACTTTTCCCCCACATAGTCTATATAGCAATAGTGACTTGAATTACACTCCATTTAAGACATTCATAGTAAAAGCTGCTCTTATTTTTTCATGAAACTTGGGAGGCTGTAACAGGAACCAATGTCATACATCCCTTTTCACAAAATGGAAAATGTTTTCTTCCTCTGTTCCTCCCCGCCCTGAGAAATGCAAGACTAGAAAGGAAAAGCAATGTCTGAAATAGTACAATTCTGTGACCAAGCATTGCATCCTCCATATTTCCAATGTTATAATGTGACAACGGGAAAATCAGTTTTGCTAACTCTCAAAATGTATGTATGACAAACATTAAGAACTACATGAATTGATCTTACAACTATTTACACATTCAAGTTTATTTTTAAAAATAGACCTCATTTTGCACATATACTAATCCTCGCTAATAAGAACATCTGTTGCAGGTCCATATGTAGCAACAAATTGTTTCAACTGTTGAAGGCACTGCATCAAGTAAATATCCCTTTGATTCAGAGAGTTTTCACTATTGAGTTCAAATGGAAACACAGCATTTGGGGCCACACAAAACACAGAAGCACCTGTGAAAATAAAAGTAGAGGATTAAATTTGTATAATTTATTTTAACTAGAAAATGATAAAGTATAATTGAAAATGTGATTTACATCAATCAAAATTTCACATAGAAATATCCAGTGATAGCCATCCATGTAGGTAACAGGTTTCTGAACACAGTAAGTATGGGCAGAATGTTTCTCCATCTATAAGTACTTTCAGATGTTAAGATTTTTTTATATTCAAAAATATAGTTGGTTCTTAGAATTGGCCTCATTCAGTCTTTCTCTGTTGCTGTACTAATAAATATATTTCTGGTTTTAAAACTGGCCTGTCATTTTTTAAATGCTCTTTTTAAGGATGCTGTTTCCAAGGGAGCTAATATGAGTGCATGAAGACACATCCAATTCAAATCCCAGTTCAACTTATCAACCAAAGCTGTTAGTCTCATATCCTGGGTGCATATCCAATTGAAATGGGTCCACATGATCAGTATCCTACAGGAGTACCTCGAGTTGTGAGTCTGAATAGCAGTAATTGAAATTTATCGCACAAAACCAGACTAGATGATGCACTGGACACTTCTCTGAATTCACTCATTACAGTGGCATCTAGGTCAAGATGGACGCAATATATTTTGTGCGAGAAAGAGGGGCTCTTTATAGGAACCAAGTGCAGGAGTGTCAAGTGTCTTGTTTCTGACAGTGCCCTTCAATGCGGACTCTTCAATAGATGGTGATGTCAACACAAAAGGAAGGGAAGAGAAATCTCATCCATGGAAATGAGACTTGGGGTGGACAAGCAGAACCTTGAGAGGTAACCAGACATTCAGTATTTGGAGCTCTGCTTTTCAGCCCAATCATAAAAGCACCCTGCGTTTAAGGATTTTACGTGGTTACAGTATTTTAATAGCCCTCATTAAGAAAGGTTCAGTTAAAAGGTTTATACCGTATTTTAAAGTGAGAGATGATTCAAATAGTAATACAGCAATCAAAACATCTTCTTCAAGTACTTCTGTTCTTAAACTCAGCTTAGCATGTGCTTTAGACAGTGAAATCCTACAGTACAAACATAAATTTTATAATTTTAAATCAGTTGTACAAAATTTTAATAACGAAGTCTGTTGCCAGAGATGTTGTATGAATCTTTACACACAGTGAAATGTAGCTGCTACAGACATGTATGGGGAGAAATGGGACTTGTGTATTTTTGATGTAATTCAGGTCAGTTACAAGTACAAACAGAGGTGTGGTTTTAGGCTGATAGAGATGGAGCCATATTGGTTAAAATAGCTATAGTGCGCAAGGCAAATACCCTCTACTGTGCACGCCCAATTGTTAATTAATGTATAACTTATACATAGATCTTTATCTATTAATGATAATAGAGAGGTGGGCAACTCTATTAGATTACCATTTGTGAGGTTTGGAAGGAGCTTATGAATTCTCTTGAAAAACTGGCTATGAGAGTCAAGTTTAAACTGATACATCATATTCAGAAATGTAACAAAACAAAGTTATATAAAATGGCTTTTGAGCTCTTAAACTTTATTATTTTTTTACAAAATCTAAGATTAGTGCTGCTTGAAATTACACATTTGTTCACATGTAACTTATACAGATAAGCTGTCGCAATTTAAGAAACAGGAAGCGAACAATCCTGTGTCTAATTTGAATAATTTCTTCTGAGCACGCTGAATGATTCCCAAGAAAATGCATAAGCACTTCCTCCAGAAGTGATATGCATATAAACTGACATTTCTAAAACAGACCAAAAGTGCATATAATTATGTATTCTATAACTTACATAGCTAAGGGGAAATGTATTAGGAACATGATGATGGTGGAATGACTGATCCTATTTTCTTTCCCAGCTTTTGGAAAACAAAGGAATATTTTGGCTTATAGCCATCAGATTTGGGTTTATCATAGTTACTTATGCAGAATTATTACACAGGTTAAATACAAATTTTGAAGAACACATACTTGACATGTAAATGAAAACCTACAAGATATTCAGTGCAGTTGCTGAGAGATTTGATCCATGAACAGGATGTGTTCTGACTCTGCGACTTGCTAAGTAGTAACCGTGAATCAGCCTTTCTGCTTCTGAACAGAGTTCCACATGCAAATTTTTGGAGAAAGCAAGGAACTAAAATGACATAAATTATTTCATTGGTTTATGAATTCTGTGGAAAAATCACTAGATTTACCAGTGATCTTTAAATTTCAGGTGTATCGCTTTAAAAAGTATTTTCCAAGACACAATTTTCATTAAAATATTAATAATTTGTCAATTCATTATTCTTGACATATTTTCACATTACAAAGAACATGATTTTAAAATAGGAAAAAATGTGGATTATATGAGTGGTTGCATAAATACAAACTCAACTTACTTCCTAACTGCTTAAGACAGTTTACACCAATCACCATGGAAGTTAAGATACTCATGATTTAGCACGGTTGGTACACCGTTCTGCAGTCAAGTAAGTGTGGGGTCAAACACCTTCCTTGCTTCTTTTCACTTGTATTTTGAAGCCACTGTTGGATTTCACAGCTTTACTAAAGATGTAGATTTAGTGTAAGAAAAGTTCTCATTCCTATTCTGAATATTGGACATTGAAATTGTCTGAATTTGATAAAGTGCAGACGAGTCCTTTAGCAAATATGTCTAGTTAGACACATAACATATATTTTGTAAGTTGGTTACTTGTACAAATTGAAGTTAAAGTAGCAGAGGAACAAAAGGGATCCTCATTATTCAAATGCACATAATCAGAAATATGATTGATAGAACAGCAGCTTATCAAACTGCCCCGCTTGTTGGGTTCAATTCATAATGTCTAGTTACCTCCTCATAATCTTGTGTTCCAAACTGTTTGGAGATAGCATAGACTGCATCTTCTGGATTGATGGCCTTTTTTAAAAGGAGATTCACAACAGGAAGAACTGGATTGGAAAATGCTGATTCATTGCAGTGTATCAGAAGCCAAAAAGCATCTATAACGTTAGCTGAAATAAAGCTTAAATCCTAGACAAAATCAATATTTATATTTCAGAACAGAACTTCATATGGTTTCCAGACAAAACCAGCAAGTGAATTATTTGGGACTGAGGGTATCTAGAAAAATGTAAAATTCAGTGGTTTTTCTGAGAAACACATTTTGGAACATTTCATTTAGCACTCTTGGTCTATTTAACGCATGCATGCACTATAGTCCTAGTTTTAATATTGTAGAAACTACCGGTACCTCAATTCACTGATGAAAATAGATTGCATGACTGGAGGAAATCACTTTCTAGAAAGTGGCTGCAAATTTTGTATATCAATGTCACTCTAAAAGCTATTAGGTATTTTTAATTAATGTCATTGTGCAATTCTAGCAAAGAAACGTTACTTACCATTTGGCCTATTAGAGTATTATCTCCTTGGATATGCTTTTTGCAAGAAGCATCCACATCAATAAATGACCAAAAACTGGTTTGAATTGAAAGAGTAACCTGCTGATCAATTTCTTCTCCATATTTCTTTCCAGGGATGAATATAGTAGTTGTTCTTCCTTCAAGTACTTGTAAAGTCAGGCAATAAAGACTACTTAAAATCAGATATTTTTTTATTTCACTATAAATAGGTCTTTGAAGAATGAAAACAACATAGTGCCATTGTCTTAAAGAAGATAGCTCGCATGCTATATATTCAAATTACAGAAATGCACTGGAAGTGCTGCATATCAAAATGTAGCAGAGAACAGGTTGATATACTGCTCCCTATTTTGAAGGACATAGAAATTGGTGAATAATATACTAATTTCTATCTTAGAAGGTAGTGGTGATACCCAATCTTTTCCCCTGTATCCACCACATATGCCCTCCCCCAATCTGCTCCAGGGCCTCCAGATATGACAACAGTAGGTTTGGTGGACATGTGGAAGCTGCCAGGAGTGGAAGGGACCTTCTCATTGTACAAGCGGAAGTCCTTTCCGCTAGTTACAGGCACAATTGAATGTCACCTTAGTTATTTTTTATTTTTTAATGATTAAAATAATTATTCTTTATCAATACATTGCCCTGCTAGCAGACAGACAATATCCCAGTGTTTTGCTCTTTCTCATATGAAAACTACTACAGGCTGCATTTGATCAAGGCAAGTAAAGTGATTCTGCAAGAATTGTCATTTGCCAGCCCATGTGACTAAACATAGTGGGTTTACACACGCATACAAAATGTGATATCCTCTGATATGTAGAAAGCTGTTGCAGTTCTGATTTCTTACTGTGGAAAAAATATTGTGATGGACAGAAACCTGGCATAAGGGAGCTTTTAAGTCAAAGTGTATTTGGACATTTGGATAACTGAAATAAGGTATGCCAGATTTTAGGTACTGCATTATACAAAACTTTCAGTTGGTTTACCTGACTGCAACTGTTCAAGCTTATCCTTCCTATGTGATGATAATTCTCCAATGAAGCATACTCCCCCTTTGGCCAGCAAAGCACTATTAGCCTGAATGCTTGCAGTTCCAGTTCCATGCTTATCTTTGGACACAGTAGGAAAAACTTCACCAGATGGAATATGCCGTATGCCCCGTGGAACAAGACTAATGCTGTAATTCATAACTCTAGGTGATGGGGAAAGTAGATATCTTAGTTATGGATGTGTAATACACTTGGAAAAGAAATCAAGTGTTTTAAAAAATGATTTTAGTTTACATGACATTGCAGTTCAGTAGAATAATTCTGTCCTTGGAATAAAGAAGTATATGCATTGTTTTACCTCACATATTTTCCTTTAAAAGCAAAATAAGAAATTGGAACAATTGCAGTAACAACATTGTTCTTTGCACAAAGCTAAATAAAGGGTATACACAGTCATCCTACAAAAGGGGGAGAGAATCTGCTTATTAAAGAAAAGAGCACTTAGTTACCTCTCTAATATTAGTGAATCATTCGTCAATACCAAAATATCCAGGTAATCTGCTGTTAAGTCATTTCTGTCACTTGTCTGTACTAGACTTAACAATATAGCTAGTTTGAGAGTGTTGTTAATGCCTGGTGGAAGTACTTGTGAAGCAAAACTATTGGCCAGAAGAGCTGTAAATCTCCAACACGACTTTGAAGTCAAAGAAAGCAGATACTTAAATTTTTCACTGATCTGGGAAGGGCCTAATACAAAAACACACCAAAGCCAAATGAATCTATATGAACAACATATCTTACAATTTTTACAAATATATTCAGTTTCACATCTTCCATTTGTAATTACAAAACTAGAAAAACAGTTTTACAAACACCCACCTTAAGCTCACTCTTATGCATGTAGATTAACGTGGTTCCCAGCTAAGTGGTCACAGGATTGCTTCTCAGGTTTGCAGGTGTGAACACATTAAAATCAGTTTCATTTTGTTAAATGAAAACAGGCTATTCCTTCAACGGCCCCTGTAACTTGGGCCATTCTCTACTGTGTCTAATTATGTGGTCTCCCAATTCTGCAGTGCTTTGTTTGCCCAGGCTGTCAGTTGAGAATACTACCTTGTATCCTCAGGCGAGATCCAAAAGAATATATCCATACCCAATTTCAATATGTATGGACTTGGTTCACAGTGAGTTAGCCCTCATGATGTCTAAATGAAATTAAGTAAACTATTGTTTGTACATTTACAGTGATACCTCGGTTTACAGATGCTTCAGGTTGCGGACACGCCGAAACCCAGAAGTACCGGAACAGGTTACTTCCGAGTTTCAGCGCATGTGCAGAAGCACTGAATCGCGTCACGTGCGTATGCAGACACAATGCTGCGGCTTGCGAACGTGCCTCCTGCACGGATCACATTCGTAACCCGAGGTTCCACTGTATATAGTTTTATGTGGTTCCTTTCTACAAACAACAAGGCATTTTACAATGTGGTAGTATCCAACCAAGTCATACTCGATGAGCACCCAACTGCAAACAATGGACTTAACCTAGACATATCTAAGGGCTTGTCCACATTTTTGCTTATCCTGTGTCAAGAAAGTCTGGATCTGAGTGGTTTTCTCCTTGACCCATGCTTTCTAGGCACAGATCTGAGCAATTTTCACCTTGCCATACTCCTTTCCCAGGGAAAACCTGCTCTTCAGTGCTCAATCGGAGCAAACGTGGTTTTCCCCTTGACCCATGCTTTCTAGGCACAGATCTGAGCAGTTTTCATCTTGCCTTACTCCTTTCCCAGGGAAAACCTGCTTTTCAGTGCTCAACTGGAGCAAACATTAATCAAGAGAAAACCCAAATTGCTGTTTGCTCTGGTTGAGCACTAAAGAGTAGTTTACTCCACGGTTGGGGGCAGGGGAGAGAAGCAGAAATGTGGCTAAATCCTAACTCATATGACTAAAGTCAGATACCACAATAAGCACAGAACTACAGATGAAATGCAAGCCCACAAAGAAACCCAATGAACAAGATCTGCACAAGACGCCAATACTATTAGGGCAATGTGTAAATGTAAATGTAGGAGAGTGCATAATTGATAGTAAAAAGCAATGTAGGTTTTATAAATACATTTAAAAGTAATTTAAGTCTCAAATGTGAAGTCATTTAAATGCTGTTGGATCACAAATTAATAGGTAGAGGGCACTCTCTGACTACTATTACCATTCACTTAATTCACTCATTCATGTGGGTGGCGCTGTGGGTTAAACCACAGAGCCTAGGACTTGCCGATCAGAAGGTCGCCGGTTCGAATCCCAGTGACGGGGTGAGCTCCTGTTGCTTGGTCCCTGCTCCTGCCAACCTAGCAGTTCAAAAGCACATCAAAGTGCAAGTAGATAAATAGGTACCGCTCCAGTGGGAAGGTAAACGGCGTTTCCATGCGCTGCTCTGGTTCGCCAGAAGCAGCTTAGTCATGCTGGCCACATGACCTGGAAGCTGTACGCCGGCTCCCTCGGCCAATAAAGCGAGATGAGCGCCGCAACCCCAGAGTCGGTCACGACTGGACCTAAACAGTCAGGCGTCCCTTTACCTTTACCTTAATTCTTATCCAGCTGAAATAGCAGACAGAGTGCCCTCTAAAACACAGTGTGAATTGTGTGATCTGTATTTATTCAAACCAACTTTAACAGCTTGTTTATTCATATTTGAGAGGGAGAGAGGAAGAAGCAAATTTCAATCATACAGAAAGTCCCAAAAAGTTTGCTATACATATACATACACACACACACACACAAACACAAAAATCTCCACTTGTTCAATCAGGAACTGAATGCACACCTACTTCAACTATCCCCTTGCCTTACCTGTGAGATTACAGAGATGTACACTGTTGGCTTCCAGGCAAAGTGTGATTTGTATGCCGCTTGGCATACAGACTGGAATTCCTATAACTTTATACCTGTTTCCTATTTCCATTTTATTAGATAGTTCATCTATAAATTAGCAAATAAACATGTAGGGATGTATGTATCTGCTTAAGACATACCCTGCCTTTATTCATAAAAGCTAGGTAGTTAACAACAGGAAAAAAGATCACAAACAATTTTAAATGTTACGGATACTAAGACTGCAATTCTAAATGCTCTTACCTGGGAGTAAGGGCCGTGGAACTAAAGTTCAGGTAAACATGCACTGTAAAGGAGCAGCAGGAAGCAACACAACATGGAAGCAGTAAAAACTATTCAAAAACCAGGGACAGTTGAAAACCGGCTTAATTAAAACAGCCATTTGGTAACCAAACGGCTTACTGAAGATGAAAGTTTTCCCTAACTTGCAAAAAGTCACACATAGGATTGCTCTGCCCAGCTTACTGCTTTATGTAGTTTGGTCTATAAAGGCTAGATTACCTTTATGAGGATAGAAATAAGAGTTACCTGTAGGAATGATCCATTCCCACCATCTTCCTTCTGCATTTATAAGATTGAACACAAAGCTGCATTCATGTGACCAAATCCATCTACTTTTAAAATATTTTTTTCTTTTTAAAGTTTTTATTGGAATGTTTTCCATAAGTAACAAAAGTACATTCAGTGTCTCGGTTTTTAAATTGTAGCATCCTTCATACAAATCAAATACAATCAGTTTGAGACTTTTTTGTTGTAGACAATGTGGGGTTGAGAGAGGGGAGAAAGTAGAGAAAAAGAAATTTAGGAGAGGGGGAAGGTGAAGGACACATTAAACTTTCATTTTTGCATATATGAGTGGAGCTTTTTTGTCAGTGTCACTTGGATAGGTGTCTTATTATTGTTGACAGAATAAGAAGTTAGAGGGCCCAAGGTATGGTTGGTTGCAGTTGATTGGTAGTGTTTTGGGGGGGGGCATTGTTAGGTTACATTAGCCATATTGATTCATATGTTGTCGGGCGGGGGATCAGTCATTGTCTTGTTGGCTTGTGTATGTGATGAAGGGGAGCACACTTGGGTAAAGGCATCCTTTGTTTGTCCCATGGTCATTTCAGTTTGTTGCTAAGTTTTTCTCGTAGGGCAGTTTCCCATACTGTCTGGTTATGAGACTCCTAGCTGCTGAGAGTAAGTGGTTTATAAGTTTTTTGTCATGTGAATGTGCATTATTGTCTTGGAAGAAATTTAGTAAGACAAATTTTGGAGTTGCTTCTATTACCTGTTTTGTTAATTTGCAAATTTCTTGTAAGACTGTTATCCCAAAAGATTGAATTTTGGGGCATTCCTACTACATCTGGAGGTGTGTGTCAGTGCCAGTGGTTCCTCTCCAGCACTTAGGTGAAATTCCTGGGTGTATCATCACCAGCTTATGTGGTATTAGGTACCACCTGTAGATAAGTTTCAGGGTGAGTTCCCTTCTCTTGCCTGAGAGAGACTTAAAGGGTGGTTTAGTCCACAGCTTCGACCATTGGGTTGGGTTTATTTCATATCCTATGTCATGTCCCCATTCAGCTTTGATTGCAGTAAGGGGACTTGTAGTGTTTTGGAGTATTGTTTTATATATTGCCAGTACTGTCCCTTTGCTACTTTTTCCATAATTGACCTATTTCAGCCTTGTGGTTCATCCACTTTTAACTTTGTTATTCTGAGTGGTTCAACATGCAGTCAACTGTGTTCAGAAGGCTTTTAAAAAAGACTTCAGGCAAACTTTTAAAGCAAGAAAAACCACACTTTCAGGGCATTACATACAAAGCAGATTTTGTTCAAGTTATTTCAATTAGATGTGTGCAGGAGAAAAATCTCAGTTGATTGTCTCAAAAGGACATAAACAAACCATTTAAAAACAACAAAAACCGAAACACAGAAATAGGCTCCTATTTTAAAATCTGTGAGGATGAATTATGTAAACCAGAAATGGCAGAGATCTCAAGAGAATAAGGGAAGTAGCTAGATTGAGGAAGGATGTTACAAAACCTAGTTACTTACAGAAAAGCTTTATCATATGAACTGAAAGGAGGAAGTCAAATTCCAAGGACAAGATAAGATTGTGTTTATTTTTTAAAAAGAGCCTCTACATTTTATTTTCACATACTCCCCTTTCCTAATATATGAGCTTCTCTACATATACATTCACATTTTATTGATAGACATATCTATTCAGAAAGTGAAAGATTTATTCCATCCAAATGCTATTTTGTATAACACATGCTAGACTAACAGAATTCTGCCACACTTATCAGCCTAATAATAAAAATTAGCATTAAACACAAAACTTACCTCTTAGAAAAACTGTGAAAGATTGAAATCTGAAAGGAGTTTTACTGCTGGAAAATCCTTGAAAAGCACTAATTGCTTTAGCATCAACTATTTCAATAACCTGCTTATCTTTAAAAAAGAAAAACGTAAGATTACATTTTAAAAAATTAATCAGAAGTCCATCTCAAGCCAATTGCCCAACTGGGATTAGTATTATTAAAGAAAAAGCATTCTAAATCATCCCAACACTCAGAACTATATCCACTCAAATACTTTAGTACTACTCTTCCTAAGCTTTATAACCTATTGACAAAACGGTCAAAAAAGTGAAGTTATAAAGTGATCTGAATCACATAAAATGTTAAACCAAACCATGACTTAGCGCAAACACTAGCACGTGTGGGCTCCCAGAGAGGAGACTGCAGCTGTTTTGCTCCTTCTCTGCGTGTGCCGTGGTGCTGTTGAGAGCTATGTCATGAGATGGCTTAGTGTGTCATCCAAACCCAGGCTCATGTTTTGTTTACTCAAGACAAACACAAGCAGCAAGCCATACAACAAACCTTGCTACATCTCATGGTTTGTCTTGCGCGAGACAAATATCGAACCTGCATTCAGGCTTGGGATGGATGGATCAAGCTACTGTATCGGTCCAAATATAACCAGCATCTTTTTCCAAATTTGGGCCATAAAAGTTTGGCTTATATTCATGACCTTATGCCCCCCCCCAAAGCAGTGCAGGGCAATGGTCAGCCCACCCACAACTCCCAAACCTCCCCCAGCGCCGGCTTGGGGAGGGAGTGCCAGGAGGTGGTAGTGCCAGGAGGTGGGCATGCAGCTCGCTTGAAACAGAGCACCAGCGCCAGCTTGGGGAGTGGAGTGCCGAGCACTGGCGCAGGCTACCTCCCATTCCCTGTTCTGGGCAGTAGTGCTGGGATGCAGGCCGCACCCACAATTAAGCCTTGAATTTTAAAGGTGCGGCTTATTTGTGGGTGTGGCTTCTATTTGGACCAATACAGTACTTTTGTCTTGTGCTGGTTTCATGTTAACAAAGCTGGGACAATTTTGTCCAGTTCATGGGGCAATTTCTTTACGAAAATCCTTTAAAAAGAACCCAGTTTTACGAACAAAAAGTACAAGATAGTACAAAGGCACCTTTCCTCTCTGACCCATTTTAGTTGCTTAAACCAGCTAATACCTCCTTTGTGTTGACACAACTGAAATTCTAATTTATTTTTTTTAAATGGCCTCAAAATATGATGGTATATCTTAACGTGCAGTCCTTTCCTGAATTGTACAGAGTTTAAAAGGACAATCTCCATAGACGTATGGGGGTAGCCACCTTTTCCCCTTCCCTTTTAGCATTTTGTCTTTAAATTATAACCCTGTGAATGTCTGGTGAAAGAAATTATCATATGCAAACATGTATTACTGGGACACTGAAACCTCAGGAAACTTTGTGATTCAAAAATAAGTCTACTAATTAGATTTTCTTCACACACTATAAAATGCTAAGAGACTGGGTTAAATCTGTATTTCAGACACATTCAGACTTAGGAAGTGGGGAGCCTATCAGAGTCCCAATGTAACCATGGGGCATACATTATAAGCTTCACTTGATGTAGGGATGACTTTGAACTCCCTCCTCCATGTTTTTTCCTTCTCTTGTTGCCCAATAGTACACCTCACCATAAAAATATAGCTATTGAAATGGTATAATTTAGGGCTAATAACTACTATATAATGTTTACCACCAAGTACTCTGTATTTCATATCTTCCCGCAGTGGTGAAGTACACAAAGTGCACACAAAATTGTTTCTCACTGTTGCAGATTCTGTCGCTCCAGGAGTATGTACTCTTATATACTGAAATCCTAGGGGAAGTGTATAAAAGACCATATTTAAAGTTCTAAACATTCACAAAGTGCTATATATTGATTTATAAAGGTTTCCAATTTAATTTAATTAATCATCACCAAATGATCTCTGATAGTGTACCTACTTGAAAAGAATATTGACATCCCGTTCATTCATTTGGGGCAAGTGCCAAAAAAATTGGCATCCCCTTTTAGAGTTGTTTGAATGGCACACTGCTTTGCCATCGTAATACAGAGTCCTCAGTTGACTATAAGGTATGATAGTCAGATTCAGTTAAGACCTGCCATGCTAGCGGAAATCATTGTAATGGCTCCTGCTGAGCCTCCCCTCTCCCCTCCCCTCCCCCACATCTCCACCAAATCCACTGTAGGGGGTCAGAAGAACTCCCAGAACAGTATGCAGGGAGAGGAGAGGATGGAACGTTCTGTCCATGGAGAAGGAGAAGTCTGAATCCCACCCGTTGTCCACCAGCAAACAGAAATATTTGCATGATAGACAACAGAAGTAGAGTATAATCTTTTAATTTTTGGAATATACGATGGAGAACAATCCACTGAACACTACTGCTGAGTGGTATGGTCAATGGCAAATGATCTAGCCAGTATAGTGCGGGACACAGAGATGCATCTAAACACAACAGGCAGGCATAAAAGTTATGAACACAGAAATCAATTATCTTCTCTGCTTTTTCCTCCTAGTCCCTTCTACAGCCAATGATCTGCTTGATAGTAGGAAAATCAGTTTGTGAAACGATGTTCATGTGTATCCAGTATGAGAAATCACAGGTCTATAACGCTCTTGCAAATATGTCAGCAACATGCAGTGTATTAGATTTTATATACAATGTCTTGTACAAGTTTACGGTATATTTTTTAAAAGCTGGATTTACTGGTGTAAGTCAGTAAGTTATAATAGAATTCAAGATTCCAGGTTGGTGTACCTTCAGAAAACGGACAGTTTTCATCACAACAAACAAATCTTGCTCCTTGTGTATATTTTGTTACAGTGGACATTGCAACAACTATTCCCTCTGCCATATAAAATCTCTGAGAAGTGTAATCAAATGGAAATTTGCAAAGACTGAAAATATAACTGGGCAGGGAAGGTAAATGTGTTAGTTTCAGCACTATGCTCATCTGAAAAAAGAGAGACAGAAATACCATGATGATGATGCCAGTTATAAATAACAGATACTACAATGGTACCTCAGGTTACATACGCTTCAGGTTACATACACTTCAGGTTACAGACTCCGCTAACCCAGAAATCCAAATCCAAATAGTGCTTCAGGTTAAGAACTTTGCTTCAGGATGAGAACAGAAATTGTGCTCCGGCGGCGCGGTGGCAGCAAGAGGCCCCATTAGCTAAAGTGGTGCTTCAGGTTAAGAACAGTTTCAGGTTAAGAACAGACCTCTGGAACAAATTAAGTACTTAACCCAAGGTACCACTGTACAGTGGAATCCTATGCATGCCAACTCAGAAGTCAAAAGGGCTTACTTCCAAGGAAGCTTACTATAATTAAGATATGCCTTGAACGCATTTCAGAAGAAATAGTGCAACAAACTAAAAGGTCAGTGAAGCTATATTGTTTTATAAATACAACTAATTTCTTTAAAAAGTGAAATACGAAAAGCAGAGTTCAAACCTACCTGAGCTTCAGTCTGTAGCTGCTGAATTAGTGACAGTGTTTTAACTGCTGTAAAACACACCTATAATTCAAAACCCAATTCATTTCATAAGGCAACTACAGTTTAAAAGAGTGATTAACAAATTTCACCAAAATATATGAGATTCCTTACAGACTGAAAAATCTGAGTGGCCTTCACAGGTTTATGCAAAATGTAATTTCCAAGGGTAGCATCCAACTCAATAATATCAGATGGATTTATCAATATAGGAAACCGGAAAATGGCATAACTTTGCTTTGAATCTGTAAGAGTAGAAAGTAAAAACCATCAACATTGCCCTTTCCTGATTTAAACTATAATTTTAAAAATTGCTAAATACTACCATTGTATAATTTGCAGGCATTCACAAATTTCTGAAGGCCACCACTCCTGTCAAGATAAATCAATGCAACTTCCTTCATTCTGAGAAGGTCTGGTTTCATTTTCTCTGATGGTTTTGTTTCAGTACTAAACCCTTAGATCACAGGTACACACTATGGGGAAGAATTTGATATGTCAGTAAGGTCAAGACAATGGAACATGCAGTAAGAATTCTGCAGTGACAAGTTACCATTAGCACTTACAGAAAATGAATTATATAATACAGAGGTTGATGCCATGGCACCTGCATAGGCCTTGATTGATATCCCTGGGCAGGCCCCCACCCCAACTCTGAGCTTTCTTCTTTCTTTCTTTTTAAAGAAACTTATGAAGCAAATTGTGCAGGTACCCTTCCAAGTATTTTCTTTGAAATGAGTGCAGTGTATACTGTCCTCGCAATGTATATGTCCATACAGAGATACGTCTCCTTGTGTTTAATGGAGCTTACTCCCAGGTAAGTGGGTACAAGATGGCAGCCTAGGCTTTGGTTGGGGTTGGCATTAGGGGAAAAGAGGGTTCTTGTGCCTTTTAACAGCTGTAAGACAAGCAGAAATACAACAGGTTAATCATTTTCTATTAGAGAAATACAATTATGGGAAAAGCTTTATCATAACGACTCTCTTTAATTTGTTATGTAATGCTCGCCATGACAGCTATGTTACACTATGCTATGCTCCCATGGCAGTTATTTTGTGATTGATGTTCATAGCACTTAACATTCAAAATGCACCCACTGGTCCAAAAAGTTTGGCAATCCTTGATATAATGCAAAGCCTTGCTTAATTTATTCAGATACTGGAGAAGGATCAGAGTACTGGAATATGCTTTAGATTACAAGCCAAAGCATTAGTCCTGTGGACGTGTACTTAGCAATATGGGTGGAATCTTTATTACTTTTTTTTTTTTAAGGACAAGCAAAATATATTCACTATGTTCTGGTCTTAAATAATTTATAATAAATTATTGCAGTATAAATCTTATAAAAGGAAACATCTTGCTGTATCAGTTTTGTCAAGAATTTAAATCCTAACATATTTCAGTTGGACTTCTATGTAATTAAGAGGAAATTAGATAATGCATAAGGAATTTGGGTTGGGCATCTGATGATCTTAACTGTAAAAACTACATGTTAGAAATATTCTACACAGCTTTTAGCTTTTCCAGTACTCTGATTACTCTGCAGTCCCAACAGTGAGCACTACATCTACACTTATTTGTACTGGGGGTTAGGAAACTCCTGTTCCATCCAGTGGGAGCTTCCGTCTCACCAATGAAAACAGTCATGGGGGGATGGGAATCCAGATTAAGACTGCAAGGGGGATAAAATACACTTCCTCCCCACAAGTGTCCCAATCGGACACTCTCTCTCACACACAATTCACTTTTTAAAAGACATTCAGTATGAACAGAGTTGCATTTAATTTGGCCACCCAAAGTCAGTGTACTGTAGTGGTTAAAGTGTCAGATTAGATGATGGGAGACCACAGTTCAAATCCCCATTTGGTCATGAAGCACAAGGAACACTATTCAAAGAACTATGCTCGGTATAAAGTCAAAAATACCCATTCAAGTAGTCCCAGTTGTATGTTCTGTCTGGAACAGTAGCATAATCTGCCCACCAGAGAGCTCTGGATATAACCCTATGCCACCAACTGGGCAGTTGCTGAACAATTTTGAAATGAGGGGGGCTCAGCAAGAAACAGAACCAAAGATATCAGTGTCACACATTCAGATAGGGTGAAATAATTTAAATGGTGATTTAAATCTAAGTTCTTAAGTGTCATTTTCCATCATGGATATGATAGGATAGGGATTTCAATATGAAAAACAAAGAGTAATTGTGGAGCAAACACATATTCTAACGTAAAAAACCCCCAAAAAGCTCAGCAATTTTGGTTTCTTCCTCAAAACCCTTCCATTTCTGCACTGATGTCGCAATGGCCCACCTCACTACATTGTCACCCTTTACTGCCATTATTAATATAGCTCTGTCTCTTCTTCAGGCATGCCAAAACCAATGTGTTACAGTTCTCTTGCAATGGTGCATTTAAAAAATCCAACTAAGTTGTTTGTGTGAAATGAATCCAACAACACACTTGAACTTAGCCTCACACAAGCCATTGCATGCAGTTGTACAATTTCCCTGTCTTGTTTTTCTTCAAATCAAAAGCATCCTTGGAGGTGGCTGTATGTTTAAGTTGAAGACTAGCACAACAGCAAAAGGAGGAGCTGTTTAACCTTATGGGTTCTCCCCCACAAGCTGATTTTCAGCCTACAAGCAGGAGGATATAAGTGGCTCTATGTATTTAATTTAATGTTTAGGGAAGTTTTTAATGACTGATGTTTTAATGTATTTTTAACCTTCTGTTGGAAGCCGCCCAGAGTGGCTGGGGAAACCCAGCCAGATGGGTGGGCTAGAAATCTATTATTAATTATTTATTATTATTATTATTATTATTATTATTGAAAAGTGGTCAAGATTCTATCACACATCATGTGCAGATTTGTGGCGAAAGAGTTATCTGTACCCACCCGTAGTTATGTGTGACTGAAAGATGACAGTAAACCGATTAAGTGGGATTCTAGAGCCCCTGTCATAGAGATGGCACTCCAAAGGACAAAAGTGGGAAAGTGTCTAGCCACCCCACCCCAAAAAACCTACTTTTCTCCCTACCTCCACTGAGGAGCAATGCTGGCAATAGCAGGCCCTGAGCAAATGAACAAGCTTTCTGTATTTTCATTAACAATTTATGCCTATTACAGAACTTTTCCCCTCAGACTTGTCCTCCCTCATATTCTTTCTAGTACTGCCATTGCTTCCTCATTAGCCTTTCACTCAGAGAAATAAAACCACTGAACTTCCACCCCTCTTTCTGTTCCTTGCGTGTCTCTGAAGGGGAGCTGATCCAGGCACAGAGAAGGAGCCAGACTTCAAACTTCCCTCCATATGAACACTCCTCAGAAAGAAACAATGGTCAACATCCACTTCAGGTGGACGCTGTTTGTTGCTTGGCAATCCTACTGCCAAATCTTACATTTTCAAGTTTCTGTTCCACAACTCTGCTGTCAGCAGAGATATTCTCAACTCTGATAGGATAAAAAGCATCACAGGCACAAAATTTACCTCAGATTGCTTTAATTCAAGGGACGTACATTTCCCCTCAATTACTTACTATCTCACCAAAACTGCAATCCTAAGCAACTCTTACAAGGGAGCAAGTCCTACTGAACTCTCTGGATCCTACTTCAGAGGGAACTTATTTTGATTTAGGCTTGTTAGTTTAAGTAATCTTTGAAAAAATTGTAGCAATATCAACCAAGTGCATTTCAGCGGTCTTCATCAGTGGTCTAGGGTATTTATAAAAATGAAACAATTTTGCAGAAATAAAAATCCCAGGTTAACACTTCTAAAGCAATAATATTTCAAAAAGAATGAACTCATACTCAGTGATAGGGTTTGATTTCTAATATTACTTACAAAACACTCCACTTCAATCCTGTACATAATGAAGCACTGAAGTGCAGTGCCAATCTTATTTAAGTGGTTATATATTAGAAGCTAAAGCTTGTCAGTGACTCTGATTTTTTGTTATTGAAATGTGGTTGATTTTCCTTTCAGAAGTGCTGAGCCTGAAATGCGCATTTTGATTTTGCGGAACTGTTGAGTTTTAAATAACACACTAGGCCACCGATGAAAGCTCTGCTGAAACACGTTTAAGTAAGACAGTGGTTCTCAAACTTTTCTCTGGGCCATACTTTCAGAATACAAATTTGCTCATGCCACACACATTGGAAAACAAAACAGCAGTGCTTGATTTATAACACAGAACAGGACTACTTTATTTCTTTGATTGTGCTTGAATCTTCCCGCCACACTTGCCCTCCTCTCCTGCCACACTCTTTGAGAACCCCTGACCTAAGGAGTTGGTAGGAGTGCGTGTGTATGTATGCGTGTATATGTATAGTGATAGTATCCAATTGTTAATAAACAAAACTGTATTTTCTTTACACATTTTCAAAGCATTTACACATTTTCAAAGCATGAAAAAAAGGAAATATCTGCTTCCCTCCCTTTTGTTGGCATATTGTGAATGAAAGATATATAAATAGACGAGGATATATTTATTCTGGATTAATTAGACCTCTGTATTAAAGTACTTGTATAAAAAGGAGTGGCTAAACTAAGAAACCTACATCTAAACGTGTTTATTCTGAAGTAAGTCCCAGATAATTTGGTGGGTGCCTGCTACCTAGCAATAGCCGATGGGAGTGTTGCCATGAGGGTATTAGATTGAGGTGAGAGAAGCATTTCTTTCAGTTGCTGGGGGCTGGATTGTAATTTCCTTTTGCAGCTAGAGTTCGGATCCCAGTAAAAGATGCACTAATCTAGCACAAAAGTGGGTCTTGTAGCTGGACACCGGTTGTGTTTGTTTGTCTGGAGCCTCTGCCAAGTGTAGTTTAATTCTGCTGGTTTTTATCTTTTCCTCTTTTGTTCCTAGTTTGTGCTAGGTATCTTCCTAAGCTTAGTCTCTCAATATGAACTTTCCTTCTAGGAAGGTTAGATATTTACTTTACTTTTAAAGCAAAGCTCAGAGTCTGGGCCCCCTTGCTGGCATGGGCCGTGGCAACCTGATTGTGCCATTATAATCTGACCAAGGGTACTCAGTTGCAGTCTGTTTGCATTGGCTTGATACTGCAAGATCTCTTAGTGCCCAGATTTTGTTCTGTTTTGTTTGGGTTTGTTGCTCCCTTTCTCTCTATTTTCTTTTCATGATTCAAGACTTTAGTATAAAAATCCAAATAATGGCCACAGTGGAAACAAGTCATGTGGACTATTTTCTTCAAGTTGTAAATTCCATATTTAATTAATTCCTTTGAGGTTTCTGTTTTCCCCAGCCACAATCACAAAGTTCCACACTGGATTTAGGAGAGTTGGGCAAGTAAAAAAATGTGTCTATTGTGGCAGTCAGTCTTTTTACAAATGGACTGTGTTAGCTTTTTTTTAATCCAAGCATGAACTAATCAAAGTATAGATCTCATGAAAGTGAATTTTAATACAATCAAATTGAAATATATTAGTTTTCTAAAGAACAAGAACAAAATTTCCCTTCTACAAATGCAGTCATTTTTTTTCCTTATATATTTCTTTGGAAAAAGCCATTTATCTTCTACAAGAAGAGGAAAAAGGTTATAGTCATTATGAGAAGCATACTTAAGGCTAATTTGTTCCACCTTTATTTAACCTAGAGAGCACATTTCTAGGTTTTACTAATGGAATGTATCAAATTACTTGAGTAAAGTGGTAATGGTTGCAATTCAGGGCCCAGTATAACTAAAGGTGGCAGAGTTTGGCCTTAAGATGGGAAATACTGTACAGATTCTTGCTTGGAGTTAAGAAGAAGTGATACCAATAAATCACCTTGGCTTAAAGAACAAGCAAATTGTGCAGAGTATGCTTATCTTCTTTAAAAAACAGTGCTATACAAAAATATTTGCATAGTAACATTTCAAGCACAAAGTCACTAGAGAGCTTACAAAGGCCTTTAAATGAGAAAGTGTCCTGCTTTGAAAGACAGACAATTTGGAGCTATCAATGTAAACTTGGGGGGGGGGAACAGTCAGTGTCCTTTCTTACAGAAATGTCTTTTCTTACAGCTAACTAAAGTATTGGTTCAAAAAGTATTTTTGTACAGCAGGTGTAACAGTCGTAAGGAAGTAATCCAAAATGCCCAGGTTCCTCATATTACAGCAGAAAAAGTTTGTTCAACATTTCAAACGAGGCACTAGTTGCACATATTTTTGAATCCGTTCACAATCAAAACATTCCAGTCCATCTAAAGATGACTTGCAAGTATTTCTTAGCATCCAGAAATCTTAGTGAAATGAGTCCTCAGAAGGTGGTGCATAAGAAAATCCAATGAATGCATCATCTGCTTCCAGCACACTGGCATTTACAATATTATAGTCAGAAGAAATGCAAACTGAACAGGGTACCATTTCTTCTGTAAATGCTGTGTCAAAGTTTCTGATGTCATCTGGACCAGACTAGGAAATAAAACATACAAATTGTTGTAAGAATTGTTGTAAGAAAAAGGTATGGTTTCTACCTCTTGTGTTACATATTTCAGTAACAACAAAACAATTTATCAGCAAAATAATCAATGGTGCAATCTTACCAGGGAGTGTGTCCCAGGGTCCATAGGATATTGTGCACCTCCCTCTCTATGGGTGGAAGTAATGGAGGGAACCAAAAATAAAAATAGTTGTCCATACCTTCTGCCCTGGCCAGAACAAGCGGGCAGGGCTTAGGAAATAGCAGTAGCTCCACCACAGATCTTTACACCCTGATAGGATTGCTTTGCTAGTGTTAGTATATCTCATCATTATGATTACTTTAAAGCTCTGCTTGAAACTTTTTTTTTTCAAAGTTCTTTTTGCATATTTTCCTTTTTGAAGTTATTTGATACCATGATAGATTTTTTTCATGCCTTCCTTCCAACTAAGCATTTGAATTTGAGTATAATTATTGCTGCTGTTTTTTATAGCTCACCGTAATTACTTCTTGAATGAGTTCTTATATTCCAGTTTACTGAAGTATGAACTATTGTACCTACCACATTAGGATTAAACGGTGGTGGGATCTTTTTTTGTTCAAGGTCAGTCCAGCTGAGAGATTCAAAGAAGGGATGCCTCTGAATTTCAAGCTGAAATACAAGATACAATTGTATGATACATATACACTTGTCTTATACTGGTCAGAAAGCAGTCTTTTGCCTTTGTCAAGTACTTTGCTGATTTATATAAAAAGATACCAAAGATAGAGGAATATCTTAAAAAGAGTAATTTACCAAAAATAAAAACAGGCAAGTTAGCAGTATTAAATGAAGAAATAACAGGGCAAGAAGTCTTAAATGCAGTAAGTCAAGCAAAAGTTGGGAAATTGCCTGGACCGGGTAGGCTATCAGCTAAGTATTACAAGAAACTGAACAGCTTGTGAACCCTCTAAAAGATCTGATGAATTAAATTCTAAAAATAGGGAAGGTTCCACGGAGACATGGAAAGAAGCATATATAACACTAATTCCAAAACAAGAGTCAGTTAAAAATTATAGACCTATTTCTCTATTAAACAATGATTACAAATTGTACATCTTAGCAAACAGATTAAAAAAGGCTTTAGAGTCATATATTCATAGAGACCAAGCAGGGTTTCTACCAGGTAGACAAATGAAAGATAATATAAGAAATATTTTTTAATATAATAGAATACCTGGAAGTTAGAAATGAAAAACAAGCGGCCCTAATGTTTATAGACGCAGAGAAAGCCTTTGATAATATCTCTTGGGACTTTATGAAAAAAGTCCTAGAAGAGAAGGAATTTGGAGGAAATATATGAGGGGAGTCTAAGCTATTTACCCAGAACAAAGAGCAAAACTAATTGCAAATCAAGTGATAACAAAACAATGTGAGAATCAGAAAGGAACAAGACAAGGATGCCCGTTATCACCACTTTTATTTATTATGGTCCTGGAAGTTTTAGCAAGGAATATTAGAGAGGATACAGAAATAGTAAGTATTAGGAAAGGTAAATATAAATACAAATTAAAAGCTTTTGCAGATGTTTTAGTAATTACTGTAGAAGAACCAAAGATATCTCTCCCAAAGGTAATAGAAAAAATATAGGAGTTTAGTCAAGTAGCAGGATTTAAACTTAACAAGAAGAAAACTAAGCTACTTCTTAAAAATCAAAAAGAAGAGAAGAAAGAACTATCCCAAGAGTTAGGAACTGAAATTCATAAAAAAGCTAAGTACCTAGGAATATGGTTAACAACGAGAAACATAAATATATATAAAGATAATTTTGAGAAAATATGGAATGAAATTAAAAGAAATCTAGAAATCTGGGGAAGGATGAATCTTTCCCTGTTAGGGAAAATTGCAGCAATAAAGATGAGGGCTTTGCCAAAGATACTATTTCTATTTCAGATGATTCCGGTGATAAATAATAATATATCCTTCAAAAACATATTTCAAAATTTATCTGGAATGGGAAAAGACCAAGGATAAAACATAAGATACTAACAGACTTAAGAGATAGAGGAGGCTTTTCTCCCCCATATGTGAAATTGTATTTTAAAGCAGCATGTCTTGTTTGGATATGGATTGGATAAAATTGGAAAAAGAAGAAGAGTTAGAACTAGAAGGACACAACAATAGATTTGGCTGGCACTCATATTTATGGTATGGGAAAGGGAAAATACATAAAGGCTTTTCAAACTGTATAATAAGAAAGTCATTAATAAGTGTGTGGAAAAATACAAAGATCTGTTAGAGCGGAAAACACCATGGTAGCTATCACCCACTGAAGCATTTTTACTTAAGTCGATCAAAAAAGTAAGCTGGTTGACATATAGAGAGTTGTTAACAGAAGAAGAAGGTAAACTCAAACTAAAAGAGTATGATGAGCTGAAAGACTATTTACAAAGTTGGTTACACCATAGGCAATTAAATGAAATTTTTAAGGAAGACAATAAAAAGGGGTTTAGTTATACAATCTCCAGATTTCAAAAATGAAATAGTGGAAGAGAACGTTAAATTGTTTAAAAAAGGATATAGTATTTTATTAGAGTGGGAAACCAAAGATGAAGAGGTTAAATCAGTTATCATTAAATGGGCTCAGGATGTGGGACACAACATCCAATTTGAAGTTGGGGAAAATTATGGAATGTTGATAGAAAATTCACAGATTGCATACTATTAAGAGAGAATTACATGAAAATGATGTATAAAAGGTATATCACACCAGTGAAAATGGCAGAGATATTTAGGAAAGAAAAGAACAGACGTTGGAGATGTAAGGAAAAGGAAGGAACATTTTATCATATGTGGTGGGAATGCAAATGCATTAAAAATATTGGGAAATGAATTTTGTCAAACACCCTGAAGCCTTTTTGTTAGGTATCTCAAATCAAGAGCTACCAAAAGAAAAACGGACATTATTTATGTATGCTACAACAGCGGCAAGAATCTTGATTGCACAATATTGGAAGATGGAAGAAATACCATCAAAGGAACAATGGCAAGAAAAACTGATGAACCATGCAGAATTGGCTAAGCTAACAGACAAACTACGAGAGGACAAAAAGGACTTCAAAAGACTCTGGGAACCATTTACAGTTTATTTGCAGAAACAACAGAATGGACTGGATTCACTGGCAGGATTTGAATAAACTTTCACAACTTCATTTGAACAACAGATATTTTAGAGAAATGATAAGGGATTTTATTTTTGTGTAGGAAAAGCAGGATACGATAAATAAAACTAAATAACTCAGCGGGGGGAGGTGGGCTGAGGTAAGTCCAGAAGAGGGGAGGGAGAATAATTGTAAATAACATGATGAATGAGATTTGTATCATTAATTGTTATAAAATTCAATAAATATTTTTTTTAAAAAAGAAAGCAGTCTTTTGCTGCCAACAAAATAAACCTTTGTAATATGCTAGAGTAGTATATTTCACAAGGCAAATATCCTACAGAAGCATAACTACTTGGGTGTTACATATGTTTTCAGTTTGTGCTGAGCCAGCCAAGCTAAAGAAATAGTCCTAATTGGAAAATGCATTTTGTTTACTTAAAGCAACTGCAGTAGCCAGACTCAGATTATTTAAATTGTTCCTATCAATAAATTTCCACACCTTTTAGGATTGCCTTGGCAACTGATAATTTGCTAAGGAAAGTCAATATTTAGAATTCTAAATTGATGTTATAGCTCTAAGCTTGACATTGCCTGTTGATTGATTGATTGATTGATTGGTTTCTTCAGATACATTACGTACAAAATCTTCTCTAGCTCCAAGTCTGTTTTGTCTCTCCTTCTCCAAAAGTTCTTCCAGAATAGACCAAGCCGTAAGACTGATGCCTGGCCTTAAATGTAGGGGTTTGTGGAGAATATTTTCATACATCTCAGCAACATCACGGCAGTAAAAGGGCGGCTGGAGAGAGCAAGGAAAACACACAATTAGGATGCTAAACTAAAAATCACTAGGCTTATTCGAGAAATGTAGATAAATGAATAATTTGGAATGTTCACTCATGCTAGATTGGACAGAGTTCACTTCAGAGATCACAAGGCAGAATAGTCAAAAACACCTGTTTAATCTGTGTAGCAAGTTCATGTCATATAAAGGCAAGAAAGGGGTTTTTCTGACCACCACTTTGGAGTTCTTGTCTCTTGGATACTCATAAAGTGGCTTATGAAGTACTATCAGCCCTTCTTAATAGCTGGGGTAGATATGTGGTAATTTAAATGAAATAAGCTGAAAGTAAGAATTTTGCTGAAAACTGTTATACACCAGAACAATATAAATAGCAACTATATACAAAAATTGCTTATAGTGCAAGCAATTGTGTGGCCTTTTGTGAGGTCAGTAAAGCATTTTATAATAAAGAGAGAAGAGGAAGAGTAACCCTCCCCAGCATTCTCCTAAATGCAGAAAAAACATACTCTTCGGCATAAGTATTACAAGCCTTTAATAGATACATTTTACCCTAGTATTGAGGAGAAATACAAGAGCAAATGAGAACATGTTGCTTATGTCCTGGACATTGACACTGGCAGCCTTTTCTAGCTAATTCCATTCTATTTAGCAATGAATAGCATCATTGCCACTTCAGTTGTCTGTTCCATCTGTGCTGGGGTGACATAATCTGTTTCCAGTAGAAAGTCAGGAAATTAACAACATAAAACCAAAAGCAGCACTAGACAATGCAACAAGATCTGCTAAATATTTATCAAATTTTATTAGGCAGTCAAGCCCAACAAAACCAAGTAACCTGTTCATAAATATGAATATGGAATGTAAGATGTGTTCTTAATATTGTGAATGATAGGAACAGTGCCTCTGATCCAACATCCCATTTCCAACAGTGGAACCCCACAATAGGACAGGAAGACAAAGATTCTCCTCTGTTTCCCCACAACAACCGCTTTGCAGAGACATCTGGAAGGACTGCTTTAAATATGATGCGTGAAAAACATGAAAATACTTACCAGACCATATAGCATTTCATACAAAACAGCACCAAGGCACCACCAGTCTACTGTGTTGTCATAGGGTTGCTTTCTGATCACCTCTGGGGCCAGGTACTATAGAGGAAAAGAAGTTTGACTAGTTATTCAGAGAGACAGCTCCTTTTGCCAAATGAAATATTGTGTGAGAGAGTATTGTTACTCTGATGAAGGCAGCTCAAAAATGTCTTGATTATAATCTCATAATATTAGAAATCACTAATAACACCACTGAAACACATTTCTGTGCACTCATTGCCTTTGCTGTTCTGTTGTAACGAAAAGATTTTGTAAGCTCTCTAGAAAGCTTGGTCCACTGTTAAAGAATCCTTATAGTCAGGTCTGTGCAGAGATTGTCTGAGGCCCAGAATGGGAGTCTTGTTAGAATAAAGTTATAAACACAAACAAAAAAGCAGCCAGTGCCTGGCTGGACCATCTGGCCAGCTTAGCCTTCTGAGGCACAGGATATGTGTACCTGGCTGTCCCCAGTCTCTGCCTGAGGGAAGGGACCCTCCTTTTTTAAAAAATGATCCAAAAGCCTTTTTGACTGAAGAGTGGGGTACCAATGCATTAAATAAATAATAAAATAGCATTCCCCCCCCCATGTTTAGCCTGTGTTCATTTTCTTACAATGTATACTTAAAATATTGTTTACACGTCTGTCACTACAAGGACCATATATGCACTAACATTTTCCCCACTAAAAAAACGTAGCAGCTGAAATGATTTTGCCCTTGAGACAAAGCCTATGAGTTTGCTTTTCAGCAAGAAGAGCACCAGCGCAGAGTAGCATGTAGCTTGTCTCTTACATTGGTACAGACCCACTGATTCAAACACTTCCTCCCCAGCACAGCAAGGTTTTGCAAAATCCACTGCAAAATATTTTCTTAAATCATGCAAAGACATTTACATACCTCTGGTGTACCACAAAATGTTGCTGTAGTTTCTGAAGTAGCGATTCCTTCTTTACAAAGCCCAAAATCTGTTAAAACAACATGCCCCTGCATTGAAAACAAACATTTTACTGTAAAATAATGCAGGTTGTTAGTGATCATATTAAAAATAAAACCTGGGGCAATAGGAAAATATATTTAATGCCTACCAGTGAATCTAGAAGGATATTCTCTGGCTTCAAATCCCTGGTCACACACAAAAAAAGAAACAGTTCAGAATAGGATTGTAAGTAGCACGTTTAGCAAATAATACCCACTCTCTTACATAAGCTTTTAAAAAGAAATCAAGCCTCTGTGGAAACCATGCTTTGTGAGCATGAGAAACAAATGCACATACAATAATACAAAATGCTGGCATTCAGCTTTGTGGTCATTTAGCCTACAACTAAATGTTGTAAATTATTACCTGTAATTATTATAAATTATTACCTGTATACAATGTTTATGGAGTGTAGGTAACCCAATGCACTGGCTATTTCAGCAGCATAAAACCTGGCTCTGTGTTCAGGAAAGGAACGCTCTTTTTGCAGATGAAAGAAGAGCTGCAAATATGCAGAGTGCAAGTTAAAAGAATGCAGCATTAAAAACAAAATAGATGGTGTCATTCTTAATGATAGATTAGCAGAACTGGCAATTTCCCTATAAACAACTATAAAAACAGTGAAAATAGATTCTCTGTGAGCATAATCATTCACATCCTTCACATCCTTCCTTTAATCATTTCCTTATTTTGTCACATCTGTAGACCCAGCATACTTGGGCCACAGCTGGTAAATGAGGTAGATTTATGTTTAGATGTGGGGCTAATATAAACTGCTACTGTGATGGCGTGAGCTGTTTGTTCCATATGCAGAGAATCAACACCATATTTCCAGCAGACTTGCTACAGAATCTAAGTGATGCAACAATATAACCATCTTGAATTAAGTTGACTCAGTTCATTATTGCAGCTTCTAAGTGAGTCTAAACTAGCGGTTCTGTCGATTTCAATGGGCACCACATTGCCACAATACAAAGACCCAAAAATATACCTACCTCCCCTCCATTAACAAAATCCAGAACAAAGTAAAGCTTCTCTGTAGTTTGGAATGAATATTGCAATCCAACTAAAAATGGATGCTTCACATTTTTCAACAGCACATTACGTTCAGCCATAATATGTTTTTGCTGCAAGGAAGTGAAAGGTCAATAAGTAAATAGGAACAATTTGGTAACTGGGAGGGAAAAATAAAATATCTATTTCCTTTCACCTCTTTCCTGTTGAGAATAATCTTTTTCTGCAGCACTTTAACGGCATAGAACTTCCCATCCAGTTTTCGTTTTGCAAGAAGAACCTGAAGAAGAATTTGCATATAGTGTGAAAGTCTGTTCTTGCACTAAAGTGCTAAAAGTAAAGGAACACCACTAAATTTCAACTTCTTAGCTTTTCACAAATACACAGAGGGTGCAGCCTTTATCAAGACTATCTGTCCCTGTAATAATAGTAATTAATAATAATAATAATAATAATAATAATAATAATAATAATATCCCGTCCTCCCTAGCCAAAGCCAGGCTCAGAGTGGCTAACAACAGTAAAAATAACACAGTTTACATAAAATCACAATCAATTAATTGAAATACATTCTAAAATCAATTCATTCTAAAATGTAGACCACTATTGCTACTCTTTCTGGCAGCAGCCGCCCAGGACCTAAGGCAGAAGTTTCTCTCATCACCTGCCAGCTATTCCTTTTTCCACTGGAGATGTAAAGGATTGAACATATAACTCCCTGTATGCAATACATGTGCTATAATCCCTCACCTCATGCCATCAGCAGAAGTGGATTTCTCCACAGAAGAAGCTCAGGTGGAAAAGTATGACAGAAGAATACGTAAAACAATTAAAATTAGGCCTACCTTGCCAAAGCTGCCCTTCCCAATAACTCTCAGGAAGTCAAAGTCTGTTGGTTTAGCACTGGAAGGGATTGAGGAAAAAGAGGGTTACTTAAAGTAGTCAAGATGGTAAGACAGTAGCCATGGTTTTATTTAGCAGTCCAGTGACAGACATGGCACACATTCCAACCATCATTATTTCTCTTCCAAGTGACCATCCCTTTTATATTATCTGTACTCTCATCCACAATTCCCATTTAGCCATCAGGCATCTACTCCTTTGCAGCCTCTCTGAGCAACAACCAATCCACATAGCATTTCCTGCTTTTATTCATCACTGTCCTCCACATTTGGTTTTGCTTGCTTGTTTTTGCTCAACATTTGTTTCACCAGATTCCCAGAACTTTGTCATTCCCCCTTTAGTTTGCACTAAACTCACAAGAAATATTCTCTTGGTACTGATTTGAGAAGGAGGAACTTCTTCTAAAACTTCTCAAAAGGGCAAATATATGCATGGAGCTGCTTGAATTTTTTCATGGTTAACAAACTCAGTCTAACATTTGGTTTATATTTAACTAAAAACCTACTGAGGATTTCCAGATGGCCCCAGGTTGATATTCTGTGAGGTAGAGTTTAGCTGTTGAAAGAAAGAGGACACAAAAGAATAATAAGAGTCATATCAAGGTTTTAATTATTTTTATTTGCTAGAAAGAACATTTATTCCTACATTCTCAGAGCAGACCCATCAATCTCAATAGATCTACCCTAACTAAGTATGACTAATGATTCTATAAGATCAGACAGCACTTTGTACACCAAGCACTGCATAATAGATGAACAAAATATGTATACAAGGCTTTAAAGTAAGTAGTGAGAGAGTTGGCCTTGAGTATTTCCTTAGAACTAGGATAATCTCAGAAGCAGTTCTGATGATAAGCAAGCAGCATCTGCTGTTGCTATGTTTACTATTTTAACATCCTGGATGTGCTTGTGACTTGGCTGTTGGAAGACCAAAGGATCCAAACCAATATTATAAATATAATAGTCATAATCTTTACTAGAACACAGGATATGTGACAATAAAATAGGCAGTAGAATAGAAAGTAGTCCAAGATTTAAATAATGGAATTATATGAAATATCATGTGGACTTACAATTCTAATTATGGATGAGGAAATACAAGAAGTGCTTTACTTTCCATTGCACTGCACTGTACAACAAGAATCCACACTTTCTAGGAAGGAACCCAGAAGTTTTAATTACCTTTTGACTGTTCCTTTCATCTTCATCTTCAGATGGATCATAATGGTGCTTTGGATTGTTCATCTGAAGAAATGCTTGGACATCTGGGCTAAAAAAAGGGGTGGAGATTAAATCCATCCATTATAAATAATAGTACATTAATACTTTTTCAATGTGAGCAGAGGAAGCTTCTCTATTTCACTACTTTCAGAAAGAAACATTACCAAATTTCTATTTTATCTGCACAGGAGCAGAAATAAAACAGGAGCAGAAACTATAATGACTACGTAAAATGGAAACTGAATCAAATCAGGGAGTGAATCTAACTGCATTATTCCCTGTTTTTATTCAATTTCCATGTTATAATTTTTGAGTTTGTTAATTAGAACCAAATTTCCACTTCCACTTCTAGAGTGTATACTAATTGGATAACTTGTGAACACCACCTGGAATAAGCCATTTCCTTTCTAACACCTTCAGCATTACTGTCATTTTCTGTTTCTAATTTGCTAATTTAATTAAAACTAAACTTAAACTAGCACAGAGAAAATTGCACACAACCAAATGCAAAGCAACAGAAACTCCAGCAGCAAAAGCTAGTGCCACAGTCAATGAACTCTTCTGCTAAAAGCCTTCTTAAAAAAAAGAAAGAAAAAGCTTCGAGTTAACAAGCTACAGGGAAGTCACCCAGGAAGTTGCCAAACTTGCCTCAGCTGGCGTATGTCCTACCATGGAATAGGTACTGCTCTGTATTCGTACAATTCAGGCATAGGCAAACTCGGCCCTCCAGATGTTTTGGGACTATAACTCCCATCATCCCTAGCTAATAGGACCAGTGGTCAGGGATAATAGGAGTTGTAGTCCCAAAACATCTGGAGGGCCGAGTTTGCCTATGCCTGGTACAATTGTTATATCCCTTGTGGATGGGTATAATAACAATGCCTCCCCCTTTAATCAGGGAACATGAGGAGGTACATTTGGAAAGAGGCACTGCTGGAGAGATACAGGCCTCTGACCTTGAAGGTTTTAAAGGCTGCTGTCAGCACCTTCAGTTGGACCTGGAAACTAAAAGAAGCCCACATGGCTGAGCCAGAACTGGAACAACGTGACCCATATTTCTCAAGAGAAGCTCAGCATGCTGCAGTAGCTGAGGCTTCCGAACAGTCTCCAAAAGGCAGCTCAGTGTAGAGCACTGTGCAATAGCCAATTCAAGAGTGCATCAAGTCTAAATGGCCCAGGGAGGATTACAAATCAGGGAACAAGAGTGGGTGTTTCAAATCTTTAAAGCATGTTGTCCACATCCTTGGACAACAGGAGTTTAAAATACCTATCAGGAGTGGACCAGCAGATAATTCAGATACTGCTCTCAGACTTCACGAAATTTGTGTGGGTGGATGCAAGAGATTTTATCTGATAAAATGTTTAAGAGATAGATTTATTTTAACATGAAAGCTCAATTGACAACTTTTGGGCTTTTTTAGCACAGAATTAAAATGGAGCTTTAAACCTCACCCAAGTTTTCTTCCCATCTCTCCAGCAGCCTCATATAATAGAGCTCTGGATTAAAACCAGGAACACGCCCAAGACCACTGTCTGATAAGGTAATGTCTAAATTCAATTGCATCATGAGCCAGACCACATTTGTCAATTTCATTAAGCCACCAGGCTGGTGACAGGAAGGCTGGAATCAACAGGCAAATTCCTCAGAAAGTTCTGGAATCAGTCTCTGAAGATGGACCAGTCAGAGAAGCTCAAATTTTGTACTCTCATTAATCTTATTGAAGCTCTTCAAGAACATCTAACTCTGCATAGAGACACGTGGCTAAGAAAAACAGTATGTCTGGGCTTCTTTTCAGATTCTTTAAGGTGCTAACATGTTTTGCCAACTAGTGAAACTGCACAGTCTAGAAACCTCTGTTTCTTCTATTTAGATAAAGTGTAAATTCAAAATATTATTGAGGCTTGAATGATGATCATCAAAGGCATGCACAATATTTAATTATAATTTTATATTTATGAAATTAACAGCTTTGAGAACTTTCCTTTGGGATGGAAAGGTAGGATTTTTTAAAATCTCATAATAAGTATTATTTAGGGAAGTCAATGACAGATGAACATTAGACCTTCCTTCCTGGAGCAAACTAGTCCATCTAGTTGAGCATTCTGTCTAATCACGGTCAGCCAGATGCCCCTGAAATACTTTCAAGGACGACCTCGTGGCGATTAGCCTTTCCTTTTTGCATGTGTAGCATCTGGTAGTCACAGGTGCAATTTTTTAAAAAAATCTGCTTATAGTGGAGCACTTACAAGCAATTTGTAAATAGCTTCCTTATTAGCTTCCTTATACGTTTGATAACATACCCTTATTTCTAGGAAAATATATGTGTGTGTTAACTTACTGATTGCAAAGTTCTGGCTGTCGTACTAAATTCTGAATGAATTCATTCAACCCTGCTCTTCTCTGCTTAATGAAATCTGAAAGAAAATTAGGAAGGACCATACATTAGATTTTATTTTTTTATTGAAGTATACACTTTTTTTCAGATTACTTCAGTGTTAATCAGTTCCATAATGTAAAGAGACAAAGGCCCACATGCTCCTGTTATCCTGACTGTATCCTCTAAGGGTCAATGGGTTGGTGAAACTGACTAGACCATACTGCAAGAAGCTTCTGGTCTTCAGACAAATAAGAGGTCTTACAAAAAAAATAAGAGATACACAAATACATGTGAATACGCACCAATCCTTTCAAACAACAAGTTTTAGTTCCACAAATGTTTCAGACAATTAAAATGGAGGAGAGAAGGCTTGGGCCAATGACATGTTGGGAAAGCCCCATGGTCGTCATGGCAGCCATGAAGTCCTGCGCTGCCGATTGCCTCTGCATGGATGTCGAAGTCCCCCAAAACCAGCAGTCCTGGAATCCTCAAGACCAGCTCTTTCAGCAAAGGCAAGGGTGGCAGGAGGTGAACCAGTGGATTCTCTAATCTGTCCTGATTGTCCAATGCTGGGAACACACACTCTAAATCCCCCCCCCACAACTGGACAGAGGGCCTGGAGAGAGAGAGAAAAAAAATTCTAGGGACCACAGCAACTCCCCAACTCTCAAGTCTACCCAGATACTGCACTGGGTGGGCACAGCTGGGTGATGCCAACTGTACCCTGTTCACCCACCCAAGTCTTAGTGATACAGAACAGATTGGCCTGCTCATCCACCATCAGATCACGGATGAGGGAGGTCTTATTCAGAGTTGACCTGGCATTCAGCAGCAGCAGTCTCAAAGGCTGACTTATATGACAACTGCAATTCCCCAGCTGGAGGAGGGTCTGGCACTCAGCACAATCGCTAAGTGCCTGTGCTGTGTGCCCCTTACTTGGCCTGCTCCACCTCCCGCAACATACTTCTCCCTACCCTGTAGATACTTGCTTGATTACCCATTTATTATCCTATCATCCAATCTTTACAAAATTTAACAAAGAAAGAAATCTGGTGCAACATGTATGGATATAATATATGCAGTAGAAAGGACATGTTGAATGAATCAAGGTTGACAGCTGGGTTTGAGAAGATATAACAGAAACTTTATTTGCGTTTAAGTAAGCATAAATTGGTCTGGTTGTTTACAGAATTGCTAAAATGGAAAGTAATTTACATCCCTTATATTTTATTAGCATTATACATTCCACAATGGACCAGAATATACCACTTACAATATAACAAATGAACGGCAGTGATGTGCATGAAACCTGCTGCATTAAGCACTATCAGAGTTTTTTAAATAAAAACAACAACAACCCCTGATCCTTAATGCGCTTGAGTTGGCAGAATTCCACTGATTAACAAAGTCTTGATTTCAACCTGTTTCAAAAGTCTTAAGCTATAAATAGAATGAAGTCAGCACTGAACCAAGATTTTCAAGGGATCTAATCACAGATTTGTGCAGAGAGACTAAAAGGTCAAACCAGCCCTTTGCTTGGTAAGGGTTTGTGCCACATGTCAGTCCACATAGAATCAACATAAAATGTGCCCCAAGAGGAGGGCGATAAACAAACACTATGCACTACAAGTATGTGGTACCTGCAGATCAGATGGCTCAAAAGCTAAGAACTCTTAATACCCAGTCATACTGTATTACTATTAAAAATAACTTTAAACAGACACTATGTTAGAGTTTATTGGCATTATAAACACAAATAGCATTTCTTACTTTGCAGCAGAACTTTAGAATATAGACATGCCAGGAAAAACATAACACCTTCATCCACAAGCCATACAATGATGCAACTAATCCTGCATGCCAAAAATACCTCGTTCCGTTCTCCCCCAAGCCCCAGAACTCTAGCCCGATCCTGTGCTGAGTGAAAAGCTGCTTTTAATTCTCAGGGGAGTTTCAAAAGGGGGGCAGGGGAGGTCACATCTAAAAGACCTGTCAAGATTGTGCTTGCTATCTCGCTTACATACCATCTGTATGTGGACGTTCAGGAGATGCAGCCCATAATGCCATACATTCACCATCGCCTTCATCATACATTTCTACATAAAATCCAAATGTCGCATGTGCAATGTTGTACTTGTAGCTTGGGGATTTTTAAACCCCTGTGGTCCTCCCATTATTTACCCATCCCTTTTCTTGCAAGTGTATTTTCAGGTCTACAAGCAGATGTATGACGTTGATTGCAAGGTAAATCAGCTTAATGTTTTCCTCTACTGTACAGACAAATGTTTCCAAGGAAAAAAAATCAGACACTGCACTCTGGCAATCAGCTACTCTGAATTAATACTCTGTGGATTTTGAAAGACGGAGAACATATATTCACCAATCAATGCACGCCAGTTACACCGTGTGAAAATTACTGGCAAGTTGTAGTTAAGAGGCAAGGATTTCCCGTAAAGGCAAAAAGCAACCAAAAAAGTCCACTGACTTTTGGCCTATGGTATCTAACTCCAACCATTTAGTAGGCTTTAAAAATAGCCTCTGCAGACACTGTTTTTAAAAAGAGCAATAAAAGAAGAAAAGAACTTATGTGACTTACCTGGATCAAAATTGTCTCCAAATATTCTTTTAGCAGGAATCTTCAAGTTCATAGTGGGAAATTGTTTCCTTAGCTGAAATACATAAAACACACAGGTAGTTTAACTTTGGAGTATAGATACCTTCCAGACACAGTTGTATTGGCAGAGGGTCATTCCTTGATTCAATTTTAGCACGACTCCCTTTACTTACTGTATTATACAGCTTATCAAACTCAGCGTATCGCCTGAAGACGAACCATTCATTATTGCCAACTGAGACCAAAACTTTGTAAACCTGTAGGGATACAAAAGTAAAATTAGTGAGAAATGCAAAGATTAAAATAACACAGTTGTGAGTTAATGAACCTGTGTACGTTTGTTGCTCGTTTACCTATTAAATCTTTGAGCCTGAGTTTTATACATAATTACAGGATGAGCCTGAAAGCACACTGCATTCTCCAATACAGGGCTGCTGAACACATTAGGATTTTTCAACATGAAGATACCAAGAGCGTCAGTGCGGAACACCCAAAACAGAGGCTCCAAGTAAATGCCACAGCAATAAGAGCTTATTGTTAAAATTGCATATATAGAACAGCATGTTTCAGCATTGCTATCTCCTGTTAAGTATTTTGGATCCCTGGACCCGTGAGAAAAACATGACTTATGGAATGGGATTTTCCTTTCTCCTTCTTCCCACGGTGCTCATCAAAGAGTCAGTCTTGAATGCTGGAGAATCATTAGAGAGGTGTGGAGGCTGCAGAAGGGTGGGAGAGTCAGCAAAGGTTTTGGCCTCTCTTGTACAAATGGATATGCCTTTTCACTTGTGCTAGATACTTTTTGATCTATGCCAGTAAAAACAGACTTTTACAATATTTCCAGGGCCTAACATCCAGGGAAACAAAATGTTTCTAGGAGTAGCTTTTAAATTAAACATTAATGAAAGTGAAAAGTTGCAGATATAAACTATAGAGTTGTGTTAGATTTATCCCGAAAAGGTTGAAAATGTACAGTAGTTAAGCAATTGCTTAAAAAGAATGTAGTGCATGAACAGTAACCTTCCATAATAACTGAACTGTGCATGATTAGATAACATATTCTCTAGAAATTAGAACAGCCACTATTTATAGTGGGCAGGACTAGATGTTGCAAAGCTGTACATGTTATATTAAATGTATGGTTTGCAAATTTACAACGGAGAGTCTTGATTCAAAGGAAACATTAATTTGCACATAGCTTTGCTAGGTACATTTTTAAAGGCAAATTCTACTTTATATGGTCATCTATTCTTAGCTACTTGCAAATCAGGGGAAAAAATCATAGTAGTATACATATTCAGTACATATACATGGCAAAAGGACACCAGGGGAAACATCTAACCAATAAGCAATGGCAATTTATTTTCACATCCATTCTGGCTATTTCTGCCAATATAAGCATAACAAAAAACCATGGTAAATGGAATAGTGCTATTACTGCTACTACTATTAACCCAGTGGTATTTAACACTAGACAATACAGTGGTACCTCGGGTTAAGTACTTAATTCATTCCGGAGGTCCGTTCTTAACCTGAAACTGTTCTTAACCTGAAGCACCACTTTAGCTAATGGGGCTTCCTGCTGCCGGCGCGCCGCCAGAGCACAATTTCTGTTCTCATCCTGAAGCAAAGTTCTTAACCTGAAGCACTATTTCTGGGTTAGTGCAGTCTGTAACCTGAAGCGTATGTAACCTGAAGCGTATGTAACCCGAGGTACCACTGTATACAATAGATTCACTGTTTGGATTACTCAAACTGCTAAAAAAGAAGGATGGGAGAAAATTGGATTTTTTAAAAACACAAATGATGGAAATGTTTACAGATTAAGAAACTCTGGATAAGCATTTCTGGATGTGAACTCGAACTGCATTAGGAAGTAATCAGGTTAAGATGTATAAATAATACTACAGATTAAGAACTGGAGTAGCTGGTAATGTGTTACTAATGGCATATTGATTGCTGCCAAATGGAAACTCCCAACGATTCCAACTATAATGAAGTAGCTTAACAAGGTTTGTCACACAAAGCTAAACTAGAGTTTGATGTATAGTATGTGCAATTATAAAAATCATTTTTGTTGTCTCACGCCATCTATTTGCTAGGTACTGTCAGCCTTTCTCAACCTTGTGTCCCCAGATGTTTTTGGCCTACAACTCCCATCATCCCTGACCACTGGTCCCGTGAGCTAGGGATCATGGGAGTTGCAGGCCAAAAACATCTGGGGACACAAGGTTGAGAAAGGCTGGTCTACACCATCATAATTTAAGTTTTTATATGAGTTGCCACATAATGATCATACAGCAAAGTAAAAATATAAGTATGCAAATGAGAAAAGCAGGTTGAATGTGTTGATTATTTGGGTTTTTGTTTTCAGTAAAAACTAACACATATTACTAATCAAGGTTTCTTAAATCAGGTGACAGCCCAACCTCTTAAGATATTATCCCAAAAAAATTCTTTATTGCTAGTAACAATCAGGAAGTGCAGCTCATTAATTCCACAGCAGAACCAGCATACCCTCTGGTTCTCAAACAATTATGAAAAACAAAAAAACAAAAAAAACCCTATTAAATCTTGAGTTTGCACTTACTTTGGAATTCAAGAAACCAATTTAGAAGGCCATAATGTATGTTATGTGAACTCAGATCTCCCAATGGATTTATTTACCTCCTCACTTTAATATGGCCACAGGAGCTCTAGTTTTTGTTTGTTTGTTTGTTTCTAAATTCATTGTGTGCTTTTGGTTTGTTGTTGATGTTTTTAAGAACATTTTCAAATACAAATATAAGAACTCAACAATTAACAAAATATCCTTTCTTGTTTGCATGTTGTAAGTAAATGTAAATAATGTATTGGTCCTCACTATTCTTTACCTACTATCAAGAAGACATTCACTCTTAATTAGTCAATCCATATAACACTATATCCCTTAATCCATATGAAGCAGAGGACTCACATTTCATTTCCAAAATAAAAATATAGTTTAGCCTTTCCAACCTTCTTATCTATTTATGTTATGAATGGGAAACACTTTTCCTTCAGCGGTCCTAAAGGAGACACCTTGACCCTAATCCTTTTCAGTTTTCCCCAAATTAATTACCCCTCCATGGGATGTGGGTGGCGCTGTGGTCTAAACCACAGAGCCTAGGGCTTGCCAATCAGAAGGTTGGCAGTTTGAATCCCCACAATGGGGTGAGCTCTCGTTGCTCGGTCCCAGCTCCTGCCAACCTACCAGTTCGAAAGCACGTCAAAGTGCAAGTAAATAAACAGGTACCGCTCCGGTGGGAAGGTAAACGGCGTTTCCGTGCGCTGCTCTGGTTCACCAGAAGCAGCATAGTCATGCTGGCCACATGACCCGGAAGCTGTCTGCAGACAAACGCAAACTCCCTCGGCCAGTAAAGCAAGATGAGCGCCGCAACCCCAGAGTCTTCTGCGACTGGCCTTAATGGTCAGGGGTCCCTTTACCTTTACCTTTAATTACCCCTCCAGGCAGCAAAACAACCTGCAGTGGGGAAAAAGGGTGTGCCCGTCATGCTTTGTTTTTTTCTACTCAATTCTAAGAGCAGCTTGTGGGAGGGGTTAATTAGGAATGGTGTAGGATGAAAGTATTAAATATCTCCTCTTTCACTGGTCCACTCAATATTTTCCTTTTCACACCTATTACAATCCTGAAGCTTCCTGTTAGTCCCATTTTGATATAACAAGGCCCATTTTTAAGTTCCATTTTGATCTAACAAGACTTCTGCTTTGGCTACATCAAGGAACAGTATTTTCCTTCGGAGGTAAGGAGAGACGGCTACAATATATTTGCATTATATTGATGGAGGGGGTGCCAGAGAGGGTAGAAAGAGTGTTATGATGGTCAACATCATTCAGCTGCAGAGGAAACTGCTCAGCAAAACAAAATTAGACCATGTTTTTGAAAGAAGTACTAGGTTGTTGTCATTACAATCCAGCAATTTCCAAAACCTACTGAAGAATACTATTGAAATATTGTTTAGTCCAATAACAAAATACAGAAGGTTGTCCAATGCCAAAATTACACACAGAATAAAAATACAAATCACATCCAGAGAAGCTACTGGGATGGGGTGGGGAGAAAGAACAGGAAACAATGAAAGGGAAACAGAAGCAAAAGGCACCAAGACTAACAAAGAGGGGAAATAGTGTAATTTAATGTGTTTGCATTCAATGGGGTTTTTAAAATAAATAAAAAGATCCACTGTCTATGCTGTTGCTTTCTGGTTTTTATAATGCTGATCAGCAACTTACATAAATTTGATCTGCTATGCAGTTCAGATGTTTAAAAGCCTTTAACAACATAAGTGTTACAATATCCTTGGGATGCACATTTTTATGTGTACTAAATTCTACAATATGCATAAAATCAGAGTTAACACATTAACCTTCACACCCAAATTTGCATATATGCTAATAGGCATGATTTGGAAACAACACTAAACATATTTTGTTTTAAGGGATCAATCAACATCAGGCTTGCTTCTTGTTTCATCTGAACTGAGTTAATCTGAACGATGGTTTGTTGAAACAAGCCAAAATAATAAACGATGCTTTGATTCTGGCTTGTTTAAATAAACTACCGTTTAAACCAGGCATAGGCAAACTCGGCCCTCCAGATGTTTTGAGACTACAATTCCCATCATCTCTGACCACTGGTACTGTTAGCTAAGGATGGTGGGAGTTGTAGTCCCAAAACATCTGGAGGGCTGAGTTTGCCTATGCCTAGTTTAAGCTAACCACAGTATTTGGATGTGTAAAAAGGGAGCACATACTTCTAATCTCTTCCTCATGCAGGAAGGGAGGGCAAACCATGTCAGCCCAAGGCTTGCTCACATAGTGCTAAATAATGGTTCAACATTACATCCAAACCACGCCATTAACTGAATATGAAATGGAGCACAAGAATAAGCCCCCATTGACTGAGAAAAGTGCTTTATGCTCACATACTTACAGTAAATCTTTTTTTCTTCACTCTGTGTTCATCAGAGCTGGGGATGCTAACACTTGGGCAGCTTTCCTTGACATCCATTATATGTTGTCTTTAGGCAAAAATTCAAGACCACCACACCAGGTATAGCAAAATGTAGAAAATGTCAGCAGTATTGATCTAAAACATGCAGCCTCTCTTGTGTAAATTTAAATTCCATCATGCAAACCTTAAATAAAATGAAACAAAAAGTTCAGCAGGTGACTGATTTGAATCATGGCTGCAAACTAAATTTTAATGATTTTCTAAATAAAGGTTATCTTTCCATGTTTGTATAAAGTGAAGATGATACAAGTGAGATGTCCTGGGAACTGGAGGCCAGTCAAGTCTTAAGAATAATAGCAGCGTGGCTATAGTAAGGCTTGGTGGTTGTATATACAGACAAGAGAAACGTACCAGTTGTGTTAGGTTCTTTTAACTCCAAAATACCACCATCACTAAAACATGGTTGGTAAATAACAAAATACTACTGTAACTTATTTATGTAACATATATGATATATTCATAGAGCTTTTCATGCATTTTCTTATTAATCCTTACAAGAGGAATATAACATAGATTAGTATTATTATTACATTACAGGTAGGGGCACAGAAATAAAGGTTTGCCTAAAGCCACATGGTTAGTCTGTGGCCAAGATGAGATAGGAACTTCCTTGCTGAAACTTGCAAGCAGGCATTTGTTTGTTTATGTATGCTTGTTTACTCAAAATTAAATCCCTACCTGTGATGGGAATTGGTAAGAGGATACATTAATTATATTTACTCTTCTAGAGACCCACGTGTGTGGGTTAACAAAAAAAAAAAAAAGTGGCTGGTGGTGTAGCAGAGTATTGAATCCCATTGTTCGACAGATTAATGAAGCATAGGAATAGGCTATTAAACATTTAAATATATTCAGCTGCAAGAAGCAGCTGACTCCCCCACCCTCATGTACTGAAGCAGACCACACTTTGAAGTAAGTTTAAATATGCTTTACTTACTTAATTGTGGTCACAGTCATGCATTTTCCTTTATGCAACAGCAGTAAGATAATGCAGGTAAAATACTTCATTGAAATACAGCTAGGTTTGACTGCTAAAATCTCCCACAACCTACTCATATGATACTTCATTGGCCCTTATGGTAAGAAGGGCAGGATATAAATTCAATAAATTTGTACATGTGTACAAAAGGTGGTGTCAACACATTAAGGCAGGGAGTGCAATTCTGCTCCTCTTCTCTGCATTTTGACAGTGTGCAAATGACTCTTATCTCCAGTGAGTTGCTCTAGAGGCAGCAGTTTGAGGTTCTTGCTTTGGTGCTCTGACCATTTTGCTTAATTTATCCCCAATAAATTTATCTTTCTTTCTTTTTTAGTTTCTTAAATAGCCTTATATATTTATAATAGAAAGGTAATTCTGAAGAACAAGAATATTCCTATCACCATCCAAAAGTGGTGGTTCAGTACCTAAAATGTGTTTTGTTATTAATCTAAAGTGGGTGAATTATCTGTTTAACTTGTGCTACTATAACAGGAAGCTTATTAAGACCTACTCTGTACAGTAAGGCATTTAAAGAAGTATGACCAAATAGATCAAGGCAGTGCTATACTAGGTCAAATTTAAATGATTATATGCAGGCATCTAGAGCAACAACACAGATACAAAAAGATGCAGAAAACTGAGTTGCTCCATTAGGAAAACAAAAAACAGTCAGACAGCCACAATCACAAAATAATGTTACATCAGGGCAAACTAAAATAATGGTTCTTTCAAAGTTTAACAGAATTGTTCTCCAGGTTTTATCTTAAAAAGTTGAGGAATGTAAACAGATGTTGGTAGAAGCTCCATCTGCAACATTTAAGAAAGTGATTGAAGAAGTTATAGGGCAAGTTGTGTCTAGGACTAAAGATCCCAGATTTCAACAAGGCAAACTGGAGCAAAGTATCAATGGCTACCTCTCTCTTTCAAAAGCCAGTAGTTATTGCAATCTTTCTCTAGCATAAAAAAAAAAAGGTCCCTTGTTAGTCACAGAGAACATGATTGTTATTATATTAGTAAAGCTGATACCGTTTCAAGTTGTCAACATATAATACCCAGTCTAAATAATATACACCTACAATAGTTCCCATCTTAAAATAGAAGTCTATGTTTCAATTGTATGTGCTCTCCCATTTTTCCATAAAGCCACTGTGATGTAATTCTCCTGTTAGGGAGACACCCATGTTTGTGTTGGCTGAAGTGACAAAGCACTTCAAAATTCAGTTATGAGGCTTGCTTTAAACATCCTACTAAAATATAGATTATGATGAGCCAATTTAGTTTTGTGCTCAGAATTATGTTGCTTCTGAGAAATTCAAGGTTATAAAATAGGTTTTTTGGATTTAGCAGGCACTGACAGAAAGCAATACATTATCAAGAGCAACGAAAAAATATTTTCTATTGAACTACACTGGCTTACTCGAAAATTGAGAAAATGATCAAGGCAAATGTAAATCAATCAAATGTAGATCAGTCTCACTAATTGAAGAGTTAAAACATGTGATTAAATTGCTTGTATTAAAACACACACACAATGGAAAATTGCATAAATACAGCTAGATTGTGTCCTATTTTTCTGTCAGAATTATTTTGTGCAACTAAGCTAACTCATATTTGCTCACGTACTGCCATTCTGGTGTGTTAATCGGTTAATTTTTAGATTGGTTAATTTTTAGAGCAAGCCATTTAAAATAAAAAAGCCTTTAAACAATATTACTTAAATAAAACAAAACTTTGCATTGAAATACAACATACTTCAATCCATTTGAATAACTTTAATAGGTATTTCTAAGACAAGCAGACTCTCAGGCCCACATTCATGTACACACTGTGAATAAATGTCCCAGATTTCTGTGCAGACACGCTTGTCTTTTAAACCATTTTTGTAGAGGGAGGGGGAAATGCAAGCAATTGTTTTCAGCAAATATGAAAAGAGCCACAAGACCCAGTATGGAATTCTGGACAGAGGATGTTGGACTTTTAAGACCTGTTTTCAGAACAGGCATCCATAGGTGGCAAGACCGCTCCCCTTCCCAGGGGGGAGGTGTGGTGATGCCGCCTGCATCACTGGGATTCCCGGATGCATCACACTCCATGGCCGACCAATCAGGTCAACTGGGGGCATGGCTCACCTGGATATAAACCTCTGCCTGGCTGGGCTCGGTCTCCTTTGTCTACTGCGCCGGATCTCCCCCCCCCCCTAATTTTATGCGCTCTCCATCTTGGCCTTGCTATGGACTACGGTTGGTCGCCTGTTCGCGGGGGGCAGGTAGGAATTTTCCCACTTAGCAAATTGGCACCAGCCATATGGTTTTCGCCTGCCTTCCAGCAATTGTCACAACTTTGTAAGGTTTGGCGGTTAGGCATTTGTAAACATGGTTTGTGGGAGGGGAGGTTGTGGCCTTCAGCTGCCCCTCTTCTTTAAGGGTATTCCGTTAAAGGCATCCGGGGGTGTGGTTCCCGTCCGAAGCCCGGGTATGGGCTAGAGCCATGCCACGACTCCATCGGGAACCCGGGGGGGGGGCCTCACAATTTATGTACATCAATAGGGCTCCCCCTATCAGTGGTTGACCCATATGAGACTACCTGCATGACGGGCAGGAGAGAGATATAGTCGGTTCAGTTCCAATGCCTAAGCCAAAACCGCTCACATCTGTAACCAACAAAGTTGTGGCCTGATTTATCCCATTAACACAAAACATTGGTTTCTGTGTTTCATTAGCTAAGAAGCAACACACCAGCTCTCAGCCACAGTTCCTAAACTATGAAAGGAAAACTGCAACCTACACCCAAAGCTGGTTGTTAGGACAAACAAGAATGTAAATAGCACCTTTAACACCTATAAAAATAATCAGCAACAATCACTTGACTTTTGTTCCCTTTATGAAGTATTTAAGACCAAGGTTCCCACTCAGAGGATAACTCTCAGTCATTTAGAGATAAGAGAGGCCATTCTAAAGATTACAGAGTTTCTTGTGGAATATGGAGAACAAAACAAAGTAATCAAGCTCAATTCATGAGATAATCTGGAAAAGATGGAAATCCATTAATAGTTGCTACTAGCTCTGAAAACAGGAAATAAGAACAGATGTATAAAGTATTGTAAACCACCTAGCATCCTGGCTTGAGCTGTTGTTTCTAGCTATCTTTTCTGCTTAAGAACATCCTTCTTTCAATTAACAGTCAGATCTTATTAATTCAGCCAAGGTTTTATTACACAAACAATCCAATAGTATTTTAAAATGCAAATATACTATGCATATTAATGTTTTCATCAAGAAATGAAGTAAAGTTCATACATAGAGCAGTAGGCTGAATTATCAGAGAAGTTTGCTAAGTATCCCTGCCCGCCCACCAAAGTGGACATTGCAGCAACATATAATTAGAGAAATAGTTATTACAGAGAGCCCATGTGATAATACTGGTTTGAATGTTGAGCTAGGACTTGGGAGACTAGTGTTCAAATTCCTATTCAGCCATGACCTTGGGCCAGTCACTGTCTCTCAGCCTAACCTATCACACAAGGCTGTGGTGAGAATAAAATGGGAAGGGGGAAAACCATGTATGCCACCACCTTGAGCTCCTTGGAGTAAAGGTGAGAAATCTAATACATAAATGAACTAACAGAGAGGTACACTGACAGGACCTATCTCTCCAGCAGATATTGATTTGTGTGGGTATCATGTTCAATCCTTAGCCAAGCAGGAGAACTTCTTGCCTATTTGTCTTGATACACTTCTTTGACCATAACAAGAATGTAGGTTTTGACCTTGTTGGGGTTGGGATTTTTCTGAGCTCTTGCCATGGTGGTCCCATCACTAGGGATTTGACAACGAGAATAACATCATTAAATGGAATCTGTACACACCAAATGTCAACGTGGACCCTGCTCAGACAGCTTATTGCCTTTGTTTCCAACGAGTTGCTAAACCCAGCAAACGACTCAAAAGTCAAAAGAATAAAGTGCCTCCAACTCAGAGAAGATTAAAGAAGAACAAGTACATGTTGTACCTGAACGACTCTAGGGCATGAATTCCAGGAATTAGCATTAAGTAACAGGCTTTTCCTAGTCCAGGAATGTAATGTAATTCAAGGCTAGTGAGACAGGGGGGAAATCTGCAGTGAATACTTGCTGATTTAGAAGGGAACTTCCTTGCAAAAGCGTGGTCTGTACAGACCAATGCTGCTTCCACATGTCATCTTGATTTGGTCCCATCTGTAAAAATCATAGCATAACTGTGGCATGAACGACTTTCATAAAGCATCTGCTAGAATCTCAAGGAGCATAGCAGTCTTGCAACTCTCCCCCTACCACATCAATAGTTTATATCAGGGGCGTCCAACAATCTACTGGTAGATCACGGGGTGTCCATGGTAGATCACTGGACCTGCCCCCCAAAAGCACAACAACTTTGGTAGATCACTGCTAGTTTTAATAGTGGGAGTAGATCTCAGTCTCTTAAAAGTTGGATATGCCTGGTTTATATGAAGGTTTTTCCATTATGTTTATTTCAACACAGGAGAAAAAGGTAATATGGAAAGTTTGGATTGTGCTTTACAGCAAAGCACAACTGTTAACAAAAATAAACTGTAAGCAAAGTGAGATCATTTGCAGGGATCCCTTACCTTTCAGTCTCTTGGGAGCAAGGTACAAATCCAGCAATGGGTAACGTCAGAGATGAAGAGCTTGCAAACCACAGCTTTGCAAAAGATCAATTCTTGCTGCAGGACAGACCTACACACAGCAAAGATATTAAGTTAAAAGAGACTAACCAACCAATATTACTTATTAGCTCTTTAATCAACTTTTGCCCATATTTAGTATAGCCCTATTGAAAATTTGGTAAATTGGTTATTAATTTTGATAGCACCTTCAATCAGCCAAGTTCAGACTATTACTAGTTCTTAAAGAAGCCTATTCTTAAATACAGTGGTACCTCAGGTTAAGTACTTAATTTGTTCTGGAGGTCCGTTCTTAACCTGAAACTGTTCTTAACCTGAAGCACCACTTTAGCTAATGGGGCCTCCTGCTGCTGCTGCGCCACCAGAGCACAATTTCTGTTCTCATCCTGAAGCAAAGTTATTAACCTGAAGCACTATTTCTGGGTTAGTAGAGTCTGTAACCTGAAGCGTATGTAACCTGAAGCATGTGTAACCTGAGGTACCACTGTACCTTATCTCTGTTGGAATAAGCAACAGTCTTTAATTAATACTCATTGTACTGAGAGAAAAGGTCACCAAAAGGTTAATGATTCTATGCCCAGGAAGTTAAGTGTCCTTCTTGAGTTGTGAATTTAGTTTCTCTTTCGCCTTTATTCCTTGCTTATGCAGTAACCAGTAATAGCTGATTACAGTGGTACCTTGGGTTACATACGCTTCAGGAAACCCAGAAATAGTGCCTCAGGTTAAGAACTTTGCTTCAGGACAGAACAGAGAACAGAAATTGTGCTCCAGCGGCACGGCAGCAGCAGGAGGCCCCATTAGCTAAAGTGGTGCTTCAGGTTAAGAACAGTTTCAGGTTAAGAACGGACCTCCGGAACGAATTAAGTACAGTGGTGCCCCACAAGACGAATGCCTCGCAAGACGAAAAAACCGCTAGACGAAGACACTCGCGGAACGGATTGATTTCGTCTTGCGAGGCACCACTGTACTTAACCCAAGGTACCACTGTATAGGTTTATAGTTTATGCTTACAGCTGCACCTGCCTTCCTTGTGGTGAGTGAAAAACCTACTCTGCAACAACTATGTTTTTGTGTTCAATTAAAATGCCTGAAATATCAAATCTGCGGGCTGGGGACAGGGAAACCTTCGGAGCATTTATAACCAAAGTAATTTATAGTCAAAGAAAATCTATTTGGAATTTTGAAACGAATAAGGGTTAACTGCTAGGCACAGCAGCTCTTCAAAATTCATTGTCACATTAAGGCTATGTGCCCTGCTAGTTTTAAAGCACCTGACTGCATGAATAATACAGCAGTGGCTGAGCTGTGACACTTCTAGTGACTGAATGTAGTTCAAAGGTCTCAAAACAGCAAACAGACTGCCTTGTAAAACAGACTGTGCAAGTTCCAAAACCGCAGAAATTACTGGGGAGAACCACAACATGCTGTCAACTTGTCCTGGAGATAAATGGATGGGAATTTATCAGGCTACATCTGCAGTCTTCAGCTACCAGCTTGTCTAATTGTTACTCGCCACACAGATTTGCAAACAAAGCAAGATTTTTTCCAGTAAATGGAAGGGAGAACTGAAAACATCACCCCACTTCAAAAACCAGGAACTGAAACCATAAAGGGATGAATACACAACTGTGAAGGAAACTCACTGGATTTTTCAAGTGTGTCAATTTAACCTGATCATCAGCCCCATATTTCTACAACTGAAAGTTTCAGTTTTCCTTGACCATGTGTGGATGCAGGCCAGTTTCCTTTGTGCATTAAAGTCCATCATCCACCAGCAGAATTATCAAAATTCCCACCCACCCCTTGCAAGCCAGCTGCTTGTCACTGTTGTCGTGTATGTGCTCAACTTCCTGCAGGAAGACTAGTCTCACACGGGTACTCAAACCAGGGATTAGCCAGTTACATAGCAGGAAAGGCTATGGCATCACCATTTCAACACAAGGAAACTTTACAGTTTCCCTATGTTGCATACTTTTGTATGAGTACTTAGTATAAACCTGTCCTGCCTTGCTATTTCTTCCCCCTGCCCCTTTCTCCCTATGATGATTCTGCTGCCTAATGCAAATATTCCTCTTTGATGGAGACGCTAATCATTAAAGAGAGACCAGGAGTGTGTGCTTGTGTGTGTGAGAGAGAGTGTTTCTTGAGGCCTCTTTATTCTAAGAGTACACGTACTTAACATGATTTGCACTTGAACAAGTGGTTATTTTCTGCAACCAGGAACGTTAATGACCCTCCTGAGGAAAGAACATCACAGGAACCATGTAGTATAGGAAGCTTGTATTGTTATGTGTTTGGGGCACTTTACAAGCTTTCCCACTTTTAAATTTAATTAATGCCTTGTTAAACTCATATAAAGTTAAATAAATTCAATTTTAACTGGATCTTAGATTTATTGGCCCACCCATGCTTGCTCTGTCTAATATGCTACTAGAAAGTTGGCTCTGCCTAATTAGTGGATTCCTCTAATTAAAGGATTTTAATTAAGCAGTCTAATAGTCTGACTAATTAGACAGTAGCAGCTACTTGATGGTGGGGCTACTCAGAAAGTACCTGGATAGGTTAAGGAATAAACCTACACTGTTCACTAAAGTGGTCTAATGGGGTAGGGAAAGGAAAATCAGAGTTACAGCAAATCCCAAAAGTAGACACCAATATTCCTCAAGCAGGACAAAGTACACATTTTGTTAGTGGCAAGATCACAAATTGAATCGAAATAGCTACAGAGTGGAATGAGGAGAATCTTACACTACAGCAAGGGGTCTACACACACTGCCTGAAAATGTCCTACATTTCTTTTGACGACCTTTTCTGGCTGACGGAGCAAAATAAATTATCTTCAAGGTCTAAATTATGCAAATACCTAGTACATTCTGTTGCAGAGATAAGAGCTGCCGAGTTCGAGGTCAGATAAAGAAGAAAGTGTCCTTGAGCATATGCAGAGCAACATGCCACCACTGGCAAGTTGTGAGACTGTAACTCTCATCATCCATCTCCATTGGCCATGCTGTCTGGGGCTGATGGGAGCTGAAGTAAAGCAACATCTGGAGGGCACCAGGTTCACTACCCCTGCTCTACTGACATCCAAGTGTTGGTGCTGACCTTTAAAGCCCTAAACCGTCTGGGCCAAGTATACCTGAAGGAGTGTCTCCATCCCAGACAGTGTCTCACTTAGCCCAGACACTGAGGTCCTCCTCTGAGGGTCTTCTGCTGGTTCCCTCACTGCGAGAAGTGAAGTTACAGGGAACTAGGCAGAGGGCCTTCTTGGTAGTGGCACCCTCACTGTAGAACGCCCTCCCTTCAGATGACAAAGAACTATACAACTTTTAGAAGACATCTGAAGGCAACCCTGTTTTAGGAAGTGTTTTAAGTTTGATGCTTTATTATGTTTCATATATTCTGTAAGCCACCCATAGGGAAACCCAGCCAGATGGGTGGGGTATAAATAAAAAATAATAATAATTATTACTATTATTATTAACCTACTGTTCATACTGTCCTCCCTTTGCCATGTCTAGTGGGAAATAAAGGCAAACAAACTGGGTACAACTGTTCCACAAACTTATATCAATTTTCTATCCGTTTAACTCTTGGGGCTTCTCCCTAGAAGTCTTATAAATGTTTATTCATGGTGAGGGTGATAAGAACCTTCAAGTCTCTTTACTGCCAATCAGCCAACACCAAAAACCTGTTCACGGGAGTGACAAGCAGTGTAAATTAGGTCCCTCATAGCTCCTCTTCTTAAACTGCAGGTCTTTTCAGCCAAAGGAAACTAAGTCGTTATATGGCTTTATGGACTCTTGTTTCAATGCTTCACCCCTATCCTAGGTTGGCCCCAGTGTACTGCTAGGACGAAGCCATGAATATTACCAAAGAACTACAGTTCCCAGGATTGGGAATGACAATTAAAGCTGGTAGTGTAGATAATCGACCTTCCTCCTCACACTAGATAGCTTCATTTCCTTTTACAGTGAGAGCTAAATTGAAAATTACATGGGGAACATGTGAGCCACTCTTCCAACTTTTTGTGTTAAATGAAAAGCAATACCAAATGCTGTGATGAGAGCACAGGAATGGCAGGTGGGCAAGGGCTTGGAATCAGGGCTTGGAACCCGTGGCCCTAAAGAGGTTGTTGGACTCCACCTCCTTTCATCTGTGACTTCTGCTGTCTGAGACTGATGGCATTTGGGACTTCAAAAACATCTGGAGACCAGGCCTTCCCCATCCCTAGCTAAAATCTTTCCCTTCTAGCCACTGGTCTGCTCAATATTCCCACTGGTATCTTTTCTTCCAGAAGGGGCAAAATAATGGCAGGCCACTCTTGGAGGATGATCTGTCCCTACAAGACTTTTCTAAGGTTCTCAAGGCATGATGACTGGCTATGGCATGAACACAAGCGCGTGTCTCCAAACTCACATGATTTGCAAACCTCTGAAATGTATGCCAATAGGACTTACATACATAGAATCGTGTTTGAAAGTGTCACCGTATGGCTGAGGCAGAATTCTGGTCATCGTAATCCTCATGAAGATAGCATGAGATCAGAATTAACAGATTCCAGCACAGCTGGGAAAGCATTCCAGGAGGGGTGGTGCACAGCCAAAGGCATTTTAGAAAAATGTTTAAGCAAATAAATAGGAGTTTATAGAGCAGTATGAATGTGAACACTTGTCACTACTTCATATCCCATATCCAGTAGATATCGGTGACATTTGTATAAATACATTCCAATAATGGTTGCAACAACAGTATGTTTAGGTGGGTGGGAGGGAGGGGGAACGTGCATTTCCCAGATCCAAACACGGAGTCTCCAAGTGGAGGGAAAAGGAGATATTCCTGCAAAGGGCTAGGAAGAAGATGTCAGATGTGCACAGCAGATTACTACCAGATGTGCATTTGCAGATGTGTATGCACAAAAATGGCTTCTGTGAGAAGACCCTCGTTTGGAATGCCCAGCCGAGAGACAAGAATATGACAAATAGTGTGAGATAGTATGCGACATCTCTGCCAGAAAGAACACTCAGCTGCCAGTTTTGCCCTTGGACTGCAGACACAAAGGGATAGGAAGTATACTCTGAATCTTTTCCATCAGGCAGAAGACTAAAGGCTGCTGGGTTGTCTGTGTGAGGTTTGTGTATGTATGCACATATAGCATTATTATTTATTGCTTGAAAACTGCCTTGAGAACCATTTAATTGAAGGGCAGCTTATAATTTTTCAAAACAAACAAAGTAAAGAGAAAATCTAGATAGCAAAAATAAGTTGAATTTTATTTATTTATACAGTGGTACCTCGGGTTACATACGCTTCAGGTTACATATGCTTCAGGTTACAGACTCCACTAACCCAGAAATAGTACCTCGGGTTAAGAACTTTGCTTCAGGATGAGAACAGAAATCGTGCTCCGGCGGCGCGGCAGCAGCGGGAGGCCTCATTAGCTAAAGTGGTGCTTCAGGTTAAGAATGGACCTCCGGAACGAATTAAGTACTTAACCAGAGGTACCACTGTACATACATACATACATACCCAGCCCATCTGGCTGACTTTCCCTAGCCACTCTGGGCGGCTCAAAACAGAATATTAAAAAAGAATAAAGAAACAGAATATTAAAAAAGAAGTTAAAACATCAAATATTAAAAACTTCCCTAAAAAAGGTTGCCTTCAGATGTCTTCTAAAAGTCAGATAGTTGTTTATTTCCTTGACATCTGATGGGAGGGTGTTCCACAGGGCAGTCACCACTACCAAGAAGGCCTTCTGCCTGGTTCCCTGTAGCTTCACTTCTCGCAGGGAGGGAACTGCCAGAAGGCCCTCGGAGCTGGACCTCAGTGTCCCGGCTGAACAATGGGGGTGGAGACGCTCCTTCAGGCAAGAAATTGAGGACAGTGCTCTCCTCTTAGTCCATCTAGTTAAGTCAAAAAGTCAACTAGAAATTTAACAAGTTGATATATTAGTTGGAATTCCCATGTTTCCACTTGTGGTTTTCTGAAAGCCACTAAAAACCAATGTGGGCAATTCACAGGGGTCTTTGTCACGCGACTCCATGCAGTTCTTCCTCCCACTCTTTACAAGGAGTAGCACATTTCAGTGGATTGAATCACAACAGATTGAATCACAAGTAACCACGATGATGCTGCATGTCTGAATTATTTAACATCAGGTTTTCTAAATGTAGCTTCACTGAAGGCTGGTTTTTTTAAAAAAAATCAGTGTCACAAACTGCACAGATCCAGCCCTGGACATCTGTTAGGGATTACTACAGAAGACAAAGTTAATTGAATAATACAAAACACTATACTGAACAGGGATGTCTCTCCACAAAGAGTGAGGAATGAGTATGAGTTAATTTGTTCGCATATGCATGCCCATCATAGAAGGCCAGAAGCTGCCTTATGCCAGGTCAGATTATTTGTTCGTCTAGCCTACTATCACTCTGGGTCACAGCAGCTCTCTCAGATCAAAATGATCAAGGGTCTGGAGCAAAAGGTGGTGCATTCCTGCTAGAATAATATTTTCTAATTAATGCTAAAAGCTTTCTCATTACATTATGTACAAAAGTAAATATACTGACTTTTTATGTTCTCCTAAACAATGCTGTTCTGAGTTCTGAATGGGAATAGGAAAAATTCACCCTTGAACTAATTACCACCAAGGAAAATGCAAACACATTGCTCTTGTTTAAAATTTTTAAAGGCTCTGCTTTCACAAAATCAGCATTTTGGATTTCCCAAAACGAAACAACACCCTTTGAAGTGGAGTCAACAGAAGCTTATCAGTGTCCACATTGCAGAGGCATCAGTTTATAAAATCCTGTTTTTGAGGCATATCTGCCAGCATTCTTACCAACGTTACACCAAGTTTTAATTCAATGAGTCACCAGAAGTGTTTTTTAAAAACAAAACTTCAAAGAGAAACGGGCAGGCATGATTAATTATAAAACAGCAATCAAAACACTGAACTAGCAGCTCTCAAATACAAGCTGTGAATTAAGTAAATTTGGGAGGTTCTCTCACTGCAACTTACGAACTGTGCATTTTTAAATTATGCTTTCTTATTTTTGAACAGATGTTGCAAGCCTCATCTCCACTATCTAGAAAGCTTGCTTTTGTCAAGGTAAAATTAAAAAAGCATTAGAAGAAACTTTTGATGCCCCATGAATACAATTTACTGTTACTGTATGGTTAAAAAAAATGGTTTAGTTTAACCCAGATAGATCAAATTTAGGGAGAACTGTTAAATGAAGCACCTCTTTTCACTAGGAAGATTCACAAGCCTAGCACTGAAAAGTTGGCAAGGAGGGCACCAGGTCAAGACTTTCCTCTTCTCCCAGGTATCTGATTGCGCTGATCTTTCTTTTTTTATAGTCATGGGGCTGTTTGTTGGCTTTGTTGTGTTTATGGTGAGCATGCTGAGGTTGTGGGATTTTAATTGTCTTTGTATTAAGTACATGGATATTTTAGTCATTGTTCCTTGTTGTTTTTTCTTTGATATATTATACTGTATTTGTTTATACCGCATTTCTGCTTCAAGTTGCCTTGAGGCCTTCTTGGCATAAGGCAGTGAAGACAGAACAACAAACAACCCTTTAAAGATGACACAGTCGCTGTGCTAAGTGCTTTCCCCATGGGCCCACCTGTACCATCTAAAGGCTGTCAGCCACATGGATGAAGCAAGTTGTGGGGGTCTTTTTCCGTGGTATCTGTTCCCCACTGGAAGGAACCCTACAATCAAGCCCATGATGTGGTTAGAAGCTTTTAAATACAAGAGAAGCACCACAGGGCAGCGGCAGAGGAATCCGCTCGGGCAGCGCACCCAGCAGCAGGGAAAGCCACCCATAGGGGCATGGCACACCACAGGGCCTCCGGAGTCTACCTGCCTTCTCCCACTCAGCTGCCCTACAGCTGGGGGGGGGGGAGGCAGCGGGCGGACCATTTGGATAGCGAAGAGCCTGCATGCTCCTAAGCCACCACATCTCTCCCAGGAGAGACGCATGGCTCATGCACGCTGGAGGGCCTGTGGTGAGTGCCGCCGGCCTTTTGTCCCCCCTCAGTGGTGACACCCGGGGCGGACCACACCAACCACACTCCCTTCCTCCGCCTCTGCCATAGGGTTGTTGATGTTTCTCGTTTTTCCAGTCCTAAAGGTATCTGCAACAATTTGCCAGCATTTTAGTCAACTCATTTCTCCTGATAAACACATTTTTGTCTGCTGTTTTAAATAATGCACACATTGTTACTAGCAATTCTTCCTCATCTAATGCATTCTGTATGTTATTTTTACTAATGTATACATTTTTATACGCAGTCCCCCTAATGTAAACATTTTTGTAAACATTGGTTGGAGAGCGGCATTGCACAATTTGGATAAGTGCAAATTTTGAAGGTGCTTCAGTTCTCATAATGTTTTAGAAACTACAAATTTGAAAGATCTAGGTTTCAATACAAACTGAATCAAATTTCTCCTCCATCCCTAATTCTAATCTCCCCTCCCTTTTATGCGCAGGAAGAGATTGAATTAATTGCATTGCAACGCAAATCTTTTACTGGGTCACCCAAGCACATATTACATTGCTACAAACATGCAGAATCCAACACTAATAAGATATTTTCTAACCCAGCAAGGATAAATGCAGTTTCTTTTCAGACTGCTGAATGCTAAGAAAACAGCTTTCCCCACAGCTTTTTTGTAAATATCATAATCAGAGTTTCCTTTTTGCTCTAAGAATGGTATTTGGAAGAGTGGATAACTATCCTGATGCTTTTGATGTGCCACTACATTTGCCAAGGTTGATAAGCAGCGATGAGAGCAAGCTGCACGGCAGCCTCTTTTGCTAGTTATGCAACTGCCCTGTTTTAGGTACTGCAATATTTATGAAAGCCCCCAGTACATTTTTTTATGCTGTTGTCTGAAGCACAATGCATTGCTTCTGCATCTCTCCATTGAAAAAATCAACATTATCTCCATAACTCAAAATATAATTTGGGTGCCGTCTGCAGTACATTTGACAAAAGCAATAAATTAGTCAAGTGGGGAAATGTCAACATAAGTATGGTGGCAGGCAACGAAACAAAAATCTGAAAAATTGCACTGACACAGCAATTACCAACACTTGAAGCTTTTCTTCAGGAGAAAATGTGCTTGACATTTACAGCAGTTTGGCCAGAAATGAAAAATGAAACTTAAGGACCAAGTGTATGCTAGAGACTGGGAGCAGGATCCAACCTAGACAAGCAGCTCACTGTTCCCTGCTTCCTACCTATTGCTAGACCTTGTGACAATTTAAAGGAAAGCACTTTTCACAGAAGAAAACTGGAAAATATGATTGCAATTCTAAGCATGCTTACTTGAACAGAGGGTTAAAATAAACATGGATTTTCCCCCCCGAAAGAATTGGCTGCATCCAGATGTGTATGGGAGGAACGTGACTGTCCCACTCCCTTCTGCCCCTAGAAGCTGCTTCCTCTGGCACCAAAATCTCTCCTGAGGTTCAGGGGGTCTTAGCTAGGACAGGACTACTTTGGGTTACAGAAGAGACTGATGGCAGCTTTAAATGCTTCCCTGGTGGGGTTGATTTTTTTTAACGTCCCGCATTTAGAGAACTAACATATCAGGTATAAAGGGTTCTAGCCAAGCTCCCTTACTTTTACAAGTTGGGAAAGTGGGAAGGCGAAGGGAAAGGAGGAGTTATGCTTTCAAATGTTTTCTCGCTTGAGTTTGAGTCTTTTAGTTATCAGCAGTATTTCTGGCACAATTAAGCAGAGGAATGTGAGCACTGTTGCAGAAAACAGCAGCACGCAGCACCAAACAGTTGGCAATAGGATCAATCCTGTTTTTAGAGAAGAATAGATGGTTCGGTGAAGCCATCTGTGCTCTCCCATCTGAACAGACAATTGGCACAATTGCCAGGAGCCAGCTTGGGACTTCACATGAATATTGCTGCTTTCTCAATCAAGTTTTTTTTCTTCCACTCAGGAAAACATGCATACACCACCTGTTTGCAGTTCCTTATCCATCTAGGAACACGTGCAGAATTTTAGCTTCCCAACGTTTATCACCCTAACTAAAGTGAAGCAGAAAAATGAAGCAGTTGAATGCTAACTTAGAATGCCAGTTTAAAACAGTCTCTCATCACAATTACATACCACCACCACCCCACATGCACAAACACTGTGCATATCATAGTACCTAATAATGTACTGCTAAATCAGTAGGCATTATCCCGAGCATAAAACACTTAATTTCTCTGATGTATTCCCTCTCTTTGGTATTCAGTTTCTAAACCACGTTCTTGAAATTATATTAATGAATTCAGCTTAGCAGGGAGCACTGTGAGGTCTGTGACTAATACATTCACCTGTGAGAAGACTGGTTACATTTGTCAAAGATGACATCGTAAACCTACCTTTGCAACATTTAACTCTGGTTGAAAATCTTAGCTGTTATCAAAGTTTGATCAAATTTGCTAATACAGTGGAACCTCAGTTTTCGAACTCCTCCGTTGATGAATGTTTCGGAACTCAAACGCCATAAACACGCCTCGGAAGTCGAACTTCCAAAGCGGCTTCCTTATTGAGTTTATTCGTATTAATTTTTCCGTTTTGAGGCTTCTGTACTGAGTTTTCGGTTTTCGAATGTTTCGGAACTCGAACGGTTTTCTGGAACGAATTACATTCAGGAACCGAACATACACAAAATAATAAATATATTTCCCATTCCTGTTTCCTCACTAAACGATGTGCATATGTAAGAAGAATCACTCTAGGGTAGGAAATTGATTGAGTAAACTAAAACCATATGATCTTATGTGCTAGAAATAGCTGTATTATAACACTGCATAATGTTTCTGTATTTCTAAAGGAAGCACCATTGCTCCAAGTTACTTGACATGCATATTCCAGCACTTAGGAAATTATATTGGGCAGCCTTCCCTTAGGTGGTGTCGTCCAGATGTTTTGGACTACAACTCCATTCAGCACAGTTGTGCTGGCTGAGGCCACTGGAAGCTGCACTGCAAAAGATCTGGAGAGTGCCTGCTAAGTGAAGGCTGATCTTGTGAAATCACTTTGATGCGTCTGGGTCTCCCTGTTCTTTCGCCCGAAAAGGTGTAGAATACTGAGGTCCCTTTCCAACGCCGCTGGATATATTTCGGCTCAGGGTCTTTTAGGGGTCGCGTAGCCCCAGAAATCCCTCCAACAATCGCTCCTACACGGAGCACCCACAGAGCACGTCCGTTGCGGGGAGAGGTAAAATCAGAAGTCTCCTGTGAAATCACTTTGATAGGAGTGAAACTATTGATTAATTCAGCTGCCAACAATCAGCCAGGCTTTAGGGCCACACTGCTGTAAAGACATCATCTAACATGCACAGAGTGCTCCTCAATTTCAAAGCTGTCCCCTCAATGCAAGCAAGGAAGCAGCTCAGTTTACACAAGGGAAAGCAAACTGACTTGCCTCTTCTACTAAACGGGGTGCATATATTTTAGTTTTTAATATTTCTAAAAACCCATGATCTTTTCACATAAAACTATAAGCTGTGTGTCTTTTCGTTTGTTTTGCATTTCTGCAGCCATATTGGGAATATGAATTTACAGTTGGCGTTTTTTAAATGGCTGCCTTTCTTCTGTCCCACAGTGGCCATGCTCCAGCATATGCTGAAAAATGAGAGGAGTACAAATACACTTTTAAGGTGAAGGCAGAAAGAACATCTGAGAAGAACATGCGAAGCTGTCCCCACTCCCCAAGGACTTATGCCTGGAGGTAGAATAGGATTTAAAAATGGCATGGGTGCTCCCAAATCAGACCCATTGCTCTAAAAATATTATGTCTCTTTTCAGCTCTGGTGTCATGTGTGACCAGACCTTCACTCCTGCTTGTTAACACAATGCCTAAATTAGAAATTTAAGTAAGTGCTAATGCTTTCTTCTTTGCAGCTGAAACAGAGGAATTAAAGACAAGACTTAAATTACAAGACAAGTTCCAAATATTACAATGGCTGGGTCTCTAATTAGAGCAGTAGCACTCAGGCACATTCATGAGCTGTAAAGATGGGTTTCAGATTCCCACATTCAAGTGTTTCTTGTGCGAAAGGGCTCCACGCAGCTAAAGAAAAGCATCTCCTGCCCTCCAGGATCTGTGCTCCAAGCTCTGTACACTGAGTAAAGTTTTGAAAAGGGATGCTGGCTGTCCCCATGAAAGCTCTTCCCTATGAACAGGAACGCTGCTCTCCCTTGAGACCTTCACTCAATGCACAGAGGTTGGGCCCAATGTTGGAGATGGCGCTACTGGTCCAACACCTGAAGGCTACAGACTCCCTACTCCCTGCCATAAAGAGACTAAAATAAATTGTAAAATAGACATAAAAGGCAAGAAAGAAATGGGGAAAATTAATAAATAACAAGTAACAAGCAAAACAAGTACTACATGATGCAAGGTATTAAATGCATGATCTTCTACAAAATTCAGGATTGTGTGGCCCACAATACAAATAGAATTCTGCTCTTTATAAAACAGAAATAGACCTCATGTAAGCACTTATATAATACTTTCAAAATGCTCCCCACTCCACCCCATAAATACCACGTGTGCTTCTGCTGCAGTCAAGCACCATTTGTCTGGGGATAGTAATTTTACCATAAAGATTACTATATAATTACTATGTGTCAATGACAAGACACTGCTAGATTTAAAACTGAGCTGGTGCATTGTGGAACACTAACACAATCATTTCACGTAGGCATTGTAAAAAGCCAAAATTTGTTTGGTAGGCCAGCTTGTGGCTACAACTCCAGTGGAGAGGTGCTTAGTTCTGCCTAAAGCAGGGGTAGCTAACTCCCAATTTTTTGGGGGGTGGTGGTCTTGATACAGCTACCTAACCAATCTATTATGACCTCCTCAACACCCCACCAATTATGACAGGTGCAGTGAAAAAAGAAACTGAAGTAACCTCAAAGCTTGGTACCATAGGGATCTGGGAAGTTTACAGTTAAAGTGCAGAAAATGCCTGAAACGTTAAAGTTTGACTTGAAGGTGTCACAAGACACTGTTGTTTTTATTGCAACAAACTAATGCAGCTACTCCTCTAGAAACTGAGACTTCTAAGTTTCAAAAGCCTATTTGCCAGAAAACACAGAGAGTATGGGTGGTTTTTCTAAAAAGAAAATATTACGTTAAAAGCACCATTGGGTGGGGTACTCAGAGTTAGTCATGCAATTTGAGTTTAGATCGTGACTTATTAATGTATCAAATAGCAAATATTACATCAACACACATTTTAAACAGCTTCTAATGATACAAGGTACAGTCACTCTTAGAAGCAACTCACTTGTGCTCAAGACTAGCGTGCTGAAATAAGATAAAAGTGGGACAAAGTGTTCCTGTTCATTAAAGGGCTCTGAAATCACCTCTGTTTCATCTCAGGAGAAGTGACTGATATATTTACAGAGTTATCTGTGACACACAGAGATGGGGTAGTGTGAACTTATAAAACGTCAGTTGCAGAAAATGTAAACCAACTCTCATGATCACTTTAAAACAAGCAGTAGACTTCAGGCATGAAAAATAATTTGATTAACTCTAGGGATCATATGATGGACAAATAAAAGAAGGAAAATGGGAGGGGGAGAACTTGGTAGATCCAAAACAATCAGTAGCGAGAGAGAGAATTTAGTTCCTGAAGAAATCTCTCTTTCTTTATTTCCTGTGTGAAGGACATTTCATCAAAACTTACCAAGAACAAAATGAAACGAACAAAAAACTTCACACCCTTACTTCTTCTTTTTTTAAAAAACAAAACAAAACGCATTTCTAGTCTACAAAGAGAATAAACTGAGGACCTACAATCTGGCACCTAATTATCTCGCATATAATCTTCTCTTATAAAACGACAGAAGCTTACAGCTACTGTAGCAGAGAAGATTCCAAACAGTAGTCAAGTCTGGATATGCTCAGACTTGAACTTGAAAAATTAAGTTGAACCAAAAAGAATGCAAAAGTAAGTAGGAAATCTTGCAGCCTATTGAGTTTATGATAGTAACAAAATGGTTCTCTCTTTAATGCTCAGCTGTGTACTATACATTCTAAATAAAAAGGAATTTGTGTGAAAAAAATTGATAATTAGGTTTAGATCATTTTTAAAAGATATATAGCTTTCCAAAAAGATCAGAAACTTTAAAGGTTTGCTTATTTTGCTTTAGACAGTTATAAAAGGATACTGAAAGTTCATTCTCATGACCATATTGATATGATGGTGATGTTGCAAAGGCACAGTTAACTGGCTTTTGGCCATGGTAATTAGCCATTTGTTTGCTTCAACATGGCAAGATCTCAGCTCCCTACACCTCCTGGTTGAATCCATCTTCTAAAAACTGTTGTCAAAAAACCAGTTACTCCACTAAAAATAAACCCTCAATGCCCTCCATTACATTAGGAGGCTGAACTTTGTGTTAGAGTAATTATGAATTACGCAGATGGTGGTCAAATACGCTTCTGTGGAAGGATGCTACATCTTAGTAGGATTTTCCATTATCTTGGTATCAGAGACAGCTCTTTACTCCCCAAATCCACTCTGAATAGCGCTTCACAAGTAAAATACGAGAATGCTTGAAATTTATGCCAGCCCTGTAGGGCAACCACTGAAATTCCACAAACATCTCCAAATAGGTTGCATTGCCAAGAAATGCCATCAGAGTCAAAACAAGGTGATAAGGAAATCTTACTCCAGCATATAACAAATGAGGCCTTTAAAATAAATGAAGTCAAGCTGTACTTGAATACCTCCGGATAGATCTAATCAGACCTTCCTTGCACTAATGAGTGACTACTCGTCACTTTGAGCTGAGAATCTAGCAACCCATTCAACTTCTTTAGTCTACTGTTGCAAGTTCCTATCTATTTTGCATTTTCAACTCTTGCTATGAAATGAGGGGGAAACTTCCTCAGCTTCCTACTGTTCCCAATTTATAAGGTTGGCCTAGCAAACCTAGTATACCCAACCCATCTTTAATATTTAAGAAGTCAAAAATCACATGCAGATTAGGAACAGAAGACAGATAATTTAAAGGCTCATTCTAAAATCAGTATTATTAATGTAGGGCCAAACTAGATGTCCCATACTAAATGTCCCAAACTAGATGTCCCATAAGGGAGAATTCAGGTGATAACAAAATGAAAATTAGGCTGTTGGATCATGTTATAATCCTATTTGCTATCCTTGATGTTAACTTGTCCATGTTGCATCTGAGATACTTGCAACTCTGACAGCCATATAAATAGTGGAACTAAGGGACAGTGATGGGGCAGGCCGCATCACTTCTCCCTGATCCTAACTCCTCATTGGCCTTGAATGCTTTTGCCTGGTTTAAATGTGCCCTTTAACTCTGTCATGAATTTTTGTGTAGAAAGAAACCTACTGTACAAACATAAAATGAACATTTGTTGCTCTGCCTGCTTTTGCTTCTGGCCCAATCCACCACTGGTGTGTGGCCCCCAAAAGGTTGCCTAGAAAGGAATGTGGCCCCCAGGCTGGGGAAAAATTCCCCACCCCCTGTGCAAAGCATAAAGGGTAAAGGGGACCCCTGACCATTAGGTCCAATCGTGACCGACTCTGGGGTTGCGGCGCTCATCTTGCTTTATTGGCCGAGGGAGCCGGCATACAGCTTCCTGGTCATGTGGCCAGCATGACTAAGCCGCTTCTGGCGAACCAGAGCAGCGCACGGAAACGCTGTTTACCTTCCCACTGGAGCGGTACCTATTTATCTACTTGCACTTTGACGTGCTTTCGAACTGCTAGGTTGGCAGGAGCAGGGACCGAGCAACGGGAGCTCACCCCGTTGCGGGGATTTGAACCGCCGACCTTCTGATCTGCAAGTCCTAGGCTCTGTGGTTTAACCCACAGCACCACCCGCGTCCCTTGTGCAAAGCATAGGCTACTTCCATTCCCACTTTATAGATGAACAGAACAAACAGGTGTTTTAACACAGTTTCTCCATGTCTAGTTTGGCTCTCACCTAAATGGATGGCTGCATAACTCACTCCCTTGCCTCAAAGTTGTTATACCAATACACACACATGCAGAAACTGGACACTCAACATACCTGCTTCTCACTTTTGCAGCACATGAATGCAATTGTCTGTGACTGATCAACTTGCACGGCCTAGGAGACTGCCAATTTCTGTTATAGGCTCGAATAGTTTTAGCCCAAATTTAGTTTTTAATTTCAAGTTTGTTTTTCAGTATCTACCAGGAGAACAGTGGATTTGCAAACAAGATTAAAAAGAGTTGCTTACCAGGGTTTGACTTGGGGATGAGCAGCTTTCCAGCACTCTACAAGTACAAGGGCACCACTGTTTTCATCCAAATGTAAAATAATTCTGGGATTCATAGCCATGCCAGCCTAAACTTTGCTCTGAAGAAAGTCTTTGTTTTCAAATAACATCAGTGTTTGGCAGCAGATGAGTGCATGAAGAATCCTATTCATCTGCTATGCAACGTACTAACAACCCTTCTTTTAAAAATGGAGGCACAATTCCTCCCTTCCCCTTTATACACACTCCGGTTCAAGTGCAATGCAGAATATTATTACAGATTAAAAATGCTTTCCTGACAACTCAGTAAATTACAGAAAAATGTCTATGTCCTATTGCTCTTTTCTCTCTACAGCTGTGTTAATGCTTTGTAAATCCCCTCGGTAAAATCCAGCTAAGTCATATGTAGAGCAGATCCACTGAAATCAATTGACCTAAGTATCTGAAACCCACTGATTTCAATTAGTCTAGTAATAATAAATAATATTTTTATAATTTGTACCCTGCCCATCTGACTAGGTTGCCCCAGCCACTATGGGACACTTCCAACAAATATAAAAGCATAAAACATCAAATATTAGCAACTTCCCTATACAGGGCTGCCTTCAGATGTCTACTTTAAGTATGACTAATGTTGGATATCACCCACTGTAAGCTGCTTGAGTATTTATGACCTTACACTCCTGTCTAGAGCCCACTTACCTGAAAGCCATCTCCTGTCTTCACTAACTAAAATGACAATGAAGGAGGTTGTGGACAGAGGCAGTAAGACATCAACTGCCTCTTCCACAAGAAACTTGTCAGGGTTCAAACAGAAAAAAGAAGTAGAGGATCAACAACTTTTACATAATTAAAAATAGAACTGTAGATTAATCAGATTCAGTTTTCAGCTGGCAGCAGCAAATACGTCCTCTGGGCAAATGATTTACAGTGTATATCTTAATGTTCCACATTCCTTCCCCTGGAAAATTGGATAACATTTAGATACTTAGATATAATCCACAATAGCTTATAGGTTGCTTTTAAAACCCAAATGCGCTGGCAAGCTGCCTGTTTATTTCAAGCTGCCTGTTTATTTCAATAAAACTTCAGAACCATCAGGGTACATCTCACCTCAGTGAGGAAAACATGCTTCTTTTGCCCGGCTTTGGGAAGTGAAGAGGTGTAGTATTTCTGAGGGCAGCTTTTTATCATACCCTCTGCTGTTTTATGTTATTTCAGGGCTCATCCACACTTGCACTTGTTCTAGGCATGGGTCTGAGAGGTCTTTGTTTTGTCCTGAGCGTTGACCTTTGTTCTGATTCAGTGGTAAACAGCAGGTTTTCCTAGAGAAAGCAGTAGGAGAAAAGAAAAACCTCTCGGACCCATGCCTAGAAATCATAGAACAAGCAGAAGTGTGGATGAGTCCTTAGTTTACGCTGTTTCTATTTTGTGCTGAAGTTTTAATCATTTTTAAGACTCTGCATTGATGTGTTTTGATATGTTGTGCACCGCCTGGTGTAGTATAGTGAAGGGCAGTATAGCGACACCTACATAAATACTCACTCTCCTTTACACACACAAACTCACCACAATTCATTTGCAACCCAACCCAAAGAGCAACAGGATTTGAAGTTGGCATGCATGCACTGACACATTTTAAACTGCTTCCTCGATCCTTTTAGTTGCCACATCTGCACCAAGGCACATAGGCACCAAGGAAAGGGTGTGATACATCTTAAGTTTCTGGAGGGAGCTTAAACACACACAAGACGTTGAAAAGGACTTCCTACCCACTTTGGTATGCATCCTTCTACTGTCAGCCCATTTCTCTACTCCAGCAGGCCCTGCTCATTTGGCGATTCAGATGCAGCTCCCAACCAGAAATCCAAACTTTTATCCAACCTTTCCCGTAATTTCTACATACTAGACTCATTATCCTCTTCACTGCTTTTTGTCTGCAGAGTCCATATGGGCCCTGGAGGAGCCATTGCAGATGGGGCTGCATTAACCATTGCCCCAGAGTTTCAGCCAAAAAAGCAAGGGCCTGTATTGTAATACAATACTTGATATTTACTGCAGGACGAGAGAACAGTGTCCAGGGGTAACACAGGATGCCATTCCATTGACATGTGAGGCAGGAAGTGAGAACAGCTACGCCCATCAGGCTCCTCCTATTCCCCAAGCAGCCACTACAGACCCCTGGTGTTTAAAAATGCTAAGGTGTGCAATCAAAATCATAGGTCATGAAAAGAATGCCTTAAAACCCCAAGTGTTAAACTGACATATTTAAGGGCGTGGAGGAAGCAGGCTTCCAGGTTTGAGGGAGCTGCACAGCCCACTCAGTCAATTGTAAGGGCTGGAATTATATTTTCCCTTCATGAACAGTTGCTTCCTGTGCAGCCGCAATAAAAGTCCAAGACTAAAGCAACCCTAATTCGGAACCAGGTCCGCTTAAAGCCACAGCAGATTTCATTCAGAAGATGAATTGCTAGAACAATAAGAAAACCTTGCCTCTCGGAGCAGTTTCATACAATGGCCCACCTGCTTTTCTTATTGCACAGTAAACAGTAAGGGAGAGCAAGCAGCTAACATGCCAAAACTTGAAGACCGTGAAGAGGACACAGAGATTTTACCTCAAACACCAAATATTTTCATTGCCTTCCTCTACAAATCAGTTCAGTTCAATGTTATAGTAAAATCACAAAGCTGAAGGATTAGACAGGGTTCATGAACAGCACCCACTGCTCCCAGCCCAGTACAGGGACCCAGTTCACATGCAACCTGCAAAACCATGAGTTTGTGTGAATGACCATGATTTGGTTTACTGTTACATCCAAAACCTTGTTCATGGTTTGTGTCACTCTACACACTCCAGGGCCTTTACTCCTTGTGGTTCATCTCAGGGAGACAAGCCACAACTCTAGGTTTGGATGTAATGCTAAGTCAAACCATCACTTTGCCCTGGGTGCATACATGCATGCATGCATGCATACATACATACATACATACATACATAGTTTTATTTGTATGCCGCCTTTCCACAACAAACCATGTTGAAGGGGGCTTACAACATGCAAAATGCAACATAACAAAAGTAGTCATAAACAATAAATATAACATTTTTTAAATACACAGCCAAACTAAACAATTTACACATAAATCACAACTAAATCTAAACTACAGATACTAGAAAGAAACAACAGCAACAACCTGCCACCACCAAAAAACCCCAACAACACCGAGGCATAGCAGCAGTAGGACCGGGCTCTGTGAGTCCACCAAATATTTGCTCATTTGTGCAGAGCCTCCGTTTGACTTAGCTTACATGTTAACTGAGCATTATGTTCTCAGCTTAACACCTGATTTTGTGATGTGTGAAGACTAAAGTCTTCACCGAAATACCGCAGGAGACAATACCCTGCTAGATAGAAATAGCCATCTGAAATCACTGAACTGGAAAACAGGATCCTCTGCCTAGAATTACTAGGTACAATTAACATGAACCAAGTAGCCTGTATTCTTCTGTAACACCACTTTCATTGGAGCACAGCAGGTCTTTCCCCCTCACGGACCACTTGGGGACTGAACTTTTATGCACCACTTGTTTCATCTCAGTATCATATACCAAATATTTTAAATGAATTTAAAGAAATATAAAAAGATAACAGTAAGGGCTTTATTATTTATTTTTTAAATGTCTTTTAAAAATTTCTTTAATCTATCATAGTAGATTGTGATGATTAGCTCAGTTTTCTTTCAAATTTTGTGCACAAGAACCATTTCATGTAACCCAAGGCAAACCCTTGGCAGCGCCATACAGTAATGTTGCCATACCCCATTTCTCCTCAGGCAACAAGTCTCACTCATGTTATATATACAGTTATTGAAAGAAAATCTGCACGGTTTCAGGGCTAGCCTGATCATACAATTAAATATAGCAGTTACAAAGCCAAAGGGGGGGGGGGCTGCCATGGAAACCACATCCCTTACAACATTTATTTATTAGCATTTACATCCCACCTTTTCCTTCACAGAGCTCAAGGTTCTCCTTCTCATTTACTCCCCACAACATCCCCGTCAGGTAGGTTAGGCTGAGAGGCAGTGACAGGCCCAAAGTCACTCAGGGAGCTTCATGGCTGAGTGGAGCTTTGAACCCTGGTCTATGAAGTGCTAGTTCGATACTCTTAACCAGGACACATTCTACTCATGTAAAAACATGTCCGCGGGCCGGACTGAGAAGGCGACTGGGCTGCATCTGGCCCCCAGGCCTTAGGTTGCCTACCCGTGCTCTTAACCACCACACCACACTGGCTCCTGAATTGCAGAAGATGCCATTTCCATCATGTGTATTCACATGCAGCCTTTTTATCTTACAATCCTCTACTTGATTTAAAGGAGCCTGGGGCATGCCGCTTAAATTGTGCGGTTCAGCCACATGTGGAAGGAAAACTCTTTGGCTGGGTATCCGGGTGCCAGCCAAAGCAGAAGTGTCGCCCTGACTGCATGCAACAGAGCAAGTTGACAATGTCCCCTGGCACTGCAGGAATTTTTATTTACCTCTTTTTCAAGTTCCGACACCTCTGTGTTTTCAGCTCTGTTTCTGTTCCCAGAAATGTCATAAAAACTTTTTTAGAAAACAGAAAAATTTTATATTCCTGATCAGACATATTTACAACAAGTTGAGGAAGATGGTGGGGAACCAGAGCTCTCAGACTTCCCTCCAGTCAGAATCTATCCCAACACCTCCACCTACTGTATAGTCTTCTTAGTAAAAGAAAAATATGTAACACTTCCCAGTAAATCACTCTTTCCTTCGGAGGATGTTACAAAGAGGTAAATGCTGTGTTTACTCCTAGAGAGCAGAAAGATTACCTCATTCTCCAAGAACTGGCTAGAGATAATTTACCAGAGGTAAACAATAATCTAACGGGGATAAGTTTGCTCTCCTTGCACAGCTCAGTCTTAGTTATATCCATACCTTAAGCCATTTGTGCCTAGGTGCCCCTATGCAAAGGCTGGACTGCCTGAGTATTGGGGGCAGTGGGAGGGGTGTGAGAAAGGTAGAGGGAGAGAGAGATGACATATACTAGACAAATAAATTCGGAAGTAGTCTTCAAGTGACAACTGCTTGCATGAGACAAACAGCAATGTGGAAATAGTGTGGGGGTGAAGGGAAACATGGCAGCAACATATCAAAGTTCAAGGCCATTGCATCACCTCTGAAATACCCAAACAGGTTGAATGGCTATTTCAGCATGGATACTGTACCAGTGGATTTTTTGCAATCACATGAGGTTGGACTAGACAACCTCTGAGATGCCTTCTAACTCTAGAATTTTATTTTTTTTAATGTTACACTGATTGAGAGGGCTTGGAGCACATAATCCTGAACACTTACATCAGCCGTGGGGAAATATTGGCAAACTCCCAGTTCCCATCATTCCCAGCCAGCATGTCCGAAAGGTTGATGGGAGCTGTGGTCCACCAATATCTGGCAGCTCACAGGTTTCCCACCGCTGACTTACATGCTGACTCAATAAGCCAGTTACCAACTGGAACTCTTCATGTGCCTCAAGACTGTATGTGTAATTCAGCTTGCTCTCAACAAGGGTGGTCCTGTTGCAAAGAAACAGGAGAAAGCCTAAGCTAAGAGAAGTATTAGCAGTTCCTGCCATAAATCCTCTTCACAGTAGTTAAGGAGTATTACCCCCCCCAAAAAAAATAATAGATCTTGTACACATATATGCCTAGTTATTCCCCCACACCCAGAACCAAGCCATAGATTGTGCAGGTAATGCCTCTAATTTGCCCATTAATTATCCCGTGCAAGTAGCAGATTTCATCTAGCAAGCCTACTCTTCCCCAATTAAATGAAGCAGCTTCGATTGCATTACCTGAGAAATAAAAGCTAAATTCCTACAACAAACACAGTTTAGCTAATCATATCATGCTTAAGAGGAAAAATGACCCTCATGGCTGTTGCAAGTCTGTGGCATGAAAATTTAAATGTCATGACCAGTGACTGCTGACTACACCTGTCTTCTGTTGTCCCATTAAATAATTTATTTATATTATTATTATTATTATTATTATTATTATTATTATTATTATATAAAACAAACCCTGCCTTTTGTAGTGCAACATGCTTTTTTCCAGCCCTCTGATGATAATGAGATCACTTTTTGCACTTGAGTTAATGCTAATTCGATAAGCATTTTCCTATAAACAGACCCCTCCTGTACACCCAAGCTTTTTAACTTTATGGAATCTTCCAGGATTCTTATTCTTCAATACACTCTGACCCCATGAGATCACTGTGGGAGCCAGACCTTTTCACGTTAGCTAGACCCCTTGCCTTTCTTCCCTGTTCCCTTGCCTCTTAGCCATGTTTGCTATTTTCCCACATTGTAGGACTTGTGAGAAAGCAAGTGCCAGTCTCATTCTAAAAGGAAGTTCCCTGCTGTGTTGATGGAGGGTTTCTAGAAACCCAGGGTGGAATCAGATCCATCCACAATAAGCCTGAGCCTAATCAGGGATAGGAAAACTTGAAACACAGATCAAAGAAAGAAAGAAATCTGGGTAGTAGCAGTAGTATACTGCCCTTCATCCACAAGTATCAGGGCAGTTCACAACATACAGGTACAGGGAGCTGTCCACTACACCAACTGGCAACTAAGCACCTCTTAAAATCCCCACACCCAGTCACATTTGTACCCCAACAAGTCACAGTGAAAATTCAGTCAACTTTATTGAGCTTATGTTCAAGGCAAAGTGGGTTGGGATAGCCTGTGTTTTGTTTTGTTTTGTTTTGTTTTTTGTTTTGCCTTGCATTGAACTAACCACCTTTTCTGTTCCATAGCACAGCGGAGCCATTTTTACTTACCGGTACTTTCAGCCATTTTCTGCAGATGAATATATTAACAACAACAAATTGGGGTAATTCTCCCAAGCCACGACATGCCCCAGATATGCAAAATGACATTGGTATTCAGTAGTCATGTCCACTGCAATGGCATCTTTCATGTCCACTAAACAACCCCAAAGGAATATTTCTGTGAACACGTGTAAGAAGATGCAGGTTTACAGACATGTGTATGGACACATCAGCAGATCTGGCAATATAAGCTTTAAGACCCAATCTTTTCATTTCTTTCTCATAAAGAAATATGGCTGCTGACAGAATCTCTCTTCCCTTTGCCTTTTATAGGACTATTTTACTTAGTCCCTTTCGAGCTGAAAAAAGTTTTTTCAGATCTAGTTGTTAGTTAAAAGGGGAGGGGAAGTGACAAATGTTCAGAGTGTTAGCAATCAAACAGCTCTTTTATATTCAGCTCTGCAGAAGCTGTTAAGTGGGTAAATGTTTTTGATCTGCAAGCAGAATAGGAACATAGGAAGCTCCATCTAGAAGGCCCATCTAGCTTAGTATTGTCTACACAGATTTGGCAGTGGCTCTCCAGGATTTCAGACTATGGTGGTCTCATCCAGCCCTACTTGGAGATGTCAGGGAATGAACAAGAGACCTTCTAAATGAAGCACACATGCTCTACCACTGAGCAATAACTCTTCCCCAAATTTGGAGAGATTGGGTTTATTCATATTTATTAAACTGATCTGTGTCAATCTGGTATTTTATTATTTTGAGTTTATTGTCTTTAGTACCGCTAGTCATCCCAGAAAGGGCAGTATTAAACAAACATCCTAGTAAATATTAAATGACATTTTTGCTGCTCCTCTTATGCCCTTTCATCATATGCACAGAAAGATGCTGGAAGATTGCACTCTGAACCATTAAAATTTACAACAACTCAAATGTAGCTCAACAAACAATTACGTATGTACAGTATTTTGCAATAATTACAGCAAGAGGCTCAGGTTTATGTCAAACAGGCCCCAATAATGATAAGTAGGAAATATTTGATTTAAATCCCTCTAGAAAAGACCAGACACACAGTAACACACATACGTAACTAAGAGTCAAAGCAGAGGTGATTAGGCTGTGATCAGGGTGGAGAGTCCTATACATTCTGCATTACAATTTCTTTAAATAATTTTGAAAGAAACTTGTTTCTTAATCACTGTGGGCATACTTTGTTTTACACATCATCACCACCACTTATTTTTCAGAAAATCCAGTTGCTACGTAGAACTTTTAATAAGGGACAACAAGAAATATAAGAAGCTTCTGCATGGTTGACTACACAATGGATTTGAGAGAGAGACACCAAGGCTTTGTAAAACCTCTCAGTCCCTCAACAGACGCAAGCTGAGAAGAGCCCACTAACTGAACCAAACAGCCAGGAAATTTGAGATTAAAGTTCAGCAGTGTAATCTTATATTTACACTCAAATGGAAAGTTGGCTTCCTCTAGGATTATCTCCTCTTTCTTCATCCTGTTCATCAATTTCATAAAACAGACAAGAAAAAAAAGAGCCTGCACAGAAAGTCTGCCCTAAAGACGTTACTTGAGCAATCATTTACCTCTCTGGCAACTAACTGAGAGCAGAAGTATGAAAAAGTGTTTACAACACGCTTTTCAGACACTTTCCTATATTGTTCATGCCTTGTGACCAAGTTCTTCCGCATAAATTCCCACATTACATTACAAAACAGACAATGATATGAATAACAGCAGCAACAACAAAGTAATAGAAAATTAAGAGCAAAAAAAGAGGACAGTAACGGTGCTGATGATAATACACAAAAAAATACAAGATCACCAGTTAAGAGAAAAAGAGGAAAATCACCCAGTCATTACTTAGTATATAATGAGTGCTTGTGGGACATTTGAAAGTAAAGCAGTCTATTCAGAGTCATTCTGCGGGTAGAATAAAGGAACTCAGCATTCACCCTCCTCTGGAGTACTACTACTACTACTACTACTACTAATAATTTAATATCGAACATTAAAAACTTCCTGATACAGAGTACAAACCACATGCCACAGGCCTCAACCCTGACAATCCCCAGGGCTCAAATTAAGCCCTGTGATCTTACCTTAGTTGAGTTGGATTGTTTAGGCAAGAGAAAAAGACGTTCGCTCAGCACAGAAGCAAACAAGGTTTCGGATCTAAGCAGCCTCCAATTCCGGTGGCTTTGACACCAACTGCACCACGATCCTGGGCAAGTCCACACAGAAGGAAACCCAGCTGAGTTCAAGGAGACTCCCTGCCACAAAAGCGCGCGCAGGACTGCAGCGCCAAACCTCCGGGTCCCCTTGATTCTCCAACCAGCAACGAGCGCCTTCTAACTCAATGGCCCCGTTTGCAACATGCAGAGCTCTGCGTTTAACGGCTCCCTCCCTCCCTCCCTCCAGGTCGTACCTCCTCCTGCCCAGCCCAACATCGCGCTTCCCCGCCGAGAGATACAACAAACCCTCCCTCCGTCTCCTTTCCTCGCGTCCTTTCGGAACGCTCCCTGCCCTGGCTCGTTTCCTCACTGACGTGTCAGGATCATGGAGCAGCAGGCGGAGAGAGACCCGCACGCAGACTTCCAAGCGGGAAGGCTCCCCAGTGGGGAGCCCCACCCAAGCCCAGCTCCCGGACTCCCCGCACTCGCAACACGGAGCTTTAGTCCTCCACCTCCACCACCTCCCTGCCAGATCCTTTCCGCTCTGCTCCTGGCGGTGCGCCGTGCAAGGAAGGGCCCGGCAAGCCCTGTCCCGAAACGCCGACCTACCTTAAGCTTGCACCGGGTCCGAGGACGGCGGCTGCAACTTCTGCTGCTGCGGCTGCTGCTGCGGCTGCAACAACAAGCGGAGGCGCCATGCAGCTTCTGCCGCTGCGAGACGCTCAGAATGGATGCAAGAGCCTGGCCGGGTCATCCGAGGACGGGTTTCAGCGTTTTAGGTGCATGTGACGCGGAACTGGCGGGACGTCTCGCCACCTGGTGGGCGGTTGTGACCCCTGCAGGCCCCGGCTCGGCTTTCTTCTGGGCGGCGCAGGCAGAAATTCAACAGGTATATCACCTGTTTGCGCCTTATCACAGCCTCCCCGTGCCAGGAAAATGCTGACTATTAAAAGGAAGCAGTCCTTTTAATGAGGTCGTTCTTTTATCTATACTGTACTGTATTTGTACTGTATTTAAAAATTACCAGCAAATAGTTACAAAGATGGGGCCTGTTTTTTCAAATAGAAACACAGAAAATGCTGCTCACCTTTCAGTTATTAATTTTTTGGCAGCTTATGCCATTCTTGCTTAGACAAGCCTACCCTAGTGCTTAGAAAGTGGAGGTAATTTTAATCTGTTTTAGTATTTTAACTTTTGGATGATTTCAAGTGAATGTTTCTCGATTTTATTTTTTTCTCTTTTTGTAAGCAGGTTTTTTTTTTACAATCAAACAGTGTATAAATTTTATGGAATAAATAACTATAAAGCTATTGGCAGCCTAAAGAGAGAGAAAGAGGGCAAGGAACACTCAAGTTAACGATAAAATTAAAAGTAGCAGATAAAAGCAGCATCAGATATTTCTGTTCGTGGTTAACATGTTTTGTTTTGTTTTGTTTAAAAAAAAGACTTGAGGGTAAAAAGGCTCACTGCCTGGTACTAAAAAGATTACATTGTGGCAACCAGGAAGGGGCGTAGTTCAGTGTTGTAATCAGTGTTGTAATCAAAAGGTTGCAGGTTCAACCCCCGGAATTTGGGGATGTCCCCCATCTGAAACCCTCGACAACTGCTGCCAGTTAGCATGATGTCTACAATACCATACTCTGATTCAAGACAGCTTCCTACAGACAGGATGCTGCCATCAAAAAGCCCCTCTTCCCAATCACCATCCACCACGCTTCAGTCAGTCAACAACCCGCTTTCCACTCAGCTGCCACGCCCTTTGAACCCATGGAAACAAGTGGACATAAACGAAAGTGATAAAGCATGTTCCTTGTTCTGTGAAGGTACAAAGGGTGTGCATTACATTTCCTTTCATTCACAGAATGTTTGGCAATGCCGCTTTCTTTTCACAACAGCTTGAGTTACCAGCCTATGTAGGGCGCCTTAGTTAGTCAACTTTTCCTCAAGACTTATCTTTTAACTTAGGCCTTGTGGGGGCAGAGAATGGACTTTAAATCATAGTTGGATGGGACCTCGAGGATCATCTAGTCTAACCCCCTGCAATTCAGGAATCTCAACTAAAGCATACATGACTGATGGCCATCCAACCTCTGCTTAAAAGCCTCCAATGAAGGACTTGCTTGCTGAGATAGGCCAAAATTGAAATGCTCCGGTTTGCTGCTGAGATATATATGAGTTTTTTGTCAGTGTTGCTGAATAAATTGGTTTAGTTATTGGTTTATGATATTTAGTGTTTTCATATGACTGCTGCAAGCCACCCTGTGAATACTGACAGCTAATGGGCAGTCTAAAAATACAGGGACAAATAAAAGCAAGATAGGCAATTTCCAAGTTGTCTACCAGCTGCTGGAACAACAGAAGGCTGTTGCCTTAATGCAGGCATAGGCAAACTTGGCCCTCCAGATGTTTTGGGACTACAATTCCCATCATCCCTGACCACTGGTCCTGTTAGCTAGGGATGGTGGGAGTTGTAGTCCCAAAACATCTGGAGGGCTGAGTTTGCCTATGCCTGCCTTAATGTTCTGCTTGTGAGCTTCCCAAAGGCATCTGAATGTCATTGTGTGATACCAGATCCTGGATGATTAGGAACATTGGTCTGATCCAGCAAAGCTCTTCTTGTGGTCCCAAAGACTCCCAATGTCACTGCTTACCACTGTAAATTCATGTTGCTGCTGAGCCTTTCCACAAAGACAAAGTGGGATATCCTTGCATATACATGGAAAATACAAAAGTCTTTTTTTAAAAGTAATTTAAAAAACAACAACCAATTTCAGCCTTAGTTTCCTATCAGCGAAACAGGAATATTAGGCCACAGGTGCTTTGCTGGTTTCTTCCAGTTTGTCCTTGAACAAGGAGTTTGGGTTGTGGGGACAGACTGTGCATCTTTCAACAAGAAGATTCTGATGTGGAAACAACCAAAAAAAACATTAGTATACATCCAATGTACAACTGAGCCATAGATGTGGACAATCTTATGGCGGTCTCTAAAGTTGTGGGAATGGATAGGGTAATCACTGTAATGCATTTTTAAATGCTGTGGAAATTAAATTCAGGCTAGTTTCAAATAAAATGCATGTATGGGAAGCAACATTAGGGAATAATTTTTGAAACTCGTTTACTTTTAAATAATATAGATATATTTCGAAACTCACTTCAAATGCAGGGCAAGGTGTATTGCATCTGCACGCTGCCTGGATACAAAAATAAGCCTCTACGTAGGGCCTACAGGGACTGACATTTTATAATTTCTTTGACAATTCCCTTTAACTATGAAGGTTTAATTCATTTAATTAGAATCCTAGCACAATCCCTGGCAATTCAACAGCCATATCCTGTGTTCATACCGCAACCGTCTTACCACTGCTCTCCTTCATTAAGTATGGATGAGTGAACATTTAGGAAACCGCTTGCATAAAAGGAGTGTTGATAAGAGTATACAGTATATTGAAAGTGATGATTAATAATCTCAATTAATGTAAGAAATGCATGATCAGAGGCAAAAATAATAATAATGAAATCCTGGGCTGAGAGCTGTGTTGACCTCAGTTATTGACCTCAGTTAGTTGAGCGAGAGTAGCCATAACCTCCTTAATTCTTTTACCAAGGTCACCAGACATAGTTTTCCAAGACTAATTTACCATTTTATCTCCAAGGCTTTATGAACACATTTGTATGTATTCATATAATAATAATAATAAAAAATTTTATTTATACCCCACCCTCCCCAGGCTCAGGGCGGCTAACACCAGTAAATTTACAATAAAAACATAATGGGGGGGGGGAAACCAATTTAAAATACAGGTTAAAATGCAATTTAAAATGCAGCCTCATTTTAAAAGTAGCCCATAGATCAAAACCATAAGGGGAGTGAAACATAAGGGTCAGAATGAGTCCAAAACAAAGGCCAGGAGGAACAGCTCTGTCTTGCAGGCCCTGCGGAAAGATGTCAAGTCCCGCAGGGACTAGTCTCTTGTGACAGAGAGCGCCACCAAGTTGGGGCCAGTACTGAAAAGGCCCTGGCCCTAGTTGAGATCAATCTAACCACCTTGCGACCTGGGACCTCAAAGTGTTGTCATTTGTGGACCTTAAGGTCCTCCGCGGGGCATACCAGGAGATGCGGTCCCATAGGTACATGGGTCCTAGGCCGCATAGGGCTTTAAAGGTCAAAACCAGCACCTTAAACCTGACCCTGTACTCCACCGGGAGCCAGTGCAGTTGGTAAAGCACTGGATGAATGTGATCCCACGGCAAGGACCCTGTAAGGAGCCTCGCTGCGGCATTCTGCACCCACTGGAGTTTCTGGGTCAGCTTCAAGGGCAGCCCCACGTAGAGTGAGTTACAATAATCAGTGCTAAGGGGTATGGCGGGTTGCATCTGCCATGTGCCCAGGTTTGCTTGGCTCATGCTACAGGAGTATAGGACTGGGGTTGTCAAAGAACAGCCGCTTGCTCTGATCTCTGGGAGAGTCAGAGAGCTGGGTTCCGGCTTCATTCCCCATAAACTGAGATGGATCTGGCAGGGAACTGCAAGTGTGTTGTCTCAGGGTCTTCCTTGAGCAGCCCAGGTTCCCCTCCTATCTAGGGGCTGTGATTTTGAATGGGAGTGGGGTTGGCAGCAATTATTGGATAGTTAAGATGCAACTGGCCAATTCTTCAGGGCTGTTGTGCAGCAGTTACACAAGGAAGGGCACAGGCAGGCTCTCCTAGCTTTCCCACTTCTGTTATGAGCCCTACAGTTCACAGTGGAAATGCATCCCTCCCAGTAAACATGCATTGGCTTGCACTATAAATCTGCTAACAGTTTTCAAACGCACACGACTGGGATCTGCTGGTACTTTGTGGTAGTGTCAGAGCTTAATTCCAGAATTACTGTGGCAATTGAATTCCATAATTTATTTGCTCCAGTCAGGGTTAGATGTCATAGAGGACATCTGGATAAATGAGATCATACTGTGCCAGTAAAATATGAATGTTCCTCCAACAGTTCCGATACGCACATGGCGATGTGTTGTGAATCCTCCAGAATTGTTTCTTGCATTTGAACACTGAGTTTAAAACAAGAACAACCAACATAATTTATCTCAGGCAATATAATGCATGGTATCCATTTGGTAGCAAAATACATGGGAATCTTAATTTTAGTTGTGTGTGCGTAAATATGCATCTATCTTAGCAAGATGATTCATGTCAGACATAAGGAAACTGGAATGTGTGCTAGGAATGACAAAAATTAAATAGTGGGTTATGCCACTCTGAATTAAATTTGACAGCTGAGGAATAATGAGGCTTGGGGTGCAAATGCCAGGAAGGGTCCACAGGAACTGATGCTGGCATCTTGTGTGTGTGTGTGTGAGAGAGAGAGAGAGAGAGAGAGGAGTTATAACTTTCTACTGTTGCGGCCCAGTACCAATAGAATAAATGCTAAGCAGGGCAGATGCAGCCACTATCTTTCTTTCTCCCAGTGTCGCAGGGTGCAATATTTGGACTTAGAGGTATTGTGGTGAAATTAAGATGGCAATTTTTAAAAAATAAAAAATCAGTTTATTTAAAAGCATCTATAAAACTGCTTAATATTTTAAAGAACTCTAAGGTGTACAATTTAAGGACAAGAAACAATAGTATAAAGGCATATAAAAACAAATTAAAGCAGGAAATTCAGAGAATTAAAACAAATAAAAACAGGTTCTGCCTTATGGGACAGGGAAACCCTGGGTGAAAAGACATGTCTTTACAAGATGTCTGAAGTAACTGATGATTGCTGCTTCACTTATGGCAGAGGGAAGGTCATGCCACGGTACAGGGGCGATAGCAGAAAATGGACAAAAAAGTCACCGCCTTGCAATATTCTGCAGGTTGATGTTCCATGGTCAGACTTTCCCCAGATGATCTAAGTGATATTACAGGTTTATACAAGAGAAGGCAGTCTTTTGGGTAACCTGGTCCAGGGTAGTTGCAACCACCCAATTCAGCACTTCTCATATTAATGCTGGACCATTTTAAAAAGTTAGAATGTAAAAAAAAAAAGAAATAAAAACAATGCTGCTGCTGCCACTGCTGGGTAAGCTTGTGGGAGGGGAACAGTTCCTTATCATCCTTTTATGTGATCCCAGCTGTTAGCCTGCTACCAAACTGTTCTTCCCTATATCTTGCTTCCCTGTCCACTTCTGGAGTTTGGGAGTCACCTGTAGTTGAAAAGCCAGGGACAGGAGCCTTGCTAGAAGAAAATGTGGCAACCCTAAAAGGAAGGCTTGCCAAACAGTTTTTATTGTCAGGCCCACAGCGGCTGCATCAAGGTTTCTGAAGCAATAATCCTAATGAGAAGGGGGCTTCAGCCCAGATCAGATGAACGACCCACTGGATGGGGTGGATGAGAATGTCCCAGCGTGCTCTTCTGTCATTTTTGTGCTACAGAGCTGAAACAGAAGGGAGGGAAGCCATCACTCTGGAGCAGCCTATAGCTACACTCTAGATAAGTGTTGCACATGATTCAGCCATTCCCTTTGTAATTTCCTAATTGAATTTTTGGCCCTTGCCTGTCCTGCCAATGGATAAAAGGCAGCCATTTCTCTTGATTAAATTGCAAAGAACAGAAAGAACAGAAAGTGTTGGCGGGGGGATGATTCCCAGGGCTATTTGAATCCCTATATGCTGAGATCCCTGATTCTGTTCGCAGGAGAAATTTAGGCATAAAAATATGAATTCATGCTGCTAAATTCTGAAAACTGTCCCAGAGTGTTGGCATGAAGTGTTCAGTCTCCATCAGTAATGACTGGGTGCAACTCCAGGCTTGCAAACACATTCTAAATCTAGACTTATAATCTTATGGTCAAGGTTATCCAGTGCTTTTCTTCTAGGAGAAAAAGGTGCCAGTACTGCGTACCCTTGAGGACCCCCAGGGAAAAAACCACTGAGGTTATCTATACTGGGATATCCTAAAAACAGCAGCAGCAGTAGTAACTGCAGTGATATGTTTTTAGGTGCTTGAAGTCTTGCTAACAGAAGACTGGCTAAAGCCACTTAGAGCAAAGGTGGGTAAGCTATATGCAACATCTGCTTTTTATCTGATCCCTGAGCTGTCTGAGACCCCTGCTGCCCCAGATGTGGTGATTTGGATGTTTCTAGACGTGCTAGGCCAAAAGAAGCAGCTGTGTTGCTAAGGCCCTGTTAAGAGGGAAACAGGAATGCCTTATGAGGCTAGTTGCCTCCTGTAGGATTGCACAGCTCTCGCAATTGCTCCACATCTAGAAACCTCTGGGAGCTTCCTGACAGGTGTTTATTGTGGGGTAGGGGGAAGCCATACACTTTAAACGTATGGTGTCTATGCAGCCCCAGTTCCAACAACCAAAGTGGATCATTCAAGGTTGGGAATGTAATGTGACCTGCAGGTTGAAAAGACACTTGATTAAATCATGATATATTTTAATCGCAAACTCAGTTCTCTCAGTGCCAGCCCTTATGTAGCCAAAACCACACAATGCCTAGACAAGAGGGAGATATCAGTAGGCTTGGCACAGGCCCAAGGTTTGCAGAAGTAGAAGAAGAAGAAGAGGAGTTTGGATTTGATATCCCGCCTTTCACTCCCTTTTAAGGAGTCTCAAAGCGGCTAACATTCTCCTTTCCCCTCCTCCCCCACAACAAACACTCTGTGAGGTGAGTGGGGCTGAGAGACTTCAAGGAAGTGTGACTGGCCCAAGGTCACCCAGCAGCTGCATGTGGAGGAGCGGAGACACGAACCCGGTTCCCCAGATTACAAGACTACCGCTCTCAACCACTACACCACACAATTTAGGGGGAAAACCTAAAAGAGGTGGGGATTGCAAAACAAGTCAATGAGCACGTCCAGTGGGTATCAAATGTTGTCTGGCTGTTGGCAGGAAAAACAGAAATGGGTGGAATGGAGTAAATGGAAACCTGAGCAGGAGTACTCCTTACTGTAACATTTTGTTGCAGGACCCATTTGTAACTCATAAATAGTAATGCATGCTAAGACTGTTGCAAAGCTTCATGGTTTTGTATAATGTAGAGAACTATAACCTGAGATGCAGAAATGCAAAAGACAGAGCTAATGTTACCTGAAATATTAGGAAAACTTTTAAATGATTTTTTCACCTAATACTGATTTTAAAAAATCTCTCACCCCCTCCTCTTCCTTCGTGGCATCTGATTTTAACTTGGAGCATTAGCCTGCCAAGTAATTTCCATATTTGCAAACCCCGAGACAGACTTCTCAGCTTACAGACGATACTCTTATTTGCTATACTACACCACTCAGACCAATTCATCAGACCAAGTTACCTTGACAGCTCTACTCTGAAGCAACTGTGCTCTAAATTGTGCTTTTCAAAAAGTAAAAAATTAAATTCAGTGAAGTCTGCTACATTGTATAAACTGAGATGATGATAATAAGAAGATGCACCCAAATCCATGGAAGCAGGCTTCTGCAAATGAACCACCTTTTGAAATATGTCCTGCATGTATAGTAATGCATTGTACAAGTGCTGTTGCTGGATTTCTGTGTCCAGAGCCCAGGTCTGCACGAGTGGCTCCCTTTGCTGAATTGGGATCATAGGCTCAAAAAAGCAGACAGCAAGGCCAGCTCTGATAGTGCCAACTGCCTCATTTTGGGGGGTAGGGGGCTACATCTAGAACAGGTGACCAATGCTTTCAAAACTGGCAGCATCAAACCATCTCCCAAGTGACCATGTACAGCCAGATCTTTATGCAAAGCCCAATTCTACACACAAGCCTCTTTGGAATGTAGGCACAATATTTTCCTAATGGTTAGTAGGAAATGGTCTTTAATAGACTACAGAGCAACAGGACTGTGGTGGTTCAGAACATCAAAAGAAAAATTCTACTGACACATCCCTGCAGTACTAGCAGTTCTTTTTGAAAGTCTGTCCCCAGTGTGATGTATTGGTCAGGCCAGACACTGCTTGGCTGATAGAGTCTAATGTGATCACAGCAGGAGCTGCTTAGGCTTCAAGGCCATGTCATTTCAATTAGAAAGGTGAAAAATAAAACATTTGTGTGACTAGGGTGACCATAGCAAACCACAGAAATGGTGCCTGCTTCACAGGCACACTAAATCAAGAGAAGTTACAATTTATCCTCAAATTAATAGTAAACATATTTCTCTAGAATAATTCAGAACCAGCAAAGCGGCTGTTAAAGGATCGCATATGTTTTGGATTTAGTATTGTTGACAGTTGACAGTATTGTCGACAGAATTCCTGCGATAGTTTAGAAAGTCTGGACAACAATAGTTGTGGCTAGACAATGGGGACAGAGTATTGCCAGCACATAACTCAGGTGCTCAAAAGTTTGCACTGGTTTGCACCTTACACTACTGGGTCAGGTTAAAAGTTATTATATTAATTTACAAGGCCCTTAACAACTTAGGTCCAGGGTACCTTAGGGATGGCCTGATCCCTTATATCCCTGCTTGATCACCAAGGGCTTTGGCAGAGTCATTGTTAATGGTTCTCCACAGCTTGGATACATAGTTTGCATCAGCAAGGAGCTGATGCAAAAAGCCAGTGTGGTGTAGTGGTTAAGAGTGGTAGATTCGTAATCTGGCGTCTCCACTCCTCCACATGCAGCTGCTGGGTGACCTTGGGCTAGTCACATTTCTCTGAAGTCTCTCAGCCCCACGCACCTCACAGAGTGTTTGTTGTGGGGGAGGAAGGGAAAGGAGAATGTTAGCGCCTTGAGACTACTTCGGGTAGTGATAAAAGCGGGATATCAAATCCAAACTCCTCTTCTTCTACTGTTGAAATGAATCCTTTATATAGTTTGCATGGTTTGGCAGTGCTTGTTTTAAAGGAATTCACTAGTGGAGAATGAATGCAAAAGGGAACATTTTGCCTATGCAAAAAAGCACATTTAATACAATTATATAATAAAGCAACACTATAATAATATATGAGATTTCGGTGCTTCCTAATGGGGATATTATAAATTGGTTGTTAAGATCTCACAAAAGGGTAAATGGCAGCACATTTTTTTTAACTGGAAAGGGTAAATCTGGATTAAAGGGGTGGGAATATAAATGTTTCAATGTTAGCTCCACTGTGTGGACACTTAACAAATCTGCATACATGAAGAGCACTCATCTCACATTAAACACTTGCATGGAATTAAGCACTAACATTTAGCATTCTTCTCCATTCAACTTTTACACCACTAGCAATTATTAGAACAGCCCTAATCTCTGAGTACTTTTTGCTTTCTGTTATTTCTGCCTGCAGACAGCGTAGGTATTCCCCCCTGCCCCCATTCTTAATAGTCTCACACAATCTCATTTCTGGGATATAAATTATATAAAAGGTAAATATGATTGTGCATGATGTGCAAAAAGTGGACAGAGCAAAGTTTCTCTCTCACACTAGAACCTGGGGCCTTCCAATGAAGCTAAATATTGAAATACTCAGGTCAAACAAAAATAACTACTGCTCACAGCAAATGGCTAAACTATAATCTCACTCCCAGTGGGACTACTGTGTCAGAGGTAGCATGCCTCTGACAAATATATTGTTGGGCAACACAAGTGGGGATAATGTTGATGCACTCTGGTCCTCCCTGAGGCCTTGCCATGACCATCTATATGTGTATAGATTAAATTTTATCAATGTTTAATTGCTTTTTAAATTTCCCCCCATGTTTTCAGAAGTTCATATTTTTATCTGTAAGCCACCTTGAGTCCCATCAAGGAAAAATGCAGGGCATAAACAAATATATAATCATAATAATCTAGCTCGCCACTGTAAGAGCAGCGTGCTAGATGGACCTTTGGCCTGATCTAGAAGGGCTCCCACTAGGGGGAAGAATATGTAGTGATTTCAATTACTCAGACTTAGTATCCATAAGGTATAGCTTGCGGGCTAAGAGAACAGCAAATCCAAGAGGCGACGGGATTTGTTTAGTCGAAAGCTGCAGTCTGATGTACTTGCCCCGGAGAAATACCTATTGATCGCATCGAACTGAGCTACATCTGTCACATTAAGCGCCTCAACAACTCTCTCCCTCAACCTACCCCTCGTCAACTCCCTGACGCCATAAACCACGAGAGCAAGTCGTGAAGCATTCTGGGAAATGTAGTCGCTTTCGCGCCCCTGTCTATTTGATCGCGCTCGTCCCTCCGCGACAGAAAACACTACATTTCCCGGTCGTCCTTGTGCAAAAACATCCTTCTTCATGGCTCTCGGTTTTTCCTGTACCGCGTTGCATGTTGGTACCGGTAGTCTTTTAATCACCGGGATCCCTATTCTACAAGACCTGACTTCCTGGGCGGAGGATACTACATTTACCGTGTGCCTCAGCCCGCCGCGCTTGCGCCGTGTGCATGGAAGGAGGGGAGGGGAAAGGCCGTTACGTTGCGGGCAACGGCCAGGGCAGTGAAGCGGCAGTCAGTGTTGGTGCCGGAGGCTTCCGCGTTCACTGTTAGGGCTGGTGCGCCGCGTCAGGACGAAGGGCGGCTTCTGTCAGGCTCCGTCCGTTACGGTGGGGAGGGGAGAGCGGGGCATGAAGCTGTGAGGGGCCGCGAGCCGAAGGGAGCGGGGAAGGAGAGCGGCCGCAGGCAGGCGAGAGGAAGAGGAGGAGGAGGCGCGGAGCGATGTCTCAGCCGCCTCAGCAACATCCGCCTCAGCAGGAGCAGCAGCCGGTGGCCGCGCCGGTCTCGAAGAAGAGGGACCGGAGGATCTTCTCGGGGACTTGCCCGGATCCCAAGTGCCAGGCGCGGCTGTTCTTCCCGGCGCACGGGCCTCTGAGCAGCGGGAGCATCGAGTGCACGGACTGCGGGCAGCGCCATGAGCAGCGGCAACTGCTGGCGGTGGAGGAGGTGACGGACCCGGACTTGGTGCTGCACAACTTGCTGCGGAACGCGCTGCTGGGGGTGAGCGGGGCGGGGCCCCCCAGGAAGAACACCGAGTTGGTGAAAGTCATGGGCCTGTCCAACTACCACTGCAAGCTGCTGTCTCCCATCTTGGCCCGCTATGGCATGGACAAGCAGACGGGCAAGGCCAAGCTCCTGACCGAGATGAACCAGGGGGATATCTTTGACTGCGCTCTTCTGGGCGACCGTGCCTTCCTCATTGAGCCTGAGCATGTCGACACGGTAGGGTATGGCAAAGACCGCTCCGGCAGCCTTCTCTACTTGCACGACACCTTGGAGGATATCAAGAAGGCCAACAACAGCCAGGAGTGCCTCATCCCGGTCCACGTGGATGGGGATGGCCATTGCTTGGTGCACGCAATCTCCCGGGCGCTGGTGGGCAGGGAGCTGTTCTGGCACGCTTTGCGGGAGAATCTCAAGAAGCACTTTAGGGAGAATCTCAGCCGCTACAAAGCTCTCTTTCATGACTTCATTGATGCGGCAGAATGGGAAGACATCATAAACGAATGTGATCCTTTGTTTGTTCCCCCAGAGGGTGTACCAATGGGCCTTCGAAACATCCACATATTTGGATTGGCCAATGTGCTGCACCGGCCCATCATCCTCTTGGATTCCCTGAGCGGAATGCGTAGTTCAGGAGACTACTCTGCCACTTTTCTACCTGGATTGATACCAGAAGAAAAATGCATGGGAAAAGATGGCATGTTGAACAAACCTCTCTGTATTGCCTGGAGTAGTTCTGGCCGTAACCATTATATTCCTCTGGTTGGGATAAAAGGTGCTGCTTTGCCTCAATTGCCTATGAAATTACTTCCTAAAGCTTGGGGAGTACCTCAGGACCTTATTAAAAAATACATCAAATTGGAAGATGATGGTAGTTGTGTGATTGGGGGTGACAGAAGTTTGCAAGACAAATATTTGATGAGGTTGGTTGCTGCCATGGAAGAGGTTTTCATGGATAAGCATGGCATTCATCCCAGTTTAGTAGCTGATGTACATCAGTATTTCTATAGAAGGACTGGTGTGATAGGAGTTCAGCCTGAAGATGTCACAGCAGCTGCTAAAAAGGCAGTGGTGGACAACCGCCTTCACAAGTGTCTCATTTGTGGTGCCCTTTCAGAACTTCATGTTGCTCCTGAGTGGTTGGCTCCCGGAGGGAAACTGTATAATTTGGCAAAAAGTACCCATGGCCAGCTAAGGCCTGATAAAAATTATAGTTTCCCTCTTAACAATTTGGTATGTGCCTATAATCCAGTTAAGGATGTACTTGTACCTGATTATAACTTGAGTAATTTGACTGTCTGTAACTGGTGCCATGGAACATTGGTGCGTCGTGTCAGAAATGATGGTTCTGTTGTGTATTTGGATGGGGACAGAACTAATACCAGATCGACAGGTGGTAAATGTGGTTGTGGATTCAAGCATTATTGGGAAGATAAGGAGTATGACAATCTCCCTGAAGCTTTCCCAATTACTCTAGAGTGGGGTGGGAGAGTGGTGAGAGAGACGGTATACTGGTTTCAGTATGAAAGTGATCCTTCTCTAAACAGCAATGTGTATGATGTTGCAATGAAACTTGTTACCAAGCATTTTCCTGGAGAATTTGGCAGTGAGATTCTTGTCCAGAAAGTTGTCAATACCATTCTACATCAAACAGCCAAAAAGAACCCTGATGATTATACGCCTGTCAACATTGATGGGGCTCATGCCCGAAGAGTTGATGATGTGCAGCAAGGACAAGACTTGGAATCTCAACTTCCAACCAAAATAATTCTTACTGGTCAGAAAACAAAAACATTGCACAGGGAAGAGCTAAATATGAGTAAAACTGAAAGAACTATTCAGCAAAACATTGCAGAACAGGCACCTATAATGCAGAAACGCAAAACAGAAAAATTGAAACAAGCACAAAAAGTGCCACCTAGAACATCTTCCCCAGGTGCTGTTCCTGATGGGCCATCTTCTGCACCTGCTACACCTACAAAGACTCCTTATTCCCCAACATCTACAAAAGAGAAGAAAATACGCATAACAACAAATGATGGGCGGCAGGCCATGCTCACTTTGAAATCCACAACCACATTTCTAGAACTGCAAGAAAGCATCGCTAGAGAATTTAATATTCCTCCCCATTTGCAATGTATTCGAGTTGGCTTTCCTCCCAAAGAGCTTTTGCCACCCAAAGAAGGGCAGGAAAATGAACCTGTTCCTCTACTGCATGGTGACAGAGTAACTATAGAGATTCTCAAAGGCAAGGAGGAGAGCAGTCTGACCGCTTCAGTTCACTCGGCCCATGCTGTGAAACTCGATGATGTTGCTGTTACTAGTAAAATTGCTTCCAAGGAAATCCAAGAACAAATCGACAAGGAAATGTACTCTCTGTGTCTTCTAGCAACATTTATGGGTAAGGAAAACACTTTTTTTCACTTTTCAAAGAGTAGAGATATGTCTAACTCTGAATTTTATAAAGCTAGAAATCCATACATGATCTGACCAACTATTAGATAAATACAAGTTGGTGTCATAATTCATAGAAAGGATCCCAAGGGTCATCTAGCCCAACCCCCTGCAATGCAGGAATCTTAACACACGGTCAGTCCTCTAATTTGAAACCATACCAAACACTGCTAAGCTTTGGAAATGTGTTAGTAGTTTTATTGCTGCACAACTGTTCCTCCTTTTGAAAATAATGAAACTACTTTTTTAAAAAAAGTACCTGTAACTACTGTTTCAGCCAGGGGTGAGAACTTGTGGCCCTTTAGACTTGCCTCTGCCAACGTGGCCAGTGATGGGAATGATAGTTCAGCAACATTTAGAAAACAGCAGTTTCCCCAACCTTTGTTTTAGGGGTATTTGAAAGCCACTTTTCTCCTCTCCCAGCTTTATCTTATGTCTTCATTTGTGTAATGTTGTGCTCTGATAAATGGACTTTTCTCAGTATTCCTAATTTTTCCTCATTAAGAAATTTATTATTCTAGTAACTAGCTAGAGTTTTTTTGTGTCTGGATTCTTATTTGATTCCTCATTTGCTTACTTTGCTATAAATACTATACTTAAAGCATATATATGAAGCTGTGAAATATTTACTGCAACACCTCATCTTACTTACTGTCTTAATTTAAAGCTTAACAGGGTTTCGGTGAAGTAAAACAAACTTAAAAGCCGAACTGCTTGTCCAGAGAGTATATATAATACAGTGGTGCCCCGCAAGACGAATGCCTCACAAGACGGAAAACCCGCTAGACGAAAGGGTTTTATGTTTTCAATGCGCTTCGCAGGACGAATTTCCCTATGGGCTTGCTTCGCAAGACGAAAATATCTTGCGAGTCTTGAGATTTTTTCCGCTCCCCCCCCCCCTTTTCTAAGCCGCTAAGCCTTTAATAGCCTTTTAGCAGCTAAGCCGCTAAGCCTTTAATAGCCGCTAAACCGCTAATAGCGCTAAGCCACTAATAGGGTTGCTTCGCAAGACGAAAAAACCGTAGACGAAGATACTCGCGGAACGGATTAATTTCGTCTTGCGAGGCACCACTGTATATGTATTTCTGCTACTCAGCTAGATCTATGGAAGGTTATATTTTAAGAAACCTTTTAAACCAAATTAATTGGCAGTGTTGCAAATAAAATCAACGTATTGCAGTCTTTGCCATTCACTTGCAGGGTGCATGACATCAAAAGTATTGCTTGGTTTCCAACCAGCTGAGGCATTTTTTTAAAAAGCTCCCCCCCCCCCCCATATAAAACCCTTGTGATAATTGCAGAATGGTGTAACATTTGCACAATGTCATGAATGTTTTTGGCACTCGCAGTTGCATTATCTGTGCTGCTTTGAAAATTAGGCTTGTGTGTTAAGGCACTAAAAATAAAATGATGGAAATGACTGTTCAAAAGAAAATGGAAGTTTCTGTGTGTAATTTTATGAACCGAAAGCTTAATAGTGAATTATTGAAAACGAAACTGAGTAGATACTATGAAACAAAAGTGAAACTGGCAACTTTACTTTTTTTAACTGAGAACAAACCTTATGAAGTGTTGTGGTCATATGACTTTTGTTATTCAGAGAAAAATATCTCTTCAGCTGTAACCATTTCTTAGCAACCACGTCTTTCCTAGTAGGGTAGTTCTTGTTCTCATCTGAGTATGAAGTATAAAGGTAGTATCCAAAAGAGATTGTGGCTGCATGCATGTCAGGAAACCTTTTAAGAAAAGAATACAGTGGTACCTCGGTTTAAGAACTGTCCTGTTTACGAATGACTCGGTTTACGAACTCCGAAAACTGGAAGTAGTGTCCTGGTTTGTGAACTTTACCTCAGTCTAAGAACGGAATCCAAACGGTGGAAGGACACTGGCAGCGGGAGGCCTCATTAGGGAAAGCACGCCTCCGTTTAAGAACGGTTTGAGTTTAAGAATGGACTTCCGGAACTGTTTAAGTTCATAAACCGAGGTACCACTGTATTTAGGACCGGGGGGTGGGGGGGGGGTGGGAGTCTGAAACAAAACTGTGGGTTACCTCATGTTCATGCAAGGGGGCTGGTTGGGAGGAAACATTGCATGGCAGAAAGGAGATGGGAGGGTAGGTGTTTTAGGATTAAACAAGACAAGCACACATACTGCGTAAAGAGTAGTCAGGGTGAAGCTTGAACCTTTGTAGCAATTGCCTATGATTTCTATGGGAGAACTCTCTCATACTTGGAGGACTGTAACCTTCTTCAAACAAGCATGAATTGTTGTTATGAAAAAATGCTCGCTTGACCCTTGGGACTGCATTCTTCAACTCCCCTCCCTCTGCATGCAAAGAGGAGATTAAAAGTTTTCCCTTTTGAATTAACAACAGTTCTTCATAGTGTCCAAACAGAACAAGTCATGGTTCTCTGTCTGTGATTGGCTAAAACAAATAGGATATCAAACCACTTCTTAAAATCCTGGTTTATTAACTGCCACAGTTAGAACAAGCCCCGGTTCCGAGAGTTAAGTAAATGTAGCTTGAGTTTTCCATTAAGATATATTGGCAGAGTACTATTCTCTTTCATTGATGCTTAAAATCAAGGTTGTCTTGTATTCCTCCAAGTACCCAGGTACTCCTATACGTTCAGTAAAATGTGTGTAGCTAAATGCTGTGTTGCTAATACTTTGTCATGTGTGAAATGGCCCTTAGGTTCCCAGGGAAACTAAAAGAGTGACTCCCAGTGAGATGTGATGACCGGGGAAGGGAGGCGGGAACCAGGGGAAGAGTCTACCCCCCCCTTCTTTCTCTGGACCTTCATATCTCTAGCGTGCTTTCCATTTGCCTTCATTGTAATATTGCAAGTGGGACCTGAAAACTTTTATCTTTAAATAAAATTTTGTATGTCTTCACATGTTACAGTATAGCTGAAGTAACACTATCCTGACTCCTCTAGAAGATGGTAGAACTCAACTGCGGTCTTGATATTTTGGTTATGCTAGAATGTGATAGAAAGTTGGAGGACTTTAGTGACATGCTGGGAACAGGCATTTGTATTTATATATAAATGAAGGTAATATTTTTCCACCAATTATAATTATGCTAGTTAACTAACCCTTTTTTCCCTGTTCCACAGGAGAAGATGTCTGGTCTTATGCAAAAGGACTTCCTCACTTGTTCCATCAGGGTGGTGTGTTCTACAATATAATGAAGAAAACAATGGGTATAATTTCTAACTATGTGCTTGTGTATATCATGGTTTTTAAGAGAAAATTATTGTGAAGCTTTGATTTCATGTACATATGTATACATATAGTGGGGAGGGTGTTGCAACCATGCAATGTGTACCCCAAATGAGAAGGCAAATCAGGGTGATTCAGGCAGACTCTGTTGTTCTCTAGTTTGATTTTGCCATTAACAAGTTGTGTCAAGGCAGATCAGGGAGTTCTCATACTGCAAGTAGCTCTGTTACTTTCGTTTTTCCAGAACGTTCAATACCATGCACAACATCTCCTTGCTTGTTTTCTTTTCTCAAAATCGAAACTAAACTGACTGAGGAAACACCCAGAGCTCAAGAGGGGAGATGATGGAGAGGTGGGAGGATCTTCTGTTTTGATGGACAAGTCTAGCTTTTAATCACAATTTCACTCCCTCAAAAGGAGAGAACATACATACAATTTGTATGCAATTCTGCTAGAAAATAAAACACTTCCTCTTAAAAAACCTCAACAACTTAAATGTTTCCTGGCATGAAGTCCACTGGTTAGATCTGCCTGAACTTTGGCAAGCTTAAGCCACTCTGGATGAACTCCTTTGCCTGCAATATACCCACTTATGTGAAAAGGGGGGAAAATACAGCTATTTTTTAGATTCCCGTTTATAGTTATGGGAATAAAACAGTTTCAGGTTTAACGGATCAGATTCGGCCTGAATAGCAAATCAAATCAGAATGACACAGAGCAGCTCAAACAGAGGAGGATGCTTTAGAATGCTACAGATACAAAGCCATTGATGTGGCTGCGGCACACACTTGCTATAGTAGAGAGAAATGTATATTGCTTCAGGCTTTAAAGGAAATTGACAGACTGGGTAAAGGTCTGTAAGGCCTTCTAAATTAGTGGTACTGTTGTCACAATTGTTTTTCTTGTCTTCTTGAACTAAATTGTGTGCAGGCTCATTTTCTTGATTGAGGAACAAAATCCGTGTTATAAGCCAAAGTCAAGAACTGAAAAGGAGAATGTGATACAATTAATCCTGAAACACAGAGCTTCAATCTAACTAGCTGCATTTGCTGGTGTCATTGTGCAGCAGGTCATTCCACTCCACCCTTTTACTTCTGTAGTTCAGAGAACTTTCCAGAATGACATACGGTGGCTCAGTTTGCACATCACATTAAGTTAAACCATCGTTTATTTTAAACTATAATGTGAATGAGCAGAATTCCCAGGGCACTTCTCACCTGCTGCTGCTGTGCCACTGACAAAACAATCCAGAGCCTAGCTTGTCATGTCTTCTGAATATGGGCTCATGGTTTGTTTCCTCCAAACAAAACACAAGTGGTAACCCAAGGTTTATTTTTAGGTTACTACATGTGTTTTGTTTGAAAGAAACAACCTCAGACTTGAGTTCAGAGGATACAAAAAGGCAGGATCTTGATTGTTTTGTCTGCAGCACAGCTATGGAGAAAGACTGCTGCAGGAATTTTTTATCACTATGCACCGGTGCAATGCTTGTTCACATTACAGTTTAAAGTCTTTGTTTATATTACGATTTTCCTTTCATCAAGTCAGAGTTGTGACAAAGCCTCAGAATTCATTCTCTGTGTGTATCTACCCCTTTCCACTGCCTTTTACTTTATTTATTATTCCCCCCCAAGCCCATAATGCTGAACGCGCATAAATTGCAGGCTTACTGTACAATGTAATATGTTAATCAGCATGCATGCCTATTACACATCTGCAGACACACTTTGGAGGCTGTAATTACCACATGAGTTCAGCGTTTTCTCTGCCCTCAGATTGATCATTTTGTTTTCTATACAAGTTTAATAATAATAATAATAATAATAATAATAATAAATTTTATTTACATCCCTCTCTCCCCAGCCGAAGCTGGGCTCAGAGCGGCTAACAGCAGTAAAGATGTTAGAATCCTTTCAGTGTTCCATCTTTTCTGCCAAGCTTGACATTGCGTACCTTGAATGAGAACAGGATTGCTTTATTGTTGAAAAAACATTAGATAATTATCTTTGTTCTGACATCTTGTCCCAGTCTGCACTACGACATCTAAAAGTTCATTAAAAGATGCTAATAATAGTCAGTGCCCACTGATTTCCGTTTCGTTTCAGTATTGGCAATTGTACACCTCTAAGCCACTCTCCTTCTTTCTAGTTTTCTACTTTCCTGTGTGCTTTATCTCAGGGGTGGACAAATGGAACCTGCCCACCCTCCATATGTCATTTTGATAGGTGGGTGGACGTCCAACCTGTCAATCACCTGATGCCATAGGATGTCAGGTGATTCAAACTTCCAGCTTCAAGCAGAATCTTATCTCCAGTCTTTGTGCTGTTGTCCAATAGTGTTAAGATCGGAGATAATTTAATTTATTATTAAATTTATTATATTTCTGTGCTGCTTTTTACTCACACATCACAAAGTGGCTTACATACAATAAATAGCAATAACATAATAGAACATCACAATTAAAACATAAATCATATAAAATAATTAACAAATCATGAGTAAAAGCAACCATCTTCTATAAAATGCTATTAACAAAACAACTTTAAAAATAGACACAAGCACAACCACAAGATAAAAAAAATGTATCTGCACTTTGACAATTTACTATAAAAAGCAGGCAAAGGTTTATCTTCAATCTTAGTACTAAGCATCACAGTGTTAGGATCTAGGCCTGGAGATAACAAATCTTGCTATTTGATGTCATATACCAATTGACTGACAGTTGGGTGTGGTTTGTCTAAAACGGCCTTGCAGGCCACATTCAGGGGCCTGGCAAGCCTAGTTAAGCCCATGGGCCAGCAGTTCTTCACTGCTGTTAACAGTATTTCTACCAAATTCTGCCTCCTGCCAACCTAGCAGTTTGAAAGCACGTCAAAGTGCAAGTAGATAAATAGGTACTGCTCCAGCGGGAAGGTAAACGGCGTTTCTGTGTGCTGCTCTGGTTCTCCAGAAGCAGCTTAGTCATGCTGGCCACATGACCCGGAAGCTGTACACTGGCTCCCTCGGCCAGTAAAGCGAGATGTGTGCCGCAACCCCAGAGTCATTCGCGACTGGACCTAACAGTCAGGGGTCCCTTTACCTTACCAAATTCTGCCGCTTTGGTTACCTGAGGTACCTGATGACTTGCAGAAGATATTTTGCAATATTAAAATGGAAATAATGGAATGTAATATACATGGCAATCTTTTATTACATTTCAGTGGATATATCTAAAGACTGCTTTCTCCTGTATAGTCATTATTTAAACTTCAGACTCTTGTTTTTCTTACAAATGTGCTCTAAATCAGAAGAGCAGGTAACGATTGTATCTAGTGTAAGGACAAATGTATAATTGACCTATGCAGACTATCTGATTACATTTGAATAGTTCCAATTCAAGTTTTTCAACCTTTTGCTGAAGATAATGAGAGAGCACTAAAGAGAAAGGATAAAAGTAGTATTTACTGCTTAAGTCTTTTGTTATGGCGTTTACTGCCCAAACAAGCCTGCCTTTTAATGTCCCTTTTAATGTCACTTTTAGAAATCTGCTCTATAGTTCCATTCCAGAGGGCATTTGCTTTTCCAGAACTTGATTTTTGATGTAGCAGCTGTGTGTTTAACTTAAGAAATATATATTTTATCTACCAGTTGTGATGTTTATATGTAACATCCAGGAGCAGGAGCAGTATGCCAATGTGCCATTGGGTAGAGTCTGTTACATTCATGTCCTGCTTCTGGATTTCCTAAAAACATCTGGTTGGCCATTGTGGAAAAAATGATGCAGGATTAGATGGTCCTTTGGGGTCTGACCCAACAGTTCTGCTCTTACGTTTTAGTTTTTTCCTTAGTTTTTGGATTTTTTTAGTGCTATATGGGTTGTGTCCGAATCAGAGGGTGACTCAATGAAATTAATTGACATGACTGACTAACTAGGTCCAGTAATTTCAGTGGGGCTACACTGAGTTGAACATAGTTGGATACAACCTTTTGTGCTTATAATGTGACCCTGGTATGCTTTGTTATCTGCTTCACAGCCATCATTAAGAAGCAATATATAAACTTAAAAATATCTCTTTCCCCTTTCTATAGGTCTGGCTGATGGTAGGCATTGTACTTTTCCACACTTGCCTGGTAAGACCTTTGTGTACAATGCAGCAGAAGATAGAGTGGAACTTTGTGTGGATGTTGCTGGGCATTTTCCTGTGGGCGCCGATGTTGAAGACTTGGTTAAGGAGGCCCTAAGCCAAGTGCGAGCAGAGGCTTCTTCAAGAAGCCGGGAAGCAAGTCCTTCGCATGGACTCCTAAAGTTAGGTAGCGGTGGCGTAGTTAAAAAGAAGTCAGAGCAACTTCACAATATAACAGCGTTTCAAGGGAAAGGCCATTCATTAGGAAGTGCAGCTGGTAGCCAATCACTTCATCAAAGAGCTAGGGAAGCTCCACTGTTAAGAAAGCAAAGCACAAGCACAGACTTCAGTCCAAGTTCTGCTAAATCTGAGTCTTCAGTGTACACAGGTGATTCTGGAAACAGTGAGCTAATACGGATAGCTCCTGGAGTAGGAACCATGAGAGACAGCAGGCAGCTTGATCCTAATTTGATTGAGGCACAACGGAAAAAATTGCAGGAAATGGTTTCTTCGATTCAGGCTTCAATGGACAGACACATGCGGGATCAGAATACAGAGCAGTCGGCGACACAAGACTTCTCTCAAAGGAAACTGGAAGCCGCAAGTTCATCTATTAAAACAAGGAGCCCTCAGACTGGTTTGTCTGAATCCTTTTCTTTATCAAGTGGCAGCGGACATCTGAATGCAGAAACAACTGACAGTAATATGTCAAATGCAGTGGGAACAACATTCTCCACAAGATCAAAGGCACAGAAGGGAAATTCTGTGGAAGAGCCTGAAGAGATGGATAGTCAAGATGCAGAAATCACTAATACATCTGAGCCAATGGATCATTCATGAATAGTTAACAACTGATAAAATACAAGAGATTACTGTGCAAATGTAATGTTTGTTGGCTGGGCCACATAAGATTAGTAATTGAATCTTGTATGTTTCAAATATTATATCTTACTCATTGCATGATAGCAAGTGTGTGATAGACAATAGCTTTTAATATGCCATTTTGCTGCCCAGGTTAGCTCTCAGTTACCTGTAAATTAGTTATTAGAATATGCACTGGGATGAATATCTGCTGTAGATGTGGGTTCTTTTTTTGTAATTTTATTTCTGTTAAAGTCTTAATCCTCCAGCCCATGTGAAATCATTATGTTTCAAAGATTAATATGTGAAAAGAAAATCTGACAAATGTAGTGTGTTGGTTCCAGCATCAAGAAGCATTCCCTTAGATCTGAACACTTTGCTTCCATTTAGATTTTCAGGTTTCTCAAAAACCCACGTATATTTATTGAGATCTCTTTAAAAGTTGTACATTTAAAGAATGATAGGGCAAAGTGCTATATAGTATAAGATGAATCTAAAGCAAAGGTGATGCAGCAATGCATGGCGGACTGAGCCAGCACAGCTTTTTCATTGCCCTGTTGGCTAGTGATTGCATGTTTAATTTTGAGCTGGTAAAGTACCATCGTGTGCTTTACATTGCAAAGGCAGTAGTATGCAAGTATTTTAAGAAACTGCAGCAGGCTAATAAGGAATTGCTTTTTGTGCAGGAAGATTTTGAAAAATAACAGTTGGTTATCAGTGCTGGCTATTAACACTTTCTAAGCATGTTGGATTAATGGAATTTAACAGAAGTTTCATCAGATTTTCAGCGATATAGTAACGGTTTCTTTTTGACTTCCTGAAATGGGAAATCCTTAGTGTTTCACTTTTATGCAAGTCTTCATGCATCACTTTGATTAAACTGTCATCCACTTAAACAGCATATTCATCAGATCTACAGTGCTATTTTTTACTAAGCAGCCATAGTATTTGCTCCGTAAAGATAGAATATTTATCTTGATACTGATGTTGCACTTTTGCCTCTTTGCTTATTTCTATTTTATGTGCATTATTACTGCTTCATCTAATGAAAATAAACTTGAAACAGTAAACGACTTATAATACAGAAGAGATACTGAAAAGAAATCTGAAGTGCTTAGCTATTGAAGCCAGTGTTTACTCAACATGCAAGTTTTACCTGGTCCACAAATACTAAGTTTGTATTAATGTTTATATTCTGAAAATATGCTCACACTTTCTGCAGTTATAATCACACAGGAAACCTCTAAGCAATGCTATGATAAAATGTCCCAAGTAAGGGAAGGTTTATTTTTTATATGGGAAATTAACCGAAGGTAAAACTGCCTTGGTTCATTCAACTATATTAATCCATTCAAACACCCTTTTTGCTTTTCTCATTCAGGGACTAAATCTTTTGTTATTTCATGCACTGCTTATATATAAAACATACAAATACAACTTTCATAAATAAATGATTTCAAATATATAGTTTTGCTGCTTAATTTGGTCAAGAAATGAAATATGTGATGTAAATAGGGAATTCTAAAATTGATCATGCCACACAGAACAGGATGCTTGAGGCAGAATATAAAAAACCACTGTAACTTCTAACAAACGCACAACCAGACTTGTGGCCATGGCCCAAACTGTTTTCCATTTGCAAGGGATTGTGCAGGGGTGGGTGATATTGGACTTTCTGGCACAGCAATATCCCATGCCCCAGTTTAAAAGGTAGCTTTTAATATATTATGAGATGGCTTGTGAGACAAACCAGAATGTAACTACTCTTTCTCTGACCATATGGATATCTGCACTGGATATCTAAATCCTGAAAATTCAGTTAACATCTCTGGCTTCTATCACATAAGCTTGGGAATTCCAGTATTTTTGGAAATATTTTTGTGGGGGATTTATAGCACAGAGCTACGGTTCCCAGGATTCTTTGGATGAGAATCATGGCCACTGTTAGCTTAAAATTGGCTTGGATTATAGGGTTGATAAACAGCCTGGTGGTTTGATATTTTTCTTCTTAGCTTGGAAATACTTCGGTGGTTTTTCATTGTGTGCAAAGGAGGATAATTGTCAACATCCTTTACGCAAAATGCATGTATAAATGAGCAAGAGCTGTAAAGTTGGGAAGGCATGGGTGATTTTATAATTTAATGTGGTGTGAACTAAGAGTTAAGTACATCTTTTCTGTTCCTTGTAGAAATCCTTTCTCTTGAGGAATTGTGTTATGACTCTTCATTTTTCCCTACTCAGAAAATAAAAATACAAAGTTATTCACTTTGTATTCTTGCCCTTGTGTGATGTGTTGAAAAGATGTTTGCAATGCTCTGTTTGTAAAATGAAAATAGTAAAGGATTAGGACAGGGCTGAGAAACCTGTGACCTTCTAGATGCCATTCAACTTAATCCACCCCAGCCAGCATGGCCAATATTCATGGAAGGCCACAGGTTTTCCCATCCTGGCTTAGGAGTGTTATGGAAAAAATATGCTGTAGCTGTAAGTATGTTGGGGAAGCATTAGCATTTAATTTTTTATGTTGCAAGTGTGCAATGTAGACTTATCTCCATCAAAGTTAATGGGATTAATGTGCACAAATAAATGGTGGTCTCATTCACTTTGATGACACATAGTTGCCACTAACGTGATATATTTCACTTAGTGAGCTTAAGCACATGTAACTAGTTACAGGATTGCAGCTTCAGCAAGTGATTGAGAGTCCTCTATAAAATGAATTTATGGAAAATCTCAGATGTGGCAAGGGGATGCCTGAAGTGCATTTCCTTTATACATTTCAAAATTCTGTCTCTTATTATTCACCAACCGTCCGGCTTTCTGATGTGTGTGGGTCTAAAATTTGACAGTTGAAAGGCCATGGTTTTCTTTCAAACACTGTTAAGTCGGTCAAAAGAGCTTGTTCTTGAACAGCAAATTTAATGTATATATAAAAATATGAATGGGAAGTGGGAATACAGTAGTAGCACAGCAGCACCAATACACTGGTTTACTTAGGAGGGAGTAAATTCTGTACAATCAGAGAAGAAAAATGAAGAAAGTGCATTCTAGAAATTTCTGGAATTGCTGCATACTGATTTGCTTTCCATTAGTAGTATTTTAGTGGGTATACAAGGTGCACTTACTACATTACTGTTCTATATTTTTCTCGAGAGTCAACCCTTGGATATTTCAGCTTTAAAAACTTACCGTAATTATTTCACAACTGAAAAAATGGCTTGCTCACTTAATTTCACTTTTGAATGTTTGTTGTAGTAGACTTCTACCCAGCTAAAAATAAAGTAGCAAGGTGTAACAAAGTTTCTGATTTTTAAAAATAATATTTGATCTTTCCCCTTCTTTGCCTATATAATGTGTTCCTCTCATTTAGCTTTAAATAATCTACATTTTCAGTTGAAATTGACTTGTTATAGGGGCAGTATTTAGTTGCTGTGTTTATGGTCCAGACATGACGTCTATTCTCTGCTTTAGTAAAGATCACAATAGACCATTGCTGCAGCTGTATACTAACTGTTATAGAAAGGATGTATTTTCCAAAACCAAAATGGCTTTTTTCTGAAGGGACAAATTTGAGTATATCTGCATAGTGGAGGACTTTGATGACTGCTCTTCCCTGTGCCCATGCAACCCACCTAGATTTCATATAAGCCCAATGTGTGTGAATTATCCCCGATTTCCACCAATTCTAGTGGAACTCAATTATGTGTATGCTTAGAATTCAGATCTAAGCTACTTTTTCTTTGGGTCAGTTTGACATGCTGGATGCTAATCAGACTGTCACAACCTCAGTTTGGGGACTGACATTCCAGCAAAAAGCTTTGTTCAATATATACTTGTGAATATCCCATAGTATTTTAAAGTGTTGCATTTAAAATACTTTAAGGCAGCATTCCAACTTTGCCCCTATGATTGTAGTAAAGTTAAAAGACTGAACAGTGATTCGTATTTTTAGATTTTATTTTAATGAAGGTTATTGCCAGGAAGAGAAATAGTGCACTTTTGGAAGTAATTGAGTAAAAAAAAATGTATAAATAAGCATTAGTACTGTATATATTTAGGAAACCTTTGAAAACAGCAAGTGCTTTACAAATTGAATACAATTAGAATAGCAAAGATACCATGTTCACAATGCTGGCTGTTCAGCACACTCAGATTTTATTTGTGATTGCTGTACTAATTTGTTTTTTTTTATTATCTGTATTGTATCAATAGTGTATTATAACAGTGTACTATATTACACTTTATTGTACAGTATTTGGGATTTTCTTTGATTGCTATATTAAAAACATAAGCTAAACAACTTTTTCCTAATTTCTATACCAACATTATTGTTATTAGTACTGTGGGCAAAGGCCAGCTTTTTCTGTCTTTTGTCAGAGCTAGCTGCTATGGCTGGGTGGAAGTGAGCCACACGTGAGCAGCAACCCAGGTTTTCACCTGAACAGATCTGCAAGCTGTTCTTCCATAGTTGTGTCCATGAATTTATTTTTTTTAATCATATTTCATTGGTCGCCATCTGGGTCCCAAAGCAGCTTAACAAAATGAAAGCATACAAAACATTAAAAACCTACATTACACATCTGATATTAAAACTGCAAAAAACAGCATTAATGGTGCAAAGGCCTGGACTAAAATATTTTAACCAGGCATCCAGAACATATTGGGGATAGTGCCTGCCTAATTTATAGTGGGAGTAAATTCTGTAGAGTTGGATGCGATTCATCCCCTCCCATACCTTGAGTGCTTGCGACTTCTGGAATTTTATTTTTATTTTTTATTGACCACATGAGAGGTCAAAGGTTGATGTAGCCAGTATGTTTTAATGATTATATCCCAGGATTGCAAGCAGAAGGGCAAATGTAAATAAGGCTGATGGGAACTATTTTTCAGAATACTGGATTAAGAGGCGGGAAAGAGCCTGTGGAGTTTCTGCTTCTAAATATTTATCAGGTTTGTACTCTCTTCCTCCCAGAAATTTGCATGGGGAACTTACAGACTGTATCCATTAATACCTGGCTAGTCTTAAATTTGCTTCACTTCAGAGAAGCGTACCTTCAGGAGATTTTCTGGATTACAGGATGTGGGCAAAGGGTCGAGGCGGAATGGCTAGTTCATGAGCTAAAGCTGTATGAGGAACCTGTGGCCCTTCAGGAGTTGCTGGACTGGTTCCCATCATTCCTAACCATTGGCCATGCTGGCTACGGCTGATGAGCACTGGAGACCAACACTTGAAGGGTCACTGACAGTAGCGGATGGCATGGTGGTGTGCCACTGTTCACCTGATTCTCTGGGTGCATGTGGTGCATCTGATAGTGCAAGATAAAGGGGCAAGGAAGCAGTGAGATCGTTGTAGTGCAAGTGCACCAGTGGAGCACTCCAACAGGTATGTTTCCCCTGTATGGATATTGCCATCTTCTGGCCTCTCTAGTTCACAGCAAGCAATAGTAAGTAAGATCAGGTGAGCATCAGCACCCCATCACAAGGTTTTCCCACCCTGAGTTAAAAGGGGTGTGCAGAACAGCCTAGGTGCCTATGCGAAAAGCAGATTAATGAAAAGGATGTATGGTGTTGTTTTCTTTCTTTGAAGGACAAGTGTTTTACAAGTATCTATAGCAACACTATTTGGAGTCCTCCTGTGCATGTAGCTGAAACAAAACCGCACCACTCAAACTACGTGAGATGTACCAGCAGACGTAAGGGGTAACCTTGAGGCAGGCACAAACAATAACAGTGGAAAGAACTGGTAGGGAAAATCCCTAAGCAGGACAGCTGCTACCCCCAAACCACCCGCTAACAGCTCAGTGCAAGAATGATATGCTGCCACAGAAGGAACTGCCAACCAGGTGAGATAGAATGGAGTGGATGGAACAGACGGATACAAAATATATTGGATAGAACTCTCTCTTTCTCTGTATAGGTCACTTCCTGGTTCACTTCCTGATCCTTATTTGGAAGAAAATGCATTAATTCAGAGTTGTTAATCTTTGCTTAGCTATAATTAGGTATATATCAAAACATTTTCAATTAGGACTAGTCAAGTACTAATGTATAATGAAAACCATTCTAAAAGATTACCTAGTTTAATAATAATAATAATAATAATAATAATAATACAGAGAATAATCAAATCTGCTGGGGGACATAAGTAGATAACAACCATAAATGTCATGATATTGACCACATGACTACAAGCCTGGAAAACTCCCCCCATCCCCCTTCCCCAGCCTGCTCTTAGCCGCTAGTAAGTACAGTAAGCTGCTGACAGCTTGTCTAGAATTGCATGGGTGTAATCATTGGGTAGTTGAATCTACAAATGTCATGTGGTGCTGCATTTGGGTGATGTGTTCCAAGTGTGGATGGTTGCACTTAGAATTGTGTTTCAGTCTCCTTGAAGATACAGTGGTACTTCAGGTTAAGTAAAAAAGCAGATGTTGCATATTGCTTACCCACCTTTGCTCTAAGTGGCTTTAGCCAGCCTTCTGTTAGCAAGACTTCAAGCACCTAAAAACATATCACTGCAGTTACAACTGCTGCTGCTGTTTTTAGGATATCTCAGTACAGTGGTACCTTGGGTTAAGTACTTAATTCATTCCGGAGGTCCATACTTAACCTGAAACTGTTCTTAACCTGAAGCACCACTTTAGCTAATAGGGCCTCCTGCTGCTGCCACGCCGCAGGAGCACAATTTCTGTTCTCATTCTGAAGCAAGTTCTTAACCTGAAGACCATTTCTGGGTTAGCGGAGTCTGTAACCTGAAGCGTCTGCAACCTGAAGTGTATGTAACCCAAGGTACCACTGTAACAGAATTCTGCCCAATGCTGCAGCTGAAGTGTGTTGTGGATGTCAGCTGGGCATCCAATTCAGTTGGTTGAGTTGGGCTGCAGTGCCTTATTCATTGCAATGTGAACATAATCCTATGTTTGGCAAGCATAGCCACAGAAAGGCATGTAGAATGCCATGTGAGGAGCCCAGAATGGTTCTTGCAGCACTGGCAAGAATGGAGAGGAGACAACAGCCCCTCGCAGCACATATTGATGGCTGTCCCTGCCTGCCTACAATGAGTTAGGTCCTGTTGCCAGAATGTCAGGGTGAATTTCCCCTTTCTATAGGTACTAGAATCTGCTTCTTGGAGCCGCACCCTTGGTGCAGTGGCTCACTGGGCCAAATTGTTGTTAGGGAACACCTTTGAATGTTGCGACATACAGGGAGTTGTAGTTTGCTTGAGTTAGCTGTAATCTCTATGACTAGTGCAGTGATTCTCCATTGGCACAAACTGGCTACCAATTCCATCTGAAAGGCTTGAGAGTGTTGATATTTACCCACCTCACGCTTACTTGCTGAGGCCTTTCCATAGGTTAGCGGTTTAAATAACATCTTGTCATCCTCATGCCCCTCTCAGCTGACCATACTGGAAACTCCTCCATCCTATTTATGGAACATGTAACTCATGAGTCTGCATAAAACGTTCAAAAATAGAAATGGCCATAATTCATGAGTTACAATATCCATCTGAGGCTGTATAGCTGTTTTCCTGGCAGGCATATATGTGTATTGTACTGCAAGCTATCCTGTTAAAATAGGGTTTTGTTTTGTTTGTTTGTTTTATAAAGGCAGTGGAATAGAACTTCACAAAATGCATCCTGTTCTATATTCAAAATATTTTGGATATCAACTAGAAACTTTCAGCTTATTGAGCAACATAGTACAGCCTTATCTGTAGTCAGCAGACTTTAAACAGCTGCAGTTCCTCCACTAAATGCATGACTCAGTTGTTGGAAATGTGGAATTGAAATATTGCTAGATTAAAAAAAATGTAGTTGAAATATTGCTAGAACAGAAAAATGTAGTTATCAAGTATTTGCAAAAAGCTGCAAACACTTACTGAAAAACATTTTGAATGATTCAGTATTCAAACACTTGTAACATCCTGTAAGCAAGCTTCCTCAGTAGACACCTGTTATAGAACTCTTGTGAAACTTTGGACAGTGGCAGTAGTGCATCATGGCAGATCTAATAAGAAATGTAAATTCATATAGGTCTTAAAAATGGGGTTGTTTATTGCACACTGACATGAATCAAAATAGGCACGTTTAACACTTCAACAGCTGTTAGTTCCATTGCATGGGGCTGATAATGCCAGGGTCATGGGTTCAATGCCTATATGGGCCAACTACATATTCCTGTATTGCAGAGAGATGGACTAAACGATATTGGAGTCCCTTCCAGCCCTACAATTCTGTGAATCCAGGTCAGCAACAGTACATATGTATTGTGTATAGCACTGTGAGAAAATTAGCAAAATAAAATCACAAATAAACTGATACACCCACAACATACATTCAGAAAGGAGCAAGCACAGAGGGCATGAGAGTGAGAAGGCACACTAGCCATGGGTGTAGCTAGTAGCAGGCTTTTGTTTTTTTGGTGGGGGGCAGAACCTCAGCTATGTATTTTTTATTGATTTTTATTGATTTGGGGACAGCTGCCCCTCCCTATCCCCCCTTGGCTACACCCATGACACTGGCTCATTCTTTCCAAATGGGCTCACTTGGCAGACTAGGCCTCAGCTTTGTGCAGCTGAACAGGGAGAACCAGAGAGGCACAGGCACACACACATGGAGATAGGAAGTTCAGAACAGATCTAAAAATACAGTCATACCTAGATAGGAAGAGGAAGAGCAGACGTGGAGGCTATGATTGGAAGGGAAAGGGCCTCTGGAATATAGGAGAGGGAGCAAAGGTTACCATGGCAGCCTCAGTGGACAATAAAACTGGCACAGGAGAACTGAGTTATGTTGAAGCTCCTGAGTTATGCAGGAAAACAGTTGAGGAAAACAGGGAAGAGGGAGTCCTGAAAACAATGGCTTGTTGTCAGCTGGAATAAAGATCCTTGCTTCAACAACTACCATGATTTGATTTCAGATTCAGATGATGGGCCCAGAAGGGCACATAGCTGTTAACTTTCAGATTTGAAAATAAGGGATCAGCAGCCTCGAAAATAAGGGATCAGCAGCCTCACCTGTCCCAGGGACAGTCTACGGGATATCTAACAATCAGGGATAGCAGCGGGAAGCAGCAGGAAATGGCACTGGAATAAGGGAATTTCCCGCAAAAAAAGGGAAGGTTGACAGCTATGGAAGGGCACCACATTGTACCAAGGTCACATCCTGTGCATATAACTTGCCAACATCATCTCCATTTGTGTTTTCCTGAATGTCTGGGTAGCACTACTAATTATCCTGGTACTTCAAGGTACAGTTGCCAGCAGTGAGCGCAGCTTCTCACGACTGAAGCACATCAGAATGTGATCCATGGTGGATGAGAAGCTCCCATCCCTTGCTATCCCATCCATCTGGATTGCTCAAAATCCTTATCTCTCCGCATTTGCACAAGCCAATGGTCGAAAAGCCACATTCTGAGTAGTGGCAGCGCACTATGTAACACAACAGATGTGTCACAGATTTTACTTTTAATAAGTTTTCTGTTTTGTGGCAGTTCCTATCTCGGTAAGCATAATTTATTTTGGAATATCCATTATTTTTATCTTTAAAAATATTAAATTAAAATAAAATAAAAAGCCATCCAGCTTACCCCTTACAGCTTTATTTTATTGTAATTTATACAATAATTTATATAGTGCTTCTAGCGTTAGTTGTATTTGAACTGAACTAGCTACCTAGCACAAATGACATTGAAGTTGAAGTTGAAAAAGAAACATACAGTACTTTAAAGCTAATTGAAGGAAGATAATTTTTGTAGTTAGTACCCCAAAAACTAACAGAACATTGGAAGGGGTGGATGTTACAGGCGCTTGCTTTTTGCTTCTCACTGCAGCAGTGTGTACATCAAAAAACGCATCGGCTGAGCTCAGGTGGCCTAAGGCCGCCTCTGAATTCACATTTACTGTTGACTACTGAAATGACTTTTTAGAGATATTATAGAACTATTGGCCAGTAGCATGGTTATATCTATTGCAGTCAGAACCAGCCTAAAAAAAACAAAAACCCCTCTCTTAATCTTAAATTGTTTACATACGCGGCAGTTAATAATATATAAACACAGGGATAAATGCCAATGAAGAGTTGGAAATGCATGAACCAGCGCAGTTTTTCCCTCCAGCAGTTGTACTGAAACTTTGTATACAGAAAACAGAAGCAGCGAACTCAACGTCCCTTCGATAGCTCAGCTGGTAGAGCGGAGGACTGTAGAGGCGCTGCTCCACACGGAGATCCTTAGGTCGCTGGTTCGATTCCGGCTCGAAGGAGACCTTGCTTTTTTTTTTCTTCCTTCTCTCACAGGTATAAAATCTCTTCGCAGTGTTGCTATTCATTCCTTTTCTTAATGCCGTGTTTGTTTTTTTAAAAGGCAATTGTATTATCGTTAATACAGATTTTTCTCTCCCGAGAAAGGCGAATTCACGAGTGCCCAGTCTTGTATACCGTACGGCGTAAGAGGAACGGATTCTCGCTACTTTTTACGTGGGGGAAAAGGAAAGCGGCACAACAGGCTGACTTCGTACATATCCCAGAGGGTATTTTGCCCGTTCCTGAGTTGCCTTTGGCTACTGCCCTTGAAAACGGGCCGTTTTCGTTCCGGTTGTTTTGTCCCCTCACAAGCCCTGCGAGGCGAAAGGACTCCCTCCCCCAGCATGCCTTGCGCCTTAACCCGCCCTCGGCCCCTCCTCCGGCTCCTTTCCATATCCCGCCACCTCTCTCCCCTTACTGGCCGTTCCCCCTCCTCCCTCGCACCAGCCCCGCTGCTTGGTCGCGTGCTTTCTGGAGCAGCCAATGGCGTAGCAGTCCGCGTGCGCAGATTCAAACGGCGGCTCTGGAAAGAGGCTGGGCGCGAGATTCGGCGGCAGGGACAAAAAAAAAGAAGAAAAAGGAGCCAGCGAGGGTGGAGGCGGCGGCGGCGGCGCCTGGGGGAAAGCAGCCCTGCCGGAGGAGCTCCGAGCCGTGACAGCCGAGCGAGGCCCCAGGCGGGGGACTTGGAGCCCGGCTTCCCATCCCTTTCGCTGGGCGTAAGGCCACGTCCCCCATGCGGGGGGCGAGGCGCGGCCGGGGCTGAAAGGCAGCCGCGCCCCCCTCCCCGCCCCCTGGGGGCTGCGCGCCTTGGCCGGTGGTGACAGCCGCGCTCCCTTCTTCTCGCCTTCCTTATGGTGCGCGCCAAGGATGGCGAAGAGGCCACGCAGGTGAGTGGCCCCCGCAGACCCTCCCGATCGCCCCCTCCCCGAGGCATCTCCAGCGCCCTGCCTGCTGTCCTTTGGGGAACCGGAGCCCTGCCTATCCGCTGGAACAGGGGGCTCCTGACAGCCCTCCGGCCGTCTCCACAGATCCCCTCGCCTCAGGAGATCCTCGCTGCCGTTTCCACGTGCCCTGACCATCGGATCCTTTGGTCCATTCACTCTTGCGCCCCAGCGCCTCGACCTGAGTGCATCTTGCCAATGCCAATTAAGGTGCCCCCCCCCCCGACATCATTAATATTTTTCACAGAGCACAAGGGGACGCAGAATCTTGCGTATTCAGTGGTAATCTTTTCACTTGATTCTCGGGTATTCAGTAGTAATCTTTTCACTTGGTTCTCCCCAGCTACAGCACTATTCCAACACTCGGATTTATTCCCCTTTGGAAATTTATATTGCCCTCTGGGCTCCACCCTATTTTCTTTGTTTTTGTGTTTTGGCATCGAGTCACATAACAGTGACAAAAGAGCCTTTCATATTGGTAATTCATGTCCTCTTATCCTGGTATTTCCCTCTGTTGCCCATTTACTGTAGTGTCGATATAGTGGTTTCTTCTTTTTTTTATCCTTCCTCTGTATGAGAATAGTAGATTGTACAGCTGTTACTAAATAAGACATGGCACTGTGTTTTCTTCCTTGGGAAGGCAAGGTAGAAAGCTAATTGTTGTTTGGGGGGGGACTGCAACGGGGAGGAAAGCAGTGTCCATGTTGACCTTAAGGACTTGACAAGAGAGAGTGTTGCCAGCATATAAAGACATGTACAGTGTGTTTTATTCTCGTACAAACTTTTTTTTTCATATTTCTAGAACAAATCACTCCGAAATTTACACCCTGTGTGATCATAGAATTAACATACAGATCTCAAAACAAGAATGTGTAAGAATTTCATTCTGGTGTAGATAGTTTATGTACAGTATCAAACTAGGTATCCAGGTTAGATGAAGAACTATTGTGGAATTACTTATCTATCAGATTAAAGTTAACAGTGGGTCTAACAAATGCAGTTTGGGTAGTGTGCTAATGGCTTTGACATTCATAAAACTGCCTTTTTACTTCCACTAGAATATTAAAAATGATTGAAACTGGATTTTTTTTTTTAGTTTAGTTTGAATTGGCAGTCTGTTACTTTTCTCTCATGTGTTCACATGCACACACTTGTGGGCTCAATTTTAATTCTATGTTTATTAGTTTTATTTGCAACTCTAGAAATGCTAGCCAGCTATCTTATGCCCAATTATTTGGAAGTAAGCCACTTTTGAAATCAGTGGTACTTATGTCCAAGTAAAAATGGACAGACTAAGTCTAATGTGGATGACTTTTTGAATGTGAACATGGCTTAAAATGGGATATCATGGCCTGGTTCAAATGTAGTGTTAAGCAGTATTTCTTGTTCTTTGTTTTGTCAAAACTTTTATTTTTTTAGCAGAAAAACAAGACAAATGAAGCATCAAGAACTGCCCAACTGCTATCCTAAACATCTGAATCGTCTCCTAGCTTTCAATATATATAACATAAGATTCATTACTGTATGTGCAAGGCTCAACCCTGCCATACCCCTTTACAAAGCAGAGCAGTAATGTTCTTTCTAAGGTTTGTTTTTAATGTTGAAACCATGGGGTAGCATTCAACTAAATAGTTGTGCTTTTGCAGTGAGATTTCACCCCTTTTCCTCTCCCTATGTGCACTCCACACTACCCCCAAATCTGCTCTGGAGGAACACCACCACCAGCAAACATATTTGAGAGGGCACATGGGGAGGAGAGGGGGAGAACATTGTGTTGTGCAAGGAAAAATTATTTTGTGTTGATGGAACATTTTGTTTAGCGCTCTGTTGAATACAACCCACTGTTTAGAACTTGTTTGCAAATCATATTCTGTGTTTAACTTGGAAATACTGTGAATGAGAATACTGAATGAGAATGGGAATACTGTCAATGAAGAAAGAGAATTTAAAATAGTGTGACTGCTTTCTACAGTAAAGAAAGAAATACTAGCTGAGCTAAGTTCCCTGAAGAATTACATCTTGAGAGAAGTCAGTTGATGTGGGCATCTCATGTACATGCTCATCATATACACATAGGAAACTAAGCATATCTCATAAGGGCCTCAGAAAAAGAAGACTGTTGTGTATGAGGAATGTATGCATAGTGTGTGTGTGTGTGTGTGTGTGTGTGTGTATTATATTACAGTACATGGGAACACTGTTCCTAAAAAGTTTACATGGGATAACTTATTTGTCTCACTTGATTTTATACAGTGGTTTGTGACTTTGCATCATGGCACTAGTACCAGCTTCCTCAAAGTAGTGTTACTGTTTTCTATACTAGGGAAATCAGTGCATTCTTTACAGGGAAGTATCTTTAGGAAGCATAGGATTTCTTCAATACTATTTAAGAACAGTTGCTTCACTTCCTCTTGTGTGGATTCTCTAACAAGTGTCACACCAAGGAAGGCATCCAGCAATGTAGAAAACGAAACCCTTTGGTGACTGAGAGTTATGCTGACATTCATGATTACATCATGGGTTAAGCAACCGATAAACTACAGGTGTTTGTCTCCATAAACACTCGAAGCCTAAGTTAGATGAAGGCAGAGGAAATGTGGAAAGAGTATGCTTCAGAGATAGTGTTGCTTTTTATTATCCCAATATAGTTGTAAGCCCCCTTCTCTCTGTTCCTCAGTGTCTGCTTTTACCCCAATCCTGTACACATGCATGTGTGCACATATATCTGTCTAGACTGGCTTTAAAGTATCCAGTGCCACCAAACCAGCCAGCTATCCAGGGACTATCATGTACCAGTAGTACACTTGTTGTATGTAAATTAAAAAGCATAGCTCCTTGGTAACCTTACACCTCATATGTATTGGAAATTTGTAAAATATTTATTTCTGCACATTTATTAGAAAGGCTGAAGGGAAGCAGCTGCTGAAACATGTTTGTCTAAATAGGGTATTTACATATATTAATATTGTGTCACAAATAGATATTGTAAAGGGGATGGAGGTGAGAAGCCACTGGGTTTTTTCCTGTTCTTTAATTGTTATACCCTCTTTTTGGAAGGAAAGAAGTGTGATACAAATATGGACAATTTTTTGGATGTAAACACCCAATAGTTTTGAAATTAGCTTTTTGTGTCCAGTAGATGGCGCACAGACATCAAGGAGGTACAAGGGTGATGACAAACTTCTTCCTATTTCTTTTATTTCATCCTGAGTTCCCAGCTTAATGCTATTTGCTACACAACATTCTTGAATAGAAATAAATTTAACAGAAAAATGCATGGTGTGTTTCCCTATACACAGGGCCACCTTTAATGCAATCTGGACACTTGTTAGTTATGTTTGTGGTTTTCCAATAAAAATTTAACAAGTTCTTATGTAGTCACCCTTCTTCAACAAGACAGACCTTATATAAAACAAATGTTACTAAGTTGAGAAACCCAGGACATTAATCTCAGGACCGTATTGGATCCTGCCTAAATAGAATATTTGAATCTTTTGCTTGGATGCCCTACATCTTTTTCTTAACTGAAAGCAGTGCAGGGGCTGTCAATGGGAAAACAATGAAGGAAAACTGTCCTTCCCTCATGCTACTGTTCCACAATTGGAATTGGGCCTTCTGTTGATGATTTGTTATTTTTTTAAAAAATATTTCTCGAGCTGTTGTGTAAGCATGGTTTCACTGTCAATGTTAACTTAATATTAGCTTGCACTTTGCAGTGAGGAAGATGATGATGACCTTCACTATGCAGATCATGACTATGAAGTACCACAACAAAAAGGAACGAAGAAGATATGTAACAGAGTAAAATGGACGCGTGATGAGGTGAGCCTTAACCAGGTAATGGCTTTTCTTTATGTTTAGATCTAATGTCATGTGCCTATTTATAAGTTTTTAAAAACTGTATTAACAGGATGAAAAGCTGAAGAAGCTAGTAGAACAGCATGGTACAAGTGACTGGACATTTATTGCTAGTCATCTACAAGTAAGTAGAAATTATTTCAATGAGATTTTTCTTATTTTACATACAAGAGTTCAAAAGCCATATGTGCATCTCCATTGCATGTGCCAAGATGTCTCCCACACTGAAGTCAACAACAAAGCTCCTAATGGAAGCTCTGGGTGTATAGTGGAGCCTTATGGAGTCTTCAGTTGGACAGTGATTTTTTTTCATTCTTCTGCAGAATCGTTCTGATTTTCAGTGCCAGCACCGTTGGCAAAAAGTCCTGAATCCAGAACTTATTAAAGGCCCCTGGACTAAGGAAGAGGATCAGAGGGTAAGTGATCTATATTTTTCTTGATTATTAATTATGTTTCTGAAAGCACAGTAGGATTGCTCAAGAGTTCACTACCCTGCTTTTACCTTACTGCTTTTACCTTTTGGCTGACTCAGTTGTAGGATGGGGTTCACAGTCCCATTGTTGTGCTCTTAAGAGTTTACTTGGATGAAAACCAAAATATAAATTAGATTGCTTGAATATTTTCCCAAATTGATTTCATTTGCCATAGGATAATGCTATCAGTTTTTCACAACACTGTCATGTATTTAACTGATGTGTTAAAATGTAACAATTGGTTTGTTTTTCTTACATGTTAAAAGCTTTCTAATTTCACCCTGTACTTGGCCACACAGTATGTGGAAAGGAAGAGTGATATATTTCAGACTGTTTTCTAAAATGCATTTTCTTTCTCATTGGTTGGAAGCTGTACAATTTTTTATTTAAAAAGTCAGTGACACTGTCTTTTGGAACTTTTGAAATATAACTGTTTATCATTTTGCTTGACACAATCTTGTACTACTTCAGTATTACTAATTTTTTCAAGTAAAAATAGCCTAAAAATGTAATTAGGATTCTCTAATTCTTTATCATGAATATGGCTATTGTTTTCTTATATAGTAATCAGTTGCATACTGTTGCTGTTCAATTTGTGTTCCAGGTTATTGAGCTTGTTCAGAAATATGGTCCAAAGCGTTGGTCTTTGATTGCAAAGCACTTAAAAGGAAGAATAGGGAAGCAATGTCGAGAACGATGGCATAATCACCTTAATCCTGAGGTAAAGAAATCTTCATGGACTGAGGAGGAGGACAGGATCATCTATGAAGCTCACAAACGCTTGGGAAATCGATGGGCTGAAATTGCGAAGTTGCTTCCCGGAAGGTAAAATCGCATGTTATTTCTAGGTTTCTGAAACCTATGCCAAAATAATTGGCACTGGCCTCCCCCCACTCCCAGTTTAACATGTTCAAATAAGTGGTGCTTCAGGTTAAGAACAGTTTCAGGTTAAGAACGGACCTCCGGAACGAATTAAGTACTTAACCCGAGGTACCACTGTATCTCGCAGTGGATTTTGTAGTATTTGTTGATTAAGTAATTACAAATGTCCTGCTTATCAAATAGCATACCTTTCCTCTTTTGTTCTTTTGTGCTCTGCAATTTATCTTGCATTTTGAGTTATTTTAAAATCTGAATCAAATAGTTGTTAATGCTATATTCAGAGCAGTTAAAGTAATACAGATTTCTTCCTCCAGACGGCTATGATTCCAATAACAAAGAAACTAATACTTGGGTGGAATCCAAAGGAGGAAGAGAAACATTTTTAAATTCTACTTGTGCAAGTTTCTGTTAGGAAGAATCCTCTTAGATCCCCCGTCCCTTTCTATTAGTATGAAAAAGAAATATTGTACTGTTTTAGAAATATTTGAAATTTCCCTTTTTAATTTAGAGAAGTACTGAGAGGTATCTTTCCTTCTTAAGACATTATTTCTCTCATGTTTCTATCTTGATATAGCTAAGCTCTCAGGTCAATGCAATATGTAACTACATAATTTCTACATTTTGGGCACAATGCAGCCAAAGTTAAATAGTGTTCATGGTTTAATTCATTTCAATAAGAGTTAAGAAGGTGATTAACTCTCATCCATTGAATACATGAGACTTTATATTGCTTTACTTTGGCTGGATCTGTCCCATGATTTAGGACTGACAATTCTATCAAAAATCATTGGAACTCCACTATGCGAAGAAAAGTAGAACAAGAAGGATATTTACAAGATGGAATCAAGACTGAGCGACCTTGTTCGTCAAAACTGCCGCACAAAACTTGTGCATCTACAGACCATCTTCATACCCCAAATCAGTTTTACATACCAGTGCAGGCACATGTAAGTTCTTCAGAACCTTTTGTGTGTGTCGGGAGTTGGAAGCATATATTAAAATGGATGGTAATTTTTTTCTGTCAAGTGTTGCATTCTCTCCAGTGGTGAGTAGGACCACTGTTTTTATTTCTCCCAGCAGCCCTTTCTCTTTTCACACCCCCCTCTACACTGCCTCTCCTGCTCTCTCTTCATTCTTGGTCTTTGAAGAGATTAGTCTTCTGCAAAGGACTTTAGAAATTTGACTGAGGGCTATGGCTAGCCAGGTGAAAAATAAGGCAATGCTCCTGTACCTTTCATAGTTATGTAAAGTGAGGGATTTCCCTAGATGAAGCTGGCATGACAAGCTAATCTGCTGAAATTCCCTCTTTTTCTGGTATAGATGTTTTCTGTTTCATTTTTTTATTAAAATGCATAGTGATGGATGAATACTGATGGATATAATAAAACTTGGAGTGGTTTGTGTAAGAACCATCATAATAAATGACACTGAGTAATGTTTCCAAAAACAGATGAAGAATAATAACAAAACTATGTATTACAAATTGGGCAGGGTACAAAACAGAGGTTGGGGAAGTTAGTTGGAGTCCAGGAAGAGTTGAGTAAATGTTAGTTCTTAAGAGGTATTTAAAAGTTATTACTGTCTTTGCCTCATGAATGGCCCAAAGGAGGATATTCCTGAGGTGTGTGCTGTTGCTGAGAAGGCCCACTTCTCCTTGTGAAAACTTAGAAATATATTTATTTCATAAAATTTATATACTGCTTGATTGTAGAAAAAAACATTAAAGCGGTTTACAAAAAAGACGGGCTTGGTTTATGCCAAGGGAGGCTGTCTGCTACAGTATATATCCTGGTCCCAAGTTGTTTAGGGCTTTAAATATCAACAGTGAAACATTGAAAGCTACTAGGCAGCTAATTTAGACTGAGACGTGTCAAGATACTCAGTTCCATCAAAGAGCATGTGCACTGCATCTTGACAACCCTACTAAGGTTGCTCACTCTGTTAAAGCTTATATCACAAAAAACTATTGCTGTTAAAAAAATTGTTGTTGAGGAAATATCTTCAGAATTTTTATTTAAAAATCCAATGTTTACCGCCTCAATAAGCCTTTTTTTTAAACTCGGAAAATGATCTCTTGTCTCCAAGTGATACTGTGATAAATTAAAAGTGTGATAAATGGATATTGTGATGAAAGTGATACGGTGGATAAATTTTCTTTTATAATTTAATAACCTGAGAGTTCCTCATTTGTCTCAAATTGATCAGTTTTTGAAAAGAAGTATGTGTCAAATTTAAAAAAATTGCTGAAATTGAAAAATGTGTATAAAGTGTATAAAATCAGTGTATAAAGAACAGTTCTGATTTGTTAGATCCCAGGATATCAGTATGTTTCAACAGAAGGCAACTGCATTGACCATGTCACAACTTCTTCAAATTTCATTCAGGTAAGTTCTGTCTATAATGATGAATTTTAAAGCTTTTTATGAAAATATTTGGCAGATAGGATGCAAATGTTTTAGTTTAAGGACTTTATCACCAGGATTGTGTTGAGCAGCAGTTCCATTAAAATGAATAATGGCTTGTATATAATGTGACCTCTAGGAGAGCATTTTGAGAGGAATTCTGTGCAGGCGAAAAATGTGTCTATAAAATTAGTTTCAAAGGTTATAAGGTGTTCCCCCTTTTCTTTGGGGGGGGGGTGCAGATAGAGATTGTGTGGCCTACAGTGGCCTGGCTAGCACATTGTATTAAATAATACTGTAGTTTAAAACAAACTATTCTGAATACCAGTTGCTGGAAACCGCTGGAGGAGAGAGTGCTCCTCTGCTCAGGTCCTGCGACTTTGGAAAGTTGCAGCTGGGCAGGAAAACAACAATCCTTTCCTCCCTAGCTGCAACCCACAATCACCTCTCCTCCACTGTAATTAAGCTTCAAAAACCTCTTACTGTAGCCAACAGAGGGCTTCTTTGAAGACTACTTGTATTGTGAGGAGTTCTTTTGGCATGGGGTGGCGGAATAATCATCCCCAGTGAGCCTGTGATCCTTCAGAATTTCTCCTATGTTGCAACTAATCTTGAAAAGCAGTCAGGAGGAACAGTGGGGGTGGAACTTATGGGCACCAGGAAAGGCCTCTGGGTGCATGTGAACCTGTGGGCTCTGTGTTGGCAATCCATTTTTTTTAAAAAATGGAACGCTTCACGAACCTGCATGTCATCCTTGCACAGGCGCCATGCTAATCTTCTCTGTATCGCTCCAACCCTAGTACATGTGCTGCCCAAGCGAGCACAGGCAATCCATGTTTTAAATGAGAACTTATCAAAGTTTAATTGAGTTTGCAGAAAATTATAACAGCAAATATGTTGCCATTCTCAGTAATGTGCCCTAAACATAACACTTTGTCCTTTGGTGTTGTCTTTTTCCTTCAATGTATGCACCAGCAGCCATTTGATGATGATCCTGACAAAGAGAAAAAAATTAAGGAACTTGAGCTGTTACTTATGTCAGCTGAGAATGAAATCAGGAGAAAGAGAGTCTCATCTGTAAGAACTTTTTGTATAAATATCATGATGTCATGATGGCTAATTATCTTTTACTGTGCATATTTTAAACAAATTAATGAATGAGCTTTATGATTCTGATTTGTTTCATATGTGTATTCTGCTTCCCCATTCTCCTTTGCTTATACAGGAATCCTCGAGGGAGTCCTCTTGGTTTTCCCTGTACAACTGGGACAGTGGGACAAGAGGGAGGGGCAGTTGAGATAGCTTGAATGACATGATGTGCTACTTAGGACAACTATCTTAGAGTTTTTAGAAGAAAGTTGGTGCTTTCAATACCTTTCATTGCTAAATTATGGAGGGCAAAGGAAATGTTGCAGGAAGGTAGCTGCATGCACAATAGTAGCTTCTGTGCTATTTCTGCCATTGGCTCTTTCTCTGCATACGGAATGTGTTTTCCTTAGAATCCCAGTATGCTTGAACTATAGCCTAAATGCCAATCAGCGTGGTTTAACAATCAGACCTTCTTCCCAGGGAACTCTGGGAATAGTAATTCTGAGAGGGAAATTGGAGTCTCCCAACCACTCTCACAACACTAAAAAAGCCAACTACAGCTCCCAGGATTCTTTGGGTGAAGCAATGACTGTGTAAATTGAGGTGATACTGCTTTAAGTGGATAGTGCAGGTGGGACCTAGGTTGCCTAAAAGTAATTTACGTTAGTCATCTTTCATGTTTAATATCAATAAAAAGCAACACTTTTTGTATTCTTAGCAAGCTGGAAATTTTTCTAACTGGTCTGGAGGCTTCATCATGGAAGATAGTATGACAAATGCCCTAAATGGCCTTGGGGAACAAACAAATGACTTCTATAATCTGGATGAAACCCAGACTGCAACAGCTCAGCAGAACTCTCCTACCAAATATTTGGCTGTGGAGGCAAATGCGGTTTTGTCATCTCTACAGACCATTCCAGAATTTGCAGAGACACTAGAACTCATTGAGTCTGTAAGTCTGAATCATCTTATTTCCAACCTTTAATAAACAGTTATTTTTTATAATATGCAAAAGAGAAACAAACAAACAATATTAACATTAGCACAATATATAGCATTTGTTCTATGTATTGCAAGTGCTACATAATAATAGTGTTTCACTATTAGCTGCTTTATTGGTTTTTGTAAAGAAAAACAATGCAGAATTAGGAATTAACATTCTGGAATAAGATGAGAGAAAATTAGGAGACTGAATTCAAACTAAAAAGACATGCACGTAAGGACTAGAGTTAAATTTAGTCATTTCGTGCTAGAATGACGGTGCATAGTTAAGCAACTGATCCCACCAGTCCAATTCTGTTGAAATAAATAATTCTGTTTATTCCAATAAACACATGGCACAATGTCTCTTTCTCCCCCTTGTAGGATCCTGTAGCATGGAGTGATGTCACCAGCTTTGACCTCTCTGATGCGGCTACGTCCCCTGTCAGTCAAGCTCCAGTAAAACTAATGCGGATTCAGCACAATGATGGGGCCATGGAGTGCCAGTTTAATGTAAGTGTTGTACTAGATGGCAAAAAATCAAGTGACGACGAAGAGTCAGCATCTCCAACTACAGCCAAGTTCAGTACTCCTCCAACTATTTTGCGCAAGAAGAAGAAAACTAGAACTGGACTGTCACCATCAGTCAATGAACAGAACGATGGTTCATGTAGCAATGGTTCCAATTTTGCACTAAAACAAACACCAGTGAAAACACTACCCTTTTCTCCTTCCCAGGTAAATAAAATTAATGTAATTAAACTTGGTTTTATTGAATAGGTTAGGCAGGATTGTGTACTAAATCCTATAAATCAAGAAAAGATGATGTTACACTATTCATTCACTTGTAACAATTGTGTAGTTAAATATGCAGCTCTTCCCTGCTCAGCGCATTGGTTCTGCACTTTTTAACTATAAGTGACTCAGACCTGTCTTGGGTTGTGTCATGTCAGGAATTGAGATTGGCTCTAGAAATGGCTTGCAGCTCTTCCATACAAATTAGTATTGTTTCCAGTGTTATCTGAATGGCGTAAATCCAACACAGCTTTAAGCCAACAATTTTACAGAAAATCACTGAAAATATTGGAATGATTACAGTGGTACCTTGGGTTAAGTACTTAATTCGTTCTGGAGATCCGTTCTTAACCTGAAACTGTTCTTAACCTGAAGCACCACTTTAGCTAATGGGGCCTCCTGCTGCTGCTGCGCTGCCGGAACACGGTTTCTGTTCTCATCCTGAAGCAAAGTTCTTAACCTGAAGTACTATTTCTAGGTTAGCGGAGTCTGTAACCTGAAGCGTATGTAACCTGAGGTACCAATGTACTCCAAAAGTTCAGCAAAAGGTCAAAGTAGAATGAAAGGTAGTTTTCATTAGTTGCAAAGACAGCAATGTGATCCTCAGATGAAGGGTGGTATAGAAATTTATTTATTTATTTATTTAATGATGTTGTTGATATTAACTGATTGGCTTGTATCCAGTGATAGTTCTACACTTGGAAAACATACCTGGGTACAGCCCATTGTTCTTCTCTGACCTAAGGGTAGAGAATCATTCTTATGAAATCTTCATAATAGCATGATGCTGAATGAGAATTTGTCTTGTTACAAGTTGGACAGCTCATAATTGTGTGTATGGGGCAGAGTAATAAAAGCAAAACTGCTCAATTTTCATGGAACAATTTGTGTTCTTGTTTTATGTGCAGTTCTTCAACACCTGTTCTGGAAATGAGCAGTTTAACATTGAAAATCCTGCCTTTACATCAACTCCAATTTGTGGGCAAAAGGTTCTTATTACCACACCTTTACATAATAAAGAAGTAACACCCAAAGATCAAAAAGAAAATGCAGGGTAGGTATATGATTGATTTTAAATGGCTTTTAGATATGAATTAAAAACAAAACAACCTAGATGCGCTGAAGAATTACTTTGCAAATACCATCAAAGGAAAGTGGGGGAGTGGATTCAATCCTTAAAATGACTGATTTTGACTATCTAAATAGTAACACACTGCATAAATAACTTTGGTTCTTGGAAAGTTTTAGGACACCTACTATTAGAAGATCGCTGCTAGGTACAACACCAAGGACCCCTACTCCATTTAAGAATGCTTTAGCTGCTCAAGAAAAAAAATATGGTCCTCTGAAAATTGTGGTATGTAGAATTTTGGTTCATATTCCTTTTACGTAACTTTTGGTTCACATTGCCTTGGATACGCATACACACATACACATATCAGGACCCATTTTTTTAATGTAATTGATTTTAAACTGTTTTAAATATTAAGTTTTAAATTGCTGTAACTCCTAATGGAGGGTGGGTAAGAAATCACATCATTATTAGAGTGGGACTTCTATTTAAATATAAGACCATACTATGATAGGCCATGTTACTTTGCTTCAAACCAGTTGTTTCTTTCTTCCTTTGAAAGTTTAATGGTAATCCTTTGTACTAGTAGATAGGTATATAGAGAAGCATGGTTTGATTGGTTGTTAATGTCCTCATCTCTTTCCATAGTGTTGTGCTGGATTGCTTCTGGATATTCCATAAATTAAATAAGAATACAGTTGAATTACTTGTGCATTGGAATTAAATGGTTTTTTTAAAAGTAGTGTACATACTGGTAGTTCCATGATATTTAGGCGAAATCATCTCCTGACTTGCCTTCTGCTTGATGTATTTTACCTGTTTGATTAGTCACAGCCCCTTGCCTATCTGGAAGAAGATATCAGAGAAGTTTTAAAGGAGGAAACTGGAACAGATATCTTCTTCAAGGAAGAAGAGGATTCTTTCTACAAGGGCTGCAAACTAGAGGTAAGTTACATTACCCTTTTTCAAAGCTCCTTTACAAAGAGGGTGAGGGCACCACCCACCCTTGTTGTTTTTTATGGGTATTATTGGAGGGAGAAATGATAGGGAGCAGAGAAGTGTGTAATTTTGCATGGGGGCAGGGAGTGTGTAATTTTGCCCCACTTTATGTTGCAAGCTTAGGTTGGGGAGATAGCAGAAGTGAGAGAGCTGTTGCTACCTGTAAATACATACTTGTATTTGGCTTGTTGTCGATTGTATTTCTGCAATTTGGAATTGCTATTAGTCATTAATTTTATTTTGGTTTAATATTAATGTTTTATTTCTGTGCTGTTATAAAATGTGGAATTTTTCACTTTTTAATCTACTTGTGATACTTGTAAACTGCTTAGTGATTTCTGTGAAATGTGGAGCTGTATAACAATTTAAAAATACATAGTATTCTAGCATTGCAAGGATTATGGAAACGATTGTAGTTGCCTTTCTTTCTTTAAAATGTTGCTCCTAGAATCCTTCTGTGAAGAAAGTCAGGAAGTCATTAGTTTTGGATCCTTGGGAAAAAGAAGAGCTTGGTGCCCAGTTTTTCACAGAAGACAGTGTTCCAGATGTACAGGTGATCAGCATGAATTAAAATATGCACATATTTAAGGTAGAATGTAAACTAATTTGTTTCTGTAAGTCATAGTTATTTGAAATCCTCTCTGTTGACAAGTAGCACAACCAAGCATGACACTGGCTTTAAAAATTTTACTACCAAATTTAGATTTTAAATGGCAAGAAAAACAGCAGTCTTGTCTCATTTTGTAATGGAGCATTTTTAATATTATTATTTATAGGCGGCTTTTATGCTAGAAAGGTCTTTGTGTTAGAGATACAAGAACACATTTATCTGGATCCATAAAATATTTCAAGCTAGAATTATTGGAATTAAGATGATACAGCCTATTGAAGTCATATTGCCAAATGCTGGTTATTTTGAAGTATGCCACTTTTATAAGGTTGCTAAACTCTAAATGATAGGGAAGAACCTGCTGGGCCTTATTGTTTGTATTACAGACAGTGACTGTTTTAGGAATGTTTGATACATATGTGACCATGCATGCACGTATTGCCCACAATTTCACTTAAACACGTGATGCCTTTGAATGTAAATGGGGGAGTTGCCTGTATGTCAGTTTTTTATTCTTCAATTAAGTTATTTGATTTAAACTTTTTTCTAGTCAGAAAATATATATACTACATCCCTCCTGATGATTCCATTATTGGAAATACATGACAATAGAGGCAGTAGGACTCCAGAGAAACAGGATTCCAGTTCAACAAAGCTGAATGTAGCAATGAAGAAAAAGCAGAATACTTGCACTTCAAAAAACGTCAAAACAGAAAAAACCTTCCAGGTCTGTATTCAATGCATCTTAATTTTCTGCTTTATTTAGTTTAGCTATATGTTCTTTGGAAGATTACTTTTTACATTCTTTCCTTTCTGTTTGTATTTAGCAGCTTAGATATAAATAAGGAATTGAGGGTTCTTGATGCAGCTTATTTTCTGCAACATGCTCACGATGCATCCATTACAACTAAAATTTCAATATTTATCAATGCAAATATGATGCATTGGTATTGAAATATGATCCATTGGTATTGAAATATGCAATGCAAATATGAAGGCTTCATTTTAAGTCCAGTAGTACCCATGTTGATTTTAGTGCCGTGTCCTCTTTGTAGACTTGGAACCGTACTGCTGAGGTTTCAGCATCCCACATAGTGCAATAATAATGGTGCACTAGAACCACATTGCAGAAAAACGTGGGCAAGACAGTTAAGAGTAATTCAGTTGCTAGCTTCCAAACATGTTATATGTATTACTGTATGTGTACATGCATCTAATGGGTACATACCTTCTGGCCTCAGCCTTAGCATCCGTGTGTTGAATGAAATGTCAGGAAGGAGAACCCATCCTTGGAAAACTGTTCCTCCTGATGTGTTCCTCAAAACAGGCAGGACTAGAAACCATTTGGAAGTCCACTCAAATTTTGAAAGCTGTCAGCAATAAAGTTGTCTATTTGCTAGGAGCATGCATGCACTCTTTTTGTGAATAGAATTTTGAACACACTATCTGTCTTTAAATCTAATCATCATAATCACTTATCATGCATTTCAAGGGCGAAGTCAGTTTACTGGGCACAGTATCTGCATACAGAGGTTTCCTATGGGTTCAGTGGAGCTCTGATTTCCTCCCACCCCGTAGCGAGAGCTTCTGAATGAGAGGCCTCTCTGTGCCTTCCATATTCACATCCAGCCCTCCCCTTTGGCTCCGGTGCATAAGTAAAATGGATGCTGGTGTTCAATACCTACCTTTATAAGAGTCCTCTGGAGATGGCAGTTGTACCTCCACCTGGCTGGAGCGCCAAGTGTGCAAAGTGGTTCACACACATTTTCAGTAATGTTTGATTATATAGTATGAAACCTTTTTTGTTTTTGTTTTTGTTTTTAAATAATAGAGGAATCTGTTCAATGGCACCTTGCGGCTGACAATTTAAAAACTTTTTATTTTAAAATAGCATAAGCTTTCATAGGTGACAACCTATTTCATGGAACTGCTCAGCATCTGAAGTGAGTTGTTCCTACAAAGGCTTGTGCCATTTTGTAAAAAAGAAACTTTTCAAAAAAGCTTGGTGCCATCAAACAGGTCTTTCTGTATTTGGAGTAATGTGTTTATATTGAACTGTAAAGTCTGCTGGTGTGATTATTCCCACATTCCAGATGAGGGGGCTGAGGCTGAGAATAGGAGCATTGTCTTAGGGCCACTTAGTGAAACTGAGAAATGCTGAATTCTTATTGTTAAATGATACATTTTATTTTAAGTTTTGGTTGTAAGGATACTGTCATAAAATGGACTTTCCCTTCTTTGTGCCCCATACTCTCCCTATATCTGCTCCAGAGGGTCCCCCAACCCTATGGAGCAAATTTTCGGGGTGGGGGGTGGGGCTGCAGGAGAGAGAAGAGGAAGCTGAAATTCTGTCATGCCAGGAGAAGTTACTTTTCCTGTGAGGCAGCCACAATTGGATTCCATATTTCGCTTATAAACAAAAATTTTTGATGTGACTTGAAAGTAACTGTTACCTGGACCATGTGTTGCAGGCCAATTGTGAATGGGAAGCTGTTGTTTATGGGAAGACCGAAGATCAGCTTATTATGACTGAACAAGCAAGAAGATACCTGAGCACCTATACAGCTACTGGCAGCACTTCAAGGGCTCTGATCTTGTGATGGTCGCTAAATGTACCAATCTACCTTTTTCCTTTATACTACAGACTTTATACTGAGATTTTTCCCCAGTAATGTATGTATGGATACTTTTTTGAGTTGAAGCTGCATTATAAGGAAGAACTTAAGTCTTTTTTTAAACCTTTTTTAAAAGCAAGTTTAATTGGTCTTTTAAAAGACCACTCTAAAGAAAATGGTGAAAGGAATATTTTTTTAAGCCGTTTTTAAAATTCTTTATACATTTCTCTTGTTCTTAAGAAGCTTTTAATGTAGAGTAGGTTTACAGGTACTCAGTGATCTGTAAAAGAAAAACATTACACAACTCCTTGAGAATGCTTTTGCTTAAACGCATTTGCTTATGTAGCAATTTTTATAAACACAAAAGAAAGACTAAAGGAAGAATAGAAAGTTGCACTACTAGAACTAGGTATGCTGCACAAAATTAACTACAGTGTTAAATGTATTTATTTGAGAATGGTACTTCTAATAAGAGTAGACAAAGGGAAGAATTTAATTTTTATTAGGATAAAGCATCAGTATTCAGAAATCTCAAACTGAGACCATTGTTGAATGTATTATTGTACAGCATGTGGGAGCAGGAAGGCTTTTGTAAATTTGGAAGGGGGTTTGTTTTTTAATTTATTTTCATTTTAAAGCTTATGGCTGCAATCTCACCAAGTGCTCACATATTCCTGCTGCTTTGCAAAACAACACAAACTCAGGAGGAAGCCAGGACAAACTTGCTGTTGCTTGCAGAGCGGAGAGGAGTAGTATAACACCCACTTCTCAGAGACAACACCTTTAAGCACTGCTGGCCCTTGCTCCTCCTTTCCATTGTTGTAACCTCAGCCTTATGCAGTGTTTTTATACACAGTCCATTCTGCTAGTTTTTGAGATGAACTACATCCCCTTATTATCCTTTCCCCATAGAAGCAGCAGTCCTGACCAACTCCTCAGTCTTTTCTTGAATATGAGTCTAAAGCTAACCTGCCAGTTGAGCCCCATTCTCCTTCTAGTCTGTGAAGTCTTTGGGACTCTATGCACTGCCTTAATTTTGGTAGGACACTTAAGAACTTTCCAGTATATATCAGTCAGGGGCATTAAGAAGAAGAAGAAATCAATGTGTATTTTATTTCTTTTAGGAAGCTGCAGTGGGATTACTCCTGCAGAGCTCTAACATGGGTAGATTGATAGAAGAGCTCTCTTTAGGTCAGAGGATGTGTGCAGCTTGTGACAGTGATGAATCAGTCTCTTAAAAGATGATGCTCATATTCTCAGTTGCAGGTTGTGCCTTTTGACAGGGATGAGAGCATCTTGCTTCTGATGGTGACTGTTGATCCTACAAATAGCCCAGGGAAGGGAAGGAGAGCAAGGCCCCAATATCGTATGAAGTATCAGAATTGACTGTGTCATGAAACATTGTACCTTGCAGAAGTTAACAAATGGAAAATGGGAGAGGAAGCTCAGTTGGGCTGGCCTTTTACAGCAGTTGCTCTGACTTGCTCTCAGTCTCCACAAATGCATCATATTTTACCTGAGGAGATAGATTGGAATGGTGGTGGTACCTGAGCTGTCTGTTGGCTAAGGGGTGTCTCTCAAGAGATCCTACTATTCCTAATCAAATCAAAGCAGGAATAAAAGGAAGTGGCCTGTGGTGTGTCTCAGAAGAAGCACGGTGCAAGGTATAAACACATCTCTGTGTGAAAGAGACTTCCTCTTTTCTGTTTTTTTCCTGAGCTGTGTAAACACTGTGAAAGTGGCAAAAGGGAGAATGAGCATCCTTTCTGAAGGATGGTGGTGGAGGATCAGCTGCTATGGCAGGATGCGTGAAGTATCTGGGTTGCTCTGCGAATGCCAGCCCCAGAAGTGGGTCTATGCGGGCACAAATGATACAAAGGATTGCAGCCTCAGTGTGCAGATATATATATATGTATGCAGGTTGTCTAGAAGCGGATGTTGTTTTCCTGGTAAATAGCTCCAGCAAAAATGAGAAAGAGCGAATTTTAACCTTGGTGCATGGAATAGCAGCAAGATTGCATGCTGTGAAATACATGAATTTGCATTTCATCTATTCGAGATTGCACTATTCCCTTTTAAATCATGTTGGTCTAATATAGTAGTTTTAAAGTTCAGCTTAGTTATACTACAAATATTACAGGACCCTGGTTATTAAAGGGATACATTGTGTAGGGACAGAACAAGAGGACATGCTATGTCTCACCTTGTAGCCCTATTTAGGAATCAACACCAATGCATTACATTACACCTCTAAAAGAAATAAGAGTCGGCTCATATAGTTATTTTTCTTGACACAAGCAGCCATGGGCTTTCCTTGACCACATTTTGTGCTTGCTTAAGTGTGGAGAGATGTTGCTGTGAACTGGGCTGTAGATTGGTTAGTTGCAGTGGTTTCTGCAATTGTGCTTGGGAGAAGTGCCAACACAGTCACAGAAGTTGCTGTTGGCTCTGTCTCTGTACAGCTCAAGTCACCCTCAAATTTCCCCACCTACCCTGTGTGTGGGCCTGCACATGACTAAGGATGATCTATGGTTACTTGTGCTTAGGCTGTGAACTCTTTCTAAAACCATTTATGCCTGCTCTTGGATGCCTCAACGACCCCATTACAAAACTGTTTAAAATGAAAATTCATTTTTCCCTTAATATTTGTACATGCTTCTAATCTTCACAGGTTACAGCAGTTGCTTCAGTTTACCTGCTTTAGACATTTGCACTTATTTATGTCTGATTTGAAGGAATGTCTTAGTTTTGCTTGTTGTAGCTGTTGTTTTTTTAGTTAATTTCTTGCGAAACATAATGGTGTGCTGTCAACCTTAATACTGACAGGAAAATAGAATTGTGTACTGTAGGTGTTATCTATTTATAAATCTGACACTCTTCCTCTCCACTCCTGGGTGTGCTGCTATAGATACTAGCAGAATCTGCTTGCTGCTATGAGAGATGGAAAGAGCGAGCATCATATGCACTGTATGTAAAATGACAAATAGAATGATGGCATGTTCTCAAGCTAAACTGATATCAACTGTTGCTGTGCATGGAGAAACACAATTACCAGAAAGAAACCTGATACCACATAACACCAAGAACTCTAAAAATGATATTCCTTATTTTAATATTGTGTGTGTGTGTGTGGTATGTAAAGCAATCTCTGACGTTAGCATACTTAAATACAGCTTAAGGCCCCGTATCATAGTTATTTATTTATTATTTTAAATGGATATTTATATATAGGAATATTCACCTCGCTGCCTTTAATAGGCACTCAAGGTTTTTATCCAGTTTTAAAACTGTTAGCGTTTTTTCTGATCAGCTCTGTTGATAAGAGGATTATTCTTCCTCTTCAAAATGTGAGAAGCCAGTTTGGGATTCCCTTTGGCATCGTTGGTTTTGGTGTGTTCTCTCTTCGGTATGTTTCTTTAGAAGATTCCCCACCTGAAGCACAAAGGAGTTAAGTGGATGTGATTAGCATAGTAAGACTGTAATTCAGAGAACCATTCCTACCGTGGCTTTTGACTTTTGCCTTCTTTTTAATCACAGCCTACCCACCTCAAGGCCATGTGGCAAGCTACAGTCATGATGGCTGTTTTAAGTAGTATGTGTGTGTTAGCCTCTTGTCCTTCTGGGTATACACAAGCGCTTAGCTGTATTTAAAATGTGTTCTCTGGATTACAACCATTATGCCAAGATCCAAAGAGTGTGTGCACCAGTGCTGCCTAGATTTTCCAATTCTAGCTTTAGTTTCTTGTGCTATGTTGGAAGATTCTCTGGAGAGTCCCTGACTTTCTGGAGTAGTTCTTGGGAGGACAAGGCATAGCAGGGGACTGGTTTGTGGGGGAACAAAGTTCCGCAGTGTACACACAAACACTGCCTGCAGCTCTTTGGGCTGACTCCATGTCTTCATCTATTATGCTTAAAAGATTTGCTGCTTTGCAGGAGGTATGCAAATTATTTGTATTTTTCTTTTTAAATGGTACCAAAGCCTCCAGTACCAAGGTTTAACATAGGTCTCTGGTAAGTAGTACAAACTGGAGCTGGTATTGGTTGAATCTTTCATTTAATTGCTTTCGTGTTGCTTTTAGCAAAAAGAAATAAATAAAAGGTTTTGAACCTTTGCCATGTTAGATATATTTTGATACTTTTGCAGTCTTAGGTGCATTTGCAATTTTTAAAATATATATATGTATAAGTAGAATACTGTATACCTGCAGCAGCCAAACATGCATGTTGGAAAATGACAGCATCTGTTAATATTTACGTTTCTAAAGTTTTGACTCTAATTATAAGATGAATATCTTTGAAGTTTTGTTGTGTTTTGTTATTTTACTGCAGATTTTGTTTCACTTAAAAGAATCTTGCATACAAAGCAGGAGACCTTAACACAGAAATAAAAACATTTATGTACATATCTACTGGACATTTACTTCTGGGAAATAAGTGTAATCTGTATTGATACTTTGTTTGATTCCTAAATGTGAATCATGCTTTCATATAGAAAATTACCCAAACATTGGAACAAGTTGCTTTAAGCTTTTTGATAGTATGGAGACTTACTGGAAATTCCATTTTTTGGCTTGCTCTGGGCTATGGGGGTTTCTTCTGACAATGGCAAGATTGGTATTGAGTGTGGAGGAAAGGATCAAGGAAAGCTAGATTGAGGACGGTGGGAGAAAAATTGGGCAACATATGGGGCATGTACAGCAACAAACTAAGATCTCAGTTGACGGAGAGAGGGATAAGAAAATGGAAGCCAACAGATAGTGTTTACTGATGTCAGTTGGGGATTTAAAATGGGTTAACAGATGGGTGAAGAGAGTTGGTGCGTCTGTAAGAGAGGCGGTGTGGGGAGGAGAAAGATGTCAGAAGACAGCCAAATCTGAGATGCATTCAAAAGAATGAGAAACAAAAACTTTGCAAAGCAGAACAAAGAAAGTAGATGAGGTAAAATAAGATGTAAATTGAATGAAATAATGAAATTATTTGTCTTTGTTTCTCTTTGAAAAGTTTAAATTTGACTGGTAGTTATTTGACATTTTGTATGCTTGTGTGACATACACAGACCTCTGAAGTCTAAAAGCCTCTGTGTTTGTAAAATTTGATACATACCCCTTAAAATATATCCATCCCCATCTTTGTTCAAGATACAGCAGGTCTTGTATGAGTGGAGAGCATTTTTAAAAAAAGCAATACGTCACCAAGCTGCTTGGATTGATGCATATATTTTCAGGTTGCAAAGAACAAAACAAGGTACTTTCCAGTCTCCAGATGTTTCAGTCATCCATGTCTGATTCATAACTGGAAGTCTGCCTTTATTTATATATAAAAGTCAGCAGAAGTTTATGAGTGAGTTCGATGTACTCAGAAGCACTAAGAAGAGCAGTATGGCAGTGTTCCCAGAGCCTGCCACACCAGAAGTGGACCAGATCAACTTGTGAGTGTTATCTTGGCCTGCCTTGGCAAACAGCCAGACGTTGTGTATGCTAGACACCAGATGGCATGCCATTATGAGCGTGACAAGTGGGTCATCTGGCACGCTCTTTGTGGGATTGTTGTTACTGCATAATTTTTGGCGGGAACAAAACTTCCTTTTCCCTTTTTGAAAAAATTAACTGTTTCAACGGCTAATAGGTTTTTTACTGGAAGTATGCTCCTCCGTGTTCCTTCTCCCCACATACTCATATTCTCTCTTTTTTGTGAACGGATGTAGATGGAATACCTCACCTAACAATCAAAATTATATTTCATTTTGTCCATGGTAATAGTTTTGATGTTTACATAATATATCTGTGCTGGAGAAACATCTGTTTCCTCTGATCACTGAGTCTGATTATGCACCTTTTCCACAATAAAACATTAATCTGGTTCTTCTAAAAGTGTTAAAATTTTACTAGCCCTAAGCAGTAGGGTAAGGGAGGGTTTTATATTGAATTTTAAACTGTATGTAGCTGTTCCTTTTCTTCATCAGTCATACAGGGAAGAAAGTTATTAGGCAGAAATTCAACAGGTGCAACTTTCTTATCACATGGGGGTGAAGTAATGGAGTGGTTTTTGCTTTTTTCATATGCTGAATTTTTGTCATGCATAGGAGCCTAGCCAGGTGAAAAAGAGAGAGGGCAATCCTAGCTGAAGCAGATGTTAGTAGTCAAATGCTGTCAACTGAAAAATCATGAAAAAGCTATTGTCACACCTCAAGGTGAAAAAGTTAACTTTTATGATGGCAGCAAGGAAAAGCTAAAAAGGCGCACCCCTCCCCAACGGACCTGAGAACCTAATACGTAAGAAGCTGAGCTGTGGATTATTAATTTTTTAAAAAACAACCGAAACCTGTAAATGTTGCTGAGCCATCTCATAAGTGCTGTGACCCTGCCTTTAAAAGTTCACTGCACAGCTCTGCCTTGACAGCTCAATTCACACAACAAGCTTTCATGTCATTTCCTTTTGTCATAATGACTACAGAAAGGAGGACGAGGAAAGAAGACACCACCTGCTAAGGCCTTTCACAGCAAGCAGAAACTTGTGACAACCAACCTGGGTCCCCAGAGAGTCACTTCTTTGCCAAAAAGCATTCAACCAATTTGAAATGATCTATGTTTCGCCAAAAGTTCCAGATGCTTTTTCTTCCTCGTGTTTATTCAGCGAGGGGGGGAGGGATGCTATTAATATTACTTTTGCGTGTGTGCGCTTCTAGGGTTAATTTTTTTAATGAGGGAATCAACTGAGTTTCTTAGTGAACTGAAGGAGTGGAGCATTGTTGGAGCATGTGTCTCATCACAGCAAGGATATTCTGATACACAAACTCTTGCATTTTCTTGTGAGAAGCTCAGACACTGACATTTTTCAGAGGTATGTATATTTCAGCTCTATTTTGCTACGGCTCCCAATATCTGTACCAACAAATTGAGTGCCAGGGGGCTTTGAATCCCTATTGACCTGCTAGATTGGAATAGACAAAGTGTAGTCATAGACCTCACCCTAGTCTGATGTGAACACAATCTAATCTATTATTCAGTTTTACTCTGAACATTTATCCTGAGGAAAGCTGTACATGTTTTCCGAGCTGACATACATAATGACAACAAATCCCTACCTCTGCTTCTCCAGTTCAACCACCCTTAGCTGTCCAAAGGTCTCATGCTCTTTCAAAAGACTGCACTTTGTCCCATATGTTTGGAATTGCTTCCCAAATCACTTGTGTGATGAAATCCTTCCTCGAAACCCACCTTTTCCATTTAGCCTTTGCTACAACCCCCTACTTCCCAATCTCTTGTATAACTAAGACTAAGTGCATATACGAAGTGCACAAGAAATGATAACACATTCTTCTCATTTTGGCCCTACCTCTCCTTCTGTCTCCCTTGTGCTGAATTTTAGATTGTAAGCAAGCTGCTTTGAGCCAAAAGCTGACCTCTTTGTATTCAGAAAACACTGCACAGTGATGTAAACCTTAAATAACTGTATCTGTATGTCAATTATAATAGCAGCTGCAACTTTTAGTTCTAGATGTCAGCTTGGGGTGGAAATGGATGTCTATTTCCTGGCCTGGTTGGCATGTAATGTTAAACCATAGCTAATGTTTAGCCATGGTTTTAAGAGAATTAGCAATGTGCTGGTACCCCTAAAAAGTCTCCACTTCACTCTCCCCTGCTCTGTACTGGAGCAAGAAAGCACAAGGCTTGGTTCATTTTTTTACATGTGAAGTAAGGCTCATGCTTTTTTTTGCTCCAAACTAACCATGGCTAATCCTCTACCTGTCTACTCAGAAGTAAGTCCCATTTAATTCAGTGGTACTTACTCCCAGGAATGTGAAAATAAGATTGCACCGTACAATTATTCTCATCTCCATCCTCTGTGGTCTCCCCCCATTAAAGTCTCTGTAAACTCTGGTATAGGGGCCACTCATGCTGATTGTTACTCTGCCAAGCGCCAAGAGCATTGACAGTACTTAATAAATATGACTGCTACTATAGATTTTTTTGTGAAGTTATTTCATGAATGGGTTGTTTATCAGATTACAGCATTCATCCTGGCTGCAGGTGAGTTCTTCAATGCCTCAGAGAACTCCGTCAGATCTACACAAGAGCCTTTTGTGCTTGTCTTTTCAATATCTCCATTAAACGTGATTAAGTGTCTGCCAGCTATTGATTTCTCTGAACAATATGACAGCTGCAAGGCAGGTGAAATGTAGATTTTACACCAAGTGCCCTCAAGCCACCTCAAAAGGAATTAAGCTTTATTCCATCGGAATCGTGTTTAATTTGGTTGCTCCCTTGCCAGACTCGGTGCCCTCTTATAACCGACTTCCTTTCTTGCCAGTGGCCTATAATAACAAGAGGGGTGGAATTCTATTTGAGACAAGTGAAACCTAGAATGGTTGGTAGGCCAGGTGTTGGGACTTATCCGACCGTGTTGGAGTGATGGTACCTAACTGCCATGTCTGAGGCGGTTGTTTCAGTTGTGAACTGAGAAGGGAGACAAAAATAACTGCCTATTACCAACTTGGATGGTGGGGATACTGGATTTTTTTCTGCTAACTGCCATGTTTCTCATTATGCTACCCATGTGGGAAGGATCAAAATCCTACTGGGTTGTGGCTGGGTGGCTGGGTGGGTGTATAGACATTATCTCTATATATAATCTTGGAAATTAATGGACCTGTCTCAATGATGCCCATTAATTTCAGTGGATCTACTCTGAGTAAAGCTTAGTTGAATACTAATTTGTCAGCAGTATACGGCCCTTGGATCACTAACAGCAAAAACAGATTCTTGTATTACACAGTCACCTATTTATTAATGGGCCATAGGTTGCATAATGAGATAAATTTTTCAGAACTTATTTGGGTGTTGAAGCACAGCATAGTGTTATAAGACTGAGGTGATGCTTGGTGTCTATTTGGGTTTCCCTCTACCCTTCTGACTGATTCTATAGTTGTGTGACTGGAAACTGCAAAAAGAGAAGGACTGCTAAAACTGCAAAACCAGAACATGAAGTAAATAGCCCAGGCCAGGTTGGGTTAGCATCTACTTTTGTAGTGTAAGCTAGGACAATATGGTTTCACAAGAACTAAATAACTAGAGATAATTCAAGAGCAGCAAAAAGAACATGTTTGTCTGCTCAACCCAACCTACACACAGCTGTATGTGAGCTATCAATGTGTAAGTGTGTCAGAGTGGATGTGAGTAAGAAGACAACAGACAGCATTGGAATGGAGTCCGAAAACACAAGGCCTGAATTTGCTTTCCAAGAAGCCAAGGCTGCAGAGTTCCACTAGAAATAAGATGGGGAGCAAAATCTGTTGGAGTCAACCCCTCTGTGTGTACACACTTAAAACCTTGTGACCTTATTCAAAGGAAATCAACCCAGGCCACGACCTTGACCCACTGAAAGCTCTCACTGCTCAGAGATCATGGCGTGTGTATCATCTGGGGGATAAAAAACATATTTTAAGAGTATATTACAGGGGAGGGAGCACATCAGGAATGGCCAAGTGCAGGTCAAATGAGGGCACCCAAAGCAATTTCAATAGAGTGCTGCTGATCCTACCAACTTTTAACAAGGTGTAGTAAAATGTTTACTACGTTCTACTCAAAGTTAAGTGTGTGTGTTTGACAGACAGACAGACGGGATGGTATCTTTGGCAGTGGGTCACTTTGTGTGTCAAATCCTGGTTATAACTGTCCAATGTGCACCATAACACTCAGGGAACTGACATCGGAGCTAGAGGCGGAGGGAAGGCTCTCAAATGATGCTGGAGAAGGGCCCAGCAGGGAGAGAGGCAGCTCAGCAGATGGGGAAGCAGTTCAGCGCAACACCAGGAATAAGGAGGGCAGATGGGGAATCGGCGAGAGGGCTCCCAGACTCTTCACCGGACACCAGCGGGAGAGCACGGGTCCTCCGCTACCCACGCCCTCCCTGCGCAGAAGACTTCCGCGCAGAGAGAGTAGGAGGAGACTGGGTGTCAAACAACTTTTATGTTGGAAAAGGTTTAAGAAACGCCCACTGACGGATTCTGCTAGCGACTGAGGCAGCCACGAAGTGAAGGGCTGTCCAGACTGAAAGGTTTAACAAGGCAACAAAGCCAGGAGAGGCGGCAACTTACGCACGAGCAACCCATACTCATTACAATAACTATGAAGCTTTTCCTGCTCAATGCCATCAACTTGACTTTGTGAGTTACTGAGTTTTTGTGGCATACTCTTTTATCTTCCAGCACTCTGTCTATAGATGAAAGTAGTTCTCCAAGACTACAGAAGTTGGCTGTCCCCAAACTAAATGATCCTATCCCAATAAAAGGCATTTCCTTTTTGAAGAAAGACACATTAAGCTAAATTGAGCCTGATATCTAGGACTTCTCTGGTACCCGGACTTGCACTTTTTATTATATTGTGGAATTGTAGGAATTTTGCATGATGTACTGTTTTAAATTTGGCTTTTCATTCATTATATCTGTTTGTAATTTATTTATTTTTTGGTACAAATTGAATAGCAAATGGTGGTGGTGGTGATAATACCATGCCATTTCTATTTTAGTGAATGGGTGTGCTTTTGTAAATTCACAAAAGTCATGTAGTTAGCATATATATTCACTTGCTTGTAATTCGCTCTAAACATCAGTGTCTGGAAGGCTCTAAGTTCCCCATCCCAGTAAAGCCTGTTGAGGCTCCTTGATTACGTAGAGAAGATTACCTGGTCTAAGAGATGAGTTACAATGGGTTCAGAGCAAGCGATGCAACTGAAGCTCAGTCAAGTCTGCCCTTCTGTACATGACATATTTAGGCTGCCAGGGGCCTCCTAGTACTATCATGTGCTTTTCATGGGATTAGTTTCCACCTTGGAAATAAATATGTATTGGGCAAACAGCGTGCCTTAAACTCGGATAACAGAGGCTGCGATCCTATACCCACTTTCTTGGTGTAAGATCCACTAAACCCAGTGCTTTTTTCTGGGGGTACGCATACCCCTAAACATTTTGTGAATCTAAGTTGGGCTGCATTGAGGGGCAGTATTTCAATATGTTTAGGAAAATGAGAATACCCCTAAACATATATTTTTAAGAAAAAAAGCACTGATAAACCTAATGGAACTTATTTCTACCTGAGTGAACTTGTATACCGGAACACTGTAAAATCTGGGTTGTGAACCAACCAGAGTAATTTTTGCCCTAACCTGTAACATGGATTTAAAATGTTCACCAAATAGTTTTGGTGAGAAGTGTGCCAACTGGGCCACAGCTGTTTTAAACAAAAACAAGCAAACATGGAGCGTATAATTGCTGCATTAGTTTTGGCCTGTTTCTGAAGGCTGCAACGAGGACAAAAGAAGGCCAGTCATCTAACCTGTGATACAGCATCTGTTCTACTCAGATTACCAGCTGTTCAGGCCGGCTGCTCCATCAAAGACTCCTGGGAAGGGTATTCATAGTGTTATGAGTTGGGGAGGGGGGAGTAGTAGGCTGTATGTAGACATATATATGGTTGCACTGTTAGTACCCTGTGCAGTGCAGTCTCGTGCATTATGGACTCAGAAGTCAGTCCCACTGTATTCAGTAGTGCTTGTTTCCATGAAAAGCGTATATAGGGTTGCAGCCATAATGTGCTAACAGCCCTTAGCCAAGGCAACTTGTGCTGACCATAGTTCGCCATACAATTCTTTTTTAGTTTTGAAATACTCTTGCAGAAACGTTAGTCAAACATGTTGAGGAACTGTGCTTGTTTTTTAAAAAAGAAAAAGGTAATAAAGTAAAGCGCTGAGTGATTGCAGTTTTCTCTACTCTTCTTGCATTTGTCTGAAAAGCAGGGTGGCAGAAGTGATATCATGATAAAGTTACTCCTTGTAAATTCATATAGAGCAGCTCTCTCTTCCCTACCCCTGGGCCCCATGGAACTGTGTGCCTGAAGAGGACATCATTTATTTGGAACAATAAAACAAGTACTTGCTACATGTAAGAAAAAGCTTCATTAGTGTTAGGGAATATAAAATTAAACTACAACTTTGTTTTTTTGAAATCTGACATTAGATATCTCTGACTTATAAATTAAATAAATTAGAAGAAAACATGTTTTAAAATACAACAATTGTTGACATAATAACATATAATAACGCGCATTCCCCATCTCAATACTGTTTAAAGCTATTATTTCACATATAACCAAAAGCTAAAGTAGGGGCCTTTCCACATGCAAGACTTTCCTGCTAACTAGCCACTGATGCACTGTTATTCAATGAATTTAGTTATTACGATTTCTGGCAACATAATGTTTTGGATGTGATGATACATGGCTGCACAGAGTGGTGCATTCTTTAATGTTTGTTTTTTTAAAAATCTGAGAAAAAAACCAGCTGCTCAGGCCGCTCCTACTATGAGGCAGGTGCCTCAGGTGGCAAATGCTAGGGGACAGTGACAGTCATTCTGATCTTTAGTAAAAGTTGAAAGATTTAAACTATCTGAAGAGAAACCAGGGTACAGTCATTCTGATCATGCTCATCTTCATGAGCAAGTGGTACCTTGTAATAAATCTTTCAACCTGGGCTGTTTGTCCTATCTAGTTGCCTTCTTCCAGTGTATCACAAATAGCAGGATTAGAAAAGGTCCTTGACTGAGCCAAACAGGCATAGAGGTGGCCACCCCACATCTTCCAGAAGATTTTCCCCACGTGTTGCTCTGCTCTCATGCTGCATGCTCCCATTGCTACTGCTGTGTTGCAGCTTTTGCTTGAGTTGGCAGCAAGCAAACGTCAGGCAGAGCAGTGAGCAAACATCAGCAAGGTGCTGGAATGCAGAATGTGTGCCACCTAGGTAGTTGCCTTTTACTGAATCAGACCACTGGTCCTTCTAGCGCAGTCTACCTTGGCTGACAGTGGCTCTCCAGGGTTTCAGACAGTGGACATTCCCAGCCCTACTTGGATTTGCCAATGATTGAACCCAGTACCTTCTGCATGCAAAGCTACGACCCTTCCCCACACAGCTTATCTTGACATCCCTAAGTTTGTCTGCTGGCCTTAGGTGTGGCAGAAGATGCTTTTCTGGCATCAGTGTCAATGTCAGATTACACTGCCAGCTCCATGGCTTCTGTATGTCGAATGGGGAGGAGGGACACCATCTTGTACGTTGCCTCAGGCAGCAAAGGCCAGTTCTGGTAACTGGGCATAGCTTAGAGCAACAGTTTCAAACCAAAGAACCCAACAGTTCTTTGGAAGTTTAATGTTTGCATGTGTGTGAGAAAGAGTGGAGCAGGCATTGATGAGAATATCAGTAATAGAAAACAGGAAAGGCAGGTTGACCATCACCTTGAGTGTTGAGCATATGATATGGTGGGCTGGACTACAACCCCCATCATCCCTGACCATTGGCCATGCTACCTGGGACTGATGGAGGTTGGAGTCCAGGAATCTCTGGAGCGCCACAGATTCCCTCATCTCTGTGCAAGGGTGCACTCTCTGTTGATGTGGTGCAACAGTAGGTGAACAGTTCATTTAGGTGAACTGAATGATTGCAGTAGAATTCTTCTGCAAATCCTCTGTCATGCTCAGAGGTTCCTAAGCAAACAAGTTGATTCTGAACCTGAAAGCCTGCATATCACTGATTTAAAGAAATCATTTGCCGAAGTAGCATCACATGATAAATTGCAGGACTGTACTTTAAATGGCACGGTGTCATTGACGTGAGGTCTGTTGAGGATACAGTAATTTCTCTTGGCCTTTTCCAACAAATCTAGATGAACCAGGATAGAATAAGAAATGCTGGGTTGATGCAATGATCACAGTTGAATCTGTTAACAAGAAGCATATCAGAAGCATGTGCAAAATATATGAGCTGAATTGTTTGCATAGGATGCAGTCTTTAAACTCGCCCACCCCACCCCCCGTGGATTCTGTAGAAGTTTTGTTTTGTTTTGTTTTTTGGGATAAGTGTGTACCACACTACATCCATTATCAGGTAAATGTGACAGCGTTCTGTATTTTGTTGAAGAACCCTCTGCTTGCACAAGCAAGGCTGAGGGTTGTCAGTCTGCCTCAAAGGCACTGTTTGTGGCCCCCAAATATTCCGACTTCTTTTTATGTTTCATCCATATTTTCCGCAGGAGGCTTGGTGTTCCATGCAAAATGCTGCCCGTTAGAGGTAAAGAGGCCTCCTCCGTTCCTTGAGTTGGGCTTATGTCATCTTCAGTATTTTTCTGCAAGGACCTTCTGTGCCTACAGTTGAAAGTGGGAACAGATTCAACATTTCAAGTTCCTTCAGAATATTTATTTGGTGTTCACCATTTTGTCAAACGATTTATTAAAACTTTCCCCCCCCACCATTTTTGTCTTCTATTGTTAAAATACTATTTTGTTATATATATATTTGCAATTCTAACTGTATCCATGAGAGCAGCCTCCTAAGCATCATCTCTTGTTCAGATGTTTTGGGCAACAGCTTCTATCAGCTCCAGCCAGCAAGACCATGCCAAATGGGGCCGATGGGAGCTATAGTCCAAGATACCTAGAGGACACCAGGTTGGGGAAAGCTGCTCTAATGGAATTCTCTGCACCTTCACCAAACTATAGATTAAACTGCCTTAAAAAAAAGTTTGTAGTACAGAAAACCCTGATATTTCAGGCACAATCTTTGGACGCCTGCTGTTTATTTAATGCTTTTCCACCCTGCCTTTCAGGACCCATTGTCCTTGCAAGGCAATGATCACTTAAATTTAAAGACATATGAGACATCAAAGCAGAAGAAGACCATATGATAGCATTTGAGCATTAAAAACCAGCACAGCAGATTAATTAATCCTGGACCAGAATAAAAAACTTATAATGAAAATAGAAAATAACAGTGCAATCCTATATGTGCCTGCTCAGCAGTAAATCCCATTGCATTCAATGGGACTTCCTTCTAGGTAAGCGTGTATGGGATGTTGTGGATTCAGTCTGGGATCTTGTGCATGCAAAGTATGCTCTTCCAGCAGCCTTTGGACTCTTTCCCCTTTTACTTATTTACAAATACTCTTTAACTTCTTAAAAGTTGCATTTTGGGATGTCAGTGATCTTCAGTCTGAGTAGCGTGTCACTGGTTCTTATAGACATTGAGTTTGGTAGCCCAAGTAATAGTTGTGGAATTAGAGGAGAAGGTAATGGTAAGAAACTTACTCGTCTGCAAATGCACTATCCCTCATGGCTGGTTCTGTGGCTGCAATCCATCTTGCATTGTGATGGGAGACTGGGGATCCCTGCGGCTGCTAAATTATAGGGAAATGGGGGGGACGGATAAAATAAAAATGTCAAGATGCAATAAAAACAGAACACAATAATAGCTAGCACACATCTAACAACTTGGTAGAAGAGGGAATGTTGACATCATATATGCATGGCAGACATCAGTGGGTGACCCTAATAGTTGAAGCTTGGACTGTTTGTTCACCCATAAAATAACAGTTTTCATAGATATACTGTCAGCCAATTTGGATTATTTTATAAAGTGGGCAGGATATACACTTTAAAAATCAATCAACAAATAGTAAGACTAGAGAGTGTGGTGTTGGGAGGCTGAGAAAAGATTATATCTGATACACCAATGCCAATATCATCTTAATATTGCTATCCTTTCATATAATTGCTGGATTTGTATGCTTCATGTAAAAAAAAATTAATGCTTGTGTTGTTGTCCGATAATTTCTTTAGATTTGTATTACAGGTTTTTTTGTGTGTGTTTGCAAGCTTTGCTTTTGATCTTTTTTGTATTGGAAGGAGGAGGTGATTAATGTAAGTGCAAAGACCTCTTTTATAAGAAGATTAAGGATGTTACATGAATTTTTGACTGAAACACAGGACTTGTAGCAATCATCAGGAGTCACATGATATTGCACAGAGGTAGTTGGTTTTATATTACGTATGTGTTACTTACCAAAGTCTTTGCATCTGGCAGGCTACTGCTATAGCAGAATGACCTTTGTTTAGAAATTCCAGCTGCAATGAAAAACAGAAAGGAGAAACTTTGGGTAAAATGTACTGTAGAGAGAACTGGAATGTGGACTGTGCTCTGCCATCTGGGTCATTTGTCCATATGTGTATACATGCTGCCAAGGAATGAAAATGGCTGCTTACCTGGTCACAAGTAACCATCATGCTGGGCTCCTCCCCCTTGGAAGGAACACTAGGATGAGGTGGCTGTTCGTGAGGAATCCCAGTCCGGCCGTTGGAGATTGGTGGGCTTTCCCGCCATAGCCTTATTTGAATCCTGGCCAATCCAGCCAGGCCAGGTGGGAGGGCTGTGGGACCCTATAAAAGGCTGTCTGAAGCCAACTCCTGGGACCATTGTCCTCAGAAATGAGACTGACTGGTTATGGCAGTGATGCCATCAGAAAAGGACATTAAGGCACAAGTCCAGAGACCCACTCAGCAGAATGAACAGAAGGATCCCAACCACATTATGAAGCGACACACACAACAATCTAAAAAAGGGGGCTCCAGAAAGACCAGAAACTAAAATTACCTAACTGCAGCACTGAGTGGAGGTGGAAATTTAATAACAGGGAAATGTAGCTTTTTCACACACTCCTTCTTGCTATGAGACCTCACTTGCCAAATCAGTATTTCAAATATAAGTGACCTCTTTGGCAACAGTACTTGAAAGTGTGATCATAGAATCATAGAATTGTAGAGTTGGAAAGGACACTTGCAATAACATATGTCCTATTCTGTGGAGATAAGGAACAACCATTCCTTCCTGTGATATTCTGCCTTCTATAGGCATGTTTGAGCATCATATATTTCTCTGATATTCTTCCTTAATACTTTCACGGTGGAACTGTCTTCCATTCTGATTAAAATGGACAGCAGGATTATCCACACAGATCCTTTTTCTGTAGGCTAATATACATCCTGCAGCATTGTTACCAGCAATGCTCATTATATAATAATAAAAATGAATGAATGAATTAATGAATGAATAAATAATGGTAAAATAATAATAATAATAATAATAATAATAATAATAATAATAATAATTTTTTAAAAAATTTTTATACCCTGCCCATCTGGCTGGGTTTTCCCAGCCACTCTGGGTGGCTCCCAATAGAATATTATTTAACATTGACTTTTTCAAATGCAAAAGTTGAATGCTGTATCAAATATGTTTTGTGTTTGACTCATGCTGCAAAAAACCCCCAAAAAACAAAAACAGAACTCTTTTCAGTACCAAAGGGCTCATTGTTTTCATTACAAGGCCATACCTCTGGACAGTTAGTAAGCCTGAGTACTAAATATATTGCTGAGACTTACTGTGTCTTGCAGAACATTTGGAGGGACTAGGGAAGAATCCTTGCTGCCTGTTCTGCACATGACTGAATGCCTGCCCTTCTTCATCTTTGCAGAAGACTTGAATGAGATCACCTTGGTGTGATAGCAGCTCCTCTGTCCCCTGAAGATGATAGTCAGACACTGCTACCACCTACAGGGAAGAGGTGAAACAGGCTAATTACATGTGCCGTGTATAGATTCAATGCCTGAGTCTATGCATAACCTGTAGTAATTATAGTGTAGAATAAGCATTGCTGTCCTCTTTGCCCATAAAACAATAATTAAAAGTTCTGCTATATTATCATTATGAAAACTGTAACTAAGCTGATAGCCAGAAAAGGTAATACCCTATTATGTTACTCCTCTATCTTTCTACAGTTATCTAAAAGGCTTAAAGTTAGCAAGTGTGCAATAAAAGGGTTAGACAGAGAAATCTCTCCCTCTCTCCCAACCAGGAAAAAGAGAATATTGTCTAGTGTGCTTCCTGCACCATTGGACTGACGATATAATTTGGAAACTACTTGGGTCCAGTGTAAGGCACCCATGAGGATCTTGGGCCTGGTTCTATGGGTCCTGATACTGTGGGATCCAGTTTATAGGCTTCTGCCCGCCTGCTTTGGATTCAGTGGTCTCCTGATCACCATCATCAGGTCAAATGTTGACTCTGTAGCCTCTAACTTGTCCTGGTCACTGCTGGGCTCTGGGGTCATGGCAGACCCAACAGATCACGTGGAAGAGACAGGAGCTGCCCAGTGACTGGGGCAACCCAGTCAGATGTGCGGGGTACAAGAAATAAGTTGTCGTCATTGTTTGGCTACGTCCCATGCCTGTATTGTTCTGTCTACTTGAAGGCAGACAATGTTGCTATGGAAAATGACCGTGTCATTTGATCCATCCTAAGTGACCCAATTATTATGGGTTCTGATGTTACTGAAGTAGGAAACTACCACAGAGGGGTGACAACTATGTTCCTCCTGTAATGCAAGGATAGTTCCTCTTTTATAACAATGAGACGCTATTAGTATATTGGCAGTAGAATTCAAGAGAAAGTTGTACAACATCTACCTTTATTTCTATGTCTTGAGATATCAACACACACAAACGGAGAAGCAAGAGTATCTTGCCATTAACACAGACAGAGACTACTGCTGCATTATTCTTCCATATGTGTTTGTTTCATTTACTACCAATACTATTTTCTTTTCTTTTTTAGAAAACAGACTATGTCCAAATCACTTGGGTATATGTGGGCCTAATGCCATGCAGTAATAAGTCGGGATAACTTATGTAGGTCAGGAAGCCAAGTCTGTGGTAGCACAGTTTAGATCCAAACAGGATTTCAAGCTTCTCTAGGTCATTATGAACACGCAAGGTAAATCTCTGGGATTATCTTGAAGTCACTTTTCTTTTCTAATTGTATCAGAAAAGCTAATGTGAGTTTGGCCATTATTCAGATGAATGACAGTCTCATCCAAACTAAGTAGCATTAGAAAGCAGCTCCCTAAATATTTGATTTATGATTTTTAAAAGATATTATTTGTTTCAGCAGCAGCTACTTGTTCCATTTGCCAGGCAAGTTTTTCTACTTGCGCTGTGTGGAGTCCTGTAGCAGAAAGCCTTGCTAAACACCTTCAGTGGCTATTTTCATGTTATTCTTCAATAAGCCAACAACTACAATTTACAAACAATGAGGGAGAGCTGGCTTTTACAAACAATAGAAAAAATACTGATAAAACCAACAAGAAGGAGAAGGAAAATAGGAAAGCTGTGCATCACAAATGCATTGCAAAAAATTTTTTGGAACTAAAACCAATTCAGCTCCAGAAGCCAAAACTAAATTAATTTGTACTATGCAAGTCTTTCACTTGCTTCACTGTTATTATTTTGCTTATTTAAAGAATTAATGTCTCCATTATAGAAAACTACAACAACTTAACAATCTAGAAGACTGAGCCAAGCACTTATTTTGAAAATCACTCATAGAATGTTCCATCAGTGTCAATGGGAGACAGGACTAAGCACTTCCTCAACTCTCCTACAACATTTAAAAGTTCCTAACTCTGGTTGGATTGTTGCTCATTATTCATTAGCATCAGTGGCGGAACTTGGAGTCTCAAATTTCAGCAGTGCCTGTGCAACGCCAAAATTCAGTGCCCCACTCTGTAAGATAATTAAAATGCAGTCAAACCAACTATTCATGTATTGCTAGCTGGGCACATCATAGGAGCTGAAGCTCACAGAGTTTTCCTATAAACTTGCTAGAGAGAACTCTGAGAGACACTCCCACTGTGCCCCGACAAGGGGAGGGCATAGCTATATATCCTCCTACCTGCCTGGGCACACCCTCTTTCCATCTCTTTCTGCTCTGCCAGCAATGTGACACCTACAAAGTCTGAGCGTCAAACTCAGACTACATTTTGAGCTAGACTTAAATATGTCTTTGTAACTGAATTACTATTTTAAGTCTGTCTGAACAAAGCTGCTGTATCTGTTCCTGTCCAATAAGTATTCTGAGTATATGTTATTTTTTACCTTTTACAAATCCAGTTTGTGTGTGATTGTTAGTTTAAGGGGGAGTAAAGGGGGAAATACCAGGAAAATCAACTCTGCCTTAAAGCATCCTGGATTACTTAAACTAAAGGGACAAAACTAGCCTAGCTAAACTTCCTTTTAAGCTGCAAAGGGATGGCACTCTGCTGATCAGGGGGTAGGAAAGATAATATCTAATAAATCAGGCTTCCTCACACTCGGCCCTCCAGATGTTTTTGGCCTACAACTCCCTGATCCCTAGCTAGCAGGACCAGTGGTCAGGGATGATGGGAAATGTAGTCTCAAAACATCTGGAGGGCTGAGTTTGAGGAAGCCTGTAATAAATATAACATCTCCTAGCATCTATTCATATTCCAAAACCTGCCACTCGCCTTGGATTCTACCCATAGGTGCCAGGTCTAGGAGGCCCTGGGTGCCAGGGAACCCACAGAAGTTACCAGAAGTCATGTCAAAGCCCCGACACAGCCTCCCAGATGACGTCAGAGGCCCTGCCAGGCCTCCAAATCTGACTTCTGGTAGAAACTGGAAGTCATGTTTGGAAGTCTCATGAGGTCTCAGATGTTATCTCTGAGACCCTGCGAGGCCTTGAAAGAGCCACTGCCGCAATGTAAAGTCATGACCTCATGATGTCATGATGTCATATTTTATCACAGGCGCCATTGGGCATCCATAACCTGGGGCCTCTGATTCTACCTCATGGCTGTTGCACGCCCAAAATCCCACGCCCAGTGCAACCAAATTGTTTGCGTTCCCTTAGACCTGCCTCTGATAGTATGGACGTTCTAGCCCAACCGTTACCAACCTGGGGCCCTCTAGTTGTTTTGATGGAGACTCCCACCAGCCCAGTTTCACTAATCCTGGTGAATTCACCAGCCAATGCTGGCTGGGGCTGATGGGAGTTGTGACCCAAAAAGTCTGGAGGGAGGCATCAGGTTGGTGAGGACTGTTCTCAGTTTAGAAGATAGGCAGTTAATACATACTGTGATGGTGTGCACCTTGGCAGCAGGACTCACCCTCGTCATAAGTTTCTCCTCACTGATTTTAAAGGGGCTTGTGACATAAGAAAGGGGAGCTGGGGAGGCCCTCGTTTAAAATAGCAAATGAAAAGAATTAACGAGAAACTGGTTTGCTCATGTTTTGCTGGAAAGTGGTTGTGTAGGATTCCCCCAGACACATGGAAAGTCTTTAAAACATCATTGCTATCAGGAAATGGTTAATGTTGAGGCATCTGAGGTTAATTCACAGGGATGGTCATATGACTGAGCAGCACTTAACCCTGCCCTGGCACACTCAAAGTGCTATTGCTGTTAAAGACTCTGGCAGGCATCCAAGGGTGCTTGCTATTTTTGCCTTGTCTGGGATTAAACAAGGGCACCTATGAAGATTACCAGGGTGAAATAAGTCCTATCATCTCAGGCTGCTAAGAACAGGTAAAGTGGCAAGTTTTTTTAGGAATTAATTTTCCATATTTTGCATTGTAAGGGGGGGGAGTTGGGTCTCAAAATCTCCCTTCATGTTGTATATATATTTGCCATTCATTGGTATGATTGCACATTTTTAGTTTGTCCAATTTATTTATTATATGTTTATACTGCCATTAGATATCAGTTCCCAGGTTTATTTTATTGGCAGAGGAGCACAATTAATTTGAACCAGGGTCACTTACTTTTGCTCCAGGAGCTTATTTGGATGCCCAAACTCATAAACAAGTGCCTTTCTTTCCCACTTGTGAATCAACACAGCTTGCTTCCAACTACATCTAGGAGATACTGGTGGCTGTGAGGCTTCCAGATCAGATTGCAATTTTCAGATGTGCTTGAGGTTGATATGTGCTTGTGGTTGTGTTATCATGCCAGATGCCTGTTCCACCCAGATCTTACATTTGCCAAGGTGACATAAACATGAGAGCAGGTCAGAAGCTGGGATGTAGGGGTATGTAACCTCTCTTGGTCAGCTGATTTTTCTCTGCACATGCCCTTCTAGACTGTTTATTATGCAGCTGGGCTCTGTAACCAGAATTAAGCCCAGATGGATGAAACTTGTTTAAAATGGCCTGGTGCAAATCATTTGCAGACAGAAGGATTAAGTCCACTCTCTTCTGCCCAGTAATTCCCAATAGTGGGTTTTGTATTTTGTTTTTGTTGTATAAAAGGCTGCATTTGAAATTTCCTTAAAACCTACATGCAATTTATGAACCATGTCAGGGTTTTGGTTTTTTTGTTTTGTTTTTGTACCAGTGCATATGTCGGTTCCACACCATGATCTTGAGAGATCTATGTTCTGCTTCAGTGGACAAGAAATACCCTCTTTAATAAGCAACAGTTTCCTTACCTTTTTCGGCAGGATGCATTGAGTACTTTTGGCTTTTCTTCTGACTGGGCTACATGCTACAAAAACAATGGAAACATCAGCATGAACTGAAGAGATTGTTTAACTTTCCTTGTCAAAATGTAGCATCCCAAGAGAGCAGCTCAGTCCCACCTGGTAGAAGCTTCTCTGCACTGCCTCCAGTGGATATCCCCCCCACACACTCTGATCAGTACCAGGTAACTGGGTCTGGGAGTTGCCATTTTAATTTCCCACAGTGCTCTGCAGCAACACCATATGTGGGGCATTGTGGGAAGTTAAAATGGTGGCTCACAGCTGTCTGGCACTAATTGGAGTGCTGCTTCTACCAACATCCGCTGGTGTTATCGGATAAGCACACCAGGGCTCACTCAAAGAAGGAGAAGCCCACTAATACAATTCCACGACAGAGCCATTTCACAGAGACTCTACGCAGTGGAGCTGGCCCTGCGTGACATCAAAGATAGACTAAAGTGACCTTGCTGAGAGAAGTTGTGGGGTCAGGAGTGTTAGGCTTGCCCTCCTCCAGCATTTGAGATATCTGCTTGGAACTCAGATTTTTTCAAATTAAAAAAATAATTCAGAGTGGTTGACAACATTCAGTTGAAATAGCACACACACAAATACATGTGTGTGTATATATGTCTGTGTATAATATGTACATAGAAATAAAACAGGAGATAAAACCAATTCAAATTCAGAACTTGGGGGGGGGGTTTAAAAAAAGCATAACACTGGCAACCAGGTAAGCCTTTCTTGAGAGCAATCTATATGTGGGTCCCATTACTTTGGCACCAAGTAAAAGCTGTTTTGTCTGTTAAACTTTTAATCGTGGAATATAATTGTTCTGCTTATTCTGTAGAATGTTGTTGTGCTCCTGATTTCAGTCTTATTTGCTTTGCATTTTCTTTCTGTGTTGTTCTGATCTGTTGCAACCTGTTAACTGGGATGAAAATAGCCACAAAAAGAGAGAGCCCCCATCTCTTGTTTTCTGGGGATGTAGCTTAAATCAGAACAGTATCCATTCCCAATCATTAAGGTGGTTCTTAATTTAATCAGCTAGTCATTCAATAAAATAACTCTGTACAGTCACAAAGCCATGGAAGCAACAGCTAATATTACATGGAGCAAGTGATGGTTCACATGCATCAGTCACAGAAGTTTAAACGAAACAGAGGTGTTAGAAAGATTTTAAGTGTATGTAAAAGTATATGCAGTCTTTATATAGTTTTCCTTGCATCTTATTGAAAGCAGAGGAAAATGAAAAAATATTTGCATATTCATTCTTTTTTGAATGCAGTTTTTAATTACATTAATGATGCTCCAGATTAAGTAGCAAGGAGTGCTTTATAAATATCCATCTGGCATATTTTTAGCTTGCCCATTGTAATCTCCCCAGCCAAAATGCTGTACATCTGCAGGCGAGGAAAGCAGCAAATTGCCTTACCAAAGGCAAAGTGAGGAAAAGTTCTAACAGAGGTAATACTTCTTGAATAGGCTGCTTAAGAAACAGTTGTTCATGAAAATGGGAGCCAAGCTGACAATTCACTTTGGCCTGCCATGAAATAAAGGCATAAGGAGCTGCTTGATACTGAATCAGTCAAATGGTCCATCAAATTATGTACTGAAGGGTACTGACACATCTTGTGTCAGTAAGTGTTTCTAAGTATGTGAAGAGTGCCCTTCAGAAGGATACAGATACAAGCAGGTACACCTTAAGACAGGTAAAGTGAAACGGGGTTGCCTTGCTATAGTGCTGCATGGCTCAGAAAAACTTCACTTGCCAAATTTCCAAGCGAGATTTCTTTCTTTTGCATATCAGCTACAGGGGCCTTCACTTTCATGCGATCATCCTATCAGGCTGATGCCTTGTGCAGAAAACGTTTCTGGGACTCCCCCCCCCATCCTTGCAAAATCAGATTTGTAGGATATCCTCTCCCAAATACACCTTCTGCCCTGACCTCCTACAAACGATTCCCTTAAGTAATAACCAGACTTGGCCATTAAAAAAACCACACAACTACTTTGAAATCCTTCCTATTTCAGTCAAAGCTCGAGTTGCCCCTCATCCCCTCCTGCCTTGCCTAGACTGTTGCCTTTAAGCAATTGTGCAACAGACAGATATGCAACTGAGATTAGCTTTTCCTGCATCTTCAGGCCAAGAAGAACTTTTCCTGTTGAATTTCTTCCTGCTAAAGTAATGTTAAAATAGTGGGAACCCTGCCAGAAAATCATTACGCCCCTATAGAAAATCCAGTTTTCTGACTCAGGCCTAGAAAGTAAGGTGGGTTCTCTGGAATGAATGGGGTAAAATAAAGACCCTCAGCCCCATAATGTGTTTTCCACAAACAAACCAAGCTCTCCTGGTACGGGTGTAGTGGTTTGGTGAAGCTGTGAGATGGGGCTTTGGTTGTACAATCAACATTGCACCCCATTAGCAGTAAAAGGGATAGTGGAACTGGAAGCAAATTTGGGGGTAATTTGAAAAAAACACACCACACAATGAAAATCCATTTTTATAAAGATATTTGTGTGCGCGCGCACGCAAGTACGAAAGAACTCCAAGGATAATAAGCTTGGGCTCCCACTCATAATTTCATTTGCATTGTAATAAAAACATCATCATAATAAATCTGAAAAGAGCAACTGGGGCTTGCAAATAAATATTAAGACTACACTTTTCCGTACAGAGTTTCCCATGAGAAATCTATCTCCCTTCGGACACAAGGTGTTGAAAAACTATTGTTCTCCTGAATGCATATTGATCTTTGTCTGATGTTTGCTCTTTGTGACAAGTAAATGCTAAGGTTAAATGTACAATCAGTCCCAGAACACAAATTTGAAAATGCTGTCTCCTTTGACCCAGTAGGTCGTAGCCATATAGAGTCATTTTCTACATATTAACTATTCAGGGCTTCATTTTTCAATGCTCCTAACTTTATGATTTCTCATCTTAATGGTAATATTGGATGCCTAGGAACAAAGCCACATGGAATTAAGCACACCGATTGCACAATTTGTTTCTGTAGAAATACTTCCACTGCCTAGCCTAGCTAGACTTCTGCTTTCATTTTCTCCAAGGAAAGGACGAATGGAGGGGGGGGGGGAGGAGTTGGGGAATCAGAGATCACTACACAGCAAGTACAATACAGTGAGCACACATCCGAATTTACCATTTTGAAGGTTTCCCCCTAACATTCCATTTCAATAAACACTGAACCCCTGGCAATAGCTCTGGTTGCGTGGTACTCACATTTGGAAGAAATCACAGTGAAGACTTCTAAATTTTCATCACTGCAACTGTAAATCTGGTGCATTTTTCACCTCTCCCTCCTGGCTGCCTATCGGCTTCATGCAACTGCTCTGAACTTCTGGTAAATAGGTTTCACTAATCCCATCTGGCTCTGTGATCATTGTCCACGTCCACAAAGGAGAGACTGATGCTGTGATCTCATCTCATTCTACATTCTTCATTGCAACATTTTCAACCCCAGTCTGCCTTTGTATGAATTCTGCTCACGCCAGGGTTTGATTTTGCTGTTCCTTAAAACCACAGCCATGCAAGTAATATTTTATTTGCATAGCCTCTCTCTGTTACCAAACAAGTTACAGGCACCTTCTGCCAATAGTAAGTGGTGACCTGAAGGAATGCTTGCATTTTGTGTATAGACGAGGAATTATGAAATAAGACATTTATTATTATTATTGTTGTTGTTATTATTAATTTTCTACGCCACCCTTCATCCAAAGATCACAGGATGGTTTACAAGATTTGTGGGAGTGACAGAGCCAGGCATATACTCATTAAAAAAATAAACATAGAATAATTTTCTAAATGGAAAATTAAAAAAAACACCCAATACATGCTGCAATAAGAACATATTTTACTTAAAAATGTTTCTTGTTTCACAAGGCAGTGGGATAAGGCCTTTCAGCTCTGAGATCAACGTTTTCAAATATAGATGCTTGGACTTAAGCACTCAAATCTACATTTAGCTCTTTTAATAGGTGGCCTGGTTTGCTGAGGTGTTGAGCTCTTGCAAAAACAAAAAAACCCAAACCAATAACGGACACCAGGTGAAACGCTACACCCACTTACTCAGGAGTTAGGCCCACCAAAATCACTGCCCCTCCCTCCCCCAATTTGATTCTTATGTCATCAAGAATAAATTCACTTCAGGTGCCTGGGTTTAGCATTTTCATTGTGGGAATACCACAGTGATGAGTGTACCAGATAGTCTTGTAAATGTTATATTAATCTTTTGGGAAAGGGTCTTTTTAAAATAGTGGTTGAGGAGTTGTCACCTAAGCACACACAAAAGCACTTTTTTTGTTTGTAGGTGTGTGAAATGCACATACAGGGTTAGTCTAGCTATTCTGGGTCAGAAACTGTAGCAGGTATTAGCAATCCCAGGGGCCTGATGTCCTGGAAATATAACTTGCTGCCACTACTACAATACAATAGAATTTTAAAGGGAGGACATCAACATTCAACTCATGAGCCTGAGCCAAATACTATAGTCCTTGCTTTATATGAGAGTTGTGGACTCACAAAGAAAGCAGGACCAAATCCAGTACAGGATTTGTGCCACTTGTTTCCAAACTGTCCCATGGTACCAAATCTGTTGGGGAGGGGGATAAAAGCTGTTGTTCTAGAAAACACTGGAGTATTTAAAATGTTCAGGGAGCAATCAATATAATCAGCCCCAAGTTCAATTAGTTTTTGATTTATTGTGCCACATGTTCTGCTTGTATGACTGATGTCATTAACATCAGACTCGGCTGGCTAGTTCATCTGTCTCCGTCCAGTTTGTCCCGGGCACAAACACACTAAACAGATGGGGAATTTCATGGCCACAAATGGAATTGTTTATCCTTCTATTGTTCTTGTGTCAAGCAATCAAACCAAATCCATTACCAACCAATAAAAAGATCAGGGTACCATCTATTCAGCAGCGAGCTGAGCAGAGGGGGATAGGTAGCAGGGATTTCAAACGTCTACAAATGGTCAGAAAAATGATCCACATTGACCCACAAGCAAAAATAGAAAGCTGAAACAAAATGTCTATTCTCCCACCTGCTAATTTTTGGATACTCCTTAAAGAAGATAACCCTAGAAAAGAACATCTGCTTCCATTAAAATTTTGCCATGCAGAATTTCTCTATCTGGCACAATATAATGGTGGTTTCTATATATTAAATATTTTAAAACTTTTAAAAAGTTACATTTTATTGCAAATATACAAACCACATTTATCTTTCCATGTATGAAGATAAATATTTTAGTTCCCCTCTTGTTTGAGGTGGAAAGAAAATGTCTGGTGAAACAGTTGATGAATACGTAACTCAGAAAGAGGATGCTGTAACCTACCTGCTGAACTGTTCTCCCACACCCCTGTAGTGTTTATAAGCTTTTCCTGCACTGAAGGCCACCATTAAGTAATTATTATCCACATTCTTGCTTTATGTTCTTGGTACTTTTTGGTGGGGTCATGATACCCATTACATTGGTGGAATGTAATCTTTCACATGGTAACCCTAACCCTTGCCCCACCATGCCTGCATAGGGGAAATATATGCGTATGGGCTTCCTGAATTCAAATATTTATTCTATGTGCAGATGTCAGGGGGTGGGGCTTGGAACTGTAGGGGTGGAGCCAGAAGTACAGTCCTGTTGCTCCTCCTACTGTGAAACCCCCTTCACATGTGATGAAGTATTTTATTTCCAGGTAATTATATTGCTGTAAAGAAAAATTCTCACGCATTAGAACAGAATCTGTTAAAGTTGAACCAAGCTCAGTGAAATATTTTAACTGTCAGAGTTGAACAAAATGAAGGAATGTTGAAGGACCTCTGGACATTTGAGGCGTTCGCATAACTAATTATAAACCCATCAAGAATGAGAGAGAATGGCTTCCATGGCCTGTTGCCTCCAGACATATCTGAAACCTAGAACTGCCCCATTAACTATGCAAACTACTGCCATTGGTCCTGATTTAAAATCATCAGCAACTATCTAAAGAGAATAGGCCACCATCTGATATCCTTCCAACAGGCAGGGTGTGTTATCAAATCTAAGTCTTTAATTGTATCATTCTCATTGGATTTCATACTCAGTTGCATAACAGTAAATCTGATTCTTACTGAGCTACCTGAGCCTACTTCTATTAACTTGTCGGTATGATAAGGATAAAGTGCAGATATTTTTGGACTGGGACTGTGAACTGAAGTGTTGCACAATTAAACCATTGAAAAGAAAAATTGTGCAAAGCAAACCCAGGATTTTAAGGCATAACTTTGAACACAAGTTTGGCATTGTGTATTTAATGAGAAGAGAAGAATATTATTTTATTTATAAAAGTGCATTTATATCACACCTTTTTTCTCCAAGGAACTCAAGACGGTGTGCATGGTTCTCCCCCTCCTAAATTAATCCCCACAACAACCTTGAAAGGTAGGCTAGGACTGGGAGGCAGTGAGTGGACCAAAGTCACCCAGTAAGCTTCATGGCCGAGTGGGGATTTGAACCCAGGTCTCCCAGGTCTTAGTTTGTACAATTAAAGTACTGCAGAGCCAGCACCAAGAATCTAATTTTGTAATCTAGAGATGAAAATGTTTTGTGTTTCTTTTTAATCAAATGACTGAAAATCTCCTTTATTTCCCCTGCTTTTGTGCCTAAAGAGAGAGCAGCAGCCATGATTTCCAATCTCAGTTTTGTATTGTAGCAGTTCTTTCTCTGAAGGACGAAGATATAAACGCAGTGCAGGAGTCAGATTCTAAGCTGTGTCCACAGCAACACCAACTATGTCAGACAATGGCTGGTGCCCTTCGAGGGCCGAGAAGCAAGTGACACAACAATGGAGAGGGGGCAGCCGCACACTGGCGACCCTGACAATCAATCAATCTTTAAGATGTGTTACCCATTTTAGCTGCAGCTGTAAATCAGCATCTGAATGCCAAGTAGTGAACTTAAGGCCTCTGGGACCAACATTCAAGTTTGTGTATCTCATTAAAAGCACAACATTCAGCTCAAAGGTCAGTGAGGTGACTAACAGAGGGCCCTCACTGCTCCATGTGGATGAGACTTTTAAGCAAAACAAGCCCCTTCTCAGGGTAAGTCTGGTTGGAAATCTGCTCCACACAGAGTACATTTTTAAGAGGTTCTTGTGAAAATGTAAGGAGTAGTTGGGACAGATACATTAGCAAAATTATGTGCACAGATCTGTAAAGGTACTCTTCTTAGAGAGCTAGAATTGGCTCTTACAACTTCCTGCGAACATTTAGCCAATGGCAATCAGGTTTGCTGCTGGCCCTCAGTGTTTCATGACTTGTTAGGGATAGTGCATACTGTACATATGTACTTTCACATGTGAACCTGCCTTACAACAGTAAATAAGAAAAGATCTATTACCCCAAATTTAAACCAGCATCAAATTGCTACAGCTATCGTGGCTTTAAGAGCTATTTGTTTCTTGAGGATGTTCAACATAAACAGTTAGATATCCCTTCATTTCATTTCTTAGTCTGTGACAAAGCCCTTCAATCTTGTAATGTGTATATTCCCTAACTCATCTTGAGCTGCTGCCTAAAATTGGGTTTTTCTGAGGCAAAAGAAGTGTAGTGGTGGCAGTTGTGTGTGTTTATTAATCACCGACAATTCAATTATGCTTTCTTTTTCCTTCTCTCCTTCTCTCATTTGACCTAAGAGCCCATGGAAAAGTCTGAGCCGCAAAAGCTCTCCGAGAGAGTGTGGACATATATTGACATTGAAGTTTGCATGCCTATTAGCTGAGTGATACACTGATCTGGGGTAAGCAGAAAGCATTTCACCTCCTCCCAACCTCTTTTACAAGCAATAAATTGACTTACAGACCCACATCCGGTATTTGGCCATAAAAGAGTCCTTACACAGAATGGGTGGGTAGCAGTCTCATTGAGCCAAGAGTTCAAGGCAGTCATAAAAAACACAAAGCATCCTTTGTATGAAAGGGAGTTCTGAATGTGAAGTGGCTGTAGAGGATGGCACTTTCTGAACTTGTAAAGTTTTATTTTTGTATCTGTGATATCTGGACCACTTCATGTGACATGCTAGGAAGTGAATTACTGTACAGTTCTTAGGAAGGCAAGGGTTAGGGTTAGTGATTAGTTCCAGTCACCAATAAAAGAAACAGAAATATTCCGGCTTGCAAATATATGTAGAAATGGGCATGATTTCTTCAATTTAGAATATGGAGTTACACTCATTCATATGACAGTCATGAGTTGAATTGCATCATACGAGTTAGATGCAATTGAAGAAAGCATTCTTTTTTAAAAAGAACATCTAATACAGTTTCATGGAAGCTTCAAAAAGGGCAGATAATTCTTCTTCAGTCTGAGGACGGGGAGATAATTTAGTCACTCTTTCCTTAAAAAAAAAACAAAAAACAAAAAATAAATTGAATTATGTAAAGGTTTTGGCAATCATCAACAGTTGAGTACACACTGATGACTAAGGCTGAAAGTTCTTTAACAACTTAGTAACTGGTTGGAGCATATGCCTTGCTACAGTTTAAAAGAGGGTGGAGATCCTTTTTCAGTCTGACAGACACACTCCTTCATGGAGAACATGGAGAACAGTGGTGGTCAAGGCCAGAGGCAAAAGTGTGAGGAGCAACAGACTAACCTTTATACAGTAGACTGCATTCAAGCCACAAGTAAGTCAGAGGTTTCTACACACACAAACACACTCTCCCATCTTCCATCCAGGTAAGGTATAGGTATTATTATCACGGTCCAAAGACAAATTCCAGCCAGGCAAAAACACCCAAGAAAAGAATGGAACAGGGCTGTTAAAGGGTATGGCTTCATATGGGTATGAAGGGGAAATTGCCAAGAGAGAGTCCTGGAAGGCCTGATTTGGTTCACAGGACTGAAGTTCTCCACCCCTCGTTTGACACAATTCTATATATGAAATCTTCTGCACAATGAATTTGGGAGGAAGTCTTCACATCTCCAAGCTAATCAGAGACCAAAAACTCAGTGCAGTGCACAGCTGGTTTCTGAGGATAAACCTGTTTATTAGTAGTTCCTTCTTAGAGAATGTACAAAATAATGTGTGGAGAAAAGTCAATATAAAAAGAAGAAGTCTCTGCCTCCTACAGTGGTACCTCGGGTTACATACGCTTCAGGTTACATACGCTTCAGGTTACAGACTCCGCTAACCCAGAAATAGTACCTCGGGTTAAGAACTTTGCTTCAGGATGAGAACAGAAATCGCGCTGCGGCGGTGCAGCAGCAGTGGGAGGCCCCATTAGCTAAAGTGGTGCTTCAGGTTAAGAACAGTTTCATGTTAAGAACAGACCTCCGGAACAAATTAAGTACGTAACCAGAGGTACCACTGTACTACGAATGCTCTGCATAGCATAAAAAAAATGGATTGTGGATTATGGATTTTATCCAATTGTTACTTGTTTGCTGCCAGAGAAACAAAGCCAAGAAAGGAAACATTTACATTAAATGTTTTATTTTAATCCTCTGAGCCCTTATGGTTGCAGAGTGACTTAACTATATTGCAAGGATGGAAGGATCAACATCCACCAGTGGTCTGAACATTTCACTGCCCTTTCTACATTTGTCAGTATGTTCGAATGTGTGGCTTATAAGTATCAGTTTTGATACCTATACAAATGTATACTGTATGTTTAGGTTAGGACTGCTATAAGCATCTCTTACTGATATTACTAATAAGGATATTCCATCTGTTATATTCACATCTTAAAAAGAAATGATTTTTTAAAAAAAAGGTAAGTGTTTTATTTTAGGAGAAATGGTCTTTGCCACCTGTCTTACCTGAGGAAGGGTACCTTTGACTAAGGAAGGGATATCGTCATTAGAATAACCAAGAGCAGTTAAGCCATCATCAACGTTCAGATCAAATAAGAATTTCCGGAGAGTGTCTGCCAAAACAAGACCCGCATCTTTGGTTTTGGCAGTGCTGATGTCAGCACCTAAAATAAAGAGAGGAACTTTGAGGAAATAAAGAGAGACCCCTCAGCTGTAGCAGTAGCTGAATATACTAAACGCGCATGCGCACACAAAGCAGTCATTTCTCTAAAAATGAAATGAAATAAACTGAATGAAACTATTTCTCAATTAAAGGAGTCTAAAAATATGATATAGATCTAAACTGGAAGAGAGCATCAGCAACAAAAAAACAAGTTAACTGGCATGAGAACCAATTGTTCTGCCCATTATGCTTTTACTACCATCAGTCTGATAGGTGACAATAGATTGTGGAAAACACACAAAGACTGTGAGTGACCCATGAGAGGTGTAGCCACTCTTAGCATTTTTATCGTGTGTTCACTAAGTATTGCTTAAGGCAGATGCTCTTACAACAACTCTCGCTGTAGCAGTGGGATCCTATGACTGCCCAGACAAGCTGCACTGGAGAGAGGAATCACTTTTCTACCCTGCTGCACGTAGCTGATTTATCTCTGGAGAGGAAAGTACATGCAGACTGAAGTTAGGATTGTGGGCCCCTTGCGCTCACTAATTCTTCTGATGAGCACAAAACACCTATAGGACAGGAAGGTCATTGTAATGAAATCAGTGGAATCCAGGAATCACACATTGATGTTTGCGATATCAAAACTGTCCAGGCTAACCTTTATGAGTCAGAGGGTGTTTCCAGACAGGTGTTTATTGCGAAACATGTGCTCCTCATGCAAGTAAATACAGTGGTACCTCGGGTTACATACGCTTCAGGTTACAGACTCTGCTAACCCAGAAATAGTACCTCGGGTTAAGAACTTTGCTTCAGGATGAGAAGCGGTGCAGCAGCAGCAGGAGGCCCCATTAGCTAAAGTGGTGCTTCAGGTTAAGAACAGTTTCAGGCTAAGGATGGACCTCCAGAACGAATTAAGTTCTTAACCCGAGGTACCACTGTATTTCGGTGTCCACACAACATAATTAGACTAAAATTGCCCATATCCCCACACCTCCATTTTATTCAAATTTACCCCATGATTAAAAAAAAACCAACGGCAGTGACCCCACTATAGTATTATTCCCTTGTCTGGAAGCACCCTGAGTCGGTGCTTGTTTCTTCTTTTTTAAGGGATAAATCAACAGATTCCTTTTTTAAAAATATACAAATCCTGACTTCTTTTGCTTGTCAGTAAATCTGACACATTAGCTGAGTCCAATTCCCAACTGTTGCTGTTTGGTGGGTGAGATTCAATTGTATACTGGCAAATTCAGCTTGTACATTTAAGGTGGATTTGCTGCTCTTCTGCACCCAAACCCACTTTAACCTCACCCCAGCTTCTGATCCACACCTAGGAGCAGCTTGTGCCCATCCACTGGGGGAAATACCACTACAATGGGGAGGGGAGGGGATGACATTGGTTCTAAAAAAACCCAAACCTACCAAAGCTCCTTATACCAGTCCTTATACCTCAAACAAAATAATATTGCATGTCGGTTGCATTAGACATAAAAAAGGTGCAGATCCTGGAAGGGCTGAATGACATCTTGCCTATCAACCTCGAAAGCATGTACTCTCACATTTTATCAACAGAATCATACCCATTATCTGTGCAGCCTCCAAGTGACGCTCTGGACACATAGGGGCTGTGAAAGTAAACACTGCCGGGGACGTGAGGACAACGGAAAGACCGTGCGGCTGCAGGAAAGAAAAGCACAGCTTGCATTAACCAGGCAACCTATATTGTTCAAAGTTCAGTGCTGAAAGTAACAGCAATATCATTTTCAGGCAAATTAAGTGCATTAAGTAGTTACCACTAAAGGGTGGTCCACATTGTAATCCTTTGCTTTGTAATTCTTCACCAAGCCAGAAATAGGGTAAGACATGCCATGGCTAGAGGGAAAGAAAACCTTCGTTTTAGTATGAAAAGGTAGGAACATAAATAAACTCTACAAGCAACCAGAAAATACTCAACAGTATTTTGAATATAATTGTTTGGAGGAGGTTCAGAGAGTCACTAAGAGGTTTATGAATACCTCTCTGACATTGCTGGTGTCTTAGTTAGGTCAAGGGGTTAAGTGGCACCTTGGCAATGACCCTTTCGTAACAACAACACAAGGGAAAAAGTCCCCAATCCAGAATTACTTGGGTGTCCAAAAGTGTCGTATGCAAGTATGTGGAAGCTAATTTAGGAGGAGGTTGATAACCATTTGCACCTGAATGCACAAGCAAATATCCCTACATTTCTCATTCTGGAGACAAATAGGGTTATACCCTTTTTCACATGTGAAGTAGCTGCTCATCCAAATGGTATCCTCTGCATGTAGTGGATACAGGTTATGTATGGGGAAGACAGATCAGCGCTTCTTTTTCTTTTCTTTTATTACATTTTTTATTTATAATTTTCATTTATATGCATTGCAACAATTATTTAATCAAGTTTTAACATTTTCAATTTCAGCTCCCTTCCCCCTCTTTCTGCGGTTCCTTACATTTATCTTTGTCCTTTCCTGCTTACTCCAAATTGCCTTAACGTCTTCTTTTAATTGCCTATTCTCTTATATATTTTTTAAATTGCAGGTTTTTACAATAATCCTGCCAGTGTCTTGATCTGTTTACAGTTTGTTTGTAAATACTCAGTAAACCACTTCCATTCCTTTCTAAAAAGTTTAGAATCTTGATTTCTTATTCCGGCAAGTTTCACCATTTCTGTATACACCATCAGTTTCTGTATCCAATCTTCTTTCATCGGGACCTCTTCATCCTTCCACTTTTGGGGAAATAACATTCTTGCAGCTGTAGTTGCATACGTAAATAAATTTCTATACTGTTTGGGTAGTTCTAATCCTATAATTCCCAAGAGAAAAGTTTCTCGGGTTTTTTTTTATATGAATGTTATCTCAAACATCTTTTTCAATTCATTATAATCATTTCCCAGTAAGCTTTAACCTTATTACAAGACCACCACATGTGAAAAAAGGTACCTCCTTTTTCACATCGCCTGGCTGTGAGTTGTGAAGGCTGCTTCCTGAAAGGCCTTTTCCACCTGGCCTAGTTGGCGGGGCCCAGACTCGCCCAGCTCTACTGGGGCAATACTCCTGGGGAGACCAGAGGGCATAGCTGTCAACTTTTCCCTTTTCTTGCGAGGAATCCTATTCGGAATAAGGGAATTTCCCTTTAAAAAAGGGAAACGTTGACAGCTATGCCACAGGGACATTGCTATGCCTGATAACAAATCCTAAATATTGGATTCTTTTTGTGCCTGCCAAACATCCATGTCATGCTTATGATAATATTTTATTCTCTTGTTAATTATGCTGTTTTAAATGTGGCTTTTCTGGGGGGGGGCTATTGGGCTGTTGTTTTTATTTTTATTATGTATTTTGTGGTTTTATATCTTGATTTTATTTTGTGAACTGCCCTGAGACCCTCGGGTATAGGGTGGTATATAGAGTTGCCTTGGCTTCCTTTGGAAGGATGGGATATACATTTAATGAATGAAGGAATGAATGAAGGAATTAATGAATGAAATAGATAGATAGATAGATAGAGCATTATACATTTAAGCATATTTTAAACTGCTAAAGCCCAGTTTTAAGCACTTTTGCTTGACAATGGAAAGGCCACATTGGACAGAACACTGTAACTAGCACTGATCATGCCCTCCCCATGGACAACGCATTCACATTTTATTGCATTTAATGGAACAAAAAAGACAACAGTTATGTGAGGGCAATAAAAATTGTTCTCAACTCACCAAAGATGTACCCCAGCATTTCCAAAGCCAATGCCAGCAGAAGCACTTGCCAGGTGCATGTTGGCCCTGGCTTCTTTATCTTCTGGATCCCTGATGGCTCTGTGCGGAACGCAAGTCTGTTATTCAAAAGGCAAATTGCACTGCAGGAGGCTATGAGGTCAACTGGTTTATTGTGCCATTGGTTTCATAGGCAAAAACCCTACTTGGTTGGGGAAAGGACTCTTGTTCAGTGGTAGAAAACATGTCTGCAATGCAGAATGTTCCAGGATCAATTCCTAACATCTACTTCTAAACAAGCAGGTATCAGGTGATGGGACAAATGATCTGACCTTGTAAAAAGCAGTTTTTCACATGAAAGACAATGCTCAAAATCAAGTGTTGTAGGAGAAAACCCTTTTTTCAGTGGAACTCATTAAATATCTATTAGTAATGATCACAGCAGGTGTCAGAAGAGAGTGCTATGACTTCTAGCACATGATTCCCATTGCATTTGTCTCAAATTAGTCGCTTTGTGCCATGAAGAGGTTTACGTCCTCTCTCTCTTTTTATGACTGGGACCTCAGTTATGCAATTTTGTATATCTGAGTTGCTTAACTGATCCTGACATGCTCTTTCTAAAATTTGCCCTGGGAAGCAAAACCCTGTTATTAGACGCAGCCCGGTTCTCTCTGCCACAATTCTCTACCTCCAAATAATCCGCGGCAGGGCTCAGTAAAGAAAATTATAGGCACCCTAATAAAATAAAACTCTTACCTCTTTAAATATTTAGCAACGATCCGTAATGCATGGATGGCCCAGATATCACTGATAGGGTTGCTTCCTTGATACGCTGGGCGGTTCATTGGGTTTGAAGGACAAGGACTGCGCTGATTGTAGGGAAGAGCAGTATAGGATTCAAGTGCATGGCTGGCAGGTTGGTTGGGGGAGGAGGAAAAAGAACATTCTGAACTGATGTGGCTTGTCCCATTAGCATTTGGAAATCACTACCATTGAAAAACTAGAAGTGAGTGACTGTTCTTGATTATTCTGATTTGATTCTTATATCTCAAATCCCCAGTTTAAGGTTTGTAGCCTGGCAATGTCCAGAGGGCAAAATGGACCAGGAATTCAGAGAACTGGAACGTTAAGTCAGACTCCCCCCCCTTAAAGGCTTAATTAAAAAAAGGTCATCAACATATACCCACACCCAAGAAACATAAAAATGTCTTCAAAATAAAAAAAAAATCGAAACTACTTATCATACATACTTACCAGAGCACGTCAAATCCACCATTAGCTGTCACATGCTTGGGCATATGGAGAGTATGCAAAGGGTCAATTAGGCCCAAGAAAGGCTTAATAGCTCTAGAAGCAATGCCTAAACATGAAAATTACATTAAATGGATATATTGAAAAAAGGACTTTCTCAAACTATTTTGAAACAATATTAACATTTATTTAAAAACACTGACCATACGAAGTGTTAGAACTGCCACAGAAACAGGGGGAAAGGGGAGAACTAAACACAGATGTAAAAGGTAAAGGTGCCCCTGATCGTTAGGTCCAGTCAAGGACGACTCTGGGGTTGTGGCGCTCATCTTGCTCTATAGGCCGAGAGAGCTGGTGTTTGTCCGCAGACAGCTTCCGAGTCATGTGGCCAGCATGACTAAGCCGCTTCTGGCGAACAAGAGCACTGCACGGAAACACCATTTACCTTCCCACCAGAGCGGTACCTATTTATCTACTTGCACTTTGATGTGCTTTCGAACTGCTAGGTGGGCAGGAGCTGGGACCGAACAATGGGAGCTCACCCTGCCGCGGGGATTCAAACTGCTGACCTTCTGATCGGCAAGCCCTATACTCTGTGGCTTAGACCACAGCGCCACCCGCGTCCTAAACACAGATGTACATACTTCTAATAACAGATTAGCTGAATTCTTATTAAGAACCTGTTAAAAAAATGAATCTCAGCAAGAATCTCTGAAAACAAGGGCCTTTGCTGTAATGTGAAACTGTAAAAAGCAAACACCGGTATCTTAAGTAGCTATGGAGATAAGCACACTTTGACCCCTGCCATTAACCAAGAGAGCTGGGCCACTGGAAGGTAGCTGTTCCAAAAGAACATTACAGCAAGAGAGGTGACCAACCCAGTCCTATGCATTCAGTAGTGTAAGGAGCAGCTTTGGGGAGCTTGCTTCCCCTCTCTCTGCCAGAAAGAATGCTCTGTTCCATCTGCCAATAGTCCTGGGATTACTGAGCTGAAGGGAAGCAAGCATACTCTGGTCTCTTACCATCAGCCAGTGCGTGGGTTTGATTTTGGCATTAATGGAATTATTGTCAGCTACCTTGAAGATCCTTTGATTGAAAGGGGAGGTGCAAGCAACTCACTCACCTGTGGGCCCTGCCCACCTGTCAATCACACAATGTCATTATGACACCACATGATTGACAGATGAGTTGTCTTGTCCGCCTGTCAAAATTCCTAGCATAGGGTTCCAACTTGGGATGTTGTCATAGCTTCATGTCTGCTGCTTTCTGAAGCAAAGTAGCTTTATCTTCCCTCCCCACCAATGAAGGGGGTGGGAGGCACATAGCTGCTGTCTGCAAGCGACGGTAGGAAGTGACTTCTCTGCTTTGTTGCTTTTGCTTGCAAAAGGTAGTGTTGATTCTTCCCTTCCCACCACTACTTGGTGAGTTGGGAGAAACAAGGCTGCTTAGCGGGGTCACACAAAGTTTTCTACAAATGTATGGTCATCTCTTGGCCCGCTATGACTTTAGCTGCAGCTTTCCACATCATGTATTTTATAATACATTAGAAAATACTACTCAGCTGGGGGAAATCTTCTTGGATACTGTAAACTCTGGTGCAGTACCAAGCCATGACATTGCAGAAAAGAACCATGGCAACAGATGCAAAGACATACAATTCTTACCAGTTTTTACTTTTAGTTCTTTATAATCAAAAATAGCAACCCCAGTGGTTTCACTTCCAGTCCCAGCAGTGGTAGGAACTTCGGGAAAGAGCAAATTAAATTTATTAGTGTATGCGGACATGCACAACTTCATAAATCAACTTAGAAACTTAGTTCCCAAGCAGCAAAATGGGGAGATTTTCATGGAGGGGACAAAAAATGGAGATTCTTAAAATGCTCTTCCCTTAAAATTCTGGGTGATGGCAGTCATTTCCTCTACCCTCAGCCCCTTGGACTGCTGCTAGTTCATCATGTTCCATTTTGAGGAAGAATTCAGGGTGGTGGGAAACTGCTGGAAAGAGCAGTACCACCGTGGTAATAAACTGAGTGTGGTGGTGGGAAGGTCATTCCACAATCTGGGGGCCACCACAGAGAAGGCTCTCATACACTACCATCGCTGGCATTGGGCAATTGGTACAGATTAGGGGTTCTGCTGGTTTACCGCCCACCCCGCTGCCCTTTATGAAGGCCTCTGTCAGGAAAAAGACAGGGGAAATGTGTCCCTATCCATTCTCCTTGACCTCTCAGCAGCTTTTGATACCACCAAACTTGGTATCTTTCCATCAGCCTTCCATCAGTTTTGGCTGGTGGCCCAGCTGTGCCCTTATCTGGACAGGGATAACCTAACGTCTGTCATCAATGCTCTGGTGACCTCTAGGTTAGATGACTGCAACACGCTATATGCCTCTGAAGACGGTTCAGAAACTTCAGCTGGTGCAGAATTTGGTAGCCAGGATGCTCACTGGGACAAGACAGTTTAAATATATTGCACGGATCCTGGCCCAGCTGCACTGGCTGCCAGTTAGTTTCCAGGCTCAATTCAAAGTGTTGGTTTTAACCTAGAAAGCTTTAAACGGCTCAGGACTGTTTAATACCTCAAGGACTGCCTTCCCCATATGTCCTGATCTTGACCCTGAAATCATCATCTGAGGCCCTTCTTGTACCCCTTCCACAAGGGTGGTCCGGAGGGTGGCAGGATGAGAATGGGACCTGTTCTTCCTGGCTCCCCATTCGTGGAATGCTCTCCACAGGGAGGCTTGTCTAGCACCAACACCAGGTATCCGGTGAAAATGTTTCTCTATAACCAGGCCTTTGGCTGATTAAACACTCTATGGCCTTTTAAATGAGTTTGTATGAGGAGGGTTATTGGGGTTTTTTGGGGGGAATTATTTATTTTGTGTTCTCATTTTGTATTTTTATGTTATGATCTTCGGAAGAAGTGGGGTATACACATTTAATAAATAATAATACCGCTCTTCACAGAGAGCAGCAGCACTGCCAAGAGGGCAGTGCTATTGTCCCATGTGAATTTATTTAATCTAGCTGATTGATTTACCACACTAGTAGCCTGTTCTTTCTCCAAAGGGCTCAGAGCATATTATTTTAAGTTCCAACAGACAGTCTTTCAATCAGCAGGGCTAAATCTGCCTTGCAATGAGAACCGAAGAACCAAAACCATCAGACAAGCTCAATCATCTCCCAATCACACCCAATCATGTCAACTTTCCTTACCTGCAATCAGTGGCTTGAGAGCAACTTTGACAGGCTTGCCTTTTCCAATGGGAGCATTGACATAATCTAAGAAGTCCGATTCTGGACTGGACGCATAGAGATCAGCAGTTTTGCAAGTGTCTATGACTGAACCTCCTCCTAAGGCAACATAGGAATCAAACTCCCCCTTTTTGGCAAACTCGATGGCATCCATGAAACTTGAAAAGAAAAGAACATGTGGTTCATTTTACCCTGCTCTACCCAACAGCTCACAGAGGGTCACAACGTAGTTAAAACCACAAAAGATCCCAGCATACACAAACCATCCATTGCACATGCATTAGTGTGCATGCATGAAAACCATTTTTCTTCTCCTGAACAGCAGTTTTAAGAGCCTCTAATAAAGAGGGCATTGGGAACCCAGTGTTCAGGAAAGCTGAGGTAGGGGGAAAGCAATATTTCCACATGTGTAGTAGTTGGTGGGTTGGATCCTGGCTAAGATATATTTAGGTCCTAATGAAATCAATGTGAAAAATTATACTATACCTGAAGGAGTGTCTCCACCCCCATCATTCAGCCCGGACACTGAGGTCCAGCACTGCGGGCCTTCTGGCGGTTCCTTCACTGTGAGAAGTGAGGCTACAGGGAACCAGGCAGAGGGCCTTCTCGGTGGTGGCGCCCGCCCTGTGGAAAGCCCTCTCATCAGATGTCAAGGAAATAAACAACAATTTGACTTTTAGAAGACATCTGAAGGCAGCCCAGTTTAGGGAAGTTTTTAATGTTTGATGTTTTATCGTGTTTTTAATATTCTGTTGGGAACTGCCCAGGGAACATTACTACTACTACTACTACTACTACTACTACTACTACTTAAGTCCCCTTGATTTTAATAGGAACTAACATGTTCTGGATTTGATCCAAACTCTTATCAGGTTTGGTAGAATCATAGAATTGTCAAGTTGGAAGTGACCCTGAGGATGAGCTGGTCCAACTCTTTGCAATGCAGGAATATGCAGTTGTCCCATACAGGGATTGAAGCTGCAACCTTGGCATTATCATCACCACTCTCTAACCAACTGAGCTATCCAGGCATGCATTTTGCTTGCTTTAAACTGATTAAGCATTCAGAAACCTGGAGTAGAAAAAAAATGGAGGTCTATATAAAAGCACACTGGTGAGCATTTACACAGAGATGTCCTACTGCTGGAACATCTGATCAGAATAAAACCTCAATGAACAATAAGATAATTTTTTTAATTCTCTTCCATCATTTCTTTCTTCTCATCCTTGCCAACAGACATTTAATTCTGCTCACAAGCCTATGCCCACTTACTTGGGAGTAAGCCCCATTGAACTCAGTGGGGCTTGCATCTGAGGAGGCATTGTACAGCATTGCTGTAAATGGCAGCACTCATCACTCAGTGCACAGGGCAGGACGTTTTACACAATTGCATTATAGCAATAGAGCACAAATTTTTGCATGAATAGTATAGTCAAGATTCCTGTCCAATCTTAAGACATTCTGGTGGAACATAAAGAAATGAAAAGGAGAAGGTCTCTTAAATATGCTGGACTTGTGTGGCTAGGGCTTCGTATACGAATTGCGCTAAGGAAGCTACAGAAAACCAGCGCAGACCTTAAATTATCATTGTACTGGTATTGGAGAGGGGAAGAACCATAGATTTCTATGCAGTGTTGTAAGATTATTTGTGAAATCAAAAATAGGTAAATTTATTTAAGGTCATGAAACAATGTAAACATCTGTCCCCTGCATTTTAACATCTTGGTTGTACAGCTGTAGAAGCCCTGTTGCTGCTAAGTCCTGATCTCAAGGTCTCTTTTTTGCAGAAACTTAGATGCAAAGTAGAAAAGGGCAGGTGGCACAAATATAGGAGAAAAGTAGTACCTCTGGTCTGTTGGCTCCACCCTTACATTGTCGTATATTTGGAAATTTATACCATTTTTTGTCAGAGAATCCAAGACTGCTTGCATGGGAGGGAGACGACAAAGGTTCTTATCAGTCATCACACAGACTTTTTTAACACCCAAATTCTGCAGGTCCTACAGTGAGGGGAAAGTAGTTAAAACCAAAGAAAAGAAAAAGGAAACAAACAAACAAACAAACAAACAAACAAACCCCAATCCAAAGGAAAAGAAACCTTCCAACACAAAATTCTACATATCCCACCTGTTATCTGACTGGTCACTGTGAGCCCCCCCCCATCTTTTCCAGAACATGAGATTGCAATAGACAGTAAACTTGATTTATTTGTGTAAATTTGATTCCTTGGGTGGATTGCTGTCATTTATTTGTTAAATTTATACCCCTACCTTTCTACCAAATGGTGCTCAAGACAGCTTCCCATTCACTGGAAAAGAAGAGTCTGCTCAATTTTTAAATGATGGCAATTAATTTAATCTCCATATGAAGATGATTCATCAGAAAGACAACATATAGCCATTAACATTTGCAGTAATGTATCTGCCCACAATCCTTAACTTCTTGGTTGCAATAATGCAGAAGTTGGTCCCTGTCTTAAGCTCCACCTTGTAGATGCAGTAAACTTTAGGATTCAGAAGTATATTTTTTCTAATGTACCGTATTTTTCGCCCTATAGGACGCACCGGCCCATAGGACGCACCTAGTTTTCAGGGGGGGAAATCAAGGGGAAAAATATGATCCTCCCCCCACAGCTCTGGGAGCAGCGGACAGGCTGCACGCAGCCTGTGCGCTACTCCAAGACCTTCTTCCTGCTTTTGCGGGAGGTGGCGGAATTCCCCCACCTCCCGCAAAAGCCCACAGGAGCCGCGTGCGACTCCTGCGGGCTTTTCGACCAGGAGGGAGAAGGGACTGAAACGGCCAGTCAGTCCCTTCTCCCTCCTTGGGGAAAAGCCCCCAAGAGCGGCACGCTCTTTAAAGACTGCGTGGCTCCTATGGGCTTTTCTACGAGGTGGGGGAATTCCATAGGAGCCCATAGGAGCCGCGCAGCCCCTTTAAAGAGTGCATGGCTTTTGCCTGCTTTTGCTGGAGGTGGGGTAATTCCCCCATCTCCCTCAAAAGCCCACAGGAGGGAGAAGGGACGGACTCGGATAGACAGTCCCTTCTCCCTTCTTGGGGAAAAACCTGCTTTCCCCCACCGCCACCCTCCAAGCCGGGTTGGAGAGTAGCGGGAAGGCGTCACGCGCCTTCCCACTGCCCCCCATACTCTGGGGCTGGCGATGGGGGAAGCGCTGCTTTCCCCCACCGCCAGCCTCAAAGAGCAGACTCTCCTGGCTTCAGCGGAAGCAATGCAAAGCCTCTGGAGCACAGGCTTCGCGTTGCTATGCTGAAGCCAACGCGAAGCCTGTGCTCCAGAGGCTTTGCATTGCTTCCGCTGAAGCCAGGAGCCTGCATTCGCCCCATAAGACGCACACACATTTCCCCTTCATTTTTGGAGGGGAAAAAGTGCGTCTTATAGGGTGAAAAATACGGTAGCTAAAACGCACAATTATTTATAAATGCTATTTTTTAATTAAAAAAATCAAATAACAGTCCTAGTGATAATATGTAATTAATGGCTTACCATGCCTAGTTCTTTAGTAACTCCTTCTCCATATCGGATACTAGAAACAGCCATCTGCAAAAGCCAAGATATAATACATTTCAGAAAAGAGGTTGTATGGAGCCTACAAAACTCATGTTTTAAAATAACCAATGTGTATTATATATTCAAGAAATAGTGGATTTAAAATGAGCACAATACAGTGGCACCTTGGTTCTCGAACAGCTCAGTTGTCGAACAAATCAGCTCCCAAATACCACAAACCCAGAAGTAAGTGTTGTGGTTTGAGAATGTTTTTTGGAAACCGAGCGTCCAATGCAGCTTCCGCTTGAGAGCAGGAAGCTCCTGCAGCCAATTGAAAGCCGCGCCTTGGTTTCTGAATGGTTTCGGGAGTCGAATGGACTCCCCGAACGGATTAAATTCGAGACCCAAGGTACCACTGTATTGTTTCAAATATAGTTGTCAAACTTAGTTAAGTTTACCTCAAAAGCATAGTCTGTTTTCCCCGTAGCAGCATGTTCAATACCTGGAAAAGAAATTATACATCAAAGTTAGCAAGCCCAGGCACAGCACAGGAAGACACATCTTTGCTTATGTTTTAAAAAAGCTCCTATTAAATGGATATATTTTTTTTCTTTTGAATTGTAAACCCCAAGATGTTAATGCAGGCACACCCAAACTCGGCCCTTCAGATGTTTTGGGATTACAATTCCCATCATCCCTGACCACTGGTCCTGTTAGCTAGGGATGATGGGAGCTGTAGTCCCAAAACATCTGGGGGGCTGAGTTTGGGGATGCCTGTGTTAATGTGTCATCTTTGGGATTTTTCTTTTTTTTAGTGTTCACCATTAATATGTACTTGCTCGCTTCAAAACATGACATTACTGACATGAAAACAGTGGCAGCCACATGTATAGCACCCACACAGAGGCCACAATTCACACAAAAGGCACTTCCATATGAGCACAGCTTGGCCACGAGCCAGGCACAGCCCCACATCTTCCTGAGGTGATTATATACAGCCAGCTACCATGTATAAATCTGCCCTTCATAAACATTTTCAACTAGAATCCCTCTAGCAGCTCTGAATTTTTAAAAAGAAGATAACAGTGAGGTGTTGCCAGGTATCAAATCATACCAATAATATGCCTTTTGCTTGATCTTAGCAGTTTGGAAACTGTATTCCTGACCTTGCAAGTAACATCTGTCTGTGTCTCACAAAATTTAATGTTGTTGTTGTTGTTAAAAAGAAACTGAGCTCAAACAAAGGGAGGAAATATGGGCAAAGGATATTACTACTTCACCACTGGGGAAATCTGTAAGAAAAATAAGTCTCCAGAAAGACAAAATTCTCTGCAATCCAGCTAATGCAGTCTCTCCTCAAAACCTTCCAACTTGTCCTTGTTATAAAAAGTAGATCATATCTCTTACACGCTTTGCTTTATTATTTTTTTGCTAGTAACACCTGTCTGATGAAGGATACTTAGTTTAGATACTTCCTTCCAGGATTTCAGAGGCCTGCTGGCCCAATAAAAAATATCATCTCACCTTTGTGAGTCTCATTCTGTGGGAGCAGCACAGCCATTGTTGCTGGGAATTCTTACAATGTCTCTTGCGTAGAAGTTCTAGACTTTCACTTTAATCTTTTAATTTCTTCTCAGAACTATCCTTTCAAATTTCATAGAAAAACAAACTACACGGTCACTAGCTTCTTCCACAGTGGGATGCACAAGGAGAGGCAGAGAGACACAGAAAGATGGAGAACCCCCACCACATACAAAAAGTCAAATCTTGCCCTTCTTACCCCAGTCAAAGAACAAACCACTCCTTCTGTCTGGTAGCTGAATTAAATATTTAGTGTTTGAATTCATGGCCAATGAGTGAAGCAATGATAATGAGCCTACAGATACTTTGGGGTGCACTGGAGTGGTGACCCAAATAATTAAACCCATAAATATATTAAAAATCCTTTTTGTGCTCCCTATTCATGCTTACGTCTGCTACCCTTGGCTACTTTTCCTACCATCTTTCACCAGCCCTGTTCATGGTTGATTTCCCCTAATGTCTGAGTCTGTTGTCGTTTTCGTAATTAATTTGACATCCCGAAGACATGTCCAAGCCACTTACACTATTTTGTTTTGATGGTATGATAGATCTCCTGCTGCTTTATTATTTGGCAGAGCAAAGCTTTCGTTAAAGGCTTTATTGAGCTTGGAAAACTATATTGTTTCCCTTGGACTAGATATACTTATGAAGCATAGAATGTTTCTTTAGGAGGAGTCACAGTAAAGTCACGCCTTTACAATCTCACCGCTGTCAAAGAATGTTTATAATTTTGCGATTAAAAAAGCTGCTTTTCTATTAAAATATTCCAAGTGGCATGCTTAATGGCAACAAAAACAACAAGGCAACAGAATAGCAATATACATGTGGATTCTTCCATAACCTGCAATGTTTACTTTGTAAATCATGTTCAATTCTGCTTAATTCCACAGCACAAATCTTAAACAAGTGTTAGTAGATGGCGTATGTTCTGTTCATCCATAGAAAACTCAGAGCAATTCACAAACAGCTCCTAATGATCTCCCATTTGTGCACTTATCAGGGCCACACCTCCTTACACTTCACCATTGGCATGGGATTGGGTGCACTGAGACTACAAAATTCTAACTCATTTAAGACTCAGGTCCCATCTACATTGTACTTTTAAAGCAGTATCATACCCCTTTAAACAACCCAGGGTGGATGCACTCCTGAGGGGGACATGGCATGGAGGGTGCCCTCCCAGGTGCGGGATAGCCACTCAGGTGCCCAGAGCGGCACGCACACCCTGCAGCCAATAGCGGAGCGAGCTGCCCAGGGCAGACATTTGGCGTGCCGCCCACCCGTGACTTCCAAGCCTCCCCCAACCTGTCAAAACAAATGGGGAGGGGGGAATGCCGCTGGAAAAGCAGGGCAGCGCCCCCCCTTAACCCAATGGCTTGGGAGTCGCGGGCAGGCGGCGCGCCGAATGTCACCCCCTCAGTGATGACAGCTGGGGCGACCCGGAAGACACTTAGCAAATACTGCGGACTGGATCACTACTATGCACATATATTTGGGGTTTTTGGCTGGCTATTTTGTATCTAATTACCACTAAACTAGTTTTCTCTTGAGAGGTATTGTTGATCTAGTTTGCGTCCTAATGACTGTTTAATGGGAACTGGAATAATTGACATAAAGACACAAAATAAATAGAGCCTTACCTTGAGTATATGTGTGGGAATGGGCAGGACACATACATCTAATGAAAGGAAAGAGGGGAAATTATTTGTGTAACAAAGCACTGGAAAAGTAAGGAGTTCATTGGCTGTTTACACATGGCAGTTCAAAGTGGATGGATGCATCGTGTGTGTGTGTGTGTGTGTGTGTGTGTGTGTGTGTTTAATCTGTCCTCATCCAAGTGGGAACATACACTTTTCACACATTTTATCCCAATGTTTCTGAATTTCATTATCTGGGAATAATGTGATAAGTACAAAAAAGTCCAACATAAAATTACATGTTACCCGGTTGTGGATGCATTGAAGCACATTGCGTGGGGTTTCTTTTTAACTGTGTCATGACATTTTGCTGGATGATGCCATCTAGCATCACACATCCTATCTCCAGTAGCAAAGCACTCCTTACTGGGATGCTGGTGCACATCATATATTTTTTAAATCACTACTTTGTACAAGTCTGGTATATCAGAAAACTTGCATCTAAACCCCAAAACTACACAGGTAAACAAATGCCCACGGGTTTCTGGAACTCAAGGAGGGTGTGGAAGTTCTGAGGGCAGGGGATAATAAGACACAGTGTGAACACATCCCATCCCATCAAGCACAATCCACCGGTGTAAATGGAAAACACAGAGATCAAAGTTGAATTGAAAGTGCCCATGTGTGGATCGACATGCACAGAAAAATCAGATATGTGCAACCCATGTATGCATGAGTGCACAGTGTGTGCATCATATAAGTAACTAATATATTAATATAATGAATTTGTTAATATTGCACTGTTTCTCTTGCAAATGTATCCTGCCATCTAGTGTCTCAAAGTGGTGGTACTTTTTCTTACTGGAAAGCTCACCCGTTAAACCTGTTTACAAAAGTTTGTACAAAGCTCCAATATAATTTGAAGACAACTTAAACCTATAAATAGAGCATGCCCATTTAGGAATGCCAACTGTAAAGTAAGATTCTCTACCTCTTGTTATTTCTAAAGCTCATGGATGAATGCTTCTTTGCTCAGAACAACATTTCTATTTTACTTCTTGTCTCGTCCAATTAACACAGAATCAATAAATTGTTGTATTTATTGTGGATTCCTTCTGAGCACCCTACTCCGAGACCCAGAGTAGGTTTCACTGTTATTTTAGACCCAGTCCTAACCACCACTAGGGTTCATGTGGAATTTATGCCCAAGTAAAATAGTCCTTATGATTTGGCCTGACCTTATACATATTTACTTAAAAATGAGTACACCCGAGTTCAGCATAAGCTACATTCTAGCAAATATGATAGGGATTCAGCAGTGCAGCCTGATGCTATGCCAGTTTACTCAGTGGAAGGAAGTGTATCCTATTCATAGGAGCAAAGGAAGTTGTCTCATATCCGGCAACCCTATTTCTGCATCTTACCCAGTACTGCCTACTCTGACTGGCAGAGGCTCTCCATAGTCTCAGGAGATTCCAGAGACTGAACATGGGGCCATTTTCATGCAAAGCATTGTGCTCTGTCACTAAGCTATGATCTTTTCTGCTTTAGTTTTATTCATCTTCAGCAACAGCTTTGCTCCATTCAAACATCACATTGGCTATTCTCTAAATCATGTTTCAGAAAACTAGGAACAGAACAGACTTCCTCTTGCCTTTTCTATTTTGTCTAGGTATTATCTGCTGGATCTCAAAGTTAGGCAAAGCTATTTTTAGCACTAACCAGAAATGGTTCCAAATCATGATTTTCAAATCCACCTCCTAGTACACCATAGTTTAGAGGCGAACTATGGTGACAGAGGAGGGACTCGGGTGGCGCTGGGGGTTAAACCACTGAGCCTAGGACTTGCTGATCAGAAGTGAGCTCCCGTTGCTTGGTCCCAGCTCCTGCCAACCTAGCAGTTCAAAAGCACGTCAAAGTGCAAGTAGATAAATAGGTACCGCTCCGGCGGGAAGGTAAACGGCGTTTCCGTGTGCTGCTCTGGTTCGCCAGAAGCGGCTTAGTCATGCTGGCCACATGACCCGGAAGCTGTACGCCGGCTCCCTCAGCCAACAAAGCGAGATGAGCGTCGCAACCCCAGAGTCGGCCATGACTGGACCTGATGGTCAGGGGTCCCTTTACCTTTACCTATGGTGACAGAAGCCAGGAAAGGGAAGAGGGATCTGGTGTGTGAGAAGGAAGGAATGTGGAGAAGGATGCAGATTTGGGAGCACAAGAGTCCATATATAAGTAAATTTATTTTGGGACTTTGTAAACAGATATTTTGAAATTTCAATGTGATTGAATGGGATAAAAAATATTTTTGATTACCTAGAGTCTTTCATAACATCTCCCAGGAAACATTTTGTTTGGGTCTTAATTTGTATGCATTTCCAGTTAGTGGCAGCAATATCCATTTATCAGTTTTGTAAGGAGGTACTTTCTTTTATCTGTCCTGAATCTGCTACCGGTCATTTTCATGGGACAGCCCAAACTTTTGCATTTTTGAGAGAGGAAGAAACTCTATCCATTTCCTCCACATAATGCAGAATTTTATATGCTCAAGTTGTATAATAGAAAATTCCTATTATAAACCTATGGATCTCCTTCCAAGGAAAAGCTCATCAGAAGCAATGGTATGCCCAACTAGCAATAATATATTTTTATAATGAACTCCTACTAGGTCTGTAGTTTTGTTTCGTTTTTCTGTCCAAAGCTGCTACAAAGTTTCAGCAAACACCAAAGTCCAATTTGGTCATCTCTAAGTACTCTTTTGAAACAAGCAGGTGTTTGAAACAACAACAACAAACCTCTAGCTTTCTGCTCTCCCTTTCACTCAGCAAAAAGGAAAGCAGAAATGGCCACGTTAGTGGACGACTTCCAAATATAAGGTGGGGCATGTTTCTTAAAATTCACCCGTTTCCACGACTTTAGAACCTGCAGATTCCTCAAACCCTCGTTATGCTTTTGTAAGGCTGCAAAGGGGCTGAGCTTCTCCAGCTGATTACAACTTTGTGGGAAGCAAGATGGCTTTATTAGGCGCTGTCACGCGAGGAACAGGGGAAGGAGCAAAACACTTACGATGCCCGTTGCAATTGCTTCAGCAAATATCCCACCCTATCGCGTCCTCCTGCCATGGCTGAAACTACTTGGGACCCCGAGGCATGATGGGAAGTTGTGCAAACCTTGGAAGGGGAGAGGCAGGAACGGTCGTTCCCCTCGAAGTATTTGCTCATTGGAGCCTTTCCCCGAACAGTGTTAAGCTGCCAGCGACGTACTTCGAAGCCTTCAGGATTAATAAAATATTGCAATCGTTGCTCTCTTTTCCCTTTGTTAATCTATACTCTCCAGCCTATTGGGCACGATTTAACACTTTCGATCCGATCACCTTTCAAAACTTCATTCCTTAACTTTTTGGATCTCTAGCTTGGTGCAGAAACAAGAGGGGGGCGGAACCTTCCCAGTGCGTTGCTGGTCTTTGCTAAACGGAAATCTGAAGTTCATTTCCAAGTTTTTACTTGCAAACTGAAACCAAATTTTGAAGCACTGTGAATAGCTAGAACATTCAGTCTCAAAAACAGCATTTCCACAAAATTGTTTTTTGTTTCTTTATATCGTAAAGAAGGCATTGGTGATTGTTTTAGTTCAAGAAAATCTGGTGCATGTAAGAAACGTCTTGACGATCAGCAACTGATTTTTAACAGGGCAAGAGCCATAATATGAATTAATCGAAAGTTGCAGGACGAGCATAAATAGCTACGCCCAGTAACTTACAGATGACTTGTGAGCCAGTCAAAAGGACTCTTCCCCCACTCACCCAGAACGTGAACAGTAGCCTGCAGTGATTGCACACATCAGTTCACTTCTATGTGCAAGACTCAGGTGGCCTCGTGGCCCAGAGTGCCTTCCATCAGCTTCGGGTGGTGGCCCAGCTATGCCCCTATCTGGACAGGGATAGCCCAACTACTCTTGTCTATGCTCTGGTAACTTTAAGGTTAGATTACTGCAATGCATTATACATAGGGCTGCCTCTGAAGACGGTTCGGAAACTTCTGCTAGTGCAGAATTCAACGGCCAGGTTGCTCACCCGAGCATGACAGTGTGAGCATATTACACCGATCCTGGCCCGACTGCACTGACTACCAATTAGCTTCTGGGCCCAATTCACAGTGCTGGTTTTTACCTAAAAAGCCTTAAATGGCTCAGGACCACAATACCTCAAGGACCACCTCTTTCCATATGAACCTACCTGATCCCTGAGATCATCTTCTGAGGCCCTCCTTCACGTGCCTCCTCCAGAGGTCTGGAGGGTGGCAACATGAGAATGGGCCTTCTCTGCAGTGGCTCCCTGTCTATGGAATGCTCTCCCCAGGGAAGCTCGCCTGGCGCCTTCATTATACACCATTAGGCACCAGGCAAAAACATTCCTTTTTAACCAGGCATTTGGTTGATCTGATTTACATCCAACACCCTTTTAGAATGTGGCTTTATTGGGGGTGGGTTATTGGGTTACTGCTTTTGGTTTGATTTTATATGTTGTGGTCTTGTTGTGAACGGCCCTGAGACCTCCGGGTATAGGGCAGTGTATAAGTTGAATAAAAATAAGAGACTGTTGGAATGTAATGGGCACTAGCTACAGCTCAGTGAGTGCCCATATTTTGCAGGTAAAAGGTCCTCCGGCTGAGACCCTGGCGTCTCCAGGTAGGGATGAGGACCCATCTGAAATCCCAGAATGCCATTGACAATCAGTGTCAGCAGTACTGATCTATAATGAATAAATGATCTCACTGAGTACAATTCAGCTTCCTACTGTATCAAGAACTTCTAGCCTGGAAAAGAAGTGACTGAGGAGATATGATAGTGATCTTCAAATAGCTGAAGTGTTGTCACATGGAGCAAGCTTGTTTTCTTCTGCTCTGGAAGGTAGGACTCGAACCAATGGCTTCAAGTACCAGGAAAGGAGATTCTGACTAGACATACAGAAAAACTTTCTGACAGTAAGAGCTGTTTGACAGTGGAACAGCCTCCCTTGGGAGGTTGTGGACTCTCCTTCCTTGGAGGTTTTTAAACAGAGTTTGGATGGCCATCTGTTATAGATGCTTTAGATGAGTTTCCTGCATTGCGGAGGGTTGGACTAGATGACCCTACATGGGTCCCTTCCAACTCTTAAGATTCTGAAGTTCCATGGAACTGCATTTGTGGAAGGTACAAACTTCAGTACTTGTGTCTTGGCTCTTGCAGGAAAAAGCTACTGTGATATCTTTGCCGCTGAGAAGATAGAAGTTTGAGGTGGTAAAACCAGGGCTATTCTTCTAGAAAGAGTTGTCCGAACTCACCATTAACATCCCCTTGTTCTCTTATAATGGCAATGGTGCCCAACTGAGAGGTGCTGGAGTTCCAGCTGGGAAAAAAAAAAAAAGCCCTGGAGAAGTCCTGGTGGCAAAGTGAGCTGAGCCTCAGGCTGCCAGTTGCCTGTTGCTGTGTTACCTTCTCCAACTCTCAAGAGATTTGGTGCAAGTGCACCAGTACTTACAACTTTTCCAGAACATTTAGAGTTCTGTATTTTGAAATCACATTTCGTTTAAAAATAGCAAACTAGAAAGTTTGCAGGGAATAACTTGTGAGTAGGTATGTATGGGATAGCACTGCTACAATTCAATGGGGCTTGCTCCCAGGTAAGTGGGCACAGGAATGCAAGCCATGTGCATCCATGTACAAAAATAAAGTAGTTGGAAGACATGTCCATTTCACAAATAGCTTTACTAATATTGTGAAATGGCAGCAACTAACTGCATTGTTTACAGAGATATTCAATTGCTGTATTATTTTCAGTCAGAAAGAGATCAGATGTGTGGTTTTTAAAGCAACAGTAACCTGGTATGGAATTTGCATTAAACTAGTATTTTAACCCAAGGGACACGGGTGGCGCTGTGGGTAAAACCTCAGCGCCTAGGACTTGCCAATCGTCAGGTCGGCGGTTCGAATCCCCGCGGCAGGGTGCGCTCCCGTTGCTCGGTCCCAGCGCCTGCCAACCTAGCAGTTCGAAAGCACCCCCGGGTGCAAGTAGATAAACAGGAACCGCTTACTAGTGGGAAGGTAAACGTCGTTTCCGTGTGCTGCGCTGGCTCGCCAGATGCAGCTTGTCACGCTGGCCAAGTGACCCAGAAGAGCTTCGGACAGCGCTGGCCCCCGGCCTCTTAAGTGAGATGGGTGCGCAACCCCAGAGTCGGACACGACTGGCCCGTACAGGCAGGGGTACCTTTACTTTACCTTTAGTATTTTAACCCAGTTAAATACAGACCCCATTACAAACCAGCAAAGCTCACAATATTCAGCAGGGGTCCCGTCCTTTGAAAAGTGATATTGTACTCCACCAGCAAAAGATTATCCTGCCCATTTCAGGTAGTTCCTTCCCCTCTACTGCAGCCCCATATGACAAAGCTACGTGTTCAGCAGCAGTCCCACTCACTGGAGAGGCTGCTCAGGAACCTATAGGAATGAAAGTGGGGAGGAGGGAAGGAAGCACCCACTAAGTAAGCAGAAAGCAGCTTTCAAATATGACCAGCTGATAAGAACAGCCTTCCTGCAGTGCTCTCAAGAAGACTGTACAACTAGTGATATTTTCATATACATTCCTCTTTTTAAAAGGTAAGGACACCTTAGTCTTTCATGACTAATGAAAACTTAGGCTACCAAATCTGTACTAACAACACTGTGCATTTTTCACAAATAAAGGTTATCAAGTATCCATAAAAATATTTTTAACAGAGTGAGCTGTAGCATTTTCAAGGCAAGGATATATGTGTGGTGTCTTCTTAATAGAATGGAATTATGGTAATCCCTGAATACTTAAAACATCGTAAAAGAAATCAGGCTTGTAGGGTTTTTCTATATTAGAATCTATTATCTGAAAATTACATACTTCAGGTTTCTCCCAGGTTTTATACGAGTTGAGAAAAACATTTCTAACCTATGAATTTAAGTTAGTGAGCTCCCAATTTAAGACAAAGACACATTATTTATTATACAACATAAAATATTTATATAAAACACAAATTTAGACGCAAATCAATGAGTTTCTTCTGTGACTTTCAAAAGAAACACAGGAATTCTCAGAGTCACATCAATATTTAAGATCCATGTAATATCAAACTTTGGATTGGATTCAACTACTAGGCTAAAAAGAAGTATGCATGTGGTCTGGAATTGCTCTGCTCTTTCCGTATTACTTTGCAGGATTATCTGCACTCACATTGTCATCATTACAGATTTTCAGACACGTTTGACTTAAAGATATTCTCTTCAGATATCACTAAAAGTAAAGAAAGCCTATTAGGATTATATTTTGTATGGTGCAGAACCTTAGAAATATTCCAACACACCCTTGCCATGATTTTATGACTATTGTCAATCCAAGTCACAGTATAGAATAAAAAATGAACTCGATTTCTGTAACTTTTGGGAAATTATACGCTCCATGAGATCTTCACTAAACATCTTATGTAACTTTTCTTCTTTGCAGAGTGAAAAGATCTGCCTTCTCAAGGCCACTCCAGCTCCAATTCAGTCAAGTATTATTGCTCAGAGTCTGGATTGTTTTTTTGGAGGGATAAAGGTCTCACCCCACTTTTGTTTCTTTGGCCTAACGAAGTTCTCAAGAGGGTCTAAGACCACTATCTAAGTAGAGAAAAAAGTCTCTGCAAGTCAAGGCCACGTTTTCTTAAACATAGTAACCATAATTAAGAGACAGTCCTGTAATTTGCTGAGGCCCTCAGTTCTCCTTAGATGACGCATACTGGGGGCAGCTGCTCCTGTCATCCTTGGTGGCCAGGCTCATTTTCGTTTCCCCTTGAAGCCACCACTTCCCGGTCTCCCGGCCTTCCCTCTCCGAGCTGCCCCTCCACTTTTCTTGCCCTTGGCCCCACCGGGCCTCTGCTGCTGCCGCCGGCCCCTCTTGCCCCGCTGCCCCTGCTTCTTGCCCTTGGCTTTGGCAGCCTCGGCCTCGTCTTCCCGCAGCTGCTTGTTGACGGCGCGGGTCAGGTCCAGAGGCGTCTTTTTGCTGCCCAGGCTCCGGACCAGCTCCAGCTGCCTCTTCTTCTCCCCGTCGAGGTCTCCCAACACGGGCCCGAAGCGGCGCTTCTTGCCCCGGGCGCTTTGCGGAGCGCGGGGCTCCTTGGGGAGGCGAGGCTGGAAGCGGCCGACGGAGGCGGTGGAGACGCGGGCGAGGGCGGTGACTCGGCCCAACTCGGAGCGGTCCTGGTGGCCCGTGGGGTGCAGCTCGGCGGCCGAGGCGCCACCGCGGTGGGCGCGCGCCAGGTTCCTGAGGCGGTTGTACTCGTTGCGCGCCACTTTCTCGCGCTTCTCCTGGCGCTTCTTGGCGAACTGGTCCTCGAGCGGATGGGCCGAGTCGGGCACCTCGAGCAGCCAGTCCCGGGACGGGTCCCCGCCGGCCCTCTGGTAGCCCCAGCGCCTCCGCCACTCCTTGGCCGCCTCGTCCCACACCAGCGTGCCGCGCTTCTTCCGCGTGGGGCGGATGCCTTTGAGCCGGGCGAACTGCTCCCAGCGCGTGAGGGGCTTGGGCTTGGGCAGCGGCTTCTCCCGGGGCAGCCGCGTCGAAGGGTCCGGCAGCCGCGCCACCACCGGGCCCGCCCCTCCCTCGGCGCGCTCCGACGGCAGCGCCCACAGCTGGCCCACCAGCAGCTGCGTGTTGTCGCGGGCCAAGGCGCGCAGGAGGGCCTCGCGCTGCGGGCAGCCGGCCCCCGCGCCGCGCGGCGCCGGGTTCTTGTCCACCGCCAGCAGGTTGCCCACGTCGAACTCCAGCTCCAGCTCCTTGTGCACCGTCACGCTGCGCTGCGTCTCCGCCTCGCGCTCCTCGGCGCGAGCCAGCAGGTCCTCCACGGACGACGCGGCCATTTCCACCAGGGGGTCGGCAACGGTCTCTCTCTCTCTCTTTCTCTCTCTCCACGTGCGCAAAGAACGCTGCCCGGCTCCACGAAAGGTCAGAGGGATTAGTTCCGCTGTTTGAGGGGAAAAGAACAGCACCCGGATGTATCGTCAGCGCGGCTTTCTTACCATAGAGACGACGGGAATCATGCGGCAGCGAATGGTCGGCACCTCAACTACAACTCCCAGCATGCAATGTTGCAAACGGTGCGCATGGAGAGTTGGATAGTGGGGGATGTAGTCGGATGGGGATTGGGAAGTAGTTCGATGGGGAAGTTGGGGTTGGTTTGTGATCACCCCTGACGGTAGTGGTGGTGAGAGTGGGGAGGGCCGCAGGGTCCCCATCCCTGCCCCAGTGTGTGAAATGAAAGCGGCGGGTTACTCGTCCTGGCATTGTCGATGACGGTGCCACAGAGATGGCTGCCAAAATAAACAGGGAACAGCCAATTGCTGCTGTCGAATGCGGCGGTGGGAGACAGGGTTCGTGAAAAACTTTGGAATAGGCGTGCTCTGTCCCTGTTCCTGTACTGTACTTATTCCACAATTTCAAAAGTGCAATGCAGTTGGAAAGTATTTAGGCACATTCAGACTGGTCAGTGATTAAATATATTAGGCTGCAATCCAAACCACTTTCAGTCAGAAATAAACCCTAATGAATTCAGCTTTGCCCCATGTAAGTGGGGTTAAGATTGCAGTCTAAGAAAAGTATAAAAATTTGTTTTTGTTCTTAGCCTTGGTTTCCACAGCAGGTTAAAAAATGGAAGTGTGATTGCGTGTATTTGATCCAATAGCTTTTTCTTTGGAAATTATATTTGAAACAGGTTTTTCATTCTTAAAACGTTTGAGGCCGTGGCACAGTTACTGAATCCCATACACATACTCAGTGCTTTTTTGGGGGGCAGGGGTACGCATACCCCTAAACATTTTGTGAATCTTTGTACTTTTGTCCATTTACTGTATTTATTTTTCCAGATCTAAACTATAAAATGGTGATTTTCTTGAGTCAAAATGAGAATACCTCTAAACATTTTTTTAAAGAAAAAAAGCACTGGACATACTTAAAAAGAATAAAATCTTTCTCAGATCTATTTATGCTGTGGCTCAAAATCCATTTAAAATAGGTTTCAAGGTAATTTCTCCAAAACAATACTGTTAAGTACCACAAGATGGTACTGTGCTTTGACAACTAATATTTCCTCCTTGCTTCATGCAGCTCATGTTTTTCACCAGAACAGAAGATTCAACTAATTTTTATAGAAGATTCACAGAGAAATCCTATGTCTATTTTACTGTATTTTAAATATATTGTATGCTGCTTCAAGAACTTCAGTTAGTACATGGGGTATAAATGTTCCAAAGAAATAAACAAAACTTGTGCATACCTACTCAGTAAAGCTATATTGAACTCAACAAGATTTGCTCCCAGGAAATTATGGCTAGGATTGCAGTTTTAAGGCTCCTACTGTAAGTTCACCATATGCTTTTGGGTAGCACTGTAGCTAAATCCCTATAGTATTAAACATTGTCACTATCATAGCTTTGGCACAAAATGGTCCATAATCCTGTACAATATGCCTCATACACCCTCTCACTGAATGCATATATTAGTTTTCTCAGGGTTCCAGGTAGATGTGGATAGGATTGCAACCCCATCTTTTATTTCAACTTGGAGAACTGGTCTGAATTAAATCAGAAAGCATTACTACCATGAACAGAACGGTATGCCTTTTGCAGTATTCTAGCTATGCTACATAAATAAAGGGTGTTCTGTCTTTTCATTTGGAATGATAGGATCATTTTGTTTAGACATGCCTACAGGTTAGAGGAAACATGGAGTTATTTAACCACCATCCTGCATGGATGCAGAATAAGCCAGGTAGGTCTCCTTAAACAGGGAATTATGTAGATGATATCACTATGTACACTAACTGACCTCTCTTCTAAAGGGAGAGGGGGTAAAGGGCCCCCGTCAGCTGATCATACAGGTGAGAGGAGGAGGTTTGTAAGGGATAAGGCATTTGTTCAAGTATTCTTTACAACAGGAATGTACACACTTCAAGCTTGTCAGATTTACTTTGTTTTGTTTGATAAGATCTACCTGCCAGAGAAAGATGCAAAAGAGATGCGTTTAGAGTTAAAGAACAAAGCACCTAATCTGAGCACATTTTGTGCCTAGAAATTTCAGTACCAGAACTATACTGAGCTCACAAGTGCTTTCACACACTGGTCCACTCCTGGTTAGCTTTCTTCATTTCAGCAGCCTAAGCGAGGTTGGTAAAAGTTTTGTCACTGCATATGTTAAACAAATTGGGTGTTGGAAACTTTTCCTAATCTACTGCATATCAGCTCAGATTTCCAGCAGTAGCTCCCCATCTACGTTCTGCTCACCTCTGCTTTAGAGATGTTCCTTTGCTTACAAATGGTTCTTAACCTCATAATGCTTGTTCCTCATTTCCAATGGCATGATCACTGCCACAGATATGCCAGAAACAGGAGGGGAGCCATGGAAAATTACTTTAAGAGAGAATTTGAAAGAGTCATGAGAGGAGGAAGAAGAGAATAACATCGCCTAGAATGAATGATTTGAATGATTGCATTTCCTTCAATTTACTCAAGCTGTGCAAAACAGCACTGAGTAGAGTACATTCTTATTATGTTTTTGCTGATTAGTGAAATTGGTATGGGAGCAAATTGTGGATATTCAGAAGTCTTGGAAGATAGTGTTACTCACACTACAGGGTAGTACAATGGGAAAATTACCTAACAAGAAACTCATAGCTTCTAAATTGAGCTTCTACACGAGCATCTGTCTAGAAAGAAAAGAATAATGGAGTATTATCATGTCTCTTATTCTCTCCTGATCTTTGCCCCAGAGACAGATACATTATTGATCCATGTTTATACTCCATATGAACTAATTTACCATATCAGTGCCATAAAACAGAACTCAAGTCGTTTTGATAAAAAAAAACTGATGGAAGCTTCAGAGGTTTTTTCCATTGATTCCAGCTGGAATGAGCCCTGTATTTTTTTAACTTGGTAACTACAGTCAGTGGCGTAGCGTGGGTTGTCAGCACCCGGGGCAAGGCAAGTAATTTGCGCCCCCTAACCCGTGGATTTGCACTCCCTAACCCTAACCCCCAGATGTTGCGCCCGGTGTGGCCGGCCCCCCCCTGCACCCCCCACGCTACGCCACTGACTACAGTACTATATTTTCAAAATGTTTTCAACCGAAAATGTTAGCTATCTGAATTAATTGTATATCTCAATATAAAGCCATATAAATGTAAGCCTGAGTCATGAATATTCCTTTTTTATTTGATGTCCATGTCAGGTAAATATTTGAGGTATATAAGTAGAACATCATTTGATGCCTTTTAAATATATACCTTGAAGAGCTGCTCTTTCTTGAGTCAATACTGCACAAGGCAGTATGTGTGTGTAATACTTTACTGTGTAATAGCTTACTTCTGCAAGCTGCTGCTCTCTACTTGTTTTGTATTGCAATTCTCACCACCCCAGCCAGTATGCCTGACAGTCAGGGATGATGAGAGTTGGAGTCCAATAACTTCTGGAAGGCTCCAGGTTGGGGAACAATAACTTAGTAGTAAAGCACATTCCATGTATGTAGCAGATCCCAGATTCAGTCCCTGGCATCTTTAATTAAAAAGATACCAGGGAGCCAAGCTTGGAAAGACCTAGAATCCCCAAAGGAAACCCACGAATTTGGTCCCTCCTTATGTAGGGGACATGGGTGGTGCTGTGGTTTAAATCACTGAGCCTTGGTGTTACTGATCGGAAGGTTGCCAGTTCAAATCCCCGCAATGGGGTGAGCTCCGGTTGCTCGGTCCCAGCTCCTGCCGACCTAGCAGTTTGAAAGCACGTCAAAGTGCAAGTAGACAAATAGGTACTGCTCTGGCGGGAAGGTAAACGGCGTTTCCGTGTGCTGCTCTGGTTTTGCCAGAAGCGGCTTAGTCATGCTGGCCACATGACCCAGAAAAACAGTCTGCGGACGAATGTCGGCTCCCTTGGCCAGTAAAGCAAGATGAGTGCTACAACCCCAGAGTCGTTCGTGACTGGACTTAACTGTCAGGGGTCCTTTACCTTTACCTTTTATGTAGCCATATAATTTAGATAGCATCCACTTACGATCTACTCATGGAAGAACAGTTTCCATGTGTACTTGGAATAGGGCTCAAAAGAAACTTCCTGTCTTCAGTTTGTTGAAGTGAATGGAACTCATTTTGAAACAGTAAGTGTTCTTTGCAGTGTGGCATCTCTGCTATAGTCTTAGCTGCATAAAGTTGAGATTTTTCAGTACAGGATAAAATGTGAGAAACTACAGTCATACCTCGGATTGAATGTGCTTCAGGATGAGCGCGTTCGAGTTGCGCTCCGCGGCAACCCGGAAGTAACGGAGCGTGTTACTTCCAGGTTTCACCGCTTGCGCATGCGCAGAAGCGCCGAAACATGACCTGCGCATGTGCAGACACGAAGACACGGGTCACATTTGCTTCTAGATGTGAATGGGGCTCCAGAACGGATCCCATTCGCATCTAGAGGTACCACTGTATATGGCATACCTACACTAAATGCTTTAAGTGTTAAAGGAGGTTTTGCATGCACAACTGAGATGGGCCCTCAAGGCTTTCTTCAGTACTACAGCATAATCTTCTAATAATCTGTTTCCCCTGAAAGAATGCTGTTAATTAAAATACTAAAAAACCTAAACATTCTTGAGGGTTAATTACAAATATCTCTCAATTTCATTCTTTGTTATTCCACTGCTGGGTACTTCTGCTCAAGGTGAAACAAAACAAAAAGACTTATCAGCTGGAGGAATATATCACACAATCACTTGCATTTGTAGCTGTATTGACAGCCTGCCATTGCTGCCATTAAGGCAGCAGCATCTCCAGAGTTTTGGTCCCTTAGATGTTGTGGCTGATGACTTCCGATGGTTGTTGTTCACAGTCAAGGAGGAGATTCCTTTGTGGTGGTTGGTTGCTTAACACGACAAACAATTTCATAGCAGCCCGGAGATCCCTTCTTACTTTCTCCTGTACCGGCAGGTGGTTGTAATGCGGACATACCCTGTTGAGCACATGAGCACAATGTGTTTATAATTGAAAAGGCAGATTTACAACTTTGAGTAGAATGGCCTCACTTGCTGCAAGGATGGGGAACCTGTGGTCCTCAAGGAGCTGTTGGTCTCCAACTCCCATCAGCCCACATGCAGCATGGCAAATGGTGGTTGAAGAACCATATATACTGCCTTGAACTCATTGGAGAAAAGGCGGGATATATATGGATTAATAAATAAATAACCTGCCTATGGTGGGTCTGCATTGGAGCTCTCATGCTTGAGGTGTTATTGTGTACTTCAGTGTTTCCCAACCTTGGGCCTCCAGCTGTTTTTGAACTACAATTCCCATCATCCCTGACCACTGGTCTTGCTAGCTAGGGATGATGGGAGTTGTAGTCCAAAAACAGCTGGAGGCCCAAGGTTGGGAAACAATGGTGTACTTTAGTACTCAAACAGCAGAAGCAAGACCCACCCAGTTGTGTAGGAGAATCTGCCTTATAGTTTTTCAAGCACAAGCACAGACAAGAGTATTTGTGTGACTAATTTCAGTTTATGCTGGACTCCTTGAGGGAAAGTCAGTGTGCTGCTGGTTCACTGTACTTCCAAATCATACCTCAAATGGTTATTCCAGCCTTCCTTTAAAAGGACAACCTTTCAATGTTGTTCTTTTTTTCTTTCAGAACAGGCACCCTCAAACTCGGCCCTCCAGATGTTTTGGGACTACAACTCCCATCATCCCTAGCTAACAGGACCAGTGGTCAGGGATCATGGGAACTGTAGTCCCAAAACATCTGGAGGGCCGAGTTTGGGGATGCCTGTTCTAGAAGCTGGATAATAGTGTTATCTTAGGTTGCTGATACTATGGAAGGACAGTTCAAATCTTTGCTGTAGAAGCAGCTCAAGTGAAATAGCATTGTCTTATTCTAGAAGGTCAGAAGGATCAAGGGTTTGGAAACCAAGCCTTATGAGGAACAGTTGAGGGGGTTGAATATGTTTAGCCTGGGAAAGAGGAAACTAAGAGGAGATATACTAGCCATCTTTGATATACGATAGATGAGATATATGAGCCAAAGGGTGGCGAGCCTTTTGGCTCGAGTTGTGGTTAGGCATTGTGTAAGCCTTATTATGGGACGGGAGGTTGTTGCCTCTGCCTGCCCCTCCACTTTAAGGGTATCCTGTTAATGGAATCCGGGGGTTAGGTTCCTGTCTGAAGCCTGGGCATGGGCTAGGACCATGCCACCACCCCAACGGTGACCTAGGAGGTATTCTTAATTGATGTATATCATAGGGCTCCCCCGTCTGGTGGTTGACCTTATGAGACTTCCTGCAGACGGGCAGGAGTTCAGGATATAGTCTCGCTTCACCCAATTGCCTAAGCCAAACCATTCACATCTGTAACCAATAAAGTTGTGGCCTTATTTATCCCATTAACCCAATATACTTGTGTTTGTGTATTTATTTCGGAGGGAGCTGCGGGGCCCGGGGTTTCACCACACAATTAAGATTCCTGCTTTTCAGGTGATTGGACCACATGTCCCTTGGGGTACCTTCCAACTCTACAATTCTATGGTAGCGGCTTGTAGACCAGCAACAGCTTTCCTGGCTTTCCAGAAGACAGGAGTGGGTTCATGGAGAAGAGTGCATATTCGCTTATCAGAGAAGCAGGCAACGTAATGCTGCTAACCCTCCCAGAATCCAGTAGTGTTACAAAAGTTTTAGCAAGAATGGGACTAGGGTTGCCATCTTTTCCTGGCAGAGTGGCTGTGTCTTTAACAGCTGCAATGCAAGCTGAAGTCATTATGTTGAATTTCTGACTGACAGCCAGAAGAATAAAAAAACTAATGGTGATGTCAGTGAGGGCGGGTGGGAATAGGTCTTCAGAATCCCTATGAGTGAAGAACCACTGATACCTGTTCACATGAGGCTGCGTTGTGATGCAAACTGTCAAACACAACTGCTGCTATGGAGCTATAAATGTTCTATGGCAGCATAGTATTCTGAAGTAAGGAACATACATTGGATTCTGGAACCTTGGTCTTAATGGAACAAAGAATATCCTGGATCTCCCCTGAAGCTGTTCTGTTTTGGAGTAGCTCAGGCTTAAAGTTAAGGAGGATCACTTTAAATGGGTGACGTCTAAAAGTCATACCTAATTTGCAACAAAAGATAAGAACAATTTGCTTAGAGGTGTGATAGTGAAATCACTGTGTACATTTCTGTGGGCAATGTGCAAGCAGGTGAGATTCTTGAAATGCACACGTCCTTGCCTAGTTTAGCTCTTTTAGTTGACTCACAACTTGCACTGAAGTTATATTCTGGAGAGTGTGTGTAAAGCCAAAACTGCATATTAGAACAACCTGGAACTGCCTGTGCACAAGCATCCCTACCTTTCTGAAGCTGGTGCACTCTGTGGGCCTTGCCTCCCCTCACCCTGTGGGAGGCTCCCATGGGGCCACCGGAGATCTCACAAGGCCAGAACATTCCAGAGCCCACTAAGTAAATCTGAGAGCTTGAAAGCTTTTAAGCTTTCTGCCTTGTGTGCATTTAATTTGTGCGATTGCAGCTGGCCAGCTGCTAAGCCAAGTTAAACATGTGCAAGTTGTGAGTCAACAGTGTTCTTCTACAGCAGGGGTCACCAGCTTTTTTGGGGCCTGTGGGCACATTTGCAAACCAGAGAAACTATTGTGAGCACAATCCACGCACCACAACTGTGCATCATGCATACATGGCAAACACACTCTTTCCCCTGCAGCCAATAATTTGTCTTGGAAAAAGTGTTTTTGCTTTTTTAAAGCCTAATGGGGGAGGGGAAACCTCCCTGGAGAATGCAGCTAGGAAGCCAAGAGCTAACCTTTCCCCTCCAGCTGTAATATCCAGGAAGTGCTATGAGGTAGCTGGGGAAGGAAGGATGAACATCCCTCACCAGCTACGTGACACCCCTATCCCTGCCAAAAATGCCCCTTCCCACCACAATTAGGATTGCAAAAAGTCTCCTGTTATCTTGAATAAAATACTTCTTTTGAACTTAATTTCTGCAGGAGAGCAGGGTCCTATGGGTGCCAGCAAAACCCTCTGGGCATATTTGCACTCATGTATGCTGCTTTAGCATCCCACGTGCCTCAGAGAATAAGTTCACAGTTGCCGATGAATATGAAACTAATAAGAGACAATATCAAGTGTCCTGTGGTTACCGTTGTTCTTACTGATTAGCTGCCTGCCGCATGCATTCTTTTTCTTCTTTCCCCTCCTCCCTTTCTTGCGCCGCCCCCCTCGGCGCTTAGACCTGCAGCTGCAGCGCTTTCTGTGTCTTGCCATCGTTTCTTGGGATGGGCTGCATTAAGTTCCCAAGCGAGGGGCTTCCATCGGCCAGCTGCGCTGAGGTAGCCTGTCTGCTCTGATGGTCTTTGAGTTTCTGAGGGAACATGGCAAGCTGAAGTGCCTTAAGGCTCCTCAGGGGTTTGTGATGTAATAAGTGGACCTGGCTGCTATCCTACCTGTCAGCACCTGAGGGCACCAGCTTTAAGTAAAAAAAACAAATGACCGCCAGATCATGGCAATGATAACTGATAACGCTGCTGGTGATTTTCCTTCCTCCCAAGCCTCTGATATGCCTTAAATTTACTATTTGAAGAACTCATTGCCACAGACAGCTCTAGGATGAACAGTTCTAGGATGAGCCTTGCCAGTGCTGTCCCATTCTCTTCCTGTTTTGTTTTCTCTTTCCAAGCAGCAGAGAGTTCCTGGCAGCCCTTGGGAGATCATTTTTATCTGCTTCCCAGTAAGCCATAGGCATTTTATTACAAGAGCACTTTCTTGTATATGTGTAACTGTACAGTGGTACATCGGGTTAAGTACTTAATTCGTTCTGGAGGTCCGTTCTTAACCTGAAACTGTTTTTAACCTGTTGGCTACTGTGACAGGATGCTGGGCTAGATACACCACAAGCCTTACAGCAGGCTCTACTTACGGTATGTTCTTAGGTGGTGACCAGAGAAAAGGGCTCCCCAACCCTTGACATGGCACGTTCTTTATGAAACTCCCCATCCTATCCCACCATTCTCTTCCTACCATAATAGGTGAAAGCATTTTCGTTTGCCCATACTTTTTAATCTTGTAGTTGAACGCCTTATATTTTTACTGGTTTTGCTGAAGCTGTAGTGGTTATGGCTTTAATGTTGTCTTTGTATATTATATCTGTGAGTTTCTCTGAAAAATCAAGGTTAGTGAATTCTTATTGGTCTTTGGCCTCAAAAAGTTCTGGCCATTTAAAATTCACAAGGACCGGATTAACTGATTAACTCCTGATTAATCTATTAGAAATCTCTGGATAAGTATAGACTGAACCCATTAAGTTAAGAAGTTAGGTTTTCCTCTTTTCTTCTTCTTCTTTTAAATAGATGGATGACTATTGTAATGAATAAAAATGAACACAATGTTAGAGGTTTTTATTAAGTAATAAGTTGGATATTACGCATGTGGGTGAAGGAAGTCACGGGCATTTGGGTATAAGGGGAGGTGGCTGCAGGGTTAGATTGGGGAATTTGCAGAAATAATATATTCATGTTATGTATAATGTTGAAGGTGTATGGCAATTAACATGTAATGTGAATTAACTAAAAATAAAATAAATAAAATAAAAATAAAATTCACAAGGACCACAAAGTGAGAGCAAATGACCACGTCTCACTGAAAAGAAAGGATCCAAATAACTCATCTAAGACACCTATTTACAGAACACCCACTTAGTGATGTTGTGTGTGGTTTTTTTTAATGGATTTTTTTAAGCTAATGAGGTTAACTTGCATGAGGTAATTTCCATTAGGAAATTTTCAGTTTGCATGTTTTGGTGCCCTAGAGAGTGATCTAATTTAGCATGATTGTTTTCTTTTTATTTGGTAAGCAAACTTTTAAAAGTACTCCATGCTGATTTTTTGTTCCAAATTTTATATAATTATTTGTGTTAAAATATTTTGGGGGGGGGGATTAAAGCACACAATGCAGCTTAAATGTTATATTATGTAGCAGTTTGAATGGAATACAGTGGTACCCCTAGTTACAAACTTAATTTGTTCCGGAGGTCCGTTTTTAACCTGAAACTGTTCTTAACTAGAGGCGTGCTTTCGCTAATGGGGCCTGTTGCTGCTGTAATTGTAAAATTCTTGTACCAGTTTAAGGACACATCTCTTAACAATGTTTAACTTAAGAAAACTAAAGGAGGGGAAAAGGATACTGAAACTGTTGACACACTAATAAATTTTAGCAACCCAAAGAACTATGCATGATATGCTGACCCACATACTTTCTTTGAATACTCACCTGAAAGACATTTACCGGTAATTACAGCTATGAAACTGCCTACTATTGTATTTACAAATGGGAAGTTTTTAATGTTTGATGTTTTATTGTGTTTTTAATATTCTCTTGAGAGCCGCCCAGAGTGGCTGGGGAAACCCAGTCACACGGGCGGCATATAAATAATAAAAGTATTGTTATTATTATATTAACTGAATTTCACCTGAAAACTTGCAGGCACAGTGAGCGCCATTTGATCTGCCTATTAACATTTGCACAAGCCTGTCATTTTGGTGGCATTAAGATAACTTTCCATCCTACCCTAGTGAAAGTTGATCACACTGTGCAGAGAAAGGTCACAGCAGCACTTCCTTCCCAGTTAAGTGGTAATTAGCATATTACTTGGTCTTTTGTTTGTCATGTCCTATTAAGTAATCTGTGCTGTTAGCAGTTATAGAAGTAATAGCCGTGTTTCTGTTCTCAGCGGAAATTATGTTAAGCAATGCAAAGAGTGTAGTTAGCAAGTAACACATAAGTGAACTGTGCATTTCAAATTATTTTCTTATTCCATCTTATCAGGATGGAATATATTTCCAGGGATGATAAACGGTTGCTCATCACAGAAGAAGGTGTGTCGTAATTGAAAAATAAAAATAAAACCTGAGGAAACCTGTGTTTCTTTGGGAGCTGTATCCACCAGGGCAGCCCTCTTTGACTTTTGCCTTATCTGGCTGCACTTTTCCTTCACTGGTGCTCCTAGCCTGAACCAGTATGAAACTTTGGCTTGGGTGTGAGAAAACCCAGCCTCAAACACCTGCGTCTTCACAGGATAGCCCTGGGCAAGCTCTTTCTCAGGGGTCAGCAAACTTTTCAGCAGGGGGCCAGTCCACTGTCCCTCAGACCTTGGGGGCCAGACTATATTTTTTGGGGGAAAATGAGCGAATTCCTATGCCCCACAAATAACCCAGAGATGCATTTTAAATAAAGGACACATCTACTCATGTAAAAACACACTGATTCCTGGACCGGATTTAGAAGGTGATTGTGCTGGATCCGGCCCCCAGGCCTTAGTTTGCCTACCCATGCTCTTTCTCATCTTAACCTGTTTTAGGTTGTCAAAAGATTGGAATATATCAAGCCTGCAACTTGCACATATTTAACTTGTTTGCATTCAGCTTTGTGTGCTTGGCAAGAATATATATAAAAAATAATAATAAAAGGGGGCAAACATCTGGGCAAAAAGACTTTGGCAATCCCACCCACCATGGGAAACCCAATGTGTTTTGTCTATATGTGATTTTGGCTCTTGGTGTGATCCCTGGAATGTAACCCCTGTGTAAGTTGTGGGCTTACAGCAACAGTCTGAGCTTCTTCAGGAAAGGGAGAGAGACTAGGGCTTTTTTCAGCCAGAACTCGGTTCCGGAACCTCTCAAGTGGGCACCATTGCCATTATAAGAGAACAAGGGAGGCATTCATGGTGAGTTCTGGCACCCCTTTTTCTAGAAAAATAGCACAAATATCCAAATGACAACACAATGAAGGCGATTTACTGAAAGGTGTGTACTGGAATCTGAATTAGTGTTTATGAAGTGAAATGTTATTGATAGATTATTGTTGGGGAATTCTCCTTGTTGTTTTTGAAATCGTATTTATGTTGTTAGCTGATTTGGACGTTTGTGAGGACAAGTGAGGTACAAACAGGAAATGAAATTTCATCCAAGCAAGATCAATATTAACAAGTACTGTGCACTGGATGGTAAATCAATCTACTATGTTCTCATACCAGTAGTATTAAAACTGTGGACAGTGGAGGGGTCAAATAACATTTTAAAAAAATACTAACATTTTAGCTGCTTCCAGAAAGAATGAGCACACATTTGTGTGCTGGAGGGGACACAGACCTTTCAAATCTGACAGGGGTTCTCAGGCTAAGGTGGTCTCTGCCTTGGTGACCATAGCTACAATGCTTACAGCAAGCTTCCCCAACCTGGTGCCCTCCAGATGTATGGGATTACAACTCCCATCAGTTTCAGGCAGCACAACAAAGTGATGACAATGGTTAAGTTACAGAGTTACAGGGATGTGGGATGCAGAATCCACAAAACGATTATTTTGTGTTTAAGTCCCAGGCTGTGCACATGTTACTGGCTTAAAACACAGCGAGATTGAATTTGGACCGAAGATGGTTTGGGCATGGGGGAAAAGCATGAACACCACAGTCTTGTGTAAGAGAGAGAGTTTGGATTTGATATCCACTTTATCACTTCCCGAAGGAGTCTCAAAGCGGCTAACATTCTCCATTCCCTTCCTCCCCCACAACAAGCACTCTGTGAGGTGAGTGAGGCTGAGAGACTTCAGAGAAGTGTGACTGGCCCAAGGTCACCCAGCAGCTGCATGTGGAGGAGCGGAGACGCAAACCCGGTTCCCCAGATTATGAGTCTACAGCTCTTAACCACTACACCACACTGGCTCTCCAGTGTAAAAAACAATAGACATGGATTGTGGTTAATGTCATGTGTATGTTGCTTCCCAAACCAGCAGTAGGAGCGTACCAGATATAGAAATAAAAGGGAGTTGAGCAAGCCCTTGAACAACTCTTTTTAAAATTCAACAGGGATTGTAAAGGAATTTTGTCCTAATGGCAGCTAGGATCCAGCACTGGCACACTCATTTTTCCTGCCATCCTTTCTAAAAGGATTTAGCTCTGTCACCCTCTTGGTTTTGTTGCTTTCATTGTTCCCGACAGACAGTTTGAGAAGAGCTGGAGGAGTCAAAGGGGATCATTTAGTCAGATGACAGCTCTAATTATGAATATTTAGGAGGTGTTTGAATGTGCTCACTTTTATTACCCCATTTCCTATCAATGACTGCATTGAAACCACTTGTCTCATTTTTCAAATCAAAGCTTCCTCAAGCAAAAGGATGAAACTCAGGATAAGTGATGCTCCACAGATATATATTATTTTCAAAATGAGGAAAGGCCATCAGTCAGTTCAGAGGATTTGGAAAAAGTTTAGTTCTCAAAAGATTAGTCACCTCTCCTGTCTCTCTCTCCCCCCCCCCGCCCCCGTATAGAGAGTAACTGTGCAGCTCATGAGAATCACTGCTCTTTTGTTATTTTTTGTTATTCTCACCCAGAGATAGATTTAGCTTTAATCTTTTTTGACAGTGGGTCTGCCTATTTCCTCAAAGTGCTGTTTTCCAGTTGGTATTGGCCCAAAGTAGTAGTAATGAGGTGACTTTGTTTCAAAAAGTAGGGACAGGATTATTTGGGCTTGTTTTCTTTACAGTGGTGGGTGTCCCAACCCACATTAAATTCACACATTAGTTTTGAGCGATTCAGTGTTAGTTTCTTTGGAAGATCCAGCAATAGCTGTGAGTATCCTGGTGGAATTATGTTGAAAGAATGATGCAAACCATTTCTTTCTTAAAACAAAAACATTTAGGTGGGAATGCCTTTTTTCTTTTCTTTAAATTATTGGATTTATATCGTACCCTTTTATCCAAGGAGCTCAAGGTGGTGTACATGGTTCAACTTCTCCTTGATTCCCACAACAAACCTGTCAGGTACGTTAGGTCAAGAGGCAGCAACTTGCCAAGGGTCACCCAGCGAACTTCATGGCTGAGTGGGGACGTGAACCCTGCTCTCCCAGGTCCTAGTTTAACACTCTAACCACTACACCACCCTGGCACACTACCCTACACCTCTACATCCCCCCATGTTCTATAAAACCCTTGATCTTAAAAGTCAGTGAGGGCAGTGCGATGTGGATGCTCTTTCACCTTAATATGCAAGTACCCACAATTGTATCTCTATTTAAATCCCACCTTTCTGCGCATGATACTCAAGACAAAAAACAATAACAGTAAAGATGTACCAAAAGCAAAGGTAGCTGTTTTGGCCCATAAGAAAAAAATCCCCCCCAAACCCCACAGTAGGATGAATCAGAAAGACACAAAATATTGAGAGGACTTTTGTGTTCTCAAGAACTCTTCTGGAGAAAGGGCTGGCTTGATGTTAAAGCCATAAAGGTCTGCACTGATTTCAGTCTTGAGATCGTATAAACTTAGGGAAGCAGACTTAGTTGGTTATTATTTATTTATTTAATATACAATGCTTCCCTTCATTAAGAGACCACAGGGCAGTTTGCAACATAAAACACAAGATACATAATATAATAATATTTTAAAACCTCCAAAATAAAATACCCCCGCCCCCAGTGAGGGAAAGCCAAGCACCTAGCCTGGCTGAGACTATGATGAAGGGACCTGCACTTTTTAATTTGACACAACACTGCTGCCCAATGACTCTCCAGAAATCCCATTGCATGCAGCTTAGAGGGGCTGGACTATTACTTGCTTTGATTGAAAATCTCTGCAGTATCTTATCTATGAATAGAACTGCACCCAAGTTTTAGAGATCTAATAACCGCACAAGGGATGATTAAAATAAATAAATCTAATCATAGGGAAACATGTCCCATTTGTGATGACTGGATGTCTGCTTGAATTTGCCAGCCAAAGCGGTTCACTTTTGCTAATCATAATGATATTAGCTCAAGGCAATTAAATTGTGCTGCCCACTCCAGTGTAAATGAGCTCACCCAAATGGTGTGTCCTTTTCTCAAAAGGTTAGAGAGGCTCAAAAAAAATATGAGGCCATGGCCTTTTCTGGGATTTTCTCCTCAGCATAAAATACTGTGCAAGTGTCCAGCTTTTTAAAATTTTAGGAGCAAGTTTCTCTTGCCTGCATTCCTGGCCAAATGACTGATTTAGCAAAGCACTGATAATTACCACACAAAAGATGGCCGCAGAACCCTTCATGGGTAAATGTGAGTTTAAAGAAGAGACTAACAGTTTAAACATCAAGATGATGACAATATGGAACACAGGAACATAAGAATATAAGAAGAGCCTTCTGGATCAGGCCAATGACCCATCTAGTTGAGCATCCTGTTCTCACAGTGGTCATCCTGGTTCAGGGGTGCCAACTTGAATAAAATATGGGAGGGGAGGTAAGCCCCTCCCCACATAATTGATCACAAGACGTGACACATGCATACCATTTGAATGGCAATGCCCATCATCTTGAGTGGGGCTGGCCCCCTCAAATATTCTATTGGGAGGGCCAAAGGGACCTTGGCCCCTAGGGGTTGGCACCTATAACTTGATCCCTGTGTGAAACTCACAAGCAGGACCTAAGCACAAGAGCAACTGGTGTTTGGTAGCACTGTGGAGGGTGGCAGAGCACAGCCGTCATGGCTAATAGCTGTTGATGGCTTTATCTTCCATGAATTTGTTTAATCCTCTTTTAAAGCCATCTGAATTGGTGGCCATCACTGCCACTGGAGGGACAACATGCTACACAAAATTGGGAAGTTCAAGATAAACAAGGGATGGATGGTGTATTTGTGCCCTCTTGCAGTCTGCCTTTGTCCTTTAAGCCTAGAGCAACTTTCTCCAGCAAGGCCCTGGTTGAGCTTGCTCAGAGATTTCTGCTTCACTTAAATCAGAACTGATGGCATATCTGATGGTGTTAGAAAGAGAAGGTCTTCTGCAAGTCAGTGACTGCTATTCTGACATGGCGGGAGGAGCCTAGATTAAAAGGCAGGAGCTATAGATTATTCTCATTGCCAGAGTCTATTCTGAGAAAAGCATATCGGATTTGG